CCCGGCCACCTTGAGCTTCCGGCTGAATGTCAATATACTCTTGAATCCGCTCCACAGCATTAAGATTTATCTCTGTCATTGTATAGCGGCGCACAATGCGAAGAACTGTCAATACAATAAGTGATGCATAGGCCAGAGTAAATCCTGTCAATGCTGCATCAGCTTCCGTCAATACAAGCAGGATGGATGTGATAAGTGTCACTGAGGACCCCGTCAGGTCCACACGGGTTGAAAGCCAACGATTCTCGTACCACAGGTATAGAAAAGCGCGGTTTGCTTGATCAACCACTCGCATACACTTGCGCATAACCCGCTCTGCATCGCCATACGCACGGACTGTCACTGTTCCAGCTAGCGTTTCGCCTAAAAGCGTAAATAGTGGAGATCGTTGAATACTTTCGATGCGTTTCAAGTCGCGCGAAGACGCCAGGTACAAGACGCCAATCACATAGTATGCCACCATAACAAACCCTGCCATGTATAAGAATTTGGGTGTAGCCCAGCAGATAATGCTGATGATGGCAATAAGGGTTACGCTAGATTCAAGCATCATGCGCAATGACGTTGTCATCTCCTGGTCCACAGTCTCGACATCCTTGGATAGGCGGTTCATAATTCGACCAATGGGTGTGATATCGAAGAAACGAGGGCGGGCATTAAGCAGGCTGCCTAGCATTCTGGCGTACAGTAGCTGCGACGTATGAAGAGCGATGAAATACTGAACCAAATCACGCAGCGTGGAAAATAACACAAAGAGACATACCAGAAGCACATAGTTGCTGAGGTAGTACAGCGTAAGATCACCGTCGGGAGTTGGCTGACGAACAGCACGCCAAGCTTGGAGCATGGCTTGCATGGACTCATCCACTTGGTCGTAAGAACTAGCCCATTGCTTGAGCCACGAGTTGCTCGACACGTCAGCCGCGCGCACACTCGAGTATAGGGTTAGCAACGTTAGCCAAAGGCCCACAGCAACAGACCCGCGTTTTGATACGGAGCGAATATAGATCCAATACAGCGACAAGCCTTTGATGCGGCGCTGAATCGATTCGGCATTTGCCCCAATATCCTTCATCGAGCGTCGAGCCTCGGCATTTTTTTTTCTCTCTTCAAGCGCTTCGGGTGTATCGTTGGAGGAACCCTGGTTATCCACGGGATAAGCGAGGACCTCTGGCATATGCTTCATCACATCATCATCTGTGGGAGCACCCTGGGCGACAACACGGCCCTTGTTTAGTACGACAACGTATGCTGCCGTAGGCATTAAAAGAGCCGTAGCATGCGTGACTAGGACGATGGTTCGACCGCGGGATAGAGGGCCTTGAAAACAATGCTGGTGCAAGTGCTTGGCGGTGTGTGCATCGACGGCACTCAGTGCGTCGTCAATAAGAATGTGCTTGGCATGCGAGTAGAAGGCCCTTGCGAGGGCAATGCGGGCCTTTTGACCACCTGATAGTGATGTACCTTTTTCGCCGACTTCTGTTTCGTCGTGGAACTCGAGAATGTCAAGGTCAGGCTCGAGAGCACAGGCTCGAAGCACTTCGTGGTAGCGCTCGTCATCATACTCGGTACCAAACAGAATATTTTCGCGCACAGATGTTCCTAGCAGCCACGGACTTTGCGAGCAATAAGCGACCGATTCTGTGAGCTGCATATTTGAGTCAATTCGTAGCTGAGAGCGGGTGAGTGAGCTCGGAAGTTGCACATGTCCAGAACATTGATTAAGCTCACCAAGCATGGCCAGCAGTAACGATGATTTCCCTGCACCAACTGGTCCAATCACGATACTTAATTTTCCAACGGGGAAGCGGCAGTCCAAATCCATAAGTACTGGTGCAATGGGATCGCGGTGGAAGTAGGAAAATGTGGCCTTGTCGAAGCCAATCTCCGTTAATGGCTCGTTTGGGCTGTTGTCCAATTGGTTGTACTTGTCCGTCTCTTCCATGTCAAGGAAGGTACGAATGCGGCGGAGAGATACAGCTGTACCCAGGAGCTGTACAATCAGTTCCGGTAAATCCGAGAGCGGCATTCGAAGGGTCGTGAGAATGGAAAGCGACGTGAATGCCGTTTGGGCTGTAAGCTGGTGCCCAAACACATAAGTGTAGCTTCCAAAGGCCACGAGAGTGACGAACATGGGTACACCGACAAAAATAAAGTTGTAAATGACATTGATCATGTTATTCCATGCCAGTGATCGCAGTTCACGAGCGCGTGTCTGCTGCATACGATCAAGGAACGGCTGCTCCCAAGCAAAAAACTTGACTGTCTTGATACACATGAGGACTTCATTAGCAAGGTTCAAGCGTGCGTCCGTGGCATGCAAAATGTGATCTTGAATCTTGACGAGCTTCTTTGACAAATGTGTTTGCAGCGGTGCTGTAATGGCCAGGACGGATAGGCCCACCAATGCTGATAGGCCCAGGAGTCGGAAGAGGTAGATACTGCAGAACAATATCGTTAGGGGGTAGTCCACTAATGGCTGATGGAGCAAAGCAAGTGCCGTCTCGATGCGGGCCGTGTCGACGGATAAGAGGGACGCGATGTGCCCGTCGGTTATCCCGTCGGAGCGGTTGTCAGACGCAGCCGCATAATGTGTGCGGCGGCGCAGGATTTTAGAAAAGAGCTCTGTCGAGAGATAAGCGCGCATCTGGATAGCTGCTGAGCGCCCTGATTGAAAGACATTGATTTCCAGCAGGAATTCCGTCATTTGCAGCACAAACATCAAAATGGCCCAGAGAATACCCATATGCATGGGCGGGAGAGGCTCTCCAAGCGCTTTTGCACGATCGCGCTGGGCCATGAAGCCAATGAGCTGGTTCAGGCAAGCGATGGGGGCCACTCGCAAGCACGAACGGCAGAAGGACAGTCCCAATTGCACGCGGATATAGCGCCTAATGGCAATCCAAAGCCGATACTGCAGCGAAGAGGTGCGGGCATGGCTATCCGTGCGTGTGTGTACCACAATGCTGGAAGACCGGAATTCAAGTGGCAACTGCGGTATGACAGCGAGTGTTGTAGGCTGGAAGTACTGTCGCCACACAAACGGTGTCATGAACTCGTACGTGATTCGACCTAGAATAGAAGCGTATGCGTTAGGTGCAGGTAATACCGGCTCTTTGGAGGAGTTCATAGAGGTGCTATGCTCGTCGCTCATTGCTCGGAGCTGCTCGTACGAAGAGGGCCATCGCGTCACGTACTTCCGCAGCAGGAGAGAGAGGAGCAGCACGCACCCCAAAAGAAGCTGCAAAGCCGTAACCGCCAGAACAGATGAGTCTCTGTAGCTCGTGCAAATCATAGCTGTGCGAGTGTTCGATATGGAAGCCAGCGTGTAAGGCAGCGTCCACGCAAGTAGGAGCATCGGTCGTGGCGTCTGCGTGTGCCAAGAGCACACACACACAAATAGCAGTGCCATCGCGTAAAGTCCCCATGTCCACTCCCACTCGACTGAAGCGGTCCTCGGTCGTGGCTGGACAAGCAGCGTACCAGCTGCATGAGAGAAGGCGATCAGAGCGACCAAAACAACATCCAGCAACAAAAAGCGAGTGGGAGGAGGCTTCGTACATACAAAATCCTTTGCATCGTCAATGGCCATGGAAAACTCTTGCAGCACTGCTCGGTTTTCCATGCGCACAACCTTTTGCTGCGGTGTGAGCGAAGAGTGTGTGGCAAAAACGTTTGCGCGTGCCTCATGCTTTCTCAATCGCTGGCATACCACTAGGATGAGGCTGGGTATGACGAAAGAGACAAATGGAAGAGCGCCATTCACAACACTGACCCGAAAGCGCGGGCGCCAGTCGATCCCATCTGCGGGCAATGCCCCGCATGATGGCGACATGGTCGGTGGAGGCAGCAGTAGTGCACGTGAATGCAGTAGGGTGCCGGCCAAGGTCCTGGCATGTGGCTATGGGCTACAAGGCCTTAGCGGCTGGGCGGTCAGGCAACAGGGCCTTCTTCATGTGCTCCAAGATAGTGTGAATCTCTGGCGGTGCCTGAGGGAGCGGCACAGTGTGGAGTCGGAGCATCTGGGCAAACGTATACAAGAGTCCCCATGGGTGTGGGCGGTGCACAATCACGCGCTCCAGCAGGACACGCAAGATCTGCTCTCGAACCATGGTGTCATCCTCCGCATACAGCGCGACCAGCACGGCGCTCAGATACGCCGTGTGCTGCGACGGAAAGCGCAGCTGGTTGGCCGCAGCGGACAGCAGTAGGTATCGGCCCTCTGGCTCCAACTCGCGCAGCAGGACATGGAACAGATCCAGCAGAGCATCATCAGCCGCAACCGTGCCAGTGTGTACCGTGTTCTGCAATTTCAAAGCCGCTTCAGCCACATATAACACCATCGCATTCAACACACACTCACGGTAGTGCGTCTCGGCGGTACCGGGGACCCGACAGGCCTCAGCCAGCTTGGCACCCGTCGAGGCGGCCGCACGATGGTGCAGCAGGTCGTCGAGAAGCACCAGCGCACCCGGGATGCTGCTTAGCTGCGTGCGGGTGTCGTACTGCATGCTAGGCACGAGCGCCGACTCGGGCATCGAAGCCAGGCGAACACTCGGCGCGAAGGGATCAGGCAAGCGCAGCTTGGCCGGGTATGCGCACAAAACGAGATTGCGCATCTGGATGCAGTTGGGCGGAATCCCATCACACAGTGACTGATGGTGCTCCACAAGATATTCGGGGAAGTCGTGCAGCAGCAGCAGCAGCACACGGAGCGTCGATGTGTACAACAAACGCGTCGTATCGTGCAAGGTAGCTTGGCGCAGGAACGGCGCCAGGAACCGCAGTTGCGCCAACATCAGGCGGTGGAAAGCCGCCACGCCGCTAGGCCCCATCTGCAGGAGCTGAGGCAGCAGCAGACGATGTGACACCAGCGACACCCACGCAAACGCAAAGCCAGGGAAGAACAGTGGCTGCAACGTGTTTAGCGCATTGGCCAGCGCAAGTAGGGCACCCTGATAAGCGCCACGCAGCGAACCCTCTGCCGCGTGTAGGTCGTGAAGCACACTCGAGAACAGGCGGAAGAAGGGTCGCTGCTGGAAGCGTGCGCCAAGCTCTTCATGCGAGTGCGCCAGTACCAAGACAAGGATGGAGAGGATCTTTGTCAGGTAGTGCACCTTAGCATGCTCGTCGTCAGTTCCATTCGGGTCGGCATGGTACTTGACCAGGTACACGATTAGCTGCGCAAAGGTGTCAATCGGCGAGAACAAGCCGGTGGCACGAGTACCGCCCACGGCCTGCTGCTTCATGTAGTGCCCGACGCTTACTTCTGTGCACATGCGGAAGAACAGCGATGCCAGCTCTTCGCCCTTGAGCACGTTCTGGCTCTGCAGTTGCGTCACATACTCGATAAAGGCCTTCTCAGGATGGGGTGCCTGCTGAAACACACGCACCCAGCTGGCAAAGCTGTAGGCAAGCTGCTCGCGCAGCGCAAGTGCCGCATCACCCGGCGCCAATTGATCGAGCTCGTCGAGCAACTGTTGCGCTGCCGGCGTCGCACGTCCAAACTGCGCTGCCCTGTGTAGTGCATTAAGCAGTGTTGCGAACTGCGCACGCGTCGCGAGGCCCTCTTGGAGACATTCACGCACCAACTGAGCGCTAAAGTCCACCACCGAGGCGCGGAACTGCGAGCGAATCAACAGCTTTGCCAACTGCTGGTCCTGTTCGGCAATACCGATCAAGTTCGCACGCACGAGAGCCAGCGTAACAGGCACATGGAACTTGCGCTCGTCTTCCGCATATACGAGCCATGCAGTGACCTCTTTGGCCACTCTAGGCGACTGCTCGCACAAATGCTCCAGCACCGCAACCCATACCTCGCGGGCCAAATGCGTTTGTGCCTTGTATAGCAGCTGCACTGTCTTTTGGGCAATAAGAAGCACCGTTTCGTCCCGCTGGACGGAATGAAGCACGAGCTCCGTAAGGTGTGGTGAGATCTGGCGCACAAAGTGGTTGCTGGGTAGCGTAGCAAGCGATTGTGTCTCGCCGACCTCCGAAAAGAAGCGCTCAAGCTCGGCAGCCATCAAGAGGAATCGCTCCAACGCGCGCGCGGGCACAAGTGAGACTCCGCCCATGGGGGCCGTTGCCGGCCCGTCGTCGTACTCGAGCTCCTCCTCGGTGCGAGGCGCCATGGGCGTCATGGCCAAATTGTCGTACACCCGCAACTGCGAAGGCTGCAAACCAGGCGGCGCGATACGCAACATATCCGGGAGCGTCGTGCTGTAGTGTGAGAGGGCAGTGCCATCCCAGAACATGGCACCGCGGCCATGTGCCTTGTACTCACGCCGTGTCGCATAGGCGGTCGCAAGACCCTCGTCCACCTTGGCCAAGGCCTTTTCCATGGCCGTCTTCTCGATAACAACGCACGCAAGGTCCAGGTTGTCTTGTACCAGCAACAGCAATGCCTGCTCCGGGAGCGCCTGCTCCGTAACACCACCTGCCGCAAAGAGTGAGCGGGCATGCGCAAGAATACTGAGGCGAAGAGGCTCTTTGCATGTCACAAGTGCAAGGCTGCCTGCCATGTTCTGTGCCATCTGGTGGGCAGCCGTTCGCATCTTTTGCTCGTCAGGCTCCATGGCAAAGTCCTTGCTCACGAGCTCTCGTGTGGAAATGGAGGCAATCGTCACACTGCGCTCCACGACGGGGGTGATGATTTCTTGGATCGCACGCTCAAGCGCCACGTACATCACGCGCTTCCAGGCCGCACTGTTGGCGTACGGGACGATCTGGGGACTGATCACAATGTACTGTGCCATATTCTGCAACATTGTCACAAACATGTCTTGGTACGTCATGGAGTCCTGCACCGCCAATTGATCCATGCCTACCACAACGTGCGCGTATTCGGCACTGGGCTGCGCAGGCAGTGGGTCAGGCCGGCGGCCTGGCAGCAGAGCACTAGGCTCGAGCTGCGACAGGTCCACATGCAAGCTCTTGCACAAGACCTCGATCTCGAACTTGAGGTTCAACTTCAAGTCCGCAAATTGGTACAGCTCTCCTAACAGTCGCAGCACGCCCATCAGCCACGGGTTCGGGGGATGGAAGACGGTGCTGCGACTGCAATGCTCCAGCACTTTGCACACGAAAGGAATCGCCACAATCAGGCGGCCTACTTCGTGCCCCTGCAGTAGCAGCTCCTTCAGCGCCATGTAACGGTGCTTGATAGGGCGGTCCTGCGCCAGCGTCGTGAGACCGAGCCACGATGCTAAATTTTTCAGGACCGTGCGGTCCTGAGAGGACTGCGTCGTCTTCTCTGCCTCGAGCAGTCCCTTAAGTTTCGCCATCGTCTCGTGCAGTACAAATACAAAGGCACGGGGTAGTTCGAGGCGCTCCAAGAATTGCAAATACAATTCATGGTTGTTCGGCTCTGTACTCACACGCTCCGCCACAAGGTAGCGCGCCAGCCAGTGCAGCAAATCCTCACGGATCATGCTGCGCGCCAAGGGGAGCTTCTCTTCCAAGTTCACCGGCGACAAGTTGTTGATCAGGAAGAGGATCTGGTCCGAAAGTGCCTCGTCGGGGAGGATTTGACCCTCTGCTGCCACCTTACCGACGCGCACAGAGGTAAAGACTTCATCGTTCGCAGGCAGTGGCTGTCCACTTTTAGCCGCCGCTAAGGCCTGGTTGACAGCCGCAACCAATTCTGGATGTGTCTGCTGCAGCGTCGGCAGGGAGAGCAGCAGCTGACAAAGCTGCGGCCACTCAGCCAGGCGCTTCTGGAAGCGCATGAGAGCTTGCACACCAAAGTGAAACATGGTTGAATCAGGCGCCGAGCGCAGGGCATCGACAACATAGCGGATCGCGATACCCAATGGAATCGAGTCGATGAGCTGGTACTGGATGAGCGAGCCAAATACAACTGCAGTCATAAGCAGCTCGCGTGGCGGGTAGTAGAGCTCAAACCACCGGTGCTCGTCGAACAGCGTGTGCACCATGCAAGCGAACAGCTGGTGTTCGTGGTCGTCGTCCGAGTGTTTGCAGCGACGCAATAGCGAGATGATATCGTCCACACTGACCTTCTCCTCGTACATCTGACGGTACCATGAGTCAGCCTCGCGATGGACATCTTTAGAGAAAGATGCGACAGACAAGCCAGGCTCGACACCGACCGAACCCGGCGTCAGAGACATGAGGCGGGGGTGCAGTTGCAGACACAGGTTGCGCACAATCTTGAAGTGCTCAATTTCCTCGGAACTCATAGCATCGCCAAAGCCTCTCAGCACGCGCAGAAACGTTGCCACCTGCTGCACATTTAGAGGCACGAACGCAGGCTCTGCCTGGGGATCGCGCCGCATTAAGTCTTCTTTGGTCTTGTGCTCGAGAAAATCTAGCACTGTCGCGATCATGTGCGCCTCGGGGGGCGCATCGGCGATCCGCTGCTGGAGCCATGGCTCCAGCTGCAGCAGATCCCGTCGCGCTGCGAGCGCAGCCACATCAAGCGCAAAGGCCAGCGGGCGCTGCTCAAGCAGCTTGTTGACAATCTGAAGCTCTTGTGCCACTTCCACGATACGGGCAAGCTGCAGCGGTGCCTCTGCATAGATCCGCTGGAAGGTGCTGAGCAGAAGCTCCGGTTGTGTTTGCCATAGGCGCCAAAATACCAACTGCTGTGACGGGTGACCAGCCAGGAACATGGCAAGGAGCTTCGTCACCAGTTCCGGGTGCACAGCATTGGTGGATGACGGCAGTGCGGCGAGTCCCAGTAGCACACATTCAGCGTGCGTCTGGATCGCACGCTCCAGGATCGCCGTTACAGCGCGACCCACCTCGTTGCTGTCCTCTGCGCCAGGTGCGCTACCCGCCAGTTCCATCAGTGTCTCGATTAGCTCGATCGAGTTCCAAGGCGAGGCGCATGCAGCCTGCGCTTGTGCCTGGATCGAGCTTGGCGCCTCAGCCACGTCTGCCATAGTCAAGATACGGCGCACCGGTACTGGCGCGACACTGTACGCATCTTCATTCAGCAGCAGAAGCGCGTAGAGCAATTGTAACTGTCGCAGACGGTGAGACCAGACGCCCCACAGGCCCGACAAGGCCTGGACCGGCTGCGAGGCACCCCGGATAAGGGCGCCTAGGGCCACACCCAGTCCCTTGCTGGGGGGGACAGCCAGAGTGGTGGGCACGTCTAGGCTCTGAATGACTGCCTTCCAGTCCAGGGACGGCACCATTTGGTTCAACACGTCGGCGACCACCTGCATGTTGGTGCTTGGCTGCGGTGAGGGTGTCGACTCTTGCAGCAACACACACACAAGTTGTGCGACGTCAGTGATTGTAGGGTTGCTAGACCATCCACAGTGCACAAGCACAGCTCGTGCAAGTTTGGGTGTAAGAGGCACGCTGCCCCAGTCCATCAACACCTCAGCAGCGCCGCGGCGGCCGGCCAGCTTGGGAATTTGTTGCTCCAAGGCGGTGGACACGGCATCGCCATAGCGCTCATACAGTGCTGCAACCAGTGCTTGACGCTGCATGCTGTCTAGTGGTGGGTGTGTAATTTTGTTGTCATCAGCCAGGAGCGACACAAGAAGCGGCGCAATGTGACCTGGCGTCAAAGTTGCGGGCGCCTGAGCAATGTGGTCAAGGACTGCGTCGAACAGACCCAAACCACTAGCTTCCGGCGGCAACGCGATCGGCGTATCTTGCAGTCCGTGCAACATCGACGAAGATTGAGTGGCCCAGGTAGAATGAGTCAGGGCACGCTCGTACAAAGCGCGCTGGGTGGGGTCCCTAGTTTGGGCAGCGGCAGTGCGCAGCGCGCTTGCAATCTGCACAGGAAATGCTCCGGCTTTGCTGCAGAGCGTATCAAGCTCCGCAATGGAGTCTGTGAAATTGTCCGGCGCAAGTTGCCACGCGAGAAAATGGACCTGACGCTTTACCGCAGAAAGTTGATCGGCGTCCGGCGCTGTCGGTCCGGTGTCGCACCTATTCGGGCGAAATCGCGCCTGAAGGCGTAGAGAGTAAGCGATGGTGAGAAGCGTCCCACTATCGGCTGGGAATACGCCAGCTCACCTGTTGTTGCTACAAGGAAGCCTGCGCAAACGCAGCCTGGCACGACGGGCGTCGGGGGGACGACAGGCGACGTGTCTCGGCCGATAGGTCGGCGGACCCCGCTATGTGGAGGCATCGCAGCCCGCCGAGACCGCCGATGCGGCCGTAGCGACACTGGCGGTGGCAGCAGGCCGTGCGTTAGCACGAATGCCCATAATCCAAGCGCTTAGCGTGGCGATGGCAAGCATATACACTTGCAATAAATTGGCCATCACAAAATGGGTGATAGACTGGCCAATCTCCAGCCAGCTGCCCTCGTCGCGGATAGCAAAGAAGAAGTTAAGCGCCAGCACATCTCCAGCAAGGCCCGCGATAATGAGCGGGATGTAGATATCGCGGAGTCCAAGCCCGCTGGCCACAATAGGGATACGAGTAGACACTGGTGCCATAGCGCGTGGTTCAACGGGCTGCATGCAGACGGCGGCCAGGACACAGCTCAGTAGTACGAATGGCACAATGAGCTTCAGCAGCAGCAAAGAAGCCATAAGGAAGGGCTGGAACACAGGCACGAGGCGGTATACAGGCGACAGGTAGAAACTCGATATGGATGCGACATTGCCTGTGCCGAAAAAGCCCACATGAAGGAGCAAGAAGTATACCAAACCCAAGCGCACATCGTCAAGGATGAGTCCACGAGGTGGTGGCACGGGTGGCGTTAGCATATGCTTGCTTTGTCGCTCACGGGAGTGAATTGATCGCTCACGCGCCAGCTCTGCTTCGCAATGACCCCATGTTAAGGCCATGAGCGCATAGCATAAGTAAAAGAGCACTTCGTCGCCCAAAGAGAGAATTACGAAGACTGGCGCAAAGGCGTACACAAATAGGATGAGACGCTCTCGAGCAGGCTGTGCAACTTTGTTGCGTGGGCGCTGGAAGCCAAGCAGAAATGGAACTGTCGTTGAGCAAACTAATACACCCCATCCAACAATTTGGTTGAGGCGAGGCAGGCCCTGCTTGGCTGCCAATGAGTTCGCCGACGAGACTGTTACCACAATGGACACGCCCAGAAATAAGAGCTGGATCAGAAGTGCTGCACGTGTTCGCGGCCAGAAGAGGTCGACATCCTCTTCCTTATCGTTCGGCAGGGCTGACATGCGCTCAAGCTCGGCCAGCGTAGGCGCGTGCATCATAGCATATGTCCGCTTGTCGCGACCCAAATAGTCCGGTGGCAAAAAGAAAGTCTCAGGCATGGCGTAAAGCATCAGTCCCACGAGCCAGAGAAGCAGTCCACCAATCCACAAGATGGTTAGGTTTTCGTTCTTTTCGGTCGGCAGCGACATGAACCATGCTGCTCCAACACAAGTCAAAATCCATACAAGAAGTGCAATTTGGTGTGAGTCTTTAAATGACATGGGCGATGCAAGCATTGGGAAGAATGCCATGAATAAGACAATGGCTGCCCAAGTTAAGCGCCGCAAGTAGCCGTAGACTGCCACTTCCAGGACCAGTAGCGCAAGTGTCAGGTACGCTACTGTCCAGATGCGGTCGCTCAACGAAAACTGTTGTGACAGGAAGCGCACAAGGACGGAACTGCGCAGGGACAAAAGTATCCAAACGGCACCAGTCGCCCCGCTGTAGACAAAATACATACCGGGGGAATGATCCAGTGCAAACTTGCCCCATACCATGGCCAGCAGGCCTACTGTCAGTGCCATCAACGCTAGTGTGGGACTCTGCGCCACTGCTTGGTTTGGCGCATCGTCCTGGAGATGAAGAAGCTGTACGACACCAAGAAGAAAGAGGCCCACATAGCCAAGCACGATAATAACCCGTAGGATGGGCGCATCGTACTGGTGCAGATACTTGGCCCCATAGAGGGCGTCGTTGGCCAGCGCTTCACTGTCCTCAATAGCCTCATCGAATTGTCCGTTTAGAATCAACGCCTGGATATCCCGCAATTGTGCAGCTCCTGGGATGCCGCTCGCATCTCTTAAAGCCGGATAGGGCTCAAAGAAGAGCATGCGCTCCGCTCGGTCGGTATGCTTGACCCGGTACACCTCTAGAACTTGCTGGGCCGTTGCTAAAGCCGCGCGGGCCTTGTACGCCTCGGGGGCCGCCAATAGGTCCAAAGGCAGGCGACCCTCAGCATTCGCAGGCACAGAAATTCCAAGCCATGACGCCATGAGGGGCGTCAAGTCGGCCTGCTCGACATCTGTGCGCGCAAAGTGGTCCAGACCCCAGTGCTGGTCATACGGCGAGGCAACAAAGCGCCTACGCGACAGAATTTGTGCGTGTGGTACACCAGCACCCCAAGCCACAAGAGGAGTACGAGTGTTGTCTGGATCACCGTCGCCATGGTTCCCTTTGCGGCTCATACCATGGTCAGCGGTGAGCACAAATGTAGTGCGATCATCTTGGAAATACTCTCGGAACAGTGCATGTACCTGCTCCACAATGGCATCCACCACAATCGTGTTGCCAATGTACTCGGGCGACATAGGCCGGTACGTATGTCCGGTGGTATCTAGGCCAAGCAGATGCAAAAAGAAGACATTACCTGACTGGCGAAGCTGTGCACCCACTTGCGAATCATGCCGCCCTCGTGAAAGAAGCGCCTTCATACGATTCAGTACCCACACATCCAGCTCGATGGCATCTTTCGTGAAATCCTCGGCGTCTTCCTCGTACACCTCCCATTCCACCTTGTCTGGAGACGTGCCCAGTACAAACATCGGCACAATATCAGGCGACCCGTACGCGTATGCGCGCGTAGATTGGTTCAGCAGAGAGTCGAACGCGAGGGGGTTCACCTTCCAGCCTTTAGTCACAGCGCTAATGTCTTCGTACATGCCAGCAATCAGCGCCACATGTCCAGGGCGACTCTCAGTGGGAACGCGAGTGTGACTAACACCAAATATACCAGGTCCTTTAGCAATACTGCGCAAAAACGGCGCCGCATAGGCGTAACCGGGCTGGTCCTCAGGAGGCTCCGTCGGCGTCGCTGTCGTGCGCGTAAAGGCAGCGGGGTATCTGCCGGCGTATTCACTGGAATTCCCATGAACAGACATTTTTGCCCATTCAGGAAGTGCTTGGGTGCTGTGTCGCTGGAAAAGCGTGTCGGCACGGAGGCCATCGGCTACAATAAGCACGAGCCGGTCCGAGGGAGGCGGCTCCGTCCAGGGTGCAGCCTGCAGCGCGTGTGTCGCGTTGAACCGAGGTCCCGGGTGAACAACTGGCGAGCGAAAGTACACATCAAAGATGGACCATGTAAAAATTAGATGAAACACCAGTGATACAAGGAAGAACTCGAACCGTCGCACGGTCGACCACAAGCTGGCCATGGCGTTGTAGTGGAGGCGCGCCAGTGCTACACGTGGTCGAATTTCAAGAGCGATTCTATGGACCCGCACGTGGTGCCGACTCCTGAGCCCAGACCTGGTCGAGGTGCTCCGCTTCTTCGTTTGCCAAGCGGTGGTTCTTCTCCATTTCCAGACGGGCCTGCTGGTGCTCTTGCGTCTCTGTCCGAAGACGGTTGATCATGCGAATGCCATTGACGGCCTTGCGGAACGTGGCCTTGGCGTTGAAGGCCTTCTTGATCTCTGGCAGCAGATCCTTCTGGCCCGAATCATGAATACTCGGTACCCTAGCGAGCCACGGGTGTTTCAGGGCCTCTTGTGCTGTCATGCGAGCAGATGGATCTACCGTCAGCAGGCGGCGGATAAAGTCGCGTGCCTCTTCCGATACACCCTGCCAGTATATTGCGGGTTCGAACTTGTAGTCGCCTGCAATAATGCGCTGGATCTCATCCACGTTAGATTCTGTATCGAAAGGCGTGTACCCGCATAGCAAAAAGTATGTGATGACGCCCATGGCCCCTGCGGTTAGGAGCAGATAATACATACACATATCCACGGGTTTGCCATGCCCGGTCTTCTTGAACACTTCGGGGGCCATATAGCCTGGTGTACCGCATGTCGTGCTTAATGCTGTGAGCTTTTCTTCGTTGATCATTCTGGAAAGCCCAAAGTCAGCAATCAGTAAGTCCGAGTGCTCAGACCGATCACGGAACAGCAGGTTCTCTGGTTTCAGATCTGAAGTCAGCGCACGGACACGCACCTCGGTGAACTACGCCAATACTGTGCAAGAACTCCACCGTTTCCATGACAGTGCGCACGATCTGAGCAGCATCATTCTCGTAATAGTTGCCGCGTTCGCAGATACGGTCGAACAGCTCTCCACCTTGGCACAAGTCTGTCACAAGGTACAGGTTATTCATAGTCTCAAAGTAGTCCACGAGCGAGACGACACCCGGGTGCTCCTGTGACACACGCTTCATTGATGTGATCTCATTTCGCACCATATGCTCACGGCCGCGCATCAGCTGCTTGCTGATTACCTTGCACGCATAGTACTTGCCGCTTTCGATGTGGACAGCCTCTTTCACCACCTGAAATTAGTGTCAAAGCAAACGTACCGCATAGGTACCGTGTCCGAGTGTTCTCCCTGTCTTGTAAGCACATGGAACAGTCGCTGGACGCTTCTGCTGCTGCTGCTGTTGTCCAGAACTACTCATGGTATCGCACCTAAACGCGGTACCTAGCCACGGCGACAGGGCCCCAGCACTTCACGTGATTCTACGTGGCGTCGCGCTGGTAATGCTGCTCGCGCCGCCCCCACACGATGGACTTCTTCGGGCAGCGCGCCCGCGGCAAGTCGGGCAGCGCTGCTCGCGCCAATTCTCATGGGTCGTCAAAAGTAGTAACAACGACTACGGTGCGCACCAAAACGATACCAAACAAACCGACGAGAGGGCCCGTGCCCGCAAGGCACAATGCCTTGCCAGAGGCCCTGCAAAAGCGCATTGCAAGCGACAGGCAGGCGGCAGAGGCGGCCCAAAATGAGAAAGCCACTAAGGTGACGAAAAAATCACGTATAAGCTCACCGCACGTTCCGTCTATGCGCAATCGTTCTGCTCCCGCCGCAGTCACCCACGTCGAGGAGGAGGACGGGGACGATGCAGACGACGCAGCACTGGACCGCCTTGCACGCAGTGGCTCTAGTTTGCAAGTGACTATGGATGAATATTGCGTTCCTCGAGACATTATACCAGATGCCTCCTACGATCCCCTATCGGCAGACTTACGGGCCAAAGCATGGCCATGTGTCTCGAGCCGCTGGCTCGTGGAGTCGGCCTCCATACCTTACCTCCCTTTCTTTGAAGGACTGGATGACCATCCAATTGTGACACTAGAATACCCGGCACCAGATGCCAAGGAAGAGTTTGTTCTTCTAGTTCCCAAGATGGCAGATGAATACGACCCTATATCAGACCTGCTTCACGCTGTGCGTGCCATGGTCTCGAATTATGTCTCTGAAGAGCAACGTGAACTATTTGGCTCTGTGGATAGCTTGGAAACGGGCAGCAATGCTGGTGCTCCCCTAAACAGAGCCCATCGTCCGCCTACTCGCGTGGACACGAGTGGATTGTCAAGCAACCATGCACAGAAAGACGGCTCAGCATCGCCGGCACCGCCTGAAGAATCGATCCTGCGATCTTTCACTAAAGCCCGTAATCGCCGGAATGGTCCTCTCTTTGTCCAGACTGTAGAGCGGTTCAATGCTGAATTCCGTGCGTTGAAAAAAGCCGGTGCCGTTGCCTCTCACTTGCGTCAAGTCGGTCGAAACCATGGCGTACCCGAAGATCTGTGGCGTACCGTCCAAGAACAGGTGTACGCGCGCGTGGCTGCACCTCATGTGGATTCCTTGAAGCACTACGAAGCATTTTCTGACTCGGTGTACGGTGAAATGCTCCCTCCCTTTCTGAACGAGGTCGAGCGGATTGCCAACCTGGGCACTGATTCGGTGTTCGTTGATTTGGGCAGTGGAATTGGAAACTGCCTACTCCAAGCATCGTTGCAAACAGGGTGCGAAGCGTACGGGTGCGAGTACATGCCAGCGCCCAGCAAAATTGCATCGAAGCAACTCGTAGAGGCCTCGCACCGCTGGCGAATGTGGCATCTCCGAGCAGGTCCTCGTGTCGAGGCGTGGGACGAGGACTTTACCGAATCTACCCGTGTGCGCGACGCGCTACGACGAGCGGATGTGATTCTTGTAAACAAGTATGTACTTGCGTCTAACCACAGTTATGCGTTCCGGCCACAGACTAATGACGTCTTGTCCCTTCTTTTTTTGGATTTGAAGGAAGGCGCCAAAATTTTCTCTCTGCGGCCGTTTGTGGCCCCAGACTTCCGACTTACGGAAAGGACACTTTCCAGCCCCCAGGCTATTTTGCGCGTAGAACAGCGCAAATATACTAGTGGCTGTGTGAGTTGGACAGCAGGGGGCGGTGTGTACTATGTGCAAACGGTCGATCGCAGCAAGGTCCAAGCCTTTGTACAAGAGCGTGAACTTCATAGCGACGCAGGGACTGCGAAGTAAGCGTAGCGTACGTACACCATCCGTGCCCATTCTGATCCGACATGGACTGAACACGATAGCGCCCATGCGTTTGGAATTTTGGCATCTCGACTATCGCCACCTGCTCCCTGCGTAACCGTTCCGCTTGCGTTTGGGCACCTGCTCCACCATCGCCTCGCTCAGAGATCACTCCACCGGCGCCTACGACGCGGTGCCACGGCACGCTATCGTCCTGTAGAAACTTGAGCGCGGTGCCCACCATGCGTGCATCTGCGTCAGCGGGATATACCTACAGGTTGGATAACCCAAAAGCTACGTCAATTGGGCCGACATACCTTGGCAATATGACCTGCATGAGCTTGGCAGACGTACCATAAGTTGTGACACGTCCTTCTGGAATCATCCGCACGCAGTCATACACCGAAGCTTTATAAGGATTGTGGACCTACCATGGAACCACTCGGCGAACAAGGCCTGCTCGGACATGAAGTGGAGTGGCTATCGAGTGCTATTCCCAGTCGGAATCGAAATCTATTGGGACCCGGGCAGACGCAGTGGGGGCAGGTAACTGCTTTGGGCCGGATGTAGATGCAGGCACTGTACCAGTAGAAAGCAGGTCTGAATGCGCGTTGTCCGTCACGGCCAATGTATCATCATCGCTATTATCATCATCCCATACAAAGTCGTCATCATCGTCCCCACCAACAACATGTAGCGACTCGGTCCCTGTCGTTTCTGCAGGCAAGATAGGCGCACCTGTACTCGATGGTTCGATCACGTCTTTCTTTGTTGATGATTTCTGCATAATGTCGTGCACGAGGGCTTGGAAATCCTTGCTAACAGTTTGTAACTTACTCTCACCCGAGTGTATATACTTGCGGGCCAACGAGTCGGCATCCTTGAGTGTGGAATGAAGTCCTGTATTCGAGTCTGTTCCATGCTGCGCTAGCGAAGTTAGTTGCGATTGGATTCGCTCCACCTGGGAGTGAGCGGCGAGCTGGCGGAACGAGTTCCATGCATGCGACTCTAGCAATTGCCAGATGCTGCCTCTCTCCGGCGATACTGACACGGGTGTTTCCTTCAGAGACATAGATGATGCTTGCGCCTCTTCTTCTTTCTCGGATGAAAGTTCAAAAGGGCTACCATCACTCAATGGCTCAGCTGTAGATCGCGAAAGCTCCCGCGCGCGGTCACTATGTGACTGCAACTGCGCGTCCCACTTGGTAATCTCTGAGCGCGCCGCATTAACAACACCGCCACTTTGGTCAATATGATCCTTGGCCATTTGAAGTGCGCTCATCGACTAAGTAAGCTCGACCAATACGCACCTGCGACTGAACGCCACTCCACCAGTTGGAGAGACCACCCACGAGGTCAGTCACTTTATCTTCCACTTTCCGCGCGAATGCATCGACCTCCGTCTCCGTAAATTGAATCTGACGCTCATCATCATTTACCGCAATTATAGCGGCCGCTGCGCTGATAGGCTCGTCGGCCATGGTCGGTGGCCAACAAACAGTTGCGATCCGTGCGTGCTCGAAAGGGCAACGGCGCGTACCTGAGTACACGCCTCCATTTCAACGTGCCTGGCCGCGGAGTGCGCAGGACGCCTTGCCTTGATAGACACCTGACATGCTCGCGTGCAGTCGGGCGTGGGCAATGCAGCTCAGGCAGCTGCGCTTTGCTCCTCAAATCGCATTGGTTTCCCCGTGGCCCACTGGCCACACTATGTCTTTTATTGTGCGTGGCATTCACACAACAGATCATCGCACGAATGAAGGTGTTACGACCGTCCACGGCCAAGACTATGTACGAGACAACTTCACCAATATCCCTGGCTCTATTATGAGCCGGGTGTCCCCTTCTCCGCAGCTCCCTTACCAGGATTATCACCCTCTAAAGATCCTCCGGGAAGAAATTGAAAGCATTTTGGGTTCAAACTACACGCCTATTCGGGCGCCATCGCCAGTGGTCTCGACCGAACTGAATTTTGACGAGCTAGGGTTTCCTAAAGACCACCCTGGCCGCCGACCTTCTGATACCTATTACCTTAATCAGACGACATGCCTGAGAACACACACATCTGCACACGAAATCGAGACATTCCGCCAGGGTCACTTGCGCTGGCTGCTCACAGCGGACGTATTTCGCCGGGATGAGATTGACTCCTCGCATTACCCTGTTTTCCATCAGATGGAGGGCGCGAGCGTGTGGGATATTGATGCGTTTCGTCCAGGTGGTTCTGTGGAAGCTGAGTGTGAAGCGATGGAGCTGAAGCTGCGTGAGTCTCGCATTGAGATTACCGACGATGTCCAGCTGCAAGAGGCAGGAGGTTGGCAGATGGTGCACTTGGAACACAATCCGGCCGCCGTGAAACTCGCGCTGCGCCACTTGAAGGCCTCCCTTAATATGCTTGTTCACGACCTTTTCCATGCTCGCTGGCAGCAGGAGGCTGATTCTGGGGAGCCATTGCGCGTCCGTTGGATTCCGGCCTTCTTTCCCTTCACTTCGCCCAGCTTTGAGGTCGAGGTCTGGTTCCGTGGCAAGTGGCTTGAGATTCTCGGTACAGGCATTGTTCAGCAGCATACTCTTAACCAGGCGGGCATACCTGAGAAGCTTGGCTGGGCATTTGGTCTAGGACTAGAGCGCATTGCTATGGTGCTCTTTTCGATCCCAGATATCCGGCTCTTCTGGTCGCGAGACGAACGTTTTTTGAATCAGTTCAAACAAGCTGACAGTTCGCTCCTTTCATTCAAGCCATATTCCAAGTACCCACCATGCTACAAAGATGTGTCGTTCTGGATGCCCGAACAATTCCATGAGAACGATCTGTTTGAGACCGTTCGCGACCAGGCAGGTGATTTAGTGGAAGATGTTGTATGCATTGACGACTTTGTGCACCCCAAGACAAAGAAGCGCAGCCGCTGCTACCGCGTAAACTACCGGAGTATGGATCGCAACCTGGAGAACGAGGAAGTAAATGCTATCCATGCCAAGGTGCTGGAACAGCTGGTCTTGCGCTGCCAGGTAGAGATTCGATAAGCTCATGTGGAGACCACGTGTCTAGCTCGAACAGTTAGCTGCAGGCGGGGTAGCCGCGTTTTCCAAGCATCAACGATGGGCACCGGTTCGTTTCTGATCAAGGCTCAGTTGCTGGCGCTACTTTTGTGTGGGTCTTACATAGCGACCTGCTTCCTACTGGCTCTACCTGAGGCGCAGCGGCAGTACCTTTTTCTGCACCAAGTGCGCTTTCCGCCGTTTGTCAAGTACGACGAGCCTCATAAGCACGGCATGCAGCGTATGTACACGAATGAAACTGACAGATAGCGGGCCGTGTGCGCAACTTCTACGTGAAGTCGACGGATAACAACAAGATCGGTACATGGCACGTCCTGCCGCGGAGCGTGTACGACAAGCACAAACATGACGTCAATCGAACTCATTTCCAGTTCCCCGTCGGTGTGTATGAAGAGGCGTTACGTGAATACCCGACGGTCATCTACCTGCATGGGAATGGTCTGAACCGTGCAGCTCCTTTCCGCAAGCATATATGCCAAGCGATCTCGGACCGCATGAACGTGAACGTCATTGCCATTGACTACCGCGGGTATGGCGACTCTACCGGTGTACCCAGCGAAGAGGGCGTCATTGATGACGCGTATGCTACGGTCGAATACGTCCGTGCACTTTCGTTAAATGAAGAGACCGGCAAGCGCCCTAGCCTCACGCTGATGGGTCAGAGTCTTGGCACGGCCGTTGCTACTCAGTGTGCGTTGCGCATGTACCGCGAAGGCATCTACCTCGACTCGCTCGTCTTACTGGCCGCCTTCAAGGCTCTGCGGCCAATGGTTTCCGAGTTTAAGCTGGCGGGTATCATCCCGGTACTGGGCTTTTTGAAGTACATTCCGAACAAGGAGCAGCTCTTGGACAAATTGCTGAAATACAAGTTTGACACAATGCGTGCGCTGAAACAGCTCGTAAGTGGATTCATCGAAGATGGACCTGTACACCCCCCTTCTATTCTTTTGATGCATGCTACCGACGATGCAGTCATCCCAGTGTACCACGCAGAGGACCTGTACAATATGGCGGAAGACAAGCTGCAGGCCATGAACAAGGCGTCGAGCTACCATGTGTGGAGCTCCAAGGCGCCTGACTTTGGCTTTGTCCAGGCAATCATGAACAAACAGGTGCTTCTGCCGGAACGCCGCGGCCGCATGCCCGGTGCGCGCTTTGTCTTGCCACGCAATGCTGCCTTTACGTATGTGCGCTTGGATGAAGGAGGACACGATCACCTCCTAACGAACAATGTCGATGCGCTGCAGCTCATGCTTCCTCAGAGCATGACGGGCGGCGGCCTTCCTGCCTATTAAGCGCCATGGCGCTGCTCAGTAGCGGCGTACAGACGAAGGGTATCGAGAAAGTGTGCAGGCGTCCACCGCTGAAGATACGCCCACGAAGGTAGTGATCCCACCGTCGTAATGCGCAAAGACCATGCTGGAAAGCCATGTAGACAAGGCGCGGGTGCTTTGTCACCGCACACCATTAGAATGCCAGGGTCACACGACATGGGGCCCGTCCTGGAAAGTGTATGCGAGATGGCACTAGGCTCCCAGGCCCCCGTATTTCGTAATGCATCGACAAGAGCAGGCTTGTCGTCCGCCGCGGAAAGCAGATTCACTCGTACCAGTGACTGTCGCGCAGGGCCCTGGTAGGAAGGTGGCCGAGCCACTGGGTGCTCAAACCACCCAGTGCCTGTCATAGCCCGACCCATATGTACCTCCATCGTAGCCCAGCCATCCATGTCAGCTGATCTACGCGAGCGATCCGCAAAAATACGCGCAAGAAGTCCTTCTTTGTCGTACACGGTCAGCTCAGCAATGCCAGCCAGCGCGGACCACTGCGCCAGGCGTAGTACATCACGCGCTGCTGCATTCACAGAAGCTAACGCATCTCCTTTCAATACCTCTGTTGGCCATGAAAACACGACAGCGAGATGTTGGGGAATGTCAAAGCCGTCCACTCGGGGTATAGCGTCATGTCGCCATGACCAGTGTCGGAGCACGTCCATAGTGCGCGCACAGGCCTCGCATACAGCAAACCATGTGTAAATCATCGAGTATAGAAGTGCATGCAGTAGAGTCGTCATGACCACCGATGCTTGCTACTCGTCCGCTGAGCGGCGAGCGAGCGATCGACAATGGTTTGCAAGTCCCGATCTACGAAACTCGCATCGGGCATAGCGGCCTTATAGCGTGGAGGCCACAACCGTGACAGGGACCCCGCGTTGTGACTATGGCGCCGGCCACGGTGCCCGTCACGTTTCCGGCGGAGATTGTGCAACGCATTTGCGAGATTGTATACTTGGACAGTGTACCCCTATGCTCTTTGCGGCTGCTAGACCCGCCTAATGTGCCGTCAGCAGCGTTCGATGGTCAAAGCGCCCTATCCCTTATCGACGATACACAGCGAGTCTTATTTCGTCTGTGCCTTGTCAACCGGGCCTTTTATCGACATGCGCATCCCCTTTTGTGCCGTCGCGTGCAGATCACGCTGCCTTACCGCTTCATGCACCTGCTTGAACTCGCTCAAGGCCCAGCGCCTCTAGCCTCGCTAGGTGCTAGCACGCTAGGAAGTATTCGACTGCTCGACTTTAGCTCGTTCCGCGCTATGGGGCTCCGACGAACAGTTGGAGAGAGTACGGAGCGACGCTTTGTGACGCCTGAGCGTCTTATCACTCTAATTCGCGCAGCTACTGGTCTTGTCGCTTTTGGCTCGAGTCCCACGATGGACAGCGCACTTTCGCTCGAGGTTCTTGAAGCGCTTCTTATTCGTGATGGCGAGCTTAGTAGGCCTATGCGTATGCGAGACGTTAGTATGGAGCGAGGTGCCCATGTCGTGCACAATGCCCTTCAAAGCCTCGACCTTTGTGGCTGCGTTAGCCCCAAGTTTCTCGAAGCTATGGCCCAATTTGTGCACAAGCATATCGAGCCAGGACCACCACGTTATGCCATTTACGACGTCTTGGAAGAGGATGAGGGCACCGACAACAGTGTGAGCGAGGACGATGACGACGAGCGACGTGGCCGCTCCCGGCTGTGGACGCACACGCGGCGGAAGTCTCCTCTGCGGCAAATACCTCGTGAGCGCCGACGCATTTTCCCGTCCATACAGCGCCTGGGACTGACATGCGTGTCATTGGAGCGCTCGATTCTCGCCGCCTTTGTGCTTAGTTTCCCGAACTTGACCCACCTCGACCTTTCGCAGACGCGCGTGGATGCAGCCACATTGCACAGTCTAAGCCGGTCGTCCGTGCGCCTGGAAAGTCTGTCGCTATCACGATGCCGCTCACTTACGTCGGAGAGCCTAGTAGACTTTCTCGTGCATTCTCCAGCGACCGCGGGACTTCAAGAACTTGCGCTACAAGGCACACTCCTTTTCCCTACGCCTGTGTCGCCAGATGATATGCTGACCATTCTTACAGCGGCACCGTGTTTACGCCGCGGAGCTTTGAGATACCTCGACTTGGGCGGATGCCCACTCACCGATGAGGCACTTGAAGCCGTCGCTCCCCAGCAGGCTCTCCTCGATCTGGGTCTGAGCGCAATTCCGGCACTCACCCTACGCGGCGTATGTGCATTCCTGCAGCGCGCGGCGCCGAATGTGCAGGTGCTTGACCTCACCCACAGCGCCACGGCCAGCGGCTCGATGCAGGCAGTTCGCCTATACCATGAACTCCTAGGACCCTGCACACAGCCGCCCACCTCCGTCAGTATAGCAGAGCAACTCGCCAAACTGGGTATTCGCAAGGATACTCACCTTACGCCATGGCAGCCACCGTCAAATTTGCGTGTGGTCGGCCTCTCGCGAGCTGTCCTTACCACTGTACACGGCGGTGTGGGCTCGTGGAAAACCATCTATGGCGCCGGCCGTCGCGGTTGGGTCGTCGATACAGCCGCTGGACCCAGTCCTGAAGCCTACGATATCCCTGAACCTGACGAGGACGAAGACGAACGCGGCCGGCCGCGCCTTGCGCGCACTGCACACCGCAGCACGAGCGTCAGTACGCCGCGACACGCAGCCGACTCCTTGGTAGAACCACTTGCAGCTGCCGGGTCGAAGCGTCTTGCACGCGGTGTGTCGCCGCGGCCAGCACCGCCGGCTGCCTTTGAGTCGCGCTCCCGCTCGCTTTCGCTTTCGCGAGAGTACCACCCGCGCACACGGAGAATACCGGCGCGCCGTGAGGGTCCAGCGCAGGTGGAGCGCCAGACAGTGCATGATCTATCTGAAGATCATCCACGGCGACAGATGCTGGAGTATCTGGCACGATTGGATGGCAAAGTGCCGGGCAGCACTGGGTGGCACAGTCACAAAATGGAGGTCTTGTTGGGCTATGGACTTCTTGGTCGCGAGGTCGGCAACTATGCCTGGTATGCATACCAAGACAGCTAAGGCCGGGGCGCAGTAGCTGCACTGGGCTCCTGTAGCAGATGGCCCATGCGCTCGATTTTGGTGCGCAAATACTTTTCCAGATCGTTGCCGCGTGTGACGCTGCCGCCAATCAGTGTTGCGCCATTGTTCCGCAAGGTATAGGAGTGGAAGCTGTGGGCACTCTCGTCGGAATCTTCGGCATCGTCGTCGTCCCATGCTTCGTCGCTATCGTCCACCAGCATTCCATGTTCAGCAGACCCATCGAGAGCTTGGGAAATTACGCTGTTCGGCCGGGACCGCCGTGGTCCCTGCAAGAGCCGGGTAGCGACAGATCCCGATCGACGCTGGTGTGTAGAGGTATGCTCGTGGTACCGCCACATGCGTGGAACCATCGGCACACGCTCCGTAACCTGGATCCCTTCATCTTCCATGGCCTGCATCTTTTCAGGGTTGTTAGTGAGAAGGCGGCACGAGTTGATGCCCAGGTCCCGCAGGATGGCACAGCTGATATCGTAGCGTCGAGCATCAGGTAGGTGGCCGAGCAGCACATTCGCACTGACAGTGTCGTGCCCCATGTCCTGCAGATTGTACGCCATGAGCTTGTCCAGCAGCCCGATGCCCCGGCCCTCCTGGCGCATGTACACAACGACGCCACGAGGCGCCACCGTCTTGCCGTCAGCGGCCTGCGATGTCGATGTGCCGATAAGCCGCAGCGCCTCGTCCAGCTGCTCACCACAGTCGCACCGCTGACTGCCGATCGTTTCTCCCGTGTAGCACTCTGAGTGAATTCGCACTAGCGGTGCCGGCGTATCTGGGTCATCGCCATCAAATGTCGCGAACTGCTCAGGCACAGATGCCACTTGGTGCGTCTCACTTAGCCGGTCCACGTAGGCGCCTCGCACAAGGCGCTCCATCGTCGTCTCGTTCTCGCTCCATACCGCATCTAGCGTACGGCTGCGGATTGGTCGCGCGCGACGAAGTAGACCCTGCTGTTGCTGTGCCTGTATAGCCGCATTGTTCTGCGCAGGATCAATCACCAATGCCATGTGCTCTTTGTTGTCATGGTTGTTCCGGTACAGGTGGCAGAACACCTCGCCATGAGGGGTCGGCACACGCGTACGCGCACAGCAGCGTACTTCCAGGGGAACTGGTGGCTTTGTCGACTGCATGGACTCGCGCCGTGACACCGTGCTCGATGCGACGGCTGGTGCCTCTGACAGGGCAGGTGCCGCAGTCGCTGTGGGCTCCGCGAGCGCGCGTGCACGCTCTTCCTTCTCGCGCTGCAGGCGCACGCTTCGCGGTGCCTGCTTGCTATGCATGATGGCGTGATGCTCATGCTCATCCTCGACTGCATTCCGAGCCGTGGGCACAGCCGCCATCCGCGTCTGCCGCAGGCGCTCGCTGACTGGCATTTGCTGCGAGTGTCCGGACATGCGCGCAGACTGCGGATCCGCAAATGTGTGGTGAAAATGGTGGCGTGTCACCTGAGGTCCAGAGCTGAGCGATGCGGCGAGCACAATGGGGTCGATCGGTGGGCGCCGAAGCGCTGCCACCGTATCTAGCGCCCGATGGTGGGGCACAGCATCAGATTTCAGCGGTGGCGCAGGCGCAGGTAGTGATGTGAGCATGTCAAGCATGTCCAAGTCACTTGGCTCAACTCGATGGTGGTATGTATCCCCAAACATGGCCCCCATCGCACAAAGAATGAGTCGGCGCTAGCGGGGCACTGCCGATGGCGCACCGCATCGCGGCGCAGCGCCGAGGGTTCTCAGGATGACGTAATCTTCCTCCATTTGGCGGAAAAAGCGACGCCCACGCACCGACCTCCGCGATGGCGCGTCTGGACCTGGACGAGCTGCTGAAGGTGGCACCAGAAAGTAAGTCAAGCGCATTAATATCAGCTGTGGACCCTGATGACGAGTATAATGCGCCGACGAGCTCCGATGGAGAGAGTGCGAGTGACAACGAGGCGCACGAAACGGAGAGCCGTCGTCACTACGTCGATGTCGGGCCTAGCGAGATGCGTCGCCGCGCCCGCCTAACCGAATCAGATAAACTAGAGCATCCCAAGTACAAGGGCACGCGCGTCTCTCGACACGACATGTTTGGAGATGGATCACAATCAGATGAAGACAGCATGGCCGATGACACTGAGGACGGCGAGGACTATCAAGATGCACAGGAGGAGGAAGGAGAAGACGACGATGATGAGGTAGATGGCGAGGAGGAGGATGGCGAAGATCCCGACGATGAAGAGGAAGAAGATGAGGAGTTCGATGAGGACGAAGAGGAGAAAGAACAGGTCCAAGCGCGCCCGTCCAAGCGCTCTTCTATGGAGAAGAACCGTGAGCCCCATGTTTCCGGGGAGGAAGTTATTCCCAGTACAGCAGCTACGCTGGCCTCGCAAGAGCAGGAATCCCGCACACTCATGCAGCAGCTCCAGGAACGGCGCTCTCAGGACGCCAAGAAAGGTCGACACGTACAGAAGCAGATACGCAATTGGGAAAAGACCTTGCGACTGCGCATTGCTCTGCAAAAGGTGATTTCAGGCCTTGCTAGGTTGCCGCCGCCCGATATGATGGCCGAGTACGTCGCCGCGGCGCCTGGCACAGAAGAGGATTTGGATGCTAGTGCGGCTGAGCTAGAAGACATGGCACAAACTCTTCTGACAGTGCGCCTTCATCTCTGGAAACAGAACCTTCCGGCTGTTGCTACCGAGCTGGACAGCGTGAATACCGAAGCAAGTAGCGCCAAGGCGCTGTCCGACCTGGAAGCCTGCGTTGAGCCACAGCGGCGGATGTTACTTTCTCGCTGGTCGTCCAAGATCGCTGCTGCGCCTGACTCTCGTTCCACTAGTGCATCTGCGCGTCTGCAGCTGCGTGCGATGAACCAGAGCGTTGTCGAGCAGATGGACCAGGCGCTCGCAGGCGACGGTATGGACCGCCTCGTTGACCGCACGCGTGTGTGGCGAGGCGACGATACGGCGCGTCTGGGAGTCACACAACCAGCAGACGAAACTGCATCGCGACCTACCGATGTGAATGTGTTTGATGACAGCGACTTTTATGCACAATTGCTGAGAGACCTGATCGACAACGCCAGCATTGTCGAAGGTGCGTTCGGCATCACTGACCACAGCCGGCATATCTGCCACCGCTTCAGACGTGCTTCAGTCACGAAAACGCAAGCGGAACGTTGATGTTCGTGCGTCCAAGGGCCGTCGTATTCGCTACGACGTTATCGAAAAAGTCCAGAACTTTATGCCGCCGATCCCCCGCGTCACGTGGGACGATGCGCAGGCTGAGCGACTGTTCGCGCGCTTGGCATCGGTGGTGCCACAGGGCAAGGCGGCCGAGACTCCTGTCGACGAGGACGTGCAGATCGACGAGGAATTCCGCCTCCTAGGCTGATGTATAATATGAACTACATATCCTGCGTCATCCCCGACCGCTTGGCCACGTCCCAGTAGCCTGAAAGTTTAGGGCCCAGCAGCTCCTTCACCTTCAGGTCGGACGAACAGTCTTCCATCTTCACCATACCCATGGGCAGGGCTCGGTCGCGTACAGGGCCCTCGAAGACGCATTCGCAGGTATTGTCACTCAAGTCGATAGGCTCTGGCTCCGGTACAGGCTCCGCGTCGTCTTGATCCTTAGGGCGTCCAGGGTCGGTCCAGTCAATGCGCACGAGCATCAGGCGCTTGTACGCCTTTAGCGCCTTGGCAGACCCCTCAACAATCACAATTGCCATGTCTGGATGCACAAGAATCAGACCACTCAGGTGCTGCTGCTGCGCATTCTTCCGGACTTTGAAGCGGTGAGACGGACTAACGAGATGGCGCACTCGGTATACATGGCACCAAATACCCTTACCCTCTTCAGTCTTGGTCTTGTAAATGCGACGTTGGCGGCGTTCCTCATCCGTGAGCATACGCTCCGCATTCGTCCGCTCGTGAAGCTCATGCCTCGCTGCCACTTCGCGGCGTACACGAGCCTCGACTTTGGTGGGATCCACAATGGCTTCGTTGCCAAGGACGCGCATCAGGTTCGATAGCTTGACCTTAGGTGGATCCGGTGGAAGCAGGCCCATCTTGATTCGGTCGCGTTTGTCTTGCTGTTCGGCAGCGCGACGTTGGCGGCGCATCTTCTTCATTTCCTGCTTGGTCAAAATGACACCGTGAGGCTGGATCTTTATGTTCGCCGTGGGAGGAGGAATGGGAATGGGGTGCTGTACGAGATGGTCGATAGGAGAGGTATCTTGCTCAATGAGCGGGAATGTATCGGGCACCGCCGTACCAGGGACAAGTGGCGTGTCAGGCACGTCGTCGTAGGTCTTGTTGGGCAGCAAAGGAAGATCCCACCACTCAGCATCTGGGGGCATAGGGCGTCGGAGAATGCGCTCGTCATCGAGGAGCTCATCCTGGAGCCCTGCCTTGCGAGCGGTCGCCTGAATTCGCTCTTTGAGCGCTTGCATCTGTTCATCGCGCCGGATTTGCTCAGCCTGTAAGACATATTTGCCGGGGCGGTGGAAGTGCAGCGCCCTATGCATACTCTTAGGTTTAGGGCCTTCGACCTTGTCGGCATCGTTTGACAAATACGGATTCGCCTTTGGAACAGGTACAGGCTTGGCATCCAAGATATTGCGCGTCGGTGGCGCAGGCCGACCAGGCAATGCACGCTTGTTCGCCTGGATCGAAGCGAATTTGGGGGCCAGAGACCGGAACTTTTCTTGGATCTTGGCTGCATCCCCTAGCAGAAGCGGGTGGATACCCTGTGGTTGTGATTCGGTACGTTCAGCGGGTGGTGCCTGCGCCGGTGCCGCCTGCGCCGGCTTGGCAGCCAGACCAGAGCGTTGAAAGGCCGCCTGCGCACGCCGACGCGCTTCTTCGATGGTCTTGCTCAGGTCTTTCACCGGTGGTGGTCCTGCATCCACCCTGTTCCTTTTCTCATTTGGTGGCTGACCATCGCTCCCAATGTCAGGGAACTGCCGCTTAGGCGCCATTCACACGGCAGCTCACAGGGCAGGGCCAGCCACGAGCGGCGTCCCACGACGTGTGCCTGTCCTGTCACGTGCGTCGGGAACATGCCTAGAGACCTATTGGGCCGTGTTGGATGCGCTGGGTGTTCTCGGGTGTCGTGGCGATGTCTTTTTTCGTCGTGTCCAGTACCACAGCCTTCTTTGGTGGGAATGTCTGCGTTCCGCGACTCGAGCCGGCGCCAAGACACGTACAAGGCGAAGGGTGCTTTCAAGCAGGATGAGCTGCGCCGCCGCCGTGAGGAGGCCCAGGTTGAGATCCGTCGCCAGAAGCGCGAGGAGAGCATGGCGAAGCGCCGCAACTTGAACCTGCCGCATATTTCTGACGCGCCTGATTCGGACGAAGACGATGTCGCTGACGACCTTGATGTGAAGATCCTCGCTGACCTGCCCCTAATGGTGCAGGGCGTGCAGAGCGAGAGTCTTGACCAGCAGCTGGAAGCCACGACTAAATTCCGCAAGCTACTCTCGAAGGAGAAGAACCCCCCTATTGATCGTGTGATTGCGTGCGGTGTGGTGCCACGCTTCGTCGAGTTTCTGCGCAGCCCCCACAGCATGATCCAGTTTGAGGCGGCGTGGGCCCTGACTAACATTGCCTCTGGCACGTCAGAGCACACGCAGGTGGTGATCAATTGTGGTGCCGTCCCGATTTTTATCGAGCTGCTGGCGAGCCCGGTGCTGGATGTTCGTGAGCAGGCCGTGTGGGCGCTCGGTAATATCGCGGGTGACTCGACCAAGTGCCGCGACTTTGTACTCCAGCAAGGGGGTATGCATGCGCTGCTGCAGCTGCTGAGTGAGGACCACAAGGTAAGCATGCTGCGCAATGCCACATGGACGCTGAGCAACTTTTGCCGCGGCAAGAACCCACAGCCGGCGTGGGAGCTCGTGGCGCCGGCCCTGCCGACGCTCACCAAGCTGGTGTATGCTATGGACGATGAGATTCTGATCGACGCGTGCTGGGCCCTCTCGTACCTGTCTGATGGCGCCAATGAGAAGATCCAGGCTGTGATCGAGTCGGGTGTGTGCCGCCGCCTGGTGGACCTGCTGATGCACCCGTCGGCTGCTGTGCAGACGCCTGCGTTGCGCTCGGTGGGCAACATCGTCACGGGCGATGACATGCAGACGCAGGTGATTGTGGCGAGCGGTGCGCTTACGCCGTTGCTGGCGCTCCTCTCGTCGCCTAAGGATGGCATCAAGAAAGAGGCGTGCTGGACGATCAGCAACATCACAGCAGGCTCTCCGAGCCAGATCCAGGCGGTGATTGACGCCAACATCATTCCGCCGCTGGTGCATATTCTGAGCCACGCGGACTTTAAGACGAAGAAGGAGGCGTGCTGGGCGATCAGCAATGCTACGAGCGGTGGTCTGCAGCAACCGCAGCAGATCCGCTACCTCGTGTCGCAGGGCTGCATCAAGCCACTATGTGACCTGCTCAAGTGTATGGACAACAAGATCATCCAGGTGGCGCTCGACGGCCTAGAGAACATCCTCAAGATTGGCGAGCAGGACAAGGAGGCCATGGGCCCCGGCGCCACGAACCAGTATGCGCTTTACGTTGAGGAGTGTGGTGGTATGGTCACCATTCACGCACTGCAAAATCACGACAACTTTGACATCTACAAGAAGTGCTTTTATATTATGGACAAGTACTTCCCCGACGACGAGGAAGAGCAGGATACCGGCATTGAGGCCCCCCAGGTCAGCGACTCGGGCGCATTTGCGTTCCCGTCCACCGTTGCTGCGCCCCAGACCGGCTTCTCGTTCGGCCCTGCGCAAAACATGTAGTTGCTAGGCCCAGCCGCGCTGTATGATATAGGTGCAGACATACCACCACGCAGGGTTATGGCAACTCACGGTGCATGGACGAGCCCACTTGGGCCAGGTACAGAGCCAATTTGGAATGACTTGCATCGTCCGACGCCGGCGGCTCTTGCCACGATAGGGCAGGTAGTGGCTCTGACGGCAGCGCGGGGCGCCGCACACTAGTTTCGTGTTGTGCCTCTGACGGCACAGGCTCGTTGCTCACGCGCGCTACTGGCCGCAGTGCCTGTAAGAGGCTGTGGGACGCCACTGCTGGAGTGAAGCCCGGCGTAGGCGCACGCATAGGGACCGGGGACGGTGACGCATGCGACACAGGGACTGACTGTCCCTGCGGTGTCGGCGTCGGGGGAAGCGACCATGCAGACGAAACCATAATGTCGAGTGACGGCAGCGTCGTCACTTCGGAATGCGCCCGTGCACGTGTAGTACTTTCGCGCTCGGGCCCTGAACGAGTCTGCGTCGCGCTATTGCTGCGTCGCCGACGGGCATGAGAAGGATGGATGGGCGGAGCCAGCGGTGGCCCACGCGCTGTCTCCGGGGACGTGCTGGCATGGGTATGGGGCCACCAGCGTGCCGGTGACGAGCTCAGCAATGTGCGGATGGGCAGGGTGGACGATACAGGCGGAGGGAGATGCGCGGAGGTCGTCTGGCTCGGTGTGGATGGTGGTGGCGTCGACGTAGTAGCCGTGCTGATCGAGCTCTTGGACGACGAACGTGGCCGCGTCGAAAGGACAGACTCTGGTCGCAAAGAGCGCCCCGACCGGCTTTCCATCTCCTCGTCTGCCAGCGGCCAGCCGCGGCGGAAGAGTCCCGTCAGGCTGGCCCGGGTGGGCAGACGGGATGATCGCCCAGACGCGTCGTCGCTCCGGCCTGACGCGCTAGATGAAAAGAGCGCCGCACGGAGTGACGAGGCTGGATGCGAGGCCTTCTCAATCAGGGCCGGGATACTCGAGCGTGGCCGCACCTCTGGCACGCTGGGACTGTGAGGCGGTGTTCCGTCGCGCAGCCCCTGGCCCGATAAGACAGGCGAGAGCGCGCCAGTCACAGGTGTGCCCTCGCGCGAGGGCGCAAGGATCACTCGATCACCCCATACATACGTTTCCTGTAGGGCTGCAGGATCCGTGTGCCCGTCAGGGCCGTACATGTCGGTCCACTGTCTCAAGAGAGACACGCATTGCGTGCTCTGCAAGGCAGAAGCCAGCATCTCAGGCGTATTTCCGCTTCGATCCACCGGTTGCGGTCGTGCTCCATGTGCCAGGAGCGTGCGCACAAGCTCCATGTGGCCATTAGCTGCGGCAAAGTGCAAGGGCGTCGAGCCCTCGATGCCCGGGCCGACCACTCGCGAGCGGCCCTTGGGCTGGTTGACGTCGGCGCCGAAGCTCATCAGCAGGTTGGCCGTGGCAACATTACCCATGCACGCAGCCACATGCAGTGGGGTAATGCCATGGATGGCCGTGTTCGGCGACTGCCCATTCTCGAGCGCATAGAGTACCAGCGACAAGTTGCCGGAGCTTGTAGCCCGATGGAGACCCAGGCTCGGCACGAGCGGCGCCTCCGGAGGTGGATCAGGGCTGGAGGTACGTGCCCAGATAGGCAACGGCGGCGAAGGGACATACGGCCCGGCGCCGCTCGGGCGGGCCCCGCTGCGAGACATAGACGCCGACGCCGGAACGGGCGGCGCGGGGGCGGCGTGGCGGTGGAGGAACGTGCACGGTGCGTCGCACAACGCAAGTCACATGCGTGCTGCACGGCCGAGGGACAAGGGGAGCTACGAAACTAGCGCTTCTTGAACAGATTGGCGACGCGGTGCCGCCGGCGGGTCGTGCTGCCGCCATCGTTGACGCTGGCCATATCAGACATGGAGTGGCCACGCTGGTGAGACTGGCGCGACTTGGAGGGCTGTAGCTCCGACTGGACGGCTGACGAGTTCGCATCGCCCTCCGCTTTGTCCGAGACGTCGTGGCCCGACTGGGGCGGCTCATGCGCGGCTGCGTATTCCTGCGCGGCGGAGCGCTCGGCCGCTGCCTGGTCGGTGGCCTCCTTTTTGTGGATGCCAAGTATACCGGCAAAGCCGCGGCCAATGTGGAGCCCACCGCTCGCGACGCCCTTGCCGATACCGCCAATACCGCCAATCACGCCCGAGGCCACACCACCAATCAGGTTCGAGCCTTTGGTGGTGCGGTTGTTCAGGTATCGAGGATGGAACGTGAGACGCACTGTAATGGTGCTCTCAGGGTTCGAGCCTTCGCCCTTGAGTTGATACGTTCGCTCGTGTGTCTCAAACGGCTCCAACTCGGCCAGGTTCACAACGGCCACGCCCAGCGGGTCCGACGAGCCCACCTGATCCCAGTCGCGTACATTGAAGCAGTACTCGTGCGTGAGTCGCGAGGTAATCATGACTTCGGGCAGGATCTCGTTAAATACGGGATTCAGGCTGCGCCGCACCGTCTTGCTGCGGGCCACCGTAACGCCGTCGTCCTGGAACAGGACGTACGGGTCCGACTTGCCACCGCGGTCAGCGACCGATAGGTTCGCACACGATAGCACTTCGATCGTAAGGATGCCCTGGTTGACGACACTCTCCACGGCCTCGAGATGCACATCCATGGGAATGTAGCGGCAGCTAATCTTTACCTCGCAGCCACCCGACGCGAGCAGCAGCTCGCCCTCGCTGAGCTTGGAGATCGCATCCTTGCCCTTGTCCGCCAAGTCCGAGCCGGCCTCGATCGCCTTGGCGGGCATGTTCGACAGGCCCGAAATCGCGCCGGCCATGTTCTCCGGCTTCAGATTCTCAGCCGTGTTGCCGATCATCTTAGTCGGGTCCAGCGAGCCATGCTCGCCTGTCGGCGTCAGCTGCAGGGTCGTCGGCTGCGTGAGCGCCTTCTCCAGCAGCGACCGTGTATTGCATGAGTATTCGGCAATGACATCGCTGTCGCGCGGACCGATACGTGCACGGAACCACACGTTCGACACGTCGAGCTCACGCACCACATACTCGCCGACCTCGTCCCAGTTGTAGTCCTTCTTGCGCGGCTCTGTCGTGTATGCTGGCCAGGCGCAGTCGTCAAACACCACCTCAAGCTGTGCGCGGGAGCGCGGGAACTTGCCCTCGATCATGTTGAACACAACCACACCCGACGGGCTCTGCAGCACCTGCTCCGGCGACAGTTCCACACCCGCGTCAGGGTCGTCGTCCTCGCCCTCGTCTTCATTAAGGTGTGCGTTGCCCGCGGTCGTTGCTGCTCCCGCCTCCTCGATTGCATCAGGCGACGTGAGCGCCGAGTCGCCGTTCACTTGGGCGTCGAGACCGGCCTTTTCACGGCGCTCTGCCTCCAGCTTCTTGTTCTGTTCGATGAAGTTGGCGCCTTCCACATGCATGGCCGTGACAAACTCCACGTCAAAGTCGACCACGCCCTTGGTCGTGCCGTTGGGTTGCTTCAGAGGCTCACGGAACGAGCGGCGACCGCGGCTCGTGTACGGGTACACCGAGTCCTCGATGTTGTCCTCGGCCAACTCGCCCACAGGGATATCGCAAAAGCCAAGCGAGCGATCGTGGGTAGACGACTGGTAGTCGAACACCTCGAAACGCACCACCTCGGCGGTCGAGTGCACAGGTGCATACAGCACCTGGTTCCACACCGGATTCAGGTTGTCGTCGACCACATTCGTACCGGTCACCGGCAAGTTGTTCACGCGCAGCACGGCATACGGGTCCGACTTGCCGCCCGACAGCACCTCGACATTCTTGAGGTCGCGTGCCCCGCGCACCCAGAACTTGAGCGCACCAATGGCCGGGCGGTAGCTGTTGCTGCCGTTGATACTGCCCGACATGAGCACCGGCTTCCACTGGCCCGACATGCGCAGGCGCGCGCGCTCGGTCTCGGGAAACGGGAACCAGTCCTGCTTGCGGTCGCGCGCATGCACCAGGTCGTCAATCTTCACACTCAGCGATGCCATCACCGCATTCTTCGCGCCCTTGCGCGTGTCGACCATCTCCACCGTCAACACACTGCCGTAGCGGTCCACGACCAGCATCTCTGTCACATCCTCAAAGATCGGGCTCAGCGTCGTCTTAATCTCGGCCGTCTCCTTGATCAGCTTGCGGTTCAGCAGCAGACGCGCCTTGATGCTCATATCGCCCTCGATCTCCGGAGCACTGACCAGCTCGCGTGCTTGGTTGAGCGTGAGACGCAGAATACCGGCCGCCGTCTCGGGCAGTGGCTGCAGGAGCCCATCCGGTCCGACTTCCGGCTTCATGACTGGGAAGTAGTCAAGCGAGAACTGCACTGAGCCGAGCGGCTTGTCGCCGTACATGATGGCCTTGTTCATCTGGCCAGGCGACGGGTTGTCGGCCAGCGACGAGAGGTCAACCTGCGTCACACCCAAGCGGGTGTGAGGGCGGTTGCCCTTGTCGTCCATGAGCTCGAGCACCAGTAGGCCTTGCAGATCCTTAATGAGCACATGGTTCGTATCTTTGAACGTCGGGTTGGCATTCAGCTCCTTCGTGCGCGTGCGCGCCACTTCCTTGCCGTCGTTGACCGAGATGATAAAGTAGGGGTTCGGCGCGCCACCGCTGAAGCTCAAGCGCTTGAGGTCGCGGGCACTCCATATAGTGACCTGCAGGACACCCGCCGTAGCATCGAGCGGCGTACCCGACATGAGTTCCTCCAGGTTCAGTGAGAACTGGTTGGGGCTGTACATCATGGGACCCAGTGCACTGTGAACCTGGTTGTGAATGAAGCCAGAGAGACCAGGGAGCGCCGCCACGTCGAGACCAAAGGTGCTGCCGCCAATGGGCTTTAGCTCAAAGTCAAAGTTTGGCGGCTGGAGGAACGAGAGATCGACCATCTGCACGTGAGGGAAGCTGCTGATCAGCTTCAGGCGGAAGCGCATCGTGCCGACAAAGCTCATGTTCTCCACGAGCACGGGTAGGCCGGCGCCGACCATACCCTTGCCGACGCGGATGGTCAGCACGACCTTGGGGTTGATTTTGCGCGATGCCTGACGCACCGACAGGTCCTGCACGTCGCTGGGTGTAAAGTTGACCTTCCAGTCCATCACAATGACATCATCCTCCGTGTCCGGACGCGTGCGCACCGAGTCGACCATGGGCGCCTTGGTGCCCAGTGTGAATGTCGTCAAGCGGAGCGAGTCCAGGAACGGCGGGCAGTTATCGCGCAGTACTTCGTCCACCGACTGAATGATCGTAGCTGAAAGCACCGGTTCGTAAATAAGCCAGAAGCGCGCCAGGAAGTGGTTGATCCAATGCGCCGTCTCATTCTCGCTAAGCATGCGGCGGCGCGCAAGCTCGCGCGAGACATCGTCCCGGATGCGCTGGCGTGTGCGGCGCACACTGGTCGTGTAGTAGGTGCCGGCCACGCTGGCCACAATCAGCACAATACCCCAGCCAGTACCGAAGCGCGTGAGCAGGTAAGTAATCACACAGGAGCCAATAATCACCGCTGCGTCTGTCCACAGGTAGCCGTAGTACGCGTCATGCACAAAGGTGCTGACCACGTCTGACTCACGCAGACGCGACCGGTCAATGTCAAATTCGTCGGGTTTCAGGCCCAGCAGGCGGCGCGACTCGCCGACCCAGCCTACTGTGTACCAGTCGGGAATGTTCAGCGACGGCGCGCCGGCCGGGAGGGCGCCGGGTATGAGGAGGTCGCCGCCCATTTGGCCGCGCTCGCGGCTCGCGCGGTCGATGTCGCGCAAGCTGACATTGGAGCGCGTGCGAGTGCCAGAGATGTCCGAGGGCACACTTCGGTACAGCTTGTCGCTCTCTTCCTTCTCTTTCAACCGTTTCTGTTCCGCGAGCTCGCCACGCGGCTTGACACCGTCCATGGCCTTCTTCGCGGCCTTGCCCTTCTCCTCCGGCGAGGCATTCTCGTCGAAGGTCTGCACCTCCGCACCCTCAGCCTCGAGCTCGTGCGCCATCATCTTCTCAGCCTCTTTGGGATCCGGACCATCATTGTTGCCCCCCTTGAAGGGGTTCAGCTGGACCATGCCTTCCGCCGAGATCTAAAGTGGGACCCTGGGCAAACCCATCAACCGATTTGGGCCACGGCTTGCATAAGCCCGCTGCGTGCCGCACACACCACGTGAGCAGAAGCAGGCACCGAGTGCCGCAGCCGCGTGAAGGGGAACCTGTCCATCTATGCTATAGCGATATTACGCAGCGCGCGCCTTCTTAGACGGGCGCTTCTTCTCTTCTTCCTCGAGGTCGATCTCGCGGTCCGCATCGTCCTCATCCTCCTCATCCTCCTCCTCGTCGTCATAGTCGTCTTCCTCGTCCTCGTCCTGGTACAGAGCTGGCATCTCAAAGTGCTGGATCGCGTTGGGGTAGAGGTCCTCGACGATCGCGCGGCCAATGCTGCCCGCGATCTGGGGGCTGTCACTCTCGAAGAATGACGAGAAGAAGGAGCCCGGCTCAAAGTCGTCCTCCTCGTCCTCGTCGTCGTTCAGGTCGCCCTTCGTCGGCTTGTTCTTCGCGAGGTTCACGTCGTCCGACTTCCACGAGATGGTCGTCTTGACCGGCACCAGGTCAGCCGCAAAGTCGAAGGCCGTCGCCTTGCGCGCGTCCTGAGCGAGCTCGAAGGACTTGACGAGCACCTCGTCACTGATAAAGTCGTTGGGCGCAAAGTGGAACGCGATTTTGCATGCGCGGGGGTCGTTCACATCGCGCTGCACGTCAATGCGCTTCAGGTGGTCAAGCAGGGGGTGGTCGTCGTCATCAATGTAGATGTTCGTCGACACGCAGTTCGTCAGGGCCTGAGGCCAGAAGCCGTCGATCTTGTCCACGATCTCAGCACGCTTCTTCAGCAGGGGCTCGTGCAGGCGCGCGACCACCTTGCTAATCTCCATGTCAGCCGCCTGGAACTCGGCATCGAGCGACTGGACCGCGTCCTTCACGGCGTCGGGAATCTGGCCAATCTCGGGCTGGCGGGTCATGATGGACGTGGACAACGCGTACGCTCGGCGGCCGCGGTCAGGGCCCGTCACTGACAAACGCTGAGTCATCATCCCATGCATCCCCTCCGCGTGGGGCGCCCCCTGCGTGGCCTCGCGCCGCACACCCTCTGCCCCGGATGGATCCGCCGGGCCCGCAGCCGATGCGCTCGCGGCGGTACGGCATCATCATGGACCCGCCACCCCAGCTGTCGCGTAGTGCTGTTGACGATCTCGGCAGCTCGATCGCTGCGCCGCCTCCCGACGCCTTTGCGGTGCCTGTGACCCAGAGCAAGGGACAAACGTTCTTGGCTGCGATGGACGAGCCTGGCGTGCTAGAGGACGACGGCGCATGGACGGACTCGGATCCGGAGACGGCGCCGGCCGTGCGCGACCTGCTTGAGGAGGACAAGATGAGCCGTCGCTCCTTCCTAACCGAGATGCAGGGCCGTGGCGAGCGCGCCTGGCTCGAGGAGCTCCAGGAAGAATTCCCCAATATCCGGCGCGTGATGGTGCCGACGGTCGACGAGGAGGAGGACGAGGAGGCGCCGCGCACGATCCCGACGGCACCGCACGTGCGCACGGTGCTACAGGCCATGAGTGCCGGGACAGAGCCGCCTATGGACGAGCCGCTCAGTGAGATCCCCGTGACGGCAGCGACCGCTGCGGCGATGGAGCGCCTCGCCCACGATGACGAAGAAACGGAGCCAGCGCCAGGGCCAATGGAGCGCCGCAAAAAGACCCGCAGTAAGGCGGAGTACGACGTTGGACCCGACGGCGAGCTCGTACGGAAGAAGAAAAAGAAGAAGGATACGACCCGGAAAAAGAAGAAACGGCGCGACGTGGAGCCGCCGTTGGATCTGCGGCACGAGCCGCTCGCCGACCTGCCGCAGGGCCTGCCCAGCGTCGACGAGCCGGCCGAGTCGGAATGGGGCGCGCCGATGCCGTTCCTCGATGCCGTGCCGCGCCCCGCCGACCGGGGGGTGCACGAGCCCGACGTCGTGCCGCCCACGCTGGCTGCGCCAGCGCCGCCCTCGCCGACGCGCTCGCTCGCCGTGACGGAGGCGCCCGCACAGCTGACGCCCGAGCAGAACCGGGCGCGTGTCCTTAACTACAATGCGACGCGCATCGCCGTCAACATGTACGTGGTGTACTGGGGCATGCTCGTCATGCTGCGTCGACTCTGGCGGTGGGAGAACCCCTGGCTCACGGGCGGTACGGCACTGTTCTACGCCGTGGTGTGGTGGCGGGGCGACCTGTTGGCGGTCGGCTTCCTGCTCGCCGTGCTGTACGTCGCGACCTTCCGCCTGTGGCTGACCGCCCCGGCGGCCGATGAGTCGCGGGAACCGGCGCCGCCATCGGCCTTGCTGCGCCATGGCGTGTCGCTCGGCCTCGTCACCACGACGCCATCGCGCGAGATGCTGCAGCAGGTCAGTGACCAGGTGCTTGTGGTGACACATGGCCTCGCGGACGTGCAGGAGCGCATGAAGAACCTGCTCCTCTGGCGCAGTCCGATGGTCACGCTGCGCTACCTCGGGTGGCTCTTGCTGCTCAGTCTGCTCAGCATGCAGGCGACGTCGTGGATGCTCCTGCGCGTGCCGGGCGCACTGCTCTTCTTACTCGTGTTCGTTCTGGCGCCGCTGATTGAGTACGGGCACTGGTACAAGCTCGTCGAGCTGCTGTGCGATGTGACGGGCGCTGAACGCCCGCGCCACGATGCACCGTACGCGACGACGCGCTCAATGCTCGACAACGTGCTGGCGGGCGTGCCGACCGACGAGGAGTTCCTGCAGGAAAAGCTCCAGCGCACGCACTGGGAGGCCGAGCGCGAGCTTCGCCGCCGTGGGCAGTGGATCGAGCCGCTGAACCGCATCGTCGAGGAAATGGATGTGCACCGTGCGAACCTGTCCGGGTGGGCGCCCCAGGGACCGCACACAGCGCAGCGGCAAGACGAGTCACACGGCTCGCCCCGGCACACCGAGGGCGCGGGCATATGGGCCGAGTCGACGCCGCTCCATTCGTCGGTGCGTGCCCCGTCGGCGGAGCCACCGGCCGTGCCGCCGCCCCAGGCGCCGGCTATGCCTGTGCACGAGCCGCTGGCCGACGACACGCACAGCGTGTCGGACTATGGCACGCAGGCGGAGTCGATGTGGGAGGTGCCTGAGGAGCCAGCGCCAGCGGCACCTGAGCCAGCGGTGATGCTGAGCCCGGGCCTGCCCTGGTCGACGGTGCTGCCGACCACGACCCCGGCCGCGGCCGCGTCGGAGACGGGCGCGGCACCGCTCTCGCCTGAGCCCCTGCTGACGCCTGCGCCGCCGATCACGTCGCTCTCGCCACTGCAGCCGGCCGAGCTTGAGCCCAGGGCGGACGGCCCGTTCACGCCGCCAGCGCCGCTCGGCGTGCCCGCAGCAGCTGCCACGTCGGTGGCGCCGGACATGCTAACGACCCCCGCGTCGGCGCACTCCGCCCTGAGGCGGGAGGTAGCGCAGCCAGACCTCGACGCGGACGCACGGCCCGAGCCTGCGGTGGCGCCGACGTCGCCGCCTTGGGAGCCGAGCCCACGCAGGAAGACGGAGCAGCCGCTGACGCCGGCGCTCCATGCGTCCGAGCCGGTCGATGGCGTGTACCTGGCCGTGCACCGCAGGCGTCTCGGGCATCTGCTCGTGCTACCTACGCGCGTGGCCTTTCTGCTATCGTACTCGCCGCGGCGGCCCGAGTCGGTGCCGGGCCTGACGGCATCGCAGGTCCTCTCGCTCAGCCGCACGGTCGACGGGCGTGTGTTTTATCCGACAATGACCCCGCGCGGCATCACGGCGGTCGTCCGCGACGAGATGCGTGGGCGGGGCCGCGCGTCCCTGGTCCCAGCGAGCGGAACGCCGCGGCCCAACCAGGTGCTCTTCGACGTGCCGATCGCCCAGGTGACGGGCCTCAAGAAGCTCCGCAAGACGCTGCCGCTCCTCGACGAGTGCCACGAGGGCCTCGAGCTCGTGCTGGCCTCGGGGCCAGGCCTTAGTATGCCGGCGGTGGTGGGCCGCGACGCGGCGTTTGAGCGGGTGCTCAGTGTGGACCCGGCGCGGTGGCCCTAGCCAAGCCCAAAGCCTGTACTGTGCCGTAGTGCGATCCGTAGCTTGGCCTCGAGCAGAGCCGCGTCGCCATAGACGGGCAAGAAGAGCGTCGATGTGCAGGTGCTGCTCCACGGCACGCGCGCCTCGCTCGCGGCCGATGGATCGACGTGCTGGATGCGCAGGCCCAGCGCCGACGCGCCCAGCGCGGGCACACGCACACACCCCGTGATAAAGCCGAGGAGCGCATGCTGCTCGTCCGGCGGCAGGCGCGCCCACACGCCCCAGAAGTGCTCCAGGTTGCGGTACACGCGCGGCGCGCCCGCGGCGTCTCGATCCGGGAAGCCCACATGCTCGGTGCTCGCGCGTAGGGCCTGTAGATCCAGCTCGCGCTCTTCGCGCCCACACAGCAGCAGCTCGAGCTCGGCCGCCGAGAGGAGCGCGAGGGGCGACGGCGCGCCGCCGGCCGGCGCAACGATGCGCGCAAAGCCGCGTGCGAGTGCGGCCCAGGGCGCACGCACCTCGTCCAGGAGCACATGCGCGCAGACCCGCGCCACGTAGGCGTCGCGGTCGTCCACACGCACAACGCGCGTGCTGCCGAGCGGCACCAGCTCCGTCGAGCCGCTCGGCGCATCCATCTGCCACGTGAGGTGCGCCTCGGCGAGCTCCGCCGCGTCCAGCTTGCGCACGCGCGCGAGGCCTGCGGCAAGTGCTGGCTTGAGGTGCGCGAGCGTCGCGAGATTGCACGGTGCCGCGTGCCCCTGGCTCAGTGCAAGGAGAAGCACATACAGCGCCCGCGGAAAGTGCAGCGGCAGCGTGATTTGGTGGAAGAGTGCGAGGCCCAGGGCTGTGCCGAGCAGCTCGAGCTTCGCGAGCTGCTCGTCCGGCAGGGCAGCACGCAGGTACAGCAGGCCCTGCATGTGCGGCTCACTGGCGCCTAGGTCTGTCCATACCGGCTCGCGCTGCAGCGCTTCGCACAGCAGCTGCAGCCACTCTTTGCGCAGGCCGCCCGCGTCCTGCGCTGGCTCGTCGCGGAACGTCACCTGGAGCGGGCGATGCAGCGCATGCGCAGGCGCCGCAGCGACCGCCGCGAGCGAGTCGTCCAACAGCGTGGCGCGCGCCACCGACACGCGCCAAGTCCCGACCGTCGCGTCCGGCGCGTGGCCTGGCACCACTTCGTCGGCCCATGCGTCGTGCGAGGCCTGGCGCATCGCACCCTGTGCCTCCCATGCGATGATCTGGGCCTTGGCCGTAAGGGTGAGCAGCCACGGCCGCGTCATGAGCGCCGAGCCCGTAGGGGGCGCGCGCAGATACGCCTCATACTCGCGGACAATCGGGGGAAGTGACGTGGCCGCAACGGCGAACTGCGCCGCAGGCAGTGGCGCCGCACGCGCTTGGTTCACGGCCCAAGCCACGGACAACGCATGGATCAGCGGCATCGGCAGGGCGTGGCCATGGCACAGGTACTGGCTCGTGTGCCAGCTGAGCGCGCCGGTCAGGCCATCGACGACTGTCGCCCAGCGACGCGGCTCGAGCGCACAGGGATGCGATGCAGATACGTGTGGCGCCCAGGCAGCCAGCACGTCGCGGCCCAGGCAGCTGCCGAGCTCGAGCGCCGTCCATACGACCGCCTGCGTGGGGTTCGCCGCGTACTGTGCCGCGCAATGGATGAGCAAGGGCGCGAGCCGCTCGCGCATGTCGTGCCGCACCTCCGGCGGGAGTATGTCCGATTGCAGCGCGCCGCATAGCGCTGGGACAGCAGTGTCCGACTGGGATGCCATAGAGAGCCCGGCTGGCGAGCTGATCCACTGCTCGGGCACTTCCAGTGCCTCGGGCGCCGCAGGTGCGGCACCCTCGTGGGCAAGCGCCGCCCTGGGCGCCGGCTCCGTGGGTGGCGCAGCCTGCAGGCGATGCGCGGCGATCTGCGGCGCCGTCGAGCCCGTGCTGCGTGTATGAAACATGGAGGCCCATGCGCCGAGCTGCGGACCATGCGACCGATCGCGCACCGTGATGCTGGCCATGCCATGGAGGGCGCGGGGCGCAGGGAGCCGGTCCGTCCGGGGCGCAGCGCCCAGCGTAGGCGCATCGGGGTCGAAGTCGGCGTGCGCGGGCGCCTCGGGAAGCTCGGCGTCGTCCGGGCGGAACACGATCGAGCGCGACGAGCGCCCAGCGCGCCGCCATGCACTGGCGCGCGCATTCATCTCGTCGACACGCGAAGGATACGGCTCGAACGACGAGGTCACTTGGTCATCCCAGGTGGCGCGCGCCGCGCGCGAGCGGCGCGTGCGCGCCATGTGCTGTGCAGACGCCAGGTCAGGAAATGCAGATGATGCATGGGCGGCGCTCGAGCCCGCGAGAGCCGATGCAGGAGGCGGGCGGCCCCATGGCGACGCCGGCGGAGGCCCCATGCTCCGCGGTGGCACGGCGAGTGTGGAGTGGGAGGTGTGGAGGAAATGGGCGAATTGTCACGTCGGCGCCCACCATGACGAATGTGCTGGCTCTCCCGGTGGCCTACGTGCCGAGCCATGCGACAACGTCGCTCTTTTCGAGCTTGCGGCAGCGCCGGCCACCAAGTGAGGATGACTGGCCCCATAACGAATTTGACTTTGAGCCGTATGTGAAGCGGGAGCTGCAGATCCGACTCGAGTCGGACGACGAAGTGTGCCCGCGCTTTGAGCGCCACCGGCGCTGCGAGCTGGGCGGGCGCTGCACGCTGCGTCACTGCGTGACGCCGTCGCCGCATGTGCCCGCGCTGCTTGGGCGCGAGGGCTCGCGCCGCACCGTGTGCAAGCACTGGTTGCGCAGCCTATGCAAGAAGGGCGACCTGTGTGACTATCTGCACGAGTACGACCTGCGGCGCATGCCCGAGTGCCGCTTCTACTCGACGTTTGGCTACTGCCACTCGGGCGATGAGTGCCTGCATGTACATATCGAGCCGGAGGTGAAGCGCCGCCGGTGCGAGCGCTACGACCGCGGCTTTTGTGAACTGGGTATGTTGCCTGCGCTGACCCAGGCCCCGAGTGCCCCAAGAAACATGTGCGGCGCCTCGCGTGCCCGTACTACCTCGCTGGCTTTTGCCCGCTGGGGCCGGAGTGCAACCTTGGCCAGTGCGTACACGCGACTGACCCAGCATCAAGGCGCTGATTCCCACGCCCGAGTCGCGCGCCGCGACGCCCCTACTCACGCACCGGCCGCTGTCGATGGCCGAGGCATTCGGTGGCGCCCCCGGCATCCAGGAGGTGCCAACGGATCCTCGCACTGGACGTGCGATCGTGCCAGCCAGGCACTGGGCCGCTGCGGCTGAGCTACGGAAGGTGTGTGTGGCCGCGAGCCACGACCCCCAGGCGCGCCGTCGCGAGCTGACAGACGTGCAATGCTACAAGTGTGGCGAGTTGAACCACTTTGCGAATGCGTGTCCCCACGCCTACCGCCTCGGGCCTCGTCCGCCGGACCGCTGGCGAACATAGCGATGATCACAGCTTCGTCTTGACCGTCTGTACATCCACCTTGGTGTGGGTACTCGTAGCCGTCTTCCGCACACGCGCGCCGTCGCGTGCGGTAAGCGCATACACGTCCGTCTGCACAAGCGCGACGCTACGGCTCACGTTGAGAATGTGCGTGTCGACTTCGATCCACATGCCAATGTGTGTCGGCGCAAGGTAGTGCACTGTGAGCGACTGCGACACGCCCGTGCTGACCCAGCTCGTGCCCTGCTCGCCGGGGCTAAAGAGGGAGAGAAGGAACGACGAGAGCAGATCAATGACCGAGGCAATGGACCCACCATGCATCGTCCCGAACGGATTCGCCATGTGCGGCTGCACCTGCAGCCGAAAGCGCATGGTGCCCTGCTTCGCGCGCGTCGGCCGGTCTGTGCGGGCGCGCGGATCCTGGCCCCACACGACGCCATCGCGCTCAGCGTACGAGAGAAAGTACTGCGTGCCTGCCATCGTGAGCGTGTTCCAGCGGCCAGGGTCATTCGTGAGCATCTCTAGCACACTGACAGCCTGCTCCACGGCCTCGTCGACCGTCTGCAGACGCTCGCCGTCCTGGTCCCCCATCGTGGTGCCCCACAACCGGCGCCGTCGCTAGCCGACGCGGACGCCGGATGACTAAGCAGACCCTGTACACCGCTCGCTCAAGCGGCGCACGAGCCGCTCCACCTGCGCCACAAGCGGATCGCACGGCGCGGTCTCTGCGTCGCGCACGCGCGCCGCGACACGGTCATGCTCATCACATAGCTTCGCGTACGCAGCATCATCGCCTGCATGCTGCGCGAGCGCCCGCTCCAGGTACACGCTCGTTGCTTGGGCGCTCCACGCCTCTACGCGTGCCCAGTCGGCAGACGCACACGCCAAGCTGCGTCGCGCGTGCGTCACATCGCGCGAAGCGAGTGCTTGCTTGGCTTCGGCCATGTAGAACATGGCGCGGCGCTCACCATTCTCGTCGGCGAGTGCCTGGGGGCGCACCTGCGCGAGCACGGCCTTGGCCTCGGTGCTCATCGCCAGCGCAAGCGCCTGGACCTCGGCAAGCTGCACAAGGCCCGTGCGATGCAGGGGGTAAAGCTGCTGTGCACCACTCGCAGCGATCGCCTTCATCAGGGGATCCAAACACTGGTGCGGCTGCTGTGCATCCCGCATCGACTGCGCCTCTGCGAGCCACTCGGCGGCACTGGGGCCAGGCGTGAGTGTCGCATGCCACTCGCCGACGCCAGGACACAGTGCTGCAAGACGCCGCAGCGTCGAGACATGCCCCTGGCGTCGCGCACGGAGCCACAGAACGCGCCATACGGCCGCTTGCCACTCCTTGCATAGGGCCTGCGACGTGATCCGCTCGAGCTGTGCCGGCGCGACGAGCGCGGCGATTGCCGCTGCATAGGCGCCGCGCTCAGCATCGCGGTACGCACCAGTCGCACACGCATCGAGCGCAAGGGCATCATAGCCAGCCGGCGGCGCCATGTGCCCGAGACGCTCGACGTGCGCCATGTACGCCTCGGCCAGGCGCGGCTCGCCCAGCTGCAGCCACACGCGCGCAAGCACGGCCGACGGGCACGCCGCGCACCGCTCGATGCTGGGCCGCGGCTCCCACGTCGGCTCCATGCGTGCAAAGGGCGCGCGGGGTGCCCAAATGGTATCGTAGAGGGAGTGCACGATCGCCAAGAGCGGCCGCCCGCGCAGCCGGTCCTGCTCGGCCTTCCACAGAGTGAGCGGCGCATACGCGCCACACTTGAGCGTGTCAGGCGCCTCAGGCTGGGTCAGCACGCCACCCCGATCGTCGTGCGCAACAGGATCGAGCACGGACAGCTGGTCAAGCAGACTGTGTCAGTGTGCACCACGTACCGGTCACACGCGCGCATGCACTCGGCGTCGCCGACGGTGCGTGCGAGGAGAATGGCCTCGTCGAGGGCCTGCATAAGCCGATCATACGTACGGTGCGCGCGGCATCCCAGCCCTCGGTGTGCATGTGGAAGCGCGCGAGGTTGAGCAGGGCGTGCTGATGCAGCTCCTGGTCGCACCCCGGCAGGGTATAATCGAAGAACGCGCGCAGATCGTTCTTCGTCGCGGTATAGTCGCCGCGGCGTTCACTCTCGCGCCACTGTCGAAAGGCGCGCGCAGGCGCTTGCACTTGTGTGAGCCGCGAAGACGTACCTTGCCACTCGTCAATCAGGGCCGACTCGCGGCCATCGCGCCATGCGCGACACAGGGCGACGAGCTCCGTGCGCTCGTGATCTAGGAGCATCTCGTACGAAAGACGCGCGCGCCGCACAAAGAGACCAAGGTACGAGCGCCGATCCAGGAGCATGGGGCACATCGCATCTGCCTCGTCGTGTAGGCCGTCAAGGCAGTCGGGCAATTCTGCGTGAGCAGGGCAACCTACTTGCGTGCATAAGGTCCGTGAGGCCGTCCATGCTTTCGAGCGCGGCAAACTGGTGTCAGCCTAGCCACGTACACTCATGTGCAGATACGTGAGCAGTTTCTCGCGCGTTGTCGGATACGCGTGTAGCACGGCGCGCAGTCGCGCCTCGAGGGCCGCCAAATGAGGCGGCGCACAGTCGATCTACGTTAGCACACCGCACGTACACACTCCAGCGCGCGCACAAGGAAGAGAAGCAGGACGCGTCGCGCATGTGTCTCGCCGTCGCTCGGCGCCAGGCACACGAACGTGACGAGCAGCAGGAGCGCGATAACGTGGCCATCGAGCGTCTGCTGGCAGCCGAACTGGACCATTGTGGAGAAGCGGCGGGCCGCAGCTCTTGGGTTAACGCATGTCGCAGGCGGCGGTCGACGGTATGACACGCGTCCTGCTGGTGCGCCATGGCGAGACGAACGAGAATGTGCAGGGCATTGTGCAGGGCCAGCTGGACACGCTGTTGAATGCAGTGGGTTTGCAGCAGGCACAGCGCACGGGCGTGGCACTGCAGGCAGAGTCGGTGACGCGCATCATTAGCAGTCCGCTGCAGCGCACCCGAGACGTACGTCGACGCCCTCACACAGACCGCGCACCACATTGCCGCGCATCATGGTGTGCAGATCGAGACGGACCCGCGGCTTATGGAGCGCTGCTTCGGAGTGCTCCAGGGCCGAGTGTACCGTGGCCCTGCGCAGAAGCCGGAGGACACGGAGGGTATAGAGCCCTCGGCCGCGTACGTTGCACGACTAACGCAGCATGCGCACGCGTCTCGCGTCATTTTGGGATGACCTGGTCGCAGATGTGCGGGCCTCGGCGCCTCGCGTAGTCGTGCTGGTGAGTCACGGCGGCGCTCTCAGCACTTTGGTGAACCAAGTGCTGCTGCCCCGTGGTGACGTAGTGCTGCGTGAGGATCTGGAGCCGAGCCGCTTTTGGAACTGCAGCATCACGGACATTCACCTGCGTGCGGATGCGCCGGGTCTGGTCGTGCGCTGGGCCGATACGGCGCACCTTGACGAAGCCACGCACGTCGTCAACGTAGATGAGGCGGGGCCAGCGCCTGAGAATGCGTAGTATTGTACATGGTTCTATCGGAAGCTTGCTGCATGGGGCGTGGGGCGCCGTCGATGCAGTAGCGTCTGCAGGGCGCTCAGCCACTGGATTTCCTCGTCCTCGGTAGGAGCGCACAGAACGAAGGTACGCGAGGTGGTCACGATACGGAAGCAATGATCGGTGCGGTGATGTAAGTCGGGCGACAGTGCATTTGCATCCATCGACGGCGAGGTCGGCATCGCTGGGGTGCCGCGCGACTCGGGCGAGCCGGTGATGAAGCCGAGACGGGGAAACGACGACGGCGAAAACGAGAGGCCAGATCCTGAACTTGTAGCGACACCCACTTCGAATTCCATCACGTCCATAATCTCAGCAGTCAGCACACGGCGGTACGTGTGCAGCTCCATGTGGCTGCGCGAGTAGTACAGTGAGTCGAGCGTTAGGACAAACCAGCGCTTCCGCCACTGCTTCCGCCGCGTGCTCTGTTTCATGAGGTAGCCCTGCGCAATGACGCGGTTCACGTCTTCGTCGGGCGCCGCGCTGGAGCCCGATGCCACGCGCGGCGCGGCCGACGGCATGGTGCCTGGGTCCTCGAGCTCTGGCTCCTGATCGTCGTCGGAGCTACTCAGCCACATGCCATGCGCCGATGGACGCGGGCGGCGTGCTTTAGCATCATCGATTGTGCGCGGCGCCGACAATACCGTTGCGCCTTTCGACGATGCACCGCCCTGCGAGTCGAGTGTGAACCAGCGTGAGAACGACTGGAACTCGGTGCGGCGTCCGGGCGTGCTGCGCTCGTCCGCGTTGTCTTCGCTGCGAGGTACTGAGAGGGCCGGCATAGTCGGCGAGCGGGAGAGGTGGGGTCCTAGTTCTGCGCCTTCCACGGCCTGGTCGCGCATATTGAGCAGCGCCTCGATCCACATGTTAGTCTCGTCCTGGCTCGAGGCTTTGAGAAACAAGGTCCGCCCTGCGGTCACGATTCCGATCGTCGTGCCGATGCGGCGAAAGTCAACGGGCACGACTGCGCGAATGTCTCGCGTAGGGACCAGGTTGAGGAGCAAATACTCTTGCTCGTTCTTGTAAAAGGCCAGGCGCGACGGCCGCAGCACAACCCATCGCCGTTTCCACACTTTTCGCCGCTCACCGCGCTTCAGCAGGAAGCCGGCGCATGCAATCTTCTCGTTGATAAGCTCGTGCGGGATCTCATGCGTGGCATGCCCCAGCTCGTCTTCGTCCAGCTCCACGTCGTGGCCACGCTCCACAGCCTCCGCAGGCACGTCACTCACGGTAAGAGCGGGCGCGAGTGCGAGGCCGGGGGCGGACTGGCCAGGTACACTGTGACTTGGCACATCGTGCACAGGATCCACCGGATCCTGTATTTTTAACATCGTCGTATTCGCACGCGCCCCAGCACGGAGGCGGTCGCAACGTGGCAGTGCCTAGACCGCCGGCGTTGTACACTTAGTTCCTTCGCCTCACCACATATTTCCACATGATCACGTGGCGTTACACCCGCGCGGGCGGCCGCTACCAGGCGTCGACCGTCGCTCCTCATGCTTGGACGTGCTAGCTCGATGATGCCTGTGCGTGCTGCGCAGCGCGCGCCCTGGCGTGCCGCTATGCGGACGCAGTACCGCTATGCTTCGGGCCATGGCCCCAGCTACAATGAGCCTTCTGGTATGTATGGCGCTCTCTCACACCAGGCTACCTGTTTGGCGAAAAGGTGCGTTTCACCTTACCACTTACGCCAGCCCCCAGCGCCTGGTACAAAGCGCGTGAAAGATGCGTGGGAGAACATTTGGTATTGGGGCATGTACGGCGGTGTCGCCGCCTTTGCCGTGGTCATGTACTTCAAGCCTGACCGAAGGTACGTGTTGCACCTTGCTCACGGCAGTGTCCGGTCGTGGGCCGCCCCGGAGGCGGAGAAGCGCCTAGACGAGTCGGGTCTGCCGTGGCGTTACAAGCCGTCGCCGAACTCGGGCTACCCGAATGGTATTCCATAGCTCTACAGCTGGCGCGATGGCGCTCGTATCGACAACTTGGTGCGAAGCATGGTCATCTGATCGTAAGTAGGCTCTACGCACCTCTGGATACACGGCGCGCACCCGCTCGCCCAGCCACTCTTCCGTTGCAACGGCGTCCTTCAGCAACACATGTTGCTCAAAATACAAGGTCACGAATATGACCAGCAAGGGGCCGCTCGGCACTACTGCGAGGTCGCTCCATGTAAACGCAGGCCTAGCGTCATTCTCTTTGGCCTGTGTCGATGCAGATGCCAGCGCAGCCTCGACGGATTGTAGCACATCAGAGTCAGCGCTCCGATCACACAGATGCTCCAGCGATCGGACTAGAAGGCGCCAGGCGTCCACACCATTGTGTACGGCTCTGGCCATACCGCCCAGTGGATCGAGCCAGGAGTAGCCAACCCATGAGCCAGAGAGGGTTATCAATGATATAATGGAGGCAGAACTTTCAGATCGTTGGTGCTGAGCACTCGCCTCCAGCATGGTGCTCCGTGTATTTCGCGCTGTCGTGCGCATTACACGGTACAGCATCTCCTTGATGATGAGATTCACAATAACAAAAATGATGGCACGCGGCTCCGTCAACGCAGGCCCGTGCTCATGTGTGTGCAGATGGGCCGGCGTATCAGGAATCTGATACAACAGCATACGTGCTTGCTCCAGCCACGGAAGTGTGGGAGCGAGCCTATCGAGCATTTGGATCAATGCATGAACACCGATGCTCACAGACCCACTTAACAACATACAGCTGATAAAGAAAGAACCCAGCGTCTCCATCTTTCCATAACCAAGGGGGTATCGTGCCGTGGGTAGCTGCTTGGCTTTGTACAGACACAGAATTGTAGCCAAATCGCTAATAGTGTCAGATAAGGCATGCACAGCATCGGCAAGCAAGGTCGAGCTGCTCCATCCATAGCCTGCCACGCCTTTGGCAATACTTAGAATCACGTTGACGCCCAGGCACAAGTAGGCCATCTGGGCCACCGCCTGATTACCATGGCCCACCTGTGCCCAATCAATCGTGTGTTGCAGGTGCGGATCAGCCGAATGCCGATGTTTATGCCCCATTCTCGACAATCTCACCTGTGGCGACACTAGCTCGTACGGTCAGCCAGACAACGCGTCGGTACCCCGGTCTTAAGTACCGTCGAGGTGGAGCAGTATGATATGAATGGAGGTGTGTATAGATTAAAAACATCCTCTACGAAATAACGTCAACGGCTTCTGAGTAACACCCGGAAAGTCGTGCAAAAACCACACGAATGGGTATTACACTGTGAGCAGAAAAAAAAGAGGTATCTTGCCTGTATCAGCGAAATTCGGCTGCTGTTGAAGAAAAAGGAGAAAAAGAAGAAGAAAAAAAATACAGTGCTAGGGACAGCCAGTATCCCAAACTAGTACTTCAATTGATTCACATCGACAAGTTGACCTGCGACCTGGACAAGTTTCTGTGTCTTTTCAGTGGCCGTCTTCTTTGTTCCAGAATGCCCTGAGACCTGCCCTTCTTCCTGAAAACCAAGACTCTTACACAATAGCCGGTACTTGGCACGAATCCGCTCAAGTAGCTTCTCTAGATCAGGGGTCTGGTCATCGATGGGTTCAGGTTGGTTGTCCTCGTTATTTTTTAGGGGCATCTGCTCACAAAGTTGCAAGAAATGCTCAATTTGCTGGATCTGCTTCTGGGCCTTGCGAGTCAGGCCTTCTTTGGCGAAGCGATTGAGGTGTTGTTGGTACATTTGCATCACTCCTGTGTAATATCCAAGCTCAGTCCAGAGCTCAAACCCTTTTTCTCTGCCAAGGGCACGTCCTTCTAGACGTCCGAAAAACTGACCCTTGGCATGACCTTCTTGGAATCCATCCGTGTATGGCTGCTGGTCCAAGTCGGTTACATCGTTCAGGTCAAAATGCAGAGTCGGTGTGTTTCTGCTCGTGTTAGTCTGTGTTCTCGACGTACAAACGCACAGGACCTATGCGTAGTATATCCTAGACTTACTTGCTTTCAGATTCACCCACTTCCTTGGAAGGCGCTGCGTCTTGCAGGCTCGATATCGGACGCTGCTCAGTTGTGGGGGAAATGTATTCGTCCAAGTGTACTTGACTCGGGCTCGTACAAGAGCGCGAACCCAGGCTCCAGATCTCCGATCCAGACGTGCCAGAGTTGGCATGCGTGAGTCCCGAAAGACTACTCGATCCATCCATCGTCGACGAGCCGGAGTTGTCACGAAGAGGATGCAGCATGGTAGATTCGGGACTTTTGTGCAGGCCTTGTCCAAGTCCTAGATTCATGTTTTGGATGCCCTGTGTCACCTCCAGGGGAGTCAAAGTTAAGTTGGGACGCAACCGCTCGGAGTGGACAGGTCCGGCTTGATTGGGAGAGAGTACGACCGGCGAAGAATTAGCGCGACCCCACTGAGTCGAAGGGTTCTCCGAAATCGCCGGCATCGTACCTGCATGTTGAGACGCAAACGTGGGGATGGTCTTCGAAAAGTTGTCCAGACGACTCACCATCTCAGAGATGGGTGTCATCGTTGCCATTCCATGAGACTCCATGGCGGCTTGTGCATGCTTTTGCTCCATAGCTTCCGCCCAGGCGGCCGCACTTCCCCGCGGATCCATCATGGAATGGACGCCCAGGGGAGCCAAAGGCGTATGATCGTCCGAGGGCATATCCGGAGGATGACTTGCATAGGACCCAGGACGACCGCTCATGGCCGCATAGGTAGCTGCCGCTGAGACCGGATCTACCATCGGATAGTCGCGTGCCGAGAGAGCCGGCTTGGCATGACCAGCTGGGTGACCATGCTTAGTCACAACAAATGGCACCGAGCGCTTTGTGTGCAAGTTCTTCTTGGCCAACTCTGCCTTTAGAATACAGCCACGGTCTGTATCTATGCGGAAGCCATTCAAGACGTCTCTTGCCTGCAGAGCTTCTTCCCGAGTCGAGAACTTCGCGAAGCCAATGATCTGCTTGTTCTTTGCGCTAGGCTGCTCTGGCTCCCGCTGGGGGGGGCTGTGTTGCCCATCCCGGTCTGCTTGAGACCATGTGCCGTGTCGGTCTCCTGGTTTCCGGAAATCGTCCTCCGACTTGGTCGGTTGCGGGTACTTGAGCATGGATGCTTCAAATCCTTTGGCAAACAAAAACATGTTGGAAAATTCTCTGTCGGTCATATCTTCAGGAAAACCGGCCATAAACAGCGTCGAAATTTCCTGCGCAGACCTGTCAGTGTTAACAGCCAGAGGGGCGGCGTGCGATTCGGGCTTGCGGTATGTACCGTGGAACCCAAAAGGAAGAATGGGTAAAGCTGCGCCATGCATTGATGCTTCCTTTGTATCCACAGGGAAGTTCTTGTAGGAGGGATGCCATGACGGAGGCGCTGTGACCGGCTGTGTTCCTTGGGGCGACAGGGCGTACGACCCGTCTTGGAGCAGTGGGCTTGTTTTAGCCATTTGGTTCGGCGGATTCGACCAGAGCCAATCCCAGGTACCTGAGCCTGGGGGCGCGAACTCCTGATTCACTAGTTCTGGGTCTGGATGACCTTCTTTCGTGAATCCTGCATAGGCAGCGAGGCGACTATCCGCATCAGTGATAAATGGGTACGTGGTGGTTCGCGTTGCAGGCACTTTGACCTTCCCTGGTACCCAAGAAGGCGCCTGAACGGTAAGAGATTTGGGGGCGCGGTCAGTCCTGGAGATGTCTTCGCCCTGTCTAGACATGGGTGTTTCACCATGACCCAGGAGAGCACTGTCCGCATTTCGCAAGGACTGGCGCGGGCTGTTTAAAGAGTCCTGTGAGCGCACATTATGAGATGTCTGGAAAATGAGAGCCGGGTGTACAACGGGCCCCTCCGGCTGTTTTTCAACGCCACTCATAGTTCAAGCGATGTCGTGTCGACCTCTGGCCAATTCGATAATCCAGAGCCCTGCGTATGGAGCTTTCCACACTTTCACTAGATTTGGCGGAAAGGACGATATCGTCGGGCGTACTGGCGGCTGTCAAATTTGTGGTCGACAGGGTCTCGTTTAGTAGACCAAATGGTCTATGGGCAAGAGTATGGGTAATGTATTGGCGACTACTCATTCGGCCGTATCATAGGTTATTGCAGAAGCCTTCAACATTACTCACTCCACTTGGGCAACCTTGGCACAAAGGTTTCGACTCGACAATCAATCACGCGTTCGACGGGAATGTCCGTGGAAACCCAGCTGATTATTTCCAAATTTGCCGAATGAATCCGGTCATGCAAGTGGAGGGTCTCTATTTTTAAACCAACTGGCCCTTATACAGCTGGCGTGTGAGTGCGCGTTTTTAGCTTGCTTATCTATCACGTCGGATCCAGGCCCGAAACAACAAACTCAAAGTTATTACATGTCACGTACATTCATTACACCATTTACGCCTTCTCTGCTGGCATGTTGACCTGTGGGGTATGCGTCCGTCTGTCCATTCAAATAAACGTAAAAAACTGCGCAGTAGCCCGTGCATAGACAGGCCACGGTGGACTTGGCTACATTGGCTGAGTTTAGTACGCTTTGCAGGGCCCGCACATTCAAGTGCACCTCGCGAAAGGCGTGTGGATTGGCTTCTGGGCGTGAGGGCGCTGGCGCCTGCACGCTGGGATGCTCCAAGCCTGTCCATGTAGCCTCGCCCACGACATCACTACCCACGATCGCCAGCCGTAGGGCGCCGTTGTGGTTGGCACTCAAACACACATGCGTGGCAAGAGGCTTAATTTGCTCGGCCATGGCCTTGACTTCGGCTAGGGGCGGCGTGACGATATAGACCTGTGTCAGCGTACGCGCACGTACATCCGGCGTAGGACACAAGGGTTCGGTAATCAAGCTCATCTCTGAAACGCGCAAGATGCGGACCAGTACTTCCTGTGTGACATCGAGCTTGGCACCTGTCTGGCTCACCATGACGATTGATAGGCTTAGCAGTGGCTCGCCGTCGCGCTTGCCCAGGCGCAGCATTACCTCGGTAGCCCCGGCGGCAGACCGCAGCGCGCGTGCGAAGCTCTCAGCGACGACTTCCACAGTGATTTCATTTTGGTTGTGCGACTCAATGCGGTAGTCGGAAAACACCGACGCCACATCCAGTGTGGCCCATATCTGCACCCCATCGTGCCCGGCCGGTGCGATGAGCCGGAACTGGGTCGGCGCAAAATGCAGGTAACAGGGAGATGATACGCCCGCCGCCGTGTCTGGGTGAGTAGTAGTCACACGTACGAAGCAGCCCAGCTAGCAGACCCACATTGGTGACCGACGCGCGGAGCCGCATCGCGCCCCAGCCGTCGTGCCTGCAGGATACTGCGTCAGAGCGCACAGCCGATCCCGGCCGAGTGGCACGTTGCCTGAATGCACAAACACGTGCCGACCAGCTAGGGGGGGGGGAAGACGCACAGATTCCTAGCACACCATGTCTGGCTGGGGTAGTTGGCTGTACGTACGGCCTTGCGCTAACCACAGAACTGGCTCCTCGCAACCTGCGGATGCGCAGGGAGCGCCTTCTAGCGAAGGGAAAAAGAGCAACTTTTTCCCTGTTACAGATGCCTTTGATAACGAACACAAGTATGGCGAGCTTGCACCCAGCGATCTTAACTGGACGTGCCCCAGTGGACTGTCGACGGAGACGTCGGTATGGTATGCGATGCTCGACGATGGATCGTTTTTCCTGAACCAGATCATATACTCTCCGGTCGGGTGCGTACCTTGCGCGACTGACTTTAGCTTGTTCCAGCCGCAGGTCCAAATGACATTCCGCTACTTCCACCCCAAGACGGGCGAGAACGTGTGGAAGTCGAAGAATGTGGACCAGTTCCAGGTACTACCGAACGACAAGCGCTCGTGCAAGTCGAGTGCGTTTACGGTGACGTGCAAGGACTTGGAGGACGGCTCGCAGCAGTACGACATTTCCGGCATGCTGGACACGGATCTGCAGCTCATGTACACGTTGACACGCAAGCCCGAGGCCAAGGGATGGAAGCTGGGCCAGGGCGATAAAGGCGGCTTTAGCTACTTTGGCGAGAACCCTGCATCGCCGGTGGGCCATGTAGTGCACCGCTTCTGGCCGATGGCCGAGGTCTCGGGCATGATCGTGTTGAATGGGCGTGCGATCGAGGCAAAGGGCCTGGGCATGTTTGTGCAGGCCATTCAGGGCATGCGCCCGAACCTGGTGGCCTCCAAGTGGAACTTTGCGAATTTCCAGAGCCGGGAGCAGGGCGGCTCGAGCGCCGTGCTGATGGAGTTTACGACGATACCTGACTACGGAAAGGCCTCGGAGGATGGTACACAGCGCGTGCCTCAAACCGTGACGATCGGGTCGATTGTATGCCAGGGCCAGCTCGTGGCCGTGGTCGGCGCGACGCGCGCTGCCGGTGCAGAGCTGCCGTCGACGCATGCAGAGCACCAGACACTCACGCTCGACCCCGACACAGGCTACCACGTGCCCCAGAGCATCCAGTACACCCTCCAGGGCCCTGCCCTAGTCGGTGACGGCGCGCCGGGCCAGGACGTGACGGCTGAGCTGCGCGTGGAGCTCGGCGCGCCGGGCCAGACGCAGGGACTGATCGAGAAGGTGGATGTGCTGGCTGAGATCCCTTACATGGTCAAGAAGCTGGTAAATTACGTGGCCGGCACCAAGCCGTACATCTACCAGACGCTGAACTCCGTGGGGATGAAGCTGACGTGCCCTGAGTCCGTTGCCAAGGCACTGGGCCTGCCGGAGACCAGTGTCACGCTGCAAGGCACCCTCTTTGAAGAGCACACGTTTATTAGCGCGTAGCTACGTAGCCTGTCTCCTACTTGGTAAAGTAGCGTGCGACCTTGCCGAGGATATGCAGCAGCACGACACTCAGGACAAAGGCCACAGAGAGAACGAGCACGATCACCGGGTCGCTATGGTATCAGCATGGCACACGTACACTGTCAGGCCCTTGTTGTCATCCGTGTAGAGACGCAGCATGGTGTTGGAGCTGCCGCCCGCGCCCGCTTCGCGCGTGCTGTGCGGCTTGTTCTTCTCGGCTAGCGCGGCTTTGCGGCTGACGTTAGGGTCATGCACGTACCGCATCACCGACGAGTTGCGGCTCGCGAGTGCAGCAAGCTGCGCTTGCGTCAGAGGTTTATGTGTGCTCTTTTCGGACTGTGTCAGCGCAGAACACCTACCATCGCTACGGCGTAGGTCGACGTGGCCGGAGCTTACTCAGAGGCGACGGAGCTGGCCGCCTGCCATAATTGCCACGTGGCCACAACCTCTCACGCTCGTCCTACTCTGCGGCTTTCCTCGCGATGAAGGTCGACAAGCTCAAGGTCCGCCCCAAGAAGCTGGCCTCCAAGGCCCCCTGTGCCGCTGAATTTGCCGCTGTCCTTGCGTGCTGGGCGAGCTCAAGCGATCTGCGCTCGCAGAGCGAATGCGCCGAGGTAACCAAAAACCTGCGCGAGTGCATGGCTACGTCGGTACGTCCGCTTCTCTCACCGCAGCACACTGGCCAAGCGCGCACGAAGCCCACGATCAACTACCACCTGGCGCGCTTTTCAAAGCACATGTAGACGCCCCACTACCATAGCGGCCTCGTCCCGTATACCAGCGCACATGCCTTTTATGCTCCCCCACCACTACCGCGTGCAGGTGGCTACGACGCCAGCCCAGCTTCGCGATGCGTACAGGCTGCGCATCGACGTGTTTGGCGAGGAGTTCGGCTACGGACGCGAGAACGAAATCGACCAGTTCGTATCGGGCGCTGACCCAGGCTCGATACAATTGCCATTCCGCTCGTGCTCGAACGCATCTCCGATGCAGCTGTGATCGGCGCGATGCGTGTGCTGCCCTACCCTGTTCCCACGCTCCCCGAGACTTACTATGATGCAGAGACAGAACCCCTACCTGGCCTAGGCCGCACACCAGAGGCCATGGCCGCCGCGCTTGCGGCCCACCAGCAGGTAGGTCTCGACCACGTCCTCTCCGGCGTCAAGCTGGGGCGGATCGCACTGCGCGCGGATGTGCGAGGCCTCGGCCTTGGCCGCGCGTTCCTGGCCGAGGCCGAGCGCTGGATCTGCGCTGCCCTTGCGTCCTGCGATGCACGCGCGGCGCGGGTGCAGTTGACGGCGCAGTCGGTGGCCCGCGGCTTTTACGAGCAAGTGGGCTACGAGGCGACCAGCGGGGAATTCTGCCTGCTGAATCAGCCCCACATCTGGTACGCAAAGACACTCTCGCTCGACCGAGTCATGGCAGAGTTCCACACGGAGATTGCCGTGTCGGACGAGCGCCTGCGTGCGGCGTACCAGCTGCGCCAGACCGTTTTCTTCGGCGAACAGGGCTACGACGCCGACCGCGATCTTGACCAGTACGTGCGCTTTCCTGACCCAGTTTGGACGACGTCGCCGCGCACGTCGTGTTGGTGCGCTCCACCGACGATGCTGTCGTAGGCGTCCTGCGCGTCCTGCCATACCCCCTGCCTAAGCATGACGAGCGCTTCTATGGGCGGCAGGTGATCGACGAGGGGCCGCTTCCCGGCCGTGGCCGCGCGGCGTCAACGATCCAGGCGGCGTTCTTGCGCTCCCAGACAGCCGCGCCAGGCGCCCCTCTCGTGTACTCGGGCGCCAAGCTGGGCCGCATTGCCATCGACCCCACGTGCCGTGGACGCGGCTTGGGCCGGCACCTAGTCCAAGGCGCCGAGGCGTGGGTCACGCAGGCGATCCGCACGCTGCCTGTGCCGCCAGGCACGACGCGCGTCGGCGTGCAAGTCCAGCTGAGCTCGCAGGAGCCTGTGCGCGCCTTCTACGAATCGCTAGGGTACGCTGTTCAGGGCGACGTATACTTGGAAGAGGGCCAGCCGCATATCTGGTGCCGCAAAGTACTGCCTGTTCCTATTTGAGCGCTTTCGCTGCCTCTTCTAAGTAGTGTCGCAAGTTCCCCGTGTGGTACGTGGGCGTCGGCGGGAGCATCGCAGCTGCGCCTTCCTCGGATGCAGAAAAGTGCGCGAGCACCGCGTCCATCACGCGCGCTACGAGCGCCGGGTCTGTGGCCGCCTTGTGCGCACGCAGCAGTGCATGCAGCACGACCGTCCAGCTCGCAGGGGCCGGCGGCACTGCACTCTGCGGCGCCGACTCGCGGGCGAGACCCACCTGCACAGCCAGTGCGCCGCGCGCCCGCAGCAGCTCGTCGGCCACGAGCACGCCGCGCCGGAAGAGAGGCACGTCGTCGGCGTCAGCGAGGAGCGCGCGTACGAGCACATGGTACGTGTCCGGCGTCGGCGCCAGTTGCCGCACCGACAGCTGGTGCCATAGCACGAGCGCGAGCCGCTTCGCATGCGGCGGCACATCCTCGACCTCGCCCGGCAGGCGCGGCGGCGGTGCGGCAAAGAGCGGCGGCCACTCAGACACGGTGCCCACGTCCACGGGGCGCGACGGCGGGACGAGGCCTGCGATCATCGTCTCGAACGTGACGGCCGTAGGGGCCAGCTTCACTGTCGTGCACATGGTGTGCATCAGCTGCAGTGCGACGCGCATGCGCGGCTCGACATCGCCCTTCACATGCAAGCACGCTTTGATCATCGCCGTGAACGTCACCGAGTTGGGCGGCACATGCATCGACTGCATGATCTGCTGCACCTGACTCATCGCGGCCTCGGCGTCGGCCGGCGTCGTCGCATGGCGCAGGAGCGCATCGAGCACCGTGGTAAAGGTAACCACGTCCGGCCGCAGACCCAGCGGCAGGATGCGCCGGAGCGTCGCGGCCATGGCCGGCAGATTTTTCTGCCGCGCGTAGGCGCGCAGCATGATGTTGATGGTCGTGATCGTCGGCGGCGGCACGTCGCCCTGCCCCATCGTCTGCACAATGGCCTGCGCCTCGCGCATGTGCCGCGCAACACACAGTCCGTGCACGACGGCATTGTACGTCTCCACGGGAATGCGCACCTCGGGCCGCGCGCGCAGCTGCGCGAACAGATCTGTAGCCTCACGCACGCGGCGCTGGCGGAAGAGTGCCGCCATCATGGTCGTATAGCACACGAGATCCGGCGCCTCACTGGGCGCCTCAACACACACAGAGGCTCCACGCGCGAGTGGCACGTCGTGCGCGCTCGCCTGATGCGTAAGCACATGCCAGGCCGCTAGCACGGACGGCAAGTCACCAGCACGCGAGTAGCCGTCCAGGACCGCATTCCACAGTGCGAGCGGCGGCCACGCCTCGCGCACACGCGCCTGCGTCGCGCCCACGCACGCCCACACCTGCGACGCGAGGTCTTCGCGCCGCGCGGCCAGGAGACCGCTCAGCGAGACGGCCCAGCAGCTGTCGGTCCACGCGCCTAGCTGCCCAGGCGCCGCCACGGGCGTCGGCGCGAGCCACCCTGGACCGCGGTCACCTGCCTGTATGCCCGCGTCCATCGCTGCTTGGATCAGGCGCCACGCCCCGGGGCTATCGCCCCGCGCAAAGAGGCTGCCAAGCAGGCGTGCAATACGATTCGGACCTGCCGGTCCACCACTGCCGTCCAGGAGGCCGCGCGCAAGCTCGGCGTGCGACACATAGGAGAGCGCGCGTGGCACAAGGTCGTCGGCGTGCCTGGTGCTCGGCGGCCACCGAATCTTGCTGTACTGCCGCGCACACTGGGTATAGTCAAAGTACAGCTGGGTATGTGTGCCGACATCAAAGGAGCGCATTGTGTCAACGAGCCCGCGCAGGTCGCGTTCGGCCGCATAGCATAGCACGAGCAGGGCGAGCAGGTCGTGCAGTGCACCGGGGCGCACGCCGCCCGCATCGAGTAGTAGCGCCGCGTCCCTGCCGGCCGGCCGTGCGCGGCGCCGCGCATCCAAGTACGCATCAAAAAGGCGGATGGCAGCAGCTGGCTGCCCACACAGCAGCTCGACGCGCATCCAGCCCTGTACGCCCAGTACGTCCATGCGCTGCGCGGCGTCCAGGCCCCACGCGCGGCACCGTTCTGCCCAGGCCGGAGCGCGGCGCTGCGCAGGTGCGAGTGCGGGCAAGTGGGCGCGCACAAGCGCGAGAATGTCTGCATAGTCGTGGCGGCGCAGGCGTTCGCGGCGCGTATCCGCGCGTAGAGCATCCCAGGCCTCCCAAACCTGCTCGAGATCGCGTGCGGCCAGGCCAGCACGCAACGTGCCCACCTCCGGCAGTGGCGCCGCTGACGCCGAGAGTGCGCGCACGCGCGCCGGTAAGCGGAGCCGCCGCGGCACGGCGCCCCACATCAAGGTGCCCGCGAAGAACGCGGTCGCCGTTTGATCATGCTCGGCCGAGCCGCGCTTGTGCGGTGGGGCCAGCCCCGCCGCGTCACGCCACGCCACGCAGCGTCATGTCGCGGGACGTGCGGCCGCTGCTCGCGGACGACGAGAATGACGAGGATGTATACTCGCTCGAGGAGGCGGCACAGTATGTGCCTGTGCAGCGCCGCTACCTGTATGCGCCGGTCTCGTATGAGCAGGCGATGACACCGCCGCGCCCCATGTGGCACCCCCTCTACTGGTACGGCCTCGCGCGGGAGCACTGGCACGTTTTGGATGTGCTGCGCCCGCCGGAGCGCTTGCGGGTGGCGTGCGCCCGCATCAGCGCAGCAGCCAAGCTTGTATGGCCGCGCAACCGTATGCACCAGACGATCCTGATCGTGTTCGGCCTGTGGGCGCTGCTCAGCTACGCCAACTGGGCCGTGGGCCGCGCTATGCCGCGCGATCCGGACGACCCTGCGCTGTACTGGGACTTTGAAAGCAAGCTGCTGCATGATGTCGAAAAGGTGCAGCTCGCGGCGCGGCCGGACGACGGCGTGGTCGTGCAAAATGCCACATGGAGTGCGCTGTACTGCTCGTCGACAGGCAAGCCGCTGCGCTTTATCGACTCGGTGCAATGCAAGGCACATACGAACTTCTCGCTTGTGGCGTTCCCTGGCCCCTCGTCGATGACATCGACGGACCACACGTACCTGTTTGTGAACCCTGTGCTGTCGGAGGCGCAGGAATGGTACCCCCGCGAGGCGAACTTGACACAGCAGCAGCTCGAGCGGAGACCGCGTAAAGCGCCAGCGAATGTATATGTGGTGACGCGCCCGAAGCCGAGCGCCAACGACCCGAACCACGATCGTATTCTCGTGGACATTACGGCAACGTACGACCGCCAGGCGGCCGCCCTCGTCCAGCATGCGAAGGTCGCCAAGCTCTCGCATGGCATTGTGTCTGAGGGCGTGTTGCTCCTTACGCATGAGCTGCCTGACTATGGCCTGTTCCTCGAGGAGGAGCACGAGTCCCTGAGCTTTGACATTGTCGTGTCGATTCCGGAGGGCCAGCCGGTCGCCGGTCTTGTCATGGACGTGCGCGAGGGCCACGTCCACCTGTTCACCGACCATGCGTTCCACCGCGCGCGCCATCTGCTGCTGGAAGCGCACAGTCAAACAGACAGCCGCGGCTGGATGTTCCTCGGCAGCCCGCAGCGCGTCCGCGTTCCGCCGCCGTCGGCCGCGGAGCTCGCAGAGATGTCACGCCTTGCACGTGTGGACCACTTCCTTGGGCGCCTGACGATCTACGCGCAGTTTGGCGCCGTCGCTCTGGGCGGGCGCTTGCACGTCAACTCTGAGATCATTGTCAAGACGCTGCGCAGCCTCATCGAGACCACGGCGCACCTTGTCGCACAGTACGTGTATTTGTGGAGCTACGAGGGCTCCATCGTCCTGCGCAACTCGACCCACGTGGCCACGCAAAAGGTGGTGCACCTTTCGTCGCATAAGGGCTCGATAGGCGCCGAGCCGCACGTCGACGTGGCCAGCTCGCGTACGGATGTCTTGACGACACAAGGTCAGATCGTCGCGAATGGCGTGTGGCATGCCAATTTCTCGCTCAATATGGCGACCCACGACGGGCCTATCAATGCGGTCGTGGCCGTGCACAAGCCGGCGCTCGAGGAAGTGCCGTACGAGGACTTTTTGCGCTTGGCGCATGGGCGCCGCGTCGAGACGCAGTTCCAGTCGCGCCGCGGCGCCATACAGGTGCAGTACGTGGCGCACGACGCAGGTGTGCCGCTCGCGTCGACCGCGCACTCGATCGACGGCAGCGTGCAGGTGGCCCACCCCGCCGACTTCGAGGGGCGCGTGCTTGTGCAGGGCCATCCGGCCGCGTGGCAGCCGGGCACGCCACGTCCTGGACGCCACATCGTCGACGAGCAGCGCACTACGCTGGTACGCAGCGCGCAGGTGTTCCTCGACGAGCAGGCGCGCGGTCCTCCGCCGCCCCTCCCCCCATCGATGCCGCCCCACATCGAGCCGGGCAAAACACCCCTCGATTATGGCGCCGAGTCGCGCGCCGAGTCGGAGCGGCAGGCCGCCTCCGTAACGCTTGCATGAGGTAGATACCATCTATGTGGCATGAGCCCAGTACCGCGAAATGCCACGCTGCGCTGGCGCCTGCGCCCTGCGAGCCTCACACAGCGCCTCAGCATCGCGCCTCCGCGATGCGACGGGGCGTGCGGCGACGGGTGCGGCGCGCGGCACCAGCTCCTCGACCAGCGCCTCGACCAGCGTGCCGAGCGCCACCAGCGCACTGGCGTCCATACGCCAGGCCATCGTGCGTGCCCAGCCCAGAGAGTGGTGCGCCCAGTACGTCCACAGCGGCGACCCTGGCTCCATCTCCGGCATGGGCTGCGCCGACTCGTCTCGCGCGCGTTCACACTCGTCCGGCGTGGCGTCGGTCGTCGCGGCGGAGGCAGCGACAGGACGGAGGAGGCCGTGCGTATCGTAAAAGCGCGCCACGTAGTAGTGCAGCGCTTGCAGCAGCGTCTGTGTAAGCAGAGCACACGTACCGAGCGCGGCACACGCGCATCACACGGCGCCGCATAGAGCCAGCCAAAGCGGCCCTCACGCAGCTGCCGTTCATCGGCCTCGTCCCACTCGGCAAGGCGCGGGAGCACCTCGTTGACCATATTCACGAGCTGGCGCCGGTGCTCGCCGGGCGGCGTCGCACCGTCCGAGTCCGACTCGTCTTCGCTCGCGGCCGGCTCGGGCGCCTTGGCCTTCCGAGAGAGCGAGAGCATGCGCAGGTACGCGGCCTGGTACCGCTCCCACTCGCCGCGCATCACCGGGAGGCGCGCGCGCTGCGGACCATCAGGGCGCACACCAGGCAGCAAGCCCGCGCTGCGGCGCGCGCGCCAGTAAGGCGAGGCACGCTCGACCGAGCCGCCTACGACTCGGCGCTGGCGCCGCAGCTGGGCCGTCGCATACGACACGCCGTCGTGCACGGCGCTCGGCGAAAGAGGCGCCTGGGTATCACTGCGCAGCACCATGCTCATCGGCGCCAAGTCGAGCGTGTCGCGCCGCGTACGGCGTGGCTCGGGCGCCTCGTCCACGGGCAGCCCGACCTCGGCGGCGCGCCCAAGCGCCAAGGGCAAGTGTCGCACACCATGCACCGACTTGACCATGGCCACCCGCGACGTCTCCGGCAGCATATCGTTCGCATACAGCGACGACATGCGCAGTGCGGCCATGTCCCATGCCGTCGCGTGGCGAGACATGAAGGTCGATGCGAGACTACCAACTAGTGGAGGAAAAGCTCGTGCAGCTGCCGCATCGTGTCCTCCGGGCTCGTGACCGTGTGGCCCGTCACGCCAGCGTGCGAGAAAATCTCGTGGTCGTTACCGCCCTGGCGTCAGTAGGTCATACGTACGGGGAAGGTCTTGTCGCCGAAAAAGTGGATCTCGCGGAAGCCGTCGGGGAGTGCGCGGCCCTTCTCGTCGACGTGGCGCAGCGCGTACGTCTTGTCCCATCCAGCAGGAAACACGTCAAAACTGATCTGACCGCCAATGCTGTACGTCAGGCCATAGTCGGGGAACTGCTTCTTGAGCGCCTCAACAAATGCCGAGCGGATGTTGTGCTCCTTGTCGAACTTCTCAAAGTCGTGGCGCTCCTGCACGGAGGCGTTGCGGCCAATCGGGCTCACATTCACCATGCCGCGGCGGAACTCGATAAAGGTGCCGCGCATCACGGGGATGTCCAGCTGCGAGATGTAGTTGAGGACAAACTTGACAAACGCCTTGTACTTGTCTTCGCCCAGCCAGCCAATGAACGACTGACTCGCCAGCTGCTCGCCCATCCGGTACGCCGTCAGGCCGTTCTCCGCAAAGCCATAGTCAAACTGCGTCACAATGTCGGCGTGCCCGGGCAGCTGCAGCTGCTCGCGGATCTTCGACAGGTCACTGCCGCCCACAAAGCCAATCACCACATGTTCGCGCAGCGCCTTGAGTGTGTCGAGCATCGCGTCAGACACCTGCTGGCGGGCCGGCGTCAGCGTGCCATCCACATCGAACAGGCACAAAATCCCCGGCTGCTTGCGCTCAGCGAACGGGACAGGGGCAGACATCGTCGTGGGACAGAGTGACGACACCGCGTGCGGCGGCCCAGGTCGATGCACGGGCCTGCCACGTGGGGTCCCATCACGTGGAGCCCTAGGCACCGTCCGTATGAAGCGGCGGCGGCGACGGCGTACGGCTCGGCACGGGTGCGTCGTCCTCGTACGCGCGGATCGCGCGGGAGTCGGCATGGGTCGGCGGCGACGGCACGTCGGTCTCGCGCGCAGGTTCACGCTCCGCCACGCGCGCGCGGCGCGACGCATAGCCATTGTCGCGCGGCCGCTCGTCCGCCTCGCGCGGCCGCTCGTCCGCCTCGCGCGGCCGCTCGTCCGCCTCGCGCGGCCGCTCGTCCGCCTCGCGCGGCCGCTCCTCCCAGTCGCGTGCCGCCCGGTGCCGCTGCGCACGCGCTTCGTGGCGCTCAAGCTTGCGCTGCTCCTGCCAGGCGGGATCAAACGCCTGGCCCTCGACGTACGAGGGATGGATCCGCAGAGCGCGCTGCATGCTCTCGGACTCGCGCGTCTTGGCAGCGCCGCGCGCATGCGTATCGGACGGCCGCAGCTGCTTCACCTCGGCGCGCGTAGCATGGCCATACTGCTCCGGCGCGCGCGCGAGACGCGCGCGCAGGCCCTGGCGTAGCGAGTCAACACGCGCGCGGATCTCCTCGTCGGGAAGACTGGTGTGAGTCAATAAACGTACCCTCGCTCCTCCAGCTCGTCCTGCAGCTCAAGGCACTGGAGTTCAATCTTGCGTCGCCGCTCGTGATCCAAGATGCCCGCGTCCGGCGCTGCTACGCGCGGCTTGGCCTCAGGCTCCATTGGCCTCGGCCACGGGTCGCGGGGACGTAGGTGCGACAGATTCTTCTGGACATAGCCATTCGTGCCGCTACCGCGCGCGGTCTGCAGGCCGATGCCGTTGTACATGGCGGTCGCTACCGCGGCGGTGGCGGCGCCGCGGGGCCAGGATGTATGATTAGTCATCACCCGGCGTCGACAGCGAGTGGGCGCGGCGCGGCGCTTCCGTCTGTCGCGCTGGGCCGACGATCGATGGGGGACGCGCACCTGCCGCCGCCCATGGCCCCGCCCCTTGAGGGCATGACTGCGCTGGATCTACACCCGCTTATCTCGCAGTTTTGCCAGAGACCGGATCCCTCCGAGGTGCATGCCGCCAACGTGGACGCGTTGCCTGGTAGCTCGGCGCAGCGCGAGCATGCGCTGCTCGAGCTGAGCAAGAAGCGCGAGCAGTATGAGGACCTCGCGCTCGTGCTGTGGCACAGCTTTGGCGTGATGCCCTCGCTGCTTCAAGAGATTATTTCTGTCTACCCGCTGCTTTCGCCGCCCGTGCTCACGGCGCATGCGTCGAACCGCGTGTGCAATGCGCTAGCGCTCCTGCAGTGCGTTGCCAGCCACAGCGAGACGCGCAGTGCGTTTTTGCAGGCGCACATCCCCCTGTTCCTCTATCCGTTTCTGAACACGACATCCAAGTCGCGGCCGTTCGAGTATTTGCGCCTCACCTCGCTCGGTGTGATTGGCGCGCTGGTGAAGCAGAATGACAAGTCCGACGTCATTACGTTCCTTTTGTCGACAGAAATCATACCACTGTGTCTGCGCATCATGGAGACAGGCTCGGAGCTCTCCAAGACCGTCGCGATCTTTATCGTTCAAAAAATTCTGCTTGACGATCTTGGGCTCAACTACATCTGCCAGACGTACGAGCGCTTCTATGCTGTCGCCACCGTGCTCAGCAACATGGTCACGCAGATCGTCGAGAGCCAGGCCATTCGCCTGCTCAAGCATGTTGTGCGCTGCTACCTGCGCCTCAGCGACAATCCGCGTGCACGCGAAGCGCTGCGCTCGTGTCTGCCCGCGCCCCTGCGCGATGCCACGTTCTCGCAGCTGTTGAAAAACGACCACATCACCAAGCGCTGCCTTGCGACGCTCCTGCTCAACTTGTCCGATCGCGCAGAGTCGTAGTCGCGGGCACATGCACCTCATTGATACCGCGCTGGGCCCGGCCTGATTGTCCTATATACATGATGTAGCGCCGTCCTAGAGGGCTCGGCATCAAAATCCTTCGGGCAGCCGACGGCGAGTGCGCCGCGCCGCACCACGCTCTGCTGCGCCACGCGCGTCCGGCGTACTATGCGGGGGCACCGCCCCTGTCGGCGGCTCGACCCGTTCCACCACGGGGTCAGGCCAAGACAGGTCGGCTTGCAGATCCGCCGCCGCCTGCCGAGCACGCACAGGGCGACTCGGCTCCGTGGACGCAGGTGCATGGCTCACCGACAGCTCCTGCTCCATCGAGTCGGGCGACGACGGCAGGTCAGCGGGGGGCGCAGCGGGCGGGATCGAGCTCTGCTGCGCGCTGATGCGCTCGAGGGCCGTCTGCAGCTGCGACTCCTGCATGTGCTGTGACGACAATTGCTGCTCGACACGCGCGACGGTTTTGTCCAAGAAGGACGCAATCGATTCACGCTCGTCCTTCTCGACAAAGCCCAGCATGCTCGACTGCAGGCCTTGGGGATTCAGCAGGTCGAACTGCTGCAGCCGCACATTCTCCATCACGAGCGACGCCAGGTCCATACGCTCAAGCTTTTCCGCTGGCGCCATGCGGCTGTCGAGCGGCACCACCGTCGCGCGTGCACCGGGCGCACTGCGCCGCCGGTCGCGAAGCAAATGTAGCTGCAATAGGTCTTTGGGGTTTGCGACGCGCCCCATAAACGACTGCCCAAAGCGTGCCAGGTTGCCCAGGGGAATCTGCGTGTCGTACGAGACGCGCAGGCGCACAAGCGGGAGCGGGCGCTCTTGTGTGTCTGCATGCCCGGAATCGCGCCATTGGCGCTCCGCATCCTCGAGCATGGCCTCAATCTGGGTTAGCCTCCATACGTACATGGTGCCGAAGGAGCTGCGCGACGGCGACACGGTCCGTCGGGTCGACGGCCGACGACGCTGCCTCGACCGGGAGCGAGATGGATTTGTACAAAAAGGGGCGCACAGTACGCAGCGGGATCGGCTCGACATGGCACGCCTGGCCCGTGACTTGCACAATCGCCACACACTTGTCCGTTGCTTCTCCCGGCGATAGACTCGTTGCTATCGTGCTTCCAGGCTGCGATATCTTGTACGGTTTCTCTGCCACCGCTTCCGGCACGATACGCTGCTCGTGCTCGTGGCCCCATATGACCAGGTGCAGCGAGTCGTCCAGGGCACTTTCTGGTACATACGCCTTGGGCGAGTGCGCCGAGCTGCGTGAGTCGAATGCACATACCGATTCTGGTGCAGGACAAGTAGGTTGAACCACGAGTCGGTCGCCTCGGCGGGGCGGTACATGCAGATATGCTTTTCGCGGAGCTCGTGCGAGAGGCGCTCGTCCTTGATGTAGCCCATTCCATACAGCGCGATGCGCGTCTGCCCCTTTTGCAGGAGGACAGGCTTGACGCCAATGACCTCGCTCGGGCTATCGGGCGCGCGCCGCTTGCGCGTTGAGGGCGGGAGCGAGTGACGCCCAAAGTAGTTGAGCAGTCCGGCAGCTGCAAGCACGTCCAGCGCGGATAGTGTGCCGTCCTCGCCCATGCCCTGCGGATCGTCGTGATTCCCGTGGATAGAAAACACAGGCATGCACACATTCAGGTCCGTGTCCTCGCAGTTGACCGTAGGGAACGTCTGGCCCTTTCGCACGCCGTCAAAGGGATCACTAAGTAGCTCGAGGGCCATGGGCTCATCGCCCATCGTATACTGGCGTAGGAGCGACATGGTCCTGAAGAGCGTTGGCCTCGACGGCTTGTTCTCGTGAAAGACATCGCCGCCCAGGAGCACAAAGTCGACACGGTGGGCGCGCGCCAACTGCAGGATCTCTTCGAATGTATCGAGCGAGTCGCGGCCCCGCACGGGATCGCGCTCCATGTACCCCAGACTCGTGTTAGGGCATGCAACGTACTGGGTATCGGAGGCAAGCAGGAAGCGCACCGTGTCCGCGTCATGTGGGCCGCCCGAAGACGCCATGACGCGCGTGGAGGCGGACGGGAGGCACTACGGTCTATGTCCATCCGAGCTTCGCGCGCCACCGCTCCACGAAGCGCATGAACGATACAGTAAAGTCAAGGCACGCGATCAAACGACTGTCCTGCGTCTGACCTGTGACATGGATGCCGAATTTCGCTGCGTTAGTGCCACGGACCTACCAGGGGGGATCTGCTGCGGGAGGTACACGGTGTGTGTCACGTCGTAGTGGCCGGGGGCGACCGGACATTGTACGGTAACGTTGTTCTCGCGCAGTGTCTCACACAAATCAAATTTTTGTGAAAACACGCGCAGTGGTCCGAGGCGCACTTGCACATCGAACGTCGCGCCCTCCTGAGCGTCAGCGTTGGGCCACGTACGGAGATCTCTGAGTGCACGTCGCCCACACCGCGGACAGTCAAGTTCTGTCCTTTGACGGGCGGGTCTGGGCTGGTCTCGATGGAGTACACTGACACGGCTGCATCCGCATAGTCGCACGGCGTCCATGTCCAGCTCCCGCGGAAGTGGCTCGCCGGGGCCACGGGCTCCAGCGCCGCGTTCAGCGGGATCTTCTTCTTGTGCGCCTCGTGTGCCATCATATCGACAATATCCACAGGCTCTGACATCTCGGGCGCCTGGAATGCGACTTGGCGCGATGTCGGCAGCGAGGACGCCGATACGGCCGCGGCCGCGGCACTCAGCCACAGGACCCAACGCATCGTGGCGGGGGGAGAGCCGATGCGGGGCTGTGGAGGTCACAGGCGGCCGGCCGACCGACTTTTTTGCTGCGCGCACCATGAAGCTAGACGCGACTGATGTGCGCTATGTCACGCCGGAAGAGTTTCGTGTGCTCACTGCCGTCGAGATGGGCTCCAAGAACCACGAGGTTGTGCCTACGGCTCTCATTGCGCAAATTTCGTCGCTTCGGCATGCGGGCATCAGCAAGCTGCTATCGAGTCTGCTGAAACGCAAACTAGTGGCGCGCGTGCAGAACAACGTCTACGATGGCTTCCGACTGACGTACGGCGGCTATGACTACCTGGCTGTGCGTGCACTCAGCAAGCGCAAGACGCTATACGCGGTCGGCAATCAAATTGGTATCGGCAAAGAGAGCGATATCTACATTGTCTCGAACGAAGAGGGCGAGCGGCGCGTGCTGAAGATCCACCGCTTGGGGCGCATCAGCTTCCGCAAGATTAAGGAAAAACGTGATTATATGGGCAAGCGCAAGAGCGCTAGCTGGATGTACATGAGCCGCCTTGCTGCGGAGAAAGAGTATGCATTTATGCAGGTACGTGGCGCACACTGACCTAGATCCTTCATGCACACGGCTTTCCTGTCCCCACACCCATCGACCAGGCGCGGCACACAATCCTCATGAGCTATGAGGACGCATACCCCCTGCGCCAGATTGCGTCACTGCCGCTGGACCAGGTGCAAAAACTCTACTCGGCGCTCATGGCGCTGATCGTGCGTTTGGCGCAGGCGGGCCTCATCCACGGCGACTTTAACGAGTTTAACCTGCTCGTCAAGGAGGTGTATCCCGACAGCGATGAGGCGTCTGAGACGGACGCGCCAGACGCCCACGCAGATACCAGCGGCGCCGAACCCGGCGTGGCGCCGGAAGACGCGGGACCGGTGGAGCGCGGTCGCGGCTTTGAGCGCGTCCTTGCTCGACCTCCTGAAGCCGAGGAGCAGGAGGGCGACGATGAGCTGGAGGACAGCGACGACGACGTCATTGCTTTCGAGGACGGCGTGCAGGTGGAGCCGATTCTTATCGACTTTCCTCAGATGGTGAGTATCGAGCACCCCAACGCCGAATACTACTTTATGCGTGATGTCGACTGCGTTCGCCGCTTCTTCCGGCGTCGGTTCCGCTTCGAGTCAGAGGAGTACCCGACGTTTGCAGAGGCGGTGAACGACGTGCAGAGTGCAGATGCGCGTCTCGATGCCAAGACACGCGCAAGTGGCTATGGCAAAGCTACCGAGGACGACGAGGCTTTTGCTAGCGTATGTATCGTGTGCTCACCACAGCATATGCGGCGCCTGCGCGTCGAGGAGGATGATAGCGATTCGGACATCGACGAAGAAGACGACGAGGACGAGGTCGATGAGGAAGAGGAAGACGACGACGAAGAGGCCGACGGGGACGAGGTCGACGAGGACGAGGAGGTCGACGAAGAAGATGAGGAGGAAGAGTATGGGGACAGCACGGACGAGGACAGCGAGCGTGTATCCACACCCGCTACCCCGACCGAGGCGCAAGATCCAGGCGTGTCGCTGGACCGGTCGCATGTGGCATCGCGGGTAGCCGCAGCTCGCGCCCAGGCCCAGCGCCGCGCGCAAAAGCACCATGGCCGAAAAGCCCAAGCGACCAAGACAGGCCGGCGCCACGGCGGTGGAAAGGCCAAGTACAGCAACGCACGGGCCGTGGCCGATTCGCTGCAGTTCTAGTAGATCTATAGTGGAGGGTCTCGTCACCGCTGCCACGGGCGAGTCGCAGGGACATGCGGCCGCGTGGCTACGAGTCGGACCAGGGGCGCACCTACTATTTTTGCGGCGGACGGGTGCAGACGTCGAAAGATGCGCCGTGGGTGCTGGTCCTAACGCTCGGCTTCCTACTCGCTGGGCCAGCCTGCTGGCTAGCGTGGGAGTCGCCGTACTTGTGCCGCGCCGTAAGCCTAGCGCCTATTGTCCTCGTTGTGTATTTTTGGATCAGTGCGGTGGCTGCGATGCTGCGCACTGCCCTTACGGATCCAGGTATCCTCCCGCGCAATGTGGGGTCCGGGCCCGACTTGGGACCGCCGGATCGACGCGGCCCGTTCGATATCGACACGCCTGCGCTGGAGGTCAAGGACCGCGAGGAGCCTCTTGAGCGCGTGGACGATGGCGGATGCTCCATCCTAGGGAATTCCACGACCATTACACGGCGCTGGTGCACCTCCTGTCGTCTTTACCGCCCACCGCGGTGCAGCCACTGCCGCTCGTGCGACAACTGCGTGGATGGGTTAGACCATCACTGCGTCTTTCTCAATGCGTGCATTGGCCGAAGGAATTATACCACATTCTATGCATTCCTCTGTCATACGATGGCGCTTCTTCTTACGATTCTTGCGAGTACTATCTGCAAACTGTACTTCCTCGCGGCACCGACGCGCGCCGAGCAGGCGCAAACGCGAGGCGGCGTGCGCACGGGCTTTGTGCACGCGCTGCAGGTAAGTCCACAAAGTGCCGTCTTCTTTTTTCTGGGCATTGTGTGGCTCATTCCCACGGCATGCCTGTGGGTGTACCATACGTGGCTCCTTCTGCATAATCGCTCGACCGTCGAGCAGATCCGACTCGAGTCGACGAACCAGCTTTATGACATGCATCGCGATACGAATGAGTGGATGACCCAGAGCCTGTGCGCTCGCTCGTGCTCCCGCTTTAGCGCGCGGGTCCGCAACCTCTTTGTGGCGCCCGAGTACGCAACGCCCCTGCCGTCCAAGGACGCCCCGCCCCGGCCTGGGCGGCGGACACGCGGTCCCTTTCAGTTCCGCTCCTCGCTCAAAAATGCACGCCAGGTGCTGGGCTATCCCTTGCAGGCACGCTACCTCGTAGGATCGCCGACCCACCCGGCCGCGCCTCCATAGTCCTGCATCCTGCTCGTGGTCGCGTCGTCCTGCGTCTTGGACGCCTCCACATAACGCACCTGTCAGGGTCCGCGACGCCTCCCGCCGGCCATGGACGCTATGGACGTCGACCCCCAGGTGGATGCGGCTACGCTCCGTGTTGTTGACCTGCGCCGGATTCTTCAGGCTCACCGTGTGCCTGTGCCGAGCACAGCACGCAAGGCAGTACTGATGGATGCGTTTGAAAAGCATGTGCGTCCCGCGCTGTTGACAGCCAACGAGGCACGCCCCGACGCGATCCGGTCCGGCGACGATACGCGAGGTGGGCTGCCTGACAATGCTTCTTCAAACTTGCCAGCGACGCCGCAGCAGCCCGTCATGGATATTCGCTTCTCGGATGACAACCCGTTCCAAAGGGACTCGGTGTCGCCGCCGACCGCTAAAAGAGGGAGCAAAGTGCCGACCGAGTCGGCCTCGAGGAAGAAGACGCCACCTTCCGCGCGTGTGGACACAAAGACCACGCCGCCAAAGCACGAGCCGACTACGCCATCGCCTGCGCAGCGTTCGACACCTGCTCGTCAGGTGCGTCGCCGCACGCCGCAGCAGGCGCGCGAGCTCGCTATGCGCGCCGAGCGGCCGGCTTCACCCCGTCCCTCTCCAGCGCCTGCATCGATGCCTGCGTCGGCGCTTCGTTGGACTGTGCTCCGCTGGCTCCTCTGGGCCGCTGGGCTGCTATGGTTCTGGTACTGCTGGCAAACGCGCCAGGCCGGCTACTGTACGAGCGGGACGGTGCCGCTGTATGAGCCGCACCGCACACCCAGTGATGTGTGGAAGGCGATTGTATCACCCGCCTGCGTGCCGTGCCCGGAGCACGGCGTATGTGCCGGGGGGCGACTGACCGGCTGTGCGAGCACGGACTATGTGGTGGCCCAGCCGTGGCAGGCGCGTGTGCCGCTCATTGCACAGGCCCTGCCGCTCTCTTTGCGTATGGCAGAGTGCGTGCCTGATACGTTCAAGCTTGTCCTCGCCTCCGAGCTAGCCGACGCCCTCGTTGGCTACTTGTCCCACTGGCATGGCCAAGTGCGGTGCCAGTACGCGACAGCGTACCCTGGTGCGCCTGCGCATTCGCTCGGCATGTACGCGGTCCCCGAGGCCAGCGTGAAAGAAACGCTTCTCTCGCGCATCACTGAATCGATGGATACGCCAACATTCGAGGCGATTTGGGCGCTAGCGCTGGAGGGGCTGCAGACACACGCGCCAGATGAGATGCTTGTACTGACGCATGCTCATTCACGCTGGCTCGTTGCGACGCGCGCGACGATGCCCGTGAGCTGCCGGCTGCGCCTCCTCGTGCGTGACTGGGCGTGGCGAAACAGGCTGCGCGGCGCACTGACCTTGTGTGGTCTGTTGGCGGCGCTTCTGGCGTACCAGCGTGTGCAGCACCGGCGCCGGCGGCAACAGCAGGTGGCCGTCTATGCCAAGGAGGTGTTCCGACGATTGCAGGCACAGGCTGCGCAGGCCGAGCGCGATGGCACGCCGCGCGAAATGCCTGTGCTTCACTTGCGCGACACAGTGCTCGAGGCAGAATCGCGTCCGCGCGTCCGCCAGCGCCTCTGGGCACCCGTTGTGCGCGTCGTGCAGCAGAATGCTAATGTGCGCTCGCGCCAGGCACAGAGGCATGGCGAGTGGCAGCATGTGTGGGAATGGATGGGCATGGTGCCCGGCACGCCCTCCTCCGCGTCGCCGGCCGACGACCGAGGCGCCAGTGGGGCGCGTCCCAAGGTCGACGCGTCGGAGCCCTCCACCTAATGCGGGGCTGCCCAGGATCGGGCCTTGCATCGCTGCATGTAGTAAGTACCCGATAGAGTACGGCCGCGTTGTGCTTTGCCGACCACGCTTGGCCTACTGGCTCATGACTGCCAGGAAGGCGCCCGCCTCACCCCGCGCGCGCGCGGCGCACCTGCGCCCAACTCTACTCTCGGTTGTACAGAAGACGGAGAGCTCCTTGGCGCCTGTCACGGCGCCCGTCGTGTCACATACCGCCCCGATACCCGAGAATCACCGCGGCCCTCCGCGGCGGGGGCGCACGGACACGGAGCGCCACCGCGGCGCAAGTCACACGCACAGGCGCGCGGACCCGACTCCCATTCTTGTGGGCCCTGAGGAGGCGGGGCCCAGCGCTCTCGAGACGCAGCTGCTCGCATCCCTAGAGCGCGATGCGGAGCGCAAAGGAACTATGGCGGAGCCCGCCCCCAAGCCATCGCCGCATGTCTATTTTGACAAGGAGCGTGACGAAGAGTCACCCCTGGAGCGCTTGTACCCCTATGGGACCCGCCGGCGTCCTCAGCCTCACACGGTGGCGCCCGAGGTGTGGCAGATGCACGAGCACAACACGCTACCCGTGATGGAGACATGGTCGGCGAGCGCGGTGCGCCCCCTCCGTGTCTCGTTCGGCGTGACCTGGGAGTGGCACGCATCGCCTATGTGGCCCAGGGCGCCTGACGCGTCGCTCGCGCGCCTGGGCATCGTGGCGCACGAATGTGTGTATGATGCGCTCCTGTATCAGCTCGACTCGGTCGATCGGCCGGCGAGGCACTGCCAGCCGTGGACTGTCGCTCGCAGCGTACTGGTTTGGATGCCTCAGTCGCTGCTGTGGTGGCTCTACCGCCGTCTGCCGTCGCCGTCCTATGCACGCAGCCAGCATACCCTAAACTATCCCGTTTGGATAGCACCGATGGATGCGCCGCAGCGGACAGGCCAATGGCACCTGGCAGCGCTGACGCTACCGATCATGCTGCTGTGGCGTGCCGACGTGCTTGTGGCGGCGCTACTGGAGCTCCTATTTATCATGACGCAGCTGACGCTGAGTGTCGTGGCGTGGGGCCAGGCAGGCTGGCGCCGGCGCTAATCTTCCATTTCGTCGTCCAGTGACTGGAGTGCCTTTCGAATCGCCTCGTCTCGTAGCTCGGCCGGCACCGGCGCATGTCGCCCATCTGCGCGGACCCATGAGAGCTCGAGCTCAAACTCCTTGTCCTTGGCATCGTCGTGGGCCTTGTAGATGCTGTGCGGTAAGACACATATACGTACATGCGAGCCACTTCGTCGACGGCCTGCTCCATACTGAGCTCGTCCAAGGCGAGTTTCTCAATCTCTGTCTTGACAAACTGCTTGCCCTTACCGACGGCGCAGCCGTGGTAGCCGAGAACCATGCCGCTCGGCTCGATCACATAGAGCTGCGGGCCGCGCTCCGCATCAACGCCGCCGACAATGGCCGACGCGCCAAATGGCCGGACCGAAGAGTAAAGTGTGAACGCTTGGACGTAGAGCGCGAGACGCTCCGCAATCGTCTTGATCGGCGCTTTTTGCTTGTATGTATCGAAGAAGTTGTTCGCCTCGTCGCGCGCGCGGTTCGCGAGGTGCTTGCCGTCCGCGATCAGGCCTGCAGAGGTCAGCACCGCATGCCGGTCAACGCCAAAGATGCGCTTGTGAGAGCCAGGCACCATGAGCTTCGAGTGCACGAGGTTCTCGACGCCGAACACGACGCCGTCCTTCGTACGCACGGCGATCGCCGTGCCTGCGTTTTCGACTGCCTTGACGGCATACTCAATCTTTGGTTAGAGCGTCAGCGTACCTGGAAGATGCGCCCATCCGGCGAGTACGTGCTTGCGGAGAGGTCGTAGCCAGTCCCTTGCGACGCCATCGTGGCACACCGCTGCCGCGCTCGACCGCTCCACGCCCACCGCGGCGGCCGCGCGGCCGATCACGCTCGGCCGAGGAGGTCTTGCGCGCGCCGCCGCCGCTCGCCGCTCGCCGCGATGACACATTTGCTGCCCCCGCCCCTGCTGCGGCTCTTTGCGCCGCGGCCCCCGTTGGAGTATGCGCGGCCCTTGCCGGGCGACAAGGACCCCAATGCACGGCCGTCTCCACGCACGGCGAAGCAAGTTGCCCAAGGCAAGATCCACCCGCTCGAAGGCGTTGCTGCCTTTGTCGAGCGTGCGCGCCAGGAGATTAGCAAGCACGCTACAGACGACGAAAACGAATCCCTGACCCATGCTGTGGTGACCCAAACAGAGATGCGGCGCGAAGAGCGCGCGAAGACGCGCGCACTTACACAGAAGCGCATGCTAGAAAATTACCACCCCAAGCAAGATACCCACGCGGCCGGCGACCCGTTCAAGACGCTGTTTGTCGCGCGCCTCCCGTACTCTACAACAGAGAATGATCTTGCGCGTGAGTTGGAGCGGTACGGCCCCATCCAGCACATTCGCCTCGTGCGTGATACCGAGGGGCGCAGCCGCGGCTACGCCTTTGTTCTCTATGAGAGAGAGCGCGATATGCGCACGGCATACTCGCGCGCAGAAGGAATGCGCATTGATGGGCGCCGTGTGCTTGTCGACGTTGAGCGCGGACGCACCGTGCGCGACTGGAAACCGACCCGGCTCGGCGGTGGTCTCGGGGGGCAGTCGCGCAAGCCAAAGCAAAAGGTTATAGCGGACGCCTACCGCGGAGCACGCCATGGCGACCGCGGAGGCCGGCCCGGCGGCGGCCGCGGCGGCCGTGGCGGCTTCCGTGGTGGTTTCCGCGATCGTGGCGGCGGCTTCCGCGATCGTGAGCGCGACCACGGCTATCCCCCGCGCGACCACGGACGCCCACGCAGTGCAGGCTACCGCGACCGTGATGGATTGAGTGATGGCGGCGTGGGTGGCAGCGGAGGCCTGCCCTACGGAGGCCCCAACGCCTATGGGCGCCCGTCGGACGACCGCGCAGCGAAGCGTATGCGTTACTAGTCGATAGACCGAGCTCCACATATTTCCTGCACGCGCGGCCCAGACTCAGACGCCGCCGAAGCCTGTCTTCCAACCGGCCGGGCACGGACAGAAGCAGTGCGTGCCTCGCTCGACCGCATAGAGCCGATGTCCAAGACTGGCGCTAGTGATGCATGGTCGCGCACACGTAGGCGCAGTGATGATGCGCTGTATGTGCGCTCAGGGATGAAGCCCTTTGAAGAGAGCGCGAACGACGCGGAGCAGAGCTCGGAAGCTTGTACGACGCTACCTCTACGTGCGCGGCGGCGACGGCGCTCCTCCAATGGCGAGTCGCGCATGCGTGGATCGGCGGGGATCCGAATGACGCCCATGGATATCCAGCGTGCGGGCCAATCGCACGATGCGTGGAATGCCGTGTATATGAAGGAGCCGCGCTTGTTGCGTCCGTGCCTAGAGATGCTATGCTTTGCTGTGGCGTGGGCTGTTGTGCTAGTGCGCCTTGCACACAGTATGGATCTGGTACGCGACAAGGCCGTGCAGCTCTTTTTGCTGGGCATACTGGTGTTCTCCTGCTTCTTCTCGCATTTATCCAGCGCCTGTACCATCTGGGCGACACGTGTGTGCTACATGCGCAAATCGGACTTGGGCGATCCGCTGTACATTCTGCTCATGCCGCTTGTTGTGTGTGCGTCCCTGCTCGATGCGATGCCTGGCGTAGAGCCCCGAGCGCTTGCGCCACCTCGAATCAGCCGCGGCCTCAAAGGCGCATGGCGCGCAGAAAAGCTCGGTGTGCAGAACGACCCGGTGCTGGGCCGTTGCAGTGCTGTGGACCTGCAAATGCTGTGCGCTGCACTTATGGGCTTCCATGTACTGGCCTCGTCGATTGCGCGCCGCCTGCGCAAGCGCCAGGGGCGCCATTTGCCGATTGAGGAGTTGTCTGGCTTGCAAGCGTTTGCATACTTTCACGGCTTCTGTGTGGTCCTGGCGCTGCTCTTTACCGGCGTGCATGTTGGGCTGCGATATGCGGGCCTGGGTCGTTTCTTCTTCGCGGCCATGCCGTCGTGGATGATCCTCGCTCTGTCACTCAGCTTCCAGTTGCAGCTCTACATTTGGACGCGTGTGGCGCAGCAGAACTGCACGATTGGGGAGCTAGTCATTCTGTGCACCACAACGACCGCCATATTCCACGAGGCGTGGATCATGACGATGGCGCGGCTGGTCCCCTCGTATGTGACCATGTACCTGCGCGAGCCTACGGTGCTTCTCGTGTACCAGATGGCACTGATTGTTGGCATGTTCCTGCTGGGTCTCGTGCTGAGCCCCTTGCTGGTGCTGAGCCGCAATCTAGCGCGGCGCCCCACACACCGCCTCCGCTGGCCAGACAAGCGCAATCTGCACCGTCGCCTCCTTGCGATGGGCTTTTTCGTGCTCTCGCTCACACTCGTGCTGAGCTTGCTGGGCCCGTGGGTCTCGTGGCAGCTGGGCGGCCGCAACCCGTGGCTGTACGTGATCCGCTTCACGCTCCAGGGCCCTACGTGGTGGTCGCGCTGGGCACTGGTAGTCTACTGGGGCGTGCTGTGCAATATTGCACTCCTGAGCATCCAGCTCATGGTAAATCGCGTGTGGCAATTCGCTACGGTGGGTGATCAGGTCAAGACACAGACGGTGACACGACCCGCCACCCTGGCGTCCGCAGGCGCGCCGCGCCGCGCGCCCACAGCCTCGCAGCGTGCCGGTTCGATGGCCGCCGCGCGCTTCGCCAGTCGCATTGAGCCGGATGAAGGCACGTCGCTGGGCCCACAAGTCGCGGTGAGCGTGAATGGGCGGCGCAAGTTCTTCCACGCACTGGCCGTGCTTTTGTTCGTGCCGGGCCTTGCGTGGGATCCTGCATTTATGCACCTTGCTTTCAGTGCGGCCATGTCGCTCTTTATCCTGCTGGAGTACTTGCGGTACTGCGCCGTGTTCCCATTCGGCGCGACACTGCACTTTTTCCTGAGCCAGTTCCTCGACAGCAAAGACACGGGCCTCGTCATTCTCAGTCATGTGTACTTGCTCATTGGCTGCGCCATGGCCGTATGGTGCGAGGCGCAGAGCCGGCTCGTCATGCAACTGGGCGTGATTGTGCTGGGCGTGGGCGATGCGTTAGCGTCTGTCATTGGGCGGCAGTACGGCCGGATCCACTGGCCGCACTCGAAGAAAACGGTCGAAGGCACCCTGGGCTTTATTGCCAGCACGGTGGCTTGTGCGTCCGGGATGCGCGTCCTACGCCTTGTTGAAGCGTTCTCTGTGCGCCAGTTTACAATCGTCGTCACACTCTTGGCCGTTGTCGAGGGCCTCTCGGAACAAAACGACAATCTTGTGCTGCCGCTGTGGGGCCTCCTCCTCAGCAGCCTGATCCCTTACATTTAGATACCTCTCTATAGTTGCCCATGGGATGGGAGACTCTGGAACCAGCTTGTATATGCGCGCTCGACGTCAAAGAGCATCTGGCGTGAGTAGCCTCGTCGTACCTCGCGGGACTGCGCATCGTCCAGTTCCTCGCTCGCACTCAGGCGATTCAGGAGGATGAGCCTGGGTCAGTCATAGACACGCACCATTCCAGTAGCTTGGCACGAACATCATCGTCCTCGTGCTCCTGTCGGCTCCCGCGCGGTGCATACGTGCGAAGCACATCGCTGAGAAGGGGGTGCAGCTGGTCTTTAGCACGCATCTGCAGTTTGAGCGCGTCCATCAGCGTGATAAAATTTTGGGTCGTTTCTGCGACGCGCTGGGCGCCAGCTGCTGATGCCGGCGCCGTGAGTGCGCTCGCCTCAATCGGCGCATGCTCGACCGTAGCAGGCACGCCCAGAGAGAGCCGATGTGCCGCAGCCGGATGATCCATCTGCGTCAGTAGCGTCTACGCACATGGAAATGGCGCATGAACGCCTCCGCGCTCTCGAACCGTGGAGATGCCATAGATGGGTTTGTGATTAGCTTCATGACCGTCTTGGACTGCGCAAGCAGGCGCGTGCATTGCACTGTATATTCCTCCTCTGGTACGGCACCCCGCACATAAGCGCGCTCAAGAAACTCGAGCGTCGTTATTAGGCTAAAGAGCGTGGCCATGTTATCATAGTCTTCGCGCTCCTGGCTCGTATGGTACAGCTTTTGCTCCTGTGGTCAGTGGCGCAGCGCACCTCGAACACATTCATGCCAGCTCCGCCTGGTAGCGAGGCGCGGGGGCAACACTACCTCCACGTGGCGGCTCTCCCCACGACCATATCGCTGGCGCATGGCCGCCTCATCGAGCAAGGCTGAAAGTGACGCCCTGGATACAGCGCCCAAGCTGCGCCTGGACGTGAAAAGTCCCAGCTTTACGCGCCCTCTTGCGATAGATGTCGATGCGACGCGGACTGTATCGCAGCTCAAGGAGCAGGTGGCGAACGCGGCGCGCGCAGCGCGCAGTGCACCGCATGGGTGGCCTCAAGCGCATGGGATCCGCTGTATTTACCGCGGGCGGATTCTCACAGATGATGCGCTTCTCAGCACGCTCGAAGCACAGGACACGCCCGTGTCTTTGCACGTTGTAGTGCAGCCCGAAGCGTGGCAGCCGTACGAAGCACCGCCTCCCGAGGAGCATGGGCCTGCAGGGAGCGCGCCAGTTGCGCCGCCCGCTCCCGCGCACTCATGGGACACGTTCCTAGAATCGCTCGCACCTACGGACCTCGTGGGTGTCGCACATGCCATCTTCCTGACACATGCCGCATACACGGCGTATCTGGCGGAGCTGCAGCAGACGTATCCATCTGCAGGGCCGGTGCGCCTGCGCCTTCCGCGCGTTCCCTGTCCGAAGATGCTGCCTGAAGAGGCTATGCAAAACGAAGCGAACCTACGCGACGGTGCCGTCGCGTTCGTGGAGCGCCATGTTATGCAATGGACGCCGTGGAACGATGTGTGTGTAGACGCGCGGAAAGCGGCGCCTGCGTCCGTGGCACACTACGAGCATCTGACGCTCCAAGGCCTGCCGTATCTCCTGTGCACACACAGAGCAGCGCCTTCTCTGGCGACGCTACACGCGCATGCCGCTACGTTGCTCGAGCGCATCGAGCAATTGCAGGACGTATGGGTCGCGCTCGCCTGCCGCCTGACTGAGCGCGAGCGCGCACCTGTGCCCGTACCACTGGAATGGATTACCTGGGCAGATGTGCGCGCGATGCTGTCCAGTGTCGGCCTCATGGCGCTGCGCCTCTTGTTTGTGTACATGGTCTTTCTACAGCACCTTGGCCCAACAACAACGTGGCTTGTCGCAGCTGCGTCTGCCCTGCTTCTTGTGTGGCACGCCTACTTTCTCCTGCACCGGCGGTGGCGCGAGCGCGTCTCGCCACATGCGAGCAGCGAATCGACCAACTCGCAGCCCGCTCCACTCTCGGTCGCGGTGCCAGGCGCCGAAGGGTCTGGCGCACTCGAGATCCCGTGCCTGCCGTACCGGCGAGCGGAGGGGCGCTGGACGCAGACCACATACTGGGTCCAGCGCCTCGCATGGCTGGGCCTCGAGGAGGAAGAGGCCGCGATCGGTTTCGAGCATGTGCCCCCCGAGACGCCGCCCCGCATTGTATGGGTGGCCACAGAGTCGTACCGTACGGCGCGGCCCGCGCCACTGCGTCGCCCCCTATGGCTGCGCTACGTGGTGCTTCCAGCGGTGCTCTTCCTCGTGACAATTATTCCCCCCGTCGACGAGTGCCGCGCCGATGCGCTGAGCCTGCGCAAGGATGCCATCCTCGCACTCAAGAAAAAGTGGGACGAGTACCGTGAAAAGCCCACCACGCGCACAGACGCGCGGCCGCCGGCCATTCTCCTGCACCCTTACGCCCTTGCGCTCCTTGCCAGGGAGGCGCGCCCCTAGCACACTGCCTTGTACCTATCTAGCTCATAGAGCATCCCGTCTACATCTGACGTGCCCAGCAACGCGTCCGCAAACGCCCGCGTCTCGCGCCCCGGCGGCATGGCCCGCAGCATGGCCCTCACATGCTGCTGAACGTGCACCAGGGGCGCCGTGCGGTACCGCGCCGAAAGATGCAGGAACGTCGACAGCACGTGCCATCGTGCCTCGCTCGCACCGGCGAACAGGTCAGGACGCACAAGCAGCGGCTCACCGACCATGATGCCGTCCGCGCGTGTGTACGCGAGGTTCGCGGCGATGTCGTCGGCAGTCCGCACGTTGCCGTTCGAGAGCACGGCTGTTCGCCCGCCTGGCTGTGACGCATGCAGCTCGTGCGCCTCGAGCGCATCGACCAAGTCGCGCACGTACCCTAGCCTAGCGGCGCCGGCACGCCGCCGGTTCGGCGCGACGTGACGTGCATGCAGCGTAATCACCTGCGCGCCAGCCTGCGCGAGGCGCACGGCGAGCGCACACGTATCAGGCGCATAGTCGCAGAGCCGGAGCTTGGCTGAGACTGGCACACGCACTCCTTGTACCAGGGCGCGCACGCACGCCTCGACCTGGTCCCAGTCCTTGCGACTGAGCAGGTAGCCGCCGTAGTGCCCTCGCTGCGCGCGCGTCTGGGGGCAGCCCAAATTGAGATCGACACCGTCGGCCCACGGCTCCAAGCGGCGCGCTGCCTCGACGAGGCCCGCTGGGTCGTCACCAGCCAGCTGCACAATTTGCCGCGCACGCATACCCGTCGCGCCGACGATGCTTTCCGGCGCCTGCCGGCCGATCTCCAGCTCGCGCCGCGCGTGTGCCAAGACGTCCGGATTATGCAGCACGTCGTGCATGTGGTACATTTGGCTGTGTAAGTATGCGAACGTACGTCCATGTCGCCGTGGCACCGTACGTGACAGTCGTCAGGCGGAACGCCACGTCCGACTGGTCGACCATCGGAGCCGCCACATGGCGATACCACGCCGGGGCCTCGGGCATCGTCCGCCCACCGCTCGAGCATCGCGCGCGTCGCGGAGGCTTGTTGTCACGTGATATAAGCAGCACCGCGTCGCAACGCGCAGGCGTCTCACGACGATGGCGCCGCGTGCGCGAGGCTCCATGCCTGGCCCGCAGCCTGACTCGGGCCAAGAGACTTCGCCACTGCGCCGCTCGCCACGGCAGCGCGCGCGTGCAAAAAGCATGAGCGGCGTCCCTGCCTCGCCCAGCGCGCGTGAGCGCCGAGCGGTACGTGATGGAGGCTGACGCAGCCACGCAAGAGCGCGATTCGCGCAACGCCGCAAGTGTTTGTGAGCCCGACGAGCCTGGGTCCGAATCCCGAGCATGCACATATTCGCAAAGGCCCGCACACCAGCACGAGCGATATCGAGCAGGCCGTCGATGCCGCGGCCCGCGAGGCCCTGATCGACGAGCGCCTCGCGTCGCCGGGCCTGCCGAACCCGTTTGCCGCGCTGTACCGCACATCGCCGGTCAAGGCAGAGGCACACACGACGACGCTCGTGCCACCCCGCGACACTGACGCTGACGTAGAGCGCAAACGCCGCCGCGTCACGTTCAGCACCATTGAGGAGCAGACGTACGTGCCCCGACTGACCCAGTGCATTTGAGCAGGATGAGCCGACGATGAGAATACGCACCGCACTCATGGACCGAGGCTCGCCTGTGCCCAGCGACCATGCATGGGACAGCTCGTCGATGGATATGGACAGCTCAGCGGACATGGACCTGTCGACCGGCCTCGACGAGTCGGCTGCCTCGGACATGAGCGGGATGGACTTTACCGAGGCGCTTCCGCCCACGGCTGGGAATGCAACGGACAGGACAGACGGATCTGATACAAGTGGGATGGACTTTACGGAGGCGCTTCCGTCCACCGCTGGGAATGCAATGGACAGGACAGACGGATCTGACGCAAGTGGCATGGACCTGACCGAGGCGTGGCGCGCTCGGCGAGTGTCGAACGCCTCGGCCAGCGATATGGACCTGACGACACAAAGCATCACGACAGCAGACGAGAGTGACGGCTCAATATCCATGGAGCTAACGACGGCCCTCGCACCGCGGTCTGATGACTCGCCCGATACAACGCTCGACAGCGCCGCTGAGCAATCAGTAATGGAAATGACGGCGATGTGGGGCCACATCGCCGAGGAGGCGACACGGCAGCGTGAGGCGGCCGGGCGCAGTCCGCGGCGCTCGCCTGTGCGCCGGCAGACGATGTTCCTCTCGCCGGAGCGCCGTCCTGTTGTACCGGAGCGGATCTCGGAGCCACCCGAGCCACCAGCACCCGCCACGCCCGTGGAGCGCGCTCGCAGTGTCTCTCCACGTCGGCGCCCGCCCACGCCGGGCGCTGGTCTCGCAGCATTGCCAAGGACAGCGCCGCGCATGCCAAGTGAGGGCACATCGGCATCGCCGTTCAGTCCGAGCAAGCCACCTACGACACCGACGCGCTTCCGCCAATCGCTCCGAGGCGGTGTGCCGTCGCCTGGGTACCAGCACTCGCCGCCACAGCGTGCGCCGATGACGCCGAAAGGATCCACGACAGTGGCCACTGCCTCGTCGGTACCCGCGCGCCTGGCGCATCCCACGACCCTATCGCCGTCCCCGGCCGCGGCGCGTGGCCGATCCGGATCTGTGCGTCTCTCCGAGGTGCCAAGCGCCATGTGGCCGCGTTCGCCCTTCCTGCACTCCCTCATTCGGCAGCGGGGCCAGCGCGTATCCTACACGGCATCGCCGCGGTCCGACGGTGATCTCAGCGACGCCGACGCCTCGTTCCACCTCCCGCTCAGCGAGTTTCTGCAGCGCGTCGGCCTCAAGTTCCACGAGGACATGACGGCTTCGCGGACGCGCACGGACCGTCCTATCGATACGGGCACCACGCCCGCGACCTGCGTACAGCACGCCAAAATGGCCGCGGGCGCGGCACCGATGCTCCAGGCCCTGCGCAGCGCATGCCACGAGCTGAAGCAGCACGTGGAGGTGGGCCGGGAGCGGCTGCAGACGATGGAGCAGGACTTCTACGCGCGGCCGCCCGCCTTTGTGCAGGAATGGGGCCAGCTGGACGATGAGGATATGCGGCGGAGCATGAAAGGCCAGTTGAATGTGCACAAGCAGGCGGCACGGGCGGCCGCGATGCATGACTACTATGGATGGCGCACCGATATGCAGTACGACGATGACATGGCCCGAATGCTCGCGCAGCACCGCGACGTGCTGCGAGCCGAGGCCGCGCGAGTCCAGGAGCGGCACATCATGCTGGAGCAGGAGCTCCTGCCGTTGCTGCGCACGCACCATGCAGCGCTGCGCCGCCGCGTCGATGAGGCCCATGCGCGGCAGCGCGAGATTCGCGCGTGCGATGCTGATGAGCTCCGGCAACTGCATGCGTCGATGGAGGAGCAGGACCAGGTGCTGCAGGGCATGCGCACCAAGCACCGAGACGCACAAGAGCAACTCGCGCGCGTGCGCGCACGTATCGAGGAGGCGGTCGTGCGGCGCGCACAGACCGAGGAGGCAATCCGTGCGGCGCGCGCAGTCACGGACCAGATCCGCGGATGCACACCAGGCGAGGCCGTGCGTCTCGCGCGCCGCATCCAGCACATGGAGACGCTTCTGCAGTGGTCGCTCACGAGCAAGACGCCGACGCTGCTGCAGCTCACGTACGCTCACAGGCTGCAGGTGGCCGTCGAGTGGGACGAGCGCCGCGGCACGGTGCGGCGCGTCGCAGTATCGCCCGTGCACACGATGGCCATGGCTCCCTTGGATATGGCCGCGCTCGCGGTGATCCGTGCGCACATGGATGCACAGGCGCCTGCGCAGGTCACGGCCGTGCTGCGCACCGTCACAGCGCTGTGGCGCGCGCACCTCGCAGTGCGTGCGGAGATTGAGCAACTACGCAGCTGGATGCCCGTTTCGATGGCACCTGTCGATGATGCTGAGACGCGCATGGAGCTCGTGGCAACGCTCCTGCTCGAGGCGTGCGCTGCCAAGGCCGAGGTGCATATCGACCTGGACCTGGCCAACGAGGCGCCGGTGGCCGCGGGCCGCGTGCGTGTACAGGCCGTGTATGGCACGATTCCGTACGTACCGCCAGCTCACAGCAGAACCACGAATTTGGCGCGCGCCATTGAGGAGGGCCTTGCGCGCAGTGGCGAGGCGCCCGGCGCCCTGGTACGTGCCGTGCAGGCCGCCGAGGCAGCCCTGGGTAGGACGTAGCTGAGTCAGCCCAAAAATTCTTTTGGCACGGCTCCACCGACGACCGCGCAGCACGACCGCCGCGATGGACCTATTTGGGGCGCTCACAGCTGGCGGTGCGCGCTTTGATAAGAAGCGCTTTGGAAACGATATGGCTCTTTTCCGCGAGGGAAAGGCACGCGAAGAGGCCGCGCAGGAAGCGCCCTCCGCGTCAGCGTCGGCGGCGCTACCGGCCGCTCTTGACTTTTTCGGGAGTCACAAGGCAGAGCGCGCACAGCACGAGGCCGAGACACTGGCGGCGCCGGAGCCCAGTCGTGATGTTCGTGCGCCGCTCACGCGCTCCGACCTTCCTGCGTTCCTGCGTACGCATCAGCTCAAGCTGACTGGCACGGATGTGCCGTTGCCACTGGCGTCGTGGGACGACCTCGAGACGCGCTGGGGCGCCGAGTCGTGGCTCCTCGAGAACTTGCGTGCGGGCCCGTGGACCGAGCCGACGCCTATCCAGCGCGGCGCCATCAGTGTCATGCTGGAGCGGCGCGACTTGCTGGCCGGCGCGCCCACGGGTTCAGGCAAGACGCTGGCGTTTGTGCTGCCCATCCTTCAGCTGCTGCGGCGTCCGTCTAAGCACGGCCTGCGCGCCGTTGTTGTAAGCCCGACGCGTGAGCTTGCGCGCCAGATCTACGAGCAGGTCCAGCGGCTCGCGCACGGCCAGGCGCTCCGCACGTGTCTGCTCGCGCAGGGAACCAAGGTGCCAACGCGGCCCTCGGACCTGCTCATTACCACGCCACTGCGTCTTGTGCATGCGGTACAGCACCGCGAGCTCGATCTCACGCATGTGGAACTGCTGGTGCTCGACGAGGCGGACCGCCTGCTCGAGGAAGGCTTCCTCGCGCAGACCGACGAGATTCTCGCGGCGTGCACGCATCCGAACCTGCGCAAGGCATTGTTTAGTGCGACGCTGCCAGCAGGCGTCGAAGAACTGGCTAAGACGTTCATGGTCGACGAGTGCCGCGTGCTGGTCGGTGCCAAGGACAGCGCGACGGACACGATCGAGCAGCGGCTCGAATTTTGCGGCTCCGAAGACGGCAAGCTGCATGCACTGCGCTCCCTCATCCAGTCAGGCGGCCTGCAGCCGCCCGTTCTGCTGTTTGTGCAGTCGATTCAGCGTGCGCGCGAGCTCTTCCACGAGCTCGTGTACGATGGTCTCCATGTGGACGTGATTCACAGCGAGCGCCCCAAGGCGCAGCGGGAGGCGGTCGTGCGCGCGTTCCGCCGCGGCGACATTTGGGTGCTCATCTGCACTGAGCTCATGGCGCGAGGTATCGACTTCCGCGGCGTCCAGCTGGTGATCAACTACGATGTTCCGCAATCGGTGCAGAGCTACATCCACCGCATCGGCCGCACGGGCCGTGCGGGCCAGCGGGGCCAGGCGCTCACATTCTTTACCAAGGACGACGCGCCGTACCTCAAGTCGATCGTCAACGTCATGCGGCAGTCGGGCTGCGAAGTGCCGGCATGGATGCTCAAGCTGCCCAAGCCGTCCAAGATGCTCAAAAAGCAGCTGCGTCGCAAGCCTGTCGAGCGCAAGGACGTGCGAGCAGCGTCAGGAAGCAGCTCGCTCGGCCGCCGCCTTGCAAACAAGCAGCGCGATATGGTACAAGCAAGCAAGCGCCGCCAGCGTGAAGCTGCCAAGGCTACACACCCGCCGTAGCGCCTACACTCAGTGTCTCCGTGGCCGTGCGCACCGCCCACACGAGTCGCGTGAGCACCGCGGCGTCTTCGCCGCCGAGCAGGCGCTCCAGCTGGGCGTCCGCCATGTGCAGGCGCAAGAAGACAAGCAGGCCTTGCGCGAGGCCAGGGTGGCCCATGGTGCCCTTGACCACGAGACGCTCGAGGCGCTCGCGGTCGCGCGGAGCGGGCGCTCGCACCAGGCGCATGCGCAGGCGCGGCGTGAGCATCGGCGCCTGCGTCTGCGTAACGAGGAGCAGCTGCAGGAGCAGGTGCTGCAGAAACAGTGTCGCGGGGCCATGCAGCGTCGTAAAGTCAACGGGCTTGAGCACGCTCAGGCTCAGACTGTCCGTGGCCACCCAGTAGCCGTACGCACGCGCGAGGTGCACGAGCTTGCGCAGGCGCACGGGATCGTCGACCAGCGACTCATCGACGTCGCTCTCCTCGTCCTGCACCACATGCGCGCCGCCCACGCGCGACTCGCCCAAGTCGCGGAAATAATCCCATAGCACATACTGCAGCGTGACACGCATGCCCGGGTGCTCTTGCGCGAGCTGCTGCCCGATCAGCACGTAGTACGGATTGAAGGTGGGCTCGTTCGCAAGACAGTGGATGAGGACGCGGATGACTTCGCGGCGCTGCACGTCGCTGAGTTTGAGCTGCATGACACTGCGCACAGCATCCTGGTAGTCCAAACTCGACATGAGCGCGGAAAAGATCATGCGTCGCGCATCTGTGTTCATGCCTTGCGTGCGGGCCAGCTGCGGCATGTCAATGTCATCGTCGTCCGATGAGGCCTCGGGCGCAGCAGGCGTCTCAGGCGCAGGCGCCGCGCTGGGCGCCGGCGCCTCGTGCCCCGCCCACGCCGCGCCTACTAGCCACCAGCGCCCGCGGTGTCCAGCTGCCTCAAGATCGTGCAGGCCGACCTGCAACGCAGACTGGGTGCGCAGCGTGTGCCGCTTCTCCATCGAGGACAGGTACTTGTTCATCTTCTGCACCCGCTCGGTGGTCGCTGACAGATCGCGCGTGAGTTGCTTGCCCTTCTGCCGCAGGTGCACGAGCGCCTCGAGCATGAATCGCGCGCGACTCGAGTGCGCCACAGGCGAGTCGCCGGCCGCCTCGTCGAGACTTTGCTTGGTGACATCGACAATGGCCTTGAGCGAGTCAGCATCCATGCGGCGTAGTTGCGCGCCACTGCCTTGCACGAGACGCAGAATCAGCTCAATGTCCAGCTCTGTAATAGGTTTGGGCCCTTGGACACCTGGCACAAGTGCGGTGAATCCCTGACCGAGCCACAGACGAACCCAGTCGAGCAAAATGCCTGCGGACAGCATCCGCAGATTGAAAAGATGCGCTAGAAGCGTCGCAAGGTTTACACATACACGGCTGCGAGCGCCTTGGGCGTCGTCGTCCGCTGCGCTCGTCATTGCCTGTGCAATCCAGGCGCCATAGGCTTGGAGAAAGCGGGTCACCACGTCCTGTAAAACGTATGCACCAAACTCAGGACCCACCAGCCGGTGCAGCGCAGCTAGGAGTGTCGCATACAACACAATCACCGTCTCACTTAAGTTCGTGCCGGCCGAGATGGTATCGAGGATGAGGCGCGCAATCGCCGACGTAACATCGCCACGCGCATAGGACCGGTAGAGTGCATCGAGCTCCGACACAATAGAGTCGACATTGCCTTCACCCAGACGGTTCAGCTGGCCATTAATATGACGCTGCAACTTTTGCTGTGAAACATTCGCACTAGATTCAGCTTGCCGTAGTGCCGGCGGCACATATCGGCTGCCACTCGACTCGGGTGGCACGGCCTGAGGTGCTGATGATGCGCCGTGATCAGGAGGTGCAACGTGGCTTGAGGACTGTGGCTCCTCGACAGCAACGTCTTTATCCTCGTCGTCGTCGTCATCCTCGTCATCCACGTCCGAGTCCAACTCGGTTTCTTCCTCGAGTGCGTCGTCATCGTCGTCCATGGTACCCGCTTCCAAGTCGTCGAGTGCCTCGTCCCAGCTTTCCTCGTCCATCATCTCCTGATCGTCGTCAGAAGCCTCTTCCGCTTCCTCGCCCAGCGCTCCCTCCGCGTCATCAGGCTGCTCTGAATAAAACTGGTCCAAGTCGTCCAATAGATCTTCGTGAGTATGTACCACGTACCATCCACATCGTCTCCCTCTTTCTGGTTCTTTGACCGCGAGAGCTGGTACTCGAGCCATGCAATTTCATCATCTTCATCGCGCTCCACTTGAGACATGGCCCGCGGTGCCTTCGAGGGGCTCGCAGAAGATGTCGAGCTTGCACCTGACATGCGTTCTAATTTGGTAGGCTCTCGGCGCTTGGGTGCCCGCACCGTCTTCATCACGCCAGAGATCGGATCCAGAACTTGCTTCGTAGTCGCACGTTCCGCCTTGGACACTTGCTTCGGCTGCCTCGCTGCGGGCGGTGCCACGGGCGTTGGGGCAGGTGCATGTGAAGCCTTTCGATGCACACTGGGTGCAGGAGGCGCACGCGCCGCATGCTTTGCACGCCGCTGCTCCTTGCGCGCGGCCTTTCGCGCACTAACTGAGAAGAGACGCGGTTTCTTCGCATATCTAGATCTCTCAGGACCATCGTCGATCCCAAGCTCCTCGCGCAGCGCTGCAGGGAGCCGAGTCGTGTTGCGTGCACGATCGCGCCCACCGCCCATCGTCGCGGCGAAAAAGAATGGGTGGAGGCGTTGATGAAGCTACATCACTAGTCGATCTATACCGCCCCGAGGCCGTCGGCCTGCTGGGCATCCGTGGGTGCCTCTGGCGCCTCTTCTGCCGCCGTATTCGTCCAATGTTAGATGACATGCACTTCTCTGCGGCACCTTGCTAGAGAGAGCCGAGAGCGAGCAGGACGGCGCCAGGTACGGCAGCGCACGCCGACTGGCCTGAAATACGTACATATCAGCCAGCAAGTCCCGCGACGAAGCTGTATGCTACTGGGGATGTGCGGCATGGAAAGATGGTACTAAATGTGCTTGAAAGGGAAAGACGGGTAGCGATTCGATGCCCGACGCTGATCAAATGGGAGTACAAGCGGGACAAAGATGGGATCTAATACGGCATGGCAGCGTGCATGCTCACGACGACGAGCAATCAAGTGCCCAGTACTATCGATGAGCGGTCGATCTGGACCAAGTCTTCGCCTGAGAGCGGGCGGCCTTGTACTCAATGACCCACATGAGAAAATGTACTCTATGAAAATACAAGGAATGTCACTGCCATGAGCGCTTCACCACGTACCTGACTTCACGCACGCTTACACCGACGTGATTCGAGTTGACCAGAGCATGGTACCTTGATACCCGTATGGGTGGTCAGTGCATAGTGCAAGGCGCGCTGTTCCTCTGGCTAACATGGATAGGGAAATGGTCGATATATGTACGCTATGCCTTTTTATCCGCCTCAGCGACCTTCTTGGCTTCTTTCGACACCTTTGGTGCCTCTTTGGTCGCTGGGTTCACCCAGTTCCATAGAGCATGCAACTCGCCACGGGTCAATGCGGCAAGGAGGATGGAAAGCGAGCAGGACGGCGACAGGTACAGTAGCGCAGGCTGGCCGGTCTGGAACACATGCATCACGACCATCGTCATGACCAACCCTGCGACGTAGCCGATCATGCAGACAGTAAAGTACGGCTTGGCAAATTGAGAGTAGAAGCGGTCGAACGAGACGGAGGGATGCCGGCTCGATGCCTGATGCTGATCGAACTGAAGCGCAAGTGCGACAAAGATGCCGGGCACCACAATGTCGCCGAGGCCCAAGAGCGAGAACTTCCACGCAGGGAGGGCATGCCAACCGTGCTCGCGCAAAGCCACAAAGGCGTCACCAAGGTTTCGCGGGACGACCAGCTTGATTGGCCCATCAAAGTTTGTGGCAACTTTGACCATGACGGACTCGCCGGCAAACTTGGAGCTGCCAAACACCCAGAATATGTCGTACAAAAAGAGACCGCCCAGCAGAATGAAGCCAGTCGCGAACGAGTCGAGCTGGATAAGCATGATACCCTGGATAGCAAAGCATACAGCAATCACATTCGATAGCATCCAGTGCTGTGTCACGGCGTACAAGCCCATAAGGCCGACCACCATAGCGCCAAGCACCATCGATGCACGGTCGAGACGGAAGCCTGTCTTGGCCAGGGAGCGCTTCGAGTCGGGGGCCGACCAGTCAGCAGTCCATGTACACACGAGCGCCTGCTTCTCCCAACGCGTCAGCACATTCTCGCCTAGCGCCATGCGAGAGAGGCGAAGCACCACGGGAGGAATGACTAACACACTGGCCACGCCAAAGTACACCTGGATCAGCAGGAGAATCATCTCGCGGTCGAGGTACTTGAACGCCAGGTACAGGGACAGAAGTGCAGCGCTGCCAAACACAGGCAAGAGCCATGCATCGCTTGAATTGAGGCCCTGGGCATTGTCCTTGTCGTCATCCGCAGCAATACCCTTCTCCTTGCGGAGCTTCTTTGTCGACTCAGGCGTGCTCAACGACGCAAAAGAGCCAACATAGACCGTGGAAGAAGCAGCGACCAGTAGTAACGCTGCAATAAGCAGCTCTCACGTACCTGAAGCCGCGTACGCCGACGCCGACATGACACGAAGGGACCAGGACCCTCCACGTCAGTGCAGCGTACGTGTGCGATGGAGGTGTGTGCTATGGGGGAGCCAGGTACGCGCGCGGATGGCACCACGACGCGGCGCCGCCAGAGAGGTACGTGTGCTGGTGCGCGATGCCAGCGCCGTCGACGTGCTCTCCATGCAGGATGCGCTCTCGCTCATCGCGTATGCGCGCTTGTGCCTGCTCGCATTGCGTGCGCAGGTACTGGATAACCGACGACGGCTGCGGATCATGGAATACCGCGGTGCCTGCGACAATGACGTTCGCGCCGGCATCCGCACACGCCGCAATGGTCTTCGGTCCCACGCCGCCATCGACCTCTACATCGAGTTCAGAGAAGCGTGCGCGCAGCTCGGCCACCTTGGGCATGCACTCGGCCATGAACTTTTGGCCGCCCGCGCCGGGCCACACCGTCATGACGAGGATCATATCGACGGCGCGCCCCAATTCGTCGGATATTTCCGTGGCAGGTGTGCCTGGGTTGATGGCAACTGAGGCCCGCATCCCAGCGGCCTTGATTTGATGCACGACCTCGAGCGGGTCGTCTGCGGTTAGGGCCGCGCACGTACCTGTGGCCTCCAAGTGAAACGTGTATGACTTGCCACCGGCGGCGGCGATATCCTTGATCCACTGAGGTGAGACACAAAAACATACCTTCAGTGGCTCGGATACCATCATGTGGCAGTCCATAAAGATGTTCGGCACGGCCTTGGCAACCGACTGGATCACCGGGGCGCCCAGCACAATGTTCGGCACGAAGTGACCATCCATGATGTCTGCGTAAGTCACGGGCACGTACCCATATGGAGCCAGTCTGCACCGCAATCCATCATGCGTTGGCACTCATGGTTGAGGTTGCCGAGGTCGGAGGCGAGCACGCTGGGGGCAATCTTCACCGTCGGCATCGTAGCACACGACGACGCATGGACTCGCTCCTCGCACGGTGGTGTCGGCACGTGATATCACCAGCGCTTCGGCGCGCTCGTCGGCGACCCACGGCCACGACGATGGACGCGCTCGCTGCCTATCGTTCCGAAAGCGAGGAGGAGGGCGTGCCGCCTAAGGTACATGGAGACGGACACTCTATGATAGGACATGCTCAGGCGGACGACAGCGAGTCGGACAGCGACAATGAGCCGCTTGATATGGGCGATGCCTTTGGGCTGCAGCAAGTAGCTGCCTCAACACGAGCGGTGCCTGCGACGACGTTGACCGTGACGACCGCTGCGCCTGATGTGAAGCCTGCTGCAAGCAAAGATCTTGCGACGACGGATGCGCCGACGCTACCCCCCGGCGTGACCAAAACCCTGACGGGCACGGTGGAAGAGACGTCCATGTCCGACTTTGACTTTCGCAACCAGCAGCGTACCTTCGATCTGCTGGGCTACGCACGCAATCCCAGTGCATACGCTGCTGCGTCGGGGGCGACGAGTTCACAGGCATTCGTGGGCGACCGAGCCGCTGCGCGCGAGATGGGCGGTGCTACGATGGCCGAGCTGCGGGGCGGCACGCCCGGCGCCCGCAGTCAGTCACGCGCCATGCGCCGTAAGCGCAAAGGGCGCGGTGGTGATCCGTCGGTTCTTGAGGGAGAGGGTGCGTATATGGGGCCGTGGGGCGGCTGGGACGACGAGGCGCCGGCGACCGAGTTTGTACCGGCGCCACACGAAAAGGTCGGCCCAACGCCCGAAGAGCTCGACGAGGCGCGCTTGGATGCCGAGAAGCGCAAGCGCGAGGCTGCACAACTCGAGAAGCGGCGTCTTCTCGACGATGCACATGGCTCCGAGAAAAGCATCTTCCACGGCGACTCGATGTACGACTACCAGGGCCGCACGTACATGCATATCCCCACGGATACGGACGTGAACTTGCGCGGCGAGGCCGGTAGTGAGGAGTGTTTCCTCCCCGAGTTTTGTATCCACACATTTACAGGACATACCAAGGGCATTACCGCGCTCCGCCTGTTTCCTGAGAGCGGGCACCTGCTGCTGAGCGCGAGTATGGATACCAAGATCAAGCTCTGGGACGTGTACCACCAGGGCAACTGCCTGCGCACGTTCCTGGGCCACTCGAATGCTGTGCGCGATATCACCTTCTCGAACGATGGGCGGCAGTTTCTGTCAGCCGGTTTTGATGGGCAAGTCAAGCTGTGGGACACGGAAACGGGTGAGTGTCTCACGGCGGTCGGCTTTGACGACATGCCGGTATGTGTGCGATTCCACCCCGATGCAGACAAGCAGCACATCTTCCTCACTGGCACGCACGGGAAGCGCATCGTGCAGTACGACTTGCGGGAGAAGCAGATTACGCAAGAGTACAACGAGCATCTTGGCCCTGTGAATACCATCACCTTTGTGGACCAGAACCGGCGGTTCGTGTCGACGAGTGACGACAAGAGCCTGCGTGCGTGGGACTACGATATCCCGGTGCCCATCAAGCTCGTGGCAGACCCGTTGATGCACTCGATGCCGTCGGTCACGCTGCATCCCTCGTTGCGCTGGCTCGCGTGCCAGTCAATGAACAACTCGATCTGTGTGTACTCGACAGAGAACTTTAAGCCACGCAAGAAGGCGTTCCGCGGCCACACAACTGCAGGCTTTGCGTGCCAGGTGGGCTTCAGTCCAGACGGCCGCTTCCTGTCCTCTGGCGACAGCGGAGGCGATCTCGTGTTTTGGGACTGGAAAAAGGGGCACGAGCTCAAGCGGCTCCAAGTGCACAAGGATGTGGTAATTGCGCACGAGTGGCTGCCTCATGAGACGGTACGTGTGTGTGGCTAATCGCAGTCGAAAATCGTCACAGGCGCGTGGGACGGCCTGATCAAGCTATGGGTGCGTAAGCGATGGCTAACGTCAGACATAATACAGCTACTTGCGGCGCCGGGCCGCTTTTTCGGCGAGGGCTTTGGAGCCTTGCGCCTTGCTGGCGTACTTGATGGCTTTGCGCAGGTTCATCTGCGGCTCGCCCTTGCCCATTTTCGCCAGCAGCTCGAGGTGCGCTGCGCGCTCCTGGCCGGCGTCGATCTCATTCGGTTGGAACGTGCGCTTAACACCGCGGGGCTTGGACTCGCCCTCGAGCGACTTGTCAAAGCGGCCAAGCGACGCAGTGCTGCCACGCGCGCGCAGCAGGTCCGCCTCGAGTGCAGCACGTCGGCGCGCACGCGACGGCGCCACACCCGAGCCGAGCTCGCCCTTGGGCGCAGCAGGGGCGGCCGCATTGCGCGCAAGGTTGCGTTGGTGCTGCGCCTCGTTTTTGGCCTGTCGCGCCTTGCGCTCCTTCGCTGCCTCTCTGTCGGGGCGGTAGTCGTCGTCGGCATTCGTAGGCACCTCGACGAGCCATTGATCCTCGAGCTTTTTGTTCGCGCCCTGGTAGCCCCAGCGGGGTACCCACTCCTGACGCTCCTCGTCAAAGATCATCTTGTCTTTCTTGCGCTTCGTAATGCCCTTGGCCTTGGCGAACTTCTCCCACTTAGTCAATGGCTTGGGCTTCGGCACCGGCTTCTCGCGCGGCAGCTCCGTCTCAAAGGCGGGCAACGAGGCTAGCGGCCCGTACGTCGCGTGGCGCTCGATCGGCAACTGGAAGAGGGTGTTCACCAGGTGCTGCGTGGCGTTCCGCGCACGCGCCTGCAGAACACCCTCCGGGTCTTTCTTGAAGGCACGCGCAGAGATTGGGTTGAAGTCGAATGAGGCTAGCAGGCCTACATCCAATTGAAGGGGCGTGTCGCCCTGCTCCACGGCCGTGCTCACCGCAGCTGCCATGGTACGGCGCAGCGCCGCCGCGGCGCTGCGCCGACAAATTTTTGTAGATCACGTGAGTCATCCTTGTGGCGGCCGGGGGCAGTCCTCGTCCTGTGCGCGCCACGATGCTGTGGGTGGGCGTCCGGTCTATGGTGCGCGGGCTGAAGCTTGCTGCGATCCTGCTATCGCTGCTACAGCTGCTGGTGTTTCTCCCACTGTCACTAGAGCACAGCCAACAGACTTTCTTGACGTTCTCAGCCTTGCTCTCGGCGTTCTACTTTGGCCTGTCGTCGCTGCGCTGGGCGACGTATCAAACCCGCCTCGCATGGATTGCACGCGTCCTAATGGTGCTGCAGAACCTGTTCATTCCTGTGGCCCTGTTCCTGTGTGCGCGACTATACGCGCCGGACACGCCAAATGCACTGACGGCCAAGTCGGTGCCGTGGATGCAGTCCGTGTCGAATGCACAGGCATGGCTTGCCTCTCACTCGCCGATATCGTGGCTGGGTGCGTACGAGCCGCGAATGCGCCTGGATGGCTTCGATCAGATCCTCGCCTTTTTCTTGCGCGCGGGACACTACTTTGTTTCGCGCGTTCCTGGCTGGTGGTACCGCTTTCTGCTGCACATGAGCCCTGTCTTTTCGCTGCTCGAGGGCGTGGCCAGCCTACTGGTCGTGCAAGCGGTGGCGCGCTTCTCGCAGTGGCTGTACGTAAGACGCACTGACCCCAGGATTTACGACCCCCATGGCAACCGCACGCGCAAAATGAGCAGCAGCGTGCTGATCCGCAAGCTGCTGCAACTCGGCATCGACGCCAGTGAGGCGTGGCAACTTGTGTTCCTGCTTCTCTCAGCAACAGTGTACGTGACCTCGGCTGTAGGTCTGTACGTGAGTTTTGAGGGGGCAACGCAAGGCCGCTCCCTTACAGCCGCCGCCATCGGCGCGTGCGTCGTCTCTACGTTGTGGATCTCGGGCCTCGCACTCGCATTCCGCAAGGCCAACATCGTAGAGACGTGTCTAATGGTACGCCTCGTCACTCACGCAGTTTGCCTACGTCGTTTTCAACGTGTACCAGTTGAGCACATCGCTCCTGCTGGGCGCTGATCCTCTTCATCTCCTGCAGGCGTTCCGTGAGTCGAATATGCTGTCTCTACCCCTGCATGTCTCAGCCGGTGCCAATGTCAGTCGCTTGCTCCGCACACTGGAGAGCGGTTGGCGCGTGCTATCGGTGGCGCTCGACACTCTGCCCCCGACGGTCATTGTGAACCTAGTGTATCGCATCACGGTGCTATACTTGGCGACGCGAGTTTTGGCCATGCTGGCATGGCAAAGTCGATACCAGGAGCGCGGCGTGCCCACACTGCACCGTGTGCCGTCGCTGCAGGAACAGGCTGACTCACAGAAGCTCTCAGAGATCATGCTCAGCGCGAAGGAGCCCTGCTCAGAGGACGACGATGAGATTAACGACGTGGCCGGTCCCAGTGTGCCTGACGTGGGACTCGACGAGAAACCGGAGCGAGAAGAAAGTGTCGAGCCCAAGCAGGAGTCGCGCGCACCAGCGCTTGGTATGGTTCTCGTGCGCTACTCGCGCTTTGTGCTAATCACTGTCTACAGCCATTTGCTGCGTACGTACTAGCCACTGACACAGTGCTCGACCAAAACCACCAGAGCTACTGGCGCATGCTCGCTGTCTCCTTCACGCTCGGCCTCTGGGGCGTGGAGCTGCTCATGAGCAAAGACGACTCCGTCATGTACGAGTAGTTTGCTTTTTGTACTATAGAAAGGGGGTATAATGAAGCTAGGGCTAGGAGCCGGCCTGGGTGGCGAAGGTCTGGGCCTGACGAAACACGACGTCCAGCATCGCCTCGATACCGTCGCTGCATAAGGATGCGATACGTACCCCGTCGCGGCACTCACGCCCTGGAAAGACCATATGGGTGTGAGTGTGCCGTCCAAACTTGTATCGTCTAGGCGACGCGTCCACTCGGCGGTGACGCTCGTCTCGACCTCCCGCACGAGCGGCGCAGCGCGGTCAGACGCTAGCTCGTCTAGTTGCGTCACAACCACACACACGGGCTGCGCCCGCGCGGAAGCCTCTGCAATGACAGGGAACAATGACTCGAACACTGCCGCACGGTACGAACGCCCCAGTTCATCAGCCACCGCCGTGTCGGACGCCCAGCGCGGCGCGTCTATCACCCATACAATCACGTGGGCATCAGGCAGATACTGGTCCCATAGCGAGCGCATGGCCGCCGAGCCACCGAGGTCCCAGAGGTGCAGTATGGTGCGGCGATACGGTACGTCTAGTACGTTTTGGCCGATGGTTGGTGGCAGGCGCTGGGAGGGCGCGCGCCCCCGCAGGTAGTCGTGCCGGAGCTGCGTAAGTAGCATGTGCGTACGCGCTCAAGAATCCATGTCTTTCCTGACCCCTTAAGTCCGATCAATAGAGCATTGTATGTGGGCTTTTTGGTGAACTCCGCTGCCGTGAGCACATGCTGCACGCACCGTACAGGCCGGCCACCAGATGGTACATGCAGAGGCCACGCCGCGGTGAGTGCGAGCCACGCGTTGGTATCACGTGCCGAAATGACAATGCGTCTTCCCTCATTGGTCGGAAGGACACGGGAGGGTATTTGCGAGCTGGCCTAGGTCGAGGCGGCTCCCTCGTCCCACGTCAGTCGCCGAAAACTGTACGATGCTGTGCTCGTTGAGGGCAGCGACGAATCTGCCGCGCGTGCGGCTTAGTGCCGGTCCATCTTCGAATGCGGCTGTGGCTATGGGCCGCTCTGCAGCGCTATCAACCTCGGCGGCTCGCCGTCAGGCGACGCCGGCGCCAGCGCCGCCCAAGATGATCAAACTTACCATCAATGGCAAGGAGATTGAGGTAGAGCAGGGTACCGCTCTGATCCAGGCTTGTGAGAAGGCTGGTGCGCAAATTCCCCGTTTCTGCTACCACGAGCGTTTGAACGTGGCTGGTAACTGCCGTATGTGTCTGGTCGAGAGCGTGGGTGCTCCCAAGCCGCTGGCTTCGTGCTCGTTCCCTGCGATGCCTGGCCAAAAGATCTTCACTGATTCGCCCGCTGTTGCCCGCTCTCGTCAGTCGGTACTCGAGTTCCTGCTGATGAACCATCCGCTTGACTGTCCTATCTGCGACTGGGGTGGTGAGTGTGACCTGCAAGACCAGACGATGCGCTATGGGTCGGACCGCTCGCGATTCCACGAGATGGCTGGCAAGCGCGCGGTCGAGGACAAGTACCTTGGCCCGCTTGTCAAGACCGTGATGACTCGTTGCATTCAGTGCACCCGTTGCGTTCGTTACGCTAACGAAGTGGCTGGTGTGCAAGACCTTGGTACAACGGGCCGCGGTAACCAGCTCCAGATCGGCATGTACGTCGAGAAGATGCTCGACTCGGAGATGTCGGGCAACATTGTCGACCTGTGTCCCGTCGGTGCGCTGACCTCGCGCCCCTACGCCTTCCAGGCGCGTCCATGGGAACTGAAGAAGGTCGAGTCTGTGGATGTGCTCGACGCTGTTGGCAGCAACATCCGCGTGGACGCCCGTGACCTGCAGGTGATCCGCGTGCTGCCGCGGACCAACGACGATGTGAACGAGGAGTGGATCAACGATAAGACTCGTTACGCATGCGATGGTCTTAAGTACCAACGCCTGACAGTGCCGCTGATCCGCCAGGGTGACCGTTTTGTCCCTGCCTCGTGGCCCGAGGCGCTTGAGGCTATAGCCCAGGGCCTGGCGGCCAGTGGCGCGAAAGGCGACGAGATCCAGGGTGTCGCTGGTGCGCTGGCCGATGCTGAGTCGATGGTGGCCCTGCGCGACATGATTCACCGTTTGGGTTCGGAGAACCTGGCTACCGATGAGCCGAACGGTGACTCAGACCCGCTGCACGGTATTGACATCCGCTCGAACTACACTTTCAACACGGGCATTGCCGGTCTCGACGAGGCCGATTATGTGATCCTGATCGGCACGAACCCCCGGCACGAAGCCACGATCATCAACGCCCGTCTGCGCAAGGGCTACCTCCGCAATGGCCTGGATCTCGCGCTTATCGGTGAGGAGGTGGACCTGACATACGAATACGACTACCTCGGCGCTGACGCTAAGGCCGTCGCCGATCTGGCTGCTGGCAAGGGCCGCGGTGCAGAGCGTCTGAAGGAGGCCAAGAAGCCGCTTGTGATTGTGGGCAGCGGTGTGGTCGACCACCCTGACGGCGCTGCAATCCTGCGCGACGTGGCGAAGCTGGTGCAGTCGAACAAGGACAAGTTCCTGACGCCCGAGTGGAATGGCTACAACTTCCTGCACCGTGCTGCCTCGCGTGTGGCTGCGCGTGAGATGGGTTACCATGGCCTGTCCTCCTCTAAGCCGAAGTTTATGTACCTACTTGGTGCGGATGATCTCCCCGTGAGCAAGATCCCCAAGGACGCCTTTGTGGTGTACCAGGGCCACCATGGTGACATTGGCGCGCAGTACGCGGACGTGTGTCTGCCCGGCCTTGCGTATACGGAGAAGAGCACCACCTATATGAACACCGAGGGCCGCACGCAGATTACGCGCGCTGCAGTGACTGGTGTAGGTGCGGCGCGTGAAGACTGGAAGGTGCTGCGTGCTCTATCGGAGGTGCTCGGCACCACGCTCCCGTACGACACGGTGACGGACGTGCGTGACCGCATGTTTGATATTTCGCCCGCGCTGGTGCATTACGACAGCTGCGAGCGCACGAGTGCTGAGGTCGCCGAGCTCGGTCTCGAGCAGCTGGCTGCCTCGAGCGCGACTGCGAATGGTGTGCCGCTCCACCGTCCGATCAGGAACTTCTACCAGACGGACCCAATTTCGCGCGCTTCGCCGACCATGGCCAAGTGTGTGCAGGCATTCATCCTGAAAACGCCGTCGTTCCAGGAGAAGTGGGCGCAGGCTTCGGCCCCTTCGGCGTCGACTCCGTAGAGGCTGAACATTTAGTCTCATCCCAGAAGGGGCTATGACTAATGGCACGTGTTTTAGAGCCAATAGGACCATCTTTCGGTTACGCAGGTCACTATCGCTCTACCTCCGCACGCTATCCCTTCGACAGCGGCAGGCTGCCTCCCACTATGAGTAGTTGGACGGAGGTGCCACCGCCTACCGTGCGCATTCAGAGAGGTATCTCTGGGGCTTCGGATGCTCGTCCAGCATCTATGAGCCGTTCTCGCTCGCAGAGCATGGGCGAGCGCTCCAAGAACCACGATCGACAATCTCGTCCACGTGGATCTACCATTGTTGGTGCTGGGGAAGAAGAGCTCAAAGACCGCAGTAGCTGGACAAACTTTGGGCTACCGAGAATTTTACCATGGTCTAAAAGCGAAGGCAATGATCTTGAGCATGCTTCAAAAACACCATCGGCGTCGGAAAATGTCCAGCTCGACTCGCTCTCCGATTCGCACGCTCGCAGTGTATCCAGTCCCTCTAACTTGAATAGGGCTTCATCAAGTCGCTCTGACCCCCGGAGCCAAGCCCCTATACGCCAGAAGAGAGGTTCACGGGTCTTGTTACTGGATTCTCGCAAAAATTCAGAAGGTCCACTCCCCCCACCCATTGTCGTGGATCTGGCTGATGAGGTACAAAGTGAAGGTACGAGTGCACCCGCAGGCCCTTCCAGAGAAGTCTATGAGTCGGGAAACCAAGAAGAGCCGAACGTTCAGTCACAATGTGGGAACGAGCCACAGCAGAAAGGAAGCACCATTACCCGCCTCGGCCATATGATTCCATTGCATCGCCTCGGTCACTTATGGCCGACTAGTTCGTCGGGGCATGATGACGAAACGTCGCGCGCATCCACCCGAGGCACAGGCGAAACTGAGGAGCAGTGGGAAGATGATGGTGAGAAGCCCACCGTGCGAATCCAGGAGAGTCGAGAAAATGAGAATTCAACGCAGACGGGACCTAGTCTGCACTCGGATGCCATGGTCGACTATTTGGACGTGTTGGATCCAGCAGTGTCGTTCTTCAACACCCTGCAGAATTATGGCAATAGTGCCATGCTGCCTAATATTCCGTGGCTCTACAATCGCCGACCTATGTTGCGCATGGACCAGCTCTATGACGAAAACAATGACAACATTGTATCCCCAACCAGTCCTGAGAATCCTTCGCCTTTATCTAGCATCAGCGGTGCTGCACAGCCCAGCAATAAGGATGTGCCTCCGCTGATGGTACCAGGGGCTGAGGAAGATATATCGCAAGCCTCGCCTATGGATTCGGTGCTACGACTGGATGCAGATGGGCAGAATAAGTCGTCAGAGGACTCTATGGAGGATCGAGAGTACGAAGGCGAGACACAGCCATGGCAAATGGACAAAGACGAAGACCCTCACACCGAGCGATGGTATCAAATGGATGAAGAAGAGCGAAAGGAACTCGAGGGTCACATCCGCCATCTCTTGACAAATAAATCCAAGACCAAACGAATGGCGCGTGGTTTTTGGAACTTTGTTCGCACGCCTATGGGCTTCATTCTGACATTGTATATTTTCCTGATCTTCTCCTGGGGTGTGGTTATCTTTTTGTTTATTGTCCACTGGGTCGATGTGGAACCGTACACAACGTGGCGAGTATGGGTAGAGGTGTGTGACCAAGTGTTGTGTGCCCTCTTTGTGTTACGTGGTGTGGGGTTCGCACCGTTCCGAGCTGTGGACACGTATCGGATGGCTCATATTGCGCATTTCCACTTTCTGACGTACAAGCGCCGGAAACTGCTTCACCTGCCCAAGCTACAAAATCAGAATGAGTTGCCACGTTACAGCAAAGAGCGTCTCTACAGGCTTGCGGGGCAGAGCAGTTCCCCTCCGCCCGAAGAGGAGGGACCGAAAGAGCTGGATGATCCAAGCAGGGACTTGGAAGCGATTGGCGTTCGAAACACGGATCATATCCGCTCCGAAGGATACCACCTGGATGATTTACTGCAGCCCATGCCGGGGCAGCCTGGCGGTCACCAGCGATCACGAGAGCAAATCCAGTTGCAACGCTTGGAACGCGCCCCATCGATCCAGTCTATGGTCGAGAAAGATACCAGAGAGGTCAGTGTTCTTACTCCGAGTGAGCAGGCGCTCCTGCAGCACCACCAGCGCAAGTTCCATTCATCACATACCTTTTACCGATACCGCGAAACATCAACGCACCAACCCTTCCCGCTTTGGCTGATGATGACGATTGTGATTTTACTCGATATATATTCTTGTTTGCAAGCATGTCTGGCTGGTACAACATGGGGCATTCGTTATGAACGCCGGCCCACTGTTCTAACGGCGACAATTATTAGTTTTTCGTTGTCTTGCAACGCCGTTGCTGGTATTCTTATTTGGCAGGGAGGAAAACATACGCGGAAAACAGAGGTCGTCAAGCGACGTGTAAAGTTGGCCTTAGAACAGCGTGCTATTGAACGTATGGAACGGAAACGGAAACAGCGCACGAAACTTGACGCGTCCCAACTTGGTTTGGAAGGAAACCTGAGAGTTGAGCATGGTTAGTAGTTCTTTAGCAGTTGTCACGTTCGTTAAATGAGACGGTTTTGAGTCAGTTGCCTCCACGTACTTCATCTGGTGCCTTTCTCACTGGCGGACATGCCAACGACTCCGCAGCGTTGTAGTACGCCGGTGGCCGGGCTGCAAGGCGCTGCACAGATACCTCGACACATACCAAGCGACGTAACATCGACGAAAACCGCGTCAAAGCGGCAGCCGGGTCGAATGTACAGCCGCACGTACGTATGGAATGCATTGACATGTAGAACTGTTATGACTGAGGCCGGCCGGAACCCTTGGTACGATGCAGATGGGCGCCCATTCGCACCATATATCGTTGGTGTGGCTGGAGGGAGCGCTAGTGGCAAGACATCTATTGCAAAAGAGGTAATTCATCGGCTCCCCAAGGTACCATGGGTAGCCATTGTTAGTCAGGACGCGTTTTATCGCCCTCTCTCGCCCGACCAAGTCAAGTTGGCATTCGACCAAAACTTTGACTTTGACCACCCCAATGCCATTGATCAAGAACTACTGGTTCAATGCATCCGCAACCTGAAAGCATCGCGTGCTGTACAAATTCCCGTGTACAGTTTCACACAGCACCAACGCACGTCTGCATCCACCTACCTCTATGGCCATGCTGTAATTGTGGTCGAGGGCCTCTTTGTCTTGCAAGATCCAGAATTACGCGAGCTGCTAGACCTCAAAATATTTGTACAGACCGATCCTGATATTATGTTGGCACGTCGTATCCGCCGGGATATTGTTGACCGCGGACGCTCCATCGACGGCGTACTTGATCAGTATTTGCGCTTTGTGAAGCCATCCTTCGAGACATTTGTTGCTCCATCTGCTAGGCATGCTGATATCATCGTACCAGGTGCGAACAATGCTGTGGCCATTGATGTCATCAGCCAGCACATTGCCAAGCACCTATTGCATACTCGCAACCTTGTCTTGTCTGCAGAACCTCATATTCTACCAGAAAGCCTAGAATCCACGCAACATTGGCCCTTTCAACGTGCTCGTATCCGCGTCGGGATTGACTCAACTGGCCAAACGGTGCACTGTGTGGAACATGAGCCATTCTCTACCGACGATGCACCCTCCTCTTTCACTTCAGAGACCACGACCCTTCTGCCCCTACCACCTAACGTGGATGTACTGCGCCAAACCCCACAAATGCGTGCCCTACTGACTATCATGCATGATGCTGCCACACCTGCAGGCGAGTTCGCATGGGCCTGTAAGCGTGTCGGCGCCTTTGTTGTTGAGGAGGCAATGAAGCAGCTGCCTTATGAGGAGCGATCTGTGCCCCTGCATACTGGTGGGACCTATGTGGGCCTCAAACTCAATGTTGATTTCATTTGCGGCGTCTCCATCCTTCGCTCTGGTGCTATTCTAGAACATGTACGTTTTATAACTGACCCAGCCTCTGCGGCGCGCCCTCCCAGCTCTATCTCTGGGCTCTGTACTGATTCAGAGCTCTGACACCAATTATCGTCCCCTCCTTTATTCTGTATCTCTACCTTCCTTTGTTCGCGACCGCGAGCGAGCCAAGCGCACGTGGGCCTTGATCACTGATGCACAGATCGGGACGGGCGCGGCCGCTTTTATGGGTATACGCGTGCTGCTTGACCATGGCATTCCCGAACACCAAATTTTGCTGCTCACACTATTGTCGTCGGCACAAGGCGGTCTTTGGTCACTTCATCATGCCTTTCCTAAGGTGCGCATCATTACTGCCAGTGTCGATCCAGGTTTGCGTCGCTACTCATGGCCAATCTCGCCAAGCAATCCCTCCGCGGCAGGCAACAATGAGTCTGTGGACAGAGATTCTTCTCTAGAAGAGCCTTCTCATGAGCGTGTCGCCTATGCCATTATACCCGGTTGTGGCCAAATGGGCGATCGCTTCTGGGGTACATAGCCAAATTTTCTTGGCTCTCGACGCTATGTGGAGCCACTATGCAAGTCGAGCTTTTCACGGGGATATAAACTGCCCTGATTGGCTCCACACATACGGAACGTGCCGATGTGGCCGCGCTGCCCCAGGCCTGTCGTCTCGTTTTGCACAGACGTGGCACGGCGACTTGTTGCGTACCACGGCTAGGTCATTGTCGTGCTCTTAAGCTTTCTTACTATACCCTTCTGTATCAACCATGCTTCGCTCTTTTGGGCGAATGGTGAGTGGTGTATCACGCCGGGGAAAAGGTCGCAGTCCAGATGAAGACGATGGGGTTGAAACGTCTTTGTCTGTGTCAGCCATGAGCGGAGAGGTCCCCATTGGTGATGACGCATCTTTACCTGAGGTGAATACCTCCAACTTGGATCACATGGCTCCTATGTTGGAGACCCCTGAACGCAAGGTGGCGACATCTGCAAAAGCTCAGATGTCTGCCTCGCAACCTATTAGTGCCACCCATGCGCGGCACACTCATCTTTCCGTATCACCAGATGGGCATCAGCATAAAGGGAGCTGGTATTCAGGATCACCAGCCCCCCATGCTCTACCCAGCACATCACCGTTATCTACGAGTGTGACAAATGCTGACGGCGTGAAGACATTTGACATTGATGATATGATTAGTCGTCTCATCGAAGCAGGATATTCCACTAAGGTGCCGAAGCCAGCGCTTAAAATACCCGAGATCATGGCCGTGTGTCAAGCGTCCCGGGAGGTATTTCTCAGTCAGCCGACACTCATTGAGCTGAGCCCTCCTGTGAAAATTGTGGGCGACACGCACGGACAATATCAGGACTTGCTGCGCCTTTTCGACATGTGTGGTTTTCCTCCGGCGGCAAACTATTTGTTCCTAGGGGACTATGTCGATCGCGGGAAGCAATCACTTGAGACCATTTTGTTGCTTCTTTGTTACAAAATCAAATATCCTGAAAACTTCTTTCTGCTCCGCGGTAACCATGAATGTGCAAACGTCACGCGTGTATATGGATTTTACGACGAATGCAAACGCCGCCTGAATATTAAGGTTTGGAAATCTTTCATTGATGTATTCAACACGCTGCCGATCGCTGCCATCGTGGCATCGAAAATTTTCTGCGTCCATGGTGGTTTGTCACCTTCTCTTTCAAATATGGATGACATTCGCCGGATTGAGCGGCCCACAGGTGTCCCTGACTACGGTCTTTTGAATGATTTACTTTGGAGCGATCCTAGTGATACGGCTCTCGACTGGGAAGACAACGAACGCGGTGTCAGTTATTGTTTTGGCAAGGTTGTGATCCAGCAGTTTTTGGCACAATATGACTTCGACTTAATTTGTCGGGCTCACATGGTCGTGGAAGATGGCTATGAGTTTTGGAACGAGCGTACATTGGTTACGATATTTAGCGCACCGAACTACTGTGGCGAATTCGACAATTTCGGTGCTGTTATGAGTGTGTCGGATGATTTGCTATGTGCGTTCGAGCTCCTCAAGCCGCTCGACGGCCCTGCATTGAAAAGGGAGATGGCCAAAAATAAGCGGCGCAGTTTCTTGCATCAACAACAACTAGAACAGCAAGAAAACAAGGCCTTGCAGCATCTGTCATAGAGCTCCCTTTTCAATCTTTGGGTCACCGCATTGGCCTTTTTCCAATCCTTTCATAGATGTATTGAAACGAATGGCTCACGGTATACCTCCTCCCATTGTCGTGCACGTGCGCGCAACGCTCTGATCACCTTCCCATATGGCATCCACTCCTGCGGTGGAAGTGCATAATTTGCATTATGGGTTTACGGGTGCCCAAACTCCAGCCCTAGAAGGTTGTGACCTCGTACTTGAGCCTGGTGCACGCTGTTTGTTGATTGGCGCTAATGGCGCTGGGAAAAGCACCCTACTTCGTCTTCTCGCCGGGAAACGTCTGTGCGAAGCCAACATTCTTGTCTTTGGTCAGGACGTATTCCATGCACCACCTCGTGGTATTACATATCTTGGGACTGAATGGGCTATGAATCCAGTCGTTCGAAGTGACATTACTGTGAGTGATTTTCTCAATTCTGTGGGTGGCTTCCGCTTCAGCGAGAGGCGCGACCATCTGCTTGATTTACTGGATGTGGATTTGTCTTGGCGTATGCACATGATCAGTGATGGTGAGCGACGACGTGTACAGCTATGTATGGGCTTGATGGAACCATGGAAACTACTCCTACTTGACGAGGTAACTGTCGATCTTGATGTCCAAGTGCGCTGCGACCTGCTTGACTTTCTCCGCGAAGAAAGCGAGAAAAGGGGCGCTACAATTGTCTGTGCGTATACCATAACTCACATTATTCAGATGCCACTCATATTTTTGATGGAATTCACAACTTCCCTACTTGTTTGGTACACATGCAACTGGGTCGCACTACTACACCCATGCCTTTGCCTTGGCCCTTACGTCTCCACAGTGCTGCACCCGCATGGACCCTTGAGAGTCTTCCCGAGTCATTCAGAAATGACATTGCGTCAGGTTCGCTATCTATGGAGTTCCTCTCCTTACTCCCTCTTGCACTTGCCTGGTTGCGTGAAGATCGTGTAGTGCGCCAGCGGTACGAATTCGAGCGAGGCGTAAAGAGAGGTCGTGCTGGACATGCTTCACAGGAAGAAACAAAGGACGCAAAAAAGTTTTTCAGTCAATATGACTACTATTCAAACTATAACACTTAACTGTAGTCCTCATCGCAAGACGAACCCAAAAGAAATATCATTTGCAATCTAGCAAGGTTCTACTCAAGTCGCTACGCTGTATTTATCTCACCAATTTTTTTGCATGCGTACCAGATTGGCTGAGTGGCGCAACGGTAGCGCGTCTGATTCCAGCATGTGGAATGCAATACTTCCTCAGTGGAGTCTCCAGAAGGTTATCCGTTCGAATCGGGTCTCGGTCATTTTTTATAATTTTACGTAGCTACCGTTTGGAAGACGGGAGTCCGTATCTCCTTAGCGTTTCTCCCACAAATGTTTAATCACTATGCAATGTTTACTGTCACGTACATACAGCCGCTGTTGGCGCATATTCATTGTACAGATTTTTGGCTCAAAGACCAAAATGAAAAACCATAAGATTTAGACTGGCTGAGTGGCGCAACGGTAGCGCGTCTGATTCCAGCATGTGGAATGCAATACTTCCTCAGTGGAGTCTCCAGAAGGTTATCCGTTCGAATCGGGTCTCGGTCATTTTTTTTCAGCCTGCGTCCGGATGGATGGAAGCGGAGTCAGTACTTTTTTTACGCTCCACAATAGCGTTGAACTTCGCTTTCAAGCCGCCACAATGTCGAATCGTCAGCGGCCTAGCAAACATTCAGACGAGGCGCTTCAGCGCCAGTCTGAAAGTATAGCGCGCTCAACGCGAATCCCTATTTCATTGCAACAATCAACACCTACTGACACGTTGGGTATGCGTCCTCCTAAATCGTTGTCCAAAATTAAGGACAAAAAGCTACGATCAGAATTATCGCGGCAATATATCTCTCGCAAGCGCGCGGAAAGGCATGCAAAGCTTGCGAGTGAGTACCTGCATGGTGGCGTGTCGGGTGAAGATGCTGGTATGATTGAAACAGAAAATGATATGGAGCGCACTGCTCGCGTAACGCAGGCTCAAATTCAGGACGAGGTGGGTGTTGACACTGCCCGCAAGTCGTTTGAATTGAAACTTGGTGGTAAGGGCACACCTAGCCTCGGACCTTACCGTTGCGACTACACGCGCAATGGCCGCCACTTACTTCTGGGTGGACGCAAAGGGCACCTGGCTGCCTTTGATTGGCAAAGCGGTAAACTCTCTTGTGAGATTCAAGTGCGTGAGACCGTCCGTGATGTGCGCTGGCTACATGATAATACTTTTTTTGCAGCGGCTCAGAAAAAGTATACTTACATTTATGACCAGAACGGCATCGAAATCCATCGTCTTAAGGACCATATTGAAGTGCAGCGAATGGAGTTTTTGCCGTATCATTTCTTACTGGCTACCATTGGTAAACCAGGATACCTGAAGTATCAAGATACCTCGACAGGCGTAATGGTTGCGTCGCACCGGACAGGCCTGGGCTCGTGCGCCACTATGGCACAAAATCCACTGACTGCTGTAATCAACCTGGGGCATGCAAATGGTACGGTGACCATGTGGACGCCCAACTTGTCTACGCCCGCCTTGAAAATGTTGGCCCATCATGGTCCTGTGATGGGTCTTTCTGTGGATGCCCATCGAAACGGGCGAGAGATGGCTACTAGCGGCCTTGATGGTACGATCAAAGTGTGGGACACGCGTATGCTAGGCCGCGGTCCACGCCGTGAGTGGGTATCGCGACGCGCTGCCTCTGATGTCCAGTATTCCCAGCGAGGTCTGCTGGGTGTGGCTTGGGGCAATCATATAAGCTTGTACAATACTGAGGCTGAGTTGGGGAACGCCCCTCCTGGGCCGTATTTGACTCATGGCATACCACAGTGCGCACCTCTGCAACTTCGTTTCTGTCCATTTGAAGATGTGCTGGGAGTGGGTCATGCCAATGGCTTCTCGAGCTTGCTGGTTCCCGGCGCAGGTGAACCTAACTTTGACACGAGTGAGGCCGACCCGTACGAGACGAAGAATCGGCGCCGCGAACGCGAAGTTCACAGCTTGCTGGACAAGATCCAGCCGGATATGATCACTCTCAATCCTGACTCGATGGGCCAGCTTGATACACGTGCATCGCGCGATGCACAGACAGTTGCCGCTTCTATTTCTCACCCCAACTCGGTACCCAGGGCTGCCGATGGCACACCTTATTCGCGCCTGTCTCGAGCACAGCGCCTCAAACTTGATGGTGCTCTAGATGAGGAAGCCTCCCCACTTGTGGAGGAGGACGAAAACGACGATGCGACGCCTGCAACGGCAGCAAAGGGTGCTAAGAAGGAGAAAAACAAGGCCCGGGGTCGCAATAGTGCGATGAAGAAATACTTGCGCAAGAAACGCCAGAACGTGGTGGATGCCAATACAATTGCGTTGCGTGAAAAGTACCAGCGCGAGAAGGCCAGGCGCCGCCAGGAACAAGCGCCGCCTGCGCCGCCCAAAGAGCCCAGTGCCTTGGATGTGTTTGCTCGAGTCAAGGGTCCTCGCAGTTAGACCTGACCGCTTTGTTCATATCCGTACCATAACATGAAGTACTAACTACAGGAGATATGTCCACAGAACAATAAAAAGAGCAAGATACAACACAACTAGCCCTGTGATGTATGGCCCAGAGAGAGGTGCAATCCGGCGCTGCGCATTCCGCAACGCCTCCAATTCTGCGTCGGTGAGGTTCGTCTGACCCGCCTTGGTAATCACTTGTTCGTAGCCCCGCACGGGTGCTTCCATAGCATCCCACCACGTCTTATTCGAGGCGTATTCCTGAGCGCGTTGGCCCATTGTCGCCCGCAGCGTGCGGTCGCGAATGAGGCGCTCCAACAGGATACTGTAAGCTTGCGCACACTGTTGGAATGAGCGCGTGCTAGGGCTCATAATTGATGCAAATTCTTTCACAGACGGCATCGGAGAAGGAAGGCCCGGCTTCAGATTGCCGGAGGCAGCCACAGGAACAGCACGCTCACTAGAGCTCGAGAGCGACATCTGTTCGCCTTGCACAACCGACTCACCAAGGCGTTCCCTCAGCGAGTTTTGACGCTGTGGTGCCATTACTGAGGAATCCAAAACAGGGGCTGGTTGAACGTTGCCCCCGCTCACAGCGCGGTGTGTATCGAGGAGCAAGCCGGTTGTGCCATGGCAAACGAGATCGGAGGTGCCTTCCGCATGAAGACCAACGACTGGCAGACCTGAAGCCAAAGCTTCCAGAACCACCTGACCGAACGTCTCAGTAAAGGATGGGAAGGCAAAAATACTGCTGCTGGCGTACATGGATGCAAGTCGCTTGCCCTTTTGATGGCCCATAAAAGAGGCATCTAAGCCATACTTTTGGCACAGGCGCGTGAGCTCCGCTCGGGCAGGACCATCACCCACAATCACTAGCTTGGCATTGTTTTTGACGCTCTGAGGCAGCAAGTGGAACGCTTCCACTAGGAGACGAATGTTCTTTTCCCAGCTGATACGGCCCACGAACAGCACCACTGCCTTGCTGTCACTGTCCACAGCACTCGATGCCGTAGGCACAGGCTGGCTGACGGGTTCCTCCAGCAACGCGGGTGGAAGTGCAAAGGCCGTGCCAGGTAGCGGCGGCACATCGCACACACTCTCGTATGCTGGCGGCGGGCTAAACTCCGACATAGGAATTGTATCTGGGGTGCGAATAAAGGCATCCTCAGGCGACAGTCCCTTATTGCGCTCCAGAGACGAAATGGCCTGGTCATGGAGCGCATTAAGGAGTGCCTGTGACTTGGGCTTGCAGCCCCAGCTCTCGCGCAAATTCTCATCACGAGCTGTAGGCGTAAAGATGTCAATATCAACACCACGCCCCCAAATCTCGACGTTCTCAAACCCACGCATCCGCAACATTCGACGAGTGCTTTCACTGGGGCATAACACCATATCACATTGGTTATGAAGCATGCGAATCAAGTTCCACATGCCAGGTTCCAGAAAGCCGCATCCAAACAGTGATGCGTAAGTGGGAAGATTGGTATGATAAGATGAAACACGCGGCACATTAGGCAGGTAGAGCTTGCATAGCGGGATCATCTGTGCACCGAGCCAAATGGGATCAACAAAATGCACCACATCTGGACGGAACTGCTGCAGACGACGGATGAAACGCAGTCGAGCAAAGTTGAGCTTTAGACCGGGATACACGATAATCGGGATTCCAAACGTGCCGACCACTGGATGGCCTAGATACTCCTTCAAGCCCGTATCAGGACCCATAACGATAGCCTCGTGGCCCTCGTTATGCATGTGCTCCAGTAACCTTCCGAGTGTTCGCGTGACACCATCGATTTTCGGAAGAAAGTTTTCTAATGTGAGTCGAACCAGACGTACCCGTCACAATCGCCACACGCAACTTGCGTCGCTTGCGATCGATAGGATATGGGTAAGACACAGCGTCCAGGATCGGATCAACCTGAACCCCTATCATGACTGGCTCCCTGGACAGTGTCGACAAGAGTTACGATGAAAAAAGACCCAGAGCAATCACTGAGGTGGCTCGTCTAGCCGCGAGGTACCTAGTAGCCGATGATTGTGCACGCACCCAAGGGCCCGCTTACTAACACACACGGCGCCATAGTGCACGTGTGGGGGACACGTTGTCCAAAGTCAGATGACTTGCATTTGTTGGGGCAAGTGGAGATAGGCCCACTCCATCAACTTAGGCGCGTCGTGCAGATCGGATGGATTTCACATCCACATATGCCCATGCTTTATGGGATAGTGTGCTATTCTCGCCTGGATCGACCTTTCTCGCATACATCAATGGAAAAGATAGGCGTCAAGTGATGGTGCGTGTGACAGGCACCATGCAGGTCGTGCGTTCCTGGGACTTGGACGCGTCGCTAGACAGCTTGTCATGGTCCGGTGACGGCCTTTTTCTTCTAGCCAGCAAAAAGAGCAAAGAGGATAGTACACGTGAGGGCGTATCTTATGTTTTACCGCTTGATCCAGATACCGCTGTCACTGATGGGTCAGACGACAATCTAGGTTGGGTTGCGCGTGTCGTAGCTGGCGTCCAAGGCCTTGTTCATGCTGCTTGGCTCCCTTTGAAACGCATTCCATCTTTCATTCAGTTTTCCGGTTTTGAAGGGAGCGCTATCATCTATTCGCTTTCTGACCAAGCATTTACGATTCTACCTCGTGCCACTCTTCCTCATGGTGCGTGTATAACACACTTACTCAGTCTATACCAATAGTAACTGGCCGGAACTTTTCATTCTTGCTCAACGGGAGAGGGAGCAGGACCGCCTCATTGTATTTCGACCTGCTTCCCTTGATGCACCTACCCTAGACAATCCTGTTGTTTTTATATCCCAACAGACGATTCCTTTGCCTACCAATGCTGTTGCTGGCGTTGTATGGAGTCCTGATGGCAATCTGCTTGCTGTCTGGGACATGGCTCTAGAATACAAACTGTCAATTCACACGCTCTCTGGTACCCATCTGGCTACATTCACCTTAAATGAATGGGGCGTCCCTCATACTGAGACCCCAATGTCTAAGGCCGACGTCCAACAAGCCTTAACTTCTTGTACCTCAACAGGCCGAGCGCGTCGCGTCACTGTTCGGCCTTCTATGCGTATACCAAAACCATCATACAATACCGGTACACTACCGCATCGCGTCGCAGGGGGTGGCTTGGGTATTCGGCAGGTCGTATGGCATCCTTCCAGTGAATTCCTTGTCCTGGGAGGATTCGATGAACAAATACATATTCTACACCACGCAGACTGGTCGTTGATGTATTCACTCGACCTCAGTGTCTCTGGATTACGCTCTATGGGCGAAGCTCCTCAGGTATGGCTTGAGCCGCATCGCTGGTTCGAGGCGACTCGAGGCCAAGGTATTGTTCCGATGGAGCCCTCCACGTTCCCTATTGACGTCCCAACGATTCGCACCGAGGATGCGCCGACCCCCTTTCAGAACGGGATTAGCTGGATGCAGTGGAACCAAGATGGTACACTTTTAGCATGTATCAACCAGAATTTGCCCACAGTTCTATTTATCCATGAATTTGTGGGCTGGATGGAACGCGGTATTGATGCTTATATGCGTCCTCATGCCATGCTTGTATTCACTCATCCTATTGTTTGCACATCATGGAAACCAGGACACAAGGCGAGCTTGGCTGTCGCAACCGGTCAACAAGCCGTGTTCATTTGGACGGCGCAGGCCAACTCAGGCGATCACGCGCACCAATTGGCGGAAGCTGTGGCAATTCCCAATGATCCTTTCTCGGCACAACACCTCACATGGTCGCCTGATGGTCTAACCCTTGTTTTGATGGATTCCCAAACGTTCTGCTGCGTTGTACCTGCACCGGCCGAAGATAGTACGCGGCTGGAGGGACACATAAGTAGTTCTGGCGATCCAAATAGTTCGTGAACTTTGGGATAAAGAGAGCAAATACACTTAAATTTCCATGATTGGGCGCGTGGTGGAGTGGTTACCACGTCCGCTTTGCATTATGAAGATAGCGGTAGGTCGCGGGTTCAAATCCCGTCGTGTCCACTTTTTATCACGTGCATTTTGTGCCCGCAGCGTTCTTGCTTCGTTGCTTCGGCCAAGCAATTAGATCTTTTTCCCTCCATCTCAATGTACGCAGATAGGGAGGAGGCTCTGCGAAAGTCGTTAACGTCTGACAACAACCCGGCTGCCATGGATCCAACTGAGCGTGAGCGGTACTTACAAGAAGAGCTCCGGCGTCGTGCAGTGGACTCGCGTCGTCGTGAGGCACGCGACGACCCTTTTCCTCACGAACATGCTGGATCTGCGTATGATGAAAGACGCACCTCACGACGTCGCGGTGGGGATATCGGTCATGTTGATGACCGTTCTCGTTGGCGTGAGGATTCGTCGCGCGATTTCACCCGCCAGCCTTATGATGACACACCCCCACCGTACCGTCGCCGTGGTGGCAGTGGTCGACGCAATGACTCTACAGGGGGAAGCTATCCGCGCCGTCGTAGCCGCAGTCCTCCATGGTCTCGCCATGGCTCTGGTACTTCACAGCCCGAATATGAACAACGTTCAGTATTCTGCAGCGAGCTGGACTCGCATGTGGCTCAACGTGACCTGGGCGAATTTTTCGAGGAGTATTTGGGACAAGATACTGTGCTAGATGTGCGGGTTGAAGTGGATCCTAAGACAGGTCTGACGAAAGGTATTGGATATGTGGAATTGGCTCGTGAAGATCTAGTCCCTAAGGCCGTGGAACTTACAGGTAAGCGCATGTTTGGTGCGCCCATCGTCGTCCAGCGCGCGGAAGCGGCGGCGAAAAACTACTCTGTGCAGCTGTATGAACCTCCCCGATCAGCTGGGCCATCAATGCCCGCGCCTGTATCCATGTCTGCTCCGACAGGCCCAATCCTGCCGCCAGCACATGCTATTCCCGGTGGTCCACCTGCTTCAGCCAACCCAGACGCGCGTTTGTATGTGGGAAATCTGCACTTTGATATTGCCGCACCCCATGTGCGCGCTGTGTTTGAGCCCTTCGGTCAAATTGACGATGTCGAAGTCAACTTCAACTACATAACTGGCAAAAACAAAGGATTCGCATTCGTTCAATTCCGACGACCCGAGGAAGCACAGCAAGCTATTGAACAACTTAATGGTTTCGAGCTTGCAGGTCGCGCTATGAAGGTCGGACTGGCCGGCGTTCGGGGTGGTGGTACCGATATCTCCGGCTCTACTGATTCACAAAAAGAATATTCTCGCGATACCATGCGTCAAACCGATAAAAGGTTTGCGCTTATGGAAAAGCTTGCGAGAACTGACTCAGAGAAACAGGCTCGACCCTCTTCGATTCCTGAGGCTGTGTCGTCGGCCATATTACTCAAGTATATGTTTAACCCTGCTGAAGAAACTGATCCGAATTGGGCTGCGGACCTTCGGGAAGATGTGCGCGATGAATGCGCCCGTCATGGCGACGTGCGCCTCGTGTATGTCGACAAGGACAGCGCCGATGGCGAAGTTTATGTATGCTTTGCCGATGAAAATCAAGCCCATTCGGCGCGGAAAAGCTTGGAAGGTCGTTTCTTTGGTGGCAAGCAGATTCAAGCCAACTTCATTCCCGTAGCTTTTGCCAAAGCTAAGGCTGGCTGGTAGACGACGTAGGCCGACTTGATCGTTCACGTGACGAGAACCATCTCTGAGATGTAGGGGAGGATCGCAACGTTTTAGCGACGGTCAGTATGACATGCACGCACCCGGCCCGGCGGCGGAACATGTTTTAACGCGTCCTTCATCATATGTGTGCACGATAGATGGATGTGGGAAGATTTATGCGAAAGAATCGCGCTTACTTGAGCACCAACGTACACATACCGGTGAGGTACGTTGTTGGACACTAAGACTTCGAAGCGCCCTTTTGCATGCTCTCATCCAGGATGTAGCGCCACATACATGCGTGCTACTCATTTAGCTGCTCACATGCGCTCACATATGGAAGAATCAGAGAAGCCTTTTGAGTGCACTCATTCAGATTGTGGAAAGCGGTTTTGGACCAGTCAACATCTTCGTCGGCATATTGTTTCGTGTCACACGCCCTTCCAGGATGGGATCCCCTCTATCTCTGCAACAGATGCGCATGAAATGCTGGGCAATAATTCACTTTCCGGACTCTACAAATGTACACATGGAGGATGCTGTCGTATCTTTTCCAAACGTAAACATCTGCGACAACATGTGCGGGATGCCCACGCTGACTTTATATCAGGGGAGCTCCCATATGCTTGCGAGCACGAGGGTTGCGATAAAAGATTTGCGACGTATTCTAAGAGACAGCATCATATGCGTGTGCATGAGAAGGGAAGGTATCAATGCGTCTTACCGCACTTGTCCGCCCCGCCGGCGGGCCATCCACCCTATACGATAGATGAGGCTCTCCAGGCCTGGTCATTCTCAACGTGGACGCATTTGCAGCGGCATATGCGCCTTTATCATCCACCTACTTGTCACCAATGCGGGAAAGTATTTGCGAATCGCGAGAACCTAAAGCGACATCACAAAACGCATGCAATGTATTCATCGTCGGAGGAACAATGTCCATGGAACGGTTGTGACAAGGTCTTCCAGACTCAGTATGCTTTAAAAGTTCATATATCACGCGTCCATGAAGGATTTAAACCCTTCTTGTGTGAGGTGTGCGGGAAGAGATTTGGCTACAAACACCTGCTTGAGCGACACCAGCAACTTCATGATCGATCAAATTCGTCTGAAGCCGAGACGTTGGCACATTCAGATTCAGATTCACATCCACACCTCTCAAGCCTAATAGGCTCGTCTCGCAAACGAGCTCGCCGAGAGCGTGTGCTTCCGTGCCCATGGCCGATGCTTAGCGGGCAGGCCTCAAGCGAAGTACAAGAACTAGAGCCATGTTCACGAAAGTTTGCTAGGCTTTATGACGTACGACGGCATCTTGCCAGTGTTCATGGACTCCACGTATCTGATGCGGAGCTGAAGACATGTATGCCAGAGGCAGTGCTGGCTCTTTTGCCACCACCTCGTACCGTGAAGAGAATTCGACACGAGGTATAAAATGTACTATTATACAGGGGTATATATATCTAAACCTTCTTGTTGAAGTCGCTCGTGTAAGACATTTTGCTCGGCTTGTAGGAAATGAATGCGACAGGATAAGAATGTCAGCTCAATCTGTGTTCTTCGCAAAGATTGCGAAAGGACCGTGCTGGAATTCATGAGATTGTCCCGCGTTGAGCGCTGAAGGGGGGTCAAAAGGCCCATGTGCATGATGGTCTGGACTTGGCGCTGATGTTCTTCTGCCAAGGTCTGGTATCGCTGTCGATGGGATGCCAAATACAAACTGATGGAGAGAACAGATTGCGCGAGTGCCAGGGAAGTCGCTTTCATGCACTCCATATACATATGACGCGGTTGTGGCTCATTCCCAGGCTGAGCACCTGTTCTCAATGGACCCAATACAGTGATAGACATAGGTCGCATCTGAACTGTAACGCCTGGAGGTATCATCAAAGCATCGTCCCATACTAGAGCACAACTCCCGAGACTAGCAATGTAGTTGATTCGATCCACCCAGTCTTCCACTTGTTCGTCTTGAACTTGAATCAAATACCACCGCCCATTCACACGCAAACGAACAATTTTATCCTTCTGCGCCGCATTATACACACAAAGAGCATGACATAGTGGTGTGACCTCGTCCACTCGGACGTTGATCGGATGGGGTGATAGAATGAATGATTCGAATGGTATCACGTCATCTGGATTCTTACACCAGAGTAGAGCGGAGCCCGTTATAATCATGCCCCAAGGTTTCCACTTTGTGCCAAGGCTTCGCTTATCTCCTTCGGAAGAATCACAGCGCTTGACAACACCAGCACCAATGGGACGAGCTAGTAAAGGCACCATATCCGGATTATACTGCGACATGGCCCATTTTTTCGCAAAACTGACCCTGGGACGAAATTCTAACAAAGGAGCATTCATGATTTGGTTGTGAAGCGCTCGCGGCGATGTCCGTATTCCTGCGAAACAAAACGGCATTTGGATACGATCTTGAACAGTTTTAGGGTCTTGTTGCAAATATAATATATTGCCGTGAGATAAAAGCTTATAGAGTGTGTCCTGGTCTCGAGTGAAAGGCAGCGAAGGGTTGTTTCGCATGTAGGCAAATTCAACGAGTGACGTGTTGTCATACAAATATTCCAAAATTGCATGGTGCACCCGGCTTGCTTCAGTCATACTCACAAATTCTGCTTTAGAAATGCGAGGGCGAACACTCTTGTGAAATGCATCCGTGTGTAGCAGCAGCAGCGAGTATACCAACAAATATACATTTTCTTCATCGAGTATGTCCGGGTTACACATATGATACCTGTGCGAAAATGCGACGAGTACGCGATCCACTTGTTGAGATTCTAAAGGCAAATGCTCCAAAGATAAAAACTGACGCAGTGCCATGTCGATAGGGTATTTTTCGAAGTGAAAGCGTTCCAAGTAACAGGTGAGAGCTTCTTGCAAGAATGGGGTGCCATTGGCAGACAACATACGTGCTGTCTGGCCTTCATACTCTTGGTGCTGCTTGGTATATTGATAAAGACGTCTGCTTAGCTGTAGTGCAGATTCAGCGGGGGACACAGTAATGGGCAAACTACTTGTGTCTAACGCATGAATATCTTTGGCATAACTTTCTGGACACGAATGCGATTCGATGTCCACAGGCGAGTCAATGTGGTTGCGCACCTTATTATCATCATAGAAAGAAAAACATTGCCCAATGTTGTCGGGCATCTCCGGCGTAGGACTAAAGAGTTGATTATGGGCTGCCATATCCTGCTCAACCAAAAACATCGACGCATTTTCCCATTCTTCCTGAGACTGATCAGTTGAGAAACTGGGAACAACATCTGGTACAGAAAGACGATCCCGTCTGTGTATACTCGTATGGCTAACGGGGGACTGCATCGCGGGCACGTCACCGCCGGCGAGAGACGCCGTAGTTTGGGGGGATCCCAGAGTACATAGAAATTCCAACCACGTGGTAAGCGCACAAGCCATGCTGCCCTTCCCTCAACAGAGAAGTTTAGGCGAAGAGACCAGAGCCAGTACCAGTATTCTAATAGCTATCTCTCGCTGACTTTAACGCTCTTCTTTGGTCGGCCGTTGGGCGAAGTTCCCAATGTCAGTTCGACGGGGGATTCGTCTATCGTCCAAAAGGGCGACCCAACCGATTCGCCTATCAGTTAGCATGTTCAACACTCGACAGGAAATACTCACTAGCTTCAATAAGAGAATAATCCAGATCACTTCCAGCGGAACGTTCGTGCACATCATCAATCACCCACAATGGGGCACCACGTTTCCGATTCAGCAATTGTACACCAAGCCAGTCCATATAGTCGTCATCGTCCAAAGAAGGACAGTCATCAAAATTGTCCTCGTCTTCATCTTCTTCGATTTCCATAAGAACGGCTCCCTCATCCGTGTCTTCCTCGCCGTCTTCGACATCATCAACCAGGTGATCTTCGGCAACTGTGACGTAACCACCGGGGAGGATATGGTACGTTGTCGAAGAGAGTGACGAATCTGGGCCAATTTCCCAGTCTCTTAGTCGAGGAAGAATATATGTGCGACCTCGATGGCGATAGAGAGAGAATCGCTGCGGGTATTGCTGCCGGAAGTCGCGCAACATCGAGTCGTCCGATCCTCCTATTAAAAGTTGCTGCAAATGTAAGAGACCATCGTCGACTTCGTGCCCAGATATAGCAAGGATACGTTGCCCCATAGCTGACGCAAACATTTCATCTTCGAGTAACTGATCAAGTTCATCTTCCTCTGTCTCGTCGCCTGCGGAGTTTAGCAAATACAAGAGAGAGCTAGGGTCATCTCGCTCAAGGATATCTGATGGCTGAATTGATGTGACTAAGTATCAACATAGAAGTACATACGAGATAGAGATTCCCCATCGGGTACTTCCTCAATGAACACGGAGACCATGTTGTGGCGCAAAGCACGCGCCATGCTTGAGCGCCGACCAACGGTATCTTGAACTGGAGGCGTGTACCTTTTCGGCAGCCCTCCACCTTCTACCATGCCACGAGTGTGGGTGAGCTTCCCAGGGGCACCGTACACGCATAAAGCAGCATTAAACGCCGCTAAACAAGTTTTAGGAGCTGAATGGAGTATTGTAGATGATGAGAGCCATCATACTGTCGATTCAGATACCTCACATAAAGAAATGGATGCCTATATCGCAGATTATGACTGTCTGCCATTCGAAGCTCTTATGGGCTCATCGTCCATTTGCAGTAGCTATGTGATTCGCAAGGCATTAATTAGGAAGCATTACCTAGCTAATGCTATCCATTCTTTCCACGTAAAGCACCCGAACCATGTGCCCAAAGTTCCGAAGACTTGGATGTTGGACATCCAATTTGCGGATGAGCTGGACGAAATGCTTGCCGACGATTTATATGACCTGCGCGAAGAACTAGAGCGTAACGAATCTTCAGAAAAGAAGTCTTGGTTTATCTTGAAACCTGGTATGGCAGATCAGGCCAACGGAATTCGGATATTTTCATCTGTGCAGGAGCTCGTGCGCATTTTTGAAGAACTTGAAGATTCAGACGACGAGAACAAAGATATGGAAGATACAGAGCAAGGCATTGCAAGCCAGTTGCGGTTCTTTGTCATTCAAGAGTACATTTCTAAGCCGTTGCTAGTATCCCCATGCGATCCAAGCAGTTCGCCAAGAAAGTTCCATCTGCGCGTGTATGTGATCTGCGTAGGTGGATTACAGGTCTATCTGCATGATGACATGCTCGCATTGTTTTCAAGCATCGCCTATACTGAACCAAATGACGAAGTGGCAGATCTGCGTGGTCATTTAAGCAATACATGTTATGGCAAGCGACACTCTTCAAGTACAACGACTGAGGAAGGGAATGTATTTACGTGGCAAGACCTTCTTGGAAAACGCGCATGCTTTCCAGGACAAGAAGTGGTAACATTAACGGAAGCTCATATCCATGAAATTCATCGCAGTGCAGTAAAGACCATTGGCGAGGTATTTGAAGCTGTGGCACGAGAAGGTTCGGTGCACTGGCAAATGTGGCCCAATTCGTTCGAAATCTTTGGTGTAGACCTTCTTGTGGGCTGTGAAAACAGTGGTAACATACATGATCCCTCATCCTTACGGACTTGGTTGTTGGAAATTAATGCTCAACCCGACTTTCAACAGTCAGGCCCAGAACTTACTGGGATTGTTGAGCATGTATTTGCGCGTGCCATCGAATTGGGCGTTCTCCGCCAGGGTCCATGGCCTAACGGCGAATCATTCCATCGTTGTACTTGTTGTTTCGCAGAAGATCTGATTCGTACATAGGTCTTATCGCATATCAGCAGCACCAATAGCATGCGTGGCTAGAGGACTAGGATTTACGGGGGCATTTGTCACAAGATGCGGCAAATGTGGCAACCACCGTGGGTTTGTATCGGACTCATTCGACGACAGTGGCAAGGGAGAGCTGGCACGCGATAGCACGCGACGGTGTCGACTTGGTGCACGGATCGGTCCCGACGACCTATCTTCTGAGTCACTGTTGGTTGCAGTACTAGCATTGCTACTCGTAGCAAATGGGCTCGTACTGTGCCGTCGTCTCGGTAGATTCTTGATGCCAATGTGTTCAAGTTCCGCATTTTTAGCATTGCGACGGGATTGCTCGCGCTTTTTGGCTTGCATAGACCGGATGCCGGCTTCCTCGGCCTTTGCCAGAGCAGTTCCAGGCGCACCAGGGTACCGATCATTCACCAATGCATACATCTCGACGCGAGAGTCACTGTCCAAATTGCTCAAGGATGCATTCCACGGCGTGCTGTTAACGATAATTTCCTTGGAGGATTCTTGTAGTGTATTGTCTGCTAGTTCCGACACTTCTCTTTTAATGGAACGTACGGCGAGGAACTTTCGCGAGCCCTTCGGTCGGAGGGGATACATGATGCTCCAAGGGTGCGGGGACCGCATCCGCAGACCTATCTATATCGAGACTTTGGGTCCGTGCACCGAAACATTAAAGCACGTGATAGAGTGCGGAACGGATAAAATTGCACGAGCGGCCAAAATCTTTCTTCCAATGTCATTGAATAAAACGTCCTGGCTTTAGAGTCACTCGCTCCTTGCGCTTATGCATCACCCCTGGGGATCGCGGGCGCTCGTTGGGACGAAGATTGATGCTGTCTCGTTTAATTGCATCTACTCTCTAAGTAGGTGCGCTGACCAGGCGGCAAAAATTTCTTAAAGCATGCTACATAGTTATTCTATCACGGAAAAAATGTTCTCCAGTTCTTGCTCAGCGTGCCCCCCATTTCTTTGCTTGCGTGGTATCTTGGATGAAGAGGGTGCACAATCGCGCAAAAATAGGAAGGGGTTTACGGCCATCACCTTAGGCTCCGGCGCCGAAAGCAATGTTTCCGTTTGAGCCCAGGCTTTCCATTCGTCCACGTTCTTGCGGTAGGCACCTAGGCGCAGACGTCGGACAAAGAAGCGCCCATACGACGACGCTAGTAAGCGTTTTTCGTGTTGGACCACCAGTTGCGCGATCTTCTCCTTGGTAAAGCCATCAGCCGCCAACCAAAAAGTGTCAGCGACGCGGCTCCCCCAAGTATCATCACACAGGTCCGGCAATATAGCTAGAAGTGAGCGCAAAAGTGCACGGCGCTGTGTATACGATGCGGAGGAAGAAGTCAACGCTGCAATGACCACGTGTGCAGCACTAGGCGATTGACAAAAGGATGTGAGACGATCACTCGTTAAGCTCTGGTACACCCACTCCTGATGTGGCGCCGGTAGCCGGAGCATGCGCTGCAAGAGAATACTTCCTTGAGTGGAATACTCATCTTTGCTACGATCGCCGCGTTTGCGCTTGGTCGCAGATGTAGATGTATTTTCCTCCGTCTTGTGCAGGTATGCTTTCCGAGTGTGCATGCTCAGTATCATTGGTACAAATATAGCCATATCATCCTGGGAAGGATCCGATGGGAAGCGGAATGCCGACGCAATTGCTTGAAGAACATCGCTGGCATAGTCTCCCAGAGCTACACTGCGCTCCACAGCAGCTTGGAGCGCTCCCAGCATTTGATTTTTGACCAGCTGGTCTCCCGCTTGTTTCAGCTCCTGTAGAGCCAACGCAAATGGAGATGAAGTTGCACCGCGCTCGGCGGGCAATATGCGTATCATCGTTGCCACAACATAATTGGCACAAGGGTGACCGCCAAGTTTAGCCACTCGTCCTTGGATGTACGTTTCCCAGAAGTGGATAAGAGAAGAGTTGGAGGCACCTTGCAATGCTGTTTCGAGAACATGCGTGGCCACAGCATCACGAATCGAAGCTTCCATAAAGTCCGTTCGTTCTTGAACCTGACCAAGTACCAAGGACGTGAGTGAGTTCGGAAGGGAAGCCAAGCTTCGATTCTCTCGTGCAAGACCATCTTCAAGACGGAGAAGCAGGCTAAGAGTAGGAGCTGCTACAGCATCAGGCATCATAGCATGAACCTGCTGTTCATTTAAATGAGACTGGAGGTAATTGTAGAGCTTGAACAGTGTATCGTAAAATGTCTCCGGAACATTTACACGCTGGGCCGAGGTGTTCCAGACTGAGTCATTCACCATCGATTTTTGGCGTTCCTTAGAGCGATACTTAGCACTTTTCTTCGATCGAAGATCCTCGAGCACGCCCATAGGTACACCTGCCAATAAAGCCACTAAAGAGCGCAGCGTGTGGCTGGCAAAAGCATCTGTCATCATATCTGGCAAGGATGACTCCATCTCTTCGTACATGTCAGAAATAATTGCAGGAAGTGAGCGCAAAACTCCGTGTGCATCGCTTGAAGGAGGGGCTGTAGCCTGTGGTGAGTGAAAGGAACATACGCCCGTGTTGAGTATCCATTGACATGCTGTGAATAGGGATTGAAGCACGTGGGACCCATACCTGTGAGAAGCAAGCGTGCAGAAACTAGTGTTAGATAGGCGCACGTACCTTCCTGTCATGCGGTCGAGAAGTATCCGTAGTGCCTTTTCATCCAGCTGGGACGCCATATTTTCCAAGACCAACGAGCACGTGGGGTCCGTGGCTAGAATAAGCTCGTTATTGTTCATTTCATCCAGTGCAGATTGAAGAAGCATTTTTCTTTCTTCGCTTTGTTCAGCAGGATCTTCGTCCTGCATCATCTGCGAGAGCTGTGCATTCACCTCTTTGAAGTACGACTGCATAGGCGCTGGAACCAGACCGAAGGGCGCATTTGCGTCATGATCACGTATCCATGACGCCTCTTGGCCGTGAGAGTAGTCCTCTGTGGTGTCGACTTGTTCTTCAACGGACGGCTTTGCACGTTTCGGTCCGCGGCGTCGGTCCGACTTGCCCATGGTCACGGAGGAAAGGTGGTAGTGTGGAGGACCAAAATTTAGGGGCACGTGACGTTCTGACTCACCGGTCAGAGCCGAGAGATAGGAACACCCGCACTGATGCATTTGATCTTCGTTCCATCATGTCGAACACAGAACGCGTGCTTCTTGCCTATTCAGGTGGTCTCGGTATGTATGCTATATCTCATGATAGACACATCTACCATCCTTGCTTGGCTTATTGATGAAGGTTATGAGGTCATTGCCTACATGGCTAATGTCGGTCAAGAGGAAGACTTTGATGCCGTGCGCGAGAAGGCGCTCAAGTGCGGAGCCAAGGACTTTATTCTTGACGACATGCGCCGTGAATTTGTGGAAGAGCTGATTTTCCCCGCCATCCAGGCGAATGCTATCTACGAGGACGTGTACCTGCTGGGCACGTCGCTGGCCCGACCAGTCATTGCGCGCGGCATGATGGAGACGGCCGCGAAAATGCAGTGTGCGTACGTGTCTCATGGATGCACGGGCAAGGGAAACGACCAGGTCCGCTTTGAGCTTGCTTTCTATGGTCTGAACCCCGATATCAAGGTGATAGCGCCGTGGCGGATTCCCAAGTTCTACCAGCGCTTTGCCGGCCGCAGTGACTTGTTGGAGTATGCGGCTTCGAAGGGAATCCCCGTCGCGCAGACCAAGGCGAAGCCTTGGTCTACTGACGAGAATCTATTCCATATCTCGTACGAGGCGGGTATTCTTGAGGACCCCAACACGACGCCGCCTGAGGACATGTGGAAGTTGACACAGTCGCCCCAGAACGCGCCAAATGAGCCTGAGAAGATCACTCTCGATTTTACCAAGGGTATTCCGACCAAGCTGACGCTCACATCATCGGGTCAGTCGTTCACCGACTCGGTGGACCTGTTCCTGCAGCTGAATGCACTCGCGCGCAAGCACGGCATTGGCCGCGTCGACATCGTGGAGAACCGTTTCATTGGCGTCAAGTCGCGTGGCTGCTACGAATCGCCCGGTGCCACGATCCTCCGTGCCGCTCACATTGACCTCGAGGGTCTCACGCTCGACCGTGAGGTGCGCCGCATTCGTGATCAGATTGTGACGACCAAGCTGTCAGAAATCCTGTACTACGGCTTCTTCTTTAGCCCTGAGAGCCAGTATGTCCGTGGCTGCATCCCCCCTAGCCAGCTGACGGTGAATGGCACGGTCAAGCTGAGCCTGTACAAGGGCAACGTCGTCATTGAGGGCCGCAGCTCCGAAGAAATGTTGTACGACGAAAAGTTCTCCTCGATGGATGAGCTGGGTGGCTTTGAACCCGAGGAGACGTCTGGCTTTATTTCCGTGCAGTCGATCCGCCTCAAGCGCTTCGGGCTGGGCCAGGCACATAAGGGCCTGGCGGGCGTCGACAAGGCCAAGGCGTACGCGCTGCCCAAGTAGACTGCTAGATGACTAAACGTCGACTTTGGCCTCTGGTCTTTGGCGCCCTGCGTATCCAGGTGAATGGTGCTGGCGCTGGCACGACGCAGCTTTCCGCGCCTGGTTCGTGCTAGTGGGATTCGACCATTTGGTACTAGCCCCATGTCCGTGGAGGAGAGTATCCGATCCAAGCTGACGGCGCACTTTGCGCCGTCGCATCTATTCATTCGCAACGAGTGCGTAGAGATCGGCTCACCTCAGTTCGTCTAAACATGCCCACCACGCGGCGATGGTCGCGCAGGGTGGTGGCAGCGGGGAAACTCGTGCGTACATATCGCTGATGCAGACTTTTTCGTCGAGATGGTTTCGGAGGCTTTTGCTGGCAAGCCACAAATTGCGCGCCACCGTGCGGTCAACGCCCTGCTGAGCGCGGAGTACGACCTGGGCATGCATGCGCTGAGCATGCGGCTGAAAACGCCCGCCGAAGAGACCAAGGAGAAAGGGGCACAGTGTGGGTGCGCTAGTAAAGCTACATAGTTCAGGCATGCTTAAATGCGGTCGGTGGAGCCGATGTGCCGGCGAGCCCAAGACTGGGTGAGTGGATCATACGTACTCTTCGATGAAGCTGTGCCCCCACCACGTCGCAGTGTGCTTCTTGACGTATCGGAGTAGTTTCTCTGAGTTAGCTTTGCGCGTCTCGGCATCCATCGTAAGGGCGGTGTGGATGGCATCCGCGACAGCGAAGCGGTCCCATGGGTTGACGATGAGGGACCCATTGAGGGATCTGTGTGAGCGGTGCATACGTACTGCGCGGCGCCTGCAAACTCGGAGAGTATCATCACACCATTGCGTTGCTGCTGGCACGCGATGTACTCGTACGAGACGAGGTTCATACCGTCGCGCGTGCTCGTAACGAGGCACACGTCGCTCACCGCGTATAGGGCGCACAGCTCATTAAAGTCCACGGAGCGGTGCAGAAGGTGGATCGGCATGCTCTCCACCGTGCCGAAGCGGCCGTTGATGCGACCGACCGCCTCGTTGACGGTGGAGCGCAGGTTTTGGTACTCCTCGACGTCCTCACGCGAAGGCACAGCAATCTGCACGAGCATGGCCTTGCCAATCCACTCTGGATGCTCCTCGAGGAACGTCTCCATACCCTGCAGCTTCTGCGGCATGCCCTTGATATAGTCGAGTCGGTCGATACCGACAATGATCTTCACGCCAGCAAAGCGGCGCTCGAGCGTGCCTATGCGCTGCTGAACGCTTGGCAACGCCAGCGTAAGCTCAAACTTCATGGGGTCAATGCCGATGGGGTATGTGCGGACCTGGACGCGGCGACCGCCAAAGTCGGTGCCATTCGGGAAGGTCGGCAGGCCGAGGATGCGTGCGCACGATGAGAGAAAGTGGCGCACGTAGTCGTAGGTGTGGAAGCCGACGAGGTCGCAGTACAAGATACCCAGCAAAATCTCGCGACGCACCGGCAGAATGCGGTACACTTCGCTGCTGGGGAACGGCGTGTGCAGGAAGAAGCCGAGCTGGATATCGCTGCGGCGCAGGCTGCCGCGCTGCGCATTCGGCCGCACAAACATCGAGCCGGATGTGCGCTCGTCCTGGATCGGGGCGTTACCCACCTCGATGTTCGAGCACGCTGGAGGCACGAGGCGGTCAATGTCGCCGGCCTCGAGTATCGCCGTGAGCATGAGTGGCAGCAGCATCAAGTGGTAGTCCTGTACCCATACGCGGTCTCCAGGGCGCACAACCGTGTACAGTACCTCGGCAAAGCGCAGATTCGCCTCGCGGTAGGCTCGCCAATTGTCCTCGTCAAAGTTCATCTCGCCAGGGTGGTAGTGGAAGAGCGGCCACAGAATCGAGTTGGAGAACCCGTTGTAGTGGTGCTCTGCCAGCTCGTCAGGGATCCACACAGGCTTGCAGCGGTACTGCGTCGCGAGCGTCTCTTCAATGTAGGCTACCCGGTTCTGAGGCACACTGAGCCCGGGCCACCCGATCCACGTAAAGTCCATCGTGGCCTTGATGCCCTTGAGGGCAGATACGAGGCCCCCCGCCGAGTGATGAAACACATATCCCCCAGGCACTGAGTCATCCTGCTGGATGGTCACCGGGAGCCGGTTCGACACGACGACCAGACGCTCGCCCATGTGTGGTGGTCGCCGGGCGCAGCAGCTTGTGGAGGTCGCGGGGAGCGGGGGCCTCGTCGGACGGGTCGTGCCAGGGGGGTGGATGCTACTTAGTCGCGGGAGCGCGAGAGCGGCAGCTGGTCATGTTGAACGAGATGCATGTACTCGTGGCGCCGCGGGTCTGCAAGTCGCTTAAATAGATGCTTCTGGATCCGGTCCTCAGGCCGCACGATAATGACAGGCACGGGCGACTGCCAGATGAGCGATTTGCTCAGGTTGCCGAGCGGCGTGGAACCGAGCATCTTCTGAAGAGCCGATACCTGCTTACCGCGAGTGCCGATCGTCAGGCTCTGGGGGCGGTACATGCGCACGAGCTCAAGGATCGTTGGCTTGATGGGGCCTGTCAGGAACTCGACCGTGACGGAGATCTTGCGGCCTGCATCTGACGCCTCGTTCAGCTCCACGATCGACGAAAGCAGACTGCGGGCGCCAATGCGTGCCTTTTCCTGATCGACATCTGTGTAAGCAGCCTGCACGTACGGTCCTGCTCCCAGTCGAGCACACGCACTGCCACGATCTCATCGCCATCGTCCACAAGGTTGTGCATGATCCACTCGAGCGCGCGTTCGCTGCGTCAGTCTGCCGGACACACCTGCTCTCTGTAGCGTCGACGGCGCACATGAACGTGCGCGTGTGCTTGGTGCGTGCATAGCCCTTGGCCTTCACTTGCAGCGTGTACGTCGCATTGCAGCTCACCGAGTCCTCCGCATCAGGCATCGTGTCGAAGCCCACGATACGCTCGTAACCTTTCCATACTTGGTCATTGAGCGACCTCTCGCTTGCAAAGAGCGACATGCGACTGCGCCGCGCGTGCCGCGACTCCGACGGTGCCGAGCTCATGCAGGCAAGTGGAGTGAAAGCGAAGGGTATCTATCTCGGGCTACAGGCCTAGCGCCCGCAGCTGGTCGGGTGTGCATACATCCATGCCCATGCCCTGCGCGACCGGTGTGCTGACTGCGGATGCGGTTGCAGTAGGTGTCCAGCTCGACGCCATCGACGTGCTATGCAAGAGCTGCTGCACGGGGTCCATCGATGTGGGCATCAGCGGCATGCCAGTGTTCACGGCGCCGCCATTCGAGAGGCCCGGTGGGCCGGCGCCGAGCAAGCCATTCATCGTGGAGATCGGCGCGGACAACGGCGGGGGTGCCTGTGGCACGAACGAGTCCACAGCGCCCGCCGCCGCCGGCACCGAAATCATTCCGCGCGTATTGGGCGCACTGGCAGCGCCCACTTGGGCACCGCCAAGCTGCGAAAAAGGAATCGGTGTGCGGAAGACCATGGCCAGAAGCCGCGGTGCCTGCGGCGTGTTCGAAGAGCCCATCTGCGTGCTCGTCAGCGTCACGATGAGCAGACCACATCCCGGCTCACCGTGCGGCACGTACGCTGCGCGCTGGTGCTGCTGGAGCATCGAATAGAGGGCCTGGTAGTTGGCTTCATTGTTTTCAGAGCCATGCACGGCAAGTGTCGGCGGGAAGGGGCGCACGGCCAACAGCACACACGGCACGCGGTGCGAGGCAATCAGGCGCTGCAGGAGTGGCGGGTGTACGGGGACGAGCGCCCCGATCGTAAGTACGTTGGGCCACGGCAGTCCCAGCAGCGCCTGCACTGTGGAGCTGCACATGGCGATCAAGAGGGTAAACTGGGGGCTCGTCCCGCCCGTAGACCACTTGAGGATGCCCTGCCACACGGCAGTCGAGCGCGACGGCGCGGCGCCAGGCGCGCCACGCACGGGCGGGGCCATGGCGGCAGTAGGCGCGGCCGACGTGCGCGAGCGCGCGCGCTCCGTCGGTGCGCTCGCGCCTTGTGAGCTCGGTCCGCCGAGATGGAGACCGGCCTCTTTGGCCTCCTTGTCGATCGTGACGAGCGCCTGCCAGAGGAGATTCAGGTCCGTGCTCTTCCCTGTGCGCAGACGATCGGACTGCTGCTTGATCGCATGCTGCTGCGCAGCGAGGCGCTGCCGGAACTGCTCGACCATCTGAGACTGCATGGTGCCTGACGCGCCCACTGCCTGCGACGCGACGGCCCAGCGCGAGAGGTTCTTGACCATGGTAGCCTGCTGCTGCTGGAGCAGCATGACCTTGTTCAGCAGGGCCGGATCGATTTTGAGCGCCGCCATCGGCGGTGTCTCTGGGCCGCGCGCACGTTTGGACGGCGACTCGGACGCTGCCGTGCGCCGCGGGCGCTTGCGCAGCGTGCGTGCGAGCTCGGCGCTGGTCAACACAATGTGTATATTCTCCGGCGCCTTCCATGGCGGCGCTAGCAGTTCGTCAATCGGCACGGGCTCGTCCGCACGCTTCGTGCTGCGCAGCAGGCCATGCGCCGTGTGTGCGAGCGAGGCGCGCTGCCGCGCGCTGCCGTTGCCTGGTGCACCAACCAGCACGGTGGCGAGCGAGATGGTGCGCTCGCCCAGGCGGTCGAGGAGGTCCTGCGTCGTGCACGCATCGAGGCATGTCTGGGTATGCAGCAGGGGCGGCAGGGTGTGTATGAACGGGGCCAGGCGCCCACGGCAGCTGCCGCTGGTGGTCGCGGCCTCGCCTGCATCGAGAGCAAGCACGTGCACGACATGGCATGCGACGACGGGCGAGTGGTGCGTCCGGAGCACGCTGCGTGCGAACGGCGCGATGGGCGGTGGTGTGCGTCGCGCATCGATCATCTCGAGTGCTGCCGCGAGCGGATCAGCGAGCGCACACTCCAGCGTGCTGGGCGCACGCACCGGCTCGTCTGCCGCCTCGAGGTGCGCGAGGCCGTACATGGGCGTCGTGCGCAGCACCTGACGCACGTCCTCCAAGAAGCGCGGCGCCGGCGCAAATGCAACGCGCGTGAGCGACTCGTCAGGGCGCAGGAGCGATATGAGCTCAGAGTGCGGCTCAGGGCGGTACACGACGCCGCCGACGAGCAGGCGCGTATGGCTCTGTAGCTGTGCGAGGGCGCAGCACAGGGGATCGAGTGTCTGCGCTACAAGCTGTTCCCAGCTCTCGCGCAGGCGCGCATTGTCGTGCACGAGGCACATGAGGAGCACCTCAGGCATGCGCGACATGTCCGCAGCGAGAGCCTCGACACTCGCGGGCGACCCATGCGCCGGCCCGGCAGGCGGCGTGCTGGCGGCCATGGCCCCTCGCGAAGACGCTGCGGGCGCGCGGCGGTGCTTGGTGGTTAGTCAGCGTGGAGGGGGCACGGGGCGCTGTCCCCGCGTTCCTCCGACTACCATGGTGCGGTGGGAGTGTGTCTTGGGCACAGTGGGCCTCGTTGTCCTTGTGGGCCTGGCGTTGTACCTTGCGTACCTTTTCCTTGAGATCCATGTGCTGCCTGGACGTCCGGTACGTCGGTGTGACTAATGCAGCTTACGACCTACGGTGCGAATGCCAAGCTTCGGGGTGCCGGTAGCTGGGCGCTTGTGACGGGCGCGACGGACGGCATTGGCCGCGAGTTTGCGATGCAGCTCGCCGCGAAGGGCTTCAACATCGTGTCCGTGAGTCGCACGGCCGAGAAGCTCGCGGTGCTGGGCCGCGAGATCGAGCAAAAGTACCCCGGCACGAAGACATGCTACTATGCGATGGACTTTACGCGCGCGGGCGAGGCTGAGTACGAGGGACTCGCGCAGCTGATCAGCCACCTGGACGTGGCGGTGCTTGTGAACAACGTGGGTGTGTCGCACACGATGCCTGTGCCGTTCCTCGAGATGGACGAGGCGGAGATGAACGCGATCTGCGAGGTGAACATCATGGGCACACAGCGCATGACGCGCCTGGTGGCGCCGCGGCTCGTGCGCCGCGGCCGCGGCCTGATCCTCAACCTTGGCTCCTTCAGTGGGCAGTGGGCGACGCCGCTCTTGGCGACGTATGCGGGCTCGAAAGGCTTCCTCATTGCCTTCACCCAGGCGCTCGGCGAAGAGCTGCGCCGCGCCAACGTGGACGTGCAGCTGCTCAACACGTTCTTTGTGGTGAGCAACATGTCCAAGGTGCGCCGCCCGTCGTTGCTTGTGCCGTCGCCGTCGACGTACGTGTCCGCGGTGCTCTCGCGCCTGGGCCGTGCGTCCGGCGCGCTGGGCCGCGCGTTTACGCTGACGCCGGTGCCCGCGCACGCGTGGGTCGACTGGGCGACGGCACATTTGGTGCCGGCGTGGCTCCTGCTGAGCAAGGCGTACGACACCAATCTATCGTTGCGCCGCCGCGCGCTGCGCAAGGCGGAGCGCGCGGCCAAGGCGCAGTAGCTAGCTAGCAGAGCCACGTAGCTGTGCTATCACTTCGTAGATGCGCCGGAACTGGTACGAGAAGTGCACCGGATACAGGAAGGGGCGCAGGTCGAAGCGGTGGTCTTCCGGGCTGTACGACTCGGCATGGTACGCGGGCGTAAGCGTAGTGGTCTTGTGGCGGTTGCGCGCATACTCAAAGAAGAACGTCTTGACCTTCGCCGCGATGGCCTCGGGCGTCAGGCGCGGCGTCCAGAGCGGGAGCAGCTTCACAAAGAGGCTGTAGGGGCCGCACTTGCCGACCTTGCGCAGGCGCCCAAATACGGTCAGCTCGTCGTACGTCATGCCCATGTCCGCTTCGTCGCTCTGCACATACTCTGCAGTGATCGGCTCGAGCTCCGCGGTCGGCGGCGCGGTGAGGAACGCGCCAAGCTCAGGCAGCGCAAACGCTGACTCCGCGTACGACACAAAGTGCCGCAAGTCCGCCTTGGCGATGCCTCCGATCGGGTTCAGATCGGCCGCCGAGTTGTCGTACTTGGTCAGATAGCCGCGCAGGGTCTCGTCGACATTGGCACTGCCGAGCACGAGCAGGCCCCCCGTGCGCCCATGCACCCACGGCGCGAGCTGGGCGAACAGGTACGCAAACACCATGCGCAGGCGCGCCTGGATGTTCTGCAGCGCGAGGTTCTCGGCGGGCGAGCCGCCGTGCACGCGGAACCGCGGCGTGCACCGCGTGACAAGCTGGAAGACGTGCAGCACCGCGCTGACGGCCGAGTCAATGTCGAACGCATAGTGGCACGAGCCGACCGCCGCCGCGAGCGAGCGCGCACGCTCGCGCGTGGCCTCGCTCGAGTTGGCCGTGCCCATGTAGCACGTCACAAACAGTCGCTCAGCGAGCGCCTGTGGCGACGCAGGCACCCAGGACGAGTCGGCCGGCTCGCCGACGATGCGCCGCGCATCAGCGAGCACCTGCTCGTTGCCGGCCGCGCACGAGGCGTGCACGAGGCGGCACATGCTGTGCACAATCACGGCCGTTGCACACGAGTCGAGACCGCCTGAGAGGGGCAGGAGGAAGCCCTGCGTGCGCGAGCGGCGCAGATAGTCCCACAGCCAGCACGCGGGGCCAAGGGCAATTTCCTCCGGCGGCGTGTGGTAGTGCACGGGCTGCGGCGCGGACGGCGGCTCGGTGAGCTGGGCGGTGCGCGTGAGGCGCTGTGGGACGTCGACGCGCGGCGGGCCGCCGGCCGGGAGGCCGCCGTGGCCGGCAGCGAGCCAGGCCGCCTGCATGCCGCGACTCTTCGCCGTGCGGTGTGCGCGCACGTCAGCGAGGTCGACGGTAGCGCTCACGACCTCGACGTCGTCGAGGCCGAACTGCGCGCCCTGCGCGACGATCTCGCCATTCACAGCGATGAGGGCGCACCCATCGTAGTAGAGGCGGTCGCCATCGCACCCCCGCTGGTTCGCATACAGGTACACGCCACCGAGCTTGAGGGTGGCCTCGCGAATGAGCTCGATGCGGCGGTGCAGCTTGCGCAGCTCGTGGTGGCTCCCGCTCGAGTTGATCAGGATCTCGGCGCCCTGCAGTGCATGCGCAATGTGCGGCGAGGCGGCGGTGAACAGCTCCTCACACAGCTCGACGCCGACGACCGTGTCGGGCGCGGCAAGGAGCGCATCGCCGATCGGCACCTGCGTCTGGCCGGTGCAGGCCGTGATGCACGCGGGGAGCGTGAGTGTCTCAGTCGCGTGGGGGCGCATCCACGGCGTGAAGTAGCGCATCTCGCGGTAGTTGCCGTCGTTGGCGAGCCACATCTTCGGACGCACATGCAGGATGCGGCGGTCCAGCAGGGCGACGCGGCAGTTGTACAGCACGGCATGGTGCGTCACGGGCATGCCGACATCGCACAGGATGCCGTCGGTCAGGTCCGTCCGGAGGAGCTCCGCGAGCACCTCCCACGAGTGCTGCTCCGTGTCGCGCTCGAGAAAGTGGTCGTAACACTGCACGTGAGTAGAGGCGACGTACGCCGTAGCCCCTGCGGTCAGTGCGGCCCACGTACGGAATCTCCAGCTCCGGCCCGATGCGCAGCGTGCTGCCAGCCGCCTTGGCCAGCTCGATCGAGCGCACAATACGGTCTCGATTCCCATCAAAGTCCAGCGCCCACTGGTTCAGCGAGCAGGTGGACACGGTGCTACATTAGCCAAGAGGACCTACAGCCGGCTCATGATGGTGGGTGGAGGCACCCGGCGGGCCAGCGCCGCGGCGCACGACGACGCTGTGCACGGGCCGTCCGTCCTCGACCGGCTCGATGCACTGCTCGAGCACCTCGCAGGGCCCATAGTGCGCACGCCAGTGCGCGAGCAGCGCAGGAATCTCCCATGCATGCACACGGCGGTCGATGGGCGGCGACGCGTATGCGGCGAGGGGCGCGCCGCGCCGCGGCACGTCGTCGGCCGGTGCATGCGCAAAGTGGCTCAGCACGAGGAGGCCGCCCTCGCGCACGAGCTGCGGCAGTGCACGTAGGAGCGCGCGTGGCCAGAACCGCACGACCCATACCATGTCGTAGCGTGCGTGGGGCAGGCGCGTGGCCCACACGCCGAGCTCGCAGGCCTCCAGGTCCTCGGCGCCGGCAGCGCGCACGGGCTTGATGCGCCCGTCGTCCTGGATGTCATAGGCCAGGAGCGCCTCGCATACCTGCGCGCCGTGTGTGTCCGTGTCGACGTGCAAGTCCTCCATCAGCAGGGCCGCGCGCCGCAGGGCCGCGCGCCAGCGGTCCACGCCCGTCGCGCGGCATGCGCGCTGCTGGCGCCGTGCCTTGGTCAGCACGTACGCCACGTCGCGGCCAGCGCCGCACCCGAGATCCAGCACGGCCAGCGGCGACGTGGGCGGCGTGTGCGCGAGCGCACGCGCAACGACGGGCGCCGGCTCGAACAGCAGCGCCGGGTCATCGTCGCACGTCCAGCGCCCGGCCGCGACGCGCTGCAAGGCCGCCGCAGAGAGCAGCTCCACGGGGTGTGTCGCCTGCGCCAGGAGATCCGCAGGCACGTGCGTGTCTACGAGGACGATCGCGACGATCGCCCAGCGCTCGCGCGGCACAAACGTCTGGAGCAGGTCCGCGTCGGCGCCCACCACCAGAAACGGCACGCCACGGGGCGGCAGCGTGCTGAAGCGCGTGCGCAGGGCGCCTAGCCCGTCGATCGACACGGCATGGCGCAAGTGGCCCTGCGCAAACGCCGCGCGCGGCCGCACATCCAGGCACAGCGGGCGCTCGAGCGCGCCGTACGCGTCCCACCAGCGAGGCGTCGGCATGCGCCAGGTGGAGGTGGCAGGCAAGGGCGTCCGCGACGGATACTATCGGAGCCGTGTCGCGCTGCGCGGCGAGCGGGGCCGCGGCGCATTTGTCGCGTGGCGGAGGGGCGAGCCGACCTCGGAGCGAATGGAGTGCATGGCCTTGGTGGCGCCGCGTACACGCTGCCGGAGCGAGGGAGAGACGATGCGTATTTCCCCGTCGTCGTCGGGGTCGTCGTCGTCGTCGCGCTCTGAGCTCGAGTGGAACGAGGCACTGGGGCGCAGCCCGCCGCGGCGCACCGACGAGCGCCGCGGCGAGTCGAGCGACGGCAGGCCCATCATGCACCCGCTCAGGTCGCCGGTGCCCAGGAAGCCGCTCCCGGACACATCGCCCAGGCCCGTGCTGCCACGCAGCAGGCCGCCGATGGTCGGCGTCAGGCCGAGGGGCAGGCGGCTGAGCGGCGTGCCCGCAGCGCCCATCGGCGTCATGGAGCCGTGCGCGCCATAGAGCCCTCCGTAGGGGTTGGAGCCCTTGGCGGCCGAGTGCGGCGCGAGCCCCAAACTCTGCGTGAGGTTCAGGTGCTGCGGACTGGAGAACTGGTCGCCCCGCCCCTGGGACGCGGGCGCCCGCTTCGCCGAGAGCGGCACGCCTGGCGGCGCGCGGCGCACCGAGTCGGGCACGATGCGTGTCTCGCTCGGGCTGGGCATCGGGAACGTGGTCATGTGCGCAAAGGCTTGGCGCAGCGGCGTTGATTGCATGGGCGACGGCATGAACATCTTGCTGTCGAGCATGCTCGGCGACTTGGCCGTATCTGTGCGCCGCATCACATTCATGTCGCGTGGCGCCAGCGCCACACGGCGCGGCGTCGGGTGCAGCACGCCAGGCCCAGGCACGACGCCGCCCGTGCCTGCACAGGCGGCGGGTGGACGCGCGACCATCGTCGGCGCCCGCGCACGCGCGGGTTCGGCGGGCGGCGTAGGCTCCGGGGACGCGGCGCGCACGGGCGCCGGCGCCCGATGCGCCTCGTCGGCCGCACCGGGCGGCGTGGGAGAGGCACGGTGGGCGTCCGCGCCAGGAGTGTCCACCGAGGCGCGCTCTGCGGCAGCCAAGCGGCGCTCTTCCTCGCGCTTCTTGCGCGCCCAGCGGCGCTTGCTCTCGAGCATGCGCTCGCGGCGCTCGGCAGCATTGCGGGGCCGGTTCGCATCGCGGTCCCAGCGCGTGCGCCGCGGCTGCACGCTCAGGGGGATGGCATGCTTGTCCTGCAGGTGGCGCCGCCAGATGCTGCGTGCATGTTTGCCAACGTACCGCTTCTCGCAGTGGGGGCACACAAACACGTTCGCATTGGGCCCACCGTCCGCCTCGAGCTGCGCCTGCCGCGACAGCGCGAGCAGGTCGTCCATATTAGGTATGCGCGCAGCGGGCGCAGTGGGCGCCGTACTCTCCGCTGGCGCGAGGGGCGCCCAGGCGTCTGGGAAGCGCCCGTCAGCGTCAGGAGCGCGATCGCTGCCAGGCATGGTATAGGACGAGACGGGCGGTACCTGCATGAGCATCGGGAACGAGGGGCCATCGAGCATGGGAAAGGTGCCAGGGAGCGGCAGCATCGTATAGCCCATCGGAGCAGGGTTCGTCATGCGCGAGACACCCGACGGGTCGGGGTGCATCGCCATGGGGAAGGGGTACATGGTGGGGGGCGGCATGAGATTAGCAGCAGGCACGACGCCAGGGTCAGCAGCGTCTGGGCGGTACATCATGTAGCGGTGGGGCGACTGGCCCGTCGGCAGATTCATGTCCCAGTACGGGGGCGCGCTGCCAGCCGGCGCGCCATGCGCGGCGGTGGCGGAGGACGCGTGGTTGGGTGGCGGGATCGACGCCTGCCACAGCCACGTCGGCGCATCTCGCCCAACAGAAGGAGGTGGCGCCTCAAGGGGGGGCGTGGCCATCATGAGTCGAACAGCGCGCAACCAACGTTGGCGGCGCTCGCAGCTTCAAAACAACACCGGACGCCCGATCAACAACAACACTCCTCTCTGTCACGTGACTATAAGAGCACGGCGCCGAGCGCCGTGGCCACCGCGAGCCCGCCGAGGCGCAGCAGCACGGCCGTGTCGCGCAGGGGCGCGGCATCATTACAGGTGCCGCATGTCCAGTCTGTGTGAGTGCGGTGCACGTACCGGCCAGGGGGGTATAGTGCTGGGGAAAGTACAGGGCGAACTCGGCCTGGTTGTTCGGCTGGAACTCGCCGCCCTTGGCGGCAGCGTCCGGGCCCTTTTCGTCGTATACAAGGAGGCGGTACTTGGCCGCCACCAGGTCTGGATGGCCCTGCTGGAGCGCCTTGAGATGGTCGCCGTACGGGTACCACGTGACGTTCGTCGCGTCGCCGGGGAGCCCGGTGGGCGACGCTGCGATGGGATACGTGACGCCGTTTTGGGAGCACGATGCGGCGACGAAGAGACGCGTCGGCGTAGCAGTAAGAGAGGTGAATGACCAGCCAAAGGTGACACTCTCGTGTGGCCCGATCTTGTAGTACGAGGAGGCGGCATTTACAGCCGGCTCGGTGATCGTGACGCCGCCGGCCGGCAGCTGCGCATCGTCATCCGCGCGTCGCAATCTCGCAGGCGTCGGCGTCGGGCCCGCCGTCGCGAGCACGCCCACCGCCGCCGCCAGCCCCACACCGAGGCCTCGGAGCAGCATGGCAAGGGCAGAGCTGCGCCACGTGCGTATTATGCACGAGCTGCAAAGCGTGTTGCGATTTGTCTACGGTGCATCCCATCTGCAGCAGCATGCATACCGCGTGGCCTCGGCCAGCCAGGAGGGAAAACGCCGTCGCGCTGCTCCGCGCCGCGTCTCCGCTTCGCCCTTCCGATCGGCTCGACGACGAGCGAGCGTCGTCGGTGCACGCACCACATATCATGGCGATCTTTGGGAAGAAACGGACCGACAAGGACCGCCCAGCTAAGCAGGCGCCGGCTGATGCCGCAGGCGACACGCCCGATCCAGCGCTGATGCAGGCCAGCGGGTCGCTGGGCGCTCGCGCGCCTGGACGCCCCGGACTCGTGTCGCGCATCGTGTCGCCGCCGTACACGGAGAATGAAGCGCCCTATGAAGAGGCGGCAGGCATGCTACGGTCGCCCATGCGCCCATCGCGGGAGGAGGCGCGGCCCAGCGCGCCCGCGCTAGCGCCCCTCGCTCCGCCTGACGCAGGCGCGTCCAGCATCACCAGCATGCCACCGCCGCCAAGCCGGCCTGCGCCTGTGCCTGTGCCAGCGCCGCCGCAGGCCCCTGCGCCCACAGGCGCTGAGACCGCGGCGGGAGCGCCGCCCATGCAGCCGACGCAGCCCGCGCCCGGCGCGGACCGCGCGCGAGGGGCCCATGTCGTGTATCCGTGGGGGAAAAAGTACATCGCGATGAACCCGCCGCGCTTTCTGGACGAGACGCGGCGTGCCCCACCGGGAGTGCTCAGTCCGCCGCCGTTCCCGCGCTACGGGCACGCGACGAACCAGGCGGCGAGCAGCAACAACGAAGTGTACATCTTCGGCGGTCTCGTGCGCGACAGTGTGAAGAATGACATGTACATCCTGCGCGCGGAGCCCGTGCAGATCCAGCGGTCGAGCGGCATCAAGATGGATGTGTCGCTGCAAGCGACGCTCGTGCAGACGTCAGGGCATGCGCCGCTTCCGCGCGTCGGCCATGCCGCGGTGCTCGTCTCCAACGTGTTTATTCTGTGGGGCGGCGACACCAAGATCCGTGCCGAGGACGTGCAGGACGACGCGCTGTATCTGCTGAATCTGAACAACCGTGAGTGGACGCGCGTCGTGGCGCCGGAGGCACAGGGCGGGCCCGGCCCCGTAGGCCGCTATGGCCACTCGCTGTCCATTCTCGGCTCCAACTTATTTGTGTTCGGTGGGCAGCTCGACGACGACTTTTTTGACGAGCTGTGGCGCTTCGACCTGAACGGGCTCAAAGAGACGCCTACCTGGCAGCTCGTGCGCCCCAGCACGGGCGGCCCGCCGCGGCGAACGGGGCACTCGGCCGTCGTGTACAAGGAGCGCCTGTTCATCTTTGGCGGCACGGACGGGAACTACCACTACAACGACACGTGGTGCTTTGACTGGGCGACGCAGTCGTGGTCAGAGCTCAAGTGCGTGGGCTACATTCCCGCGCCGCGCGAGGGTCATGCCGCGTGTATGGTCGATGATATCATGTACATCTTTGGTGGGCGTGGCGTCGACGGCAACGACCTCGGCGACCTGGCGAGCTTCAAGATCTCGAGTCACCGCTGGTTCATGTTTGCGCATATGGGCCCGGCGCCGTTTGGGCGCTCGGGCCACACGATGGTCACTGTCCAGAACCGTGTCCTCGTCGTGGGTGGTGAGGCGTTCGCGGGCGACGTGCACGACGAGCCGAACGCCCTCCATGTGCTCGATACAGCCAAGATCAAGTACCCTGTCAAGACAGACCGCGCGCCGCCCAGCGCGCCGTTACCTGTCGAGAGCCCAGCTGCAAGCGAGGCACGCACTATGCCCGTGACGACGGCAGCGCCCACCACCGAATCACAGGCCACGCCAGTGGTTGATGCTTCTGTGCCCTCGTCAGCGGCGCCAGATACACCGGCGAGCCTGGCCATGGACCCGGCCGTGCCCGTGCAAGAGCTGGCAGCAGCGTCGGCAGCGGCGCCTGCGCCATCGCCCATGCCGCCTGTCCCCCCATCGCCGCAGCCGCTCGAGCCGGCGCCGCCCGCGGAGCGCGGACCGATGCCAGCGCGCGAGCTGATGCCGGAGAGCAAGCCGATGCCGGAGAGCAAGCCGATGCCGGAGAGCAAGCCGATGCCGGAGAGCAAGCCGATGCCGGAACATGAGTCGACGCAGGAACATGAGTCGATGCAGGAACATGCGTCGATGCCGGAGCGCGCCGTGGAGGCAGAGCCCACCACACGGCCGCCACAGCTCGTTGCAGCGCCGGCGCCGGCGCCGCCACCCATGTCGCAGGGTGCGCCGGGCATGCTCGGCGCGCCGATTGCGGGCGCAGTGCCGCCGGCCCCCGATACGCCGTCGAGCGCGCGCAGCGGCGGCGCAGAGGCGCCGCCGTCGCAGAGCCCGTGGACACGCACGCCAACGAGTGCGGCCGTCGTGCGCACGCCCAGTGGTACTCGCGCCCGCACACCGATGAGTGCGCCGATGGTGCCCAGCAGTGAGGGGGCGGGGCGCTCGAGCCTCCCGATGGACGCAGGTGGGCTCCCGGCGGGTCCGGCCGGCGGTGTGCAGCCACGGCAGCTGTTCTCTGACGATGGCGCTGCTGGGCCGCTGGCGCAGCCGATGCCAGCGACTACAGCGTCGCCGCGGGAGCTGTGGCTCCTGTCGATGCTGAGCCTCGCAGTGAAGCAAGGGTTTGTGCCGCCGGCGCGGCCGGGAGGCGGCGACGAGGCGCTGGAGGTGGAGCGCCTGGACACGGGCCCGGAGCAGTCGGAGAAGGAGGCGATGGTCAAGACGATGCTCACGCTCAAGGCGCAGGCGTCGATGCTGCGCGCCGATCTGCTGCGGCAGCTACGGCAGGAGGAGGATCGTGTGACGACGCAGGAGCGAGCGCGGGTCGCGGCACTGCAGGAGGCCGCGTTCTACCGCGCCAAGCTTGCTGCCAACGAGAGCGGCCTCGTGGACGAGCGGCACCGGCTCGAGCGACAGCGGGTCGCGCAGCTGGAGAAGCTGCTCAGCAACGTGACGCGCGAGCATGGCGAGTTGGAGCGGAAGGTGGCCATGCTGGTGGACCAAGCGAAGCTGGAGGTGCGGCTGCGGCAGCTGGCCGAGGACCGGCTGAGCGAGACGACGAAGCGCGCCCTGGCCGCGGAGGAGTCGCACCTGCAAGTGTACGAACAGTACTCGGCGCTGCAGAAGCATTCGTACGAGACCGAGTCGATGCTGCGTGACCATGCAGCGCAGATCTCGACGCTCACGTCGCGGCTGGCCGCGCAGCAGGTGGAGCGCGATACGCTGGAGGACAAGATGACGTCCACGACGCGGTCCGTCGACACGAACCGTGCGATGATGGCGCAGTTCCAAGAGGCGCTTACTGCGGCGCACGCGCGTGCGAGCGAGTACGAGCGGCAGCGCGCTGAGCATCAGCGCCAGACAGACACGCAGAATGCGCTGATTCTGCAGCTGCGCACCGAGGTCCAGGCGAAGGCCGCCGAGGTCGAGACCAAGAACCAGCAGATCGAGCAGCAAGCCGCGCTGGCGGCGGAGCTCGAGACGATGGTCAGCAATTTGCAGCGCGAGGCGGCGACGCACCGCGAGGCGGCGACGGGCGGCCTTGCGCAGCTGCTCGCGATGCAGTCGGTAAGTGGTCCCCCGCCCGAGGAGGTGGCGAACCTGTCGCAGCACTCGCACCTGCAGGCTATGCAGGAGGAGGTGAACGCGCTGCGTGCCCTGCACGACGAAGCCAAGACGTCGCTGGGCCAGATGGCCGCTGCGCTGCAGCAGGCCACCGACCGGAGCCACCAGCTGCAGCGCACGAACAACCAGCTGTTTGCCGAGGTGACCTCGCAGCGGAAGCAGCTCGCGGCTGCGCTGCACGACCTGTCGACGCAGCGCGACGAGTCGCAGCTGACGCGCGCGGACGACCAGCATACCGCGCGCGAGCTCGAGGCGGCGCAGGTGCGCACGCTTGCGCTGCGGCAGCTGCTTAGCGAGCACCAAGTTGAGGTGCCCGACGACGAGACACTCGCGACGCCCGAGTTCCTGCAGACGCGGCGCGTGGCGCAGCTGCAGCGCGAGCTCGAGTCGTACAAACGCGCGGCGCAGCGCAACGCCCTCGATCTGCAGCGTGCGCAGGACCAGCTGCACCGCATGGGCCAGGAGTGGGAGATGCACCACCGGCAAGCCAGTGGCGCCTCGCAGGAGGAGCTCGCGGTGCTCCGACTGCGCGCCGAGGAGGCGGAGCGGCGCCTCGTCGAGGCGACCGAGGCGCACGAGCAGCGCACAGGCCAGCTGGAGAACGACTACCTAACGGCGGTGCAGTTTGTGCGCAATACGGAAAATATGCTGCGGCGGCTCAAGGACGAGCATCTCAAGCTGCGGCAGGACAATGCCGAGCTCCGCGCGCGCGTGGGAGGCCCGGTGTCGCCCTCGGCGTATCGTAGTCCGTGACATCTATAGCGACAAGTGGGCGGGATCCATCGCCTGGGTAAGCAGGGGCCACGTACCGTTTGGCTGAGGCGCGCAATGAGGCCACTGAGCTGCAGGTGCGTCGCGACACCCTCGAGCGTGCGCATGTGCGTCCAGCCGATGGCCTGCGGTGAGTGCATGCGACGTACGCGAATAAAGTCGAGCTGGACCGACTCGGGCAGCGAGTCCATCGTCTTGACGACGCGGAAGAGCGTCGTGACAATATCGAGGCACGAGTAGCCGAGCTCCCATACCTCGTCGAGCTTGTCGAGCGCCTCGTCCACGCGCCCCGCGTGGCAGTGCTCCAGGATCTCGCGCACGACGAGGGGGTGCGGCTGGTCGCACACCTGGAACACATGGTCGGGGCTCACAAAGCCCAGGCCCGTCCACGTCGACTGCAAGTTGTTGATCGCCTGCCGCATGTCGCCCTCGGCGGTGAACACGACGGCCGCGAGGCCTTCGTCCGAGTACTGCACCTTCTCAGCCTCACAGATCTCGAGCAGGCGGCGCAGCACCTCCTCGTCCGACACGCGGCCGAACCGAAGAATCGCACAGCGGCTCTGGATCGGCTCAATGATCTTGTTCGACTGGTTGCACGCAAAGCAGAAGCGCGTCGTTGGCGCGTAGATCTCCATCGTGCGACGCAGCGCCTGCTGCGCACCCGGCGTCATGCTGTCCGCCTCGTCGAGAATGATGATCTTGTGCCGGTTCGGCGGCAGCGACACCTTCTTCTGCGCAAACACCTTGATCTTGTTGCGCACAACGTCGATGCCACTGCGTGTGAGCAGCGAGCACGTACCGGTCGTCAGAGGCATTCAGCTCCAGCACCGCCTCCTTGTACGCATCGCCCAGCAGCGCGTGCGCCAGGCAGTGCACGCTCGTCGTCTTGCCGATACCTGGCAGGCCCTGGCATCAGCACCACATACGCACCGACACGAGCAGGTGCGGGCAGTTGCCATTCGCCTCAATGGCCTGGAGCCGCTCGATCGTGGCCGCATTGCCAACCACATCTGCGAGACGCCGCGGTCGGTACTTTTCGACCCTTCTATGAGCCGTCGTATACGCACCACGGCAGCTGGTAGCCAGGCGCGCCTTGCGCCGCCATTGACATGCCGGTCCCTCGCGGCGCCGCGCGCGCCGCGGCGGCGCCGTATAGGCACGTGATGTCACGCACCCCGCCGCCGCGCCCGCATCACATACAGGCCGTGCTCGCCGCGCAACAGCACAGCACCGAGCGCGCCAAGGCCCAGGCCAAGGAGCACAGCGACGCCGCCTAGCACATAGAGTTGATATAGGATAGGCGCCATGGCCTCTAGCGCCTGCCATGGCCACGCAATCGCGCCGATGTAGACGGCCATGCACAGGGTGCGCACAGGCGCAAGCACCACGTACACGATCGCCATGAGGCGTGCCACAAGCACATCCACGAGGTGCGCGATCCAGAGGATAGGACGCACCACCAGCACATGCACCGGCGCCCATACGCACCGCGCTACGAGCGAGGCGCGCGGCTCACTAGTGGCGAAGCGCGTGCCCATTCGCCAGTGGTCGCCGTCCGCATGTGTGTTCCATGGCGGCGGCGTACCGTGCCGCAGCTGGAACGTGCTCGAGGCTAGGCGCGCGGGCCCATCCGGCGCACTGGGCGCCGGGGCCACGGGAACACTCTGCATGTAGACCTCTGGAGCATCGTGTCTGGAGTCGCCCAGCGCAGGCGCCTGTGTGTACCGGAGCAGCACCACACCCACCAGGGCCGCGCAGAGGCTCAGCAGCCAAACACATCCGCGCTGCGGCGCCGCCTGCCGCGCCGGGGACTGCGCCATGAGGTGGAGCGGAGCACGTGTCTGGCGGGGCCCCCGACGCGACGCCCGGTGTCGACGACACCATGTCGCACGAGCCACGTTACCTGATCGACTACGACGAGTTGCCGCCATGGGGTACGTAGATCGCACTCACGGAAGCGCAGGGGGTCCCCTATGTGGTGAGTGGGTACCGCACGCCTGGCGACCTGTCGGCTGCCGCGGACGAGACGCCGGCGGTGGCGGTGGCCTCGGGCACCGACGCGCGGCGGCCGGCCGGCGCCCCTGCCCAGGCGCCGCGCGCGTACTACCGACACGACACCTATTTCAAGTGCTGGCGCAGTGTGTGGTGCTACTTGCACAACGAGACGGTCAACATCCATACGCATCTGTGGGGCGCCGTCATAGCGATGCTCGTGCTGGCCCTGCAACTGGCGGATGTGCTGAGGCTGCTTCCGCCGGGCCCTTGGCCGGTCTTGTCGATGCAGCAGGCACCTGGGCACGACCTGCTTGAGTGGTACAAGCACCTGCCCTTGCGCATGAGCCATGAGCGCAAGCTCAGTGAGCCGGGCGGGGTGGATGTGGCGATGGTGAGCGTGTTTCTTGTGGCCGCGATGGTGTGCCTCGGGTGCAGCGCAACGTACCACACCGTGTCGTGTCACTCGCGCGAAGTGGCGCGCCGGTGCAACCGCCTGGACTAGTACGTCGGTGTCCTAACACGCAGTATCGGCATTGTCGTCCTGATTGTCGGCAGCAACTTCCCCCTCTTGCACTTCGGCTTCCACTGCCACCCGACGCTGCGCACCCTATACCTAATGCATGTGTCCTTGTGGGGTGCCCTTGCATTCTACATTGTGACGCAGTCCAAGTACACGCTGCCGCAGTACAAGGGCTTGCGGACCGTTGTGTTCGTGGCGCTCGGTCTGAGTGGCATTGCGCCGCTCGCGCACAGCTTGTACATCTCCAAGAGCTGGCATTTTGTCGCCGAGGTTCTGGGCGCCAAGTATGTCATGTTCAGTGGTGCTGCCTACATCTTCGGGGCGTGCCTCTACGTCGCGCACATTCCCGAACGCTGGAGCCCCCGCACATTCGACATGGTCGGCGCGTCGCACCAGCTCTTCCACATGTGTGTGCTCCTTGGTGCATGGCTCCATTGGGTCGCAGTGCACCGGGCGTACACGTTCTGGCACGCCGTGGAGACGGTCGCTGGCGAGCGCGGCCAGTCGGCCGTGTGCGCCGTGCTGCATCGCATGATCCATGCGTAGCTAGGGCGCGAGGCGCTCAATCGTCCATGAGGCCGCATCCGATACGGGCGCGTCTGTGTGTGGCGACCGCACATACCGGTAGCGATCGTGTAGGCGACTCTCGCGGCCAATCCAGAACTCGATTTCGTCGGGCACGACGCGGTAGCCGCCCCAAAACGGCGGCACCGGGAACGCCACTTCGCCATACTCGGCCCTCAAATCGTGCTCGCATGCCTGGACGCGCTCCTCCAGGGCAGCGCGCGATGGCAAGACGGCGCTCTGGGGGCTGGCCCAAGCGCCGATCTGGCTGCCGACGGGTCGCGTGCTGTAATACGCCTGCGACACCCCGCGCGGAAGCTGCTCCGCGCGGCCCAGCACGCGTACGGCGCGGTGCACAGCGGGCCAATAGAACGAGAGCGCGCACCATGGGTTCGCGGCGAGCTCGTCGCCCTTGCGCGACGAATAGTTGGTGTAGAAGTAAAACCCGTGCTCGTCTGCGCCCTTGAGCAGCACGGTACGCGAGCTGGGCCGCGGCGCGTGCACACGCCATGCAGCCTTGTCGGCGCTAGCCGCGCTGGCCGCGGGTGGCGGGGCGCCTGGCAACGCCGTGGTCGACAGCGTCATCGCCTCGGGCTCCGGCACGCCCGCCGCCTGCACCTCGTGGAACCACTTTTGGAAGAGGTCCATGGGCCGCGGCAGGAGCGCCGACTCGTCGAGCCCATCAGTGATGTACTGGGGATGCGTCGTGATGCTCGTCCCGCCTGGCGCCACAAGCATGGAGGAGAGTAGCGCGCCTCCACGCCGAGGGGTGCCCACGGGACCCGCGGTGCCCAGAGCTGTCCGTATCGTATCTATCCATGTACAGAAGAGGGGCGCACTAGCGGAACATGCGCAGGTATGCGAGGAGCAGGGCACCCGCACCCGTAGCGACACCAACGAGGTACTGAGTAAGTGGTGGCAACGTACCTGTAGCACATTGAACTTGGCGCTCTGGATGCTGGTGCGCACGCCGGCAATTTCCGACTCGATGCGCGTGTCGACCTCCTTGATCTTGAGGGCATGCACGGACGACTCGTCGCGGATGCGGCCCTTCTCGAGGTTCAAGTCGAGACGCACGCCCGCCGTAGTGCGTGCGATCTCCTCGCGCAGGCGCTGCTTGAGCTTTTCGACGTCGGCCATGAGCCGCTCGTTCTCCGACTTCATCAGCACAAAGTCACTGCGCTCGAGGAGCTGGATCTCCGACTTGAGCTTGGCAAAATCGACCTTTTGCGTATAGTTGAGCCGCTCCGCCTCGTCACGGCGCACGAGCCCGCGCGCAATGTTCTCGGCGCTCTCATTGATCACGTCCGTGAGCGCCGTGACCAGGACGTCTGCTTGCTGGCGAGTGATGCCGGCCTTCTCGAGGCGCTGCACAAATGCATTCGAGTCAAAGTGTGCGTGGCGTGCCAGTGCGCACCACGGCAGGGGCGCACGGCGCGGGACACGCGCTGCTGATGCCAACAGGGCCATCACGCACGCTTCGAGGCAAGGACCGTCCGGCGTGGCGGGCGACGACCGCCTACGTAAGCAGACACGGCCCCGTAGGCCCAGTGGGGGGACCTCGTGCATCGTCCTACAAGAAGGGTATAATGGCTACGCCGCCGGCCAGGGGCCGCCCCCCTCGAGTTGGCGGCGGCTTGTGTCGACGTGCGCCTTGATAGCGCTCAATTCTGTGTGAGTGGCAGGCACGTACGGATACGGGGGTCCGTGACCACAATCAGGATGAGGGTGCTCGACGTGAGCGTGTCCATGTACGCGAGGAAGGTGGGCGTGCGCAGCTCAAGCGCCTTGACATTGTACTGGGACTCGCTGCGGTCAGCTGCAGCAACGCACAGGCAGGTTAGTCTGAACTGCTTGACCAGCTCACTAACGCGCTCGAAGCGGTCGTCAGAAAGCATGCGCGCCGGCGCAGAAGGGACATCGGAGGACGGCAGCATGCTCTGGGAAAGGCCGTCGAGCAGTGCTTCCTCCGGGTCGTCGGTGCTTTGCGCCCGCACCATGTGCACGTCCGGCGAGTGCGGCTTGGCCGACTCGTCTGCTGCCTCTAAGCGGCTGTAGTGGGACATGACCAGGAACGTCGCCCTTTCGAATAGAATGACCTCCGCGGCCGAGCACTGCGCGCCGAGCTGCGTCAGATGCTCCTCAAAGCGCTCCACGTCCGGGACAATGGCATGTACGATGCTCGACCACGCCTTGTAGAGTGTGGCATCCCAGATACTCGTCGCGAAGCACTGCAGGTGAATCACATCCCGCGCCAGCGGCGACGACGCATGCTCCTGCATCACCTCGCGTGTCTTCTTGCGCAGGTCCGCGACGCGGCGGCGGTAAATGTCGCGGCGGCGCGATGGCTCAATCAGATCCATCTTGTGCAGCAGGCAAAATACCTCCGCGTCTGGCGAGTGCGATTGCAGCGCAGACACACAGTCCCTGTCGTTAGTGCCACGTACGTACCGAAAGTAGCGCAGATCCGTCTCCCACTCGCGCCCGTCGCCCGCCTCCTCGTCAGTGCTGACGACGTCGACAACGTAGATCAGAGCCGCTACTCCGCTAAACACCTGCCCGCGCTGCGAGTTCATATAGTTCTCCATGTACGACTTTTGGCCACCACAGTCCCACAGATTGAGCACGAGGTTGCCAGGGAAACGCACATGCGAATGTTCCACCTCAATGGTGCTTCCAAGGCGCTGCGTGTCCTCCGAACGGTACGACGAGAAGATAAACGAGCGCATCGACGTCTTGCCCGTGCCGGACTTGCCCATAAGAAGAATCTGCGTCAGCTCGCCACCGGCCTACCTTGCGCTTCATCGTCGGAGGGGGAGCTGGTAGTGGAGGCCACGTGCTAACGACGGCCGCGACGCCCTCGACCTCGCGCCGTCGGCGGGGGACGCGGCGGAGCCACAAGGGCGTGCCGCGCCTCCTCTATGAAAGAGGCAGGGAGCTGAAGGGCAGCCTCGTCCATGCCCACGTCGGCCTGCCAGCACGTGGGAATGCGCTCAAGGAGCGTGCGCCGCAGCTCTGCACAGGTAGCCGCGCTCTTGTTCCCAAACTCTTGGGCCGGATCGGTCCGGCGGGTATGCAGCCCTCGCACTCCGAGGTATGCGCCAAGTTCGTCGCGCCATACAGCCTCTTTGTAGCCGCGCATCTGCAGATCGTACTGAATGGCCGACGCAACGGCCTTCGGCATCGATGTCCACAGCTCATCGAGGAGCGCGCGGTACGACGACGAGAGATAGTACAGGGCATGCAGACGCTCATGACCAAGTGCCTCATCTGCGCACTTGACGAGCGCGGAAATAAGGTAGGTCGCTCCTGCCTCGGGCGCGAGGGCCCCCTGCTCCGTCAAGTACGTGAGCAGGGCCTGCTCTTCCGGCGAGCAGTGCGCGTGCCACCACGGCAAAGCCCCCTCCGTATCTTCTGCAGCCTCGCTCTCGCTGATCGCGGCGCGCATGGCCACGAGCCATGCGCGCACGGAGGCGAGCGGCAAGTTGTACGCTTCGTAGCCCTGGCACAGGCGAGCGCGTCGTGCCTCGTCCCACGATAAGTATGTGCCTGCATGGTCCACAGACTCGTAGAAGGACTCCATTCGCGCGAGTGCTGCATGCTGCGCGCCGGACGAGCCGAACACGAGTGTCACCAGCGGCCCGTGCGCATGCGCCCAAAAGGGCGCCTCAGCCATCGACGGCAGTGGGTGGAGGACGTCCGACTCGGCCGTGGAGCCACGCACCGCCTGGGCCCGCGCGGACGTGGCCCAGCATGGGGCTGCCTGCTACTCCACCATGGACACGAGCGACCTTCGAACGAAAGCCGCTGAGGCGGCTGAGCAACTTTCCCACACGGCCAGTAATGCGGGTGAGCAGCTTTCGAAGAAGCTGAGCGAGACGGCCGAGTCGATCCGCCCGACAGTACCGCCCCCTGTGCCGGACCGCCGTGTCCCGGCGGCTTCGGCGGCGACACCGAGCAAGAGCGCGACGGTGCCTGAGGGCAGCGATGCGGCTTCTGGTGTGCAGAAGCCCGAAGAGCCGCCTGTGCCTTGGTCGGTGTCGAGCGAGACCGCGACGGCGCGCGAGGCCAGCGAGGCGGCTTCTGGTGTGCAGAAGCCCGAAGAGCCGCCTGTGCCTTGGTCGGTATCGAGCGAGACCGCGACGGCGCATGAGGTGGCCTCCGATGTGCCAAAGTCCGAAGAGCCGCCTGTGCCTTGGTCGGTTTCGAGCGAGACTGCGACGGCGCGTGAGGCCAGCGAGGCGGTTGGTGTGCAGAAGCCCGAAGTGCCGCGTGCGCCTGCGGCTTCGAGCCCCCTGACGCTGGGCTCAGCGCCGAGGGAAGCACCAGTGGATATGGCGCCGGGCGGGAAGGTGCGCCTGACGCACTATCCCGCCATCAAGAATGCGGTCCTGCCCGCGGAGGGCAACGGGAGCTTCAACAATGTGCACCTGGCCCTGCTAATCTTCTTTACGCCGGCCGTGCTCCTGCGCCTGCTGCCGTTCGTCAAGGCCCGCTGGTTCGGCTGGACATCGTACATGGTGCTTGTGGCGCTCTGCGGTGTGCCTGTGGCGATCCTGTACTGGACGGCGATGAGCATGTACGGTGCACGCATCAATGAGAAGGTGACGCTGCCGAACCGGCCGCTGGAATACTATCTGGACATCAAGGACGAGGCCCTGCGCCGCCAGTACCACGGCCATCACAAGATCCCGATGCAGGTGTTCTGGGAGGCATACTTTGACGGCAAGATTGAGGTGAAGGGCGAGCTGCTCGATGTGCTCGAGTACCGCTGGGACTGGGCGGCCATGCACTTTACGCCTGAGCTCTTCCGCTATGTGCTGTTCAAGATGCTGCCGGACGTGCTGCTGCACAGCTCGCGCCAGGATGAGGAGCAGATCCGAGACAACTACGACCGGGGCAACGACTTCCACGAGTGGTTCCTGGGCCCCCAGATGGTGTACACGACCGGTATCATTTCTGACCCGAACCGTGAGGAGACGCTGGAGGAGCTACAGGACAACAAGCTGAACCTCGTTTGCTCGAAGCTGGCGCTGCAGCCGGGCGACCGTGTGCTGGACATTGGCTGTGGCTGGGGCACGCTGGCCACGTTTGCCGCCAAGAACTATGGCGCGGATGTCACGGGTGTTACGCTCGCGCGGGAGCAGGCGGCGTTCGGCAACGAGCGCATCAAGAAGAACGGCCTTACGCCCGACCAGGCGCGCATCCTGTGCATGGACTACCGCGACATTCCCGTGCAGCCGGGCCACTACAACAAGATTGTCACGCTGGAGATGGCTGAGCACGTGGGTATTCGCCACTATGCCAAGTTCCTGCAGAATGTGTACGAGCTGCTCGACGATGACGGTGTGATGGTGTTCCAGGTCGCCGGCCTGCGGCCGCGCTGGCAGTACTGGGACCTGATCTGGGGCCTGTTCATGAACAAGTACATCTTCCCCGGCGCGGATGCCTCGTGCCCCCTGAACTGGGTCATTGGCCAGCTCGAGCGGGCAGGCTTTGAGGTGCGCTCGTGCGATGTCGCTGGTATCCACTACTCAGCTACGATCGACCGCTGGCTGAAGAACTGGAAGAAGAACGAGGCCAAGGTCAAGGCGAAGTACGGCGAGAAGCTGTACCGTATCTGGCACTTCTTCCTCGCGAGTTCGATCATCATTGCCCGCGAGGGCGGCTCAAGCCTGTTCCAGATCACTGTGACCAAGAACCTGAACGCCACGCACCGCATCGAAGGCGTCGCCTCGCACGGCAGCCTTCTGCCGCGTCCCTTCCCAAGCAAGCCGTACACCAGCGTCTACAAGTAGAATTAAGAAAAGATCGTAGCAGTGGTCTATAATGCAGGGCCCTTAGCGTGCATGGCCCGAGATAATGCGTACCCGCGTCTGGCCCGGCGCTGAGACATCCTTCGGCAGCGGCGGCAGCGGCGGCAGATCCTCGCGCGCCTTTTGCCGCAAATTGCCCGCGGACCGGCAGTAGCGCGCGGCAATCGGCGTCGAGGACGTATCAAACATCGGGATGGGTGATACATCGGGACGCGCATGCGATCCCTGGTACCGCGGCGTCGAGCCCATCGACGAGGGACTCGACAGCGGCGGCGTCCGGCGGCCCCCTTCAGGCGAGAGCGACAGCGAGGAGAGGTCGTTCAATGTGAGCGCATGCCGCAGCTCGTCCGACATTTGCAGAGGAGCAAACACGCTCATGCCCTTTTCGGCACGCTGCGATGGCACTTCCTCGCGCACAGGCACTTGTCTCGCACCAGCGTGCAGCCCACCAGACGGACGCGTAGAAATGCGGGACTCCGTCGGTGCGAGGGCCTGCGCGGACACAGGCGGACCAGGCGGCAAGGGGCGCTCCCTGGTCTGCGGTAGCGACGCAGGCGTAGGGAACATAGGCGCCGCGGCACGGTGGCCGCGCAAGTTGCCGAGCGATCTGACCGTCTTGACCACCGTCGCACCGACAGGCTGGATCCGCGAGGCCGCCGCTTGCACAGCGGCATTCGAGGACGGCATACGCTCGCTGGACGGTACGGGCACAATGCGCGTCCGGATCGCGGGCGCAGGGGTCGGCGTAGCGGTGGGCGCAGGCGCAGGCGCAGGCACGGGCGACGCGGTCTTCTTAGCCTCGGTGAACGGCTCGCCCAGCGTCGTGCTGGACGCAGCCTGCGACGTTGACGGTTGTGGCGGCACATCAACAAGGATGTTGCCCGCAGCATCTTTGGCAAGAGCCTCGGGAAGCAGGGCAAGTTTGCCCGTCGCGGGATCAGCGCCCGCGCAGCCGCTGCGGCAGCACACGCACGGGCAGGTCGTCGGGGCGCCATGGACAAGCACAGGCTCAGCGCCCTTGGGGTCAGGGAAGTAGGTAAGCAGGGGCTCGCCGCGCAGGCTGCGGATGCCGAGGCAGGCGCGTGTATATTGCTCGTTTTTTGGCTGCAGCACGGGGTCGACGAGGTGGCCCTGAGGGGTGCGAACAAACTGCTCGGCCTCGGCGTCCTTGCTGCGGGGGTGCGCCACAGAGGCGACACGAGTGCCCATACCAAGGCCGAGGCGATTGAGCTCGCGGACGAGGTCGTCTTGGATCTGCCCTGCCAGCTTGGCGACAGAGAGTGTCGGCGGCAAATAGCGCGCGGGTGGAATGATTGTATCGATCACAATATGATCACCAAAGTCACTTACGGCGGTCTGTACGTGCTCTGTCGGCACGAAGCTGACGGCACTGTGGCCCATCGTTACTGTCGCATGAGAATCATGCCGGACTTTGGGCGGCGTCGCCATTGCGGCAGAGGCCATGAAGCTACGAGGCGACTGGGCCGCGGCAGCCACCCGCGCGCGGCACGTGCATGAAGGTCGCGTCGCGATCACGTGAGTTTATGTCGGGGGCTGCGGCTGCCGTCCCTGGCAGCGGTGGCGGCGGTGGCGACCGTGCGAGTGCTATGTCCAGCGCGCGACTAGGCCGTGCGCAGAATGAGATGAACGCCGCTATCAGTTTCGACGACGCCGCTCATTTGACCTACCGGCAGCGCAAACGTTGCGTCCTCGAACGGACGCTGCATCTGACCGCGGCCAAAAGAACCAAGGTCGCCGCCGGAGCGCGCAGACGAACAGTCGCTGTTGTCAGTAGCAAGTACGTACGAGAACTGGCTGGCCAGCTCCGCAAACGCTTCGACGCTAGGCTGGGCGCCCAGCTGGTCCTGGTACGAGCGCAGCTGCGCAATCGCCTCGTCCTTCGTGCGGGTAATCTGCGCCTGCATGTTAGAAAAAGAACGCACCTCGCGCCAGCTACTGGGCCGGCGACTGTCCTTGTGCTTCACGAGCAGGTGGCTCGCGCGCACCCGCGCAGGGTGCGCCTGCGATGCCTCGCCGAGCAAGTGGCCGCCAGGGAGCTGCCGGGCCTGTTCTTCCGACATGCCATCCGGCAGTTCCCACATAGACACACGTGTTTCAGAATTGAAAAAGTACGGGAGCTGGCGCGAGTTGCTGAAGCGGACTTCCCAAGTGTGCGACATGGCGCAAGGCGGCGTCGCGCGAGCGGGGGGGAAATGCATGCTGAGTAAGCGATATGAGGTGGAGGCAGTGATAGCGATGCCGCGACCGCGCCATGCATGCAATCGCGTGCCTAGCCAGGCGCCAACCCGGGTCACGATGATGCGATAGCGATCTATCCATCGATTTGCCACATGCGGATCCAGGGATGGCTCGCTCTGCTAGCGCAGATCGCACTGGCGTCCAGCGCCCTGGGTGTGAATGCGGACTATGTGGTCAAAGAAGACGTGGTTGTACCACGCGGCTGGGTGCGACGCGCCCCCGCCCATGGCAGTGAGCGCGTGCCGCTGAGCATTGCGCTGCGCTCGAACGCAGATGAGCGTGTAGTGGACGCGATTCAGCGTACGTCGGACCCCGACAGTGACGAGTACCTGCACCACCGCACGAGGGAGGAGGTGCTCGACCTGCTGCGTCCCGCCAAACACACGAAGACGCGTGTGCTGCGCTGGCTGATGGAGTATGGCATTGATGAGAGTACGATCTCGTACAGCGCAGCTGGAGACGTGCTGTACTTTTCGACCACCGTCGCAGAGGCGAGCGAGCTGCTAGGCGGTGCCGTCTTCGACATGTTTGAGCGGCGCGACACAGGCGAGCAGAGCGTGCGTACGACCAAGTATGCTCTGCCGCTCAGTGTCGCGCAACACATTGACTATGTGGGTGGAAGCACGACGTACTTTCCGTCGACCAAGGCGCACCGCCGCATGGCCGAGTGGGTCGGCGACGTTTCATGGGACGAGGTGGCCAAGACCAGCTCGATGAACAACCCGCCGGGCGTGCCAGACTCCTGCAACGTGGCGCATGTCACTTCGCTGTGTCTGCGCGAGTTTTACGGTATGCACAACTACACACCGCAATCGGACCGCTCGCACATTGGTATTGCGGGCTACCTGGGCGAGAATGCCAACTACGACGACCTGAGCCTGTTTCTTAAGCACCAGCGCCCCGATGCGTACAGGGGACACGCGACGTTCGACTATGTGACGCTGGGCGGCGCGCACAATGTGCAGAATGCATCAAAGGCGGGAGGCGAGGCCAACCTCGATGTGCAGGCGGTCCAGGGCGTCGTATGGCCGATGCGCACGACGTACTACCTGACGGGGACCAAGCCGCCATTTAAGAAGGACCAGGTGACGACGAAGAATACCAACGAGCCGTACATGGTGTTCCTCGAGCACATGATCGGTCTGGGCGACGACGAGCTGCCGGCTGTGCTGACGACATCGTATGGCGACGACGAGCAGACGGTGCCGGAGCCGTACGCGCGCCGCGCGTGTACGTTGTTGGCTGCGCTGGGCCTGCGCGGCACGAGCGTCTTTTTTTCCTCGGGCGACCAGGGCGTGGGCGGCAACCACGAGGAGGACTGCGTGTCCAACGACCGGCGCCACCGCCGCACATTCCTGCCCGAATTCCCTGCATCGTGCCCGTGGGTCACGACGGTGGGCGCGACGTACAAATTTGACCCCGAGGTCGTGACAGTGAAGAACTATACATTCATTACGTCGGGCGGCGGCTTCTCCAACTACTTCCCGCGCCCCTTTTACCAGGAGCATGCTGTGCACAAGTACCTGACCGTGTACCAGGACGACAAGGATCAAGGTTGGTACAACCCACTGGGCCGCGCCTACCCGGATGTGTCCGCACAGGGCTCGCGCTTTGTTATTGCCATCAACGGCAAGTTTTCCCTCGTTTCGGGCACGAGTGCCTCGACCCCGCTGTTCGCCTCGATTGTGGCGCTGCTGAACGATGCGCGCTTCGCCAAGGGACTCCCATCGCTTGGTTTCCTGAACCCACTCCTGTATAAGCGTCTCGCGCATACGCCAGGCTTGCACGACGTCGTAAGTGGCTCGGCCAGAGGATGCGGCGACCGATCGGGCTTCCAGGCCCACCGCGGCTGGGACCCCGTGACCGGTCTCGGAACCCCCTCCTTCCCCGAACTGCTTCAGCACGTTTTAGCTAGGTAGTCTGTCTGGGAGCCACACACGCACCTGGCGCTGTGGCCCCATCAGATATGCATTCACGCGTTGCAGGTGCGCACGGCTCGGAGCGCCGGCGCTGACCGCGCTCGTGAACCACTGCAGGCGGCGCTGCGTCGTATCCTTTGTGATGCGCAGACGGTGCGCCGTGAGCCGCTCATGTGCGTCAGGGCCGCCAAACAGGCCGTGGCGGTGCTCATCAAAAGAGGCCGCGAGTACAGCAATAGCGAGGGCGCCACTGAGCTGGAAGCCTGTCTCGCAACAGAGGAGAACGCGTGGAGCCGCACCCTGACCACGAGCCGCCACATGCAGGGCCTCCGTGATGGCATCGACAGCGGCAGGCAGTGCCTGTGAAAACGCGGCAAGACCTCGCTTGGATGCATCGAGACCAAGCGCGAGCACACGCGGTGCCTGCTCGTCGGAAGCAGGCGCAGGCGGCTGGTCACAAAGCACGAGAAGGGCGTACCGCGCGCGCTCCGTGGCACTAAATCCCCGCTCACGCGGTCGCGCTTGAATAGCGAGACCAGTGCCGGAAATCTCCATGGGTGGCGCGTCCGCCTCACCAGGTAGCCACAATACACGGCCGGCGCGTGCGCGCTCGTTGGCGACCAGGGTATGAACGAGCGCGAGGCGCTCGTCGCGCGTGAGGGCTGCGTTGAGGAGCGCTGAGCGGTGCTGCCAAAAGAGTCCAGGGGTGAGGCCCTCTGCCCATGCCTCATGATCGTCACCCGCGCCCTGCACGTACATGGCGCCGGGCGCTGGCGGCGGCACGGACACTGCGTCAGTGACGGCCGGAGAGACGCTCACAAGCACAACGTGGTGTTGGTGCGAGGCGAGCGGTAGACTCGGCACATTGGGCGCATGCGCAAACACGGGGACGAGCGGCTTAGACAGGCGAGGCACGCGCAGGTCCGAGCAGCACAGGCGCTCGGTCCATGCATCGAGGCGCGCCTCGATCTGGGCATGCTCGCTGCGTGCGACAGCGTCTAATGGCGTCACCAGGGAGGGGCACTCGGGGGTGCCGTGTACGCGCGCCGAGGCGCGGTTCAGTACGGCGCACCAAATCGGCACGGTCTTGGCGAGCGCGTCCGGAAAGCGTTTGCCGCGCCGTGTCGAGTCAACGAGGATGCAGCCGGTGAGCTCGCTAGACGCCACACTTTCCTCGATCAACTCGGCCAAGTGCAAGTTGGCGCGCTTCAGGCTTAGGTCCCACGCATACATGTGCCCGTCGGTCGACTTGAAGTACGCCGTGCCGTGCAGGCGCGCGGGGTCCGTGTACCATGCGCCGCAGCGGAGGTTGGCTGCGTAAGGCGTGTGCACGTACCTATGAGCGGAAGCGGAAAGCACGCCGCACACACTTCATCCACGTAGCGCGCATCCTGCGTGAGTGGCCCACACGTACGTGCGCAACGCTCGCGAGGCGGCTCCACAGGTCGCGCTGCTCGCGGCGCAGGACCTTGAGCACGTGGCGAGCGTCGTCCATGGTGGGAGCAGGAGCCCGATTGATGCAGGGGCACTGCATGCAGCCCGATCTTCCTGCATCCGGCTGCCGACGATGGCCAAAGTGGCGAGCACGCCCCACCACCTCGCCGAGCGCCTACGATGAGCGAGTCATCTTTGATCCGTATCGATGCTTACTCGATTGGGCTGCTCGCGGTGCTGGCTGCCTGCTTGCTTTATGCACGCATCATCCAGCACCGCGATCAGCCTGTGCTGCACCCTCTGATCCTGCATAGGCAATCGGAGGCGTCGTCCGTGCACCTCGTGGGCGAGTCGCCCACGTACCGCAACGTGAATGCGCCCCTCGGCCGCGACTTGGCCATGCGTCCGCAACGGAGCACTCCGACCATCGCGACGCTCCTCGCACAGGGGCTTACGGGCACGGAAGGCTCTCACGTGCGTCGCGTAATGGACGCGTCGCTCAGCAACGACGAGCTGCGCGCGCAGGCCGCAGCGTTTATGCGCGGGGTCGAGACGCTTGTGAAGTCGGATTCGCCCACCATTGTCGTGTGTGGCTTCCTTGACACGGCGCCTGCGGTCATTGCTGCGATCGCAGGCGCCGTTGCGAACGAACGCGCACGGACCGTGATGGTACCGCCGGGCCTGGCGCCTACGAAGCGCCCAGGCGGCATTGATCTCGCGACGACCGCGGTCGTGTGTATTGGCGCGCCTTTGCTTCCAGTGTGGGCAAATGCGCGCCTGGTTGTTGTGCGCGGCAGCGGCTCTCTCGAGGGCGCTACGCCCAAGCACAGCCCGACGGAGTGGGACGATGTGCTGGGCGCTGCACCCGACGGCACCGCTCCGCCGCCGCCTGACGTGTCGCGCTTGTCGAATGCAGAGCTTGATCGTCTTGGTGCGCGTACGTACGCGACCGTATGGGACGGTCACAGTGCCTGGCTCAATGTGACGCACACGTCCATGACGTCGGCGGTAACGGCGTGGCTGAGCGAGTTTCCCGCGGACGAGGTGCCGAATGTAAACGATGTCGTGCTGACGGATTTGGTGTACGCACGCGCCGTCCCCGCTCTGGTGCACTGGACGCTTGTTCTGACGTGTCTGGCCGCGGGCGCGAGCATTGCGTGCGAGCCGCCGACCGAGCTCGTATCTTCAGCCGCTATGCTGCGCCCGACGCTCCTGTTCATCAGTACGCGCAGCGCGCAAATGATTGAGCACCGATTGTGGGTTCCCGCGACGGGTGCGCTGCTATACTCTCTCATGCGGCGCGTCAATATGAACCTCCTGCGCAACGGCCTCTTTCCCCGTGGCCGCCTCCTGGACAACTGGATTGTGGCGCCACTCCGTACGGCCATTGGCGTCAGCGGTGTGCGAGCGGCTGTGCTCGCCGGCAACGGAACGGCCGCAGACCAGACACTGCTTGATGCACTGCGTCTGTACCTCGGAGTGCCGGTGATGCACGCGTATGTGCCAGCGCAGCTGCGCTGCGACACGCATGCTGCGCTCATCACGGCGCCAGCAAGCACATCGAACCTGTACGACTTGCAAGCCTTTGCGCCCGAGTCGGTGGACGACGAGTCGGCGCGCTGCCTCGCGGCGCCCGTCGGCCCGCCGTCTGTTGCACTGGAACTGAAGCTCGTGCACGACTCGCCGGCGGTCGCACGCTACGCGACAGAATTGGAGCATCTGCGTGCCGGAGGGCACGCGGCGGATCCGATCGGCGAAGTGTATGTGCGGGGCTATACCCTGACGGCGCGCGACCATGACGCCACGACCATCTCGCCGTGGCACGCGACGGGCGATGTGGGGCTTATGCGCACCAATGGCACGCTCGTCGTCGTTGCGCCGCGCGGAGCGGATGAGGCGGGCATGCTGCCCAGCACGGTGTCGTCGATGGACATGAGCCAGCGCCTGGCGCGTTCGGCGGCGAGCGTGGTGCGGCGCAGCGCGGCTGCGGCTGCTGCGCCTGCACTGCTCCTGGGCTGTGCCCTGGCATGTGTGAGCGGCGCCGAGGCCCGACACATGACGCCGCAGCGACGTGGTGTGTCCCTGGTGCCACGCGCGGCAACCGTGCCGCCGCTCAACACGACCATGGTGGATGTGGCACTGGACGGTGTGCTGTCGTCGCAGCGTGCGTCCTGGGAGCAGGGCGTTCTGCAGTCGGCGGTGACCGAGTACCTGTACCCTAACTGGACATTTTTTAAAAAGCCCGACTCGCAGCTCTTCCCTCCGCCGCGCTCGGTGGCGTCGGTGGCGCAGCCGGTAGCGCTCCTGCGCCTCGCAGAGAAGAGCGTGAGCAGCCAGGACGCCGCGGGGCGCCTCGCCAGCCTGATTACGGGCGACGAGCGCATGAATGAAGGCGCGACGATGGACTCGGCGAGCTGTGGGGAAGGCGTCCTAGTCGGCGCGTGGATCAACGAGGGTTTTCCCAACCAGGCGCCGGCGCCGCAGAGCACGTACGGAGCGGCGGCGCAGCGCCAACTCCTCTATTTGCTGCGCAATGTGACGCGTACGCCGACGGGAGCACTGAGCCAGCGCGTATCGCCAAGAACGGTGCAGCTGTGGTCCGATTCGGCGTACATGGGCCCGCCGTTCCTAGCGGCATATGGCGTGATGACGGGCAACGAGACGCTCGTGCGTATGGCGTACGAGCAGCTGCAGCTGCAGCGCGCGGCGCTGCGCATCACACGCGGCCCGGGCACCGGTCTCTGGCATCACATCGTGCAATTTAACGGAAGAAACAAGACGCCGCATCCCATTGATTCGCGTGCATGGCTTTCGGGCCTGGGGTGGGCTGCCGCTGGCATGCTGCGCGTGGCGGCGATGATCAGTGCGAGTCCGTGGGCGCAGGCGATGCATGTGCCGCACGACAACCTGCTGCAGTGGACGGACGAGCTGCTGAAGGCTGTGTATCAGAATGTCGATGGGACCACGGGTCTGCTGCCGAACAATGCCAACAATGCGTCGTCGTTTAGGGACGCGTCGGGCACGGCGCTTGTGACATACGCGGCATTCCGCCTGGGCAGCATGGATGCGTCGCGGCAGCAGTACGTGGAGCAGGCCGAGCGTGCCTATCAAACGCTCTCGTCGGGACTCAGTCCTGCGAGTTCGTTTGTGGATGGGCTCCTCACGGTCAACGAGCTCAACACGAGCGCGCCGGGCCCTACGTCCACAGAGAGCCTCTCGTTTATGATTCTCATGTCGGCGGCGCGGCGCGACTATTATGCAGGCAACGTTACCGGGGCGCCGGGAGCGCCAGGTCCGCAGCCCGCACCAGATACCCACGGAGGCGCGGCGCGGCCGGGCGCTCCCCTGCCGCTTGTGGTGGCATTGGCGGCTGCTACACTAGCGCTTGTATTCGTCCCGCTATAGACTAGTTAGGCAAGACCGGCCGCATGCAGCTTGTCAACGAGCACCTTCTTCACGTGGTCGATGAACTCGAATGTGTTGACGTAGTGCTCGCGGGTCATGGCCTTGCCGTGAATCGACAGGGCCAGGTCCTTCGTCATAACGTTGTCGACGTCAATGCTGTGCACGCACGCCTCCTCGAGAGCACGAGCAAACTTCTTGAGCTCCTCGTTGCCGTCGAGTTTGCCACGGAAGAGCAGGCCACGGGTCCACGCGTAGATCGAGGCGACCGAGTTGGTGCTCGTCTCGTTGCCCTTCTGGTGCTCGCGGTAGTGGCGCGTCACGGTGCCGTGGGCAGCCTCGCTCTCGATCATGTCACCGTCGGGCGTGATGAGCTCCGAGGTCATCATACCGAGCGAGCCGAAGCCCTGCGCGAGCACGTCCGACTGCACGTCACCGTCGTAGTTCTTGCACGCCCACACGAAGCCACCGTTGCCCTTGATGGCCTGGGCAACCATGTCGTCGATGAGGCGGTGCTCGTACCACAGGCCAAGCTTCTCAAACTCGGGCTTGTATTGCGAGTCGTACAGCTCCTGGAAGATGTCCTTGAACTTGCCGTCGTACGCCTTGAGAATCGTGTTCTTGGTGCTCATGTACAGCGGCATCTTCTTGTCGAGCGCCACGCGGAAGCACGAGTGCGCAAAGCCGCGGATCGACTCGGTCGTGTTGTACATGGCCATCGCCACACCGCCCTCCGCGGGGAAGTCGTAGACGTGCACGTCGATCTTCTCGCCGCTCGCGTCCTCCGGCGTGAAGGTGAGGCGCAGCTGGCCCTTGCCGGGCACCACAAAGTTCTGGCAGCGGTACTGGTCACCGAACGCGTGGCGGCCAATGCAGATCGGCTTCGTCCAGCCGGGCACGGGGCGCGGCACCTTCTCGAGGACGATCGGCTCGCGGAACACGGTACCACCGAGGATGTTGCGGATCGTGCCGTTGGGCGAGAGCCACATCTTCTTCAAGTTGTATTCCTTCACACGGGCCTCGTCAGGCGTGATGGTCGCACACTTGACACCGACCTTGTACTTCTTGATCGCCTCCGCGGCGTCCACAGTGACCTGGTCTTCGGTCGCATCACGGTGCTCGATGCCCAGGTCGTAGTACTTCAGATCCACGTCCAGGAAGGGGAGGATAAGCTGCGTCAGCCGCCTTCAACCTACATCCTCACGGATCTTCTGCCAGATAATGCGCTGCCATCAGCCTACGAGCACATACCGTCATCTCATCGCCATCAAGCTCAACCACGGGGTTGGCCACTTTGATCTTCGAAGCTGCCATAAGCGCACGGCCCACTACCTACCGGTCATGATGCTAGTGGAAAACGAGGCGCGGGACACAGAGGGCAGCAGGCGTCGGGCACTGGCACTGAGTGGGTAGCGCAAGCCCCAGCGAGTGAACATTCGCGAAACACAACGCGCCTGGCCCGCCCAGCTGCACGAGTCAGCGGGCCCTGGCGCCAGCTCACACCCATGTGACAGGGCACGTGCCATCTACTCTACCACCCAGACCGTGCCGCTAGCTGCTCCAACTTGTGGTACACGAGGCTGCGTTAGTCACACGACGTACAAGACCAGCGCTGTGGTTAGAGTCAGATACGTACCGCTGCTCGGCGCACTCCGTACGCACGTCACGCCCACCCCCGCATAGAGACCCGCCAGCCCGCGCGTCTGGTAGAGGCGCATCAGCATCGTCATGAAGCCGAGCGGCGGCCCTGCCGCTTCGCGCGTGTGCGCGCGCAGTTCGCGCTGCGTTTGCATCGCCGACTTGACACTGTCGGCAGGAAATAGGCTCACATTGTAGCTCACACCGGCAAGCGCGCCACTTACCGCCAGCTCCAAGCTGCTCAGGTCCGCCTTGCTCGGCGGCGCGTCCGCAGGCCGCGCCTTCGCGTGCCGGCGCGCAAACTCACGCGTGGCGAGCTCAAACGAGAGGAACCACGCAATGCCCCCGCCGACCTCGCGAATCAGCGTGCCAGACAAACCGTGCCACAGGCCCGTCACGCCCGACTTTTGCAGTGTCTCCCAGATCAAGGGGACAGCGTTCGGCACCGGCGCCCGCGACGTGCGCCCCATCTGCTGTACCTGCATGCGGCACTTGATCAGCTCGACCGGCGTGAGCACCACCGCGGCCATCGCGCCTGACGCCGCCGCCGCGACCGCCAGGTCCGTCAGCGGCAGCGTCGCCGACTCGCTCACGCCACGCACATTCCGCAGCGCGCGCTGCACCTGGTTGTATGTAAGAAAGAGCGCTGCATCCTCCATCGTCGCGCCCAGCACAGGCATCGTCACGCCCTGCACGCGTCAGCCGCCGCAACGCACCCGGAACAGGCCCCGCACACCCTCGTGCACAAATGTCTTCCGGAAGCAGTCCCACGCCCCTGTATAGAACGGAGCATCATGTGGTTGCGTCTGCAACCGCACTTTGACTAGATCGCTGCGTCAGCCGACTCGGCCACGCACAAGGGATGCTCAAATACTTTGCTGATCATGCCGGCGATCTGGTGTAAGTACACCAGGGGCCACACATACCGAGCCAAACAAAATATCCTTGGTTGCCCGACCCAGCTTCTCTGGTTTTGGCGGCGAGAGCACCGGCGCGGGCTCACGTCCCGTCGCCACACTCATCGCACCGCGTCGACCCGTTCACCGTTCAGCATGCGTTTTACCGGTGGAGGAGTGGGGCTCGGCCGAGCGGGCCCGGGGGCGCTCCGCCTCCCAGCCGCCACGGCCCCGCTAGCGATCCAGCGCCATGCCGTCCCTGGTGTATGCGGTAGCGGCACTGGCTGCGCCTGCGATGGCGCTCGCGCGCGCAACACTTCTTCTCAACTTGCCAGCCGGCAACGTGCGTGGACCTGTTACCATCCACAGCGCCGATGCTCACCAGGTGCTCGCGCACCACTTGGGCGTCAACGTTCCGGCCCTGCCACGCACGGCCGGTGACTCGCCCCATATGTGGCACCACCTGCCGCATGACTGTGCAAAGTATAGTCTCAAGGACCTTTTCGAGCCCCAGGCGCCCCGCAGCGGCGTCCTTGTGACATTCCATGGCCTCGATGATGAGCACGGTACGTCTGCCACGCTGACCTGTACAGACCTATTCCCCGCCTCGCTCGTGCCAACGCACGAGGTGCCGAGCCACCAAGTGCCCTCAAATGAGGCGCTAGACCACCTTGCCTCCCTGTACGAGGAGGCTGCGACGGGTGCGCAGCGCGTGTTGGCTGCGCCGCGGCCCGAGGCCACGGCCCTCGAGCGCCTGGCGCACGAGCTGTCTAGCATCGAGCAGCTCGTCCAAGGTGCACATGCGGACCTGGAGGCATTCGCTCGCGCGCGCATCTCGGCGCTCGCCGATGTCAAGCGCGAGTTTGGTGCCCACAGCCAGACGTTCCAAGACGCCAAGGCGCAAGTGAGGCAGGTTCTTGCCTCGCTTGTGCACCGTGCCGAGCAGCTGGCCGGCACTCGTGTCGCCCTGGTTCATACATCCGAGGCGAAGGACCCCGCGCTGCAGCGGCGCACACAGTCGCCTCTCCCGTTGAAGACCGCCCCGCAGCCGATGCGCGAGTGGGCCGCCTTCGCAGCCATGGACCAGGCTCCCAAGAGCTGCTACACACAGCGCGAGCAGCTCGAGGCCGCAACAAACACGTGTAGCTTGCGCGGTACGCCCGTCCAGACGACCAAGGGCGGCAAGCTGTGCTGGCGGTGCAAGTGCATGCCGGTACGCGAGGGTGGCCGCACGCGCTTCTTTGCCGGCGCCGCGTGTGAGAAGGACGACTATTCATCACAGACCCTCCTCATTATCGGCACTGTCGCCGCTCTGTACGTCGCCATCGTTGCAAGTATTGCTCTTCTCTACCGCGAAGGCCAGAAAGAGCTCCCTGGCACGCTTGCGAGCATATCTCTGAGTGCGTCGTAGACAGACCATAGGCCTGGGGCCACCAGCGATCTCGTTTAGTCAGCGTAGCGGCTGCCCTGCGCACGAAGACCGAGAGTCGTTTTTCATGTCGCCCACCCCGACGGTGGCGGAGGGAGTGGCCGCTCCTCTGCCCACGGGGCGGGGCCAGTTCTCCCGTACTTTGGGCTGGCGTGATCCACCGCCGCATCTGGAGCTGCTCCAGGCGGCGTACGTGCTGCGGCACGGCGAGCGCACGCCGGTTCGACGCCGGCTCACTACGGCTGACCCACCTGTATCGTCGACGTGGAATTTATGCCATACATCGAGGGAATTCGAGCGCTCAGTGCTGCATATGGTGGGCACAGATCGCCTCCCGGCCTTGACGCAAATTCAGCGCCGTATCGAGGTCGCGGGGCAGCCTGGCGAAAGCCCCGAGATCGGTCAGCAGGGCGACTGTCTTCTCGGTGAGCTGACCGACGTTGGGCGGCTTTCGATGTTGCGCCTCGGTCAGGCCTTGCGCAAGCGCTACGTGGACCTGGAACACCTACTTCCTACGACGCTGGTGGCCGGTGACCAGGACAAGCTGTACCTGCGCAGCACTGCTATGGGCCGCACGATCCAGAGCCTCGACCAGGTCATCACCGGGCTATTGGGCCCGCAGAACCACGCATTTGTGCCGCACGAGTACATCCGAAATCCCCTCGACGAGGATATGCTCCCATACCCCCGCGGCTGCCGTCGGCTGCACGCGCTCATGCAAAAGTACGCGGCTGAAGCCGCGCGACTGTACAACCCTGTCCTTGCACGCTACGACCACCTCGTTTCGCCAAGCGACTGCGGCCATCTGCCCCGTGTCAATGCGAGCCCCGCGGTGAGTGGTCTCATCGATACGATCCGGTCGCTGGAAGCACATGCGTTGCCTATACCCCCAGCATTCCAGGATCCGTCGCTGCTGGAGCTCATGGAGCGCGCCGTACTACACGAGTGGTTCGGCGGCTACCGCGCACCCGACCCCGAGGAACGCCGGCAGTACCGGCGCCTGGCCCTCGGGCCGTTTGTGGAGAGTCTCTACCGGCCGATGGAACGCCGCGCGGTGCGGGGCGACGCGGAGCCGCTACGACTCTCGGTGTTCCTCGGGCACGATGCGACGCTCGTCGGACTGTGTCACATTCTCGATGTGTTCAATGATCGCTGGCCCGCGTTTCACGCGGGGCTGGCCATCGAGCTCTTCCGCGATCGCAAAGAAACGGCGCCTGCGACAGAGCAGCACCAGCCGGGCTACTACGTACGCTGCCGGTACGGCGACGAGGAGCTGCGCCTGCCTGGTTGCCGCGCCCCTGGGCAGCACTATCCAGGGCGCCCCGAATTGTGCTCACTGGATGCGTTCCGTGCGATCATGGTCGACAGGCTGCGGCATCCCCAGCAACTGACCATCCAGGATGAATGCAATATGATATGAGTTGATTTTGTACGATACAATACGTTGCAGCCTATGTGCTTTTTTTGTCAGGTCAGAAATGATGAGAACCGGCCTATTCATCGGTGTATCAGTGCTCTTCCACACTGTTGCATCTTCATGCATGGCCCAGAGAAACGGACGGCGTCACTTTGCTGGCAGGAGCCCTGCGAGGAGCCGCCGGCCATAGAGCCTCCTACATTCCGCACCGTCAGTCAGTGTACGTGTGCGCGCTGGTACGCAAGTAGAATGGGAATCAAATCACGCACGCCAAACCTGGGCCAGTACTGGTCCACAAAGTGCATCTGGGTATGCTCGTTGCATTGCCATAGCAAAAAGTCACTGAGGCGCGAGACGTGGGACGTGCGCACAAGCACGTCGATCGGTATATCGCATGGCACCATCAGATGCTCTGCCAATGACGCCTCGGTCAGAGGCCCTTTTTGCACCGCCTGCGTCGCCGCCGCGCAGATTTCATCCTGCGACGCGTATGGCATGCAAATGTTCAGGGTCGGTCTGTCCGTTAGCATGCCAGTCACGCACCCTGTGTGATCCTTGGTCGCCTCTTCTACACTTTGAGCCGTCTCTTGGACGGCCGGTGGGAGCAGTGCCCGTCGTCCCACGACGCGAATGCGGACTGAGAACTTCCGGACAAGCTCGCTGGTGTTAGTAGATAGCACGCACCTGTTACTAGAAAGCTCAAGGAGCCGAGTCCTTGCAAGCTCCATCAGGGCATCCACCTCGGCTTGTTCACGTCGGAAGTTGTCGAGCGCAAAAGCGTACACAGTCACGACGTCAATCCGACGCAGGGACAGGCACAAATCAAGCACGCGCTTGAGCGCCTCGAATCCCATGTAGTGCCCTTGATGGACCCGTACCCCTGTCATTCTCGACCACCGGCGATTTCCATCCATAATAAAGGCCATGTGTCGGGGAAGAGGTCCAAGCGACAGCGACTGGAGAGCGAACCGGAGCAGCCCATCGTAACACCGATACCACCACGATCTACATGTGCTCGGCATGAGAGGCTGCTCTACCTGCGCATCGTGTTCGTCTTCTTGTCCCTGTTGTGACTCGGATGTGTATACCGGTAATCCCGTCGACGCAGGCTCCCGGGGAACGCCAGTATCCATCCCTACTGGCGCTCTGACGGATCGGAACGATGCTAGAATGAGTGGGTGGAGGTGTGTCTCGCATGAAAGCTACGTTATTGGAAGCAGCCCCTCTAGGCGGGGGCGGACGTGGAAGACACGCTCAAAAGCTCCGGTGGGTGGGTAGGGGGGGTATCTGTCAGTCACTGATCTTTGGAGATGGATGTAGCCCCGTAGCGCGTTCCTTGCGTCGCTACTCTCGGTCCTTCGCTTTTTCTCTTCGCTCTTGTCGCGCTTTTTACGTCTATCTCGCTTCTCCATCTTGTCTCGCTTCTCCATCTTGCGCTTCTCTTTCTTGTTGCGCTTCTCCCTCTTCTCCTGCTTCTTTCTCTTCTCGAGCTTGTCGTTCTTTTCTTGCTTTTCGCCCTTGTTGCGCTTCTCGTTCTCGTCACGTTGTTTGTGCTTAACGCGTTTCTTCTCCTTGTGTGTGCTTGTATCGATAGATTCGCTGCGCTTGCGCTTCTTTTTCTCTTCCTTGTCACTTGGCGCGCGATCTTCGTCGGTGCAGGACATCGACCTTGCATCACGGGTATTGTGAGGAGGGGCTTCCAGAACTGGGTCCTGGATCTGAGATATGCTCAGGTCGGTCTCTTCCGTGGAGATCGATAATGTTCCCACGACCTCCCCTCGAACAAAGTTGCTCATGAGCATGCGCCGCGCGTGCTCTTGCTTGGCCACCGTAGAGAGCGCGCGCCTCGGTCCAGCCGGGGCACCTGTGTCCTTCTTGGCAGACGCACCGAGCGCTAAAGCCTTTGCACCTGCCTGTCGAGTAAGCTTGGCATGTACCTACCGCAAAAATATCATCCCACCACTCCACGGCACGATCACGGTTCTGGCCTACACCGCCGAGGTTGCGTTTCTGTGGTATAATGAGTGGTTTCTTTAAGCCACGCCCTTTCTCGCCGTCCAGCGGTGTTCCATGCCCCTTCCATCCCTGCTTGGTCAGATAGTGGGACGTGTTCAGCGGCATGGCTGCCTGTCTGGCGTCCGTGCAGGAGGGTACCCGGAAAAAATGGAGGCAAGTAAAAGCCATGGACAGACGCAATTTGGCCGAATTTGCTTTCCCTCCACCGAGCGGATCCCATTGCAGTTGCCGATGAGGGGACTGAAGGTGGCCCCCTTTCGTCGCGCTGATATGCTCTGCGCCCCAAGGGCGCTCGGGAGGACCAACATGCATGCTGTGCAACTCAACAAAGGATGGGTGACACCGCGGTCTCCTTCTGTGCTGCGTCGGACCTTTTTCAACCTGCATCATGTGCTGGGCGGCGGGCCGCCCAGCGACCATGGCACACAAAGATTCAAGGAAAAAGTGGTGCTCCCGTATGTATTCCTGCACGGGCGTACCTAACCACACAGATATACCTCGGAACAACTCTACGCCATTGTTGCCGACGTCGATTCCTACAAGGAATTCTTGCCTTACTGCCTAGACTCGCGCGTATTAGGCCCCTCTAGCCCCCGCGCCAAGCAGAATGACCCTGAAGCCACTCATTTCGTCGATGCAGAGCTCGTAATTGGGTTTTCAGCGCTTCGCGAAAGCTACGTGAGCGAAGTGTCTATGCGACCGCATGAATGGGTGAAGGTAGGTGGCACGGGCTACTCTGACATGACAGGCGAAAGCCAAGCCATCGCCTCTCTTTAAGGGCTTGGAAACAGCGTGGCATTTCCGGTCCTTGCCAAAGGCTTCTCATATACGCACGCCCCAAACAGAGGTCACCTTTACGCTTGCCTTTGCATTTTCGAGCCCTATGTACGCGGCAATTGCGGGGCAGGTGTTCCAAAAGCTGTCGTCAAGAATGATCGACGCGTTCGAGACGCGTTCGCAGGCCGTGTACGGATGGCGTGCTCCATAGCTCGTAATCATCACATGATCCATCCAGTCGAACACACGACACCACACGTGTCGTGTGCAGATACGTGGCGCGGGCCATGTGGAGAGTGATGAGGTAGGGAAACTACTTAAGCGTATCGAGCCGTGCAGCACGTCATATCTACGACGAAAATGCCAAAGGGATACGCCATTCACGACACGAAGAACTGGACCGATTTCAAGGTCATCGATTTCGAGCTCAAGGTACGTCGTGCGTGGGTCATGTGCAGGTGCTGACGATCACAAGACGCCGGAGGACGACGATGTCGAGGTATCCATTACTCACTGCGGTATCTGTGGCTCCGACCTGCACACCATCTCGGGTGGCTGGTACGTATGTCTCGCAGGCCACTCACACATCCCAGGGGTCCACTTAGTGTGCCTGCTTGCATTCCTGGCCACGAGATTGTCGGCCATGTGACTCGTACGTAGCCAAGCGGGGTCTACTAACTCGTGCAGAGGTCGGTAAGAATGTCAAGGATATCAAGGTCGGCGACCGCGTGGGTATCGGTGCGCAGGTCGGTTCATGCATGAACTGCCACCCATGCAAGCACGACAACGAGAACTACTGCATTGGCGATGGCAAGGGCCACATGGTGGACACGTACAACTCGCACTGGCCCGATGGTAGCATTGCTCAGGGTGGTTACTCGACTGCGATCCGCGCACACCAGCAGTTCGTGTTCCCGATCCCAGAGGGTCTCAAGTCGGAACACGCGGCACCCATGCTTTGCGCCGGTCTTACCGTGTACAGTCCTCTCTTCCGCAACAAGGTCGGCCCTGGCATGCGCGTCGCCATTGTGGGCATTGGCGGTCTCGGCCACTTTGGTGTCATGTTCGCCAAGGCTATGGGTGCTGACGTCGTTGCGATCTCTCACTCGGCCTCGAAGGAGAAGGATGCGCTGAAGATGGGCGCGACCAAGTTCGTCTCTACTAAGGAGGACCCCAACTGGGCAGAGCATTTCAAGAACGAGCCGTTCGACCTGATCATCAACACGGCGTCGTCGTCGGCGGTGGACGTTCCTGGTATGATCTCCTCGCTGAAGACGGACGGCCGTCTGATCTGTGTGGGCATGCCAGAAGACGAGATCAGGGTGCGTGTGCAACATCTGGCGATGCGCAGCGCTCTCCTGGGCAGCAGTCACATTGGCAACAAGACCGAGGCGCTGAGCATGCTCAAGCTTGCGGCAGAGAAGAACATCGAGCCTTGGATTGAGCTCGTCGACATGAAGGATTGCTCCAAGGCCATGGAGCGTGTCTCGAAGGGTGACAGTATGTATTACATGGGTTCTAACGCGGCAGTTCGCTACCGCTTCGTGCTCAAGCAGGACCTGGCTTGAGCCGCGTCGATTAGTCAGACATAGAGCCACATGGCTGTCGGATCTCACCGGCCTGTTCGGCCGAACGTGGATCGCGGCGAGGTCGTCGCTGGGTGCCCGCCATTCCTCGTCTGTGTGCGACTCGTTCATCATGTTCCGTTCGCCTGCTGCTATGGGTGCCTTCCGTGCTACGTCGCGCGCTGCTTTCCTTAAGCCGTCGTTCCAGCCCCACGTCGGTCCGATGTACGTACTGCCATTGCCGTGGCATGCAGGTGCTAACCGATCAGCAACGCGCAGTACGCCTTCAAGTACGTTGAACTTTCCGAGCAAACATACTAACCCTCAGGTGGGTTCCCTCGTTGGTCTTCTGGGGTGCCACGTCCGGTGTGCTGGTGACGCTGGCGCTCAGCGGCGTTCCCCTGTTCAAGACGGATGTCCTGCTGAAGACGCCGGTGGTACGTATTCTCGCTGCTGCATGGACAGGCCCTGACACGATGCGCTTGCGCGATGCGAATCTCTTTTTCAGGCTTCATTCTACGAGGGTATGTGCATGAATTCTCACCAGTACAGACAAGACGCCTGACAGCGACAAGCCCTTCTAAATCGGATAGGACGTACATACATCCAACGATCAAATCTATGCACATAGCTGTGAGCGTGTCTCGTGCGTCGCACGCTGGGAAGGTCTTGGTACCATGTGGCTCCGCGGAGAAATGCGCCGCATTTTGTCCGTTTGCGGATGGAGGCATTTTAATTTATCCACCGTCCCCGAGGTTGCTGCAACTGCAAGAGAGCCTCGCCGCGCACTTGCTGCATCGTTCTTCCGAGCCTGCTCTACTCTAGATCTTCCCGACGGTGCCTTAGTTTCAATCCGCCTCCTTGTACAAGATGCAATCCATCCGTGCCATTCCTGAGACGCTGCTCGACCGTAACGCATCGTGGTCACAGGAATTTGTTACGCAGCAACCTGAGCTGGCAGAGGCCCTGCGCGGCGGTCAGCATCCCAAAGTCTTTTGGATCGGATGCAGCGACTCTCGTGTGCCCGAAAGTGTGGTATGCAATGCTAGGCCCGGCGAGCTCTTTGTGTTGCGCAACATCGCCAACCAGTTCCATACCTACGACGACAGTGCTGTAAGCGCACTCACATTTGCCGTGCAGGCTCTCGGCGTGGAGCACGTCATTGTGGTGGGACACACGAGCTGCGGTGGCGTAGCCGCGGCTGTCAAGCAGGTGCTCCATGAGCAAGAGGACGATTTTGAGCCGCTTCCAGCATCGGCCTTGACCAGGCACCTGACACCACTAACGGAGCTCGCACGCTACCTGCGCGCGCGCGTGCGTGAGCGCCACACGATCCCTGGCGCAGAGATGCAGGAGCGCCTGGTTCCCATCTTGACCGAGGCCAGTGTGCGGAAGCAAATCCAGAACATTATCGACCACCCTGTGATCCAAGATAACTGGAGAGGCAAGGTGTCGCCGCTGAACGGCAAAGTCAACCCCCGCGTGAAGATCCACGGTTGGATCCACAACATCCAGTCGGGTCGCCTGCTCGACCTGAACATCACCGTAAACCCCCCGCCTCTTCCGGACACTGTAAATTAGATACTATAGGTCTCCCCATCGAATACCGCCGCCTTTGCCGTGCCGCGTCGGCTCCTCGAGCCACTCGTTCGCCTTGGCAAAGTGCCCGTTGCCCAAAAAGCCGCGATGTGCGCTCAGCGGCGAGGGATGCGGCGACTTGAGCAGCAGCACATTCGGCGTTTTCTGCGTGAGCCCGTCAGAGCGCACGTACCTCGGTCACTCCTGCTTCAGCCAGGGTCTTCGCTGCTGGCAGGCCCCAAGCAAGGAAGACGACACCCTTGCTAGGACCGCTATCCACGGCGGCGTGCCCCTGGCTCGCGAACATAGACGCCAGTGGTCCACTGCCGCCGCCCGTGGCCGCCCGAAGCACGACTTTAAGGATCTCTCGCGTAAATGGTTCCCAGCCCCGATTGTGATGCGATCCTGCTGCACCCGCATTCACAGTCTGCTGTCAGCGCTCTTTACGCACCAGGCAGGCGTTGAGCATAAGCACGCCCTGGCGCGCCCATCCGTCGAGACACCTCTCGGTAAGCTCGTCATACGTACCCATGCGAGGGACGCTGGAAGTCGGGAAACTCGGACTGGAGCTCTTTGTAGATGTTCTGCAGGCTCGCCGGCACCGCCTTGCCCATCGGCACTGAGAACGAGTGGCCGCATGCCTGTCCCGGCTGGTGGTAGGGGTCCTGGCCCACAATCACCACTTTGACCTTTTCCAGCGGCGTCGTGCGCGACCAGCTGTAGATCAGATTGGCTGGCGGGTAAATCGTCTTCCCTGCCCGTTTCTCTGCATCAAGAAATGCCTTGAGCCGCGCAAACGAGTCCTGGCGCATGGCCGGCTCCAATCGGCTGAACCATGCTTTGCCCATAGTAGTCCGCTCCAGAAGCAGCGGGTCCTCTTTTGTGCCAGCATAGGGATGATTGTACACGGGAGGCATCTCCCTGGGGGCAGCCACTGGCGCCTTGGCCGGCGGGGCGGGACGCGCCGTCTTGGGCGGCGACGATAGACGCGTCTTCTTGGCACCCTCCGACTCCTCGACGGCGCGGATCAGGTCCTCCGCACTCGTATCAAACTCATCAAACTCATCCGCACCAGGGGAAAGGGCTCGTTTGACCGGTGGCGATCCCATTCGTCGTGCTGCTAGGCGAGTCAGGCACCCACACGAAAGGCGCATGCGGGCGAAGCGCGTCGCGCGTCGCAGGGCGGCGGCCTCCACGTGGCAAAGTCTCGTGCGGCGGCGGACGGCGGCGTCGCTCATGTCGTCGCCGTGGGTCCCACTGGAGGCGAACCCTGAGCTGTTTAGCGAGTGGTGCGCGTCGCTGGGCCTGGACCGAAAGAAGTATGCGTTCCATGATGTCTTTGGCCTAGACGACGAGCTTCTAGCGATGGTGCCAGCCCCAGTTGAGGCTGTGCTCTTTCTCTTCCCATGCACGCCTGCGACCGAGGCGGAGCGCGAGCACGAGGACGTGGCGCCGGACGCAGACCTTCTATGGTTCAAGCAGACCATTGGGAATGCGTGTGGCACCATTGGCCTGCTGCATGCGGTCGCCAATTCGCGCGCTCGTGCGGCGCTTCCGCCAGGCTCGCCTCTGGCGGTTCTGTTTGACAAGGCGGAGTCATTGGCGCCAGAGGAGCGCACGCGTCTCATCGCCGAGAGCGACGCACTGCAGCAGACACATGCGAGCATTGCCGCGCAGGGCCAGTCGGACGCGCCTGCGGCCGATGAGGACGTGGACCTGCACTTTGTGGCATTTGTGCGCAGCGCGTCCGGCGCGCTCATCGAGCTGGACGGCCGGCGCTCAGGACCGATTGTGCGTGCTGCGCATGTGCCGGAGGATGGTCTCCTTTCCGCTACCGCGCACTTTGTTCAGACGCACTACATGGCCCGCGACCCTGACGCTGTGCAGTTCAACCTGATTGCCTTGGGCCCTGCTGTCTAGTGCCTATTTCTGGAGCGCACGAAGAAGAAGCTCTGCTTCCTGCTGCGTGCGCTGTGCCTGCTCCAAAACACGCGTGCTGGTCGTCTGGTACGGTCCTTTCCACACTGGCCGCATCTCCGAGTCTGTCGTGCCCAGCTCCCGGCACACCTGCTGGGCGCGCTGACTTGCGCACCACAGCCACTCTTGTGATGCGGCGTGGGGCCCATGGCAGGCAGGTGCGGTGTCCGCGCCCATCGAGATGTAGTCGCTGGGGCGCACAGGGCGCCTCGAACCGCGCCCCAGCCAGTGGGACAGCCTTGGCCACCACCCCGCCGAGGCGCAGGCCTCCTTGTGCAGGGCGTACAGAGTCTCTGCGACATGCATGGCCAGGACAGCCTGTCTCTGTTGGATCCATAGCTCTTGCAGTCGCTCGGCCGTGCCGTCCGCGCCCTGGCTCGTGGCCGTGGACGTCTGCGCGAGGCGCAGAGCCGCCAGCTGCATGCGAAGTGCTTCCTGGAGCAACGCGCGCTCCGGCTCTGCCGCTGAGGTCGCCTGACGGACATGGAGCGCCGAGAGCGCCTGCAGCGCCTCAATCGACTGGCGCGTCTCGAGCGGCGTGAGCAGCAGCGACTCGCGCGCGAGCAGCTTGTCGACGGTGGCATGGAGGGTATGGTGCGCACTCTCCTGCATCGCCCGGTCCATCCAGCCAAGGCTCTCGTCCCACTGGCCGAGCCGGCTGCACTGCGTGGCGAGTCGCGTGGCCAGGGATCTGCGCAGCACGGGATCTGAAGACGCGTCAAACAGCTTTTCGCAAGCACTGGCCGCGCGCGTCAGCGCCACCGGGGAGCCCATTTTCTCGCGGATATGCGCGAGCCACAGTTCCAGCGAGACGGCCGTTGGGTCGAGGGGCGTGCCAGGCTGCGCAAAGTCGGGGACAGACATGTGGCGCTTTTCAGCCAGGTCAACAGCGCTCGCAAGGAACGTCTCCGCCATGGCCAGGCCGTGGTGGTCGACCGCGTCAGGCACGCGTTGCGAAGATCCGTCGCCGAAGAAAATACCAGGAGCAATCCCGCCACCCCAGTGCTCGGCCATCCATGCCGCTCGCACAATGTGCCGGCCAAAGATGCCGAGGCGCGGGTCTGTATGCCGAATGTGCAGCAGGGCGTCAGGCCGGTCGTCCGCGGCAAAGTCGAAGCTATCCATGCCCTCCAGACTGGGCGCCACATGTGGCGCTGCCTGCGGCATAGATACTCGCTCCACGTACTGGTGCATCCCCTCCCACGACGCCAACGTGACGCCACCCACGACCAGGGCGGAGCCTAGCAGGATTCGCGTGATGCGCGATGCAAGAGCAATCGTTTCGATGACGGGGTCGCTGAGAACTCGCGCCGCGTAGGAGAACGTCGAGTTGCTCTGTGTGCTGTAGGCGCGGAGGCGCAGCTGGGGCCGCAAAGGCCGGCCGGCGCGAATGGCCGTGCGCCAGGCCATGGTGTGCACTGGGCGAGGCGGCGTGGCTGCTAGATCGGGCTCACGTGGAACCGCCATCTCGCCCGATCTCTCTCTCCCTCATGTCGCTGTTCAAGAAGCTGGACCCGAAAGCGGACCTTGGCACGCCCAGCTCGCTCAAGTCGTCTGTGCAGCGCGGGATTCGCGCGAAGCTTTTGGAGCAATATGCCACGACGCTTGGCGCCGATGATGGCGCTCTGCTGGAGAAGATCTGGCCGAAGAAGGAGCCGATCACCTCGGCGAAGTTCAAGTGCGTATGGCACGACTAACGACAGGCGCGAGCATGTCCAAATCCTGCTGTTGAAGAATATGCCGATCTTTTTCCAGCAGTACGATGGCCCCTATTTCCCCACGCTGCAGCTGCTGCACCAGTACCCTGACCTGCTCCCGGCGATCCGGGTGGACCGCGGTGCGATCAAGTTTCTGCTCTCTGGCGCCAATGTCATGGCGCCAGGTCTCACGTCGGCGGGCGGGCATCTGCCTGACCCGTCGCAGGGCGAGACGCCTCTGGCGAAGGGGACGCCGGTGGCGATCCACGCACAAGGCAAAGAATACGAAGTGGCCATCGGCGTGCTGCTCATCGATACCGAGGAGATCCGCGCGCAGGGCAAGGGCGTAGCTGTGGACAATGTGCACTACCTAGGCGACGACCTGTGGTCGATCTGCTCGAAAGGTGGGCTCTCGTAGATACCCTAGGCGGCCATGCGCAGGCCCAACACGCGCGCCACAATGGCGTATTCTTTGGTCAGCGATTGACACGTACTTTCTGCCGCCTCCTCCATGCGTTTCTGCGTGCTCTTGCCCTCACCATGCCCGGCCTGCAGGTCCACACGCAGGAGGATCGGGTTGGCATTGCTGGCGAGCGTGTGCTGCATCTCGGCGGCCAGCTTGAACGAATGCGCCGGCACAACACGGTCGTCGTGGTCCGCACACGCGAGAACCACCGTCGGGTAGGTCTTGGTTGCGCGCACGGTATGCAGCGGCGAGTACGTCATGTTGTAGTCGAACGCCTTGCTGTCCTCCTGGGGGTTGCCGTAGTCGGCCGTCCAGGCCCTGCCGATCGTCCATAGAGGGAATTTGATCATATCGTGCACGCCGACATCCGCTAGCGCAGCGCCAATACCATGCTCCTCCGTGCACTGATTCACCACGGCGCCGACACCCATGCCGCCATTGCTGCCGCCTGCGATTGTAATGTGGCCCTTCTTGGCGTACTTGTGCTCATGGAGCCAGCGGCAGGCGCCCAGGACGTCGTCAAACACGTTTTGCTTGTGGAACAAGCGGCCTGCGTCGTGCCACTTGTCACCATACTCACCGCCCCCGCGTGCATTCACAAAGGCGAGCACGCCGCGGTACGAAGCGACCCACGTCATCATGGACGGCGAAAACGTAGCTGGGTTAGTCACACAACGTACGAGTAATCGGGATATTGAAGCCGCCGTAGAAGTACACAAGCGCCGGCGCGGATCCATCCAGCGGCAGGTCCTTGGGGTACGTGAGGAACATGGGGATCCGCGTGCCATCCTTGCTCGCAAAGAACGTTTGTGTCGAGACGTAGTCCTCCGCCTTGATACCCGCTACGTGGGTCGTCGAAAACTCGGCCACAGATGCGGGCGGCACCGCGCGGTCGCTCTCAACGCCTTCCCACGACACGCGATCAATGCGGCCAGGGTTCGCAAACGACACCGACGACACGAACGACTCCTTGTGCTCACGACGACCCGTGATCTGGCCAATGGTGCCTACGAGCTCCGGTAGGAGACGCTGGACCTGCACACCGGAAGCCAGATCGTACACCCACAGCTCGTCCTTCACATCGCGCGAGTACACCACGAGCATCTTGTTGTTGTCGATCACCGTCGCGGTGGTCAAAATCGCATTTTTGTCCTCTGGCACCAAGTCGCGGTACTGCGACACCCCGCCTGTCAGCTGGGACACATGCTCCACGGGCTCGCACGCGGACGGATCAATGTCGAAGGCCACAATGCGGTAGTTGGGTGCGTCCTTGTTGGTCAGCATGTAAAAGCGTGGGCCGTCGTTGGCAATGTACTCGAGCATATACTCAAACTTGGACGAGATGGCCTGCCACTTCATCTGGCTCGAAACGCCCTCGTGCAGCGAGGCGATGTAGTAGCGCTGCTTGTTGTCGGTGTCCTTCGAGTTGGACAGGATGCACCATGCGCCGTCGTCCGTGACTTCACAGTGCCACATCGAGCTGCGCGTCACGGGGTCCTTGTCCACGACGAGAATGTCCTCCGACTGGGGGGTGCCCAGGCGGTGGTAGTACAGCTGCGCGTCCTGGTTCGCATCCATCTCCGTGCCCTTGTCCTCGTGCTCCGTCGCAGGGAAGCGCTGGTAGAAAAATCCTTGGTCGTCGTGCGTCCAGGTAATGCCCGAGAACTTGATGTGCTCGAGGACATCGGGCAGTCGGTCATCGCCGCCCTCCGTGCCGGACGAGCATGAGAGCATCGGCGAATCAGTCGAGCGGAGGAAGATCTTGAACCAGTCCGAGCCGCTGCGCGAGATGCCGTACGCGACGTAGCGTCCGGTGTGCGAGAACGAGGTCCACTTGAGCGCGACCGTGCCATCCTCGCTCAGCACATTCGTGTCAAAGAACAACTCGCCGACCGGCTTCTTCGTGGCTGGATCGCACTGCGCAGCGTCGATCTGCGCACGCGTCGCACGGAAAATCTGGCTCTGGGGCGCTAGACCCGCATTGTACGAGTAGTAGTAGCGGCCATCAGGCTTCAGCGACGGCGCACTAGTGCGCTCAAAGTCCCAGTTTTGCTGCAGGCGGCGCAGCAACTCAGTCTTATCGGGGCAGTCAGCCACAAATTTTGCCGTATAGTCGGCCTGTGCGCGCGTCCATGCTGCCGTCTCCGCACTCTGGGAGGGCGGGACCTCGAGCCAATCATACGGTTCGGGCACGGTAACTTGGCCGTGCTGGGCACTCGCGTACGTGGTCGACGCATCGCTGCGGCGCGCAGCCGGGTAGGGAAACGCACTCGGCGTCCAGGTGTGTGCAGAGGCAGTCATGCGCGGTAGTCGGGCAGCAGGAAAGACACGGGTCAATCGCGTTACACGCCCCAGCAACATGCAGGTGGAGAAGCAGCGGCGCCGCAGCGGTGAGCAATGCGTTGCTCCACACAGTCTATGGTCTAAGCAAAGCCTTGGCCGGAGCGCTGCTTGTGGCGCCTGTGGCCCTTGTTGTGCTTTTTCGAGCTGGAGCGCACGTCCTCGGGCGGTACCTGCAATCCGTCGCCCAGGAGGCGGCCCACAGGCGGCATACGCCGCCGGCCCTTGGTGTTCACGCCGACGTTGGCGCCGGCGCCAAAGAACGCTTGGTCCAGGTGCGAGCTCTTGGACGCCTCCGCCGTTACGGGCTGGCGGCGGGGGTCTGAGGGCACTGACTGCTCGTTCATGTGGTGCTCCGGCAGGACTTGGCGCATGCGCTCGCGCTGTGCCGCATTAAACTCGTTCGCATCTACGCCGGGCGGGGGGTGCGCAAACAGGAGACGGGCATTGATATAGTCTTTGAGTACGTAGCGCGCGGCACGCGACTCATCTGGGTTGCCCTGACCCTGTCGTACGAGTCCACGGGCCACCGCATACGCCGTCAGCACCTCAAGACCGGTCGGCTCGCCGCTTCCGCCTTCTTCGCGGCTGAGCGTCGGGAGTGGCATGTTGTAGGTGCGCATCAGAATGTCCTTGGGAATTCTCTGAGCGACCAGCTCGGCTGGTGCCGTGTACTCGCGCATCTGGTCGATCGGCAGAATGCCATCGCACACGAGATCTGCAGCCGACGTCGAGAACTGCGGAAACACCAGACCGGGACAATCGCAAATGATCGTCGTGGGGCTCAAATGGATCGTCTGGAAGTGCTTGGTTTTGCCGGGCGTCGCACTCACAGACACCTTCTTCTCGCCAAGCAGGGCGTTGATCGTCGACGACTTACCAACGTTCGGGTAGCCGACAAAGCCGACCGTGAGCTTCTCCGGCGCGCCCTGATTCGGCCGCGCCGGATCGCCGCGGCGAAAGAGAGACAGGTCCGGCGCACACTGTAAGAACAGCTCCTCGAGCTCCAGCACATTCAGAATGCGCCATGGGTCATCGTGAAGCACCAGGGTATCGCGCATTGTGTCTGCTGCGTTGTCGGGCAGGTCTTTCTGCTCATGCGACGTGTCGTCCGCCTCGTGTTCGTCTTGCTGTCGCGCAGCCTCAAACTGCGCCTCGCGCTGTGCCTTGGCCTGCTGCCGCGCCGCTTCGTCGGCGGCACTGAAGAAGGCAAATGTGACATTCTGGCGCGCAAAATACTCGGCCCAGGCTTTCCGCTGCCCCTCGTCGAGCAGATCCGCCTTGTTGATCAGCAGCAGTGTCTTGCGCGGGCCCACATACGATGTGCGGTCTTCTACCGCGGCCATATCAACTGGATTGGCGGGCATGCTCTGCACGTACTTTTCCAGGTCCTCACAGCGGAAGCGCAGCGGGTTACGGGCGTCCACAATCTGCACGAGGAGCTGGCTGCGCTCAATCACGCGCCACAGCTGGCGCCACACCTCTAGGTTGCGCTCGAACGGCGTGAGCACGAGGCCGGCCCCTTCTTGCAATTCCGCGAGACCGCGGCGCCAGTCGAGAAAGCTGTCTTTTTCCGCTCGCTCTAGCTGAGCTGGCGTCGTGTTGGCATCCCATACAGGGCGGCGCGGCACGCGCAGGCGATCCTTGTTCTCGCGATGGTTCCGCAGCACCTCTTCCTCCTGCTGCGGCGTCAGCAGATAAGGGTTGTGGCGCGTGCGCGACGTGTTTGGTGCAGAAATGACCTGAATATTGCGTCGCTCAGCGGTAAAGTCCGCATCAGCCATTTGCGCCGTGTTGAGAAACTCTTCCAAGTCGCCCTCATGTGTCACGGACTGCAGCTTAGTCCACTTGGGTTGGCCCACATGCGTATCGGTGGTGTGGAATTCGGACTGATTCCGGTTCCTGGACTCTTTGGCGCGGCGATTGATAATTGCATGGCCCAATCCCACGCGGTTCTTTGACTGAGGGAGCGGCATACTCGCCGAACACGCTCCCACGCAAGGCTTCGTTGCTGGCCAGCCTTGCCACTTGCCGCTTTTTCCTCGCCGTCGAATCACGTGTGGAGGGCCAAAATTTGGCGAGCCACGCCGGCTCTCCTCGCTGCTGGGCTGTCGTGCACTTGATGGGCAGCGACAATCAGGCGCATGTGCGCCTACTAACGCTTCTCAATGTTCATGCTGCACACCCGCGCGCCGAAGATGATTTGGATACCACGTCGGCGAAACGTAAGCGCGTTTCTTCCGTTGCCCCTCGCGCTGCTCCTCCGACGCAGCGGCACAGGCCGACTGAAGCGCCGGCCACCGAGGTGCCAACCCAGAGCGAGCAAACTGAAGTTCTTGTGGCGGACGAAGATGATGAAGACGGGTCGGAGGACGTCGATGCATTTCGGTGGCATTTTGGCGCCGAGTCGGAGGCACTTGCAGCCGTCGATCCTGACGCACCGCGATGGTCTTCCCCCGTGCATGTACCAGCGCTGGGCGGTGCGACCGTGGCACACATGGAGAAAAAGCATGAGGGAGCGACGCGACCTGTGTCGCGCCCTCATGCGCGCATCTGGAGCGCGTTCCAGACGCAGCGCAAGCGGGGCCTCGGGCAGCGGCAGGCTGAGCTGTTGCCGCTGTTGGGACAGTATATGGATGTATGGCACTCGCGCGTTCCCATGGACGAACACGATGATCTGCGCCAGATCACGGCGATGCATGCGCTCAGTCATGTCGCCAAGACGAGGCAGCGCGTCCTGAAGGACAATGAAAAGCTGGCGAAAGCGGCTGCTGCGCAGACCGAGGTCGATACGGACGCCGATGAGGACGCCGAGCTGCCCGAGCTGCGTGACCAGGGATTCACGCGGCCCAAGGTGCTACTGCTTGCGCCATTTCGGCACACGGCCAAGTTGTGGGTCGAGTATCTGATAGCCCTCTCGGCGTGCGAACAGGTCGAGCAGAAGTCACGGTTCTTCGGTGAATTTTCGCTGCCGCCCGGCACGATCGACAAGCTGGCCGACCCCGCGATGGCAAGTCGGTATCCTGAGGACCACAGGCGCACTTTCCAGGGTAACATTGACGACAACTTCAAGCTGGGCGTTAAGCTGACGCGCAAAACTCTGAAGCTATACAGCCCCTTTTTCGACAGTGATATTATTGTGGCGAGTCCCTTGGGCCTGCGCCTACTCATTGAGAAGGAGAAAAATGCCGATTACCTGTCATCCATCGAGGTCCTGCTGGTCGACCAAGGCGACGTTATGCTCATGCAGAATTGGGACCATGTCAAGTTTGTCGTCGAGCGGCTAAATGCGATCCCCAAGGAGGCAAACCATACCGACTTTTCGCGCGTCAAGCCCTGGTACTTGGATGGGCACGCACCGATGCTGCGCCAGTCGGTGCTGTTTACCGCCTTTGACGCTCCTGAATTCCGGCACCTATTCCACACGTTCCGCAATGCCGGCGGCCGCATCCGCACCTCGTCTCTGCCCGCAGATCATGTGCCTGCCATGTCGCTCGTCACGCCGGGCGTGCGCCAGACATACTACAAGTTTGACTGCTCGAACGCTCAGGGCGAGGCTGACCAGCGGCTGCAGGCCTTTCAGCAGAAGATTTGGCCGCTTCTCCGAAAGTCGGCGGTAAGCGCGACGCACACCATGATTGTGATTCCGTCGTACTTTGACTTTGTACGGGTCGAAGACCTCTTCCGACGCATGGACCCGGCTGTATCGTACACGACGCTAAGCGAGTACTCGACGAACCGCGACATTTCTCGAGCGCGTGAGGCATTCTTTACCGGCAAGAAGAGCTTTCTGCTCATCACCGAGCGCTTTCACTTCTATCGGCGCTATCTGATCCGCGGCGCTGCGACCATCGTGTTCTATGCGCTGCCCGAGCATGCAACGTACTATGCAGAGCTCATCCATGCACCATTGTCGTCGCGCGACGCATCCGCCGCCCCCATTGATGCGGCCGATCTGCAGGTGTTTGTGCTCTATGGCAAGTACGACCTGCTGCGCCTCGAGCGCATTGCCGGCTCATCCCAGGCTCGGAGCATGGTGACAGACGGCCGCCCCGTGTGGCGCTTCGTGTAGAGGGTATCTTAGACTAGGGCCGACATACTATGGCGCACATTCGGCGCTACGGCGCCGGGCCACAGCGCGAGGAGCGGTCGAGCCAACTCAGCAGCGCCACCCCATGCATGCATGTGCTCTAGCTCGACCTGCACGAGCGAGAGGAGATCCTCGGCGAGCGCTTCGTACGCACCGCTCTCGGTGGCACTCCACGGCAGGGCATGCGCACCCACATAGTACACGGCCCAGCGCAGCAAGTTCCCGGCTAAGCCACTCAGGACGGCGGCGATCCGCTGGCGCGCCAAAGGCACATCGGGATGCATGGGCGCACCCGCGATCGTTGGTGGCGTGCGGAGCACGCTGCTGAGCGCCTGAACATGGCTGGCAAAGACGTTCATGTACGCCTGAATTAGCGACTGGAAGCGCTGCTGCTGCGGGTCCAGCAGATATGACACCTGCTCGCACAGGCCCAGCACTGCTTGCGTCTCTTCGGCGCTGAAAGGGTCATATGCACCCATTTCGGCCAGTGTCATGAGGCGTGGCACCACAGAACTTGATACCAGGGTGGCTAGTGCCTCATCGTCACCGCCCCGCGCCGCTGCTGCACGATCCACATAGGCAGAGAGGCCAGCCTCCCAGGCGAACCCATCGAGTCCACTCGGTGCGTTTTTGAGGACCACAGCCTGCGGTTCTGTCGTCATGCACCAGCCGGGATCCCAGAGGGACAACTCATAACGTGCCCAAAAGTCCCATGCATTGGCCAGGGCCAGGCCGCCCCAGGCCAGGTCGTACTCTTTAGGAAAGCGCGAGCGCCACTCGTCAAATCGTTGTACCAGGGCGCCAGGGGTATTGGCTGCCGGGTCTTGAAACTCGGGAGCTTGAACATCCGCCATGATATGGGCGTGCTGGGTATACAGCTCCTCTCTGGCCGCGGCAAACGATCCCTGCTCTTCTGCACCGAGCCACTGCTCACTCTTGTCGGCCGGAACGGAAACACCGGCGCGCGCTTGCCGTACAGGGCTATTCCATGCACCGTCGGCGTCGACCAAGCGCAGACGCCGTTCGGCGTCTGTACGGGGAACCCAGAGCGAAGTGGGCGAAACGCCATAGACAAGTGCAATATCATCTTCCAGGGCCTGCATGCGTGCACGTTGGCGGGTCACCGTACGGTCTGTGAGAAGTGCCATGGCATTGTGTTCCAGCGTTTCCAGAAGCGGCATTTTGGCATCGAGAAATGCCGCGACCGTTTCGATAAAGCGGTCCAACTCCGTGAACCATGCACAGCGGCTCTCCAAGTCCTCTGCCTCAGATCTGAGGGCGGCCTCTTCTTCTTCGAGTGCCTGAAGCGACGTTTGTGCGTCCTGAGCCAACTTCGCATGCTCCGAGGCCTCGCGGTCGAGTTCGGCCATCCGCGCCTCTAGACGCGCCAAGCAGGAGGTGGGCGTAGGCAGAGCAGATACGCGCGGTACAGTAGCAGGCACATGTGCTTCTCGGAGCTCAGCCTCGGCGTCCGGCCGACTCGGCCGCGCCCCGCCGTCCATGCGACTCAGCTGAGCACGTTCCCATGCGTCCTGGGCCTCCCTTTCCTCGTCCATATTCTCTTGATCTGCATCAGCCTGTGCAGGTAGTGCATCGACCCGCATCTCAAAGGCATCCTCGTCGTAGATATGGGTCGACGCGGAGGTCGGTCCAGCGGCTGACCTGGCAGATGTTGTTCGTGGCTTGCGTACGACAATCGCGATATCGTCCTCGTCGTCGGTATCCCTAGCGTCAGGACCCTCCACCGAGGCAATAAGGCTCTTCATATGGCGTCGTCGCTCCATTTTCTTCTTACGATCTGCCTGCCGGCCTAGCGGGATGCGTTCAGTGGCGCCCGTAAATTCGGCAAACTCATCTTCGCCACTGCCTACCTCATCTTCTTCACGAAGGAGACGTGACTCTGGATGCGGCTCATCTTCGAATGCATCCAGGCGCTCTAGGGCCTGACTGGGCATGGGGCGCGGCGCATCCAGAGGAATAAAGTCGTCCGATTCTTGTACGTGGAGCTGTTGTGCGGCGTCACGCCGCATCTGATCGCGCTTACGCTTTGCAGACATGACTACATCCGGTCCAGCAATCGCACTATGGTTGCTTTGATCACCATAGCGCTGATGCAACTGCTCGCGCCACGAGCGATCGGACGCCATCGCTCTGCCCCCACCAATGTCTGGCGGTGGAGCTTGCCTCCTCCACCTGTCAAGGTCGCGGATTCCCACGTGACGACCTCCACATTATACCCTGTAGGGTAGACTGCGAGTATTATCCACATGCATAATGCCTGCATGACGTGCCAGTCAGAATTGCCAATCGGTCAAAGGGGGCGTGCAAATGCCACGGTCGCATGCCAGGACCCAATATGTGCAGCTATTACCTAGATGCGCGTAGCGCACCACCTTTCTCTTCCTCGTCCCGGGGGAACGCTCTCTCTTCAACCATGGTTCGAGGATTCACAAGTCCGCTGAGCGGCAAGTGCGTATATTGTCATTGTGCAAACTAACTGTCGCAGGCCAGGTATTGGCATGATTCTTGCCATTTGTGCCACCTTCCTTGCCATTGTGGGCTGGCTCACTGCGTTCATCAGTCAGTGCACAGCGGAGTCGAACAGCTATCTCCACCGTGGTGACCGCCATGTCTGGTTCACCATCTGGGTTGAGCTTTTCCTGATCGTGGCCATTCCCCTTTTCCTTTTTATGGGCATGAAGCGCCTGTTTTTGTCCATCTTTGCCTTCCTGATCATCGGTACGGCCATGTCTGTTCTGGGTGCCGACGTTGGCCTCTACGCAGACGAGGGTAGCCTTGAGGGTATGGGAGCTGGCTACTTGATTCTCGCTTTTGCTAATATCTTGTCTCTCATCTACTTCAGCGCTTTCTACGAGGGTGCCTTCACCGGTCTGGAAGAGAAGGGCGTCTCGTTCAACAACGGCGTCGGCAGCTCGTCCGGCGCGGGTGGTGTCATTGGCACCTTCTCGGGCAGCGGCCTGCGCAACCGCTTTAGCATGGGTAAGGTCAACCCGCTCAAGCGCACCTCGGCTGGTGTGCAGAACCCTTCTTCCGGCAACTTTGGTTTGAACTCAGGTGCTGGTATCAGCTCGGGTATCTCGTCGGGTGTCGGCGCCAGCAGTGGTGTCGCAGGCACTACTGGCTCGGGTATCAACCCTGCCCAGTCAAACATCGGCAACATGGCCTCGCCATCGGATCGCTTTGGCTACGATGGCGCGCCTGATGAAGTGGCCATTGGTGTTGGCGCCGGTGAGGGTGCGACGGGTGTTCCCGCCGGCGTGGACGCTGGCATGCGTGCTCCTGAAGCGACGACGGCGCCCGACATGTCCACTGGCTCGGCTGTGCCACCGGCGGCCCAGGATGCGATGGGCACGTCAAGCTACCCGCCTGTGTACCCTACGGGCGGCTCGAACAACCTGGCTCCTCCGATCATAGGCTCGACCATGGGCTCTGTCCCTGGCGCGGTGCCGGAGGCGACGAACGTGCAGATGGACTCGGGTATGCCGACAATCCAGCGCGCTGAGGCTCTATACACTTACAAGGCGAGCGAGGATGACCCTACGGAAATATCATTCACCAAGGGTGATATTCTGCAGATCGTCGACAGCTCCGGCAAGTGGTGGCAAGCGCAGCGCCCGAATGGCGAGCTGGGCATTGTACCGAGTAACTACCTCCGCATGCTGTAATGATGTCTCCCCTCCTTCCCCGACCCTCTTTTTCTTGCCCTAAGCTACCCTTTCTGGCTAGTATGCTGTCCCTAGGGAATACTGAGCCACCAGGCCCAGTGCCGTGATAGGCGCACCTTCTCTTTGCACACCTATTGGTCACGACATAACTATCTAGTTTGCATAGCCATGGTAGTTATGCAACAAAGGCGAACGGAACGTCGTGTGACTGGTACACGAGTCGAGTCGATGAGCGGTTTCATTGATAAGCATACATCGCAAACTAGTTACATGAGAAATCCATGTACCTCATCAAGAGATGCACCTATCATTTAGTGGTGGTCGTGTTCCTCGCCGATGTGCTCCAGCTGGTACACTAAATAGTTAGTCATTACTTGTACGAGAACGTACCGCTACCGCAGTGAGGGCACCTGTGGTGCTTGATGTCCTTCGTGAGCTTCATCCACATAGTCACATGCGACTCAGCGGGGTAACCAGTGCAGCCAACCACCTGCTCCGAGGCCTGGACAGCGTTAGTCTCCCTGTCACCAAACACGTACCATGCTCTTCACAATAATCGGGCTCTCAATAGTGCCCAGGCGGTCAGCCTGCAGGGGGGTCATGTCGAAGACGTCCACACCCTGGAGACGACCCATCAGCTCGAAGCGCTCAATACCGGTGCTCTGGTCCTCGTCTGAGGCCACAGTGCCGTCTTTGGCACCCTCACCCTGGATCAGAGGCTGCTGGTGCTCCGCGAACCGCAGAGGCGTGGTAGCAATCGCACGGACAGCCGAGCGCTGGGCCACGGCCAGGCGCATAGGAGCGCGGAGCGATTGAGTCAGAGTGCTGCGAAGGAACGACATGGGTCCTTAGTCGGGAGATTCAGGATGGGAGGTGTGCCAGGCGCCCGCCCACGCCGCAAAAACGACGGGCACGTGCCTTGCCCGGTCCTTTGCCGCGTACGGCCGACTTATTTGTAAATGTACCGATCTAACACACTCGCAGCTTAAGTGATTTCGGGCGGGGCGTACTCCACTCGTACCAAAGCTGCTCACGGCCCACCAGGATGGACGACGCTCCACGTACGTCGAGTCCTTTCAATTCTAGAAAGCCTGTACTAGCGCAGGCGTGTGCTCTAATTCTTCTTGTCTCCATATGGGTCCTGGTTTTTTCTAAGGTGGGGCTGTACCCCGTCCCCCTATTCGCATTCCACCCATTGCTTGTATCGCTTGGGCTCTATCTTCTCTTTCAGGGGATGGCCGCCCTGCAAAAAGCGAGGGGCCAAGATGAGAAAGCTCGGGGTCTTCTTCGTCACCAGATTTTGCTGGGAGTGCTGGGCGTGCCCCTCGTGACCGCTGGGGTCTATATTATGTGGCACCTGCACAGCAAGCCAGGTGCCAAGCATTTCATTTCCTGGCACGGTGTCGTCGGCGTGCTCCTTTTGCTGGGATTTTGGGTGCAAGGAATTTTTGGCCTGGCGGCCGTATACGTACCGCGCCTGCTTTTTGGTTCCGAGGCACGGGCCAAAGCTATGTACAAGTATCACAGGTACGTGCCATGGCGGATAACTCATGCGACCAGACTGTTCGGCTATGCACTGGGAACACTCATCCTTTTAGAACTACTTCTAGCCATCTGGGAGGTCCGTTGGGTCCAGACGGCCACCCAACTCCCACACCGAGTCCTTGCCACAGGGCTGGTGTTGGCGCTAGGGTTTGGCGTGTTCCGACATGTGGATGCCGCCAAGCTCGGATGGTAGAATATGCCTTTATCACTCCATGGGTATGATGACGCACAAATAGACATGAAACGTCGTGAAACAGAAGACATCTTAGAAGCCGCGGTATTCAAGCCAAGACTTGACCTCGCGAGCTACGTTGCTTCGCAAGAAGATAGTTTTAGGTCCTGCCTGCTTGGAGATACGCATGAGCATACGCGCATACGCATTGGCGGGATCGAATGGATCACCCCAGCCAAATTCATCGAACAAGTCACGGCAGAAAGCCTGGGGTTAGTTTCTTCTCACGTACATTCGCATCTCCCTCGACTTTGCGGATCTGCGTGATCCACTGGGATCCGCCATGACGTATGTCTGTATATACAGGCAGGCTCATGCCACCCAGGCCGACGCGCGAGACAAAGTAAGGGTAACGAACCGGGATAGGTTCCGAGGCGGCCGCCGGAGGCTCGGTGGCCTTGGATGTAGCGCTCGTACTCTCCCAACGAGCCGCGGAGAGCATCCCAGTCATACCCTGACGACCGGGGCGAAAGACTCGACTCACATGTGCCATCAAGGACGTTCCCACTGGCGTGCCGCGCATCCTCGCTAGAAGCAAGCCAAGCTGCCGTTTGCCTTCGCGCAGCGTCGAGTCAATCACGTGAGACACCCGCGTAGGTCGACATGCCCAGGCTCGATGGCTACGTACGTCCCTGCCACAATGTCGGAGCGTATTCGTGAGTTGGTTGAAGAGCCTGCTGCCTTTGTGAAGGAGGGCACGCAGTTCTTGAAGCGATGCACGAAGCCTGATCGCAAGGGTACGTGGGCCGACTCTAACCGTGTCACAGAGTTCATTCAAATTTGCCGCGCTGTGTGCACTGGCTTTGTGCTAATGGGCTTCATTGGCTACCTAGTGAAGCTGGTTCACATTCCGATTAACAACATTGTAGGTGATCTGAAACGAAAGAGAGATCTGGTACTAACACAGTTGTGATTCGGTGTCCGTACAGCTTGTGTATGTATTGGCCTACTAACCATGTAGTGGCGGTGCTTAAGTACCATGAAACGGTCTGATATTTCTGTGCCCCGTACCTGCTCTAGCACAGGCGGGGTACACGGACATACTACGAGGACGCAACGCATACCTCATGTAGAGCATAGGTATCCATGCATTTGCACGGCATACGTGGCTAGACAGCCCTAGATGCTGCACAAGGTCGGCAACATCTGCTCTTTGCTCGTCGAAAAGACCGCTACAAAAGAGATATCGTGGAATATGCCGTGTGGACAAAAAGTTCCTTTTGGTGAGGGTAGCAGAGACTACAGATGCAACGCCATAAGAGGATACAACTGCATTGCATGCATCCGTGGTCAGTCAAAGTTGACGTAGGTCAGCGCGCGACTAAAGCTGCTCATAGAGAGCTAGAGTCATGCACTTACGCCTTGATGACGAAGCGGCGGGTGCCAAAGTGAACGTTCTTCTTGTGCTGGCGCTCCGTCGTGGCCTTAGTCTCGTGCTTTGTGAGCTTGCGGCGCAGAGCACGGGTCTTCTTGGCACGCAGGTCCAGGGGCTGGAACTTCTTGCCCTTGTAGAGCTCACGCAGGTTAGCACGCTGCTTGAGGTTGATCACCGTCAGGACACGGGCAATGTTCTTGCGAACCGTGTTGCTGTCACGTTAGTCCCCTGTTATGACACGTACATGCGAGCCAGCTTGCTGGACGCACCACCGGCCACCTTCTGGACACGGAGCTGGAGCAGCTCCTTGCGGAGCTCCTCGACCTGGTTCAGCAGGTCCGTCTTGGACTTGTTCTGGAGTTCGTGAGTGCGGACCTTGGCCTATCGTGTTAGCGTATCTCTCACGACTGCAGCGGAGCAGCGACATAATACAGAATGAGCAAGTGTATATCCCTCACGCTGCCTGTCGTGCCCCGGCCGCGGTGCCACGTACCATGACGACGACACTCGAGAAGAGGGTGGTGGGTGAGGACCCGCCGCCGCCACAAAGACGCTCCTTCTAACACACACGTGACTCGTCAAAACTAGCATTATACACGTGACTACATAATGATGTGGAGGTTATGGGCCGATGAGAGTGGGTCAGTGCGCTGGCCCACAGCGGCGTGCAAGCGGAGAGCGCTGGGGCGTGTGCAGGCAACGGCGCCCGGGGGGGACGTACTTGGGCAAGTCGGCCGTGTGAATGTCGGAGTACCGACAAAAGTCTCTTCCACGCACTGACACAGAAGGGACAGGGTTTTGCGCTTGCTGGTACTTGACCTGTTCCGCCATGAGCGCATTCCACTGAGTGAGAATGCGCATTCTCTCGGCAGACGCAGATGACACCACTTGTGTGCGTAGTTGTGTTGTAGATGACTCCTTGAGGGACAACCAAGCACTGACTTCTTGTGCCTGGCGCTTCTTTCGCTGGGCGAGCTGCTGGGCGCGTCCCGGCGCCAGTTCGAACGGTGGCGGTTGCAGTTGCGGCGAGGGCGGAATAGGCGGCAGTGTGTGAGCCATCTTGTGCGAAGAGAGCCGGACGCCCGTGATAGGCGCACTCTCTTCCCACTCGCGTCCGTCCATGGGGGGTGTGGGCGGCGTAACGACCAGCTCAAACGTGCTGTTCTCCGTCGCAATTACACAGTGCTGAGTGCCTTGCATATTCGTGGCGAACGATATTTCACCATTGTCGTGGAGAGCGTGGGTCTCTGTCGCCTCGCGACTCCGGCGCCGCTGCGCCTGCAGCCGCAGACTCCGGAGAATCGAAATGCGAGGTCGCTTCGGCGCGTCTTTTACCGGCGCACGGTGCTCCAGCCGAGAGGAGTGCCCGAGTGCATCAAAAAGGCGCTGCGCTGCACGGATGCGGTCCTCGGAGCGCCACGGTCCATGCGAGCCCGGCGCAGCAGAGGAGCAGTTTGCCAGGGCGAGCCCGTCGTTTTGAAGTAGGGTCAGGTGCGACTCACCCGCGCGCACAGGCGTGCTGTGACGCAGCCATGGTCGTTTCTGGTCACGCGTAATGGCGAGACTGGGCCGTTGGGGCAGGTGCACAGGAGTCCTATCTGTGCGTGCTTCCTTGGCGATCACCGAGCGCTGCGACTCGGGCCTACGCCTGCGCTGTGTGCCATGATCATCGCTGTCACTATCCGAGCTCGACGCCGACTCTGACTCGGAACTCTCGGCAGCCTCGTCAGGGATGGGGCACAGCGGCATGCGGAGTGCCTGGGGCATCGTCGCTGCAGGCCAGCGCTTGGTGCGCGGCAGGTCGGGAGTCGTGTCGGATAATAGGGCCATCATACTTCTTCATATAATCTAGGGTGAAAGGGAGGGGCAGGGGAGGGGTAAAGAGGGGAGAGGATAAAAACGATGGTAGGGGAGAGGCCAAGGGTCCAGCCCGGTGGCAGTGTGCTTGCGATGGGGAAGTAGCGCCAGGCTACCGAGGGGAGGGGAGGGGTCGGGGGAAGACGTGTGCCAGGATCCTCCGGGAATGCGTGCCGCTGGCTATATATACGGCGCAGCGTCTTGTGCGTACCGAACGAGCCTGGGTGGATGTTGCCCGTGCGCCCTGCGTGTGTAGAGTGTGCGAGGCCACGCGACTTCGGCCGATGGTTGGTGTGCTTTGCGTCAGCCTTACCCGAGCCCTGGGTTCAGGGGCACGTCTCGGCCGGCTAGGCGTTGTCGGTGACGAGACGGCTGTCAAGCGAACACGAGCCGCAACTCTGCGCCCGGTCTGCACAAGAGCTGGCGCTGCTTGCTGTGAAACACTAAGATGCGGAACATCAAGTGTACGAGACAGAGAATGAGCTAATGCTTCAGGTGTGGTTGTGGGCGATGGTGCCGTCGGCAAAACTTGCCTGCTGATTTCCTATACCACGAATGCATTTCCTGTGCGTATGGACGCTCGGACTGACATCCAGAGTGAATATGTTCCTACGGTCTTCGATAACTATACGGCCAATGTCATGGTCGATGGCCGGCCTGTGAATCTTGGTACGTGATGCCTTCTAATGGTGCAGGCCTTTGGGATACCGCTGGCCAAGAGGACTACGACCGCCTACGTCCCCTGTCGTACCCCCAGACGGATGTGTTTCTCATATGCTTCTCCATCGTAAGCCCCTCCAGCTTTGAAAATGCCAAGACCAAGTGGTGGCCGGAGGTGTCGCACCACGCCCCCGATACCCCCATTATTCTTGTGGGCACCAAGCTGGATCTGCGGGAAGACCCTGAAATGAACGCTCGGCTGCGCGACCGCCGCATGGCGCCGATTTCGTACTCCCAGGGGGTCCAAATGGCGAAGGAGATTCGCGCACTGCGGTACCTGGAATGCTCTGCCCTCACACAAAAGGGCCTTAAAAGCGTGTTTGACGAAGCTATTCGGGGCGTGCTCTCGCCCCAGCCGGTCAAGCGACGGAAAGCGAACAACTGTCTTGTATTGTAATCGCATCTGTTGCACGGCGGGCCATGTCTCTGCCCGGCGCAGCCGGCCTCCCTGCCTCTACCTCCAGGCTCCCCCACCTCACAGCCTCTCATGTCCATAGATGAAAATGGTTGATGTGTATGTGCTACACAATAATCAGGTCGCCCTGGCACGACGAGCAAAAGAGTAGGGCGTCCTGCGAGAACTGGTGCGAGTGCGTCCGTGCCATCTCGACCTGGTCCTGCACAGTGCTCGCGACGCGGTGCTCGTCCTGCACAATCGATAACGTACTCGTCGGCGGCGCGGGCCCAGCAACCTCCTCCGCATCACTAGACATGCGGGCCCGCAGCATCTGCAGGCTCGCCTGCCGGTGGTGCGCCTGTGATGGCGTCAGCGCCGCATCCCGCCTCATACGCGGTTTTTCCGACGGCTGCCGCCGCGGCAAAAAATCCCCTGTCTCCGCCTCAGCGAGCGACATGCGCGAGGACGAGGACGTTGTCGCACTCCGCTTGTGCGCACGCAAAAGTGCCGATACCCGTCGCTCCTGCAGCGCGTGTGGCGCAGGCGCCGCGTCAGCCGACGGCGTCATGGCGTCTAACGCCGCACGGTGCTCCGCCTGCAGCGCCTGCAGCGCCTCGCGGTGCTCACGCTGCAGCTTGGTCATGCGGTCCGCATTGGTGCGCTCGGAGGCGAGCCGCTGCTCCCGCGCCGCAGCGAGCTCGTCGCGGCACTGTGCCAGCTCGCTACGCTGCGTATCCAGCTGTGCTTCCAGTGCCTCCTTGGCGCCGGCGAGTGCCTTGCACTCGGTCCGCAGGGCCTCGAGCTGTGCGCGCGCCTCGGCCAGATCTGCCGCAAGACGCTCGACCTCTGGACCCGCGGACGCGTCCGCATCGATGGCGGCCGCCGGTGATGCCTCCGGCTCCGGCGCTCGCTGGACCTCGACATCTGCCGCCGTGTCAGGCACGGTAGGCACCTCCGTCGCCTCGACAGGGCCTTCACGCTGCTCCAACGCAGGTGCATGATCCTGCTGCGGCACAGGCGGCGCCTCGAGGGCAAATGCATCGGGTGGCACGGATTCCGCAGCGGAAGACGACGCGGCCCCTGTCCATGGCTCTGTGCCATCCGAGGCAAACAGGTCATCCACGGGCAGCGCCTGCTCAGAGGCCACCGGGGCCGCTGGCGTCTCTGGCTCGTAGGAGGCGGGCGCCTCCGCCTCGTGGTCCTCCTTCTCAGCACGCGACTCGTCGGACTCGTGCTCGGGAATTGGCTCGAGCGTTCGGCTATCGCCCAGATCGTCCACGGGACCAGACATGGTCTCGAGCATTTGCTCGGGGTCAAACGTGTTGGTGCCTGCTTTGGCTAGGTCGCTGCCATAGGGCGGGTAGAACTCCGTCTCTTCCAGCGGAGCCGACTCGGCCTGCGCGGCATACGCAGGATCCTCTTCGTACCCCCAAGTATTGTGGCCGTAGTATGCCTCGTCGTGGCCATAATACGCCTCGTCGTGGCCATAATACGCCTCGTCGTGGCCATAATACGCCTCGTCGTGGCCATAGTACGCCTCATCATGGCCATAATAGGGTGCCTCGCTGCTCTCACCGTGGTACGCGGGGTCACCGTGGGCTGGCACTTCGTACAGCGGCTGGAACCCGTGCACTTCCTGCGCAGGCTCTTGCGACTCCATGGGAAAGAGGGACGCGGCTTCCAGCTGCGACGTATCTGCTCCCCGCTCCTCGTCCATACTCGCCTCCATCGTGGCTGCATAGTTGCTAGTGTCCGTTGGCCGCTGGGGACTAGGTGCGAATAGGTGCTCCATAAATCGCGTGGGCGGTGCTCGCGGGGGCTCCGCGAAGAGGTCGGACGTCGGTGCCTGGGCGTATGTGTCCTTCTCGGGACCCGAGTAGAGTGCATCTGCCGGCTCGTCCGTCGCTGCAGGCGCAAACAGATCCGTCACAGGCGCCGCCTCTGGCTCGTGCGCCGGTTCCTTGTCACGGTCGCCTGCTGGCGCGAGGAAGGCGTCATAGTCAGTTGTCACCGCATTGTGCGGCCCCTGGGACCACAACTCGGACGCGAAAGTAGCACTCTCGGTGCTGGTGGGCGCCGCCGGTGGCTCTGTCGTGGCAGGCGCCGCTGGCGGCGGCTCCGGGGTCGCAGGCGCTGGCTCTGCGGGCGTATGCGTCTCTGAGACAGTGGGTGCCGGTTCAGGGGCGGCGGGCGTACCACCCCCCTCGAGGATGCGCGACTCGCGCTTCAAGCGCTGCGCCTCGCGGTGCCTGCGCAGCTGCTTGCGCGCACGCTCCGCCTTCGCAGCACGGTCGTCCATGGGGGGCCTGGGTGGCCGCGCGCGCGTGAGGATTTGTCCACGTGACACTAGCGACCGCCGGCGAGCGGTGCGGCGTCGAGACGAGAAGATCTTGTCGCCTCTGATGCAGCGGGCGGCGGTGCGGCTGGCCGCGCCGGGCTGGCGCCATGCGCGCTCCGCCGTCACGAGGCGTGCGTGGGCTGGACAAAGAGCCCCGTACAGTGCCGTTGCGATTCCCGAGGCGCCTGTGCTAAGCCGACGGCCCCCGAGTGAGACGCCGACGGAGTCGCTCGCGCCAGGGCCCGCAGCGCGCCTTGTGCATATGCTCAACAGTGCGCAGGCCATAGCTCCTGATATGCTATGGGAGCTCTACTGCCAGGCCCTCGATGAGCGCCCCTACGTGTGTGCAGATGGCTCGGTGCGGCACCCTCAGCGCCTCTCGCCGGCCGACCACCAGCGCGTCCTCCAGGCGCTGGTGCCGCCCCGCCGCACGTACGTGGTGTACCTGCAGACGCGTGACCGGGTGCGCAAGGTGCGTGACGACGCGCACCTCGATGAGCAGGTGCTCGACGCGCTCCCGGCGGACGCGCGTGTGATTGACTTGTCGACGCCGCAGGCCCTGGCGCCTCCGCCGCCGGTGCGCGGCATGGGCGGGCGCGTGGCCCAGACGCTGACGACGCGCGTACGCACTGTGCTTGCGCAGATCCCGATGGAGCATCGTACGACGGGTGCGTACAATCGCGTGCTGGCGGTGCTCGCGCTGGGCGGGCGCTATAAAAACATGCGCCTTCTGTGGGACGATATGGTCGCTGCACGCTCGGCGGGGCATGCACAGGCCGCGCCGAACCAGGCGACATGCCACCACATGATCATGGGTCTCGTGCGCAACTACGAGCAAAAGTTGACGCGCTACAAGAAAAAGTACCGGCGTGAGCTGCTTGCGCCGGCGCACCAGCGCCACAAGGTCAAGCACCGGCTCGAGGCCGCCGAGCACGTCCAGGCATCGGCGGACCTGGCGGCGAGCACGGTCAGCATGCTCCTCGTCGACATCTATGTGCAGGGCACCGTCCCGCGAGTGCTGACGCTGGACCTGGCGGCGCGCCTTTTGCGGGCGACGGGCAAGCTGCCGGAGCTGCTCAACCTGCTGCGCTCTGGCTTCGGCATTGACCTCGAGAATCCAGATACGGCGGCGCCCGCGCTGTGTGCGCCGACGACGCATACCCTCAACACGGTGCTGATGGCGCTCGGTGAGCTGGCGCGAGCACCTGACATGGCTGTGGCCTACGAGCAGATGACGCGTGCGCTCCCCGGCGACGAGGACCACCGCGCCGTGCTTCCGAACAGCACGACATTCAAGCTGCTGATCCGCCACGCCATGTCGGTGCCCGACACGCTGCTCGTGTCGAATGCGTCGATCCAGGCGCCGCGCTCGCTCCTCTCGCGCCTCTCGAGCGGCCCACAGAGCACGCCCACGATGGGGATCCGCACGAACGAGCAGCGCGATCAGGAGATGCTCGCGCGCAGCCGCGGCAAGTACCGCGCGCTCGCGCGCGCCTACTTGGACGAGGCCCTCGACATGTATGCGGCGCAGCTTGAGCAGATGGCCGCGCTCCTGGGCGTGCCCCGGCCTCCTGCGCTGCATGCGAGTCTCGACGAGGTGCATGCACGCGCGTGTGCGCGCCGCGCTAGCGAGGGCGACGCGCCGTGGCCGGACGAGGCCGCGCCGACCGACGCACCTGCCTTGGAGCGCCCCGTCTTTTTGCCGCCGCGCGTGCGCCCCAGTGTGCCGCTCCTGCGGCCGCTCCTTGCGGCTGCACAGCAGCAGCGGTCGACCGGGCAGCTCGTGTGGCTGCAGCAGCGCGCGGACCGCGCTGGCGCTTTGCTCGCGGCCGAGCTAGCCATCCTGTCGCGTGCCCAGGCATCGCTGGCCGCCCCGCACGCGGCGCTGCAGCCCACGCTGCGCGCGCATACCGAGTATGTGCAGCCGCTGTGGGAGGGCATCGTAGCGCTCGCCGATGGGCGTGTGCCCAGGACCCTCGACGTGTGGCGCGACGCGGAACGGCAGCGCAACGCGCGGCGCGCGGCTCGTGCGCCCGCGCGACGAAGCCGGCGGTCTGGCCGGTCGGCGCGGAGTAGCGACAAAATTCTATAGCTACGAGAGGGGCAGGCCACATACGTCGCAGTCCGTGCTGCCAGGTGCGTTGAGGAAGGTGCAGTGGGGGCACGCGATGCTGGAGGCGGCGGACGCCTCGGGGCTCGCCTCGTCGGACGGCGCCGGCGCCTCGCTCGGCGTCGGGGGCGCCTGCATCTGTGCCATGGTCACGAGTGTCTGCCAGCCGGGCGACGCGAGCACGCGCTCCAGTGCGTCACGCGCGTCGTGCGTCGTGGCTGCGGCACAGAGGCCCTGCATGTCCTCCGGCGAGAACAGCTCGCTCTTCGCGAGGAAGAGGAGCAAGTGCCAGTCACTGAGCCACCGCGCCAACGCCTCGCGCGCCGACGCATCGGTCACGGCGTGCGGCCACGCGCGCACCTGTGCTAGCACCGCGTCCAGGCTCTGGTCGTGCAGGCCAGGCCGGTTCTCGATCGGGAACGCATGCGAAAGGAAGCGCGGATTGGGATCCGTCGGGAAGCCATGCGTGCACGTCACGAGCAGGTACTCGACGGGGAAGGTGGGCGCGGCGCTCTCTTTCACGTCGATCTTGTACTCGTTCTTGTACCGGAAGAAGACGTCCGGCACGTAGCGCGTGTCGGCGCTGGGCTTGACGCGCACGGTCGTCGGGTGCACGCTCGCCTCGAGCATGTCTGCCTCGACCATGCCCATGGCCTGTCCACTGACCTGGTATGCGGCCACGTCAATCACGCCCTCGGGGTTGCCGGACAGCACACAGGTGACAAACTTGCTGTTGAAGGCGCCTGTGCGGCTCCAGCGGCACGCATTCTTGTGCATCGACTGCCACTGCGCGGCCATCAGCGCCTCCTGCCCGCTCAGGAAGAAGCTCGTAGCGTGGCGCTTGCACGCCACAAGGCCCGCCTGACTCGCGTTCGTGTGGGTGGGATCGGCCGGCTCGAGGTCGGTGAAGAGGAAGCCGACGATCTCGAGGCCACACCACCCAGCGACGCGCTGCACAAGCGCCTCCTCGTCCCACGGCCAGCCGAGCGTCAGGCCGTCCAGGTCGCCGGCCTGCGGCGGCTCGGTAATGGCCTCGACGACCGCTTTGATGCCCATCGGCACGTCGGGGTACGGCTCATAGTGTCCCAGCAGGAAACCGCACCGCTGCGTCGCCGTCTTGCGCCAGATATCCAGCAGGCCCTCGATCAGCGCCGGATGCGCGAACTCGACATGGTCGACCATGCGGTATGGCTGCCGCTGCAGCGTGATCGCCGAGGGCTGGCACTTGGTGCAGATGCCTGCAGGCCACGGCGCATGCTGCCCGGACGGGCAGGGCGTCAGTACACGGTATGTCTCCTCGTCGAGCGGCGGCACGTAGGCAGACGTGGACGCAGATGTGTCGACGCCAATGTTTTGCTGGCGCAGGTACGCGTGGAACGATAGATGCTTGATGCCATGCTCGGTGTGGTACGCCACATCGTACGGCTCGAGCGGCATGCAGTAGTCGCACATGCCTTTCTCGCCGTGGCGACAGAACTGCGCGTCGCGTGCACGGGCAATCAGGCCCCGCTCTCGCGACCAGTATACATCGATCGGATGCTCCTGGACGGACGCGCCGGGCGCTGCCGTGGGTGGCGCATCGCTCGTCGCCGCGGGCGCCGCGGCCGCCTCGTACTCGGCGAACAGCATGTGCCCATGCCTGCGTCAGCGTGCCACACGTACTTTATGCCCAGGGCCTCGAGCGTGTGTCCTGCGAGCTCGCTGGCCGCGCGGCCCCCGCTCCCCGGCGCATCCGAGAGCGTCAGGCGGCTCGGGTCGGTGTGCAGGGCCTCGGCGATCTGTGCCACGAGGACCGCAGCATCATCGCTGGCCTCGACCTGGAACCGCAGCTGCCCGTCCTTCGACCGCACGCGTACGATCTGCTGTAAGCATGCGCCACGTACCATGCTGGGCACACGAGCCCGCCGTGGTGCGTGTCCTGCGCTTCGATCGCTGACTAATCTACGACACCAGACGCTGCAGCGCCTGGTTGAAGTACGACACATTGTCGAGGTAGAGGTGGTGGCCCGCGTTCGGCACGAGGAACACGCGCGCACCATCGAGCATGCGCTGTGCGGAACGGCCACCCTCCACGTCCATCCAGTCGCGGTCGCCGTAGAAAAAGGCGATGGGCATGCGCAGCGGCGCGAGGCGGTGGAGCATGGGGCGGCGCGCGTACGCGCCGGGGGCGAGCAGATCCGATAGGCAGTGCTCGCTGCTTGAGCGCCCCAAAAAGATGCCGTGGCAGTATGCATGCAGTGCGTGCATTTCGTGCTCGTCGAGCGCGCCGAACCGGCGGCGTGTGTACGAGCCCATGAGCATAGGCCCCAGCCCCATGCTCAAGCGCAGGAGGCTAAAGGGGCTCACGTTGTGATCCCACAAGTAGCTGAGCACACGTATGAACAGCGGACTGAAGCGCGCAGGTGCCTGGCGCGCCTCAGGAGGGCCCTTCGTAAGGGACCCCTCCGGGATGCCAGCCGGCGAGACCAGTACGAGACGCGATACACGTTCGGGGTAGCGCAGCGCATAGGCCATCGACAAGTAGCCACCGAGGCTGTGGCCCACGAGAACCATGCGCTCCAGCTGCATTTTGGCGCGCCACTGCTCGAGCGACGCGACAAAAAAGTGCTCAGACGCCTCGGCGCGCGCGTCGGAGCGTGGCGCATGGGGCATCCGGTACGGCGGACGCGCCGAGCAGCCCATACCGAGCCAGTCGAGCGCAAACACGCGTGTGTGCGGCAGGCTGGCAATCGCGCCGATATTTTTAAAGAAGAACGCGCAGCCAGCGCCGTAGCCATGGACAAACACGACGGGCACTTCGTCCGGCGGCCGCTTTCCCGCCTCGGTGGGCGTGCCGATCTCGAGCGTGTGCACGTACCGCGCCGGGCGCGCACCAAACCGCCGGAAGCGGCGCCGCATCTGCGGATCCTCGCCGAGGTCGACGGCGCGCACGCAGCCAATCTTGCCATCGGCCGCGGCTTGCGTGGCTACTGTGGCGTACTGGTTGCCCACGCGCACCGGTCCGGGGCCTAACTCACCTTGTGCCTGCTGGTAGGCGTCGACAATCGCGTTGGGGCCGTCAGTCTGCAGGCCCCGGGCATTGCCCAACGTGGCCCCGCCAAAATAGCCCGAGGAGCGGAACAGGTGCAGCTCCGCCTCGGCGGTCTGCTGAGGCGACGCGTTCCACCACGCCTTGAGCGACGAAAAAAGAGTGCGCGGGATTGGCCGGATGCTCGATGGCAGGGGCGGCAGTCCTGCATCGTCGAGGATGGGCTCAGACGCCGGCGGCACCTCGGACGTCATGGCGGAGCGGCGACCTTCTGCGGCGCGCGTCGCCGGCGCCGCCTCCACTCTGTCCATGGATCCCATCGCACAGGCGTCGCTGGACCGCGTCCTAGCGGCCGTCGAGGCGGAGCGTGCCTTGTCCGAGGATCTTCGCGAGCATGCGAAGGTGCTAGATCGTGCTCAGCGTAAGGTGTGTGTGCAGCTTGGGCAAGTGCATGCCTTGCCGCTCTCTCAAGTGCCTGCTCATCTCGAGGTCGTGGCTGCGTCCATGCGGGACGTCCGTGAGGCACTTGCGCAGCTGGCGGCGCAGGTGCCCGCTCACGAGTTTTACCGGGTATGTGTATGCTGCTGACGCAGTGGTGCGATACTTGGGCGGGCTCCGTGCGCAGTGCCACGTACGCTGCGGCGCTTGCCTTCTACCTCGGCACGGGCGGCCTCCTGTCGAAAGAGGGCGCGGAGCGCGTGCTAGGGCGTATGTATGAGCCACTGACGCAGTGGACACACTTCCGCCCCACCAGATGCAGCTGACGACTGACGACTACCTGCATGGCCTGATCAGCATGGTCAATGACCTGCCGCGCCTCGCGGTGACGGCGGTGATCGCCGGCGACTATCATACGCCACTGAGCGTCGTGACGCTGGTGAAGCAGGTGCATGCGGCTTTCCAGGTGCTGAACCTGAAAAACGATGCGCTACGCAAGCGCTTCGACTCGCTCAAATACGATGTCAAGCGCGCCGAAGACGTTCTGTACGACATCCACTTGCGGGGCCTGCACAAGCAGGCTGCGAGCGACGATGCCGAGAGACTCGTGCAGTGTGATGGCGCGAGCGACGCCATGCTCGCTCGTTTGTGTGGCATGTAGACACAGTATGTTTACAGTATCGGATCCTAGCGAGCCGAGCAACTACTCGGCAGCGTTCGAGTCGTTCTTCGCCGACTCGTCCATGGAATACGGCACCATGTTGAGCAGGGAGTTGCCGCGTGCCGACAGCGGCATAGACAGGGGGGCGTTTGCATCCATGAAACCGGCCGTCTCCACGCCGTTGCGCGGCATCATTGTGCGGCCGGGCGACGCATGCGGGGGCGCCGACGGCATGCCGAGCCCGGCCCCTGGGTGCATGCGCGCGTCGCCCATCGACGGCGGCGGGAACGAGTACATGCCTGAGCCCCAGTCGTTCGGCAGCGTGGGCTTTGGCAAGCCCTTGAGTGCGGCGCCCGGGCCCATATTCAGCGACGCATCGACGGGGTCCATGCGCGTTCGCACGTCTGCCTGGGACGGGCGCAGAGGCAAAAATGCACCGCCCGAGGTATCGGGCATGCCCATACGGGCCGCCACGTCCGAGCCTGGGAACGGGACGGCCGGCATGGCATTGCGAATCGGCACGCTCGCGCTGCGGTTGCGCATCATATCGGAGCGCGGCACGATATCAATCAAAAAGTCGAACAGGTCGGAGCGCGCAATGGCATTGGCAATGTCCGAGCGCTGAATCGTCCGGCGCTTATTCTCCTCAGCAATCATAAAGGCCCGGCACGTCAGGTCCGCAATAAAGACTGGGTCAGCACACAGCACCTACTTTCACACGCGCGCGAAAACAGAATGGGCGCTTCCGCCGAGATCATCTGCGGTCAGCCAGCGCAACGTACCTTGACTTCGTCGTCGTTCTTCATCACTTTCTTAATACGCGCGAGCGGCAGCGCACTGCTATTACCAGCGGGCGCCGAGCCCAGGTTGAAGAAGTCGATCGGCTTCCCGTCAGAGTCGCAGCCACTTTCGACCAGGTCCATCTGGTGCCGCCAAAATTGGCGCTGGAACTGCCCCGGGTTGCGAGAATACTGCTGGATCAGCGTGCTCAGGCGGCTGCCTGGCGGGACCTGGACATGGTCCGACATCAGTCCCATTCCGTCCATGCCCCCTCCGCCCACCTTGTCCACGTCAGCGGCGGCGCCCTGCATCGGCAGACCATCGCCAGCAGGGCGCATCGCACCCGAATCAGCAGGGTAAAATGACATGTCTCGTTCACGGAGCCAACCTTCCACGGTGCGGCACTGATCGTCCACGCAACGAGGTCGATGACCTCGTGATTGGCCTGCCCGCGTCGCTCTCACACTATTACACCTACTAGGCCATTACAACACCTCCACTGCCACAAACATACGCCGTGCGCTACGGGGCGGGGGGCTCCATCTTGGTCAGGTGAGGCCCGATCAGCTTCGCCATCTCGAAGGAGCTGCGACGTTAGTTCATGCTACGCACTCAATTGCCGACTTTCCAAAGAGGCCAGTGAGCTTCTCGTCGCACAGAATCTGGCGTTAGTCGTACGACACGTACCTGACGCTTGTTGCTATCGTTCTGCAGGTTCTTGTCCTTAATGTACACCCATAGCCGCTTCACAACCTCGTAGCGGGGCATCTCGGAGTCACCACATACCTCGGCCATCTCCGCGGAGAGCTTCATGGGTCGCTTCAACGGACTGTTCTCGCTCGCTACACGCTTCTTCTTCGGCTCGCCCTCCGTGTCGCCGGCTCCGGTACGCTTTTTCGTCTTCTTCTCGTCCTTCGCCTTGGGCTCTGCGCTCTTCTTCGTCTTGGCACTCGGCTTTTTCTTCGACGTGAACTCCTCATAGCACTGCCGAATCACTGCATCAATCGCCTTCTTCTGCGCCGTGAGGTCCAGACCTGCCGGCAGACTGCCCTCCGGCATCGCTGCCATCTCCGTGCGGATCTTCTTGGCAGACACAGAAGACAAGTCAGCATCCTTGAGCACATCAAAGATCCGTGCGCGCAGCGTCGGCAGCATCTCGGCGTCCAGCTCGGTTGCCATGGTGGAGGTCACTAGATCGGGTGCGCCGACCGCTACCACGTGTTCACGAACCATGCGGCTGACACGGTCCCTGCTGGCATGGGCGCCGTCCCTCGTCGCGCGCAGCCCGTCTGCGCCGTCGGCGCAGGTGCATGCGGCAGCGGACATGCTGATGCCGCCCAAGCCACTGCTGCGTGCGCTACTGCGTGCGCACCGCCATTTGCCGCCGGAAATGCGGGCCTTGGGCGATGACTATGTCAAGGCTGAGTTCCGGCGCCACCAGCACATCGACAATCCTCTACACATCGTGGGGTTCTGCAGCCAATGGAAAATGTATCTGGATGCCCTGCTGGCCGATACCAACAGCCCCAGCGGCGCGCGTGGCGCGTACCTAGACCCTAGTCTCCTGGACAAGTTTTCCGACGAGCAGCTCTATCAGCTCTATGAACTCAAGCTCGCGACCGAGGAGGCTTTCGATCCCGCACGTGCGCAGGCGACCATGCCTACTGGCTCCAACGGCGCCTAGGGCCACGCCAGCACGGCCACCGGCGCTATGGTTTGCAGACGCGCGGCGTCCACGACGGTCATTTCCACCTCCTCAAACACTGTGTTTTCCTTTACAACTTGGAAGCCGAGCTGCTCAAATAGGGCGATCGACGGCGCGTTGCTCATAGAAATTCGTGCAAATAGGCAACTAGGATCAAGGGGAAACGGCGGTCCCGCCGCCTGCGTAATGTAATGCAGGAGCATCTGCACCGCCTCGCGTCCAAGACCGCGACGGCGCCATGCATGTTCCGCAATCATCACTTCCATCTCTGCGTACGTGCTTGGTGGTGCATCCTCGTCGTCGCCGTAGTGGGGGGTAAGGAATACATTCACGTCGCCGACCATGGCGCAGGCCGAGAGGAGAGCCGTCGTATCGACGTTGCGCGGTACGTCGTGCGTGAGCGCCATCACAATGAACGTAAGTTCTGTGTGAGCTTCAAAACGCACTATCGTCGTCGTCGCGCCAGCTTTGCTGCATCTCGTATTCCTCGTCGAGCGTCAGCGGCTCTGATGCCGTCTGCGCCTGGAGCACCGGATCCTGCATCCATGCGTGGTACGTCTCGACCTGCGTGAGTAAGCCACACGCACATGTTCCCGCCTGTATAAGAGCTGGATGCGTACCTGTAGGGGACGAGCACGACGCGCTCGCCCCGCAGCACTGTGTGCTCGTTGAGGCGCATCGTCGCACGGAGGCAACACGGACCAGACGCAGCAAGCCCATCGGGTTCGGCGGCACCTACAAGAACGCTATGAGTTACGACGACGGGTTCACGCCCAGACTGCATGTTAGTGTGCGCAATACGTACAGGATATTGCCGCTCGAGGGCAGGTATGACACGTTCCTTGCACCGCTGAGCGTCTTGGCAATCTGCTGCGAGGCCTCGATGCGCCGCACGGTAAGGAGGCCATCGCCGGCCTTATCGAGAGCGCGGGTAATCAGCGCAGCACCCTCGGCCTCACCCTCGGCGCGGATAACCGAGGCCTGGCGCTCCTGCTCGGCCTTTTCAACGACAAACTTGGCACGCTCAGCATCCTGCTGGGCGATCTGCTTCTGCTCGACGGCCTTGGTGAATTCCTGACCGAACGTCAGGTGTGTGATCGAGACATCCTCCAGGACAATGTTAAACTCGCGCGCGCGGTTCAGCAAGTCTTCACGAATGCGCGCGCTAACGACCTCACGCTGGGTGATCAGCTCCGCCGCATCAAACTGCGCGACGGTCGCCTTGAGCACTTCGTTACCGATAGAGGGCAGCACACGCTCGTCGTAGTCGAGGCCCAGCGACTGGTAGATCTTCGGGAGGTGAGCGACGTCAGGGCGCGACAGGACACGCAGGGAGAGGGTGACCATCTGCAGGTCCTTGGAGCCCGTGGTCGTGGAGATCGTGCGGGGCTTGATCCGAACATCGTACAGGATCGCGCGCTGGAGCCACGGGACGAGGAAATGCGTGCCCTCGTTGGTAGCGCGGTCCTTCACACCGGTGAAGCGGTCGAACATGACGGCGCGGTAACCACCAGGGACATCGTACATACTAGCCTGAATGGCCAGAGCACTGACACCCAGGGGCACTGTATGTGAGAGAGAAAGCACATACCTGCAAACCGAGACAGAAAGTTGGCCGCCGTGTTCATCGCAGAGGCTTTCACCCGGTGGCGTCGTAGCGTCGAGCTAGGGCGGCGCGACGGCCGACGCTGGCGGCCAGTCAGCCTCCACAGACCCGCCGGGTGCCGCCAGGGCGGCCGGCTTCCGCCGTCCACGTGCAGCTACAGACACCATGGCGCGGCGGGCGCGCGCGCTAGGCAGATAGAATGTAGCTTCTCTAACTACGCCGTGCACTACGAAGCCGCCATGGGCGTCACCATCCATGGACCGGCGGCTATACCGTGACCGCAGCGCCCTAAGCATAGACGTCCTTACTTCAGCTGCTTCTTGGCCTGCTTGGTAACGAGAGCGCTCTCAGCACCGAAGAAGGTAACAACGCCAGCCGCGATAGCCGCAAGCAGGCGGCGGTCCCAGGTCCTGATCTCGTTGCGGTTCTGGTAGCCAAAGTAACCGGCCGCACCAATGAGAGCCGCGTTGACTAGGGTTAGAATGACGGGCACACATACCAACGCTGAGCGTCGAGAGCCAGTACTTGGGGTTGCTCGAGAAGTCCTTCAGGAGCTGCTTGGCCTTGCCAAGACCAGTCTCGAAGTTCTTCGAGATGCTGCGTGTAAGCGGGGCCTAAGCGCACCTCTTGCCAGCCTGCTTGGCGTGCTCCTCGAACTCGTGGGCCTCCTTCGACACAAAGTCACCCACCTTGTGGGCGGCCGCCTTTGCATCGTCGAGGAGGTGGTCGGCCTGCTCACCAGACTCCCTACCATGTTAGGCCTACAGTACATACTTGGCGAGCTTCTCGATCTCCTTCTGGTTGGGGACGGCGTTCTTGTTCTCAAAAGACATGGTCAGGTCGGGAAAGAATGAGAAGTGGCTCTGCTCAGATCGTGCCGGGTCCGTTTCGCCCGTTCGGGCGGGTATGCAGCCCAATGAGTGCAGGCACTCGGCCTAATCGGGAAGGGCCATCCACTATGCTGACTCAGCACCTCTCGCGACGTGTGACACGCCATTTGGTGGCTCGAGCGTTCGGTATGGCGCTGCGCGGCAAGGAAGACTGGCTGATCGACTTTTTGCGGCGCGAGCGGCAGGCGCAACACGATACGTCGCGCCCGCTGATTGTGGGTTTACAGGGACCCCAGGGTAGTGGTGCGTAGCTCCACGAGGCGCTTATCTCAGGCAAGTCCTATACGTGCGCGCGCGTGGCCGAGCAGCTGGCCAACGATCCGCAGCCGCTGCGCGTCGCTGTGCTGAGTCTTGATGGTTGGTACACCTGACTTATCCAGATCTGTATCTGCCGCATACCGAGATGCGCGCTGTAGCCGAGGCACACCCCCACTTTCCCCTGCTGCAGGGCCGTGGCCAGCCAGGGACGCACGATGTCGCACTTGGCGCGCATCTACTGCAGGCGCTGCGCAGGAATGAGCGTGTATCTGTGCCGGTGTATGACAAGAGCGCACACGGTGGGGAGGGCGATCGTGAGCCGATGCTGCGGGCGCTACCGTATCCTGTCGATGTGGTGCTATTCGAGGGGTGGTGCCTTGGCTTCCAGTCGCGTGCGCGCGACGACCTCGCGCGTGCTCTCGCTGACGCGGGGCCGCACACGTCGTACGCATCGTGCTCCATCGATGAGCTCGCATGGATCAGTGCGGAGCTGCACCGCTGGGAAACTGACTGGTACCCTCTCCTCGATGCGTTTGTGCAGTTCGTGCCCCACGCCGAAGGCGGTGCAAGCCCCTGGTCCCTCGTATACCCTTGGCGTTTGGAGGCGGAGCATGCGATGAAGGCACGCAACGGCGGGCATGGGATGAGCGACGAGCAAGTTTGGGCCTTTGTACAGCGGTATTTGCCGAGCTACGAACTATTCAGCCACGATATGCGGACGGCGCCCGTGTGGCCGGGGCACTGCCTGTGCCTCGTCATCGGGGCAGACCGCCGGGCACAGAGGTGTTTTCCCGGTCTATAAAGGCGCTTACTCGCTCCGGGGGCGCATGAGCACGCGGTAGTTGCGGTGCTGCACGAGCCACTGGTCCTGTGGCGGCAAGTTCTCGTCACCGGGCGTGCGCACGACGCGGAAGTCGCCCTCGACGAACATGAGCGAGCCCTTCGGCACATCGCGCAGGCGGTTCACGGTGGATTCGCCAAACGCAAAAATCGAGTGGAACGACGAGGTAGGAGCAGCGGGCGTGCCGTCCTCATTGGGCGGGCCAGGCATGTCGTTGGTCGCGATCACGTAGCGCAGGTACTCCTTGCCGTTGCGGCTCTCGCGCACCTCTGGCGACGCCACGAGGCGACCAATCAAGGTCACGCGCGAGAGCGCAGCCGATGGCGTCGACGAGAATGACTAGCAGTTAGTCTACAGCGTGAACGTACGCGGGCGTTCAGCACGCGGGGCACAGTACGGAGCGAGGCACGGAACATGGAAACGGGAAGGGTTAACGGACGCGTTGAGTGACGCGGTGTCCGTCGCGTCGTCTCGGCCGAACTACCACAGGTTGGCCCTGGGGGCCCCGCGCCTCGGGTGCTACGGCTAATGCTGTGGCAGCTCAATACGTCCACCGCGCTTCATCCACGCGGCCATGCCGGGGGTGACGCGCACCTGGCACGTGAGGCGGCTTGAGTGTTTTCGGCGCAGTGCATACTCGAGCATATCGTCCTCCTCGTCAGACACATGCGCGTCTCCGTCCAAGATGGCCTCGGCATCCGCGAGGGCCGTGTCCACCTGGCCCTGCGCGAGCGGGTCGGCGTTGGCGTCACATAGGTAGGCATGGCATGTAGCACACTCGAGTTCGCCACCGCACGTCGCTTCAATGCCCGGCAGGTCGTGGCGCTTGGCGACGCTCATGAGCGTCTCGCCTATCTGGCCTTCCACATCGAACCACTGGCCGTCGTGCGAGCGGAAGCGGAGCGTGACCACATCCTCGCTTTTTGGCGCCGCCTCTTCCCGCGGGAGCGGTGCCAAGTGCGCTGGGAATACGACCGGTGGGCCCCATGCGTCCCTATGCGCCTGCTGCTGCAGCGCGTTCATGCCGAGGCGACCGCGCCAACGCGGCCACACCACGAGGCGCTCGCGCAGGTCATGAATATCGTGCCGGGACGACGCTGGCGCAAGAGCCGCTCGTAGAAGCAGGCTGGTGTGAGTTCCAGTTACGTACGGAGCATCGGTCGTGCGCAGGTTCCCATACCAGTCGCCATGGGGGTATACGAGCGCGTTGGCGGCCCACTTGTGCCCACCCACATGGCTGATCGGCAGCACGCGCACACGCTTGGTCGGCGCTTGGCCCTGACTAGCACACCGCTCCGCATACTGATCCAGCTGAGTGCGCAGTGCGTCGATCAGCTCGGTGCCGACGACGCCGCAGCGGCAGTCGCGCATGCCGTGCGTGCACACATAGATGTGCGCCTCTGTGGTTTCTTGGGCATTTTCCCATAGTGTCTCCAGCTGCGCGCGCATTGCCTCGCCACTTGGGAGCGTGCGCAGCGAGATGGGCGTCGGCCACGATACGAATTGGCCGGAAGGCCTGTACGCGTACAGCCAGAACAGCTCGTCTTCGGCAGCCTGGTTCGGCGGTGCACGCATCGCCTTGTCGCGGTGCGCGTCCCAGGGGGGCTGCGCCTCGGGCAAGTCACCATCGCCGGCCGAGAAGCTGATGCCATAGCCGGCGAGGGAGCCACCCGGGCGCGCGCGGCTGCTCAGCTCGGACACGAGTGGGCACACCGACTCGATGTGCGAAGGCCACGTCGTATCGGGCCGCCGGTATTGCACAGGATGCAGCACAAGGTGTGCCTTGTATTCGGGCGCCGTGCCGGGCAGGGGCGATGGGTCGTATGGCGCCACCGGGATCTTGCCACGCGCATCGAACGCCGGCGATGGGTCGTACGGGCGCTGCGCTAGCGGCGCCGAGTAAGCTCGTGATGCACACAGCCTCGAGGGACGCACAAGACGTGCGGACCACACCCGGCGCGGCCACATCGAAAGCCCTGCGCGCATCGAGAAGCGTGGAGGGACTCGGGGGCAGCTGTCCTTTTCTCCTCATGCGCGGCGCACCGAGCCTCTGTCGCGGCGCGCGGCTGCTTGCTGCCCAGGCGGGCTGTGGACGGATGGCGCGAGCTCTGCATGTCTCGGCGAGTGTGCAACAGGACAATGAGCGGCGCACGACGCACTTTGGCTTCCAGACCGTGGACGAGACACTGAAGGAGGGCCTTGTGCATGGCGTGTTCTCGTCGGTGGCCTCTTCGTACGACCTGATGAACGACGCCATGTCGCTCGGCATTCACCGCCTGTGGAAGAACCGGTTCGTGGAGCTGCTCGACCCCCGCGGCGGCATCGAGTGCTTGGACGTGGCGGGCGGCACGGGCGACATTGCGCTGCGCCTGCTCGATCATGCGCGCACGAAGCATCTGGACCGCGAGACGCGCGTCACTGTGCTGGACATCAACCCGAGCATGTTGGTTGAGGGCCAAAAGCGCCTGAAGGAGAGCATGTACTGGAACACGCCGCAGATCCGGTTCCAGCTCGGCAATGCCGAGGCGCTGAACGAGACGATGCCCGTGCCGGAGCGGCGGAACCCGCCCGCGAGCACGCGCCGGAATCCGATCCTGCCGCCGCTCGTGAGCGAGCCGATCGCAAGCGAGTCGATGGATCTGTACACGATTGCGTTTGGGATCCGCAACTGCACGCACATTGACCGCGTGCTGGCTGAGGCGTTCCGCGTGCTCAAGCCGGGCGGCATTTTCGCGTGCCTTGAGTTCGGCAAGGTGTCGCTCCCTCTGCTCGCGCAGGTGTACCGCCAGTACTCGTTCCATGTGATCCCGCCGATCGGCGAGCTCCTGGTGGGCGACCGCGACTCGTACCAGTACCTGGTCGAGTCGATCGAGCGCTTCCCGAAGCAGGCGGACTTTGCGCGCATGGTCGCGGAGGCGGGCTTCCTGCTGCCTGGCAGCGCGGAAGCGTCGTCCATGGGCCTTCCGCGCCTCGCGGGCGCGGGCGCTTGGGAAGACCTTACGTTTGGTATCGCGACCATTTGGACGGGGTACGTACTCTACGACTAACCGAAGCATCAAGCCATTTGCCTAGCCCGCTACTTGGGAATCTTTTGGCAACGGATAAAGGTCTGACTGGGGTCGTGTGGCAATATACAGAAAAACCCCAGCGACTGCATCGTCTGAAATAGGTCGCGCGCTGTACGCGGTTAGATTCTACGCGGTGCACGCACCCTCGAGCGCCACCTCTGCACACTGCTCCTGGCCATTCGGCAGCGTGCGGCACAGCTGCGACTTGTGGCTCCCGCGCTCCCTGCGGTCAGCTGGGCCAACGCACCCATTGAATGTGAACGCCGAGTTGGTACCGCCGCGACTCTGCGCGTCCTCCGAAACGAGACGGCGCACCTCGTCGTGCGCTGGCGTGTCCAGCCTCTGGATCAGGTTCGAGCTCTCCGCAGACCTGGCGTTAGCTTCGTTCACGCACATTCGCCGTCGTATCCAAAACCGGCCGTGCGGCCGTGCGGCCCCGCGACCGATGCTGACTAAGGCCCTGCCGGCCGCTGGACGCCGGCGGCGGCGCTCGCCCGCATGGACCACGCATCGCACGGCCTGCGTGTCCAGCTGGCCAGCTACAATGCTGGCGAGCAGTTTGATGCGCCTCCTGTGCCTGATCTCACCGAGTGGCTGATTCCTACTGTGTCTGAGAGCCGCCAGAGCGGCTACGCAACGAGCCCACGACCGGCGCGCGTGGCGAATCCGGTCATGGAGCGAGGGCCGCGCGAGGCGCCGGACGTGTACGCGGTCGCCTTCCAGGAGTTTGCGCCGCTGCCACACTCGCTTGCAGGCAGGACATTATCGATGGTGTCTCGCGTAGACAAAGAGATCCGGCGCGCGATCCGCCTGCACCAGTCGGTCGTGCGCGATGACAACATGTACGATCCGCTCGAGATGGGCGGCGGCCCCGAGAACTACGTGTGCGTGGCGCAGGTGAGCCACGCAGGACTCGTGCTTTACGTGTATGTGCGCGAGCGCGCGGGCCAATCGCCTGCCGCGCGCCGCCGGCCCAGTGCGGCGCAGCGTGTCAAGGAGGTGCGCACGGCCTTTGTGGGCACGGGCCTCGGCTCGATCATGGGCAACAAGGGTGCCGTTGGCGTGCGTATCGCGATGGCCTCTCTCGTACAGGGCGCGCCTGATGAAGTAATGACGTTCGTATGTGCGCATCTTGCGGCACACGATCATGAAGTGTCGCGGCGCAACAAGGATTGGCGCCAGATTGTGCAGCGCCTCGTATTTGAGCCGGAGGGTGTGGTGCCGTTGCCTGTACTGCAGACGGCAGAGAGTGCACCGCCGTCGCAGCATGCGCCGCCGCCGCCCGATCCGCTTGAGCCGGTCGAGTACTCGTTGTACGACACGCACCACCTATTTGTGATGGGTGATCTCAACTACCGGGTAGACACGGGCGTACAGGGTGTGCCGCGCAAGGAGAATACCCAGCCACCGCCGCCCATCGATAAAAAGGCTGTGCGCGAGGTGGCACGGAGCTTCGACGCCCGGCGCTGGGCGTCGATCCTACCGTACGACCAGCTGCTTAGGGAGCATACGGCGGGGCGCACGCTTCAGGGCTTGCACCTGCCCGACTTGGCCAGTTGGGCGGTGCCGCCCACGTACAAGTACAAGGCCGGCGGCGAGATGCTGCAGCTCAGCCAAAAGCGCCTGCCAGGCTGGCCGGACCGCCTCCTGTGGGGCTCGAGCGACGCGGCTCGGGGCTCTGCGGCAGTGGCCTGTGAGCTGTACCGCAGTCTTTTGCGCTACACGGCGTCTGACCACAAGCCGATCACGGCCATCGTCCAGCTGCCTTGGCAGCTCGATCGTCGCTCCGTGTTTATGCGCCGGCCCTACGAAATTGACCCGCAATGGCGCCGCTGGCGCATTATCGGTGTGGTGCTCGATCGCATTGTGGGGTATCTATGGTCGTTCCTCCTCCTCTTTGGCAACGGCCATCTGTACCTGGCATTCGCCGAGCTTGCGCTGCTCGGCCTGCTCTCGTGGTACTGGCTGCAGGGACGCTGGCTGTAGCGTCATCCCTCGTCTTCCATTCGCATAGTGAAATCGTACGTCTCGCCATCTTCGTCCGGCGCATGCAGCATGTGGTACCACGAGCGCAGCGCTGCCAGGCACCGCGCGTCGTGAGCCTCATGATCGGCTGCCACACTCGCCTCGTCGCTTTGGGGATGAGCATGCTCATAGGCCTCGAGGAGCTGCGCCTCGCTACTGGCCACGTCCATCTCAGGCACCGTGCTCAGCAGGGTCCCAAGCCAGTTGAGCTTGCTGTCAGGAATCGGCTGCACAGGATGCACAGCCAGCGCAGGTAGCTTATTGTTCTTGTCCTTGTCTTCGATCGGCGGGAGCTGCGGCGTCTCGTCCAGCAGTCCACTCATGCGCGACTCATCGTCGCCAAACAGGTTCCGATCCTGCGCCTCGTTGTCCAGAAACTCGCCCAGAGTTGCGACCTGCGCCGACATAAAGTGTGCCGCAGGTGACTGCAGGGCTGCCGCAATCGAGAAAGTATGCGACAGCAGATTTGTATAGTGCGTTTGCACCGACGGCCAATCTTCCAGGCCAGGCGTGTGCAGTGTTTGCTCACGCAACAGCGCAATAGAATTGCGCAGCGAGTCGAAACGCTGGTATAGCGTCTGTAGGTGACTCAGAGGTGGCGCTACCGGCTTGAGCGTCACGTCCGTGGCGCCGCGCTGTGCCTTGGAGCCGGCCATGGCTCGTCGCGCCAGGCTCGCCCGGCGTGGCGCCGCCGCGGAGGCCCACTGCTTACCTAACCCATGGACCGCGCCTGTCCGGCCTGCCGTGGCTGCGTGTGGACCGCCATGTCGGACGAAGTACTAGATGTCGTGCGCGAGCACCATGAGCAGAGTGCGCACATTGACGAGGGCATTGGGCGCTATACTGCATACACCATGCGGCTCAAGACGCTCATCACCACGGGCTCGCGCTACATCGCGTACTCGTCCGAAGTAGGCGAGGCGATCCGTCCTCTGGCACGCCCTATAGTCGTTACTGCCGCGTACGCTATCAGCTGGGCGTACATCTTTGGTGATGTAGGCTACACGTGCTGGCAGGCCTCCAAGGGCATGGACAAGGACTCGCCGACCAGGACGACGGACCTGGCGTGGATCGCTGCGCGGCGTGGCACGTTCCAAACGCTCGCGTCGCTGTACCTTCCGGCCCTGACCATCCACAGCATCGTGCGCTTCTCGGGCCCGGTCTTTGCCAAGTTCCGGTCCGTGCGTGTGCGCGCGCTGGGTCCCTCGGTTCTTGGTCTGTTCACGATTCCGCTCTTGCCGCTCCTGTTCGACCACCCTGTCGAAACGGCCGTGGAGAACGTGTTCGACTCGATCGAGTTTCACATTGCCGCGTGGAAGGGCGACAAGATGGCACAAAAGTCGTTGGACGAGGGCAGTCTTCTGCGTGGCTACTACCTCACGACGCCCCAGGACGAGAGCGAGAATGGTGTGTCGACGCACCTGGCCGGGCAGCTCGCGGTGCTGGGCCTTGGTGTGGATATGGTGTGCCTGCCGCGCATGCATCGCCTCATTGCGCGCCATGCCTCGCGCCTCACGCCCCTGGTGCGTCCGGCGGCTGTCGCGGCGCCGCGGTGCGCGCCTGCCGCGCCTGCGGACGACGCGCCTGCCTCCTCGCCGGTCCTGGCCATGGCCGCGCGCCACTTTGCACGCCGCGTGCTGACGCCATCGGAAGAGCTTGTATATCAGCGTGTCGCGCCGGGCCTCTCGCACGACGCCTGCATGCGCTACCTTGCGACCAGGTACGTTCACCTCGGCTGACGGGAGCATGCCCTGACGCGCCAAAGGTGGGCCTGCAAGGAGGCTGCGTACAAGGCTGTATACCCACATCTTTGTCCCCTGGCGACGCAAATCGCCGTGTTGCGGCGCGACGACATGCCGAAGCCATCCCTTTGCCTGGAGCGTACGCCCCACACAGTGTGGCGTGGCGCCGACGGGATGCCCGCAGACGCGCTCGCCGAATCCATTCGCTTTCACTTAAGCATTTCACACGATGGAGACTATGTAGTAGCTTCCGTACTAGCGGAACAGCCGTAGTTGATACCGCCCCCTGGCTTACGCCGAGTGCTGGGTGATGGCGGCCTGCAGCTTCGACGGGTCAGCGCCGACAACGGTGTCGATCTTCTGGCCGTTCTTGAAGAACACAAACGTGGGCATCGCGCGGATACCGACCTCCTGCGCAATCTGGCTCTGCTCGTCCACGTCGACCTTGTAGAAGCCGACCTTGTCGCCCGCAGGAGTGTCCGAGATCTTCTCAAAGACGGGACCAATCATCTTGCAAGGGCCGCACCAAGTCGCCCAGAAGTCGATCACAACGACCTTGTCACCGCCGGTGACCTGCTTGAATTGATCGTACGAAGAAATCACTTGCACACCCATAATGAAGTTGGTAAGGAAACGACGCCACCCACACTCTCGGGCTTGTGCGCCAGCGAATCGACCATGACGTAATACATCCGGGGTGCTTCCCCACGTGCTCAGTGCCTACCTACACTCCCATGGCCTCGCGGTGGATCTCGGGCGTCTCGGACGGGTCCACGTGGGGTACACCGCCCAGATTCAGCGCACAGCCGATCTTCTGCCACAACGTCGAGCGCGCATGCTTTTGGCCTCGTGGCAGGTTGGTGTATACGTAGTCCTTCCACACCGGGAACCAGCAGCGCAGTGCCAGCTTCCACTGCCAGTCGGGGTACACGGCCGTAACACGGCCCGACTTCGCGTCGCGGTACCATGAGTCGCACGTGCTGAAGACGAGCTCCTTCATGCGCTTCACGATCCAGTGCTGCTCTGCGAGCTCGGCCTCGATCTTCACATCGTACGTCGGGACCCGGCCAAGGTCAGGCGACGCGGGCGCGCCAGGCAGGTGCCGGATGGCCGCCTCGGTGGGTCTCGCCGACGTCAGCACCGGGTCAGCAATGATCAACAGCAGCTCCTGCTGACGCTCCGACGTGTAGACCACGGACATGTGCCCGGTGCCAGAGTTCGGGCCGACGAGCATGCCCATGTTCGGGAAGCCTGAGAGGAAGATGCTGCGGTAGGCGAGCTGGCTACCCTCGCCGTACTTTTCATAGTGCTCCTGGATCGTCATGTCAGCACCGCGCAGCGTCAGTGGCGAGCCAGCCGCCTTGGGGCTAAAGCCGTTGGCCATGACAATCACGTCCGCAGCAATGCGGCGGCCATCGGCTGTCCACACGGCATCCTCTTCGATGCGCACGAGCTTGGTCGTGACGAGGTCCAGGTTCGGTGCATTTAGCGCAGGTAGGTACGCGTTATCCAGCACACGGCGACGACAGGCGACCATGAGCTCGTTCTTCTTCGGTATGAGCTGCTCATGGTACTTGGCCGGCGCCTTCTCTGTCACGTACGCACGGCACAATTTTTCCCAGTTGGCGCGGAGTGACTCGCCCCTGCGTGTCCTGAGGGCCATAGCAAAGTGCGACTCCAGCGTGAGCCACGCAATCGTGCGCAGCAGGGTCATGAAGAATGGCACGTTGCGCAGCATCCAGCGGAACCACGGCTTGGTCGGGAGATCAATCTGGGGCTGCGGCGCATACCAGTGCTTAGACCGCACAAACTGTGTGACATGCTTGGCCTCCTTGATAATTTCCGGCACAATCTGTGTCGCAGAGCACCCATTGCCCACGACAATCACGTTCTTGTTCTTCAGGTCCACCGAGTGGTCCCAGCACGCCGAGTGGAAGAGGGGACCGCGGAATGTCTCATGGCCGGGGATGTCACACTTGTTCGGCTCTGACAGACCACCGACGGCGGTCACCAGCATCTTGCACACATAGTATGTGTACTTGGGCGCAGCGGTGGGGTTCTTGGGGTCATACGTCGCCGAGATGACGTGCCACAAGCCCGTCGCCTTGTCGTAGCGCGACTCGATGGCGACCGTGTGGTAGCGGAACAAGTCGCCGATCCCATACTCGGCCACAACCGTCCGAACATACTCGCGAATCTCCGGCTGTCCGGGGAAGAAGCTGCTCCAGTCGGACTTCTGGCGGAAACTGAAGCTGTACACTAGCGCTGGAATATCGCATGCACATCCCGGGTATGTATTGGCCTCCCACGTTCCTGCAGGCCCCCCCCAGCGCTCAAGTATCGCCATGTCGGGCACCTTGCCATACTTCATCTTCAACTTGCATGCAATGCTCACGCCACTCATACCACCGCCAATGCATACAATATCATGATACTCTGGCTCCAGGCCCTGCAGGTTCACAGGGTCATGGACCAGTTGCATTCCGCTGGGCAGCTCAGTCGGATAGGCGTCCATCTCTACGGAGGCAGACGGCAGCACTTCCGGCCCTAATAAGCCCTCGCGCTGGATCATTATCACGTGGAATACCGCCTCCGCGGGCCTGGGTACCCAACATATCTGTGATTGGCTACGTACGTGTGGGGCGGCCTAGTCAAATACAATTTTCGTGCCCTGGGGCTTGGCTTGTGTCAAAGCTTCCTTGGCTTTCTGCTTGGCGGCCCAGCTCGGGTGCACGGGTGCCGGGGCCGCGTGTTGAGCTGGTGCGCGAGGTGTAGGCGCAGGACGTTCGGCTGGTGCACGAGGTGTTGGCGCGGGGCGTTCGGCTGGTGCGCGGGGTGTTGGCGCAGGGCGTCCGGCTGGTGCACGAGGTGCCGCCTCCTTGCTCTGGCGCGCCTTGGGCGCGCGCGGCTCCTTCTCACGTAGCTTGAGGTGGTTCGCATGCCGTCCGTACTTCTTTTCCCAGATCCTGTCGTCAGTAGGAAACACGTACGCTCGTCGCTCGCGCTGGCCACGGCGATTCTTCCGGGTCGACTTGGCCGGGCCTTTGACGGTGCCCGTATCCGCGTAGTCAGCCTCGGCGTCGCTCCAGTCGTCGCCTTCTGTAGCGGGGATAAAGCCCGAATTTAGGCTTGGCAGAAACGTCGATGTGCCTGGCGACGTGCGGCTCCGCTTGCGCGCTGGCATGTCCTCCGAATCGCTGAGTGCTTCGTCGTCGCTGTTATCCATTTCCGACTCACTCGCGGACGCTACCATGGCGTCCAGGTCGTCTGCGTCGTAGGCCCGCACGCCCTCATTGCCCATACCATCATCGCTCTCATACTCACCTTCAGGCTCAGGAGGCTGCTCGCGCGCCTTCTTTTTCGGCTTGGTATCTTTCACTTGCACAGGCGCCTCGGCCGCTGAGCTCTTGGTATCTGGCGCGGGCGCCGGGTGCACGAGGGCCATGAGCGCCTGCATGCAGGTCTGAATCTCTTCAGCGAGCACTTTGGAGCTGAGCACTTGGTGGAATACACGCTCTTCCAAGCCTGTCTGGGGCTTGGGCAGCGCGTCTACCGACGCGGGATCTAGGCCGTGCTCCTGCGCGAGGGCGAGGAGCGGGAACTCATCGGCATGCTGAGCCTGCGCTGCTGGCTTTGGCAGAAGCTTGCACTTAATTAGCTTCGTCGACAGCGCACGCATACCCAGCACCTGCGGCTGTATTTGCTTGAGATAGGCGAGCTCTTGCTTAAGCGCGTGGACGTCGTGTGAATCGGCCTCCTTGAGGCGGCGCACATGTTTTTGGAGCTGGAACTGCGTGGCACGCTTGGCAGCATTCCTAGCCACACGGATAGAATGATGCTGCGTAAGATACATGCACGTACCAACTTGGCGCGGATCTTCGCCAGATCCAGCGCCGGCGCCTCCTCGCTCATGCCGGACGTGCACGGTGGGCCTGCGAGGGAAGCGTTTCGTCCACGTGACGAGCGAAAATTTGTGGCGGCCTGCAGCCCCAGCGGAGCCCAGCGACACCATGGCCAAGATCAAGAAGAGGGGCGAGTCCGGTGCGGCGAAGAACTACATCACCCGCAACCAGGCGCTGAAGAAGCTCCAGATTACCCTGGCCGAGTTTCGTCGGCTGTGTATTCTGAAGGGTATCTTTCCCCGTCAGCCGCGGCACATCAAGCGTGCGAACAAGGGGTCGACGGCCCCGACCACCTTTTACTATGCCAAGGACATCGCCTATCTGCAGCATGAGCCGGTGCTGCAAGCCTTCCGTGAGCACAAGGCGTTTGCTAAGAAGATGAACCGTGCGATTGCGCGTCGCGAGTGGTTCGCTGCGAAGAACCTCGACGACCACCGCCCGCAGTATCGCCTGGACCATATTATCAAGGAGCGGTACCCGACATTTGTCGACTCGCTGCGCGATTTGGATGATGCGATCTCCATGCTCTTCCTGTTTGCCAATATTCCGTCGCAGAAGAGCATTGCGCCGGAGATCACCACACACTGTGCGCGTCTGTGCACTGAGTGGCAGCTGTACGTGATGCGCACGCGCTGCCTCAGCAAGGTGTTCCTTAGCATCAAGGGCATATATTTCCAAGCTGTCGTGCACGGCCAGGAGATCACCTGGCTCGTGCCGTACATGTTCACGCAGACCATCCCCAGCGACGTCGACTTTCGCGTGATGATGACGTTCCTCGAGCTGTACCAGACGCTCATGGGCTTCGTACTGTTCAAACTGTATACTGACGAAAACCTCGTGTACCCCCCTAAGCTCGACGAGGATATGGACAATCAGGGGGCAGGTTTTGGCTCGCTTGTCCTCAAGGCCGCCGATGCTGATGTGCTCTCTGGCAAGAACAACGAGAACGCGCCTCAGGTGGCCGAGGCGGCCTCGAAGAATGCTATTGTGCGCAAGGATGGAAAGAAACTGTCGGCGCGCGATGTCAAGCGGCAAATTGCGCGTCTGGCCGAGACCGGCGCCGACGACGACGAGCTGCCCCCGCTCGACACGGCCGAGGACGGCGAGCCGGCCGAAGACGACAACGATACCTTTGTGGCGCAGACCTCGAAGCACGCGGCCCAAGAAAACGCGAGCGCGGACGTGCTGACGACGCTGGGCGATCTGCAACAGCAAGCGTCGGAGAACCCGGTGCCGACGCTATTCACTCGCTACGTCTTCTATATCTCGCGCGAGGTCCCGCGCGCCGTGTTTGAATTTATTCTGCGCTCGTTTGGCGCACTCCCAGATCATATCGGGTGGGACCCCGTGGCTGGAGCAGGAAGTCACATCCGCGAAGACGACGCACGTATCACGCACCACATCCTCGACCGGCCCGTGACGGACGGCCAGCCACTCGAGCACGCTGGCCACCGTGTGTATGTGCAGCCGCAGTGGGTGGTCGACTGTGTCAATGCGCGCAAGCTCCTGCCGACGGACCCATACCGACCGGGTCAGACACTGCCGCCCCACCTAAGTCCGTTTGTGGACGACCGGGAGGTGGCTCGGCAGGGCGGCTATGTGCCGGCCGAGGCGCGCGCGGCCCTTGGATTGGAGGAAGAGGCCGCGTACGAAGAGGACGATGAAGACGAGGAGGAGGAAGAGACGCGCGAGGCGGACACGGCTGCTACGCCGTCGCGACCGGCGCTCGAAGCGCTCTTGGCCGACCCCCACGGTGCTGGCCTGCTCGAGGCGGCCGAGCTGGAAGCCGAGGCTGCTGGTGGCGAGGATGCGCTGCTAGCCCTGCGTGAGGCGCATGCAGCTGCGGTCAAGGCGGCCAAGAAGAAGAGCAAGAAGGCGGCCGTGCCCCCTGCGCTGTCCGAAGAGGCCGAGGCGCAGGATATGGCCAAGATGCTCCTTTCGAACAAGCAGCGCAAGCTCTATAACAGCCTGAACCGAGCCTCTGGAAAGAAGAAGGAAGACAAGATGCGCCTGGAAGCCAAGAAGCGCATGCTGTCGAAGAAGAAGACGAAGGCAGCTCCATAGACGTCGTAGTGCGGTGCCTAATCGATCGGGCTCTGATCGGGGTGGAGTCGTTCGTCGACATCAGGGGCCGCCTTTGTTCTGCGCCATGGCAGACGGGGCGAGTGCTTTGGCGGCCGCGCCGAATGAGACGCTGTATATCCAGAACCTCAATGAACGTGTGAAGCTTCCTAGTGCGTACACCCTGCTGACCCCAGTTATGAAGCAGTCGCTCGAGGCGCTCTTCAGCACTTTCGGCCCGGTACTGTCGATCGTGGCACACAAGAACTTGCGCATGCGCGGCCAGGCGTTTGTGAGCTTCCAGGACAAGGACACCGCAACACGGGCAATGAAGGAGGTAAGCGGATTCCCTCTGTACGGTAAAAGCATGGTGTGTGCAGCACGACTTACCCAGCGCGTATCGTATGCGCGGACGCCCTCTGATAGTGTCGTGGCGCACCATGGCGGCGCGCCGGGGACTTCCGAGGCTGAGCAGGCGCTTGAAGCACACAAAGCGGCACGGCTTGCGCAAAAGCCGCTTACGCGGCGGCGAAATATCCACCGGCAGCGGGCCCTGCAGCGCAAGAAGGAGCAGGAGCAGGCCATAGCCCGTGGCGACGTACCGGCACCGGCGCCGCGCCGCACCGCGCCGGCACGCGCACAGGCAAACCAGCTTCCCGACGAGTATGTGCCGCCGAACCGGATCTTGTTCCTGCAACAGATGCCGTCTACGGTGACGCGCGACCAGCTGCTGGGCATCTTTGGTTCGATGCCGAATCTCTACGAAGTACGCACTATTCCTGGACGTACAGACATTGCCTTTGTCGAGTTCCACGACATTCCATCGAGCGTCGCAGCGCGCGAGGCGACAAACGGCTATACCTTTCCCACCGGCGAGCACCTCAAGGTCTCGTTTGCGCGTGCGTAGATGCCACGTGGCCCATAGAGAAACTCGGACCTACCAGGGCCACGGGCACAGACCCCGGCCCCACCCGGGGTTGTCGAGGCGGGGAAGCCGACCTGGGTCTCTTCGTACTTGACTGCGATGTTGGCCGCCCGTTCTCTTGCCGCTAGAATGACCCGCAAACCTACGAGCGTACCCTCGCTAATCGTGCAGTCAACTCACCTGCCGTCGCGTTCGATCTCGATCACGCCCCGCGTCGCTGACAGCCCGTACCGTGTTGAGCGCGACACGTTCGGTGACCTGCAGGTGCCCGCGGACCGGTACTGGGGCGCCCAGACGCAGCGCTCGTCGATTAACTTCAAGATCGGCGGTGCCGCTGAGCGCATGCCGCCCCAGATCATTGCGGCGTTCGGTGTGCTGAAGAAGGCCGCTGCGACGGTGAACCGCGAGTTTGGTCTCGACCCGAAGATCGCTGACGCGATCTGCGCGGCCGCCGACGAGGTCATTGCCGGCAAGCTGCATGACCACTTCCCTCTCGTTGTGTTCCAGACGGGCTCGGGCACGCAGTCGAACATGAACGTCAACGAGGTCATCTCGAACCGCGCCATTGAGATGCTCGGCGGCGAGCTCGGCTCGAAGAAGCCCGTGCACCCTAACGACCATGTGAACCGCAGCCAGAGCAGCAATGACACCTTCCCGACGGCGATGCACATTGCGACGGTGCTCGAGATCACCCACGAGCTGATTCCTGCGCTGCAGAACCTGCACGACGCACTTGCCGCCAAGCAGGCCGAGTTTGAGGACATTATCAAGATTGGCCGCACGCACCTCCAGGACGCGACGCCGCTGACCCTCGGCCAGGAGTTCAGCGGCTACGTGCAGCAGCTGAAGAACTCGATTGCTCGCGTGCAAGACGTTCTGCCCCGCCTGCGTATGCTCGCGCAGGGCGGCACCGCTGTCGGCACGGGCCTTAACACCTTCAAGGGCTTTGACGTGAGGGTGGCCGCTGAGATCTCGAACATCACCGGTGAGGAGTTTGTGACTGCGCCGAACAAGTTCGAGGCGCTCGCGACGCACGACGCGATGGTCGAGGCATCGGGTGCTATGAACACGGTCGCCGTCTCGCTGATGAAGATTGCGAACGACATCCGCTACCTCGGCTCGGGCCCCCGCTGCGGTCTGGGCGAGCTGGCGCTCCCTGAGAACGAGCCCGGCTCGTCGATCATGCCTGGCAAGGTCAACCCCACGCAGTGTGAGGCTCTGACCATGGTCGCTGCGCAGGTCATGGGCAACCACGTCGCCGTGACCGTCGGTGGCTCGTACGGTCAGTTTGAGCTGAACGTGTTCAAGCCGGTGATTGCCAAGAACGTGCTCTCGAGCATCCGCCTCCTCGCCGACGGCGCCAACTCGTTCACCGAGCACTGTGTCGTGGGCATCCAGGCGAACAAAAAGCGCATCCACCAGCTGCTCAACGAGTCGCTGATGCTTGCGACCGCGCTCAACGCCCGCCTCGGCTACGACAATGTCGCCAAGGCTGCCAAGAAGGCGCACCACGAGGGTCTTACACTCAAGGAGTCCACCGTCAGTCTGGGTCTCCTTACCCCCGAGGAGTTTGACGAGCAGGTCCGTCCCGAGCTCATGATCGGCCCCAACGACCCGCCCAAGTAGATATGTCGTACCGCGTACGCCATGCCACATAGAGCATACCACTCAGGCAGAGGGCCAGCCACAGCCACCCCAACATGCGCCACGACGGCGTCAGCCACGCGGCGCTCGGCGCCGCACTTGGGGCATCAAGTCGCAGCGCCTGCCCAAACAAATCCTCGAGACCACTGCTCATGCGCCCGCCAAACTGCGGCGGCGCTAGGGGAAAGGGGCGCGGCGCAGGCGGCTCCGGTTCAGGGTCCACATCCATCGCCTCGGGGCCCGACGACGCCTGCCACAGGGTATCGAGGGGCGCTCCCATCCGCGGTTCGTCCGCCAGGGACAGGGCCGCAAGTGGATGAGGCGCAGCCACAGGGTCGGCAGGGGCCGGTGCCTTGAGCTCGACCGGCCGTGGCGCCAAATGCAGCGGCGCCTGGGGTACAAGGCCGTACGCCCTGAGCGCAGAGAGGCAGAGCACGGCATGCAGCACGCCCAGCGCGCCTATCATACGCGGATCCGCTCCGACACGCCACATATAGACGACCCCCAGTCGCATCAGCCAAAGAACGAGCTGCACCACCTGCCAGGCCCGCTCACCCCGCGTGCTGTACCGAATAGCCCGGGCGTCGAGGCGGTCCTTGTGCGCCGCACAGCTGTCCCACCAAGTCGGCAGGCATGCTACTGCACAGCTGCCCGTATAGAGCGACGTCGGCAGGGCCAGAGCGACGCACAGAGGGCTCAATGTCCCGGCGATCAACACGAGCGCAGCGTACGTCGTGTGCCACGCACTGTATCGCCGAGCCGGCACCTCCTCCGTTTCTGCCGGCGCCGACGCGGCAGCCGCATGCCGCGCAATCCAGTGGCTGAGAGCCTCGCTGCGCACGCGCTGGTGATTCTTCTCGAGATGCGCCTGGACGCGCGGGGCACACACATCGCACACGAGGGGATACCGCGCCTCGAGAGACTGGCGGTACGCGGGATAGGCCGCCATACGCTCGGCATCGGTCGATTCCTGCGTAAGAATACCCACGTACATCGTCATCAGAAAGGTAGTTGGCCAGCAGGTTGGCCACAATCGTCTGGTTCGCAAGGCATGAGCGGCAAAAGACGCTCGGCGCAGCTTGCGGAGCCTGCCGCGTCGCAAACGAGTCGTGATTCGCGTCGGCGTCCCACATTGGACGCTCATACAGGTCCAGTACGTGCCCGTGCTCATCCCGGTGATTCCACATGTGACACACAGCGCAGAACCAGCGCGTGTTTGTGCCGGACGACAGCGGATGCGAGCGAGCATCCTTGCCTTGCGCCGCTTTCCTGAGCGCACTCTCTTCCCCGTACGGCGGCACAATGACCGACTCTGTGCCGCAAAAGTGGCATGCCGCCACATGCTGCGGCCGCCGCCTGCCGAGCCGCCACATGCGCCGTGCGCTGCTCGTGGAGTGGGGAGCCGCGCCGGGGGGTGATGGATCGGGCCCGATCTGCTTTTTCCCTCATGCCGCTGCGCTCGTTGGTCGCATGCACCGGCGCCGTGCGCGCTGCTGTGCGGCGCGGGGGGCAGAGCCCCAGCATGGAGGCTGCTGTGAGCATGAGCGAGGCGCTTGGAGCACGCGATTCGGCGGATCCTGCCCTCCGCGCTACATTTCTGCGGCATACCGAGCCCGACGAGTCGGCGGTGGCGCAGCGCCTTTCGCCCGCGGCCCGCCTCGGCAGCAGCAAGGTCCAAGGCGATGCGATCGTTGCTATGCCGTCCCACTTGCTGCTGCGCATTGAAACGCTCCTGGGCGCGAGTAACAAGGGGCAGCTGCGCCGCGACGCGAGTCATCTCGCGACGCTGCCCCGCACAAGCGACGCGTCCGGCCTCGAGCCGGGCCGCGCTCAGCAGTTTGTCCAGTCGCTCGCAAGTGCGCGTGCGGGTCCTCTGTACATGTCAACGCAGTTTGCTGCGCGCTACGCGGTCCTCGTGCGTGTGCTCGACGAAGTGCAGCGGCGCATCCCCAGCGCCTCGGCCGCATGGGTCCCGGCCAAGCTATACGACTTCTGCATGCACGCTGGCGAGGCGCTCTGGGCGTACGACCACGTATTTGGCGCGCCTGCACTCCGCGAGTATGTGGCTGAGGCGCCGACGGGCGCTCTGATCAAAACGGGCGCAGCTTTGCAAAGCGATGCATGCTGGCAGCATACACGCACCTCGCTGCGTGTGCGTGGCGACGAGGCGCATATCGTGCGTGACCGCCCTGGATGCGAGGATGACGCGCCGTCCCTCGGCGTGCACGCCTTTGGCCTCGGCGCGCTCAGCAGCGATCTCGCACGAGAGAAAGAGGTGCTCCGTCTGTGGAAGAGCGGCGCGGATGTGCTGGTGCTCGTTGAGGAGGCGACGCCTCGCGGCTTTGCGTGTATTGCAGCAGCGCGTGCGCAGCTGCTAGCGCTCGGACAAAATGGCCCCTCCTGCCATGTGGTCGCGCCCTGTCCGCACGACGGGGCGTGCCCCGTGTGGCGCCTCGATGCACTGCTCAGCCCGACGGTGCGGCGGCCCATTGAGGTATGCTCACATTCACAAATGTACCGCGTGCCGCCATTCATGCGCATGACGACGCGGCTCCTGCGTGGCGATGCCACGACAGAGTTCTGTTACGTCGTTATCCACCGTGCCGCCCGGCCGTCGCTGCCGGACACACAGGGTTCATGGGCGGCGCGCGTCCCGGCTGAGCTGCAGGCGCATGTACCAGCGACCGTGCGGCACCTCACAGAAAACGCTCGCCGCGGGAACCTCGATACGCTGCGTGCGACACGCACTGTTGATCCGCCTGTACCCGTGCCCGTGGAGTTGGAGCGATGCGCCGCGGCACTCGCGGCGGCTGGCATCGATGAGCATCATGTCATGCAGGTCGACGCGTATGCATGGCCACGTCTCGTGCGCCCACCGCTGAAGAAAGGCGGGCATGTTACCATGGACGCGTGCTGTGCGAGCCATGACGTACGTCGCTTCACGGTGGCCAAGTCGGCCGGACGGCAGGCCTACCAAGATGCACGCAAGGTGCGGCATGGCGAGCTGTACGCGCATACGGATAAGACTGGTCGCTCTGTCGCGCTGACAGAAAGCCCTGCGCTTGATACCCTCGCGCCTGCTGCGTCGGAGCACAAACAGCTGGGCCCCGACGCGCAGAGCTACACGCAGCAGCATGGTCGGCTGCCGAAGCACCGATCGACCCGCGCACCCAAGCCAAAATCAGCCACCGTCCTCGATGCCGCGCGCACGGATGTGCGCAGCTCGCGCAAGCCAAGCCGCAGCGCGCTGGACCAGGCGCTCCAGGAGCATGGCTGGTAAATAGTGCGTAGCTCCACATTTTCCTCCGCCATGACCGGGCGATCGATGCCGCCGCCCGCGTGGCCGGCGAGCGCTACGCGTGGCGCTGTCATTGTGCCGCCCCAGGTGGGCGAGCGATCGCTGCGGCAGCAGACGGTGCTGGATGAAGAGACGTATGCTAGTGGCCTCTCGCGCATTATCCAGCGCGACTACTTCCCGGACCTCGCGAGGCTGCGTGCGCAGAATGCGTACCTCAGCGCCCTCGACGAGGGCACGATGGACGATATTGAAGAGACCGCACGCAGGCTCGTGCAGGAGGAGGCACGCTGCGGCGTCCTCGAAGAGATGGTGCGCCGCTCCGAGGCGGGCGAGCCGGCGACGCCGCTCAGCATGCCGCCTTCGACGCCCCGGGTGCTGGAGACACCACGCCCCTCGGTCGCGTCGACGCCCCGCACCGACGTGGGAGACACACCCGGGGTGCCACGCACGCCGGACGATGTGCGGACAAGCATGACAATTGGGCAGTACCAGGCCGCGTACACGACCGAGGACAATGCCTCGTTTGCGCAGCTCATGGACGTCGCGCGCAAGCGCCGACGGCACCAGTACCAATGGGCATACGACGCCGCGCAATCCGAGTCGGACAAGCGCCAGGCGCGCCTTGCTCACGCTCACGAACAGGCCGAGCAAGGCCGGCGTCTCGCGCTGCCTGCGCGCCTGGCCATCGAAGGCCGGACGACGGAGAGCGAGAGTGATCCGCCGCGCGAGCCGCCCAAGGCGCTGCCGTTTTCGGCACGCAGTGCACTTATGTATGCGCCGGACGCGAATACAGTCGGGCCGGCGCGCCCAAGTGCCGCGCCGGCGCCATCTGAGAAGCCGCGCGTGTTCCCTGGGCACACACGCATGACGTGGGCGACCGAGAGCGGCGAGTCGGCCCCCTCGACGCCGAGCAGTAGCCTTATTGATGCTGCCGTCGCTGGGTCGCCACGTATCCAGGGCTATGGCTTTGTAAGTGCGGCATCGACGCCCCGTCACGTCGATCTGAGTGAGCAGCGCCTGGAGCAGCTCATGACGTGGGGTCAGCTTGCTGCGACGCCTCGCCGCCTCGATGCGACGCCGCGCTCCGAGCACACCGATCGCAGTGATGAGCCGCGTACGCCGTCGGCGCCTGCGCCAGCGCCTCGCGCAGCGCAGAGCGGTCGCACGGCGCGGCGGATCGAGGATCTGAGCCCTGCTGCGCGGCATCTGCTGCAGCGCACGACTCGCACAGGCTCTCAACTCTACAAACCAGCTGGCACATCAACGCCTCGATCCGCGCGCTGGACACCGACGCCGAGTCCCACGGCGCGCCGCTAGTGCTCCTATACCCATCGCCATAGGCCTCGTGACCCGAGCCAGGACTCCACATCGCCGACCGCCATGTCGCAGGTGCGGGCGTCGGCAGAGACGCGCTCGCAGGGCGTCCGGCGCTCTGCCTTTGACACGTTTGATGAGATGACATGGTTGTCTGGAGTGCGTGGGGTCTTATCGCGCGCTTTGGGCCGTGCGCAGGCGCCTCAGGAGGTGTTGACCGCGCACTCACCCCACACGCCGCTGCGATTGGAATCGGACGGCAGCGATGCAGAGCTGCCGCCAGAAGATCCCACGGCCAAGGCGCGAATGAAGATGACGGCCGCTGCAATGCGCGAGCTTATGGAACTTGGTGGTATTGAGGACGCCGATACCCACGCGCCCGTGTCGGTGGATGGTTTTGCCGAGCGGGTATGGCGCATGGAAGAGCACAGCGAGCCACAGACATCATCGTCCCTGCTTTCTGCGTTTCAGGTCGGCACAGATGGGCCTGTTGATTTTGAAGCCCTGTTGCGATTCCGTGCGGATCGCGCAGAGACTGGACGCACGCGTCCACTGATTGAGGTTATGCCTGACGCTCGATCGCCTCGACCTGTCGATGGACAAATCGGGGAGGAAATGGAAGATGAGAGCGAAGAGGAGAGTGATGAAAGTGAAGAGGAAAGTGATGAAAGTGAAGAGGAAAGTGATGAAAGCGATGAAAGTGAAGGAGCGAGCGAAGAGAGTGAAAGGGAAGAGATGGACGAGAGTGAAGAGGACAGCGAGGAGGACGGGAGCACAGATGAAGCAGAACAGGACAGAGAGCGCAGTGCTCCATGTGCAAGTGCCAAGTTTACCACAGCTCCTGTCAAGCAAGGATCGATTTGTCAAGAAGGCGCGTCGAGCTTTTGGGCTCCGAGCCATGTACAAGAGGAGCCCTTGATGGAACCCACTGCACTGCAAGCTCATGCCCATGAGTCGCACTTTTCTGGTCAGGCGGGTAGCCGACAGGATGCGCCCATCGTCGTACTATCAGACAGTGACAGTGAGCCCACGGACGAGGTCTCTCGAACGGTCGATATGGACAACGCCTATGCGCGGGAACTTGGCGCAGTGTTGGCTATGGCCACACGGTACCCAGAGTCTAGCTACGAGGCTATGGAGGAAGACTGGGACCGACGCGGCGATGACCAAGAGGAAGATCAAGAAGGAGAGGAGGCAGAGAACCAAGAAGATGAGGAGGAGGAAAGCGACGAAGAGTGGCAGGAGCAAGTCGAGGACGAAGGTCAATTCGATGTATTTGACCAAAGGGGAGATGACGGTCATGCCGATGAGGCTGAGCAAAACGACAATAATAGTCAGATCCACAACGATAAGAATGAGCATATTGAGAATGTTGAGGAGCCTGTTGTCTTGGAGCCTGTTGAATGTCCCGAGGACCCTAAAAACGAACTTGTCCAGAAATCCGGGGATCTCGTCGAGGTCCCTACCAAAGTGTCTGGCAGCGGGCCTGAAGAGGACCATAAAGAGACTGTTGAAGAGTGTGAGAAGCTCGAGGATCCTGCCAAAGAGTCTAGCGATGAATCTGAAGAGGAGCTTGGCGTCGCTGCCAAAGAGTCTAAGGAGCTCGAAGAGTCTGCCAAGGAGCCTGACGAACTCGAAGATTCTGACAAGGCGTCTGAGGAGTCTGCCGAAGAGTCCGAGCTCGAGAAAAAAGTGTCTAGCGATGTGCCTGAAGAGGAGCCAGGCGTCGCTGCCAAAGAGTCTGAGGAGCTCGAGGAGCCTGCCAAAGAGTCTAGCGATGTGCCTGAAGAGGAGCCAGGCGTCGCTGCCAAAGAGTCCGAGGAACTCGAGGAGCCTGACGAGGTGTCTGAAGAACTCGAGAATTCTGCCACAAAGCCTGCCGAGGAGTTCAAGCAAGTTGCGGAAAAGGGGTCTGAAAATGCATCTCAGAAACTTGGTGAGGAACCCGAGGTACCTGTCGAAAAACCCGGGGAAGAGACTTTGGCGAAAAAAGAGGACCCATTCAAAGAGAAAGAGGACATCCTGGAGAATGAGGCTCACAACAGTGGAGACGTGAAACTCTTCGACCCGGAGCCCAAAGATTTAGAGACATCCATGGACGAGGTATACGAGCGCTATGATCCTGTCCGCAGCGCGGGCGAACGCTCCGACAAAGCACTTCCTTCCCGACCAGAGCCAGCGAATGCGATGGACGACTGTACCTCGGAGCCTGCCTCGCATCCCCCTCGTGGCGCGACAGACAGCCCCGATGCGCCGGTCCCTCGTTTCGAGCCACCAGATATGATGTCCGAGCGGGAACCTTCACCGGGCGAGCCTGGCCCTAGCGAGACGACACGTCAGACCGATGCTCAGCCAGCCCCTCATCCCCCCCGCAATACCTCTGTGTCTCCTACGCCCACTAAGTCCCATATCGGTGCTCCTGCGCGGGAGCAAGTCGCGGATCACATGGAGAAGCTGCGTCCACCGCTGTACGAGGACATGAACGACTCGTCATTGTCGACGTTAGACAGTGACTTGTCGCTGCCTACATCGCTGTTGGACAGTCCGCATACGACGCGGTCGCACTGCCCTCTGCAGCGCGTCACACTGACACGCGCGGTCGGTGCGCCGACCTTCCTGGTGCGCTCGTGCACGCTGAATCCCTCAGTTCTCGACGAGGAGGCCGCAGAGAGTGAAGAAGTGTTATTTGACAGTCTCGAGATGCGGCGACTTGATGCTGACGCGCTCCCTGAAGATGTGTACCACTCGCTGTGCCGTATTGTGGGCACGAGTTTGCTAAGCGATGTGTATGTGTTGCCGGGTAGTCTGGGCGATCATTGGATGGAGCAAGACAGCCGTCAAGAGTCGACAGAACGGCCTGAGGCGCACCGACTACCCAAGCGTGCGCGCCAATCGCCGTCCCCGCCGCGGCGGATGCGTCTGCGCACGGCCCAAGAGCGCCGGCGTCCGCGGATGTACTCGCCAGATTTGTAATCATAGCCGAAGGTTTCATTCCCACCATGTCGATCCGCTCTCCGGCTCGTGCGGCGACGCCCGTGACGCAAGCGATGCGAACAGTGCACACAGGGTACCGCATCGTATCGAAAAACGAAGTCCAGAAAGAGACGGAGGCCCACGAAGCGCGTGTAAAGCAGGCGGAGACCGCGCTCGAGCGCATGGGCTTCAACCCCCTTAGCATCATGCGTCAGGAGGTGGTGTGGGGCGAGCACGACCAGTACCGCCACGGTACGTCGGAGACGCTAACGCAGTGAACAACGTGCATTACCTGCGCTGGTTCGAGTCAGCGCGTGTGCGCTGGATGGTGCGCATGGCCAGCACGCTCGACCCCGTGCAGCGCGATAACCTCGTACTGGGCCAGGGGATTGGCGTGATTGTGGCCGCCACCATGTGCCGCTACCGCCGGCCGGTGACGTTCCCCGACACGGTGCTGATCTCGGTCGGCACGCTCCCGATGCAGCGCCGCGACCGGTGCATTGTGCGGCAAAGGGCGTACTCGGTGGCGCAGCAGACCGTGGTCGCAGAGGCCGACTTTGACGTCGTCGGCTACGACTACGAGAACCTGCGCAAGGCCGAGTTCCCGCCCGAGATGTATGCGGCCCTGGAAGCATGGATGTACCGCGGCCCAGACGCACACCAGAGTCGCTTGTAGGGGACTATCGTACATACTACACAGATATGGTCTTGAAAAAGTGGAAGCCGTCCGAGGATGTGGTGCCGAGCATGCCAGGCACCTGGGGGTGCCAGTGCACCTCCTTGATGTCCGATGCGCCGTGGTGGCAGAACAGCAGCTGGCTCGGCACCGGCTCACCGTTCGGGCCCTTGGGCTGCTCGCCCGCCGCTTCGTCCTCGTCGTGCTCCACGCCCAGGTCCCACAGCGTCACTTGGTCGTCGCGGCCGGACGCCGCGAAGATACTGTCCTCGTCGGGGTGCCACTCGACGCTGCTGATGGGCGCGCGGTGCCATGCAAAGTGCGCGACGGGGCTCGGTCGCGGGCCGCTCTTGAACGAGCGCATGTCCCACACCTTCAGCGCGCCGTCGTCGCCGCCCGAGAGCAGCAGGTACGATGTGCCGCGGTTCCAGCTGATCACATTCACGTCCTGCGTGTGCGCACTGTCCACCGCGAGTGCCGAGCGGTGGCTCTTCATCCGCACGTCCCACAGACGCACGCTGCAGTCGGCGGAGCACGATGCAAACACGGTGGGCTCCGTCGGACTCCACTGCAAGTCCTCCACCGACGACGTGTGGCTCTCAAACGGCGTCGCATGCGTCGTAAAGCCCGTGTTGTTGCTCGTAGTAAGGAAGATCTTGCTGTGCATGTCACCCGTAACGAGGCGCAGGTGCCCGCCCTGGCCCGACGCGCCACCGCCTAGCACACCGCCCCAGTCCATGGCAAAGCCCTCCGTGTGGTGCGCGCGGACCGTGTACAGCGGTGTATTCACCTTCTTCTTATCGATCGCCGTGCCGGGCTGCACGAGCGCATTGTAGAGGGGACGCACATCCCATATGTGCACCTGGCCCGTCTCAGCCCACGTCGCCACGGGATAGGGATCGAGGCACGGCTCCAGGTCGCTCGTGGGCGTCGTCGTGGGTGCCGCACGGATACGGTTCACGCCGCCCAGGTGCGGGATCGTCTTGTACTCCAGCACCGCATCCTCATCGACATCGTCGTCCTCGTCCTCGTCGTCGTCCGAAAGCGCTGCATGTTAGTCTGTCCACAACGCGCAGCAGCTGGGCTCAGACAGATAAGATAGGTAGCGAGTTTGTTTTCGGCATCGAGCGGACACCGCTCATACAGCCAAATGCCTCAAGGCATCATCGCCCCGCTGCGAGGGTACGTACCGTCATCACGCGACGTCCGGTGCATCGAACTCGCCTTCATAACGAGAATCTCGTTGTTCTTCGCCGTGTCGGCCTGTGTGCCTGCGACGAAGAAGGCCGTGTGCGGCAGCGTCTGGCGCTGCGAGCCCAGGTGGTCGCGCAGGAAATCAAACGACAGGCATGGCCACGTCACATTCATGCGGTGCAGCATATCGTACGCCGACTGGTCAGGGACCAGCGTCTGGCCCTCCTCTAGCGGCGCCGTGCCCGGCATGTACGCCTCCGTAGGCGGGGCCGCCTCGTCGTCTTCCACGTCCATGCCCTCGTCGTCGTCGCCCCTCTCGACAATCTCGCCATCGCTCTCGATCTCGTCCTCAAACGGATCCTCAAACTCTCCCATGCCCTCCTCTTGGTCGGCAGGCACAGCTTGGCCGTCTACGCGAGGGCGCTCCGCCTCCGGCGCAGGCACACCGTCCGCCAGCTCGCGCTTCGACATAGTCGCTAGCCAACCTGCTAGCGGGCACCGCTTTTTTTTTTCTCGGTAAGCTTAGTCAGCTTTTTTCCTGCCAGGGCCGCTCCGCCAGCGTCGCCGCGCACGACCCTCGTGGATTTCCTTCATGTCTGCGATTCGCGCCCTGGTTCTCGGTTCAGGTGGCCGTGAGCATGCACTTGCGCTGCACCTTCTCCGCTCGGAGCGTGTGGAGCATGTGTATGTGGCGCCAGGCAATGGCGGAACATCGACGCTCGGCCAGCGCTGCACCAATGTGACGCTGTCGCAGGCCAACGGCTTTAGCGAGATGGCCCAATGGGCCACAGAGCACAAGATCAACCTTGTCGTGCCCGGACCGGAGGCCCCGCTCGTGGCGGGTGTCGAGACGGCCTTCCGCCAGGTCGGCATCCCCGTGTTCGGCCCGAGCCAGGCGGCAGCCCAGCTCGAGGGCTCCAAGGCGTATGCTAAGGACTTTATGGCGCGTCACCACATCCCCACCGCCGCCTACCGCACATTCCACGCGAACGAGGTCAATGAGTGCTTTGCGTACATCGAGACGCTTGGCGGCGCCCGCGCCGTCGTGCTGAAGGCGGACGGTCTCGCGGGCGGCAAGGGCGTGCTTTTGCCCGAGTCGGACGAGGAGGCGCGTGAGGGCGTTGAGGATCTGCTCGTGCGCAGGGTGTTCGGCAGTGCGGGCGACGCGCTCGTCGTCGAGGAGCGCCTCGATGGCAACGAGCTCTCGGTGCTGGCCTTCTCGGACGGGTACACGGTGCGTGCCCTGCCGGGCTGCCAGGACCACAAGCGGATTGGCGAGGGCGATACGGGCCTGAATACGGGTGGCATGGGCGCCTACTGCCCGACGCCCGACGGCACGGCGCCGGGCATGGAAGCGCGCATCCGCCAAGAGGTGCTGCTGCCGACTATCGCGGGCCTGCGCAAGGACGGCACGCCGTTCGTCGGTATGCTATTTGTGGGTCTCATGCTCACATCTAAGGGCCCCAAGGTGCTGGAGTTCAATGTGCGCTTTGGTGATCCCGAGACGGAGGCCGTGCTCGAGCTGCTTGCGCACCCTTCGACGCTTGCCGACGTGATGATGGCGTGCGTGGAGCGGCGTCTGGACTGTGTGGACCTGGCGATCCGCAACGGCTACGCAGTCAGCGTTGTGATGGCGAGTGGCGGCTACCCTGGCTCGTACAAGACGGGCGTCCCGATCCGCATCGAGACACTGCCGAGCGATGTGTCGGTGTACCACGCCGGTACGAAGCGCGCAGACGACGGCACGCTGCTGACGGCCGGCGGACGTGTGATTGTGGTGTCGGCCACGGGCCCGACGCTCGACGCGGCGCTCGAGAGGGCATACGCGGGTGTCCAGTGTGTGCAGTTCGAGGGCCAGGTGTTCCGCCGCGACATTGCGCACCGTGCACTGTCGGCCGCGCGCTCGCAGCAGGCGGGTCTGACGTACGCGGACGCGGGCGTCGACATTGACGCGGGCAATGCGCTCGTAGAGCGGATCAAGCCGCTGGCGAAGAGCACACAGCGTGCCGGCTCGGTCGGTAGCCTGGGCGGCTTTGGCGGTGTGTTTGACCTGCGCGCGCTCAACATGCGCGACCCAGTGCTAGTGAGTGGCACGGACGGTGTCGGCACGAAGCTGCGCCTTGCGTTCGACTGCCAGAAGCACGACACGGTCGGCATCGACCTCGTGGCCATGTCTGTGAACGACTTGATCGTGCAGGGTGCGCAGCCGCTCTTTTTCCTCGACTACTATGCGTGTGGCAAGCTGGACGTCGATACGGCCGCTGCTGTGGTCGGCGGTGTCGCGGAAGGCTGTCGTCAGGCGTCGTGTGCGCTGCTCGGCGGCGAGACCGCCGAGATGCCTGGCATGTACGCGGGCGAGGAGTACGACGTCGCAGGCTTTGCGGTGGGCGCCGTGGAGCGTGACGCGATGCTGCCGCGCATGGACCAGATGCAGGCGGGCGATCAGCTGATCGGCCTGGCGAGCAGCGGCGTGCACTCGAACGGCTTCTCGCTCGTGCGCAGGGTCGTTGCCAAGTCAGGCGTGTCGCTCGACGCGCCGTGCCCGTGGGACAGCTCACTGACGCTCGGTGCTGCGCTCCTGGCGCCGACGCGCGTCTATGTCCAGGCGCTCGCGCATGTGCTGCAGGGCCCGCACCGTGTGTTGGGCATGGCGCATATCACGGGCGGCGGCTTTACCGACAACGTGCCGCGCATGCTTCCGCCGCACCTAGGTGCGCACATCGATGTCGGCCGCTGGACGCGCCCGCCGCTGTTTGACTGGCTGCAGAAGCAGGGCCAGATTCGCGCCGACGAAATGGCGCGCACGTTCAACAACGGTATCGGTATGGTGCTGGCCGTGCCTGCAGGCGCGTGCGACGAGACGTGCGCGGCACTCAAAGCCGCCGGCGAGTCGCCGGTAGTGATGGGCGAGGTGACCGCGGAGCCTGGCGTGTCGTACGCGCATCTCGATGCCTGGTCGCTGTAGCGCTGTAGTACATGATGTGGAGGTTGTGGGGCGCCCCTTGCTCTTGCTCGTCGTCGTGGCATGGACTCGGTCGAGCTGAGCCGGATGGACTCGCACGACGACTCGGTCAAGGAAGCTTTCGGCGCGAAGGCGGAGGCATACACCGTCACGAATGGTGCGTCGCCTGCGACGTTCGCATTGGCCGCGCACGGCATGGAACGCGTGGGCGTCACCGTGTGGATGCTGACCATGTGTGCGGCACTGTGTGGGTCACTGTTCGGCTACGACACGGGCTACGTGTCGTCGGTGCTGGTGAGTCTTGATAAATTCAAGGACTTTGGGCATGTGCTGAGCGACGGCACAAAGCAGCTCATCACGTCCGCCACGTCGCTGGGCGCCCTGATCGGCGCGCTCAGCGCCATGATCCCGTCCGAGTATCTCGGGCGCCGCTGGTCCATGGCCATTGCGAATTTCGTGTTCATTGTGGGTGCGATTATCCAGGCGGTCGCGCACAGCGCATGGACGCTCATCGGTGGCCGCTTCGTCGTGGGCGTCGGCGTCGGCATCGCCTCGATGATTGTGCCGCTGTGGATCAGCGAGCTGGCACCGGCGCACCTGCGCGGACGCCTCGTCACCCTGAATATCGTGTTCCTTACACTCGGCCAGCTCATCGCCACGGGCGTCGGCGCCGGCTTCGAGAACATCTACGGCGGCTGGCGCTACACGGTGGCGGGCGGCGCGATTCCCGCGATTATCTCGCTCCTGACCATGGCATGGCTTCCCGAGTCGCCGCGCTACGACAGCCGGCGTGGACGCACAGAGCGTGCGATGCGCACGTTCCAGCGCATCTACCCCCACGCGTCCGAGGCGTACTGCCGCCGCCGCGCCGAGGAGCTCACCCTGAGTCTCCAAGAGTTTGACACTCGTGTCGCACACACGCCCCTCGCGCGCCGCATTCGCCTGTTGTGCAGCGGAACGCACGCACGCGCGCTGGTCATTGCGTGCGGCCTGCAGGCGCTCCAGCAGCTGTGTGGCTTCAACACGCTCATGTACTACAGCGGCACCCTCTTCCAGGCGATCGGCTTTGACCAGCCCGTGGCCGTCTCGCTGATTGTCAGCGCGACCAACTTTCTAGCGACGCTCGCGGCGCTCCAGCTGATCGATATGATCGGGCGCCGCCGCGTGCTGCTCTACTCGGTGCCCGGCATGTGTGGCGCACTCGTCTTTGCGGCCATCTGCTTCGCGTTCCTCCCGGTCCAGGCGAATGGCGAGCTGGCGGCCGACATCCCGTCGGGCCGCCGTGTGTGGACGTACCTGGTGATTGTGGCCATCATCGTGTATGTGCTATTCTACGGCTTCGGGATCGGGAACGTGCCGTGGCAGCAGGGCGAGCTCTTTGCGATCGAGACGCGCGCGATCGGCACGAGCATCGCGACGGGCGTGAATTGGGCATGCAACCTGCTCATTGGCGCCACGTACCTCTCGCTCGTTGGGGCAGCGACGTCGAGTGGCGCCTTTGGCTTTTACGCCGGACTCTGTGCGCTTGGCTTTGTGTTTTGCCTGTTTTGCTTCCCCGACACGCGCCAGCTCTCGCTCGAGGAGGTGCACGTCATCTTCCGCGATTCATGGGGCATCCGCGCCGCCGAGCAGCTGCGCGCCGACAAGGCGCGCGTTGCTGCCGATGCGCGCGCGCGCGACGCGATCGACCCGCTGACGATGGACGCGCACACGGTCGGATCGTCGACGGCCCGCCTGCCGCGCACGCCCAGCGTGCTCGATATGACGACGACACGCACCCTTGTCGACCCGCTCGATGACGGGCCGTGCGCGCCGCGGGCGCCGGTGGATGCGCGGCGCATGAACGGTGCGACACCGGCGGCGCTCCCGTTCAGCCTGCCGAGCGACCTCGATGGGCCGCCGCTCCTGGGCGCGCACGCAATGTCGATGCGCCGCTCAGCGTCGCTCTCGCAGATCCGGCGCTCGGATGAGCCCATCACGCTGCCGCCCGTCGACGTGGATGGCCCGCGCTCGAATGTGCTCTCAAGTCGCTTTGGGCTCGAGGGCACGCCGCTGCTCCTGTTCGTGACGTGCTTCGCGAGTCTCGGCGTGTTTATGTTTGGGTACGACCAGGGCGTGATGAGCGGCATCATCACGCACCCCACGTTCCAGTCGGACTTTCACGATCCCAGCGCCGCGCAGCTCGGTACGATGGTAGCCGTGCTCGAGATCGGCGCGCTGATCACGTCGCTGCTCAGTGGTGTGCTGGCCGATCGCTACGGGCGCAAGGCGATCCTGAGCGCCGGTGCGCTGTTCTTCATGGTCGGTGGCCTGATTCAGACGTGCACGGTCGGCTACCGCATCATGGTCGTCGGACGCATTATCGCGGGCCTGGGAATCGGGTTCCTCACGATGATCGTGCCGACGTACCAGAGCGAAGTGTCGCCAGCCGAGAACCGCGGCAAACTGGCGTGCATCGAGTTCACTGGCAACATCATCGGCTACATGGCCAGTGTGTGGATGGGCTACGTGTGCAGCTTCCTGCAGAACGGCTGGGCATGGCGCCTGCCGCTGGCTGTGCAGCCCTTGATCGGCGGCGTGCTGCTCTATGGAGCGACGCTGCTACCAGAGAGCCCAAGGTGGCTCTGCGACGTGGATCGCGACGCGGAGGCGATGCGGGTGCTCGTGGACCTGAACGGCACGGCCGATCCGCGGCACGCCCGCGCCAAGCTCGAGTTCTGGGAGATCCAGACGACGGTGCGGCAGATGCGCGCACAGGGCGACCGCTCGTACCGCGCGCTGTGGCAGCGGCTGCGTGCGCGCACGCTCCTGGGTATGTCGTCGCAGATGCTCGCGCAGCTGAATGGCATCAACGTCATCTCGTACTATGCGCCGCTCGTGTTCGAGAGCGCAGGCTGGGTCGGGCGCGATGCCCTGTTCATGACGGGCATCAATGCGACGGTGTACGTGCTGTCGACCGTGCCGACGTGGTTCCTCGTGGACTCGTGGGGCCGCCGGCCGATCTTGCTGTCGGGTGCCCTGCTGTGTGCACTGACACTCGGCGCATGTGGCCTGTTCCTCCGCGCCGACCGCGCGTACACGCCGACGGCCGTGGCCGCATGCGTCGTGCTCTTCAATGCGGCGTTCGGGTACTCGTGGGGCCCGATCCCCTGGGCGTGGACGCCCGAGATCATGCCGCTGGCCTTCCGTGCAAAAGGCACGTCGCTCGCGGCGGCCACCAACTGGGTGTTCAACTGGGTCGTGGGACAGCTCACGCCCATCCTGCAGGAGACGATCGGGTGGCGCCTGTACCTGCTGCACGCCGTGTGCTGCCTCGTCTCCTTCGGAGTCGTATACGCACTGTATCCCGAGACACAGGGCGTGCCGCTCGAAGAAATGGACGCCCTCTTCGGCGACCACCACGCACCCGTTCCCCACGAGGACGTGGACACGGGCGAAATCCGCGCGGCGGACAGCGAGATGCCGCGCCTGCGCCGCTCGATCAGCACGCACCCCCGCTTCCTGAACGAGTCGGGCCCCTTTGGATCCGCGCGCACCGACTACGAGGCGGTGCCCGTGCATCCGATGTCATAGCATACCCTGCTACTGCGACCGATACGCACCGTACGCCATGCCCGCCTCGGCGTGCGCTTCCAGATGCGCAATCTCCTGCGCCAGGGCCGCGTTGCGCCCCTCGAGCCAGTCGAGCAGGTCGATCACCTGGAACAGCACCGCCGATTTGCTTCCGGCGCCGCCCGCGCTGCCTCCGCGCCCGCGCCCGCGCCCGCGGTTCTGCTTGCCTTGGACGGCGCGACTGCGCGCGCGCCGCTGAGCATTGCGCTTGCGCCGCTGCACCTCCTCCTCGTCACAGCCCAGGATGAGATCCTCCTCGGTGTCGGTGCGGTCGTCGAGCTCTTCGTCCTCGACGCCCATCCCAGCGCCCGCATTGAGCCCCAGCGCGCGTGCGCCGTACGCGCGCCCCACATCAAGGAGGTCGGAGAGGTTCTTGAAGCCTTCCCGGATCTGGTTGCGCCGCCGCTGCTCGGAGAGAATATGCCGCTTGCGCCGCCCCGTCGTCTCCGGCTCGTCCGCTTGTGAGCTGTCGTCGTCCGACGCACGCCGCCGCTGCGGCACGACGCTCGGGCCACACAGGTCCGCCACATGTAGCACGCCCGGGCTCGACGTGGACGCCTCGGCCTCCGAGCCATCCGCAGGAAGCGTCCGCGGACTTACCGCATCCCCGCTCATCGGCACGCAGGCCGCCGTCAACTCGGCTGCCTCGGACACAGGAGGCTCCTCCGCGCTCGTCGGCGGCATGCCCTGGCAACGTGCGATGGCGGCGGTCGAGTGCCTGCTGATGCTCGGCCGATGTGCCTGACTTCATCACGCGGCGTGCGCGGAGTCTACGTGCATACCTACCGCGGCCACGAGCGCCCACGCCGACTCGACACGCGGCGCACCAGTGTCGGGGAGCACTTTCCACGCATCGTGCGCGCGCTGGATCGAGCGCCGCTTCGAGCGCGTCGATAGGCGCCGCGTCGGCGCGTGCCGCCGGCCGTGCTCCACAGCGTCGTGCGCGAGCTGCTCGGCGTGCGTGAGCAGTCCGTAGGCCGCGTCCTCGTCAGCCGGCGCGTCGTCGTCGGGCGCGTCCGCTAGGAGGAGGCGCTGCGCGAGGAACTGGAGCCACTAGCGTTAGTGAGCCGACGTACCAGTACGTTGGTCAGTGGCGTGTACGCGCGCCAGTCGCCCGCGACGAGGCCGCGCATCGTGCGGTACACGTCGTACTGCGTGTCGCCCTGGCCGGTAAACAGTGCCTCGTCGTCGAAATCGTACGCCATCACGGTGCCGTCGATGCACATGCGCGAAAGCGAGTAGTCGATGATGGTCGCCTGCAGCTGTGTCGCGGCCGGCCCGTACTGCGTCCAGAGTGTGTCCATGGGAGGCAGCGGCGTCGCAGCCTGTGCCGTATCCACGCGCCGCACGAGTACGTTGCTCATATGTAGATCACGGTGCTGCGTTAGTGCGTGGGCGTACCTCAAATTGGACCTCCTGCTCGGCGTGCGCGAGCGCACAGGCGACCTGGAAAAAGACGGCCGCGCGCTCGCTCCAGCTACGGAGGGCCATGCCCTCGAGCTCCGCGCCTGCGTGCTCCATCACAAGCAGGGCGTACATCTGCGTCGCAGGGAGCACGCTGGGGCGTACGTTCTCGCAGCGCTCGCGGTGCACCTCTGCAAACACGTCCCAGGCGTCCAGGAGGCGCTCGGGATAGGTGCCCCGCACCACGTGCGCGGACACGAGCCGCACGAAGTGTGTAGCCCACGGCTCGGTGAGCGTGCCGAGGGCCGCCGTCGTCGCTACCTCGCGGTCCACGCTTGCCACCGGCGAGACAGCCGGGCCGTCTCGCACGCTCGGCCCGTGCTCGAGGGGAATCACCTTGATGACGTGCACGACGCCCTCAGGCGCCGTGTATTGGTATACTTCCGAGTAGCTCGCCTCGCCGATCTTGACGAGAGCGCGGTCGCCGACCAGCTCATCGACCTGGGCAGCAAACGCCTTCGGGTCCGCTTGGTGCACGCGGCGCAGCAGCGCGGACATGTCGGTGAGCGAGAGGTCCGCGAGTGCCTGTGTCAGCTCGCCCTCGTTATCGAGAGCCTGCAGGGGCGCGCGCGCCGTGAGCGTGGGCGAATCAGGCACCGCAGGTGTCTTTTCACCCGCGGCCCACCGCTTGATCGGCGTGGCGACCTGGTGCGTGAACGCCTGGCGGGGGCTCTGCACCCACGCACTCCACGAGTGCAGGTCGACACCGGTGAACAGGCTCTTCGAGCCAGGCGCCGCGCGTGGCGGCGTCGCTACCTGTGTGTTCTCGTCCAGGGACCGCGTATCTTGTACAACACGTGTGCGGCCCTTGCGCCCGTACACATGGATCTGACGCGTCGACGATGGCAGCATGCAGGTCCGGTCGAGCGCGCCACCACAACACTGGGGGCGCGGTGCCTCACGTGATATGAAAAGCGGCGGCGGCCTCGTCCTCTTCGTCCGGCGTCGATGGCGTGGAGCGTGAGGGCAGCGGCGGTCGCGCGCGCGGCGCTTCCGCAGCCGCAGAGCCAAGTACGAGCGATGCATGCGTCCGCATGTGTGTCGAAAAAGTCGGCGCCTAGCCGCGGCAAGGCGCGCAAAAGCCCCAAGACGCTGCTGCGTCTGTTCGCCGAGGGCAAGCTCAACGGCGCCGAGGCCGCGAGGGCCGCCGCGCTGATGGAGACGACATCCGCGGAGGGCACTGATGCAGGCCCCGTTGCGCAGAAGAAGCAGGACGATAGCGTCTCGCTGACCGAGGCACGCCACATTCTCCGCGTATGTACGGTCCTCTCACCCGCAGTCTGTCGAGGCAGCGCGCCCGCGCAATGCGTATGAGCTGCATATCGTGACGAGTGTGCCGCCGAACCAGACGAATGCGTTCCGTGGGCGCATCGTCTACCCCAAGGACCCGCGCATCAAGGGCGAGACGGCGCTGGTGTTTGCCGACCAGGGCACAGAGGCTGCGCAGGCCGCCGAGAAGGCGGCCGCGCAGCTGCGCGAGAGCGGCTCGTCGATGCGCCTCATCATTGGCGGGCACGAGATGATCAGCGAGGCGGCCTCGGGGCGTGTGCCGCCGTTCACGCGCGTCCTGTGTACGTCCGCGCTGCTGCCGAGCCTGAGCCGCACGCTCGCGCGCACACTGGGTCCCAAGGGTCTGATGCCGAGTGCGAAGCGTGGCACCGTGGTGGAAGACGGCGAGGAGATGCAGCGCGCCATCGAGCAGCTGCTCTCGGGCGTCGACTGGCGTGGCGACCGTCTTGGCGTCGTGCGCGGCGCCGTCGGCCGCATCTCGTTCACGGACGCAGAGCTGCGTGCAAATGTGCATGCGCTCCTGGACTCGGTCATTGCGCGTGCCGCAGGCGGTCTCGCCGGCACCAAGGTGAGCGCCAAGGTCGTCGCGGGCTACGCGCGCGACCTCTCGAGCGAGGATGCGGAGGGCAAGCCGCTCATGCACCGCGGACCCACGCCGCTGAAGCGAGGTACGTCGCCATACTCACGCAGCGCTCTCTATTGTGCAGCAGGTGCACCTCAGCTCGACGCAGGGCCCCGGCCTGCGTTTGCGCCTCGACGATGTCCTGTAGAGCGAACGGCTGCCTCCACACGCGCCTGACGCACCGTCAGACGACGATGCGTGTTTTTTCGGTCGGCGGACTGCTCGCGGCGGCGGCCGCCGCCGTGCTGCTAGGCCTAGCCACCTTTGGTGTGCCGATCAACAACAACTACTACCTGCTTCAGCTGGGGCTGGGCCAGGCCGACTTCCATTTCGGCCCCTTTGGCTACAGCTTCAATGGCCGCGACAGCGCCACCAAGCTCGGGTATGATGTGCCCCGCGAGCTGGGCGAGCAGAACCCCGTCTCGTCGCTCGTGCATACGCTGTCGTACGTGCTCGTGTTGTATCCGATCGGTGCGTCGCACTCACTGACACAGCCTTTGCGCTCGCCGTCGTGGCCGTCCTCGCCTCGCTGCTCGCCGTGACGTGCAAGACGATGATGAACGCTTTAGCCATCTTTTTTGCAACGCTTGGTGCGATTGTGGCAACGGTGGGCTTTGCGATCGTCATTGCCCTCTATTTCGCCCTCAAGGATGTGTTCAGCGGGATCCGCATCGATATTCAGTTCGGCCAGTCGTTCTACTTCACCGTCGTCGGTGCGGCCTGCCTGTACCTCGCGATGGCGCTCATGTCCGGCGGTCTGTGCTGCGACCCGCTGTTCTCGCGCCACCGGCGCAGCAGCCCCGCCGCCGGTGCGTCCTACTCCACGGCCCCGGTGCACGCGCCACCGGCCGAGTACCACGCGACGCGGGCGGACCTGCCTGCGTTTCCCGAGTACCATCCATCGCAGCACGAGAATGTGTACGAGATGGATGATACGATGAATTCGTATACCAAGGCGCACACACCGCACGAGTATGAGGACGCGGCTTTCCCGGCGCCGGCGCCCCACGCCGCCGCCAGCAGTGCGCCGTACCTCTCCGCGCAGCCGGCGGAGTCAAGCACACGCCTGCTTACCGAGGCGCCGTACCTGCCGTCACGGCCGTCGGACTCGTCGCAGATCCCGACAGAGCACGCGTACGTCGACGCGCCTGAGGCGCCGTACGCCCCGGTACCACAGCCGGTGTCGGCGCAGCAGGCCGATGCATGGTTCCTGCACAGCGGACCCCAAGCCCCCGAGGCTGTGCCCCCGCAGTACCCCCCGGCGCTCGCGGGCTCCGCGTATGCCAATGAGAAGCGTCACTAATGTTTTCTATGGACGGGCTGCCTCGTCCTCGGTCTGTAGCGTTTGCATGAGTTGTGCCAGGCCACTGAGCTGCTCCGGTCGCAGTTTCGAGAGCACCACACTGAGGTGCAGGCGCTGCCGCGACGCAGCGTTCGCGCCGGGAGGGAGCGGCGTCGATGCGTCAGTGATGCCGACCAGCAGTACGGGGTCCGTCTGCACACCGGCCACAGGGCGCGGCGCCGTCAGCCCTGGGTTCAGCGCCACAGACTGCCCTGCACTAGCTAGCGACAAGGCAGGAAGCAGGTGCGGCGCCGGCACCAGGTGCAGTCCGAGCGCTGTGAGTTTCGGCACACTCGTCATGGGCACCACCAGGGGCAGCGGCTGCGACGGAATGCTTGTAGAGGCAGAGAGCGTTTCGGAGACATTGAGCGGCGCGCCCGAGTCGGGACGCGCACTCGCTCCGGCCGCGGGCGACGCCCCGGACGCGCCGCGCGCCGCGAGGCCCGCGAGGTGGGACACCGTCGCGGGCGAGAGCGCGGGGAGCGACGCCGCGGACGCGGCAGGGCGCCCATCCAAGCTCGGCGGCCGCACGATCGCATACGGCCGCGGCACGTCATCCAGGCCGGGGCGCCGGGGTGAGGCGGCCGCGGACAGCGCCGAGGAGCCGGCGAACAGACTGGGCGTGTGCAGGCTCGCTGCGAACGAGGCGCCTGGCCGCCAGTGGCGCTGCCGCTCCAGCTCCTCCAGCTCCGCGCGCGCGCGGCGCAGCTCCGCGGACAAGTCTTGGAACGCCTTCATTTCGTCCTCGTACACCATGCGCTCCAGAAACTCGAGCGACTCGTGCATATGTGGCGCACGCTCCTGCGCCGTCTCGGAGCGCGTCTGCAAGGCGCGAAAACGGCGCGCAAGCTGCGCGCGTCGCTCGTACGCGGAGCGCGTGAAGGCAGCGCTGGGAAACGGCGGGAGCGTCAGCAGGGGGGTATCAGGCGGGAGAGGCGCCTCGACGCGCCGTCGCTTGCGCACGTACGGCACAGCAAACGACACATGCGCCTCGTCATCGAGGCCAGCAGCGGCGGGTGCTGCTACAATACGGGCGTCTGCCGCGTCGAGCAGGTCCGACTCGGGCACCTGCCAGACATGGTAGGGCAGCAGACGCTCCACGACATCGCGTGCGTCTCGGAAAGGCGTCTGGATATCAGGACGCAGGCACCGCTCGTGGTCCTGGTCCAGCTGCATGCGAAATCGACGCTGTGTGTGTGCGCGCTGCGCGGCCAGCTCCGGATCCTCGAGCACCAGGTCCTTTTGGGGGGGTAGGCGCGTAGCAGCAGGCGTGCTATGCGCCGGCGGCACGGTACGCCCAGACGCGCTGGTGATGGCTGCGCCAGGCGCCGCCGCACCGAGCGGCGAACCTGCGACCACAGGCGTGCGGCGGGCGCCAAGATGCAGACCGGATGCCGCAGCGAGAGAATTGGAGATGATAAATGGCGGCGTCGCGGGTGCTGTCGTCATGGGCGGCGGCGCAGGCTGCACGCCCGGGCGCGGAGGGGCCGCAGGGGCCGCACTCGCATGGCGGTTGACCGTGACAATCGGATTCGCATACGCCGAGGATACGGGGCGGGTATATGGGTCGCTCGTGCATGCAGGAGCCGCTTGGATAGGCACAGCATGGTGAGAGGGCGCGGGCGCCGCGGCGCCCGCCTCCTTGGGCGACAAAGAGCTTACCGACGCTGCCGCTGGGCCAGCGCGGAGCTCGTTGGCCTCAGGCATACGAGCACACTTTGCCGCTGGAGGCTTTTGAATCAGAATAGGCAGAAACGGTGCACAGAGCCGAGTGTCTCGTCTTCCGTTCGAATGCGCGAATCAAGGCCCACGCGCTTGAATCGCTCGACGCGCCGTTTCTGCGCTGGGCAAGGCGGCCCCTCGCTCGGACGACGGGGCAGCAAAGTCACGTGTGTTTTGCGCCGGGCGCGCGGGCGCTCCGCCAGGGCGCCGCATGGAGACGGTGACGCTGCCGGCGGCGTTTCCGGCGGCGTACCGGCGGGTATACCTGGCTAAATTTGAGGGCGTGTCGAATGGAGGCGCGCTGAAGGAGGCGCTGATTGCCGTGTCCAAGACGTCCGCAGACTCAGAAGAGCGACGGCGCATGGACTTTGCCTTTGTCGACGCGAGGCTGGTGCTCAGCCGGCGGCAGCTGCTGACGGCGGTCGTGCAGGCGGTTGTAGCTGCGGACCGCCTCTCAACGCGGTCTGAGGCGCCCGTAGGCATGAAGACGCCGTCGATCCACTCGGAGATATTGTGGACGCTGAACCCGAACAACAATGTGCGTGTGCTGTGCTTATGCAGGTGGCCGATGCGCTGCGCCAGTTTGGCGTGTCGGCCTCGACCGAGACGCTCATCCTTGTGCATGTGGGTGCACTGCCACCGGCTGGCCCGGACCCGGCCGCGCTCGTTCAGCACATGGACGCGCTTGTGGACGGCACGCTCGTTGCTGGCGTTGATGCGCCGACGATGGCGTCGCTGGCGCTCGCGCCCGATTCGCGCCGATGGAAGGACGTGGGGAAGACGTACAAGCTGCAGGATACGAGTGCGTTCCAGCAGCACGAGACGCAGGCCGTGGAAGCGCTCGTGTGCTCTACGGTGGCTACCAAGTATGTAGGCGCATAATTAGTCCATTTCGACGAGGCTGCGTAAGCACGAGACACGTACTGGTACTCGGGCGCGTCGAGTTTCTTGGCGCCGCCCAGGAACGGAATCGACACGATAAACAGGTACTCGACCGTGTTGGCCTGCTGCTGCTGCACGAGCTGGCCCGCAGCGGACGCGGAGCCACCCGTCGCAATGAGGTCGTCGACGATCAACACATTCGCGCCAGCGGGAATCGCGCCCTTTTGCATCTCAAAGACGTCCTCGCCGTACTCCTTCGCGAACGTGGCCTGCACGCACTCGCCTGGCAGCTTGCCGTGCTTGCGCACCGGCACAAAGCCGGCGCCCAGGCGCTGCGCAATGACAGGGCCGATCAGAAAACCACGAGCATCCAGGCCCACCACGTAGTTGATGCGCGAGTCGCGGCCCTCTTGTGCCAGGCGAGGGAGCGTCTGCGTGAAGATATGCGACATGAAGTTGGTGATCAAGATCTCAAACGTGATCGGGTCACGCAGCACGGGCAGCACATCACAGAACAGGATGCCCTTCTTGGGCCAGTCCTGGTGGTACTCTTTACATTAGCGGGCGCAGCGTACCAAACTTGGTCTTCAGAAGCTCAATGTCCGACATGGAGGCGTCGCGCTGGCCGCGCCGGGCCGCGGACGCACGGCGTCGACCTCCACATGTGTTCACTATGGATGGAAGTGTGTACCTGTGACAACACCTCCCCGGTCCAACAACCATCGCCCTCGCTGCGGCATGATGAACGAAGCGGGTGGCGCGGACGCGCCACCGCCCATGGAAGCGATTCACCCGACGGTATGTGGTACTGGCTAACTTCAGCTCTCAACAGACACAATAGACAACGACACCAGCTCCGTTGCGCAGATGACAACGTACGTGACGGACCCGACGCAGTTCCTGTTCAACTTCCCGAATGACAAGTCGTTCACGACGCATGTGCCTGCCAGCCTCTTTGACGAATGCGTGTCTGTGCTGAAGCGCACAGTGCAGTGGCGCGTCTCGTCGACACGGTACAACGGCGCGCTGCCACACGGGCGCCGCTACGCGTGGCGGAAGCACTACGTATGTGACCACTCTGGAAAGCCGCGCGACCGCCGCGATCCGAATCTGGCACCAGGGAAGCGACGTTCGCGGCGAGCTTCGATCAAGATTGGCTGCCCCGCCTCGTTCACCGCGACACAGGAAGTCGGCAGCGACACGGTCGTGATGGTGTGTCGCTTCCAGCACCAGGGGCACACTGTGAACACGCGCGAGTACTGGGCCAACAGTCGCATCCCCGATAATGTGCGTGAATGGATCAAGGAGCGCGTAAGCGAGGGCCACGACCAGAAGGAGATCGTGCAGATGATCCACGAGCATCAGAAAAATGCCGCCAACATACCCCCTACGAGCCCCGCATTCATTCCGCCGGGCGTGCAGATCACGAGGATGGATGTGTACAACATCATCAAGCGCCACAAGAACCTGCGTGCGCAGGAGCAGGACACGTCGATGCAGCGAGCGCATCGCGAGAGCGCCCCTTCCGGCGTAGACACAGACGCCCACGCACACCGCCTTGCGCTTGCCATTGACCCGGCCACCGCCAATGCGGCTGCCGCCGTCCCGCCTCCAGACCTGACGATCGCAGACACACGGCGGCCCGACGAGGCACCGCCCCTGGACCCGTCGACAGCTCCAGCGCCCTACTCAATGCTGCCAGCCACGCAGCTGACGACTGCCACGCCCGAGGAGGCCGTGAGCTTTGCACAGCAGTGGAGTGACCTGCTCGCGAACCTGCAGGCGCTCCAGCCACAAATGATGGAGTATGCGCTTACAACGGGTACAACGCGTCAGGCCAATACCACAGCTGAGTGGTCGCAGGCGATTGCGCAGCTGACGCAAGCGTGGTACATAGCGAGCAGCTTGGTCGACCGGCCCGGGCTGGCGCCGCCGCCCCCGTAGCGAGAATTGGTGTCTTTTTCGAAGTGGAGGTACCTCGCCGTCGTTTGCCTCGCCGCCTCCGCCGCTATGGCTGTCGACGCACGCGACGGCGTGCCGCCGCCGTTGACGGACCCTGCGCTCCTGCTGAGTCTGGTACCGCGCTTGCAGGAAATTGGGCGCCTGCTGGAGCAGGTGCGTGCGGCGCCCATGGAGCATGCGCCCACCGAGGGCATTCACTCGACGCGCGACGCTGCTGCAGCAGACGCGGCGCCAGCCCTCGAGACGCAGGGACCCAGCCTTGCGCTTGGCACAGTCAACGAGGATGACGACGATTGGGACCCATGGACGGCGTCAGACGGAGCCGGCGCAGAATCGCACATTCCTGCGGACCTGCAGGCCCGACTTGCGCAGGAGGCGACGGCTCTCCAGAGCACTCTGGCGCAGGCGCACGCTGCGCTGGATGCAGCGCCCGGCGCGGACATGAGCATAGACGACCAGGTGGACCTGTTAGCCAGGCTTGAGGCATACCGTGCGCGCCAAGCGTACGTATTGACGACTTATGCAGGGGAATCTATGACGTTTGGACCGAGTGTGTGGCAGCATTGTGCGGTCCGCCCCCCATGGTCGAGTCTACCGACTAGGCAGGAGGCCTGCGCGCTGCAGCGTCTGCTGCGCCTGCAGGAGCATCGGGCTGGCGTGAGCAGTGCGCACGTACGCATCGATCATGAGCTCGCGTCCGTGGTGCATCAGGCCCACAGCGCCCTGGTTGTTCGCGACGCCGCGCTGGTAGGCGTCCCAGATGGCCTGTGCAAATCCAATGTCTTCGTGAGTGCATGCAACGTACCCTCCTCTGACGGCGAAAACGCGCGGTTCACAGCATCAAGCTGGGCGGGGTGGATGACCTGCTTCCCATCAAAGCCAAGGTCGGCACCGTCGCGACACTCATCCTCCAAGTAGGCCTTGTCTTTGTACTCAATGCAAACCATATCCTGCTGTGAGCGAGCCAACGTACAATAGCCTGCAGACCGTACGCACGCGCCGTCGTGACGAGCTGGGCGCGCGGAAACAGCAGGCTTCGCCGGTCGCGCGTGCGCTTGATGCGTGTGGCAGCACAGTAGTCCTCGCTGGCGTTAGCATCGCAGACGTACCTGGCGAACAAGAGCGCGGCGAGTGATATCCGGTGCTCCCAGTCGTCCATGCGCGCCTGCGCCTGCGCCAGCATCTGGGGCATGTGCAGCAGCGCCGCCGCACTTTCGATCGATAGCACGAGCGCGAGCGGTGTGGTGGGGCTGTGGTGAGCAGGGGGGAACGTACGTGTACTGCGACAGGGGTTGCGCCACTCGGGCCACAACGTCTAGGTCATCGACACTCTCGACCTTGGGGACGACCACGGCCTGCACGCGGTGGCTCTGCAGCACAACCTCGAGATCTTCCTCGGCCAACTCGCGCTGGGTCGACGGCGCATTGATGCGCACGGCCAGTTCGGGGCCCTTTTCTGGCGCCGCCTGCAGCGCCTGCAGGACCATATGCTGCGCAGCGCCCTTACGGTGCTCTGCAACACTGTCTTCTAGGTCGTACACGAGTGTGTCCGCGGCGACGTTCCGGCTCTGGCTGTCAGGATCGCGCACGTACCTTGACTAGCATCTTTTCCGAACTGCCAGGAACGTACAGGAGGCTTCGACGTGGGCGCACATCTACGCTAGGCTTTGTGCTCAAACACCTCCGAAAGTGGGACACAGCGCGTGAAGCCCGCATCAAAGCGGTCCCCCGCCACATGGTAGAACGGCTGATGTGTCCTGTGCGCGAGGGCCGTCCTGGCCTCACGTGAGCGCCAGTGTCGCCCCGCGAGAAGACGCCGTGGCGTGACGAGCCTTAGCATGCGGCCCTCCGATCCAGTGGTGGGCACACTGCACATTGCGCAGCCGGTGGCTGTAGCTGTGCTGGTAATTCTTCAGGCACACTACGCGATTGTGGCCAGATGGGTGCGCGCACGCCTCGGTGCCGAGCGTCAGATATCGCTCGATGAGCATCCAGAGCAGGGGCTGCCGCAGCCCGTGGTCGGGGCGCAGCGCACACGCACGTCGCTGGGCGTGCGTATCGCACTGCTTGTCATATCTGCCTCGTTTTTGGTGTCTGGTATGCTCGTGGCACTCGGTGCTGTTCTGCCGCCCCATGTGTGGCTGCCATCGCTGAAGCACTGGACGTGGCTGGATGTGCAGGCGCTGGGCGGCGGCATGGCATGGGCGCTAGTAGCTTTATCCACGCTGCGCGAGGAGCGCCGCTATGGACCTGGCCAGTTCCGCCGCGCGCGTCTTGCGTGTATTACGGCTGTGAGCGCCGCTGCCGACGTGGCGCTGGCCGTGGCGCACGCCCAGCATTCCCACGTGAAGCCTGACGTGAAGCTGTGGGCATTCCTGCAGGTCTATGTGCTATACGCGCGTCTTGTGATTTTGTATCCGGTGCTCGTGCTGGTGATGCTCCGGCGCCGTGCACCTCTTCGCTCGTCAGTGGATGCGGTGGGCGTTCAGGCTGGCACAGCGAGCGCTGAGGCGCCGGCCACGGATGAGGCGCGTCCCGCACCGCCACCAGGGTTCTTCCTCCTGCTTAAGCGGGTGCGCGTGCTGGCGCCGTACCTATGGCCGAGCGAGTCGCCGCGTCTGCAGCTGCTCGCAGTGCTGAGTGTCGCGCTGCTGTTCGTGGCTCGCGTCGTGAATCTGATGGTGCCGCTGGCGCTTGGACGCGTCGTGGAGGCGCTCAGTGCCGGGCGCGAGCCATGGGGCCCCATTCTGGTGTTTGCGATGCTCAAAGTGTTCCAGGGCTCGGGCGGCCTTGTAACAGTGGCGCAGCAGCTGCTGTGGTACCCCATCGCATGGTACTCGGACGTGCACATGAGCCGCCTCATGTTTGATCGTGTGCTGAACCTGTCCATGTCGTACCACACCCGCCGTAAGACGGGCGAGCTGATCCGCACCATGGACCGTGGCTCGGCGCTGAATAACTTTTTCGAGTATCTCCTCTTTTCCCTCACGCCCGTGTTTGTGGACATTATGGTGGCGGTGGTGTACATGTCGGCGGTCTTTGGCTGGCGCGTTGGCAGTGTGCTCCTGGTGATCATGGTGCTGTATACGGTATGCAGCGTGCGGATCACGACGTGGCGTACGCAGCTGCGTCGCGAGGTGAACAGTAAAGACTCGCAATGCCGAGCGATCACGACGGATGTGTTGCTGAACTACGACACGGTCAAATTCTATGGGAACGAACCATACGAGTCGAGCCGCTTTGCTGGGGCGCTCGATGCGTACCGCCAGGCGCAGTATCGCCTGGTGCTTAGCCTGAACATGCTGAATCTGACGCAGAACCTGATTCTGGCGTTTGGTACGCTGTTCACTGTACTTGCGGTCGCTTATACGGTCGTGCAGGGCGCCACGACACCGTCGCAGTTCGTCGTATTTGTGTCGTACCTGCAACAGGTATACCAGCCGCTCAGCATGCTGGGCACACTGTACCGTGTGATGAACCAGAACTTGGTCGACACCGACAAGCTGATGGAGCTGCTGGATGAGGAAGTCGATATTAAGGATGCACCTGGCGCGCCGGACCTTACAGTCCGAGGGGGCGAGATCGAGTTCCAGGACGTGCACTTTGCGTACGAGCATGGCAGCAACATGGCGCTGAATGGCATGTCGTTCAAGATCAACCCGCACGAGCGCGTGGCGCTTGTGGGCGAGAGTGGCTCCGGAAAGTCCACGACGCTCAAGCTGCTGTACCGCTTCTACGATGTGACAAGTGGGCGTATCCTGATCGATGGCCAGGATATTCGCGATGTTACGCAGCAGAGTCTGCGGCGGGCGGTGGGCATTGTGCCGCAAGAGCCGTCACTGTTCAACATGGACATCCGGCGCAATATTCTGTATGGCAATCTTGAAGCTTCGGACGAGGCCGTAGAAGCGGCCGCGCGGGCAGCGCAGGTGCACGACCGGATCATGGAGTTCCCGAACCAGTACGCGACGGTCGTTGGCGAGCGTGGCGTACGTCTGAGTGGCGGCGAAAAGCAGCGAGTGGCGATTGCACGCACGATTCTCAAGGACCCGCCTGTGCTTCTGATGGACGAGGCGACATCTGCGCTAGACAGTCATACGGAGCGCAACTTGCAGACGGCGCTGCAGACGCTCATGGAAGGCCGTTCGTCACTGACCATCGCGCACCGCCTCTCGACGATTGTCAACAGTGATCGGATTCTCGTGGCGGATCAAGGCCGTATTATTGAGCAGGGCACACACGAGGAATTGATTGCGCTTGGCGGCACATACAGTCGGCTGTGGGCACAGCAAAGCAAGACGCTGGCCGAGCAGCGAGCGGAAGAGCAGGCGAAGGAGGCTCTTGAGGCACGCGACCAGCCCGCTGGGGAGCCCGCGAAGCAGGCACCCAAGGCACATGAACAGCCTGCTGGGGAGCCCGCGAAGCAGGCACCCAAGGCACATGAACAGCCCGCTGGGGAGCCCGCGAAGCAGGCACCCAAGGCACATGAACAGCCCGCTGGGGAGCCCGCGAAGCAGGCACCCAAGGCACATGAGCAGCCCGCTAGGGAGCCTACGGAGCAAGCACCTGGTCAGCCTTCTGGACAGGCTAAACAGCTCGACGAACAGCCTCCAGCTGACGAGCCTAAGAACTCAGCTTCGAACACATTGGCGCCGGCGGCAGACGCTAGGGGCGAAGCGTCTCAGACGTCGGAGGCGTCTGCATCTGATGTGCCTGGCGAGGCGCGTACCGGTGTGCCGCGGTCGCGCTCTGCGCGCAAGAAGAAGAACCGCAGAGCTCGTCGTTGAAAGCGCCGTTCTAAACTATCACAATATTAGGGGATGGGAACAGGCTGGCCCAGCTCGTCGCGCACGACGACTACCTCGACATCCGCACGCTCGCCGTTGTCCATAAAGATGACCGAGGTCATGTCAATAGGATCCGTGCGCACGCCACGCTTCTCCATGAACGAGCGGCCCAGGATCACAGGGAAGAAGCTGTCCTCAGCCAGCATCACCGTGCACGGGACAGCCTTGCTGCCGACCTGCACAGGCCACTTGCCTAGATTTGTGATACCGTTGTAGCCGTACGTGCCGGGTGTCGTATCCACCGGAATGAAGCCGTGCTCCAGCGCAAAGCTGCGGCTCACATACACGTGGCGATAACCCGACTTGAGCATCATTGGCACGTTGCTCACAGGGCCCAGGCTGCCACGCAGCAGGCGCACACCACGCTGCGAGTGGAACTCTTCAAATGCCACCTTGTGTGGCAGGTTCGGCGAGTTGTTGGACTGGGGGATCGTCCTCCTCGACTTCTCATGCTTGATTGAGCGCGCATCGAGCGGCTGCGGCTGGTGGTAGCTCGAAACGGACGTCTCGCGGGGCGGGGGGTACAGCAGGCTGTCACGGCCACCACCGCTCACACCACCGGCCTCGACGTACTCCTCAACTCCGGGCACCGTTGCCGCGGGCACGCGGTGGATGCTCACCGAGCCCGTCTTGCCGCGCGCGGGCGTGCGCGTGACGAGAGTCGACTCATCCAGCACCGGCACGTTGGGGCCAGCGCTCTGCAACGGGCCAAGCGCAGCGTACTGGATCGGTGGGGCAATGCTGTGCGAGCCCTGCACGGGGAGCGTGCTGGTAATGGGGGCCGCCGAGCCCGGTGCGCCCGACGACGACGACGACACAAGCAGGTCGACCTGGCTGGCCTGACCAAAGCGGTCGAGGAAGATCTCCATATCATCGGCTGTCGTTAGCGATATGTAACTTACCATCCTCGAGCCTGTACTGCTCCTCATCGTACAGGTACATGAATGACAGTGACGAGGTGTCCTGCAGGTTGAGCTTATGGGCAACCCGCTCTTTCAGGCTGGCGGTCAGATCATACCGTGGCGTGACGCACCTCTCCCATGTCTCCTTGTCCTGCAATCGAATAGAAAAGCTAGGCAGAGTACCAGCGTGGAACTTTTCATGTCAGGTCTTGCATCCGCGCGTACGTACATTCAAGATCGGCGCCATGGTGGATCTAAGACGGCTTTGCCGCGCTGGCTGGCTTGTGTACCCTAGGGTGGTGACCGCCGGCCGAATTCGACTGCCCGACGCGTAGTGTTTGTTCACGTGATCAGTGGAGGTTTCCCCGCAGCCCAAGGGGGCCGCCTCCACCTCGACGCGCTCGTCTCGCATCCCCAATGATTGGCGTGACGGTCGCGGCGCTGTTGGCCAGCTCGTGTTTCCTGCTTGGCATGCTCGGGATGCACTGGCGTGCTGACCACCTGATCCTATGGGAATCAGATCGCACTCCAGAGAGCGTGCTTGTAGCACTCCAATACTATGTATCGACGGTCGGCGCCGCGCCCACAAAGTACACGACGGTGCTTCTAGTGGTCGGCACGATCCAGGCGACGATCCTCGGCAGCAAGATCTTTATGGGCTCAGAAAACAATTGGCTTTTCGATGGTGCGAGCCTGTTTCTCGTGTGCGCCAGCGGCATTTTGTACGTGAACAAGATCCACCCGTTTGTCGACGCCCTGCCCAGCGTCATGCCACCGCCCCAAGTTCTTACTTCTGCACACTTCCAGCAAACGCTCGGCATACTGCGAGAGCTGGCGAGTGCGCACATCCTTCTCTCCATGGCCTTGATAGGCATTATCCTCCTGCAGTGCGGCAAATACTACAGTGTACGTCTACAAGAGCGTGAACGCAACGAAGAAGTCGACGTGCGCCTCGTCCGGCGCCTACGACAACTACAACAGGAAGAGCGCAAGAGCGGCCAAGTTACCGCATCGTCGCCGGACCTGCTCATGGCCGCCCGCGGCGGTGCACACTAAATCTTTGCCTTGGACGTGCCAATGTGCCGGGACAGCTGGACGAACGCATCGCAGCCCTAGCGGTCAGTATGGCTATACGTACGTGTCCCCATAAACTCACAATGTCCAGGCTGCTCTTCCCGAAGTAGCCCAAGTAGAGACGCGATAGCGGCAGACCATACCCTAGGCCGGCCAGTGTGCCCATGCTGCTCTGCATTGCGCCGGCGGCCACGTCCATAGGGTCTTCGCCTCCCGCCCAGTTCGCCGTGTCGCCGCCTGCTTTTGCCGTGGTATACGCGTAGTCAAAGATACGGGCCATGCTCTCAGGTGGAATGCCGCCGCCCGCGTCACGGATCCGCACACTCACATGGCTCGGTGTGCTTGCCAAGGTCACTGTAATTGGCGGGATTCCAGGGGGACCTGTGCCGGCGCGGCGGTGTGCAAGAAACCTCTCGGTCGTGGCGCGGAACGCGTTCTTGAGCAGCTCTGTCATCACATAGTCCAGGTGCACTGGAATACCCATCGTCCGCGCATCCACTTGGCCCTCCAGCACGACCTCTGGTGCCATCTCAAAGGCTGACTCACACAGCGCGCGCACATACTCGCTGCTCTGCCGGATCACGTCCGCGGGCGCCATCGCTGTATCGACAATGCCCACGGATGTCGGCGTCAGGCGAAATGCAGTTGAGTTGTCATTGCTCCCTGCACTCTTAGCCGTCGCTGTGAGCGCTAGATGCTGCTCGGCAATGATACGGACGCCAATACGGCTGTGCAGCGCAGCATTCAAGAAATTTGAGACCTTCTCCGAGTCCATGTACTCGCCACACTCCAGAAAACCACGCGAGAGCGTGGGAACCACCTCCGAGTGATCATTCACAAGCTTCTGAAGCTCTTCCACAAACCGATCATTGTCGTCCAGTGTCTCGATCGGCTTTACCTGACTGAGTTGCGCGAACGACCAGGCATACAGCCGCGCCACTTCTTGGATATAAGGGTTTGTCCCCACAATAAAGGGCAGTGAGTAAAATTGCCGCACTCGCCGCGCAAGACGCACAGGCAGCTCCTGCTGTGTGTACTTGGCCGAGCGCAGAATCACATCGGGCGTCGCTGGCTCGCCGGGCCGCCCGCCTTGGGCCAGGAGGTACGGCAGAGTAATAGGTCTAGGTGTCTTCTCCAGGGCGCGTGTCAGCAGGTCCATGGGCACACCAAACACGGCGAACCGCGTGGAATGGCGCAGCGATGACGACATCTCGCTCGTCTGCCAAGCGACGCCCAGGTCCACGTAGTGGGGTAGCTGCTTCGAGCACGGACGGGGCACGCGGTCGGTGCAGATCTCGGCCGACGGGTGAGCCGTGCGACGCCACTCTCCACGCGGTGCCCTGTCCCAGGCCATGGCGGAGCTATTTGAGTCCTACGCATCGGACTTCGCGCAGCTGCGAAAGTCGATTGAGAGCCGCCTGGCTATCGACTTCTCGAGTGTCTCGAGCGAGACGCGGCGCTCGGCCTTACGTCATGCTGATGCTGAGGCAGAAGAGGCCGGCGAGCTTGTGTCGCAGATGGAAATCGAGGTCCAGGCTTTCCCCAGCAGCGTGCGTGACCGGTATACCGACGAGCTACGTGCTCTCAAGTCAAGTCTTGAAAAGCTACAACGGGATATCGTGCGTAGTCGGCACTAACAACAGCGTGCGAAGCAGCGCCCCGCCTCAGGCCTCGGCGCCAGTGGCCTCCCGTTGGACGAATACCGCGACAACGACCCGGAAATGGGCGTCGATGACGCGCAGCGTCAGCGCCTGCTGAAGGGCTCTGACATTCTCGAGCGTGGAACGCAGCGCCTGGCTGAGTCCACGCGCCTGGCACTCGATACTGAGGATGTCGGCGCAAATATCCTACAGGATCTGCGGCGCCAGCGCGAGCAGATTGAGCATAGTCGCGATACGGTATGTGCGACAGTGGCTGATGTTCCAGCTCCATGGGGCCGACGCGCATATCGACCGCTCTACGCGCACCCTTCGACAAATGATTCGCCGGTACGTTTCCTATCGGCCACTGACATGCAGGGCTCAACAGCAGAAGCTGGTGACAACAGGTATCATCGTCGTGCTGGTCCTGCTTATCTTGCTCATCCTCTACTCCAAGCTGTTTTAGCGGATTGTCCACATGTAGCGCCGATCGTTCTGGTCCCTAGATTTAGGCACGTGCGTTGGTACGGGGGGAGGCGCCACTCCACGGCCGTTTCGTCAGACGTGGACCACATGTCCCGTGCGCCGACGTTCCGAGCGCCGGAAGGCATCTACACCTGCTTCGACTGGTCCAACCCACTTCAGAATAAGAGCGCATCTCAATATGGTGCTGATCCGGGTATAGCTGCGGCTAATCCCTCGGAGGCCATGGCCCATTCTCGCGTAGCACTACGAGGCGAGGTGCCCCGGCTCAGCGGCACAGTCGTGCGACCATCGGGCACGGTCGACAGCGCCCCCGGCTTCCTCACAATACCTGAGCCGATTGCCAATCAAGGTATTCAAGCCGATACGCTGCGGCTCCCTGCATTGGGCCCTGCAGCGGGCGCTAGTGGCCCGGCGCCGCGACAGGCGCGCCCCAAGCAGTCTCTGAAGAATGCAACAAACAGCCTCATTTCTCGCGTACAAACCTACCAGGATTTCTCTCGCGCTTTTTCATCGCTGAACAAGCCAGAGCCTCTCAGCATCACCATCTTTTCAGCCGGAAAGAGCGTTTTTTGGCTGACACAGCTGCAGAACAAGATCCGCGATCCAGTGATCCGCCTCCAATGTACCCAGTCACCCCTATGCCACGACGTTAACCAGTACACCCGCCAACCCGACCGCCTGGACGTGGCTATCGGTTTTGACTCGGGCGATATCCTGTGGGTGGATCCGATCGCCCAACGCTATTCGCGGATCAACAAGGATGGGTGCTTAACCAAGGCAAGTGTGCGACAGATCGCTTGGCTGCCGGGCTCCGAGACTGTCTTTTTTACGACGCACGACAATGGTTGCGTGTACATTTGGGACGTGGAGCGGGACGACTCCTCGGAGGCGATCGAGGTGGCTGCTCCGCCCTCCTCGTGGGACGCGCGGCGCTCGATCCTCGCTGACCTCGTACCCGACCGTATCGACATGCCTTCCCCCATACCGTGGCGCTCGGGGCGCTCGAAAGACTCGACTGGGACAAACCCTGTGCGCTATTGGCGTGTCTCACGTCGTGCACTCACAGATCTAAAGTTTAGCCCGAATTCCAAGCAGGTCGCGATTGGGTGCGATGACGGCATTTTACGCATCATCGATCTGGATTCGGAGAAGTACGTTCAGCCCACTAACCCAGCCTTTCGCACTCATTCTCCACCTACTTTGGCGGGATCTCATGCCTCAGCTGGTCCCCGGACGGCCAATATATTGTGGTACGTGGACTTCACTGACTGTAGGCGGGTGGACAGGATGACCTCATTAGTATATTTGCGCCACAGCAGCGCCGCATCGTGGCGCGTGGCATGGGGCACCACTCTTTCGTTTCCTCCGTGGTATTTGACCCGTGGAACTTTCGTGGTGACGAATCCCTGCGTATTGTCTCCGTCGGAGAGGATGGCAAGCTGTGCCTATGGGACTTTTCCGCCGCTTCGCTCACACGCCCACGTGCCACTAGATCCTCGTCGCGGCCACGATCCGGTGGCCTGCCATCAGCGAGTATGCTAGGCTCCGGGCGCTCCTCCATGCGTTCTCCGCTTGCCTCTGCACAAAACGATGTTTACGTGCCGGCAGCACCACGTGCCGAGGTACCGATGGTCAACCCACTCGTCTCTGTTCCCATGCGTGGTACAGTACTCTCAGACGTGCGTGTGGCTAGCAACCATCTTGTGCTTCTGCACGTGGATGGTACCCTCGACGTGTATATGCGCCCCGATCCACATTCACGCCCATCATTGCAGTTCGCAGATGTGCCATCAGGCCAACCGCTTGCATCTGCGCAGTCGGAACACGACGGCCTGCCCGATTCAAAGAGCTCACGGACGGGACTCTCTCGCCTAGGTCTTCCTCGGCGTTGGAATAGCGGTAGCAACACTTCATAGTCAGAGACATGAATCCATGCTTTTGCAAACTATAAGAGGAAAGGGTATCGGCGTTCATGGCTTCTTTTCGCCAGGACGGAGCATGCCACGCACGCGGTATCCTTTTTGTACACGCGGGCCCCAGCCACGGACCTTTTTGGGCTTCTTGATATCATAGGCAAAGTCGCGGGGATCCTCGCCTTGACGGAACTTTTCGAGCGACCAAAGCAGGTACTTGCGATCTTTCACAGCCATACCCTCTCCCTTCAGCTTCTCCGATGTGAGGCGGAACATCATGTCCCAGTCCTCACCCACGGCCGATACACACGTCGAATTGGAAGCCAAATCACGACGCGGCTTGGAGATAGCCTGCAGAAAGGCCTTGGGCGAGTCGATCTTACCTGATTCTGTTAATCATGCAAATACGTACCACGAGGCGACGGAACAGCTCTGGTAGCGGCACTAGATGCAGATCGCACAAACAAAGGATGCACAGGCAGTGTCCACGGCAGCTTGTTCCACAGCATCATCGACGGGCAACTCCATACTCGACCAGCACCGTCGTGACGACCATCGGACGAATCACGTGATAACTATGGTACAAGGCTACGAGGGTACCTCGTGTCGGTATGCATCCACAGCCGCTAGGAAAGACTCAAGTAGTGCATAGATAGTGCGTGTGAAAATGAGATGAAATTTGCGCTCGGACATGTAGCATAATGTGTTGGTCAAAAGGCAGAGGGGAATCGACGACCACATCCGACTCCACCCCAGCTTCGTGTCGAGGTGTTGTGTTGTTCTTCTGCCCAGTTGTACGAGAAGTGCGACTTGGGATGGAAGCGAAGATTGCCGTATGGAAATGGCTAAGCACTGCGAGGCATACACGAGCCGATCCCTCAGAGGTGTCTGACGCTGCACAGGCTTTGCGCACAATGAATGTCCACGCAGAACAGTGGAAATAATCGCCTTTGTGCATACATACTGCCCTTTCCACGCCATTGATACCAGCGATGTAGTCATCTTCATTGACGGTAACCAGGGGATGCTAGGCACGGGGCCCGGTACACCCAAGAGCGGCATCAGGGCAGTGCATAGAATCAGGCACATGTGCACAGTCAAGCACAATGCCTGGACCACCGCATCGATCATAAAGTCCTGTACCTTGGTATCCTCGGGCTGCTGCACGCTGCGCACCGGGACAAATCGATAGATCGCATCGCCTGGTGCACACTGCACACCACTCAGGGCGACGCCCATGGCGAGTTTCTCGCGCACCATAATTTTTTCATGCTCCGACAATGAAGAGAATGGACGCCCCTTTAGAAGAGAGAAGGCTTCCTCAATAAATGTCGCCAGTGCCTGTTCGTGGATGAGTCCTGTCGCATACATCCGGTCAGATTGTCGCTGGATCGCGGCGATACGGTCCTGCTCGCCTTGCATAGCATGAATCTCTCGCAGCGGAAAATGTCCTGAGCCTACTCGCTGCACGTCGGGATTAACGATTCTTGTTCGTGACTGGAAGAGGTCGCGCACGACCTGCTCAACACCTGCTGAGCCATCCGACCACGTCAGATTGGCATCACAGGGGATATCCACAGCCTGTAATAATGCATGCTCACTGTTTGCTTCAGCACCCATAGGGGCCTGTCACTAAGGCAAAGTGCTCGCCGACGTCTTGGCACAGAGTCCGCCTAGGGAACCTAAACGAACGGTGCCTGTCCGCAAGCGGTTGGGGAGTAGCTTCTGGCCAATCGCAAAAGAGAATCGCAAGTTGCAATTGTGCTTGACCTCTTGGTGATGACATAACCCAAGACGATCGCAGACATTTTATACCCCTAGGGTCCCGTCGACGAGAAACCTTGCTCTCATGCACCTCCCCGAACCGCGTGGGCCCTTCAAAGTAGGGATTGTGGATATTGAGGTTCCCGTACGGAATCCAAAGGACTTTATTCCCTCGTATCTGAGCCGAACTCGCGTGAATAAGCTTTCAAAAAATGGCAAAAAAGTTCGGAGACGCAAGGCCAAAAAAGTGTACAACAATTTCACCACTGGCCTAGAGGAGGAAGACGTTGAAGTTGATGACCTAGGTGCAGCAGAAGACGAATTTCTAGGTACGCATGGCTTCCACCTGCGCACCTCGACCCTTCACTTCCGTACGGTCTTGTTCTCGCTTTACTACCCGAGCGCAGAATTGTCCGAGTCCCAGCGCCGGAAGTACAAGCAGCCCAAATGGCTCGGCTTCCCATTGAAGAAGACAACGAAGGCGGCATGGTCATATATTGGAGAGTACGGTATGTGGGCCCAGTTCTTCGTGCCGACACTCTTAACGCTCATACGCGCTCGGCCGGCTGCGCGTGTGGCTCTACCGCTGGGCGATCCATCCAAGGTGCCTAGCGATTTGGGCTGTGGTGCTGCAGGTGAAGCCATTGACTCCATGACGACCAAGAAGTTTCCTGTCGTCATCTTTTGTCACGGTCTTGCCGGCAACCGCCTGGCCTATTCGCAATTTTGCACAGAGCTTGCTTCGTATGGTTTTGTTGTGGCTGCAATTGAACACAGAGATGGTTCCGGTATGGGAAGCTATGTGTGGACTGGACTGGACTCGATCTTGAATTCGAGCGATGTAAGCAGCCCCGCACTCGCCAAGCGTTTGCGAAAGAATGTACTAATGGGGGCAAACGAATCTGTGTTGAATCTCTCGCTGAATGAGGAAAGTCAGCTCAATGATGACCAAGAGCGGTCTGTGCCTTCTCTTTTTAGCGACTATACCAAAGTGCCCTACTTGCCTTTTGAAAAGGTGGGTCTTCGTCCCTTTATGGCTGTACAGGGCGAGAAAGAGATACATCTTCGTCAGGCGCAGCTTTCTATGCGTGCGGCTGAAATCATGGAGACGATGTACGTCTTGAAGCGCATCAACGATGGCGATGCCGAGTGGGTTGCACGCCATCGAACGCGAAGTCTCGGAGCGGCGCTGGTGGGCACGAAAGAGTTCAAGAAAATGCGTCGGCAGGGTCTTTTGGAACACACCAGCGAATTTTTGGCGGGTTGGAAGAACAAACTGGATATTGATTTTCCTAGTTTGGTCGGCCATAGCTTCGGTGGTGCGACTTTATTTGAGTTCTTGCGCAAGGATCAAGATCTCTTCCAGTTTGGTATTATTTTGGATCCCTGGATGGACCCTGTGCGCGATCCACTGACAGATGAGAGCGTTCGAGGCAAGCTCAACAAGCCTGTGTATGTCATCAACTCGGAAGGCTTCACCATGTGGCCTGAGCAGTATATTAAGTTGCGCCGCGTTACTATGGATGGAGTCAATGCCAGTCCGGAACATCGCGGCTGGCTCATGACGCTTTCAGGTACCAACCACGGCGACTTTAGTGATCTGCCCTATTTGCTTCCTCGTATATTTGGCTCGGCGGTGCATGCAGACGAGGCAATGCAAACATTTTCGGTGGTGACGCGAGCGCAAATCACCGCCCTACGCCAAAACTGGCACCTCTATCAAATCCGTAAAGGCGCTATCCCTGATGATATTGGTCTTAACAAGCAACTTGTGCCCTCTGGAGGCGCGCACATCATGGACGAGCAAAATATGCCAGTGACCAAAGAAATGATGCAATTTCTATATCAGGTGCGAGTTCTTTCGAAGCGCTTAAATCGCCGCAACCGCAAAAATCTCTTTTGGGAATTGCACGGTTGGCGGTATCAAGCACAGCACGACCCTCACACACGTGCCGGCAAGAAGTTCCAGCGTATTCAGGCCAGGGAAGAGGCCCGTACTAGCCGCCAGGCAAATACTGGTGATATGAACCCTGATTTGGAGCACGAGGTGGACGAGAAAAAACAGCAAAAGGCGATTCTGGAGGATCCGAAGAACAAGCCACAGTTTATTGACCCTATGAGCGACGGCAGCGAAGCTTGGTATGGCCATTTGGTCGACACAGATGCACGGACCGTGTTTGATCAGTGGCGTCAAGAGGTCAGCATAGCAAAACACCACCGGCGCCCTCTGTCTCTCTTTTCACTATTTTTATGGTTCCTCGGTATCGGGGATGGGTTGGCTCCGGCCGGTCATTTGCTAGTGCACGATTTATAGGAGCGCTATCTATCCATCATACAGGGTGCGTTAGCATTGTCGTGACCTGCTCGTCGGGAATCTTGTGGACACTGCATGTGAGCATGTGAGACATACTTCTCGCCGCGGTAGTTGAGGCGCCGCAAAGTTGCAATGACCTTGTCTTTGCTGAAGCCCTAGATGTGAGTCATGACCATCGTACCATACGACAAAACTTGTCGACATGCTCATTTTCGAGACCCGCGAGCTGCACTTCATCCTTTTGTTTCAGTTCACTGGGATTCCGGCTAGCATAGAGTTCCGTCCAGTACCTGGCCGTCTTCTCGTAGCCTTCAAAATCGCTCGTGTAGTGTTTAGCCACTTCGGCGTCTTGGGGATCATTCGGCTCAGGCGAACACAGGAGTGAGCGCAGAGACATGAGCGTTGTCTTTAGCGTATACACAGGGGACCACTGATCTTGCATGTGTTAGTGCGGTGCCAGCTACATGCGTACCTTTCAGGATGTCGAGGCAAATGGCGCCGCTCTGCGACGAGACATTCGGGTGATACACCTTTGTGATAAATCGCATCTGAAGGGGATGAAAAGGGTATCCTTCTGGCACCGAGATATCCTGAATGTTAGGCGCTAGTACGTACGACTCTGAACAGACCGTTCTCAAAGGGTGAATGGATGGGGCCTGGAAAGGTGCCCTCCAAATGAAAGGGAGATTCTGTTATGAGTATATCAACACGTGCCATCGATCATTTTCACTGTAATCTCATCATCGGGGTCCTTCTCGCAAGCGGCAATTTCGCGCATAATGCGCTTCAAACGAGCACCTTCCATCGTGGTAGCTTCTTACAACTACGTCGCCGCCAGCTCGTCCGAAGTTGCATTGGCTATGTGGAGGCTGACACTATCCATAGGCTCAGGCACCCAAGAAGGTCGCCGCGACGTTGCGGCGCTGAATCTTGCCTGTGGCGCTGCGTGTTAGTGCGACAAAATACATACGTCTTAGGAATACTATCGGTGATCCAAATACGGCTCGGGATCTTGAACTTGATCAGCTTATGGCTGAGTTCCTTCTGAATACTTTCTTGATCCATGCTCCCACTCTCCTCTAAAACCACGACAGCGCCGACGAGCTCGCCGTACATGTCATCCGGAATCCCAAAGGACACGGCCTCCTTGACACCATCAAGTGACAAGAGGGCATTGTCGATCTCCAGTGGGCTGATTTTCTCACCCGAGCGGTTGATAAGCTCTTTGATTCGGCCAGTGAGCACTAGATAGCCATCCTCGTCAAAGTGTCCTTGGTCTCCAGTGCGCAGAAACCCATCTGAGGAAGGTGGGCAGTTTCCAAAACCTGTACGGAAAAAGCTGTCGCGGTTCGCCTTGTCGTTGTGCAAGTAGCCAGCCGTCACGTTCGGGCCACGCACGCACACCTCACCATTCTGGCCTGCGGGGAGATCCTCGCCCTGCTCATTCAGCACCTTGACTTCGACACCGTGACCAATACCCACCGTACCAGGCTTGCGCTTAGCCGGTGGTAGAGGATTCGATGTCATCTGGTGCGCGGCTTCCGTCATCGCGTACGCCTCCAGCACGGGCGCACCCAACGCGTTTTCCAACTTTTCGAACGTAGATGGCGAAAGCGACGACGAGCAGGAGCGAATGAAGCGGAAAGGTGGTATGGAAGAGGGCTGCTCAAGCGTGAGCACGATCTGATGGATTGTCGGGACAGCCGTGTACCATGTGGGTCGGCTCTTGGTAACCTCGTCCCAGAATGCTGATGCGCTGAAGCGCGGTGGAATCACCACAGTACCACCAGATAGTAGTGACGAGAGAAGACCACACATAAGGCCATGCACGTGGAACAGAGGCATGACCAAGTACGTCTTGTCCTCCTGGGTGAGCTTGTAGGTGCGCTGGATGTTGTGCATAGTGGCCACGAGGTTCTTGTGGGAGAGCGGCACCGCCTTCGGGCGCCCTGTTGTACCGGACGTATGCAGGATCAGGGCCGTTTGGTCCTCGGACGCACCCGTCGGCTCCCCTTTGGGCAGGGGGCCCTGCGCATCGACGAGAGTGACTGTGGCGTTGGCCGCGTCGAGCACCGCCTCCACGATCCGTATATTGAGCGATTCGGCAGCGCGCTTCGCCGCGAGGGCACCCCCACTCACACCCTCACCACGCAGTGACCCCTTGGGAAGGATGAGGAGCTTGGCATCCGTGTCTCCGAGATAGAAGTGAGCCTCCGATTCTTTGTACCCTGGGTTCAGCGGTGCTGCAATCAGGCTACATGTCAATGACTTGCTGTACGTACCCTTCCTCAGCCGTCGCAAGGAACACGGCGACAAATTCAGCGCTATTAATGAGGCTGCTGCTCAGCACTGCGCCTTTCGGAAGGGACAAGGCTGCCAGCTGGGCCCGCACGTTCTGGATCATTCCGTGGAGCTGCGCATACGTGAACGACGCAGGCGTGCCAGTAGACTCCGGTAACTCAATAGCCTTAGCATCCTCGCAGAACCCAGTACGGGGCTCCAAGACACTCTTCACAAGGGTAGAACCAACCATGGTAATAGTGTGATACGGTTCGGTGAGCCTAAACCCGAAGTGGCACGTGCGGGACTCCGGGGCATCGGCGGTCGAGCCTCCTAACGGCCATGACTGTGTCGCGCCACTGGGTATCGCAGGTAAAGACGATTATCTCGCCGCTTCTCCCTGAGCTACACAAGGGCCAGGCAGGTCGCGTATGCGTGCTGGGCGGATGCCGTGAGTACACGGGCGCGCCGTACTATGCTTCCATGTCAAGCATGCGGCTGGGCTGCGATATGTCGTTCACCGTCTGTGCGCCGGAAGCGGCGCCGGCGATAAAGTCTTACTCGCCGGATCTGATCGTGCATCCATTGTTAGACCAGCGAAAGAGTCAGGAAGATGTGCGTGCCGAGCTGCGTACGCTTTTCCAGCGGCTGCACAGTGTCATTATAGGCCCCGGCCTGGGGCGGGATGACTATATGCAGTCGTTCGCGCGCGTGGCTATCGAAGTCGCTCGCGAGTCCAACTTGTACATGGTGATTGATGCGGACGGCTTGTGGCTGGTGCAGAACACGCCTGAGGTGATCCAGGGCTACCGCCGCGCTGTCCTCACACCGAATGTGGTCGAGTTTCAGCGCTTGTGTCGCGCCGTGGTACGTGCAGCTCATCTTACGCGCAGGGCGTCGAGGCTTCTCATGGTGCGGCGCAGCGGCTCAGCTCGGCGCTGGGTGGCCCTACGATTCTGGAGAAGGGCCGTGTCGACCGTATCGCGACCGCCGAAGATGTGGTCGAATGCGACATCGAGGGCGGCCTGAAGCGCTGCGGCGGGCAGGGCGACTTTCTCAGTGGCACACTCGGCACCTTTTTGGCGTGGGCCCAGCGGTACGAAGAGCGTGAGAAGGCGGGCGAATCGCTCCCTGCAATCCCTGCCTCCCAGCTCCCGCAGGTGGCTGCTCTGGGTGCCTCTATGGTTACCCGCACGGCGTCCAAATTGGCCTTTGCGCGTTACCGGCGCAGCATGTTGGCGAACGATATGATGTCCGAGGTAGGACCCGCGTACGAGCACCTCTTTGGCTCTGCATAACCTACACACGAAGTGCCTTGAGTTCTTGGAGCAGGTCCTTGCTCTCCTGCTCCTTTTCTGCAAGGGCTACTGCCTCCGCCGCGCGTGCTGTCTTCCAGCGGCGCATGCGCCACTTGAGACCGCGCTCATTCGCGAGGTCGCGGCCCATCAGCAGCTCAATGGGCATTGCATGGACATCCGACTGGCCAGGACGCGCAACGAGGCGGCCCGTCTCATCACGCTGGGCGCCGGCACTTGCTTCGTCGAGCGCACCCCACTCGCCGCCCGCTGCGGGGCCCACGAGCGGTGCGACATCCAGGTAGTCACTAGCCGCAAAGATGGCACCGCCCTGCTCCAGATGCGCCTGCGTTTCGTTGGCCTGGACAAACTCGGCGAGGCGCCGGCGCTCCATATGGACCATCTCGCTGGGCTTCGGCGCCTGCGCGATCGGCGGCGGGCGTACCGTCTCGCGCACCACAAAGCCGGCATAGGCGTGGGCACCAGGTGGCGTGGCCACAGTAGCGCTCTCCGCAAGCGCGCGCTTCTGGGCGACATGCGCCTCCCACTCGGCGTACTGGGCGGCGGCCTGGGCTTCACCGGCCGGCGTCGAGCGCGGCTTGCGGGCGGGTAGCAGCACGGGGTCCTCGGGGACCCAAGGCACCCACGTCTCTTCCTCGACGGTGCGTCCATCGGCGTGGGTGGCTTGGAAGGCTGTGTGTGAGTCGCGGGTACGTACGACGACGGCGCTGTCCGCCCTTGGGCCAAGGCACCTCGAATTTTCTGATCGTCTCACCGCTGCGTAGCGATGCCTCGTCTGTGACCTTGACGATGGCAAACCGCTTCCACGTGAACATGCCTTTCTGGCGGTCATAGAAGGGCTTGGAGCGAACAATGCGCGAGGCGTAGTACTCGGTGTCCGGCACCTTGAGCATGAGCTTAGAATAGTGCACGGGACGCGGCACAGACGTCACATTGCCCGAGTATCCTTTCTCTTCGCCTGCCTCGGGATCCACAAGGCGCGGCACGGTGTGCTTAATATTTTTGGGGGCGAGCTTGTGGTGATCCTGGTGTGAGAAAAAACACGTACGTCCAAGTCGCGCAGGAGCACGCGGTTGGTCGTGCGGTCGATAGACTGCACGATACCCTCTCCACGAATCTTACGACCGTTTTCGTCGTGCGCCACGGCGCCGGAGCGCAGCTTGACGACGTCGCCTGGCACTATGTTCCAGAAAGCGATGCGGTCTTTTGGCGGCACGTACGGAGGCGTCGGCGCCGCATGAGTGGGCCGTAGCTTATTGATGAACTTGTTATTGGTCCCCTGCCACATGTGGTCCAGGGATCGCAGCACGCGGCGGTTCGTCATGCCCGCCATATCGTCGTCCGCAGCGATCGACCTTGCGAAGGGCGCCGCGGCGAGGTTCTTCCATCACGTGATCACAGAGACGCCCGCGAGCGAGGCTCCGGCCTTGGTTGGATATGAACGCATCGGGGGTGAAAGTGGCTGGCGAGGTGGGCTTGCGTCGCCGCGGCACGCAGGGTGCCGACGTTGTGCCTGACGAGCCTGCGCGCGGTACTATCGCGCCCACGAAGCCGGCACCGATGCTGTTCGCCCCGCTTGTGGATGCGGTGTGGTATGTGTGGACGTACCTGTGCGCCGTCTTTGGCCTGATACTCGTAGAGCCGGCGGAGTTTGTCGCTATGCGTGAGTGCACTGGACTTACACAGTGATGATCTATGCCCTCCTGATCTACGGCGTCCTCCTCGCCTTCTACCATTTCCCGAACTATATGGCCATCGCGCTCCACCGCATGCACTATTACCTGACGGGCGAGTCGAACTAGTCGCGCCGTAAAAACCATGTACGATAGAACCTAGGTACCCCTTCCTTCTAAGTGCAGCATATCTGGCCCAAAGCTGTGTGGCAGCAGCTGCTCTAGTGTGCACACCAACACATGCTCGGGACGGTCGGCCTCTGCCGTCCACTGCTTGTATGGCATGAATATGGGCGTGGACGGCGTGCAGAACTCCCGCACAACCTGCCGGCAGATCCCACAGGGCGTACAGGGCGCCTCGTTGTCGGACGAAACGGCTACGGCCACAATCTGTTTCGTGCGAAGGTCAGCATCGACCATCTTCCGGCAGATCGCCGAACGCTCGGCACAGATACAGGCACCTGGTATAAGGGCAGATATACGCACCATACGACGCATTTTCTACGTTGGCCCCTTGCACAATCGTGCCGTCGTCGAGGAGTAGTGCGGCGCCTACTCGAAAAACACTGGCGTCAATGCCATGCCCGTACCTATAGGGCGAGTATGACAGGTTCTTTGCGTCGACGGCCTGCTCTAAAAGGCGAACGCGGTGCTCAGCGACCCACGCTGCTCGATCCATATCGACACAAGGCGCGATTCGCCCCGCACCTCCACCGACCACCTGGCAGCAGCGTAGCACGTGTTGCAGCGTGGGTGTCCGGACGTAGTGGCCTACGGCATGCTAGCGTTCAATACTGGATTTGGATCAGCACAGCATCGGTCAGCATACGCGCTTCGCAACGCGGCTCTATCAGGATCGTCTGCGTCTCATCAATGAGGATCGCAGGGCCCGGCACATGGTGCATCGGCTCCACATCGCGCAGTCGCACAATGGCCGTAGGCTGGCGCCCCAACTGGTCAAAGTATACGGGCCGACGAGGTGCATTCGCATACGCAGGTGCTTCAGGGAATGCCTGGGCGCCGTGCTGAGCGCATTGCGCCGCATGTTCGCGGAGCACGGACGGGCCGAGCGTGTCGAACGTGCGGCCTGTCGCGCGCACACGGACATCGTCAACAAGGATTGGGCGATCTTTGAGGATAAAGCCGAATTCCTGGCGGTACGTTTCGACAAACACACGCTTCATGTCCCAGTCGTCCTTGGCCGCGGGCTTGAGGGTCATGAGGGCCGTGTCTGTGCCGTCATAGCGCATGTTGAGGTACACGTCGACGTGGATGCGATTCGTGGGGAAGCCCTGGCGCACCAGCTCATCGACCGCACGCTGCTCGAGGTCGCGTGCGCGCGCTTGGAGGCGGTCTAGGGCCATAGGAGCGCCCCACGTCTCACTGCTCGGTTCCTGCGCCTCGAACACGCGGTCAGCGAGGGCCATGCCGTAGGCGGACAGGATTGACGAGTACTTGTGCACCACGACGGTGGTGATGCCCAGCGCACGCGCAATTGCACATGCGTGCTGTCCACCGGCGCCGCCAAAGCACGCGAGAACGTGCTTCGACGTAGAAAAGCCTCGGGCCTGGGTGAGCGAGCGAATAGGGCGGCACATGGCCTCGTTCGCGACGCGCAAAAAGCCGTGGGCCACCTCGTCGACGGTGAGAGAGCGCTGCGTCTCGGCATTGATCTGCGCGGTGAGTGCCTCAAAGGCACGAAGAGACGCATCCATATCGAGGCCTTCGTTCTCGTTCGGGCCAAAGATCTGGGGGAACATGTCCGTGGCGAGTCGCCCAGTCACAAGGTTGGCGTCAGTGATCGCAAGGGGGCCGCCTTTGCGGTAGCACGTGGGGCCGGGATGCGCCGACGCACTTTCAGGGCCGACGACAAAGAGCCCGTTACGGAAAAAGAGGCGCGAGGAGCCACCGGAGGCCACGGTGTTGACACTGGGTGAGTAAAGCATACGCACTCGAGCTGGGGGCTTTGGATAGTCACACCGTCAATGGTCGTCTCCATGACGCGCTCGTACTGCCCCGCGTAGCGCGACACATCGGTGGATGTGCCGCCCATATCAAAGCCGATGCACGGACGCCCGTCGTCCTTATCGTAGGTGGTGAGCGCCATACCGACGACGCCACCAGCGGGGCCACTGATGATCGACTTGAGCCCTGTAAAGTGCTCGACCGACGTCAGACCCCCATCCGACATCATAAATTCGACGCGGGTGCCAGCGCTGCCGTCACGCAGCGAGGCATCAAAGCCACTAAAGAACCCGTTCAGGTACGCCTGTAGCACGGGCGTCAGGTACGCATCCGCTGTCGCAGATGTGGCGCGTGGCACCATCTTGATCATCGGCATCAGGTCGGAGCTCACGCTGATGCTAGGGAAGCCGATCTCCTGCGCAATGCGTTTGACCAGCTGCTCGTGCTCTGGGTACGTGTAGCTGAACATAAATACAATGGCCAGGCTGCGGTATCCCTGTGCATAGAGCGACTCGAGCTCGCGGCGCACAACCGCTTCATCGGGGCGGCGCAAAATCGCCACAGCATCGCCAGACACGCCGCGCACCACGTCGGGGGCCACGTACTGTGCACCGGGTGCTCCTGCGCTCGGCGGCCGATCACGCCCCGAGTACGCCTGCGAAACATGCGCATCGCGCGCCGTCGACGAGAACTGCACGGCGTGCTGGCCCGCTTGAGGATCGGACGTGTAGCCCACCAGCGTCACTCGCTCGTCAATCTCCACAACCTGGTCGTACAGAACTTCAGGCTTGTGGATGGCCAGGTCAAAAATGGCGGGACGCGCTTGATTGCCAATCTGTACAATGTCCTGGTGTAAGTGTTGAACACGTACGCGGAAGCCCTTGGTGGTTATCAGTGCGTGGCGCTCGCCATCGCGCTCGAGCAACGCATTGGTGGCGACCGTGGTCGAGAGCCGGATGTATTCTGTGTAAGTCGCACAACGCACCAATATCCTCCGTCGAGATCTTTTGCGAGCGAGGAATCTTGCGTCCTGTGGCTTGTTCGAGGATACGACGGATGCCTTCGGTCGGAGCATCGGCGTAGTTGTTCGGATCGCGCGATAACAGCTTGATCACAATGTCGCGCGGCGGGACACCTGGTCCTGTCGATGGAACACGGCCCAGGCAGTCCGTGAATGTACCTCCGCGGTCTGGTGAGTCAAGCATAGGACGTACCAATGGCAATCTGTAGTCCAAGAGGCATGGCGGTGGAGGATAAGGGCCATATCACGTCGGCCGTGCGGAGCCCGATAGCGGTCCCGATAAGGAAGCCAGGGCCGAGTTGGCCTTACGCACTATGCCGACCACGCGGACGTCGCTAAGCGAGCTCGATTTAAGTGCGCGCATGCCTGACACGAATGATGTGTTTGAGGGCAAAATGCCGAGCCAGTATACGGATCCGTGCAAGCAGGCGGCGATGCAGTCCATGCGGTGTCTCGAGCGCCATGGCCACGACAAGTCCATGTGCCACAACGAGTTCTATATCTAGTACGTCACGCTCGCTCATGCCAGCCGTCAATGCAAGAAAGAGTTTATCCGCCAGCGTCGCGAGAACCGCTGACTCTATGTGCTACTGGTGCCCGCATTGCGGTACAAACGTACTACGCCGTCGTCGCCGCTCGCGACAAAGCGTGTACCAGGCGCGAGGAGACGAGTTGAGACTTCGGGCGCCTGGGATGTGGGTGCTTCCCTGGGGCACCATGCGACGCACCAGACTGGCCGGTCCAGCGAAATGCTTGATACACACGCCACAGGCGACGCGCCCAGGTCCCACAGGCGGACCGTGGCGTCGGAGGAGCTCATGTCAGTATCGATCGACGTACCATGTAGCCACAATACGCCCATCTCCTCCTGCCTGGACATCGAGGATCCAGCCCTTGTGCCCCTGCAGTGCCGTAATCGCATGGCCATGGAACTGTCGCCGGATGGCCTGCACATCGTGCACAGTCGTCGTCCGGTCATCAGAGCCAATGAACAGGTGATCCGCATACGATGTATCCGGCGCCGCGAAACTCAGCGTGCGCACTGGTTCCGCATGTTCTGTGGTTACTTAGTATCACATACCAGAAATGCTTAGCAGCAGTGCATGCGACGCCATATCCCACACATACACACTGCCGGTATTCGTGCCCATCGCGAGCAGGTCGCCCTCACGGTTCTGCGTTAGTCATTGTTACGCACAAATTCGAGCGTCAAGGCGTATGCACCAGGCTCCAGGCCGTCCGCGGGAAGGCGCCCGAGCGCCTGTCCAAACGACTCGGGCGCCGCCGAGTAAAGCACGACCAAAGCGCCTTCGCCCGCGGCGGCAAATGAGGTACCGTCAGGATGCAGTACCGTGGTCCAAGCCTCAGCACGCACAGGTTCTCCATCGACCACCTGTCCACGCACGCTTGGCGTCTGTGCAATAGGCTGCAGGGATTCACTGTCGTCCCACTGCCACAGCGCCACGCGGCCGTCCATGCTGCTTGTTAGAAGGAGAGCATCATTTGCGCTGCAGGATAGAGATACAATGCCAATATCGTGCACGTCACGAAGTGTCTGCCGGATCCGCGCCTCGCCAACGTCGCTGCGTAAGTGAGCGGACGTACATCACGTCTAACTCGCCGGAGGCGCGGGCTGCTACAACGCCATGCCGTGTCCATGCGAGCTGCCATACAGCCTCATCTGATATCAGCGTCGAAGACACACCATGCACGACCTCCCATTCCTCGAGGTACTGAAGAGACAGGCGTCAGTGTCGCCTACGCACCATCGTCGCTCACAGATGTGGCCTCCACACACAGGAGGCTGGGCAGGCCGGGGCGTGTCGTCCTCCACTCTGATCGCATGTCGGTGGCTGTAAGTGCTGCGTACCCTGAGCTCGACGATATCCAGCCGGCCCCGCCGCGGCCTTGGTCGACGCGGTGGACAGGCATACCTATGCCCGATGTCATCCGACGTCTCTTCCGCCAGTTCCCGCGGCATGTGTGGCCGCCCGCGCAAGCCGTGCTGAGCGACGACGACGCAGGGCGCGTACCCAAGCGCCTCGTGCTGCATGTGACGCCCGCGCTTCCTCGTGCCGAGAATTCGTGGGCAAGCGCTGATCCCGTGTGTCTACGCTGGCAGATGGAGCTCCTGTTCCGTGGAGCCTCGTTCGACTGCGAGCCAGCTACCGAGATGTACTGGACCCCCGATGGCCAATTGCCCGTGGCTGAACTGCCACCTGGTGAGCGCATGCCGCGTCAGAGCGGCACATCACAGCCTCCGCTGCTGGGCAGCGCGGCTCTGACTCACTATGTCGACAACTACCTACCGTTCTCACGGCCAGAGACGGACGAGAAGGCCGTGTGGCCCGACAAGGTCGCCGATGAGGTGCTGCTGTGGCAAAACCTTCTCGAGGGCCGTATCATGGCTGGTACTTTGCTTGCGTGTCTCCGGGCCGGCGTCTATGCGCCGCCGCCTACCCAGGCGCCCCTGCTGCGCCGCTGGCTCTCCGGTATGCTCCCTGGCGAAGTGACCGCGGAACAAGCAGCGCTTGCGCGACTTGCACGCCTTAGCACATCAGGTGCATCGCCCAGCAGTTTAGTTGCCGTCTTTGGCCGTGACCCGCTCGCAGATACTCGCAACCCACTGGCGCTGGTCCCGGGCTATTCGGTGGACTGGGTCGGTTTTCTCAGTGGAAACACGGACTACAGCGCGCCTGACGCAGCGACAGCAGACTATGTGCCACCTGGCCTGCGCATTGACCAGGATGCCATTGTCCGCGATGCGGTCGAGGCGCTCGAGGCCGTCGCTACGCGTCTCGAGGCGCAAAGTGCCCCGCAAGGAAGCGACACATGGTTCCTTGGCGCGTCTCGTCCGACGCATCTAGATGCGCTCCTCTTTGCGGTCTTGTACACCCTGGCTATGCTGCCTGCCGATGCCATTCCAGCGCTCACACGTGTTGTATCCCGCCATGCTGCGCTGGGCGCTTATCGCCAGCGCCTCCACACATATTTGCCGTAGCTGCACCGAGCCGTGAGTCACGACCCGCTGTTTGTCACCGACCAGCCCCGCTCGCACCTCTCATTGCATCCCATGCCCCTCCCTGAGACAACCAAAGATATTTTGGCCGGTACGTACGGGCTACTCATGTGCAAGGTACGGCTGGTGGTATTGCGCAGGTCCTTGTTGGCCAGTACGTACAGGCTTGCTGCGACTGACTTTAGACCCTTTGATATCGTCAAGGTGCGCGTGCAGACTGCGCCTCCCGGCTACTTCAAGGGTGCGTGTGTTTTCTAACTCTAGGTGTGGGTGACTGCATTGCTCACATTCTCAAGGACGAGGGCGCTAGGGCGTTCTACAAGGTGCGTAGAGCACGTGCAGCTAACGTCAGGGCACGACCATGCCGCTGATTGGTGTAGGTGCCTGTGTCTCGATCCAATTTGGTGTGGTGCAGTACTTTAAGCGCCTGTTTGGCGATAAGAATGCGTCGCGTGGTCGCCAGGACCTCACGAATGTGCAGCTGTACACGTCGGGCCTGGCGGGCGGTATTGCGAACAGTGTGCTCGCCGGCCCCATTGAGCAAGTGCGTATTCGCATGCAGACGCAAAAAGGGAATGAGCTGCGTGGTCCCTTTGATGCCGTCCGTCAGATCGTTGCGCGCAGCGGCGTTACCGGCGTGTTCCGCGGCATGGGCCCCACCGTACTGCGTGAAGGCCATGGCATGGGCATCTATTTCCTGACCTACGAGTACCTGGTGCAGAAGAAGCTCCAGGCCAGTCAAATTACACGCGACCAGCTGCCTAACACCACGTCGATGTTTGCTGGTGCGGCGGCCGGCACGGTGGTGCGTGCGACTTACTGACGCAGCTCTGGCTCATGGTGTATCCCATCGAGTATGTGTGCCCTCTAACCCCAGTGTTGTCAAATCGTATCTGCAGACCGACGCGATCGACCCGGCCAAGCGCCGCTTCCGCTCGTCGCTCGATGTGATCCGCCACATTTACCAGAACAGCGGCGTCCGTGGCTTTGTGCGTGGCATCGAGCCCACGCTCATCAGGGTGCGTACATGCGACTGACCACAGGCGCCTTTCGCAAACGGCGCCACCTTTGTCGCCTTCGAGGGTACGTACGCACAGCTACTCATCCTCAGCGGCGATGCGCTACCTGTCTGCCATGTAAAGGCGTCTATACACACATACATAGCGTTACGCCATGGCAGCCAGTGCCTCCTCCAATTCGTGCCGCTTCGTGTCCCAGAGTTGAGCCAGCTCCGACGCCGGTTGTGCCTGCGCGTGCTGCCGGGCCAGTGCTTCGGCGTCCGCGGAGCTCGTAGGGGCCGAGAGTGCTGCTAGTACAGCTTGGTTTGCACCCACAAGGGGGAATGCTGCGTCAAGCTGTACGGCATCGTTGAGTGTCGCAGTAGCCTCAGAAGGGTGAGCCTGCGCGGCCTGGGCCACCGCCTTGCCGACGAGCGCAGGCACCTGGTGAGCCGTGTGCGCAATGGTCGTGTTCTGGCTCATTTCATCATACACATAGTACGCTTGCTGCGTCGCGCGGCCACCACGCACTAGTCCGATCCACGCCTCCATGTACTGGACAAGCAGAGAGTCGTCGCTGACCTGCCGCGCTGCGAGGTATTCGGCCTCGGCGAGGTCTACGCGGTGCATCGAAAGGAGAATGTGCACACCAAGCGCGACACACTCCAGCTCTGTGCTACCGCCCTGCCCCGTCACTTGGAGCGTGTGAAGGGCCTTCTCCTTGTCTCCGCTTTCGTACAGGGCCAGACCCACGTTGCAGCGCACAATCTCGCTCGACAACTCACCCGGCTCGACAACATCCAGAAGCGTTGTCATCTGCTCGAGCACATCCGCCATCCCGGCGTCATCATCGAGAGACTTCATCTCCTTTAGATCTGCAAGCAGCAGCACTGACATGGCGACAGGATGCTCGGCATCCTCACCGAGAAGCTGGCGAGCGCCCGGCACGTCGTTCATCGCCAGTGCCGCGCGAGCCGCATACACAAGCTGCAACAGGCTGGCGTCGTCCACAATGCCGTTGGGCGCATGCTTCTGTGCAAGAGCCACGCACCCCGCATATGCATTGTGGTAAAAGAGACTCTGCACCTCAAACGTCGTCGGGTCCATGATCAGGCTCCGGCCGCGCCAATCGATCGGTGCGACAAGCGCGCGGCGCTCGCCCAGGGCCATGTTGCTTACGTCATGCAGACGCTACGGACATCCTACTTCTGGTCGGCCGTCGGCGTAAAGACGAGCGGCTTGTCATCGCCCAGAGGCTCAGCGGCCTTCTTGAAGTTCTCCGAAGGCACGCCAAGCTCCATGAGGGTAGCAAAGGCCGCGGCGAAGTCCTTAAAGAACTTCTCCTCGTCTTTCGCGTACGTCTGCACGTGCTTCTTGAACGTCGAGTCCTTGACAAGCGCATAGTCCGTGGGCAACATCATGAGGGAGTTCGAGTTCTTGTCCACATACTGGAAGGGACCGTCCCACTTCTTCGGCACCCAGTCCTCGTCTAGCAGGAGCGTGAAGAACTGGTTCGTGAACGAAATTGGCGAGAATGTCCACGGGCCATCGAAGCCACTGTACTGTGTGTGGCAACGGCCAACGGCGTGAGCACCGATTAGGGCGACAGTCTCCTGGTCGTTGAAGCCCATGCGGTGGAATACGTCGCGGATATGGTCGGCGCCGAGCGGGGCGTGCGGCAGACGGCCATCCGGCGGCGTCGACTCCTCGGGCATGTCCTCACGGCCAGGGCGCCACGGGATCTTCGGACCGCCCATCTCCTGCACAGCGGCCACACCCGCCAAAGTCCACAGGTCCGAGTACGAGATCCACGGGAACTTCTTCTTGATCGGCTCCAGGACGTTGCGCGCATTGTGCAGACCGGGGTTCTCCGAGTGCTTCGCCTCAGGCGGGAAGCGCATCGTAGCACCGTTGCTACCGCCCGTGTTCGATTCCTTATCATACGTGCCGGAGCTGTGCCAAGCGAGACGGATCAGGACGGGCGCATAGCTGCCGTCATCGTAGTCCGGGTTCTCTAGGATCTTGGCAATCTCATTGTACACTGCCTGGTAGTCCTCCTTCTTGGGCACCTTCGAGGTAGACTCACCGCCAGTGAGTGCCTTGAGGTCGTCGCGGAAGTAGTAAGCTGCACCGGCCGCACCGGCCAGAGCAGCGGCCCACAGCAGCGAGCTACTACCGCCCTGCTTGGCCTCGGGCGCAGGTGTGCTGTAGGCACGAGCACACATGCGAGGCGACACAGCCGCCGCACGGGGCGCGGCCAGGCGCAGGTTGCGAGCAAAGCGAACCGAAGTACGAAGCGATGCCATGATGGGGAAAGCCAACAACGTTGTCCCTTCCCCGCTCGGGCCGCCCACGCTGCCAGCCGTGGCGGGCCTCTCACGTAATACGGCAACTCTGATTGGTGGCCCGGATCGGTACTCGACCCCACCGGGTGCACTGACCGGTAAAACTCACGGCGCACGGTGTCCCAACTAGGCTTCCTAGTTCGAACTATCATGTACAAAGACGTCTACACAGGTAGAGGTACAGAACAAATGAATGTGGTCATTACATGGCACCGAGTGGATACTTGAGTCGCGAGCCATGGTCATCAACATATTGGTACATGGAACCCGGTCGAATCCCCTTTGGTAGATCTTCATGGCTGGCTCCGTAGTATTTATTCAGACGCTGCTCAATTGTGGGAACAGGGTGGAAATCATCATCGCGGTGCTTACCCCAACGGGGTTTCAGCGGCGTGTAAATTTTGTGGTTTTTAATCATAGCCATTTCCAAACTGAGCATCAGCAGATGCGCGCTGTTGCTCAAGAGACGCACGCGTGGCATATCCACAGGCTCTTCGCCACAGGTATTCTCTTGATGAGGGACGATCGTCTCGCGAGTCGACGCTGACAGCTCGGCAAGATCTTGCGACGTCGCCAGCTTTTTAATCGCTTCCCGGCGGCCGCGGTTGCGGCCCCGTCCCCGAGGCTCCGAAGGAGTCTCCCGCCCCTGCGATGCAATGGCCGCATAGGACATACCCTGGCGACGACGCTGGCTGCCTCGGCGGTGAGACACGCCCAGCACGGAGCCGGACTTGACTGTTTTACTGGCCAACGTCTGGCTCGTTTGCACGTTGGAGTGAGAGGAGCGACTGCGCGAGCGTCCACGTCGGTCTTCGTCAACGCATGGGCTTTCAGGCTTGGACTCTTCAAACACGTCAAGTGACGGAGGAACGGGGTCCTCGACGGCCGGGCGCGGCGCATATCCACTGGAGTGGCGGTCGCGCTGCCGCTGGCGCCGAGAGCGCACTTCTTGGTAACCCTGCTCATCGACGTTGGACGTGATCGAGTCCGACAGCACAGGGACCCCATCCATGTCACCCACACTCGGCACATCATCCAAGGCGGTGGAAGTGGACACCAATCTGGGCGAACGTGGCGGATCGTCCAAGGTATCTGCAGGAAGCATATCATGCACATCCTGCTTCGGTCGCAAAATGTAGCCCGGATTGCACAACGCCGTACCCAGGCCTGTCAGCGCTGGGATCTGTGACGTGTCACGTACCAATGCGAGCGGTGGGCGAGGAGACGACATGCGCCAGCGACGCGGGCTCAAGCCCAGCGTGTTTTCAATGCGGGTATCGTCCAGGGAAGGGTCATGCTCCTCGTGGTCAGACCCGGAGCGGAAGTCGCGAGGCCCGACACTACGGCTGCGAGCATGCTGTCGAAACACTTTAAGCTGCTCGACAGTCGTTGACTCCAGGTCTGGGTCGATAGGCTCACCAATACCAGAGACAAAGGCTGAAAAGTCGCTTGGCCTCACGGGTTCCAGCGTGGGCATCAAGTTAGGGGGGCATGGCGGCGAATCAATGGGAGAAACAGGACTTGAGGGCGTCTCAGGCAACGCCGTAGGCGAAGGCGAGCAAGTGGGGCTATCGTCCAGCTCCATGCCACGGAATATGCCCCATGAATCGGATCGCACTCCCACGTCACTGCGGCTTCGCCGCCGCATAGGCAAACTAGACTGGCTAGGCCTTGGCTCGGCCAATGTGGCATGCGTGCATGGCACAGCAACCACCGTCGATTCGGAGGCATTGTCAGGCTTGGAGTCCGGCGGGATATCTCCAATCGAAGTGACGGAAGACTGTGGTGACTCGACGCTTTCGCTGCGTTTGGAAGAAGATGACCACGAGGACCCGGGTGTAGCCGTCTCCGGCGCTGCGTCTGAGCATGGCATGTCGGCCGTGCGCGGGAACAACAGACAGTGTGGTGTCATTACACCCGGTGGAGAAACGCTCAAATCCTCCAATGACGACGAAAGGCTTCGAGGGACGCTGGACGAAAAATAACTTACAGGTGCTTCGTCGAGACACATTTCTGCTGCGCAAAGATTAGACTTTAGAGGTGCTTTCACAGTGACGCAATCTCCTTCCGCGGAAATGTCCCGCAGAGAGAGCAGATCCAACGCCGTCGAGCATGAGCCTCGGCGTTTCTTCAACTCTGAGGGGGCATTGGTGCTGCACGGCACTGTCGGCGTAGACGCATTCTCATCAGGTGAGGCAGGACGACTTGATGTTCGCCCTAAACATAAGCGAGGTCGCTCCATCCCTCGAAAGAGCTCTCGAAGGGGGGATGGAATCGACATCAGTGCGATTGACGGATCGTCTGCCAACCCAGGCTCTTGGTTCAATCCAATAGCCAGGGTTTCTTAGATGCAAGATCGCTGTTGACCCCAAAGGATCTAACAGGAAGGTATGTAGGACTAGGTGTGGCACGAGACCCCGACTAAAGTACGCGCAGTTAGCAAGATGCGCTCACTGGCTCAGGGTGCGCTGGTTCGTTCGCCCCAGCAAGGTTGCCACCGAATCTAGTAAACCCGGGCACACTATTGATTGGTCGACAAACATCTCGTCGCGTGGTCGGATTGAAACTGTATTTATAATGGACCAATGAAATTACAGCTATAACGGCACTTTGTCAGACTGTATGCAGGCCCACATGCCGAACTGCTCGCTTACGCCTGCACCTGGGCGCCTTCCTCCGCGGATCGCTTCTTGAGCACGAGTGGCTGACCGGTCATGCGACGCCAGACGTCATGCACATCTTCGACCACCGTTTCGAAGTGGGAAGTGGGGTCGTAGGAGCGCGTAATGAAAATTTGACTGTCCTTGCCCGACTCCAGAGGCTCTTCTAGGTCAGAAATCGTGACGAATTTGTCGTGAATTTCGCCCAGCAAGTCGAGGCCTGGGCGCAGCTCCAGCTCCGGCTTGTCGGTCTCCACGACAGTAGAGACCTGCGCCACGTAGATACCCTTTGCACAGATGTTGTGTGTGGAAGACACCTCTGCGATGTAGATGTCATGCTGCCGACCGACCTGGTTCTGCGGAATAATCAGCTGCACCGAGTCCGAGTTGTCCGTGTTCGGGATTGGATGTTTGAGAAGGCAGATGGCGCGCACCACCTTGGCCGTAGAGCGCACGAGCGACTTGCCATTCACGTTGCGGAAGTAGCTAGGGTCGCCTACCACCATGTTGGCCTTCACTGTCTCTTCGCCGCTGCGCACACCCACGAAGCGGCCCTGGTCATCCACAACAACCTCGTCCACAGGCTTGTCCAGCATGTAGGTACCACCGTAAATGGCAGAGAGACGCGCAAATCCCTGGGGGAGCTCGCCCAGGCCATACAGCGGGTAGATGTACGGCGACTTGCCGTAACGCGCCATCGAGCTCATGTACAGGATGATGCGCTCGTAGGTTTCGCGCGCCGGGCGCTGCATGTACGAGTCGTCCAGGTGCAGCGCCATAGCATGCCCGATAAAGTCCCGCGTGCCAGGCTCCAGGCCGAACTGCGCAAACACCTTTTCCATCGGCCACGAGTCCAGGTCAATGCCCTGGTGCGTCGATGGGTCTTCGTCGCGCCACTTTTGCAGAAACTCAAAGAAGCGCTTTGCCCGGCGCTTCTCAAACAGACCCATGAGGGGCGAGCGCACCGCCTCGATCTCTGTGCTTGGCACCTTAGCGATTCGCTTGTCTCGGTACACGTAGCTCGCAGCGATCTGCTTAAACTCCAAGTAGCGCGTTACGTCTGTGTGCACGAGCATATTGACAATTTCGCCGTTCGCCATCATGAACTTGGGAATCATGTCAATGGCATAGTCACGATCACGGCCAATATCACTGGGGACCTCCTGGCCCGGGCGGAACTTGCTGTACAGCTGCGACAGGGTGAGCGAGGCGCACTCGGCGCCATAGTAGTCGTTCCTGTCAATGTGCAGCACCTTCTTGCCCTCCACCGACAACAGCGCCGAAAGCACACACTCCGACACACCGGTTCCGAGAATCACCGCATCTGTACAGTGTTAGCTTCCCTGGTACGCACCATACGTCTCATCCATCCTGGTGAAAGAGGGGTAGATGTTGCGGAGCGGCTCGCTGCGCCCGTGCCACTGTGTATTTCCACAAGCAGGATGTATGTGGAGCTCACGCAGGTCCTTGACTTACACCAACATGGTGCGCTCGTACGTACATCCTCGCCCTGATGCATTAGCTATCCGAATATTGTCGTAACGGGGACGCCAGGTACAGGGAAAACGACATTGTCGATGCAGATTTGCGAAGCTTTCCAGGATCCGTCGGGTTCGCATCCACTGCGCCACATTAATGTGGGCGCGCTGGTCAAAGAGAAAGGATTCCAGGCGTCGTACGATGCCGAGTGGGACTCCTACGAAGTGGACGAGGACCAGCTTCTGGACTATCTCGAGCCTCTTTCTGGAGGTACGGCGCCGGATCCGATCGACGAGGACCCGGAGGGATGCGAGCAGGCACGAGAACTCGCGAGCGACGATGACACCCGTGGCGGCCTTGTTCTGGACTGGCATACCTGCGAGGCATGGCCCGAGCGCTGGGTTGATCTGGTCCTTGTGCTGCGGTGCGATCACCAGCGGCTGTGGGCGCGCCTGGAAAAGAGGTGTGTACCGCGTACTCACTGCAGGAACTACTCCGAGAAAAAGATCGCCGAAAACAACGAGGCGGAAATCATGGGCGTCGTTATGGAGGAAGCGCGAGAGTCGTATGCACCAGAGGCTATTGTCACGCTGCCGAGCGATACAGCCGAGGAGATGGATGCGAATGTAGAGCGTGTCGTGTCTTGGATCCGGGCATGGCGCCAGCAGCGTGGTCTGCCTTAGCTTTGTCGGGGTATTGGACTCTACATCGCTACCAAGCCCAGCCGGGACGCTGGAAACCATTCACAATTTTGGGGTTGCCACGCACGACGCCGCCGCCACCAAGACGGCGCACTTGGCGGCGAGCCTTTTCGAACGCCTCCTTTTCGCGCTCCTCGTGCGTCTTGCCGGGCCGCAGGACCACGTTCATGCGGGCCTGCGGGTGATGCATGATGCCCATGCGCGCGCGGCCTTTGATATCCAGGCGCGCCAGGTAGTCACCCTTGGTAACCCAAGCCTCCGACACAATAAGCGTGGCTGGGTCCATGCCCTTGGCCTCCGCATGGTCACGGGCCATGGCAAGAGTCGCTTTGATACGGCGTGCAGCGCGCTTCGCACTAAACTGCATCTGCAAGATCGCAAAGTCGATCGGCTTACCGGCAATCTGGTTCGCGAGCAGGTTGAGCTTGCGGGGGCTTATGCGGAAGACCGCCGTACTGTACTTGTGTTCAGCCTTTTCGACTCCATTCGGCTCAGTCAGACCGCCCCAGCGCTTGCGCAGGAGGCGCTTTTGCCGCTTGGCATCGCTCGCCTGGCGCTGCCTCTCCTCGGCCTGGAACTCGGGCGCATCATACGAGTCTTCCATCAGCATATCACCCGTAGAGGACTGAGACGCCATCATCTCGTCACGACGCTGGTCGCGCTGGACACGCTCGTAGTCCTCGGGGAGCAGACCACCCTGCTTGCGCTGGAGCTGGCGCTCGCGGCGGTTGCCCTGAATCAACGGGAGCACCGTGTCCCAGAAGCTGGTGCGCACGGACGTCGTAGATAGAGGCCGTACATGTGCTGTAGCGGGCACCCCACGCGGCAGGACGCGCGCTACAGGAGCCAGCAGTCGCAACATTCTCCGAGGAAGTCGAAGCGGACGCGAGGACTGGACGACCGGTGGAAGACGTCCACGTGACATCGATGCGATTTTCCCCCGACCAGGCGGGGCCAGCGCGCACGTCCTTGGCCAGCGCCATGTCGCCGCTCGTACCCCAACCGACCCTGTTCATTGACGGGCAATGGTGCGCGTCTAGTGATGGACGGACGCGCCCCACCATCAACCCATTTGATGCGTCTGTTATTATGGAGGTGGACGAGGCTTCTGCCGCGGACGCCCAGCGGGCTGCAGCGGCAGCGAAGCGCTACTTTCAAACGTCTGACTGGGCTCGTCGCTCGTGTGCGGACCGTTGCGTGCACCTCCAGCGCATGGCCGACCTGCTGCAGTCGCACAAGGCGGAGCTTGCGAAAATTGAGACGATTGATACCGGCAAGACGCTCGGCGAGTCAGAGATTGACATTGACGACGTGACCAATGTGTTCCGTTTCTACGCCGAGGAGGCGTGCAAGCTGGACCACGAAAAACGCATCACCGGGCCGCTGATTCCCGAGTCGGTGAAGAGCACAATTGTGCACGAGCCGGTCGGTGTGTGTGTGCTCATCACGCCGTGGAACTACCCCATCCTTCAGCTCTGTTGGAAGCTGGCTCCCGCGCTTGCGACTGGCAACTGCGTGATTATCAAGCCGAGTGAGGTCACACCGCTGTCGACCGTCTACTTGACGCGCCTGCTGCTAGATGCAGGCTTCCCTGCTGGTGCCGTGCAGCTGCTGACGGCCACCGGTGCGTCCGTGGGCCCAGTGCTCACGGCGTGCGACGACGTGGACCTTGTTTCCTTCACGGGCGGTCTCATGACAGGCCGGAGTATCATCCGCAGCTGTGCAGAGTCGGTGAAGCGCTGCACGGTGGAGCTGGGCGGCAAGAACCCGAACGTTGTGTTCGCCGACTGTGACTTGGACTGGGCTATCGACAACGTCGTGACGGCAGTCTTTGTGCACAGTGGCCAAGTTTGCTCGGCAGGTGCGCGGCTTATCGTCGAGGAGCCCATCGCGGATGCGCTCGTAGCCGGTGTCGTGAAACGTGCGAACCAGATCGTCATGGGCAACGGACTTGACCCGGCATCAGAGACAGGCCCGCTCGTGTCGCAGGAACACCTTGCCAAGGTCCAGTCGTATGTCGACCTGGCGCGCAAGGAGGGTGCCAAGGTGCTGTGTGGTGGCACGCGCCCTGACCCGGCGACGTTCCCGCATCTCGCCAAGGGCTACTTTTTCCTGCCGACGGTGATCGACGGCTGTGACCGGACGATGCGCATTGTACAAGAAGAGACGTTTGGTCCGATTCTTACGGTCGAGCGATTCCCTGCAGGCGATGAAGAGACGGCCGTTATGCTGGCGAACGATACCAAGTATGGACTAGCGGGCGGTGTGCAGAGTCGTGACCAGGCGCGAGCAGAGCGTGTGGCCCGCCGTCTGCGTCACGGCACGGTGTGGACGAACACCTATGGCACGTATACGGCGCAGGCCGAGTGGGGCGGCTACGGCATGTCGGGCAACGGCCGCGAGCTTGGCAGCAAAGGCCTCGACGAGTATGTGGAAGTGAAGCACCTGTGGAGCGAGACCAAGCCGAGTATGATGGGCTGGTTCAAGGGTGCGCGTATGTAGACCTACAGCTCATCCTTCTCAGGCGAGTCGCTGATGACGCCAGCATCGAAGATCTTGACCTCGTCCATGGGGCGGTCGCCGGGGCCGGTCTTGACGTTCTCAATGTATTCAACAACGTTCATGCCGTCCACGACGCGGCCAAACACGACGTGTCGACCATCGAGCCAGGGGGTTTTCACGGTCGTAATAAAGAACTGCGAGCCATTCGTGTCGGGGCCAGCGTTGGCCATCGACAGGATGCCGGGGCCCTCGTGCACGAGATCAAAGTTTTCGTCCTTGAAGCTCTTGCCCCAGATCGACAGACCGCCACGGCCATCGCCGCGGGTGTAGTCACCGCCCTGGATCATGAAGTTCTTGATCACGCGGTGGAAGACGCTGCCCTTGTAGCCGTTGCCCTCGTCGCGCTCGGCCAGCGTGACAAAGTTCTCCACGGTCTTGGGCGCAGTCTCGCCGTACAGGCCGAGGACGATGCGGCCAATCGACTTGTCGCCGTGCTCGATGTCGAAGTATACCTTGTGGGTGATCGTGGCATCGGCATGCGAGAGAGCCAGGGCCACAGAGACCGTGGCGAAGAAGGCCAGCAGCAGGCGCACCACCGAGAAGTTCATAGCGTAGCGAGGGAAGTGGCGCGGGGTTTCCGCCCCCCGGCGCAGTTGCTGCGGCCGGCCGCGTGGCACCAGCCACGCGTGGCGCAATGACGGCGCGGACCCTGGGCAAGCTTTGTATCACGTGCATTCGGCCGACACTGCGCTGGGTACACTGGGCAGCCGCACCGACCATTGGGCTTGGTCGTCCAGGACGAGCGAGGGACACCGGGACATGGACACTCCGCCGCAGATGAGCGGGCTGGCCGGTGTTGCTGGGCAGTTCGTGCGCGATACTGCTGTGTCGACTCCGTCCGCCACGACCACACCTCACGATATGTATATGACACCGACCGAGCTCGCCACTGTGTTGTTGGAGGCCTTCAAGACACTGCTCAGCGAGTGCGAAAGCTACGTGCAGTACTTTGAGCAGCGCTTTCGGTTGGAGGAAGAGCATGTCAGGGCTGTTAAGGTGATGCTCGAGCGCCAGCGCGACCTGGACATGCGCATCAATCGCAAACTAGCGGCGCTGCCGGGCCTGCTACCTGATCCAGGCCGCCTGTCCAACCTGCGCAACACCTGGGGCGATATGCGCCTCTCAGAAATATGGGGTAGGTACCATCATACTCACGGCAGCGATCGACGTGCGACTCAATACGCTTATGGACTGCAAACGACTGGTCCTGCAGCCCGTCGTGCAGTTCCGCGATGCACAGGAGCGTATCCGGCGTCGCGTCAAGGACGATCTCAAAAACTGTGTGGACGACTACGAGGAGATGCTGCATACGACCCTCCCGCGTATTCGCCGCATGTATGAAAAACGATGCGAAGAGCACGAGTTTTTCCGGCACCAGCAGCGTGCCATCGAGGAGCAGCGCCAGCTTCTCTCTGTCAGCTCGTTCACGTCGCCGTCTGAGATGCGCGTGCCGGACACCTTCTCGGAGGTCCGCGGGTCAACAGACGCCGCCCTCCCACCCCTTCCCGTCACCGAGTCAAATATCAGCACACCCAACTCGTCGACGAACCGCTCGTTTCTAGAGACGCTACGCAAGAAGGAGGGCTGGGACCATGCGCCGCGGCGGCTCAATGCACTCTTTTCACGTATGCTCGATGTATCGGACCGTGTGCCCAGCGGTGAGCTGTCGCCGACGTTCCCGATGCCGGCGCCCGCCGGTGCTGGGACTCCCGACCCGGCACCGGGCAGCTCGGACACACTCCTGCCGCCCGGCATGTCTAACAAGGCCCTGCAAACTCTTGCGGTCAAGCAGGCCAAGGCGAAGCGTGAGATGGAGGAGTCCGACAAGGCGTACCGCAAGGCCATTTTCGACCTAGAGACGCTACGGCTGCGCAGAAACAAGGCGCTGGAGGCTGCCGTGAAGAGCCTTTTGGAGTGGCGGCGCGAGCTCACTGTCACCATGCAAAATGCGGCCCTGCAGTATGTGCAGTCGAGCAAGGCGATGCGCACATCGATTGAGTCAGTGCACCAGCAGGACGAACAGCTGGCGCTGCGTATGCTGCAGGATTTGGACGAGGAGCAGCGCATTTGCGAAGAGTGGCTGCCCAATACACGCACACTTGTGAAGAATGAGCGAGTGAAGTATGTCAACTATTTCCACGGTCCGTTCAACGACCTTATCTTTGGTACAGGTCTCGTGGACTATGCGTTCTCGCACGGTGACCACAATGTGCCGTCGACGGTTACGGACAAAGGCCAGGTACTTCCGTCTGTGCGGCCTCCGCTGATCGTGACGAAGTGCATTGACTTTATCGAGCAGCCGCGATGTGTGCAGACACCGGGCATCTACCGGCTGAGTGCTAAGTACTCACGCGTGCAGGCGCTCACGAGCGTGATTGAGCAGGACGAGTCATCGTTCCAGTTCGACACTGAGCGAGAAGATCCAATCCTCGTGGCCTCCGTGCTGAAGCTGTACCTGCGAGAGCTGCCAGAGCCCGTGATGCCGATGAAGTGGGAGGAGCGGATTAAGTACACGCATGAGCGGGAAGAACACATCCGCACCGGCTTTGCGAACTTCAAGTCGCGCATACGTCGTATGCCGCCGATTCACCAAGCAACGCTCCGGGCGCTTCTCCTGCATCTCAGCTTTGTCGCATCGCATGCTGCCGCGAACAAAATGACGCTCTCCAACCTGGCGGTTGTGTTTTCGCCAGTGATTCTCTCAGAAACAGATCACGAGACGACCAGCATCGCGGCCGCCAGCGAAGAAGACCGCACGCTGGAGGACTTGATTAAATACTGTGGCGAGATCTTTGCCGTTCCGGCCGCGTACGCGAACCCCCTCCCCCCCGTCCCGTCGACGCCGCCCAAAGAGCCTGCTGATGCGTCTGAGCCAATGCCCGCGAGCATGGCCCGCAGCACGAGTCTATACAAGTCGCTGGGCGATCACCAAGACCCGGAGCTGGGCGGCTCGGAGGAACCGTGGGGCCTATAACCAGTCTCTCGTTGCCTTAGATACCCATGTAGAGGACCCCGCGCGCCGCAGGCTGCCCAACCTCCACTTCCATGACATCGACGCAGCCGCAGCAAGTCGATGTCGGCTCGCTGAGCGTGCCCCAGGTAGGTAACGAGGCATTGACCTCAGCTTGTGGATGTGCGAAAGCAGTTGGAGCTGGAGCTGAAGCAGTTTACGACCATGTTTGGACAGCTCAAGCTCGCGCAAACGCGATTCCAGAGCTGCCTCGAGAGCGTCGAGGAAGTGCGCCCTGAGAACCAAGGTGCGTGGCCTCGCTAACGCGCGAAGAAAAGACATCATTACTGCCTCTTACAGCGTCGCTGTACGTGCCTGGTCACCTGAGCGATCCAGACAAGGTCATCGTCGACGTCGGCACGGGCTACTTTGTCGAGAAGGTACGTTGCGCCTGCCTGACGCAGTCTCGTGCGGATGCGCGCAAGCTCTATAAAGACAAGATTGACTTTGTTGCGAAGAACATGGAGCAACTCCAGGAGACTATCCACCGCAAGCAGGACAACCTGCGCGTGGTAGGCGAGCTTCTCCAGGTCGTACGTTATTGCACTCACATGAAAAGAAGCTGCTCCAGCGCGAGAGCCCTCAGGGCGCAGCCTAGTCACATAGACACGACCTCTACGGATGCGACGCACACGCTGCTAGCGCCGCCACGGCCACCGAAGGGCCTGGAAGATCCTCGACGCCTCCACATGAGCAGCCTTGGATGCGCGCCGGCGAGGCCCTCGCTTCTTGCTAGTGAGCCATGACGAACCCTGTTGTGTGTGCGTAGACGGCGACTTATGCAGACCTCGATATTGAATTTGTTGGTGGTGCGCCGCCCTCGCGTGAGGGCGGCAATCGCATTGTGCTGGAGCTGTTCCAGGACAAGGTACCCAAAACGGCGGAGAACTTCCGTGCTCTGTGTACGGGCGAGAAGGGTACCGGCAAGGCGGGAGTGCCGCTGTCGTTCAAAAACAGCCTGTTCCATCGTGTGATTCCCCATTTTATGATCCAGGGAGGTGACTTTACGAACTTCAACGGCACGGGCGGCGAGTCGATCTACGGCGAGAAGTTTGAAGACGAGAACCTGGAGGGCAAGCACGACGAGCCGTTCCTGCTGTCAATGGCGAACGCGGGTCCTAACACGAATGGCTCGCAGTTCTTTATCACGACGGTGCCGACGCCGCACCTGGACGGCAAGCACGTCGTCTTTGGCAAGGTGCTCAAGGGTCGCGACGTAGTGCGCCACATTGAGCAGAGTCCCACCGGCGCGAACGACCGCCCGCAGGAGGACATCAAGATCGCTGACTGCGGCGAGTTTTCGGCGGAGCAGCTCGCTGACAGCGCGTTCGACTTTGGTATTAAGCCTGACGAGACGGGCGACCCGTACGAGCCGTATCCCGAGGACTCGGACCTGCCGCTGGAAGAAAAGCCCGAGTCGGCGCTCGAGGTCGCCAAGACGCTCAAGGAGATTAGCGCCAAGCTTGTGGCGAAGGGACAGTGGGGCCTCGCCCGCGAGAAGTACGAAAAGGCGCTGCGCTACCTGTTCGTGAACCCCCACCTGCCCGAGTCGACGAACGAGGCGTTGGTAGCCGAATACCGCGGTCTGCGCACGCCGCTGCAGCTGAACGCTGCGCTCTGTGCGCTCAAGACGCAGCCGGCGATGGCCGAGGAGGCTGAGGCGCTCACGACGCAAGTTATTGAGCGCGCGGCGGAGGGCGGTCCAGGCGCGCCGTCGGCGGCGGAGCTCGCCAAGGCCCACTTCCGCCGGGCGCTTGCCTACAGTGTGATGAAGCGCGACGACGATGCGAAGGCGGAGCTCGACACCGCGCTGCATTATGCGCCGGGCGATGCAGGCATTACCCAGGAGAAGGCCGCCGTCGAGCGGCGGCGCCAGGCGCGGATCGCCAAGCAGCGTGCGGCATACAGCAAGATGTTTTCGTAGACTACTTCGAGAATCCGTTCTCCTTGAGCACCTCACCGAGATGCTGCAGCAGCGTCTCAATGTCGCCGCGCTCCTTGTTGACGACCGAGACGCCCATGTGGCCAATGCGGAAGTACTCGTCCTTGCAAGACTTGTGCAGACCCGCACCGAACACGACGCCCCGCTGCGCCATCTTGGGCAGAATGTCCGCGGCGCCCATGCCCGGCGGGTAGCGTACCGCTGTCATACCGTTCGCGACGCCCGTCTCGCGCGCCTCCGGCACGGCGAGCTGCTCGAGGCCCAGCGCGACAATGCCGTCCTTGACCTGCTTCGACACGTCCCTATGGCGCTGGAGGCGGTCGGCCAGCGACACGGTGCCCGACGTGATGGTCTTCAGCGACGTGTGCAGCGCATAGATGAGCTGGACCGGGGGCGTCGCAAAGTACGCCACGCTGCCCGACTCGTACGCCTTCATGATAGGAAGCCACTTCTTCCACGAGCCGAAGAAGATGGCGGGCGGCGTCTTGCGCGCCTCAAACGTGCGGATCGCGCGCTCGCTCGCAAGCGAGAGCGAGAGGCCCGGCGGGCAGCCAAGACCCTTCTGCGACGCAAAGAGCAGGTAGTCAATGCCCCACGCATCCATGTGGATTTCCTCCGAGGCGACGCTGCAGACGCCGTCGAGGATGACCAGGGTCTCGGGACTGACCTCCTTCACGACGCGCGAGATGCCCTCGGCGTCGTTCAGCACACCGGTCGACGTGTCCACATGCGTGATGGTGATCGCCTTGTACTTCTTCTCACGGAGCGCCTGCGCGACCTCGTCCAGCGACGAGGGAGCACCGACGGGCGCGGTCAGCTGCGTCGGCTTCGCGCCGTAGGTAGCGAGACACTCGGCGAAGCTATCGCCAAAATAGCCAGTCGTCAAGACAAGCACCTCGTCGCCAGCCTCGAGCAGGTTCGTGGAGGCCATGTCCCAGCCAAGCGTGCCCGAACCGGCAATGACGATCGGCTGCGCCGTCGGGCCATCGACCACGGTACGCAGCATCTTGAGCGCCTCGCCAAACACAGGCACAAACTCAGGCGAAGTGTGCGCCATGGATGGGTGCGCATTCGCGTAGAGGACGTCGTCCGCGACCTCAATAGGGCCGGGAATCATCAAGAGCTTGTGCGGGTCCTGCTGGAACGGCATGATTAAGGTGTGATAGTGCGCTGCGTCAGTGCGCTAGCCGGCCGGACCTCGGCGGGGCCGGCTGACTCAGCGTGCACGGCCGTGGCGGCGCGTGTTCTTTGCGATGGCCGCCCACGCCGGCGACGAGGCAGCAGACTGGTGCGTGCTGGCCGAGGCGGCGGTGGCGCTGCCGCCGACCAGCACACTACCGCGGTTGCGTGCAGAGCCCAAGCTCCCATACATTGTCGATGCGCTGCGCAAGCTGCGGGCTGTGTATGCGCCACCCCCTGCGTCCGTGGCGCCGGCCGTAGACGAGGACCTGCAGAACCGCCTCGATGCAGCGCGCGCTGAGCCTACCGAGCGCGCCTACGTGCTCAACTGGCTCGGGCGTCTCGTCGAGTCGGAGCTCGCGTGGATCGATGATACGCCCGAGCGCCGCGCGGCCGTGGAAGACGCCGCGCAGATCCTCGCAGGATGCACGTCGGCCCTCGAAGCGGGAGATCTGCTCCGTGACTTTTGCTTTCCCACTCCGGACGCCGACGTCCCGCCGCCCTTCGAAGGCACGCCGGTACTGCAGGTGCACATGCGCGTGCGCGACGCATCGCTGCCCCCCTCCGACCAGCACAGTCGCCAGGGCGCCGCCGAGGCCGCCGCAGCCGTCGGCGTGCAGACGTACGCCAGCTCGATTATCATGAGTGACCTATTTGTGCGGCGCCCCGGTGCGTGGCATACTGCACTTGAGCCGGGTGCGCCGCGCCGCGCGCACTTCCGGGCTATGGAGCTAGGTGCAGGGACAGGGATCGTCGGTATGGTCGTTGCGCGTGCCCTTAGCGAGGGCGTGCTGCCGGTCGACCACGCCACCGTCGGCCTTACCGACTACCATGCCGATGTCTTGGCGAACCTGCAGTACAATGTGAAGCACTACTTGGGCCTCGCGAGCGGTCGCGTCACGATCGAGTGCGAGCCGCTCGACTGGCGCGCGATGTACGACCTGGTGTGCCCTGAGCGTGCGAGTGGCGCGGCAGTGCCGTGCCGGCTCCCACCTGCGCATTCGTACGACCTCCTGTTGGCCGCCGACCCGGTGTACGACCCGATGCATGCGACGTGGCTCATGGGGGCGATATCGTACCTGCTCGTGCAGCCGGACGTGGATCCCGAGGCTCGTGCACACATTCTGCTGCCTGTGCGCACGGCCGGCCGTCTCGCAGGCCTGTATAAGACGGTGGATGAGGCCCTTGCGACGCATGTCCCACAGAACGGCTTCCGCCTCGCGGTCGTGCACCGCGCGCAGTGGCCGCGCCGCCACGGCCTCGGACGGCAGGACGAGAGTGCCTACATCTGGACGGCCCTCGCGTGGGAGGCGCTTGCATAATGTACAGGTCTATGCGCGGCGGAACGTGCGACCGCTGGCGGTCTTGCGCTCCTTTTCGGCGTGCTCGGGCTTGGCGCGGTTGAGCACCTTGAGAAACTCGCTCACCCGCGAGCGCATGCGGCTGTGCATATAGGCCTTGGAGCATTTGACTGCGTCAGTGCGGAGCACGTACTGTGATAGTGCAAATAGTCGCGGAACAGCTGGATGTGCGAGATGGTCGAGAAGCGCACATCGGGGTGCGCAAAGTGACGCGGGAACAGCACAAACGTCACATAGCCCGTGTCGTCCAGGGCGCCGCGGCTGACGAGGTGCCGCACCTCGAGCGGCGGCTCGCGGTTCGAGTACAGCACCTGCGGCGCGTTCTGGATCGACGGCTGGCGCCGCGCATCCACAAACTCCTGCAAGAACACCTTGCCAAAGATGCGGTCCGTCTCCTCCTCGAACCGCGTGCTGATAACGACCGTCACGCGGTCGTGCGCGGGCAACACAAACATGGCCTCGTCCGCGCGGTAGTGCACGGGGAGCAGCTCGCCCGTGGGCGGCGCGGCGCCCGGCTCGAACGCGCGCTCCAGCTCAGCCTGCTGCGCAAACGCACGCTCAAAGGGCGCGGCCATCGCATGGCGCTTCAGCAGCGCCGCCGCTTGGATCAGCGCATCGCGCTCGGCGCCGGCGGGCGGCACCGCCGCATAGTCAAACTGCAGCGTGATGCGGTAGTCGGCCTCCGGCTCAGCGCGCATCCATGTGCCGTAGAGTGCGCGCAGGTTCTCAACGACACCGTACTGCACGAGCTCCGGCCAGCAGCGGATGTCCATCGAGAGCGTGAGGGGGCCCTCCTTCGTCGACTCTAGGTGGTAGGCCACGCCGTCAAAGTCTGTGAACATTTGGTCCACGGCACCGGGACTGCGGTCAGAGAGACAGCACCTACGCAGCAAACTTGCTCGTGAGCACATCCCGAATAATCGTGTTCTCAGCCCCCAGCAGAATCATCGTGCTGTGCGTCGAGGAGCCATCGGCCGGCCCCGCCGCGAGGCGGCCGCGAGTATGGGAAATATGGGCGGCCCGCGCGCGCGAGGATCTATGTTATGCCGGCCGCGCCGCGAGACGGGCGAGCTTGTCGTCGAGGACGGAGCGCTCGCGCCGCAGGTGGAAGTGCTCAAGCTCGAGACTGGCGTCAGCAATCCTCACACACCTCGAGATCTTTTTCCGTAGCTGCACTTGTGTCTCCTCCACGTCGGGCTCGGGCGCCGGCGCCGGCGGCGGAGCGTCGACGCGCGCCTCGCCCTCGTGCGATAGATCGCCAATGCGCCAGCGCTCGACCAGCTCGCTAAGCTTCATGCCGCCCATGAATCCGAGTGGTAGGAGCACTAGCGTCGCCAGCGCCATGAGCCACCGGATCCGCGGGATGCCAAGCCACGTCGGCACAGCGCGAGGCGCCCGCGGCGCATCGGCCGTCGGCACTCGCCGCGGCACAGGCTTCTCGTGCAGCGCACCGCGCGCGCGCGCACTGGTCGACATAGAACGCGACCAAGGCGCAGGGGGTGGCCGCTGCGGCTTACGCCATGTCGAGCGCCACGACCGCGTCGGCGCATTCGTACACACCGACCAGGTCAGCTCCCGCACGCGCCGCACGCTGCCGAACGTTTCACGCACAATCGTGCGCCATGCGTCGACCAAAGGCGCGAGCCACCGCATGTGCGTCCGTGCCTTGCGCGGCGCGGGAAGCGGCGCTGCATCAGCCGGCGCCACGGCGCGCACCCAGGCGCTGCACACAGGCGACGGCGCGCCGCGGGCCGTCCACGTGCCGCCCGGCGGGATGCCCACCCGCACGAGCTGCCGGAGCACCGTATTCTCGAGCATGCGCATCACGCGCGTTCCGAGCTGTTCCCGGCCCCATAGCTCGTGCGTGAGCACGCCAATACACAGATCGCGCTCATGAGGATACGCGCGGCCCAAGAGGGACGCAATGCGATACGAGAAGGCCATGTCCGTCGTGATGCGGTCGCCTACGACCAGCAGCCGAGGGGGGTGCGCCGCGTCAGGGCTACGCAGATGCTGTGATGCCACGTAGTCGACGACCTGCTGCGCACACGCGCGGCCCGGCTTTTTCACGGCGTGGCACAGGATCGGGACGCCCAGCTTCGACGACACTTGCTCCGCCTGCATCAGTACGGCCGACGTACCGCGAGGCCGGTCGGGTCCTGGCTAGAGCCCGCCGAGTTGCTCACAATGAGGAGGTTCTCCTCGCCAAACACTGCCTTGCATTCATCCCACGTCGCCTCGAGCGCCGGCGCGAGTGCGTCATGGTGTGGACGTGTCTCGCGTTAGTGCGCCAGCGTACCAAGCAGTTGTCCTTGTCGTACACAATGTAGCGCACGCCCGAGGCGCGCACCTGGCGCCAGTCAATGAGGCGCAGGGCTGTGTGTCAGTAGAGTGACGTACAGGCCACCTGCAGGTGCGGTACGAGCACGCCAGGGCGCACGAAGGCCTGCGCCACTGCAACGAGGCCCGGCGTGTTCATCGTCGGAGCGCGAGCACGGACAGTGCCTCCACCTACAAAACCGGCCGTTTTGCGCGGCACGGCTTGTCTCGTGCGATGACGAACGAGCTCGACCACATCTTTGCCTCCCTGCCCACGGACCCTGCGCGCAAGCGCAAGCGCGGTGCGCCGGGGGCAGCGACTCACGGAGACGATCGTGCGCCGCCGCACAAGCGCGCAGGTACTGCATCGGCGCCCGCGTCCGAGGAACGCGGGGACGCCGCGGACGCTGCGCGCCGCCCCAAGGCGCCGCCGAGCGCTGCGTCTGCGTCGTCGGATACGCCGACGGATGGCAGCAAGAATGCGCGCGCCGCTGAGTCCAAGGCCGACGCGCCGCGCCGTCGTACGCCTGTCGTGGTGCACGACACATCGGCGCCTGCACGCGCTAGCGCTCCTGTGCAGCCGCGCGCGCGTCCCTCGGACGACGACGACGCGGCGTTTGCCGACTCGCGTGGCCGGGATCGTATGTATGGGCTACTTACGCAGGCAAACGCACGGAGGAGGGGTTCCGCATCTTTACCGAAGACGAGCTGCGGCTCAACGAGGGTGGCGGTACGCAAGCGCTCACTGACTCAGGCACGCCGCTCTGCCCATTCGACTGCGACTGCTGTAGGTGGCCGGGCCTAACGCGCAGGTTTCTAGATACCCCCGTAGTGCCCGAGGCGCTGCTGACAAAGCGGTGGCCTCTCCTTCTCGACCGCCACGATGGACGCGCTGTGGGCCGAGCTGGCGCTCGTGCCGGGGTCCGAGGCGGACAAGCGCCGCGCGGAGATCGAGGAAGCGCTGCTGATGCCTTCGTGTGAGCTGGCGCGTTCGTGGATGCTCGACGCGCAGCAGCACTGGGCGCGGCCGACGCGCTTCGAGACGATGCTGGCTCTCGATCCGTCGCCCAGCACAACGTCGCTGCAGTTTGTGCGCTCCGGCCTCGAGGGCCGGGTCGTCGGCTACTCGGAGGTCGTATCTGGTGCCTCGCTGCACGAGCTGGACGGCTCGTCGCTCTCGCTGCACCGCCCCGTGTCGACGCAAAAGAGCTTTGTGCGTGGCTCGACGTCGTCTATGCCGTTCCGCCCTGGCGGCCTCGAAGACGCTGTGGCGGCGGACGAGCCGGACAAGCGCCCGTCGGGCGCGCTGCGCACCGTCCCGCCTGGCTTCTCGCGCGGCCTGGCGCTCTCGCACGCGCCGCTGGATGAGAGTGTGCCGACGTGGCGGGACGACCTCTCGCAGGCGTCGCCGGCGCACCTGGACCGCACGGTCATTACGGTGGACAAGGAGGGTCTGTACAAGATGCCCGAGACTGCGCCGCAGGCGCAGAACGACGACGCCCTCGTGGACGAGCTGCTCCCGGAGGAGTCGCTGCCGCGCATCTTCCAGAGTGTGACCAAGGCGCCGAGCGAGGAGCGCCGCGAGTGGGCGCACATGATCCACACGTCGAAGCAGATGACCAATTTCCACGAGCTCGTGCCGGTCATGGCGCACGAGTATCCGTTCGAGCTCGATACCTTCCAGAAGCAGGCCGTGTATCACCTCGAGCAGAGCGACTCGGTGTTTGTGGCCGCGCACACCTCGGCCGGCAAGACGGTCGTGGCAGAGTACGCCATTGCCCTCGCGACCAAGCACATGACGCGCTGCATCTACACGTCGCCCATCAAGGCGCTCTCGAACCAAAAGTTCCGCGAGTTCAAGCACACGTTTGGCGCGGAGAATGTCGGTATTCTGACCGGCGACGTGCAGATCAACCCCGAGGCTACCTGCCTCATTATGACGACCGAGATTCTGCGCAGCATGCGTACGTACCGCGACTAACACAGTGTACCGCGGCGCCGACCTCATCCGCGATGTGGAATTCGTCATCTTTGACGAGGTGCACTACGTCAACGACCAGGAGCGCGGCGTCGTGTGGGAGGAGGTGATCATTCTCCTGCCGGCGCACATCAATATTGTGCTCCTCTCGGCGACCGTGCCCAATACGCAGGGTACGTGGGTCGACTAACGCCAGAATTCGCCGACTGGGTGGGCCGCACGAAGAAGAAGGACGTGTATGTGATATCGACGCCCAAACGTCCGGTGCCGCTCGAGCACTTTCTGTTTGCGGGCAAGGAGCTGTTCAAGGTCGTCGATGCACAGGGCCGCTTCTTCGCGAAGGGCGTGCACGACGCGGCCGACGCCCTGCGCTCGAAGCAGGAGCGCGAGGGCACAGCGCCAGGCGCCTCGGCGCCCGCGGCGCGCGGCGGCCNGCGCGGCGGGCCGCCGGGCCGTGGACGCGGTGCGCCGCAGGGCCGCGGCGGCTATGGCCAAGTGGCGCGGCGCCCGGGCCAGGCCACCGACAAGTCGCTGTGGGTGCACCTCGTCGGCCTCCTGCGCAAGCGCTCGCTGCTTCCTGTCGTCGTGTTTGTGTTCAGCAAGCGGCGGTGCGAGGAGTATGCGGATGCGTTGCCCAACACGGACCTGTGCCATGCGAGCGAGAAGAGCGAGGTGCACGTCGTGATCGAGCGCAGCCTCTCGCGCCTCAAGGACGTCGACCGCAACCTGCCGCAGATTACGCGCATGCGCTCGCTGCTGAGCCGCGGGATCGGTGTGCACCACAGTGGTCTACTGCCCATTGTCAAGGAGCTCGTCGAGCTCCTCTTCCAGCGCGGCCTTGTCAAGGTCCTGTTCGCGACCGAGACGTTCGCCATGGGCGTCAACATGCCCGCGCGCTCCGTTGTGTTCAGCGGCATCCGCAAGCACGACGGGCAGGGCTTCCGCAACCTGCTCCCGGGCGAGTACACACAGATGTCCGGCCGCGCGGGTCGTCGCGGCCTGGACGCGACGGGCGTGGTGATCGTGATCGCCGAGGACCCCGACGTGCACACGCTGAACCACATGATGCTGGGCCAGTCGACCAAGCTCAAGTCGCAGTTCCGCATCACCTACAGCATGGTACTCAACTTGCTGCGCATCGAGGCGCTCAAAGTCGAGGAGATGATCAAGCGCTCCTTCTCGGAGAACGCGACGCAGCGCCTGCGGCCCGAGCAGGAAAAGACGCTGCAGAACCTGCAGTCGAAGCGCGCGGCGATGGAGCCAGAGCTCGCGGCGTGCACCCTGCCGTTGGACGAGCTCGAGCGCCTGTACGACCTCTCGGTGCAGGCGACGCGCCTCAGCGACGCATGCCTCGCGCTCGCTGCGCACCACTCGCAGGGCGCCAAGATGCTGGCGTCGGGGCGTGTCGTGCTGGTGCGCGAGGGCACCTATGGGTTTGCGCCCGCGTTCCTCGTGCGTCCGCTGACGGGCCAGCGCTTCCTTGCGCTGCTTGCGCTCACGCCGGGCCAGCGTGGCTCGCGGGCGCGCAGCGACGCGCTGCCGCTCTGGATCTCGTCGGCCTTCACCGCGCAGCTCGCCCAGGGCGAGTGGGTCGCGGAAGCACGCGAGATCCCTCTGTCGAGCGTGGTGCTCGTCACGTCGATCACCGCGTCGATTCCCAGCGCGTCGATCCAGTCGCGGCGTCCGTCGGCGCTGCGGCGCGCGCTTGAGCTGCTGCGCCCGCCGATGGCCGCGATCCACGCGCACCTGGCTTCCGCGTCGGAGCCGGCCGGCTACGCGGTGCTCGGCCTCGAAGTCGACTGGTCGCGCATGCGCCGCATGGACTTCCAGGACGCGCAGCGCGAGCGCAATGCAGTGCTGGCGGAGCTCGCGCAGGTGCAGAGCCTCATGGACTCGCCCGAGTTCCTGCGCGAGTACCAGGTGATGCACCGCCGCAAGCGGCTCGAGCTGGACATGGCGCGCGTGCGTGCCTCGCTGTCGAGCGAGAATCTGGATTTGCTGCCCGACTACCACCAGCGCATCGACGTGCTCAAGGCGCTGCGCTTTATCGATCCCGACTCGGAGACGGTGCTGCTCAAGGGGCGCGTCGCATGCGAAATTCGCAGCGCCAACGAGCTGATCCTCACAGAGCTCCTGCTCGACAACACGTTTGTCGAGTATGCGCCTGAGGAGATTGCGGCGCTGCTCAGCGTGTTCCACTTCAAGGACAAGACAAGCGTCGAGCCGGAGCTGACGCCGACGCTCCGCGAAGGATACCAGCGCATCGTCGATACGGCCGACCGTGTGGCGGCTGTGCAGCTAGCGCACCAGCTGAACGCGGAAGACGACGCGTCGACGATGCACATGGGCCTCATGCAGGTCGTATACGAATGGGCACGCGGTATGCACTTCAACGACATTATGCAGCTCACAGACGTGGGCGAGGGCACCATTGTGCGCTGCATCACGCGCCTCGACGAGACGTTCCGCGAGGTGCGCGATGCGTCTCGCGTGATTGGCGACATGGACCTGCTGGAAAAAATGGAGACGTGCCAGCAGCTGATCCGCCGCGACATTGTGTTTGCAGCCAGTCTCTATTTCTAGTAGCTCGGCGACGACGTACTACGGCCTTCCAGCATATCATTCTTCAGGCCCCTGTGGATGCCGCGCGCGCGCGAGTACCACTCGTGCGTCGGCGACGTCGGCCGCGACGACGGCGTCCACGGCGGCGGCGCTGCATCCGACGCGCCACTCTCGTCCCACGCACCCGGCGCGGTCGGCGCCCCCTCCACGAGGCGCTCGTCCAGCTGCAGCAGCTGCGCCATCGACTGCGTACAGTTGCACGCGTGGCTCTCGCCTGAGCGCGGCGGCATGTTGGTCACTGCCCAAGGCGTGCCTACCGGCAGATTTCGCGGTAGGTGCGACGGCTGGCTCTGGCTGCGCTGCGCCAGGATCGCATCGTTCGGTCGGTGCACGGGTATCACGGGCGTGTTCGACCCCGAGCCCGCCCTGTCGATCGAGTGCCTCTGTGGCACGTCCAGGCTCGGAGGCGGCGTCTTGACCAGCCGACGGCGCGACCGCTGCGACGACAGTGACTGCAGCGAGTGCAGCAGCTTGTTCCACTCGGGCTGCGAGGCCAGCGGCGCGTCGGATCTCGGCAGCGGCAGCGTCGGCGCGCGCGACGTGCGGGGCGTCGCGGGCGCCGATGTGACTGGCGACGCCTCCGTGTACGGAGGGAGGTGGATCGCGTCGTGCGTGCACTCGCACGTCGGAATCGACACGGTCTTCGTCATGGAAAACACTTGCGAGCGCGGCAGACCCGCCATCTCGTTCTGTGGCCGGTCCTCGAGGAGATCGAGGCGGGAAAACAGGACTTCGACGCCAATGGCATGTGAGAGTCGCAGGCGCGTGCGCGTGCCCTGCATGGTCGAGGGCCGCAGCCGGGCGTGGTCCGGCAAGCGCACGGCCGTCTTGATGCGGTAGCCCGGCATGGACGCGACGTCACCGGCCAGCGGCCGCACGACGCTCATCGCACTTCGCGCAGCCTTGCCCACGCGCGTGCCGCGCTGGACGCCCTCAGCCGTCCAGAGGCCCAGCTCCCAGTACGACGCGTTGTTTGTCTCGCGCGTGCGGGGCGGCGGCACGCCCAGCTCCCACACCTTGAGCTTTTCCACGGGCATGACCTCCCACGTATCGGTGCTCGGGTAGTACAGCTCGTACGTCTGCTCCACAAAGACACGCACCATGAGCACGTTGAGCGTCGGTGGCGGCGCTGGGTGCACGAGAGACAAGTGCAGCACACCCGCCACCGTAAGCGATACGCCTGTGAGCGTGATTGTCATGTCGTGCAGCGATTCGTGGGTATCATTGAAGATAAGCTCAAAGGAAAGCGGTCCATTCTCAGGCGTCTGCTGCTGCACCGGTACCAGGTCGCGCGACACACTCACATCCCGCCCGTTCTTGCCGGCACCCCGCACCGTGGCTGTGATCGTATACTTTGTCCGCCCATACCTGCACCGCTCATAGGGTGCCACCCACGCAGGTAGAATCAGGTGAAACTCAAAGTCGTGCACGCCCTTGGTGAGATAAAGGCCCTGCTCTTGAGTCGCGTCTACGCTCGTCGGCACAGGGCGGTGGGCGGCCTGTGAATTCGTCTCGATGGTGATGGTCCGGTCCAGCACCACCGCCTCTTCCCATCGGAGCGTTTTGGCTTTTTCAGTATGGAGCTTCTCTTCGGCAATGACCGGGTAGCCGATCGTCTGGAGCCCCAACAGCCGGATCTCGATGCCGTGCAGCATGCGATCTGTGGGGCACTCAATTTCCACAACACCATCCAGCAGCTGATCCTGACTCGGCACATCCTCTGAAGCAGACGGAGACAGCCATACGAGGTCCGTCGGCAAATGAATCCATACCTCGCAGGGTGCCTCCGCGGACTTCATCGCGCTCCGGGGAAGGCGCCCAACACCGCCTGCCTCCACCATATAGCCTCATGGCCGGAGGTCTGTTCGCGCACCACGTGACAGTCCACGCCGGGCTCGACACGATGCTTCCTGCGTGGCATGGCCCCCGCTCGTGATCCTAGCGGCTTCATGCTATGGATCGGGGCCCCATGCTTCCACTGCAAGCGCGAGGACTTTTTGCCGCTCCGATGCATGGCGTGCGAGCGCCTGTTTTGTGCTGAGCATTTTCGGCAAGAGGCGCATGCCTGCCCCCATCCGGCACGCGACGTGCTCGTGCCCCTATGTCCCCTATGCGAAGAGCCTCCGCGAGGATGGCGGCGGGATATGCCCGCTCAGGAACTCTCGTCGCTTTTGGAGAGCCACTGGACAGCGCCGTCGCTCGACCGCGGTGGATGCCGCGCCCTTCTGTCTCAGGCCAGCGACCTATCACAGCGTTGCTGTGTCAGTCGATGCCAGGCTGCGATGCACTTGCCTGTGAAGGTGCGTAGGAATAGCTTACAACAGTGCCCTCATTGTGCTCAGACCGTATGTCTCCACCACCGTGCGCCTTCTCGGCATGCGTGCACGGGCGCGCACCCCAAGCGTGCTCCGAAACCTGCTGTATCTTCCTCGTCCAAGCCCCAGGCTACCTCCGATACCCAGATACCCGCCGTCGCGGCGCCCGCCCCTCGCCCCACATCGAGCCGCTTTGCTATCGCACGGCGCGCCGCGCAAGAGCGCGCATCCACTATACGTGCCATGCAGGAGCGCCATGCACGCGGCATGCTTTCAGACCCTGAAAAAATGCGGCTCGCGCAGCTCATGGCACAGGCCGCCGAGGACCGCCGCGCCGCACCGTCCGGGGCTCCTGCCTGCACGCTCATGTAGGTCCCACACACGTGACACATTCCTCCACGCCGGGCACGGTCTTCGACGCTCTCCCGCACGCCATGTCGGATTCGTCGAGCCATCGCCCGCTCACGGGCTCGTCGCGCTCCAGCGCGTCGAAAGATACCGTGTATACCATCGGTATGGCCTTGACCATTGTGTCCTGCGTGTTTTTCTTACTTTCTTTCCTGAGTTCGCTGGCGGGCCTGGTGCGTGATGCGCCTCCGCCCACGTCGGCGTCTTTCGCGGGCAGCCGCTACTACGGCCGCTGCAACCCCTACATGAAGCCTGGATACGTTTCGCACGATCCGTACCCTGTGTGGAAACCGTACGATTCGACGTGCCAGTCGACCCCCATCCTGCCCCACTTGCTGTCTCTGCTGCCTGGCGCCAAAGTGGGGCCGGTGGCGGCGCTCCGTGCGCAGAACACGCCCAAGCAGGCTGAGGACGAGGTCATCCGCACGGTCAAGAACCGCACTATCCTGCTGGTCGGCGATGCGGTGGATCGGGCCATGGTGCGCAACCTGTGTGCCATGGTTGGCGAGACCCCCGTGGCGGTCGACGCGTCGCACCCTTGGGGCGCAAGCCTGAAGCAGGTCTCGGCGTACACGGGTAAGAGTGCTAACAATGTCGTCCTGGCCGACTACTGCTTCATTCCGCAGTACTCTACGTTGGTCACGTCGTTCTACCACTATGGCGCCGACACGGACGAGCTCTGGCGTGCCCAGCCGTCGTACTTCCCTCCGGGTTCATTCGAAAGCCGTCTCAAGAGTCTTTTGCAGCCGTACCTGTCGTCGATGTCCTCGTCACCTGCTTACAATGGCGTGCAAGCGTCCTCGAGCCAGCCGGACCTCGTCGTCTTCTCGTCTGGTCTGTGGGACCTGGCCGCGTGGGCTATGGAGGACGATAGCGAGCACCTGGATGCCACGGGCGATCTGTCGGACAAGCGCCTCGAGTGGTGGCGCTCGCGCATGGTTGACATGCTTGTGGAGCTGCGCAAAGTGATTGGAAGCTCGGCGCCCATTGCGTGGCGCAGCACGCACATGTCGATGTCTACGGCGAAGGACACGGTCGAGTCGTTCATTGCCAGCACGAGCGCTGCTGAGCCTGTTGCGCCGACGGGTACCGGTCATCAGTTTGCGCATCCCCACCGCATTGCGCAGCTGAACGAGGCGCGCAAGTCCTTCTTGCCGCTCCTGGGCCGCGACAGTGTGCGCGGGAAGCTGAGCAAGACAATTTGGTCTCAGTCCAACGAGCCCTACCTTCGTGATATGCCGTTTGGCGAAGTGACGCTTGGCTTGCCGTTGCAACAAGACAGCCTCCTGACACCGGGTCTGGAGTCGTATGCCTTCCTCTTCTGGAGCATGGTGTTCTTCGAGCTGCACGATAGTGTCATCTAATGGGCGGTCGCGTGCGCGCGGACGCTACTCTGTAGCACTTCCATGCTAAATACCGTATGATTGTCGTGGACGATACTCCGGCCGAGTAGCAAAGTGGTTACTGCGACGGCTTTAGGTCTCCTACACCGCCGTTATTCGTGGGTTCGATCCCCACCTTGGTCATACCTTTTGCCACGTCCCCGTGCGAGTGCTGAGCTAAGCACGCGTTCGTCCGCAAGTGGCGAAGCACACCTCGCCCTTGAAGGTCTCCGCATTGGCCTCCTCTGTTCGTGGCTAGTTCTAGGCGTGTCCTGTCGCCATGTGAGTAGAAACCACTAACCATGGAAGGTCGCGCTATGCGGAGCAGTTTTTCGGCACGCGTCCTTTGGACCGCGAGAAGGCGGAGCAGGAGCTCGCGATGCATCTCCGCAAGGCCACCAGTCCCGAGGAAACTTCCCCCAAGCAGAAGCACGTCCGGAAATGCATTGTTTACACATGGGACCACAAGTCATCCCAGTCTATCTGGACGGGTCTGCGCAGCCTGCCGATCCTAAACGACGAGGTACAGACATTCAAGGCGCTTATCACCGTGCACAAAATCCTGCAAGAAGGCCATCCTATCGTCTTACGCGAGGCCCAGGCCCAGGCCAACTGGTTCGAGACGTGCGCTCGCTTGAATCGTGAAGGTCCGCGTGGGTATGGCCAGCTGATCGCTGCCTATGTCTCGCTGATCCAGTCCAAGCTGCGCTTCCACCGCGTGCACAAAGAGTTCAATGGCCTCTTTGAGTATGAGGAGTACATCTCTCTCAAGAACATCGACAACCCCGACGAAGGCTACGAGACGATCATCGAGCTGATGAACTTGCAGGACCGCATCGATAAGCTTCAGAAGCAGGTGTTTGCCACACTCCGGGGACGTGCGAACGAGTGCCAAATTTCGTCGCTCGTCCCTCTGGTCAAGGAGTCATACGGCATTTACAAGTTTTTGACCTCGATGCTTCGTGCCATGCACCGACGCACCGATGCTATGGATGCACTCGAGCCCCTGCGCGGACGCTACCAGAAGCAGCACCACGAGCTCCGCCGCTTCTACTTTGAGTGCGCGAGCCTCAAGTACCTGACGAGCCTGATCAATGTGCCCAAGCTAAATGCGGAGCCACCTAGTCTTCTGGCCCCGCCGCCCGAGGCGCCGGAGCTGCCGCCGCGCCAGGAGACGCCGCGCGAGCCCACGCCTCCGCCGGCCGGTCCCTCTCAGTCTGAGATCGATGAGCAGGCCCGCATGCTCAAAGAGTTTGAGGAAAAGCAGCGGCGTCTGAAGGAAGAGGAGGCTGCCGAGGCACGCCGCAACGAGGAGCTCGCAGCCCAGCGAGAGCGCGAGTTTGCCGCACAGCAAGCGAGCCAGGCAGAGCACCAGCATCTTCTGCAGGAGCAGCTGCTGCGCTCGCAGGAGATGAACCAGATTCACGGGCGTGCGGCGGAACTGGAGCGCGACCTGCTCTTTATGCGCGGCCAGTACGAGCGCGACCAGCTCCTGCTGCATCAGTACGATGCGCGTGTGAAGGCGCTCGAGATGGAGCTGGCCGGCGCAGCCCAACACATGCAGGCGCAAATGGGCGGCAAGGACGAGATGCTGCAGCAGCTGCAGGAGCAGGTGGATACGTGGCGCAAAAAGTACGAGGCGCTGGCCAAGCTGTATTCGCAGCTGCGGACCGAGCACTTGGACCTGCTGGGCAAGTACAAGCAAGTACAGCTCAAGGCGGGCAGCGCCCAGGAAGCGATCAACAAGATGGAGCGTATGGAGCGCGATGTCAAGGCAAAGAACCTCGAAATGTCGGATATGATTCGCGAGCGCGACCGTGCGCGCCTGGAGCTGGATCGCATGCGCGGCGGCGAGCGCGAGGAGGTGGAGCGGCTCAAGCGGGAGCTGCGCTTTGCTGAAGAGCGCGCCGAGGATGCCATACAGGCACGTGGCACGGAAGTATCGTCCATCATGGCGCGTATGAATGCGCAGATTGCTGAGCTGGAAGAGTCACTGGCCTCGCACAAGGCGCAGCTGGAGGCCAAGGATGCAGAGGCGCTCATTCTTCAGGAGGGTATGGATGCAACGATCCGGCAGATGAACGACATCCGCTTGGATCAGGGCACGTCCGATGAGGCCCTGAATGCCCAAATTGATACCATCATCCTTGACAACTCCAAGAAGCTGAGTGCGATTATCGACTCGATTCTACAGGCGTGTGCTGACAAGCTGGACGATGCGCTGTACGAGCTCGAGTCACCTGCCTCGAACGGGTCGTCCACAACGACGCCCGAGTATGTGCTGTCGCTCATTGAGAAGACGCAGTCGTCGTCCAACGAGTTTGCGGCCGTCTTCTCCATGCATGTCGAGCAGCAGGCTGGTGGTGAGCATGTGGCCGTGATCAAGTCGGCGAACCAGATGGCCCAAGCCGCGGCCGACTCGCTGGTGAGCTTCAAGGGCATCTTGCGCTTCTCCCGCGACGAAGATGCAGTCGAGCGCCTGACGCAGGTGGCGGTGGAGGCCGGCAGTGTGCTGCTGCGTGTCTTTTTGAACGTGCAGTCCTTCCGTCTCGCGGGCTTGAGCATAGCGCAGCGCAGCAACGTGGCGATGCAACAGAATGCCCTGGCAAGCCAAGCGCTGGGTCGACTGTCCGATGCTGCCCAGGGACTGATTGCATCCGGACAGCAGGTGGGCGCGCAGGGCAGCGACCTGGGCGATCTGATCGAGCGGGAGATGATGTCCGCTGCGAGCACGATTGAGCAGGCGACGCTGCGGCTGCAGGCGCTGCTGGGCCGCGACAAGTCGTCGTCGCGCTACTCGACGACCGAGCTGCAAGTGCACGACGCGATCCTCGAGGCGGCGCTGGCGATTATGAAAGCCATTGGCGGCCTCATCCGCTCGGCCACCGCGAGCCAGGAGGAGATTGTGGCGCGGGGTCGTGGGTCGAGCACGGTGCAGCAGTTTTACAAGAAAAACAACCGCTGGACCGAGGGCCTCATCTCTGCGGCCCGCGCAGTGGCATTTGCCTCGACCATGCTGATCGAGGCAGCTGATGGTGTGATTATGGGCACACACAGCCTGGAGCAGCTGATTGTGGCATCGAACGAAGTCAGCGCTGCCACGGTGCAGCTGGTCGCTGCCTCGCGTGTGAAGAGTGAATTCATGTCCGAGACGCAGGACCGCCTGGAGCGCGCGGCCAAAGCGGTGACCGAGGCGTGTCGCGCGCTCGTCAAACAGGTGCGCATGATCACCGACCGCCAGACGTCGTCCGAAGACATTGACTACGCGCGTATGGCGACGCATGAATTCAAGGTGCGCGAGATGGAGCAGCAGGTCGAGGTCCTTAAGCTGGAAAAAGAGCTGGCTCAGGCTCGCCGCGTGCTGGGCGCGATGCGCCGCGCCGGCTATCATGCCACCGAAGACGAATAGGTATATATGTAGTCTATGTCCTTAGTCGCTCTCCGCCTCTTGGGTGCGGTTCTGCACGCTAGCCACAAAGGCACGAGCGCGGTCTAGGACGGCCTGAACGCCGTCCTCGTCGCCGATGCGCTTCTCGATCACGAGCCACTTTTGCAAGAGGGCCTTGATCTGCTTCGTCGAGTGCTTGCGAGCGACAAACACGCGCTCCATCAGCGAGCGGACCCCATTGATGTTGCCCAGGCGCACTTCCTGGTCCATGTACTGCCACCACAGGTCCAGGCGCTTGGGGTAGCGCGACACGAGCGTCTCGAACATGGTGCGTGCATGTTCCACGTCGCCGATCTTGAACTCGGCGAGAGCGTACGCTGTAAGGGCCCGGATATGCTCGCGCTTATCAAGGCTCTGCAGGCTGCGCGACACAAGCTCATGGGCCTCCTCCGCGCGCTCGTGGCGCAGAAGAAACTGGTACCAGTCGATCCACACGCTGGGGCGGAAGCCAAACTTTTTTGCGGTGCGCTTGAACAGGTCCGCAGCCTCCTCGAGCTTCTGCGAGTTCTCGAGGATAGACAGCAGGCGCATGTGCACTTCAAACGCATCGTTAAGCTGAATGGCCTCCTTGAACACGGCATCGAGTGTCTCTGGCGAGCCGTACATGTTCTCGAGGTTCAGAAGCGCAATCCAGACATTAAGCTTTTCCTGCTCCTCGCGGAAGTGGATGACCTTGAAGGCGCGGCGCGCGACCTGGCGGGCCTTTTCGACATCGCCCGTCTGAAGATAGAACGTCATGAACTGGATCCACAGGAACGACGAGTTGGGTGAGCCCAGCAGCACGCGCTCAAAGTCGGTGGCCGAGTCGAGTTTCTTCGTAGCGATATCGTCGGCAAAGTCGTCCTCAGCATCTTTTTTGGCAGATGCTTTCGTTACGGGCTCCTCGTCGGAAGACTCTCCATCGTCATCCTCGTCCATCGGAGCATCCCAGCGGAAGCCCTGCTGGAGTGAGTGAAACGGTGCTTCGTTGACATCGGCATCGTCTTCCTCGTCGAGATCGTCTTCCTCATCGACATGGTCGTCATTGGTAAGATCTCCATTATCGTCTTCATCGTCGTCGTCTTCGTCGACATCCTCATTGTCAACATCTTCGTCGTCGTCGTCATCGTCGAGATCTTCATCGTCGTCGTCCTCGACATCGACATCTTCATCGTCGTCGTCCTCGACATCGACATCCTCGTTATCGTCGTCGTCCTCTTCGTCCTCCTCCCCCTCATCATCATCTTCCGCTTCACCGTCGATAAGGCCCTGCTCAATTTCCTCTTCATCTTCATCATCATTGAGATCGCCGTCGTCTTCCCCATCCTCCTCGTCGTCTTCCTCCTCGTCCTCGTCCTCATAGTCCTCTTCGTTAAAGTACGAGGGCTTCAGACCAAAGGAGATACGCTTCTTCTCGGCGTCCAACTTGAGAATGACGGCCTTGACCCGGTCCCCGACCGCATACGCACGCACTGCATCCGACTTGGCGTTGTCGGAAAGCTCGCTCTTGTGACACAAGCCGCTAATGTTGGTCCCGTCGATCTGCACAAACACACCATACTCGGCCGTCGCACGAACATGGCCACGGACCTTGTCGCCCACGCGATAGTCGCCCCACTGCGTCGCCGATGGTTTGCTCGGCGCCAGGCGGCTCTTTTTAAGCGACATCTCGACCTTGCCAGAGCCGTCCACCTGTAGAACCGTGCCGGTGACGCACTGACCAACGTGGAAGTGGCGCCGGAAGTCTTTCACGTACTCGTCAAAGAGTTCCTTGATCATGACACGGGCATCGACTCGGCGTCCAAGCGACACATACACGCCATGGTCCGTGATCGACTTGACAATACCCCGCACCTGCTGGCCCGTCTCGAGCTGCGATGCAGTGTCCACAGGCGCGTCCGTTGGCGTGCCTTGGCCCAGCCGCGACGGACGCAGCGAAATGTCCACTTCCCGTCCGCCTCGGCGCACGTCCAGCACCACGCCACGAACCACATCGTGCACAGCCGGCAGCACGGCCTCCGTCAGATCGTCCGCACACTCGGTCACATGCAGACGCGCACGGTCGTGCGTGCCGTCGAGAGCGACCGTGCATGCAAGCTGCGGCGCATGGCGCTCCACGATGCGGCCTTCGAACTGCGAGCCAGCGACGACCCGCTTCGAGTCGCCCTTCGGCGGTTGGTCACTCAGCACAACCAGGCCCTTGGCCGCATTCTTCTTCACGACGTAGAAGTTCGACAGCAGCTCGCCCTCTGCCAGCGATGCACGCACTTCACTCACCTCCGCTCCACGCTGACGCGCGACGCACGCCAGTGCTAGCAGCGCGCGCGTGCCGGCCGGCTCGAGCAGCGTAATGGCGACGTCATCACGGACCGTGACGACGCGCGCCTGGACCTTCTCGCCAAGCTCGACGGCGTCCACGTTAAGCTTCTCCAGGTACGCCGGCGACGCCTGCTTGATGCTGGCCAGGACCCGGCGCTCCTCCGGCTCCACCTTGATCAGGCGCACCTTGCACACCTTGCCGGGGGGGAAGAGCTCGGCGAGGTGCGCAGCGGAGAGCGTCGACTCGGACACCTCCGCCAGGGGCACAATGGCCCGCAGCGTACCGCCCAGCTCGACTAGCAGGCTGGCAGGCAGGTGCTTCACCACGACAGCCAGCGTGAGGGCACCAGGCTGGGCGTCTGCGATGCTCGTGATCAGTGGCAGCTCGGCCTGCACGAGCGAGCGCTTGAGCGTAAGCACAATGCGGTTCCGCATGGGGTCCGTGTGAAGGATGCGCGCGTTCATCGACAGATTCGGCTTGAACTTCTTCTCGGGGTGCGCCAGGTGCACGTCGCTGAAGTGCAGAGGGAACACGACACCGTCGACATTGCTGCTCAGGCGCACAAAGATGGCCTGCGGCGTGACTTTGCGGATCGTCACACGCACCACCTCGCCGACGGGCACCTCGCTCACGCGCATATACTGCTTCTCCAGCACGGACGGCTGCAGGCTGAGCAGGAGCAGCCGGTCGGTCATGGCATGCCCCGTCACTCGCGCGGCATGCTCCGAGCCGACGCGGTACTTGCCCTGCGTCGGCGCCAGGGCATCGATGTGTTCGTCGGCGACGTGCGAGATGTGCACAAATGCCGCCACATCCGCGCCTATGACTTCGCACATGAGGCCCCAGCCCGACAGCACGGTCGTGACCCGCACCTGGACGCGCTCGCCGATCGGGTACGCGTCCGTCAGCGCCTGGTCACCGACTAGGGGCGTGCGCAGCTCACACACATGTGCAGCAGCGCTCAGACCCAGGCGGCGGGCGCCCACCGTATCGGCTGCTGACTCCTGCAGCTGGTCCAGGTCGCCCGGCATATTCCACAGCACACGCGCAAGGATCTTCTTCCCCGGCGCCAGCGCCGCTTCGTCCAGGTGCGGAGGGACGTGGAAGTTATCAATCGTGCCATCCAGCATGCCGAATAGCTTCACATTCAGGCCTTGCGGCACGCGTGTCGTGATCAGCGCCTTCACCGGCACACCCGGCAGCATCGCACTCTGACTGGGCGGCACACTCGGCACATTCGGCGCGCCCGGCTCGGCGAGCGACACGCGCAGGACGCGCCCGTCGACCGCGCGCACCAGCACCAGCACCACCTGGCCCACGCGTAGGGGCGGCGGCGTGTACTGGAAAGGCAAAAAGCCATGCAAGTCGTCGTCCACGCCCAGCTCCAGCGCATAGCCATGGTCCTCGCGGCTCGTCACGGTCGCGGAGAGCACGTAGCCCTCGCTCAGGTCGCTCGCGCTGATGCCCTCGTTGACCACATGCGGCTCCAGCGTGAGCTGCACACGCTGGCTCTCGCGCTCGTACTCGCCGCCTTCGCGGCCGAGGCCCGCCTGCCGCTGGGTGCCGGGCGCGCCCACTGATTCCACGCTCGCACGAACCCATTGACCCACACTGAAGATCTCATGAAGCTCCGGGGGCGCCTCTTCGTCTGCGTCGTCGAGGTCCTCCTTGTCGCTCTCGTCGTCCAGAGCCGCCTGCAGACGCTCCGTCAGCTGGCGGCTCACACTGGTCACTGGCACGTGTCCTAACAGCTGGTCGCACATCGACACGACGATAGCGAGGGGGTGTACGGCCAGCACACAGCACAGCATTTTTGTGCCGGGCAAGAGGCGCTTGTAGTTGAGAAGCTCAACGCGCTGGCGGTCGGTCGGCGCTGGCGTCTCCGTGGCCTTCTTCGCCTTGGTACGCGCCTTGGGGGCCGGCTTTGTGCGCTTCGACTTGGGCGTTTCCTGGAAGAGGTCGTCATTCATCGACTCTTTGCGCCCCTCCAGCACCGACTGGCGGTACTCGAGCGGGGTCAGGCCCGTGCCGCCACCACGTGGGAACGCCGCGACGGCCGACGGGCGGGCAGCGACGTTGGGCGCCACAGGCACATCCTTTTTAGCTTTCTTTGTGGATGTCTGTGTACTTGACGACGCGCGCTTGGGATGCGACTCGTCCGTCGTCCTGCTCCGCTTCATCGCGAATGCGAGACAGAGCCGCTGCCATGCCGTGCCCATTTTTTTGGCCCACAGGATGAGGTAAGCGTACCTAAGCTCACCGCTTCGCCAGGGCCGCCTGCGCCTGGACGATGCGCGTGTGGATCTGGGCCGTGGTGTGCCTGTACGGCGTGGCGCTGGGGGCGTCTGCACACCCTGCGGGGCAGCAGGCATTCCAAGTCGATGCGCTGGACGAGACTGGAGGCCCTTCCCTACCGCTGCTCCGCAGCTGGTCCATGCGCACGCTGGAGCGTACGTTGCGCCACTAACGCAGTCCCTCATGGACAGCGCCTCTGGCGACCAGAGGCGTTCAAGTGGTGGCTCCGATGGCGTCGCGTCCCTTTTGTGGACGTGACAGAAACAGCCGATCTGGGCCAGTCGTCAGCGCTTCGTGCCAGCGGGGCGCCGTCCTTCCCGAGCAACCTGCGCTACGAGGCGGCGCTCCCGCCTATGTTTGAGCTCGTGCGCGAGGATGTGCCGCGCTACTACATGTCCAAGCTCACTTCGTTCTTCACGCGGTACTATCGCTCCGACACGGGTGCCAAGAGCCAGCGCTGGCTGCAGACGCAGGTCGAGGCTCTCGCTGCCTCGCTGCCGACCTATACCCGCGTCCAGGCCTTCCAGCACCCATGGCAGCAGCGATCTATCATTTTACATATCCGAGGCGCCAATGCGACGCTGACGCGGGAGCGCGGCGTCACGATTCTGGGCGCGCATCTGGACAGCATCAACTTCTTTCCGTTTTTTGCTGCACCGGGTGCGGACGACGATGGCAGTGGCACGGTGACGCTCCTTGAGGCCTTGCGTGTACTGGGAGAGGCTGGCTGGGTGCCCGAGTCCGACGTCGAGCTGCATTGGTATTCTGCCGAGGAAGGCGGCCTGCTGGGCAGCCGCGCTGTCGCTGCGGAATACGAGCGCAAGCACCGCCGCGTGCAGGCTATGCTCCAGATGGACATGACGGCCTTTGTCAAAGACGGTACACAAGAGCGCATCGGCGTGGTGACGGACTATGTGTCGCCTGCCCTGACTGACTTTGTGGAGCGCCTGGTGGGGGCCTATCTTCGGCTCCCCGTCGTCCGGTCGGTCATGCACTATGGTGCTAGTGATCACGCAAGCTGGTCAGCAGCCGGCTACCCTAGTGCTTTTGCAATGGAAGCGTACGTATGCTCGTCCTCACGCCCAGTCCTTTTGAAGACTGCAACCTGCAACGTCTCCATGTATGTCTTGATGGACTCACCGACCAGACCTCGCGTGATGTGCCGGAAGCACCCGAGTTCTCGTTCGCACACCTGCTCCAGTTCGTGCGCCTGTCTATGTCGTTTGTAGTCGAACTTGCCGGCTGGGTCGACGCGTAGTCGCCTGGCCCGGTGGAGGTCCCCAGATGGAGGTCCGCTGTGCTCGTGCCGTGTTGGGCCTCCATGACCGAGGCCGTTGAGCTTGGGGCGCTGGGTGGTCCGTCCCATACGCAGGAGCCGGCGGCGGCGGAATCGACTACACTGTACCGGGGAAATGCCAGGCCGCTGAACCTGACGCCTGTTCTTGACTCGAGCGCGCTCCAGCCGCATGCTGCGCCACCGGAGACTGTGTACACGAGCGATTCTGTCCGCATTCCGCTGCACTCGCCGTATGCGGAGCGAGACTGGACTGCGTGGAACTCGATGCTCAAGGCGTCCGCACATAGGATGTCGATGCCGGATGCGCCGCTGCGGCAGCGTGCGGAAGCACGGCCGGATCAAGCGCCGCCTCGCACCGAGCACCGAGAGCCACACGATATGGTCGGGTGGGCGACCGCGTCCATGTCGCAGGCCCAGCGTGTGCCAGAGCCGAGCCCGGGGGATGCATCGCTCACATTGCAGTACACCCACTCGCGTCCGTGGGATCAGCCGTGGTCATTCCGTGACGCGCTGAACGGCCCCTTTGAGCCTGGTTCCACGAGGCCCCAGACAGACCCGCCCCCGGCGGCGAGCTGGAAGCGCACTATTGCCTTGTTCTTTCTGCGTCACCCGTTTGTGCCGCTGCTCCTGCGTATCATCAACATCCTACTCATTTCGTGCTCCCTCGCGGTCAGCGCGCGCCTGCACATCACGCTGGAGCACGAGGGTCTCTCGGACGCTGTGGGCGTGAGTCCTCTCACGGGGATCATATTTTCGCCGCCCGCGATCGTGCATGCCATATTCCAGGTATGGCTCGAGTATCGGAGCCGGCCGATTGGACTGTGGCAGGCGAGTTCCAAGCTTTGGTACATGATGCTGGAGCTGCTGTTCGTGTGCCTCTGGTCCGCAGAGCTCTCCCTGGCATTTGACAACTACTTCACGTCGACGCTAGTGTGTGTAAATGCATACTCGCCGTTCTACCGACGGCCCTATTCCCTGCCGACGGAAGACCCCATCCCCCGGAAAAGCACGTTGTGCGGCCTGCAAATCGCCATGATCTGCGTTTGCTTCGTCTCAGTGGCCGTGTACGTGTTGGTATTCATGGTATCTCTCTTTCGCATATTCTACCGCGTTATGTTGACGGCCTACTAGCTTCCGTAGATATCCTCTCCGGCACCTGGATGTGTCCCGCGGCGATCGCCTGCGCGACGCGCCGCTGCCACAGGGTATGCAAGTCGAGCTGCGCTCCCCGCGCGCGATTCGCCAGCTGTGCGTGCTGGAGGGCGGCCGTATCAATGCGCGTGCGGGGCCGCCGCCCTGGCGGAGCAGGCGGTAGTGGCTCGGATGTAAGGCCGTCCGCTCGCTTCGCCGGCACATGCTGCAGCGTCGGCCGCCGGTAGTGCCACCAGCGCGGCACAGGCGGCTTCGGCCGCTCCGGCGACTCCCACAGCATGGGCGTGCGGTGCTGTCGGGGGACCTGGACAAAGACGTGCGTCTCGGGGTATATGGGGGGGCGGTCCACAGGCGCCATGACCTGCCACGGTGGGATCGATGCGCTCTGCCTGGCAGCGATGAGGGCAATCTCTTCGTGCGGCTCCAAGGGCCGCTTCCGCGGCCGCCCGCGCTTGCGCTTGATCGGCGGCTCGTCCGCGATGCCGTCGACAGGCGCGCCGCTCCCGTCCATCCGCACGGGCTTCGCCGCGCCAGGCGTCGAAAGCGGCGCTTCATTCCGCGGCCGCCCTCGCTTGCGTGGGGCAAGCGGCGTCATGAGCCGGTCCAGCAGAGACGTGTCGCCGGCAATATGCGGCAGCTCAGCACTTGTGCGTGCAGCATACGGCGTCGAATGTACAGGTACCGCGTCATCCTCACCAAGATCAGTAGCTCCATCGCCCTCAGACGACGGCTGCGACTCATATGGCGACGAGGGCTCGCCACTGGGGTTGGCGGCCGGCGCGCTTCCCACAAAGACGTCGTAGCTGCGTAAGTCACGGGCACGTACAAATTATCAAACGCGGAACTGGAGCTGTGCGCACCGCTAGTGCCATGGAGCGTGCTGTGCGCCCGCCAGGGCGGCGCATCACGCCTTGGCCCCACGGACCGCGGCGCTGCGCCAGGCCGAGCGTACATCGCGGCTCGTCGCGTGCAGGATGGGTCGGTGTGGAGGCGCCGCGCCAGGCGCCGCTCGTGCATGCCCCGCGACGGGCCTGGGCGTCATGGCGCGAGGCGTCATGAGCGCACTCGCATATTGAGTCCCGCGTTTCGTACGTCGCTTCTCTAATGTGGGCGTCTATATCCTACCAGCCAAGCTCTCGCCCGGGGAACGCACGCGTCTCAGCGCGCTGGTTCAGTCGATGGGCGCCGTGCTGTGTCGCACCTACGAGGATGCGAACGTGATTGTGACGGAGCTGCGCGCACCCATACGCATCGAGCTTCATATACCGGCGACTGAGCGGGTATGTAGTGTGGCTCACACAGGCGAAACCGATCGTTGGCGTTGAATGGCTGCATGCGTGCCAGGCGCAGGGCATGGCCCCGGCGTACGGCCCCTACCGCGTGTATGAGCCGCGCGATGCGCGGGCAGAGCCACCGGCCCCAATGCCCCCCTCGCGCGAAGGCTCCGCCGAGGCGGAGGACGATGCATCCCTGCCTGACGCGCCCTTTGCGTGGGTCAACAGCGAGTACGCAGTCTTTCGAAGCACGCCTCGTGTCTGCGTCAACCAGTCCTTGGTGGACCAGCTCAAGGTCCTGCAGCGGCACCGACATCTGACTAGCGATGCCCACAGCGAGATGGCCTACATGCGTGCTGTCGCGGCAGTCAAGGCGGTCCCTTTTTCTTTGCGTGATTGGTCTGTGACGCAGCTGCAGCAGATCCAGGGCGTCGGACCCAAAGTGGCGCACGCCATTCGGCAGTTTTTCGAGCAGGGCAGCATCGCCGAGGCAGACGCTATCCAGGCGGACCAAGCGCTACAGACCATGCTGCAGTTCACTCAGCTGTATGGCGTGGGACCCCGAACCGCTGAGCGTGCGTACCAGGCGGGCTGCCGCACACTGGAAGACCTCACGAGACGGTGCCAGACCAGGCTGTCCATGCACCTTGGCCCAAAAGAGAGCCTTGCGCTGCTGCCAGACCTGCAGATGAAAATGTCGCGCGATGAAGTGCAGGCACTCGCGGACGAAGTGCGTGTGGTTCGCTGACCGCAGCTGATGCGCGACGTGCGGTGCCTCCTCCCTGATGCACGCTGCGTGATTGCAGGCAGCTTTCGACGCGGTGCGCCGTGGTGCGGCGACATCGATCTTGTGGTGACCGGCACGCTGCGCAGCTCGGCGTCAGATACGCTAGCCGCCCTTGTGCGGCGTCTGCGCGCATCGCACCGCGTCACCCATACCGTCTCCATCGCCCGGCAAAGTGCTGAGAGGGCGGCCGATGCGCAGCTCGGCGTCGATGTGGCTGAGGTTGTCTATGCGTGGGACTGCGACGGGCGCCGTGTGCATCGACGCGTCGATCTGGTCCTGGCGCCGCCTGCGCAATTCGGGGCGGCCCTCCTCGCATGGACAGGCAGTGTCGTGTACGAGCGCGACTTGCGGCGGTGGGCCAAGACACAGGGGTACTCGGTGCGTAGCGTGTCCTAACGCAGTTCTCGCACGGCGGCCTTGTACGCGCGGACGGCCTCGTAGTGCCGACGCCGACCGAGGAGAGTGTGTACGTGACCGTGTCGTTCATACTAGTTTCGCGACGCTTCATCTACCAAACATCCCGCCGCCGCTGCGCAACGCAGACTAGTCATTAGGCTGTCACCTTGTGCAGCGACTCGGCGAGGTGGCGCACATTGTGCTCCGTGATACCGGCCACCGAGATACGGCCGTCCTTCGTCAGATAAACGTGGTGCTCGTTGACGAGCTGGTCCACCTGCTCGGGGGTGATGCCGAGGAAGGCGAACATACCGATCTGGTTCGTGATGTGGTCCCAGTTGTGCTTCGAGCCGTACTCGTTTACGAGCAGGTTTTTCAGCGTCGCGCGCATCGAGTTGATGCGGTCGGCCATGCCCTTGACCTCAGCGAGCCACTGCTTGTACAGCGCGGCGTCCTCGAGGATGGTCGAGGCAATGCGCGCGCCATGCACGGGCGGGTTCGAGTACATGGGGCGGATGGTGATCTTGAGCTGGCTGCTCACGCGCGCGCGCTCATCGGGGCTGTCAGTCACCAGCGAGAAGAGACCGACACGCTCGCCGTACAGGCCCATGTTCTTCGCAAAGCTCTGGCACAGCGCGATCTGGTGGCCCTGCTCGACAAAGTGGCGCAGGGCGAACGCGTCGCGGTCGGCATCGCCGCTCGCAAAGCCCTGGTACGCCATGTCAAACAGCACAAAGTGCTCCTTCTCCTTGATCACGTCCGAGATGCGCCTCCACTGCTCGTGCGTCGGGTCGACACCGGTGGGGTTGTGCGCACATGCATGCAGGAGGATGATGCTCTTGCTTGGTGCCGCCTGGATGTCACGCAGCATGCCCTCCAGATCGAGGCCGACCGTGTTCTTGTCGTAGTACGCGTACTGCTTCACCTCCAGGCCCGAGTTGCGGAAGATGGGGGTGTGGTTGCCCCACGACGGCGTCGGCAGGTAGATCGTCTTGTTGTGGGGGTAGTGGCGTGCAAGGAACTCGCCGCCAATGCGCAGTGCGCCCGTGCCTGAGATCGACTGCGTGGTGGCAATGCGGTTCTCCTTCAGGGGCGCGGAGTCGGCGCCGTACGCGAGCGTCGCCGCGAGCTGCTCAAACGTGGCGTGGCCGGTGATCGGCAGGTACTCCTTGTCAAGGTCCTGCTCAAGCACACGCTTGTCGGCCTCGAGCACACTCGGCAGCACATACGGGTCGCCCTCGCCATCGCGGTACGCCCCCACACCCAGGTTAATTTTGCGGGGGTCCGTGTCACGCTTGAACGCCTCTGTCACACCGAGAATGGGGTCTGGTGGACCAGGCTTAACACCAGCCCACACACTGAGCGTGCGGGCTGCCATGAAGGCGCGCTGGTACGCGGCCGGCCGGGCCGCGCGGGCAAGCATAATAGGGATCATCGTCAAGGGGCACTGGGTGGGGTGTTCCGAGTCTTTACGAAACATATTTACTATCGTACCCCGGCCGCGCTCACCACCCAAAGGCGCTCAGGTCCAGCTCTGCCGTGCTCTGGGCCGGAGGTGGCCGCCGCTCGCCCATGAGCGAGCCGATCTTGGGACCGTGCGCGGGAGAGGGCGTGGTGACAGGGGCCGCCGGCGCCTCGACGGGCGCGCGCGCAAAGCGCCAGTTGCGCAGAAGGGACACGCCCACCAAGTCGCACGCTGAGTCAGTTGGAAGCACGTACCTAGCCGCTCTAGGCGGTACACAGTATTGAGCACATAGCGCGTCTCGTCCTCACGCGTCCACGCGGCATCGAGCCACGGCATCGTCGCCTTGCAGTGCTCCAGCACGAGCAGAAGGCACGGATCCGGCCAGTCCCAGCCAGGCGCCGGTGCCTCCTGGTTCGTAGCGAGGGTACGCAGCGGGCGCGTGAGCATCTGTACAAAGTCGCGCGGCCTGTCCAACACAAGCAGGGCCCATGCACCGAGCCAGCGGTCGCCCGTGGCGAGTGCGTGCGGTACAACATGCTGCTCGACGAGGCGCAGAAAGACAGGGCCGTGATCGTCCTCTTCGTACACGCGTGCGACGGCGATCGCCAGGTCCATGTCGTCCAGCTGACGCACGCACACGTTGACCGCGTCTTGCAGGGCGCCACCCAGGAGGAAAAAGGCCGCTGCAAAGAGGAAGCGTCGCTGGCTCATCAGCGCGAACGCGTTCTTTTGCGCCGCGATGCGCCAGCGCTCCGACGAAAAGTCGTGGGCAAGGAAGGCCTGCATCTTGCCCTGATCGCTGTGTCCAATCGCGCGGCGCCATATGGAGCGCACCATCGTGGGCTTGCGCAGCGCGAGGTACAGCAGTGTACTCAGCACAGGGTCAATGTCGTCGCCACTCGCGAACGCGGCACGCGCAACCTGCTCCATGAGCGGCACTAGCACCGCGCGCTCGCGCATCCAACCAAAGATGCCCGTGGCCTTCACTCGCTCCCAGGTGAGGCGCGTCTCCCACGCAGCAGCGACCTTGCTGTGCAGCGTCGCCTGATCACGGCTCAGATGTGCCCAGACCCAGCGCACCTCCCGGCCGCCGGACGCGTACCAAACGGCAAGGCACTGCCGCCCTGCCTCGTCCACAGGAGACGAGTATACCTCCTGCACGGCGCGCATCGCATGAGCGAGGGGCTCCGCCTCTAGGCCCGGTGGCCCGGACCATGCCTCGCCCTGCGCGAGCTGCGCCTGCACCTCGGCCCACTCGGGCTGCGTCTGCGGCGCGTCTGTCAGCGGCGCACGCTCCCATGACCAGGTGATGGGCGGCCAGTGGTGGCGCGTGCGCGCTGCAGCAATCTGCGTGCAGCTCGCGACGACATTCTCATGCAGCCCCATCTGCAGGCACATGCTCAGGTGCATGGGGTCATAGTACGTGCGCATCTGGCTGCGCTCGATCATCACGGCCAAGAGATCGACCCACGTGTCGTTCGCGCGCAGCTTTGCATCGTACAGGAACAGCTGGCACGTCGACGAGACAAGCAGGCGGTGCCCATCCATCCACTCGACACGGCTAATCACACTGCCGCCCAGCTCCTCCAGCAGGACCTGGCCCAGTAGTGCCCACGAGCTGTCCGCCTGTGCCATCAAATCGACGCGATTGTCCACGCTCACGGCCAGCACGCTGCCGACCTGGTCCATTGCTGTCCATGCGAGCTGGGGCCGGTTCTGTGCGTGTATGCTGACGCGGTGCACAAGTGGGTCACACACATCCGCGAGCTGACTGTCGTAGATCGATATGCTCCATGCCGTGGCGTGCCCATGCACGACGGCAATGTGTCCATGCGCACTCGCACGGATCCACTGCACGTGCGTAAGATGCGTCGGCCACGACAGGGTACAGGTGAGCGACTCGTCCGCCCACACCTGCAGCTCGCCGCCTTGCGTGATGGCCAGCAAGGCCGCGCGGTGCCCGGGATGCCAGTGCGGCACGAGCGCCACGCCCTCGACCGACGACGAGAGGGTGTGCCATCCCTCAGCCTGTACGGCCCCCTCCCCCTGGTGGTGCACGGACCAGGTATGCAGGCGTCCATCGCGCAGGACGAGATACAGCCGGTGCGCGTCCTGCACAGGCACGCATTCGAACGCGGCCACCTGATCCGGCTCGATGGCAGGCAGCTCGAAGCGCTGCGCACTCATACCATGCAGTGCCATGGTCGCGTTGGGCGTCCCGGCCCAGCCATCCTCGCCGAGCAGCGCCACGACGAGGGCGCCGGGGCACAGCACGGCGACCTTCGCACTGTGGCCGAGCGCACACGTGGCGAATGCGTCGCGCAGGCGCATCTGGTGCTTTGAATGCAGGGCCACCTGCCCGTTCGCGCAGAGCTCCCACCATATTAGGACGCCATCGCGGGAGAAGCTGAGAAGCGTCCGGCCGCGGTGCGCTACCTGCAGCGACACGATATCGGAGCGGTGCTCTGCGCGCAAAAAGGGCTGTACATGTGCGCGGAGCGGCTTCTCGTCGATGTCAGGGCCCATGATCGTGTCCTGCACAAACAGGCCGCCGGGATCGCCGTCCAGAAGGAGTGCGAGTGACACGGCCATCATGCCCCGCAGGCCCGAGGCGGTCTGCCCGTGGATGAGCGCGGTCGGCAGTACGGACGAAGGCGCGTGGCGCAGCGGCGCCAGCGGCATAAACTCGAGCATGAGCGGTGGCTGCGTGAGCTCCGTCGAGATACACGGCGGCACCTTGAGGGAGAGGAAGGTTTGCGACAGTGTCGGGGAGCCTCTGTCGACGTTCATCAGCACATACACGACCATAGAGCCATCGCCCATGAGTGCGAGAAACAGGTCAGCGCCCTTGGCGAGGTACTGCTCCAGCTGCCGGCGCCGCGTCGCGCGGCGCTCCGCGGCCTCGCGCGTGTCGGTCGCGACGCCCGTGAGAACGCGCTGCTCCTGCAAGGCCAGCAGGGAGAGGTCGTGCTGGAGCGCAAGCGCAAGGCGCCCTGCATCGCAGTACAGGAGCGCGACGACGCGCGTCATGTCGGGCGCGTCGCCTGCCGAGATATCACGTACGTCGCTCGCGGCATCGATCGAGGCCCACAGCCGCAGTGCCATAGGCTCATCGGGGAGAATCGCGTAGACATGCGCGACGTGGTGCCACGTCGTCACGACCAGGAGCGGCACAGGCTCGTGGCCCTCTTGCGGATGGCGCCACCGGATCGCCTGCACGGGCCGCGACTGCCGCAGCTTGGCGACGAGCTGCACGGTGGGGTGGGTCGATGTGCTTACATGCCACACAAGCACGCGCGTATCGTTCTGTGTTAGCGCCGCACACGTACAAGTGGCACAGCGGCGAGGTACTGGCCGTCCGGCGACCAGCGAACGCGCAGCATGGGGCGCGGCACGCGCGTGGACCACACGGTGCGCCACTGTGAGCTCGCATGCGGGCCCCTGGCCCATATCGTGACGTGCGTGTTGCTGCCAATCGCCAGCCGGCCTGCGTGAGCGCACAACACGCACCTTCTACCACACACAGCGTCGAGACGAGCTGGCCGCGCATCGGCAAGGTGCCGTCGAGACGCCAGCGCGCGTAGATGGGCACCTGGCCCATCTTCGCCATGTTGAGGGCATCCAGGCGCCAAATGGCCACGATGCTCCCGAACGACGCGACAAGCTGCGTGAGTGGGCCGAGCGTACCAGGAGGTTGTCCGAGCCGGGGGCTTCGAGGCCGAGCGCGACGCTGCTCACGCCCTTGAGGCGCGCATGCTGACTGCCCGGCACATCATCGAACGAGAGGCTCTGCATGAGCTTGCCCCGCTCGAGAAACACATTAACGCGGCGCCCACTGGCTTGGGCCTGGGTCAGCGAGGCGACGTACACCCATGTACAGCTGTCGAGACTCGGACACAAACGACGCAAACGTATTGAGCGCCGCTGCCACACGGGGCGAGTCGATCGGCACATCGTCCCGCGGCGCATGCGAGGCACCGAGGGACGCCCACTGCCGCGGCAGGGTCGGCAGCGGCCCGTCGACCATGTCGCCTACGACCGACCTACCTACCTCCACGCACTACCAGCCAAAATCCTGTTCCAGCCAATGGGCGCAGATCCGCGCTACGGCCACACTGTCTCCTGGTCGCGTGAGTCGCACGTCACGTACGCAGGCAAAAGGTGTGCGGCAGGCCCAGCGCACACTCTGTCGAAGAAAAGGTCGGGAGGTCCGTCTCAGTGACGTGCGCGCGCTCACTGCTGTGCACGTACGCAGGCACGGTCCACGGTTGCAGCCCCAGCTGCGTCTCCGCGTGTAGCCGGTGCCGCGATGGCGCCCATGTATCCTGCATAAGTAGTGCATACGTACAGAATCGCCGCGGCCCCAGTAGGCACGCACGGGGATCTTGCGCCGCTGCAGGACCTGGCGCAGCTCGTCGGGGATATCGGTGATGAGCGCCTCCTCGTCTGCGTACGTGCGCAGCGCCGTGAGGACAGCGCCGGGGCGGCGCAGAAATTCGCTCGTCATTCGCGCATATGCGGGCGGCTGCATCGTAAGTGCGCGCACGAGCATGTAGTGCCAGTGGGCAGGCAGACACGCTAGGCACACCACGAGCCAGTGTACGACGAAGAGGAGCGGCGGCGCCATCCACAGCCGCGTGAACCGCGCCTGCGGCGCTTTGGCGATATGGCTGATGGTCGGGAAGAGGAGCTGCATGCCCTGCACATCGTCCGCATACTTGCACAGCAGCTGCGTCGCGACGTACGCGCCCATGCTGTGGCCCGCCAGGACGAGCGGCGCGCCGGCAGGCAGCTCCGCGCGCAGCTCCTCAAACGCGAGCTGCTGCGACGCGACCTGGTCCGGTAGGCCGTAGTACGTCCATGCATGGCCTAGCCACGCATAGCGACCCGTGGGCGGCGGCGCATGGCGCGTCTCGTCGTGCCCTGGTGACCCCTTACACACGATCACACAGCGACCACGCAGGAGCGCATGCAGGTGCGAGAGGAACTCCGCGTAGTACTCACATACGCCTGGATTCCCTGGTACAAACAGCAAAGCTCCTCGTGGCACACCCACACTCGGCCAATAGAGCGCGCGCACACCCCCGATCCACCGGGTCTGTGGTGGCATCAAGGGCACCCACATGCACGCCCTCCACCATGGGGGTATGGCACATCACAGCGCCTGGCACACCGCCGTCCAGGGCGCCGCCAGCGCACCATGTTTACCAGGATCATACGCTGACCTTTTGCAATCCATGGGATAGCGCCGTCAAGCCGAGTGTAGCTGACCTGGTGCAAGGTCTGCAATGGGGCGAGCGCGGGACGCCGTCGCCCCAGGGCGGGAGCGTGGACGCCACGGAGGCGCACGCGCCTGATAGCGATCCAGTGCCCCTGATGCCGGACCCCATGCCGACTGAGACGCCTGACTTTGCCTTCGACCCCGGCGCGGCACGGGCCAAAGCAACGTGGCTGGGACATGCCGGTGTCCTGGTGCAGCTTCCGCCGGTGCCAGGTCTGTCGCGCCCTCTACGCGCCCTCTTCGATCCTATTTTTTCTGAGCGCTGCTCGCCGTCGTCATGGTGGGGCCCGCGACGCGCGTATGTGGCGCCTTGCCGGGTGGCCGACCTGCCGACGATTGATTTCGTGTTCATCTCACACAACCACTACGACCACCTCGACATCCCCACGATCGACCAGCTGTGGACACACTTCTCCGACACGGTGCACTTTTTCGTGCCGCTCAAGAACAAGGCGTGGCTCCTCCAGCTGCCGCTGGGCCTCCCGGCCGACCGGATCACCGAGCTCGACTGGTGGGACGAGGCGCAGTGCAGGGTGCAGGCGTCCGACGCACAGGTACGCATTGTGTGTACGCCCGCACAGCATGGCTCGGGGCGCACGCTGTACGATGCAGGGCACACGCTATGGTCGAGCTGGGTGCTGGAGCATGGGCCCGACATGTTCCGTGTATTTTTTGGCGGTGATTCCGGGTTCTGCATGCGCAGGGCCGACGAGCCACTGGGCGCCCCGTCGTCCTTCCCTGAACTTCCCGCCTTCCGCGAGATTGCGCAGCGGATCGGCGAGCCCGACCTCAGCTTTCTGCCTGTCTCGGTGGGTGCGACGTATGCCTACGTCAAGAGCTTCGACCCACTGCCAGACTGGCTCAGCCCTGTGCCGCGCCTGCACGAAGGGCTCACGGGCGCCAACCACATGACGGCCGCGGACGCGGTACGCGTGTTTCAGCAGATGCACGAGGCACGCGCCGCGCGGCCACCGCTCGCCATCGCGATTCACTGGGGCACATTCGTCGGAGGGCGTGAGGACGTGCAAGAAACAGTGACTCGCTTGCAGGAGGCATGCACACACTACGGTATCCCACTCGTGCGGCACGTCGACACGCTCACTCAGCCGACATTCGCGCTCCTACATCATGGCCAAAGTGTGTCCTATAGTGGAGGTAGTTAGTCAGCCCGTGGCGGGCGCGACGTGGCTCTGACGGGGCTCCGATCGCCCGCACAGACGCGACGCTGGCGCATGTCGGACGCCTTCGCCGCGGCGCTGCGTGCGCGTGTGCCTGACAATGAGTATATATCGCATCTGAAGGTGCGCGAGTACGAAGAGGTGGCGCAGGGCGCCGCCACTGCTAGCACACACAAGACGCGGTACATCCTCCTGAGCGCGTCGCCCAGCCAGCGTCGTGCCTATGTATACAAGGCTCGGCGCAATGTAAATGGGACCTTTAGTATTGGTAAGGAATGGGATGCTGCGCAGGCCCGCGAGCTGCGTCTCGAGCCGCCCTCGTGGATGGTTATCACGTTCTCGCGCGCATACCGCTGGGAGGTCGATCCGGCGCATGATCCCGTGCCGTTTCTCACGAACCTGGCCATTGTCGTGTACAAGGTGACCGAAAATGCGCCGTCCATTCGTGGGTGGTCGCTCCCGCCGGAGGCTCTCGCGGAGATGGGCGGCGCGCCAGCGCCGGCCACCCGCGCTCCCGCCGCTGTGCCCAGCCCGACGGTGGCGCCTGCGCCTGCAGTCACAAGGGAGCTGCCTGCCCCAACGCGTGCACCTGACCCAGCTGCGCCTGTGTCTGCGCCTGTGTCTCAGGTCGCGGTCCCTGTATCGCAGACGACGGCACCTACTGCTGCGCCTGCCAAAGTCACCCCGGCGCGCGTACCTGAGCCAGTGGCTCCTGTGTCTCGAGTGACGGTGCCTGCATCGCAGTCGCCGGTGCCTACTGCTGCGCCTGCGCAATCCACCCCGGCGTCGGCGCCGCTCACGAGCTCGCCTGCCGCAGCGCCCCTAGACACTGCGCCGCACACGCCTACGGCTTCTGCGCCAGTTTCGCACACGGTACCGAGGCCCTTGCTTCAGCGTAAGCTGACGCGCCCAGCGGCTGCGCTTCCCCCCGGTGCGCCACGCTCCAGCACGGGCGCCGAAGATCCAACTCTCTCACAGGTTGAGGATATGCTGGAAGGGTTTGAGTGGAAGGGGCACAAGTCGGCGGCAGACAGCCGGCAGGCACAGGTCGGCACAGTCGATGTCATTGAGGCGCGCCTCCTTGAGGAGCTGGCAGCGCTGGATGCGAGTGGCATCCATGCGATGGTGGAGCCTGATGACCGGGTCAAGGCTGTGCTGCAAGGCCTGGACGACGCACTCCTGCAGCTCGACCGTCTCGATGCGAGCTTGGGCGGCTCCAAGATGCAGCTGCTGGCGCTGTCGGAGGACATTGCGTATATCGAGGGCCAGAACCGCGGTCTGCAAGTGCAAATGACGAACCGGCAAGTACTGGCACAGGAGATGGACGTGCTGCTCTCGACCATCACGGTCGACCGCCAAGCGATGCGGAAGCTTGCGACGACGAGCCTCTCGGCGGGCTCCGATGCAGCGGACATGGAGGCCGCTGCCGTATCCTTATACAAGAGCTTGCTACAGGCGCGGCCGGATCAGCAGGCACAAACGAGCGGCACAGAAGTTGCGGCGATGGCGCAGCATCTCGCGCAGGCCGAGGCGGTTGCTCGTGAGTTTAATGCGCGCGTCGTCTCCGAGTTTGAGGCCGTGCTGGGCGAGGCGATACGCATGCAGCTGCAGGACCCGGCCCTTGTGCAGCCAGCGATGCACGACGCGGCGCTGCCGTCACACGAGCGTATGGAGCAGACGCTGGGCAAGCTGTGTGGTCTGTGCATGTACCTCAAGGAGACGACGCCGGATCTCTTTGAGCAGTTGAAGCAAACGTATTTGCGCACTGCTGCGCACTGCTACGGCACAGAGATGCAGCGTGCGTTCCAGGCGGCGTTGCAGCAGCTGGGCGCGAGCAGCTCACGCCGCGGCACGCCGGACGACCGCGAGCCTGGCCAGGCACTGCAGCGGATCCTCGCGTCGCTCTTACTGCGCGTGCAGGCCGAACAAGCATTCCTCGTCGATTTCCTGCAGATCAACGATGCGTCCTTCACGTTTGCGGACTATATGGACCTGGACCCATACTTCCGGCACCGAGCGGCTGTGACACAGCCGCTGCCGCCACAGAGCCCGTATGAGGATATGACGCGGTCTTTGCAGCAGGTCTTCTCGGGGATGGTGCCTGAGATGGACGCATTTGTCGCGCGGGTGCGCACTGCGAGCCCGTGGTGCATTGTAGGCCTCCTGGTCGAGACGGAGCAGGCGCAACGGCGCGCTGCGTCACAGTCAGATGGGCATGCCCTCGCCGATCTGCTCGACAAGGTACGTGCACGTCTGTCCTCGGAGCTGGACCAGCGGTTCGAGGAGCAGGTGCGAGCGGCCGAACACACACAAGTGACGGTCAAAAAGCGTGGTGGTCTCTTGCCGATTGTGCATGCGTTCCCCGCTTTGGCGCGCCGTTTGGAGGCGCAGCTGGGCGGTGCAGACGGTCTGCCTGTGCGGGCCACAGTCGACCGGGCCTATGAGCGTCTGGCCCGCACGATCCTCGCAGCGATCCAGTCGCTGCCGCCCAGTGAGGCAGGCGTCGATGACGACAAGGGCCAGCTGAACCACGCCGTGTTGCTGATTGAAAACGCGTACCATCTGTTTGTGCGTATTCGGCCTGGCTCTCCGCCGAACGCTTCGCTCGTGCAGGCGCAGGCGCAAGCCGAGGCGCTGCTGGAGCGCAGCCGCGCAGACTACGTCGCGGCGGTCCTGCGGCGGCCGATCGGCAAGCTGGTCGACTTTGGGCGGGGCGTCGAGGCGCTGCTGGCGTCGATGCCCGCGAACGAAGTGCCGCTGCACCATGCATACTCCAAGGGCACGGCCAAGAAGCTTGTGCGTGACCATACGGCCAAGGACATGCGCAAGGGCATTGAGGCGCTATCGAAGCGTGTACAGAAGCACTTTGACGATGAGGAGCCTACGACATCTATGCAGGTGGCTCTGGAGCGTGACGAAGTATCGCATGTGCTTGCACAAGTGTGGGCGTCGTGCGAGGCGCAGTGCCTCGTCGAATGGGAGCGGTTCGGGCGCCTCCTACGAACCTGCTATCCCGAGAGTCAGCTGCAGCCGGACGTGAGCGCTGCCGAGGTGAAGCGTCTCTTCCAGACGCTGCCGCCGACGCTCCGACGGCGATAGGGCTAGGCGCGTTTTGCGGCCAGCAGCGACGCGGTGACAATACCTGCGCGGTGCGCGACCATAGACATGAGACTGTCGGACAAGCCGTGTGTGCTTTCGTTGCTGCCAAATACAAAGACGGCGCCATCGCGGGGCGCCTGGACGGGTGGCGCTGGTGCCGGATCGCGGTCGTCGGGCGTGCTGCGCGCAACACTCGAGTCGCGGCTGCCCTCGCGTCCAAGGCGGCTGCGGGGAATGCGCATGGCGACTGTGTCGGGCAGCGTGGCGGGCGACGGCGAGCCGTCACTCGGGACGAGGCGGTAGTCGCGTGTGATGCCTCGCAGCTGCGCGCGGAGCGTCTCGGGGTCGTGCGACTGTGCGACTTGCTCGTCCAGCGCGAGCTCCTGGGCCTCGAACTCGCGCTTCCCGTGGGGGGCGAGGAGCGGAAAGTGCGCAGCGAGGGTGCGAACGAAGGGCAGGTGGCTAGGATCGCGCTGGAAGCCGGTGCCGAGGAACACAGCATCATAAGCGTCCGAGCGCTCGAGTGTGTCGCCTGCGTTGGTGCACGAGTCGATGCGTATGCGGCCGCCCGGCAGCACCTCGGCATGCACGAGCTCGGTGTTGGCGAGAATGCGTACGAGGCCCTTGGGCTCCTCGTCCGGCTCGCGGTACTCGATCTCCTGGTCGTACAGCATTTCGTAGACCTCGCATAGGAGGTCGTTGCGTACCACCGAGTAGTTGGTGCGCTTGAACTCGGCAAGCTGCGCGCGGCGCTGACGCGCCGAGCTCTCCCAGAACGTCGACACGCTCGATGGATCAAAGGCGGCGCTATTCACGAACGGCGAGTCGTCCGACGGCACGAGCGCTGCAGCGCGGAAAATCATGTCGAGCGCCGCCTCGGGGTATCGGCCGCGCAGGTAGCGCAGAATCTCGGCAGACGACTGACCACCACCCACAATCGCGAAGCGCAGCGGCTGCGCGGCAGCCTTGGCGTGCAGCGTCGCACCAAGGCGCGCCATTTGCGGCAGGAAGGTAGACGCGTGCACAACAGGGAGCATCGCATCTGCCTCTGGCTCGTACATCGCACTGAACACGCGCGGCACGTTGGCCGCGCCGCCGACCGCGAGACTGATGTTCCACGCGAGGAGCGACTCGATGTGCGTGTCGCGGCGGTACACAACGCGGTACGCGACGCATCCATTTTCCTGCGTCTCAGGGATGATGTCCTGTACGTTGCACCCGTAGCGCACATACGCATCCATGCGCCGGGCGGCCCAGGCGAGGTAGGCGCTCCACTCGCGGCGGCTCGGCACCTTTTCCTCACGGTTGATGTACTGCATGAGCCGGCCCTCGCAGTGGAGAAAGTTCAGAAACGTGTACGATGAGGTCGGATCGCGCATGGTCGCGAGGTCCTTGAGCGGCGACACCTGCAGCTGCGCGCCGGGCAGCAGGAGCGACGGGTGCCACGCAAACTGCGGCTGGCGCTCCAGGAAGCACATAGAGAACTGTGCAGCGCGCGCCTCCTCATTTTCGTGCAGCGAGATACACAGCGCCAGATTCGCAGGCCCAAAACCTATGCCGATGTGGTCATACATGGGGGAAGAAGAAGGATGACCTGGCGCCAAGCACGCGGCGCGATTGATCAGTGCAGGCGAGCGACACATCAGGACCCTGATCAGATAACGCAGCGCCACGTGCAAGGCCCTGGACCCAGGCGCGGTCTTCGTCCTCATGTCCGCACTCCTACATCCTGCGCTGCGCGCGCCCGTTGACGTGGCCGAAGGGCCCTATGCGCTTCAGGTCGGCACAGATACGCATGTGGCCATCACCGTAACGCATGCCGGCCAGGAGCACGGCCGCCTCAAGCACACCGTGACCGTGCGCACGGAGCAGGGCGACCCTGGCATGACGGCTTCGCTGCATGTCCTCGCGCCCTGCGCAGCGTACACGCACCCGTCGCAGGAGCCAGACGACAACTCGGTCACGGCGCGCATGCGCCGCGCCGCGCACGTCCAGATGCACGCGGAGGGCGGGCTGTCGCTCCTGCAGGCGTGGACGCTCGTCTATGTCGTGTTCACGCTGTGGCCCGATCAGGAGGCGTTTGTTCTTGCGCGTGCGCCCGGCACACCGGTGTCTGCGCTCCTGGAGTGCGGCCTCGCCGTGCCACACCCTGACTGCATTCACAGCCGTGACTGGGCCACCCGCGGCGATGTGCTCGTGTTGCGTGCAGCGTTCTGGCAGGGCGCTGGGCCGCTGGGCGCAGCCGCCTGGGTGCCCAGTCTGGCGCACGCGTCGCCGTACCCGTTCGTGCCCGCCACGTACGGCCATGCAGCACAGGGACTCGTGTCGAGTGTGCAGCATCCGCTGCGGCCCCTCAAGATAGGCGCATGGGACGCATCGCGCGGGGATGCCGAGCCCGTATATCGTCGCTACATTCCTGCGCTGCAGCAGACGCTCACGTTCCGCCTCGCGCGCTCGCAGTCGGACTTGGACGTCGACTTGTTACACTGCTGGCACGCCACGGACCGAGTGCGCACGGGCTGGCGCCAGGACCTCCCGCGGGCGGAGCACCAGGCGTACCTGGCCGCCCAGGAAGCATCGAGCGACTCGGTCGCGCTCATTGCGGAGTGGGATGGCGAGCCGTTTGGGTATGTGGAAATCTACTATGCCAAGGAGTCGAGTCTGCGCGGCTTTTACGACCTTCACGACTTTGACCGCGGCTTCCATGCGCTCGTCGGCGAGGAGCGCTTCCGTGGGCCGCACCGGGTGCGTGCATGGATGGGTAGTGTGATCCACCTGCTATTCCTCCTTGATCCACGCACGACACGCGTCGTGAGTGAGCCGCGCGCGAGCAACACAAAAATGGTCGAGTACGAGTGTCTCTGTGGCGGGCATGTCGAGAAGCTGATTGATCTGCCGCACAAGCGCGCCGCTCTCGTGCTGTTCCCGCGCGAGCGCTTCTTCCAGCTGTGCCCACTGGGGCCACTGCCGGGTCAGCATACGTAGTTGATCAACGGAGCGTGTACATCGGGCGTGTATGAACTTGGAGAGACGGCGCACCTCGGCCTGCGGAGTGCGAAACGAGTAGGGCCACGCCGTCCTGCGAGCCCTGGGCGCCTGCGCTGCGCACCTTCTTTGGTGCCGCGAGCCCGGATCGCTTGGTCGGGACGTGCGAGCCAGCCCATGGCTGCCCGTTCTCGTCGAGACGCTCGTTCGTATGGGTCATGTTGTAGTGAGCCTTGAGCGGGGGGGCAGTACCCTTGCCGAGGCCCTGGTCGCCTAACGCCGGGCGCGCGGGCACCTTGCTTTTCTCGCCCAGCGGCACGCGCACAGGCGCATTCGCGCGATCTGCCAGCGCCTTGCGGGGTGCTTGGTCGACGGCAAGTGAGGACAGCTTTGTAGAGACCTGCTCCACCGCACGGTCTGTGTGAGGCATGTCAATGCCGAGACCCACAACGCCAGGCTCCCTTGGCAGCGACGATGCGTTCAGCGGCAGCTCACGGCACATCGTCACGCTGCGCTCCATGGATAGCGGCAGGGAGCGCGATGGGACGGCGGCCTCGGGGCAGTCTTGCGCGACCATAGGGAATGGCGGCTCAGGAAATTCAGACGTAGGGAACACGCCGCTCTCAATGGAGCCCACAAGAGGGGTCGCCGGGGGCGAGACACTCTTCGCGAGTGGCTCGTCCAACGGCCAGTCCTCAGTGCCGAGCCGTGGGCTGCTTATGCTGGAGGAGAGGGGGGGAGAGGATTGGATCGATGCTGACGACGCTGCTTTTGGGCCATGCGACTCGGATCGGTGCCGTGCATGCTTGGACGAGTGTCCCATATGGATGGCAAGACCTGCCAAATGGCTAGACGACGGCATATCGTCGAGCACCGACGGCTCGACGGTACGAACAGCCCGCGGCGCCTGTGTCAGAGCGGGGGGCTCCGGTGGCGACGCCTGCTCCAGAGTGGTGTCAGAGCCGTCCATCCATGTGGGCGGCGGCCCATCAAAGCGATTGGGCGACGCATTCAGACAGGGCGTCGGCGGAACGCACGCCTCCGCTGGTGCAGGGCCCTCTGTAGCAGGGATAGGCGCACCGACGCCCTTGGCAGCAAGCCGACGCGAGCGACGCACTCCTTGCGACACGGGTGCCAGCGTCGCGGAGTCGGGGGAGGTGGTCATACCGGAAAACGGGGACGGGCCAACGATAACACGACCGGCTCAAGAGGAACGAGTGGCGATACCGCTGCACGCGCGGCGCACCGGGCGAGCCGAAAAAGGCACTGTAGGTGTTACTCACGTGCTTTGTAAACACCCGGGGCGTCGGGGCGCGTTATATCACGTGAGTTTTCGTGGAGGTGGGTGGTGTGTGGGGCGTCGCGCCAAACCATGCGCTTGCCGCGCCTGCGGCTTGCGCGTGACACCGTTCCATGGGCGATGGAGAGTCAGAAGGCGCCGTGGAATTTGGCCTTGCGCCGAATTGCAGCGACGAAGGACCCCAGAGAAATACAGAATGAAACACTCATTGCATGGGACGATCACACCTATGTGATTTACGACGGCTACCCCAAGGCCCAGTTCCACTTTCTCGTTCTCCCTCGGATACCTTTTGTCATTGAGGAAGAAACGCCACAGGGGCAGAAAAAGACGGTCACAGTGCCGCTGCGTGATATGGATTCGATCCGTGCGCTCCTCGCTAGTCGCTTCGCAAACGCCGTCCTGGGACGCATCGCGGCCATGGAGCAGCGGGTATGTACGCGTGGCTCATGCAGATGGTGGACCACATCCGAACGTGCATGCGGCAGACCGCCATAACTAGCGATGGTGCAGCGCAGTACGCCGAGCCCGGTCGCACTGACGGCCTCGAGTGGGGTATTCGGAGCGGCTTCCACGCCGTGCCTTCGATGCGACATTTGCACTTGCATGTACGTTGAGTCACTGACCCAGATCATCTCCGACGACCTCGTCTCAGACCGCATGAAGCAGCGCAAGGTAGGGTCACCGACTAACGCCAGCATTACTTGTCATTCCACCCACATATGGGCATATGGCTTCCCATTGCCGATGCACAAGCATTGGCCAACGCCGGTCGGAACCTGCCGCACACGGAGGAAGAGTATGAGGCGAAATTGCGTGCGCCATTGTACTCACTAGATATGGCGCGCACGTACAACTCGATGCCTGAGCTCAAGCAGTACTTGCGGAAGCGCTGGCGAGCGTTGCGGGCAGCGCCTCGGTCAGCACCAATAGAGCCGTAGCGCACAAGCACACGACGCGCCCGTCCGGCGCCACAGTTAGACCAAGTACAGGGCCCGTCACAGGATCGCCCACAGGCCACACATAGCTCGTACCGCGCTGTGTGCTAGTCGCTCCATACATATACAGGTGACTGCCCCGGCTGTGTGCATCGGGCGCATAACGCGGCTCGGCGGCAAGGACAGTGGGTGTGGCGGTGCCACGATACACATACACGGGGTGAATATCTCGCTTCGATGCAAGGACATAGCTGATGGCCGGTACTGTCGCAACATGTCGCCATGGCGCCCATGCCAGTGGCGATGGCGGCACAAAGACTTGTCCATCGACATCGTGTTGAAGAAGAAGTGCAGGATCACTGGGAGGTGTTGCACGCGCCAGAAGAGCATGGGACGAAGCGGGTGCCATTTCAATGTGCCCGTCTGGGGTAACCCACGCAAGCTGCAGCGGGGTGCCGCCATCATTGACGTCGTCCTCGAGCGTATCGTGCAGCAGCGTCGACGAGGGTAGGGGCTGTGCGTATTTGTCAAGTCCTTGCAGCATAGCTGACAGCTCGGACGGATCGAGTGTCTCTAGGACCCCGTCATCGTGCGCAAAGACATGCGGCCAGCGCGTGCCTTCATGCGCTTTGGCAAGGTGCAGAGTCAGCAGCTGCATCGAGGCGCCCGGCTCAAGCGTCCAAACACTGCCCGTAGGGTCCAGCTGGGCCCATACGCTCTGCGACGTAAATGCACCGTCCCGCAGTACCTGCTCGCCAGGCGTCATCGCTGCGGAAGGATCAGGCGCCGACGACGCAGCGAGGCTTACACTGAGCCCATGCAGCGAAAAGTGCGCACGAATGTCTTCGGCACGGATATACTCTGGCAGCGCGAGGGCCACCATGACCGTGTCACCTGTCTGCGTCCATGTATACGGTGCCTTTTCGAGCGGTGGCAGCGTCGGTGCCGAGGTACACGAGCGTTGCGATGCCAAACCTGCATCAGGCTTATTAGCAACGGACCGCGACATGAATGGCGCCTCTGCACCCAAGAGGCACGCTCCATTTGCGATGCAGGCGTATGCCACGGGCTCGTGACACTCGACACACCACATGAGCTCTGCGGCATGTGCTTCCTCATCGATAGAGAAGGCAGCGCGGATGAGCATCACATCAAAAAACGTGTGTGACACACTAGAGGCACCTGAGTTTTGATGAATAGCAGGCACACGGCATGCCCGTTGCAGGAGCGCATATATGGGGCCATCGCTATCCGCTGTTGCCTGCACAAGAGTCCATGGTGAGTACTGGGCTTCGGACAGAGTACCCTGCAGCGTCGGAAGAGTGAGCACACAAGTGGAAGCGCCAGGATTTCCGCTGGATCTGATATACTGTACCCATAAAAGAGTATCTGAGTCGCCACAGGCTAGCCACGTCGACGCATCGACTGCAACAAGAGTCGGCAAGTGGTCAGACGTGCGCGAGTACACAGAGGAGGGAATTGAACAAAGGTTCAAGCAAGAGACTGCCGCATCGGCCCATGATAGGAGGATTATCCTGCCGTCTTCAGCGATATAGGCGCCTGCGGTGCCGTCGTGCGTGGCGAGCGGCGAGTGCATAGCACGAGCCTTGAGTTTCTTGTACGCGAGTGGAACAGCCGCATTTGCATTGGTTCCTAGCACACGCTGAGGGAGTGGTACTTGATGTACAGACACATTGTTGTCTTCCCCGAGCTTGTATGCCTCAAATGCCGGGTTTGCATGCGCACGGTCGATGGGAAACATGACAGCGACATGAGCCAGCGCCAGAGGGCCACATAGGGTCGTATTACGTCATGTCCATAGAGGTGGAGGCCCGGTGAGACGCGAACCTCGTCGGTCTCGCACGGCCCATGCGCAGCTGACGTGCTACGACGCAAATCTCCAAAGCACACCATGGTCTTTTCTTGCTCCTTTGTGTGTGTCCAAATTCATTGGTGGGAATCGTGATGTGGGATTCACCTAAGATTGTCGTCATAGCATGAATCCTGGAGCACGCATGGTGGCGTACCGAACCTGTTTCTCCCAGGAACCGTGGGTCCACTTAAATCCGGCGTGCCTCACTCTGGCAATGCGTGCCTATGGCTATGGTTTCTAACACTGTGGACCTGGAGAAGCCAGAATGGGACGCAGAGGGCCGTCTCTCGCCGCCATCGAGCTTGGATAAGCCTGACCTGTTCACTGTGAAAGACTTGCTCGACTCGGCGCCCAGTGATCAGTTGGTGCGCACGGCCGTCCGGAAAATCGATTGGATTCTCATACCCCTTATGAGCGGATGTATGTTTCTACAGACGTCCGATAAGACCCTCCTCAACTCGGTATCTCTGCTCCACTTTATCTCAGACGTACACCTAAAGAACAATGAGCAATTTTCGTGGATCTACAGCATCTTTTGGATCGGCTACCTCATCGGCACATGTACACATGCCCGCTTTCTCCAACGCTGTCCCTTAGGTACCTATGTTGCCGGCGTCGTGGTGCTGTGGGGGGGAATTGCCGCATGCCATGCAGCCTGTCATTCGTACGGTGCCTTTTTGGGTGTTCGCTTCTTCCTGGGCTTTATGGAAGCTGCACTGCCGCCGGCTTTCATCCTCTTAATGGGGCGTTTCTACACGAGGGATGAGCAAATCATTCGCACAAGCTTCTGGTACTCTATGTATGGTGTCGCAGGGATCGTGGCAGGAGCAGCCACATACAGTGAGCTAGTGCATCCGCCGTCCACGATGGCCATGTGGCAGAGCCTGTATCTTATTTACGGCATTGTGACCATGGCGTTTGGTGTTTTGTGCCTGTTTCTGATGCCTTCGTCGCCTGCCACAACCAGGTACCTTGGAGAAGAGGAGCGCAAGGCTGCTGTATACCATATTGCCGCGAACCAATCCGGTATCCATGACACGACCTTTAAGTGGTACCAGGTGCGCGAGGCACTTTTGGACATCCGCTTGTACATTTACTTTTTGGCGTTTGCTTCTCTGTGCATTGTGAATGGAGGAATTTACACGTTTGGCAACTTGATTATCCAGAGCTTTCACTATGATAATAAGCAGTCGGCACTGCTAAGTATGACACTGGGAGGCGGTATGGTCGTGTGTATCGGGCTCGCCGCCATTGGATTTCACTTTTTGAAGCGCCAAGACATTGTGGTTGTGACCAGTCTACTCGTATCCATTGCGGGAGGTAGTATGATGGCGGCACTTCCTGCTGCTAACAAGGCAGGCCGGATGGCGGGTGCGTACGCTGTGCTAACAACAGGATATGCATTGGTGTCGTTTTTTATGCTGCCCGCACCCGTGCTCTATTCGTGGCAAAGCACTACCGTATCTGGCACGACGAAGCGTGTCGTGTTTAATGTGGGCCTCCAGCTGGGGTCGAGTGTGGGCAATGTACGTTGACAGTGTCTGACCCGCCAGCTCATTGGGCCGCATCCGTACGACCACAACTTTATGGTCGGAGAATATATTACTATCGTGTTTCTTTGTGTGTGTATGCTGTGTATGATTTCGGTGTCTGTGATCCATCATTATATGAATCACCAAAGAGACCGCCATATGGCGGCGCATGACTCCACGCTGAATCAGGCTGCGCAGCTCGCAGTGGACTTGTCGGACCGGACAGATAAAGAGCGGCCTACGTACCGCTATCCATACTGAGATTGTGCGCGTAAAGGCATATCAAGGATGAAGCGCCAGCCATGGGCGTGAGCGGGCTCTTCTACATTACCTAGCCGTGCGAGGGCCATGCATAACACGCGGTGGAAGAAGGGAGCCACCATGGGCCCCGCATGAAATGCATCAGCCCAAGAGCTTTACGCGAGTGCCAAAGAGGGCGCAGCTGTCGTATCGGGCGGTGCACAAAGTAAAGTGTGCGGAACAGAGTGCCATTAGACCGGCCCGTCGCCGCGGATTTCGCGTGAGCGACGCAGGACAAGCAGAGTGCGTGCGAGAACTTCTTCGTCGTCATGCTTGCCGTCAGTGTCGGAGTCGTAATCGGGGGCTTTCTGGATACGCTTCCACTGCGCACGAAGTAGCGACGTGCGAGGTGCATCTGCATTGGCCGGCGCCAAGTCCAGATCCCAAAGTGATGGGGCCTGTGCTAGCCATGCATCAGCATCTCCACTGGCATCCACGGCAGCTGATCCCGAAGCATGTGATACGTCACCCACGTCCGCACCTAGTGGCCCATCGCGCGGTTGTGAGAGGCGCGAGGAGAGACGCGCGCGCTTCACGAAGCCGATTGGCGAACGGTTCAGCGCGCCATTGTTGGACCCGGCTGCGGCAGCGTTCGCCAGGATGTTAGCCAGGGGATAGCAGCTCTGTGTGCTGGTGTGCGCACGCTTCTTTGCGCGCTCGTCGTCCGCGGCATCGACGACGCCGCCATTCGCAAGCACCTTGGCCTGCTCCTCCTCCTCGAACCGAACAAGGAATGCGCTGCGCTCGCCCTGCATCCGTTTGCCCCATTCAATCTCCTCTGGTGGATCCTCGTCCTCTTTGGCATACGCCTCCGGTGCCATAGATGGCAGCGCCGGGATAAGCAGGCGATGTGTATGCGTCTCGGGGCAGGGAGACACGTCCGGCACGTCGTCGCCATCCGCGCCACGCTTCCGCGGAGGCTTGCGGGACGATGCGTCGCTAGCATCAACCAGATGCTCGTTCTGCTCGCGCCAGCGCGCATACTCTGGGTTCGGGATACCACGCCATGTGGGATGCGCGTCATCGAGTGGCAAAGAGCCACCTTCCACCCATGCCTTATGCGCCTCGGCGCGCGCAGCTCGCGACACATCGTCGTCAAACGGATTTTCTGATCCCGGTGCACCGGGTGGGAGTGATGCAGGCCCCTCAAGGTAGTGGTAGAGTAGCCACAGGAAAGCATTCGCCCGCTGCTTCGCCGAGATGGGCCGACCGGTCTGTGGGAAAAAGAGCGAGTGTGCATCAACCTGCGCGGGAAAGTGCATAGACGTGACGTCAAGTGCCTGGTTCGCTAAGAGGAAAATCAGCGTGACAACGGAGGTCGGCGGTCGATTCTGCGTACGGCGGCGACGCGCAAGCTCATCGAGGTCGCCAGGTACCTCGAGTGTGTCTTCCCCTTCCTCGTGCCGCGCCGAGGCCGAGGCGGTGCCTGACCCCCCTGGTCGCTCGTAGGGAAGCAGCACGGCCTTGAGCAGCGACTTCATGCGCGGTGCATCTTGCATGTTACGCCGCGTATTCTCGCTCTTTTGTAGGGATGGCACAGGGTGGTAGCTGCGCAAGATCGTCTTCATCTCCGGGTAGAAGGCCAGCGTTGTATTAATGCGGCCAACATTCACGAGCAAGCACACCTTGGAAAAGTCCTCAGCATACTCCTCATCCACGAAGCACTTTTCTCGCATGCTCTTTGTGCACTTGCTACTGTTCATCAGCGCCTCGATGTACAGTTCTTTGAACGTGAGCTTTTCAGCGCCCGGGTGCGCCCAGGGCGAGGGTGGTACTTCGTCCAGCTCCGCCTCGGGCGTGATCGATGACGGGTACGTCGCTTCGCGCCACTCCAGGTACTCGGTGCGCCGCGCCTCCCATGCAGCGCGCTCCTCGTCAGTCTCGTCCGCGCGCCGCGCCGAGCCGGCCGACTGCCCATATGGCCACACGAACGTGGGAAACGGCCCTGCCACTGCAGATGCCACGCACGCCTGAACGGCTCGCGGCGAGTTGGCTAGTGCGTGGCGGTCAGGATCCGCATTCACCGCAAGCGGCATATCCTCCGCATTGGCCACGGACTGAATGAACGTCGACATGGGCGCTCCGCGCGACCCGGCACGGGGATTCGTGAATACACGGCGCGTATCGGAAAAGAGATAGCATAAAACGGCATGCTGTACATCTGTGCGTGTGAGGGGCTCCCCATCATAGCGCTTCACAGGCTGGTTACGTGCCTGAGAGGATCTGGCGTCAGCGAGACACACGTACGAGCGCGACATGGCCGCAGGTCCTGAGGGGGCAGGCGACGACTCCGAAGCCGGCGTGTCATCGCGCTTCATGGATGACTTGTCGCCGAGGATGGCATGCTCAGCCACAGAGGAAGCGCCCATGAACAGCGAAGCGAGCCGGTCGAAAAGCGCAGTGAGCGTCGTCCGTGACCCATCGGGCCACGCTGCCTGCGATCGGGCGCGCCACTCGCGAGGCAGCCTCCACCACTGAACGCACCTCCCCCTCATCAGCCAGGGCAGTGGCCTATGGCGAAAAAGAAGAAGCCTCAGCTGAAAGCCACAGTGCAGCGTGGCTTTGCCACCACGTCTGTGCCCAAGAAGCAGACGGAGCCAGATACACAGAAACAAGCGCCTGCTCCGTCCACGCCGAAGGCCGAGCTCGTAAGTAACGCACAGGCCGCCAGTGGACACGCCGAGGCAGTTCACAGCGACGCGCCAGTAGAGAACGAGACCGGGCACAGCGAATACTGCCCAGAAGAGGAAGAATGGCAGGCCTTGAAGAATCTTGTGCAGCTTGTATATCCCAAGGTCGAAAAAGAAACGCTACGGCGCACCAAAATAATCAGCTTCCAGCAGCGCTTTGCCAAGTCACTCACGTCTATCTCCTTTGATCCAGAGGTGTGTAGTGCTACATTGTCGTGGGCACGCCATGACCAGCCAGCGCTTGTGCCGCCCTTTCCCAGTGAGCTGGGCGACGACGCGCGCCTCCAGTCGGTGTTAGGCATCTCTGCGCCACCCGAGGCGGAGGCCAAGGCCCTCGAGTATGCCCTGACGACGTGGGAACTGCTTCTCTCTCTCGGCTTCTCACGCACGCATGCATCGCTTGTTATCGAGCATGCACCGACTTTGGAGATTGAGGACTGCGTGGCGTGGCTTCTCGCGTGGCTCGAGCCGGACGAATACCGCAAGCTTCAATTTCATGTCGAGACACCGCAGGAGACACCAGTTGCCAAGGCCGCTGCGCTGGACCCATCTATTCCTCCTAGTCATCCCGCCTATGAATTTCAGCGCATTGAGCGCCAGACGCAGGCGCCTGCCGACTTAAGCACACGAGCCAACGCACCAGCCGAGGTGCGTCTGCAGGATGTGGATGCCGAGCAGATGGAGCATCTTCGTCGTACGGCGCAAAATTTAGTGCGCGAGAGCCAAGCCATGCTCGACTCGGAGGCCCCGTGCGTCGACACTGTGGAACACCCCATCGAGGCATGGTGCACGGGCCGTATCCTCCAGCTGCAAGTGGACCAAGAGCGGTCGCGGCGCCGCAAGGCTCTTGGTGGGAGTCCAGACGCGCAGTTGTCGCAGGCACTGGGCCATGAAGATACGGAGAAGCAGCTTAAGCGCCTGTCTCAACGGGCGAACGATCTGCTGCAGCAGAGCGAGATTCAGCCGCAATTCCATCGTGCCATGGCGATGCAGCGTTTCCGTGAACGCATGCGCCAGAAAGAAGCAGAGGAAGCGGAGAAGATGCGTCGCAGTGAAGAAGAAGCGGCAGCAGAGCGCCGCCGCCGCGCTGAGCTGGATCTGCTACATAAGCCGTCCACTGAGGCGCCAGATACACAAGCACCTGAGGTACAGCAGGAAGAGACACCGGCAGAGTCCTCGGATGACGAAATTGGCGCTATGCTAGACGAGGGCCTGGGACTCTTGGATGAGCCAACCGAGGCGCAAGGCTCGACCGTGCATTTGCGCAACATCCCGGCTCAGAATGGCGCTCGGACACCCCGCTCTCTCCTATCTGATGTGCTGAAGCATGTGGATCCACATGCGCGCACCAAGTACGTGCCGCTGTCGTCGGGGGCGGTGCACCGTACGCAGCTGGAGATTCATTGGACGACCAAAGGCGGACTCCCGCCGCTCATGGATATCTTCAAGCTGACTGGGGAGGGCTGTGCTACGCGCGCCATGTCGGAAGACTACGCCGCGACAATTGCTCTCAACTGCTTTGGGCGTGAGCGTGGGGCACAGCGGTTGCTAGGCGCAGGATTCCGGGATATTTGGGACGAGCTGGAGGCGCGACGTGCGGAACAGCGGGATGCGTTTTTGCGCGATGAGGTTCAGCATGTCCAGCATCTGCTTCAGCGGCGTGCGAGTCGCGCGTGGCCCAGCGCCAAGGGTATCCAACGCAACAAGGCGCCGACAACGCCGGACCATGCACCAATCCAGGGGCGGCGTTGTGATGCGGACCCAGCCGTCGCTGCGATGTGGGAAGCGCGTGTAGCGTCGGAGGCCTACCAGCGCATGCTTCCTGGACGCCACGATTTGCCCATCTTCCAAGCGCGTTCGGCGATCCTGGAGAGTGTGCATGCATCCCAAGTGGTTGTGCTGAGCGGAGAAACGGGCTGTGGCAAGTCTACGCAGCTACCAGCGTATCTGATGGAGGATGCACTTGCGCGTGGCGAGCGCTGCAAGATCTACGTGACCGAGCCTCGACGTATTTCTGCCATCTCGCTGGCGGAGCGTGTGTCGCAGGAGATGGGTGAGGCGCCCAAGTCTGTCGGCACAGGCGATAGCCTCGTCGGCTATGCCATACGACTCGAGAGCCAAGTCGGACCGCAAGCCCGCCTGGTGTATGCGACGACAGGTATTGTGTTGCGTATGTTGGAGTCGTCTGTGCTGGACCAGGTCACGCACATTATTGTCGATGAAGTGCACGAGCGGACGATTGAGTCGGACTTTTTGCTGATTGTGCTCAAGACACTCATGCAAAGGCGGCCCGATCTGAAGATTGTGCTCATGTCGGCAACGCTGGATGCGGAACGAATCAGTGCGTACTTTGGAGGATGCCCCACACTGGCGGTGCCTGGCCGCACGTTTCCGGTCGATGTGCATTTCCTGGAGGATGTACTGGAAATGTGTGACTATACGCTGGAGCCCGATTCGCCCTATGCTCGGCAGGATGAGAAGTTGAATAAGGTTGATGTGCAGGCCGCCGAGCTCGACATGGACGCCGAGGAAGACACCGGTGTCGTTGGCCCTGGCGCAGATGGGCAGCAGTACCAGCTCAAGACGCTTGACACGCTGGCAAGGCTCAATGAGCACAAGATTCACTATGAGCTCATGGGACTGCTGCTGCTGCAGCTGCTGACGGATCCACGCTGGGTACCCTTTAATCAGGCGATCCTCGTGTTCCTGCCAGGTATGGGCGAGATCCGCGAGTGTCTCAAGATGCTGAGTGAGCATGCCATCTTCCAAAAAGAGTGTATCGTGCATGTGCTACACTCGAGCGTGGCCTCTGAGGACCAGAGTGCGGCATTTTTGCCGCCGCCGCCGGGCCAGCACAAGGTTGTACTGGCGACGAACATCGCCGAAACGGGTATTACGATTCCTGATATTACTTGTGTTATTGATACCGGTCGGCACCGCGAAATGCGATACGACGAAAAGCGCAAGATCAGCCGCCTTGTCGAGTGTTTCGTGGCACAGAGCAATGCCAAGCAGCGCCGGGGACGTGCTGGACGTGTACAGCATGGTGTGTGCTTCCACATGTTCACACGCAAGCGCCACGACGAGTATATGGACGCACATCCACTGCCGGAAATGCTGCGCCTGTCGCTACAGGAACTGGCTTTGCAGCTCAAGGTGATGCCGCTGCAGGTGGGCACAAGTATTGAGGATGCACTTGCCCAGGCGCTAGACCCCCCCGAGGCGGTGAATGTGCAGCGGGCCATAGCCTCGCTCGTCGAGGTCGAAGCGCTGACGCCCCAGGAGCAAATCACGCCGCTGGGACGTCATTTGTGCCATATGCCACTTGATGTACACCTGTCCAAGTTCCTGCTAATTGCCTCGCTATTCCAGTGCTTGGACACGGCGCTAAGCATCGCGGCTGTACTGAACACCAAGTCGCCCTTCCTCACGAGCATGGGGCGTGAGGCGGGTCGTGGCCGCCTAGCCTTCCAGACCCACGACAGTGACTTTTTGGCCCTGGCGTCCATGTTCCGTGCATGGCGCCAGGCAGTGCAGAGGCACCAAGGACAGGCTTTTTGCGCAGCGCATTCGCTCAGTGTGGATGTGCTGTACCAAATGGAAGAGCTCAGACAACAGTACTTTGCCTACCTCGTGGATACAGGGTTTGTCACTGTGGATCACAGTGTGCGCAACGAACTCGCACGTCGGCGTATGCGCCATGGTCGGCCCAAGCTGTTGGACATTCCTACGCACCTCAATACGCACAGCCTGGATGCCTCGGTGGTCACACTTGCGCTTGTGGCGGCGATGTATCCGAAACTGCTCGTGGTCGACGAAGGGTCGCAACAGATGCGCACACTCACAAACAACCAGCCGGCGACTGTGCATCCTAGTTCGGTGAATGCGCGCAAAGCACTGGGTGCCCCCTCGATGCACTTTGTCTTGTACCATTCGATCGTGTACTCTCATCGCCTCTATGCATGGGAGACAGCAGTCGTCGACGACCGCATGGTCCTGCTTGTGGGTGGTGAGGCAGAGTGGCGGCACACGGCAAGGAGTGTGGTGCTGGACCACAACCGTGTGCGGATGGCAGCGTATGATGGCGCATCGCTCGTCGCGCTGCGAGTGCTGCGCGACCAGCTGCGACGCATGATGCAAGCGTCGTTCCAGGCCCCTGGCACGCCATGGACGCCGGCCGAGGAGACTATCTTTGCCCTGGTCCGGAAGCTGCTGGGCGGTCAAGACAAGCCACTATAGAACCTAACGAGACAGTGTGTCGCGTAGGTACGCGTTGTAGCGTCCACCGGCCACTTGAGCGCTCAAGTCGTTGACCAAGCGGCGGAATTCGGCGGCCAGCTCAGGCGACAGAGACACATGAGCGCCGCGAATATTTTTCAGAAGGTTGGGTGTCTTGGTCGTGCCGGGGATAGGAATCAGCTTCGGGTATTGCTGCAGCTCCCATGCCAGCACGAGCTCGGTGGGCCCATAGCCATGTTTGGAGGCGAGTGCTTCGATCTGGTCGGCCAGTGCAGCGTTTTTGTGGAAATTATCGCCATTGAACCGTTCAAACATCCCTCGGGACTGTTGCAGAGCTTCGCCGGCGGCACCTTTAGTGGCCCCTGTGAAGAAGCCCCAGCCGAGCGGCGAATAGGCAACAATGGCGATGTCGAGGTCCCGGCAAGCTGCCATCACATCGTTGTGCTCAATGTCAAGCGTAAAGGGATTATATTCCACTTCCACCGTCGCGATAGGGCACACTGCATGGGACGCACGGACTGTGGCGCCGTTCACCTCGCTGAGGCCGATGTGCGAGAAGAGACCTTCTTTCTGCAGCTTGTGGAGAGTTTGCATAGTGACCTCCTGGGGACGCGACATATCTTTGCGACCGGGACCGTAAATGTCAATCTTCTTGGATCCGAGGCACTTGCGGATCTCATTCAGCTCAAAGCGCAGATTCTCCTCGGAGCAGTCTGTCCGGCTCAGATCGCCTATGCCATGGAAGCCACCCTTGACGCCAATCGTGATCTTATCAATATATTCGGGGTACTTGGCAAAGAAGCGGCCCAGGAGCTTGATGTTGCTGAGGGGGTCCGCAGCGCCATAGAAGGAGGCCGAGTTCCAGTACGTCACCCCACGGTCCGCGGCCTCTTTGAGTGTCGCGAATATCTCTTCATCGGGAAGAATAGGCTGGTTAGTCCATGAGAATCGCATGAGTCCCAAACCCATACATCCGACAGAGACATTCGCAGCGCTGCCGCCTAAAAACCGAGTAGGAATAGCCATGCTGTTTGAGTTTAGTGGCAAGAAGCTCCTCCACAGTGGCTGTGAACGGGAAAGCTGATAAATCACTATGCGCCTTACCCAGTTGAATCGGCAAGGTATGCTATAATACAATTATTTAGGTTCACGATCGAAGACTGTCACAGGCGTACCATCAAGCAGGGTCGTCTTGGTCTCGACCACCTTGTAACCGAAAGCCCGCGGCATGAAAATATACCACACAAACCAGTAAATAGCACCTCCAGCGAAAAAGGCAAAGGCAACGGCAGGTGCTAGAGCATACCACATGGATTTGTACTCACCCTCGCCAGGGTTGCTGGGTGGAATCCATGGTATGACAATTAAAAAAAGAGAGACCAAGGTGAAGAATAAGGCGATCGGCAAGGTAGCACGGAAGGGGGGGCGCCAGCCACGGAGCCAAGACAGCTTGAAACGCGACGAGTCAGGGAGATAGGTCAAGCATAGACCCATGCCAACGAAGAAGTTGACCACATTTAAGGGGTACGACGACAGGTTTAATACAAAGTTGTAAGCGTCGCCCTGAGGTGGCGCCAACATGAGAATGAGAGTCACAATGGAATGCCAGGATAGACCTGCGAGGGGCGTGTTGAAGGGCCGGTTTGACGCGAAGATTTTTGCGAAGGGAATAATATTGTCGCGACCAAGCGCCTGATTGAGGCGTCCCTGGGCGAAGATAACCGCAAAGACATTCGCGACCGCCGAGAGTGCGACAAATACAGACAGGGCCTTCGCCGAGCTCTCGCCAAACATGTAGCGGAAGAACTCCGCCGCGATAATTTGCTTGCTGTTCAGAATTACATCCCGGGGCACAGCAGCAAAGTAGGCGACCTGGCACAACACGTAGAGGATGGTCAATGTAATAAGTGACACAATGCCCGCGATCTTCATAGTTCGAGCAGGATTGCGCACTTCGCCCAGCGCATAAAAGAGGTTCGAATAGCCAACATAACTCCAAATTGCATTGTAGATACACGATGAAACACCGTAGATATCGTTGCGTGTACCTTCAAACGCATTGTCAAAGTTATATGGCTTCGGGCCCTTGGTATAACCTCCCAACGCCACAAAACCAGTAATGACGATCAAGAATAGAATAACCACCTTAAAGGTACCAATCGCATTCTGGAACATTAAACCCCACTTAAGCATGGTCCCATGCATGAAAAGGGCCGCGAGAATCACAGCGACACCGATACCTTTAGAGTTCCATTCTGTCGTCTCCCCTCCTCCAGCACGGATAAAGTATTGGCCAGCTGCATTGGCATTACCTGCCGCCTGACCCAAGAGAAGGGCCTGGGCGGCGTACATGGATGCAATCAGGTACTTCGGCTTGCGGTACACATACTGCAGGTAATTGAGCTCACCGCCATTACGGTGCATGGCCATAGCAAATTCTGCATAGACAGCAAAGCCACATCCTGCAATAATACCTCCAATGACCCAATATATGATACTCATCCCGACACTTCCACTTTGGCTCAGGATCGTTGAAGTCGTTGAGAAAACACCTGTTCCCAAAATGCGGTTCACCATGAGGAAAATGGCAGACATTGTACCTAGCTGTCGACCCTGCGGTAGCTCATCGTAGTGAGTTTCCACGGGAGGTTCCTTTTCCGCATCGCCCGATTCGGACAAGTACGTCTCCTGACCCCTTTGCTCCGGAGACGGGTCGGGATGCAACTCGACATCCGCGTGCAGCTTGTCGATGCTATTGCTCTCCGAGTCACCTAGACCCGGAGTCTGGCGGCTATCCTCAAGCGCCATGGCCCTCGAGTCGAAGTAAGATGAGCTGTGGTAGTTAGAATGGCCTGGACAGCGGTTCTTCTCAACTAGCCTCTCTTTTATTCACGGCGTGTTCCTGCAGCAAGATGTAAGTGGCACGTCATCGAAGAGACGGAGTGTGGTGATGGGCCAATCAGAGAGTACATTGCAAGAACTAAGCACCCAAGACTGTGGAGGAACTATAGGAATCACGCCAAGGTGAGCACCGTAGGCCTGTATAGCCTCTCATTTTGAGCACTGTCTTGCTCACCATAATTTGAATTGGGTGCTTGCATTGCCAAGTAAGACGCCTTTGAAACTATGATGAAGTATTAACTGCATGATTTTAGAAAACGTAAAGCATAAAATAGTCTAATGGTGTGCCACGACGAAGCACAAGTCAGGATATTATGCATAAAGAATAAGCTATGGCATGTAGAAATATGCTTTATGGAACACCAGGGTCCAGCCCTATCTATGGCTGTCGACCCTAGCCTAATTTGAGAGACGATCGTATCAGGCGTGGACGTGGAAGAAAATGGATTCTAGTCAATGGGAGCATTCCATTAACGAGGGTGACGTTATATTCATTGGTTCAAAGCTTTGAGTGCTAGGCGCGACGTAGCCCTGAGATAAGGACGAATAGGGTGGGAGGCATGGTGTCATTGGACTAACTGGATAACTCTGGAAGAGTCTCCGGTGGGCTTCCTCCATGTTACTCCGGGTGGAAGAAATACCTTCAAGACGCACACTAAGATCTTGCATCTCTTTACCGTCAAGGGAGCGAGTCAATTCCCGGGTAATTATCGATGATATGTCCCAGTCTTCCTCGGTAGCACGGGATTCTAGCTCCTCCGTCACATTGAATGGATTAGAGCAAAGATATTCAGCTGTCCGCACTTCTTCTTGTTCGAATTTTCTGACCCGTATCATCGTGTTGTCAGATTCCATGGAGAGTCCAAAGCATTCCTCGAGGGCATCGATATTGAGATTCAGGTCAGCAAAATCCAAGCGGGGCATAGAGTCCACGGGGCTGAAAACGAGGTACTGACCTTCATCGTCCAGGGAAGCAGAGTGGCCTGTCTGCATGAATTGAGACGAGCCTCCGCAAAATAGTACGGCAGCAGGACCGTGAGTGTGGCTGTCGGAGTTTGACGTAGATGGATATGACATGGACGAATATTCGAGAATAGAAGTGACAGGCATAGATGAGGACCACACATCGAGTACATTATCTTCACAAGCTTCAGCACCAACATAGTTATGGATTGGATCAGAGCTTGACTCACTCACTGATGGAAGGACAGGCAGAGATATCGTTGGTATTTCTGTGACGATTTGAGAACGTCCATCACTCTCATAATCACTTTCCGCGTCTAACTTGGACATGGGCTGGCTATCGTGTTCAGATTCAGAGTGTGTGGCGCCTTCCTGATATTCAAAACCAAAATCAGACTCTGCGTCAATCTCGCAGGCAATCTCTGACTTGACAAAATTTAAAGGAGATTTCGACGGGCTACCCAAAGTTGTTTTAGATGTTAAGAAAGCGGGCGACGGTTCAACCGTGGTTGAGCGACGTGTGTGCGATCGTCGGTTCCGTCGATTTTGAAACTGCTTGTTAGCTAGAAAGAGGCATACCCAGATAGTGACTTGGCGTGGTTGAAGCCCAGTTGCTTCAGCAAGCTTGTACTTCTCGGCCTGTGTAATATTGGGTGCATGCTCAAAGGCCTTCTCCAATATAGCCACAGCTTTCGGGCTGTGTCCACGGTGGGCATCTGTGGGCTCGTTTGCAGCGTCCTGGAAGTTTTTTAAGCGTTCGTCTATAATGCCTAGTAGTGCGTCTTGCATACGTGTAGCGGCCAATTGACACTGCAACTTGAATAGCTGCTCCATACGAGGGAGCGCACGACGGCGAGCGGAGCCCCAACGACGTTGAATTTGAGTGAACTTTTCCATGGAAGCACCCTTTAGCTTGATCAAAACACGCTCGTACAAACGTATCAAGAGGACTTGAGCATCATTGGAAAGAGGTCTTTCTCGAATAGCACTCATGAATGACACGGCATTAATGTCACGAAGATTCAACTCAGCAAGTGGGGAGTATATCCCCGGACTGGGGAGCAGTGTCTCATCCGAAGCGCTGAGGCTTTTGAGCATAGAGAGGCACGCTTCTACAAAACCTAGTTCTTGGCTCATTGGGAGACGACATGATCAAGGCTAGCGGCAGTTCTTATATTTGATACGAGAGGGTCTGAGCGCAAGTGGAGGCGCCTTTGTGCCTTGGCGGTGTTCACCATTCCAATCCCATCAGCGGTCGTCGCAATGACGTGGACATGATAGGGTCGTCCACAGCTCAGGCTGGAGAGGATGCTGACACATATGTGCTTTCATATACAAATATAATTTGAACCTCATTGGGGGGTACACAGCTCCTATATAAGAAGTACCGCCCCCGGCTCCAATGGCCGATAATGTTGGGTCCTAGCAGATATGCTCGATCGGATTGTTTGACATCTAGTAAGCTACTTTTTTGTCAGGAATCCTCTTTATTGGACTAAAATCTTCGATGTCGCGATGCGCATAGAGCTAGGCTGGGCCTGGGCGTGCATGCAGCTGCAGGATCCTGACTCAAAAGTCTTTGTGTGAATTTAGGAGTGGGAGCTGGAGGCCTCCAGCGACATTGTCTCCATCGACTCATCATGCCTTATATCGACCAGGATCCGGCACGACACCTGTTGATTGAATTCGAACAAGCCGTACTTGATGCTCTTGCAAGTAATTTTGGTGAGGCAGAGTATGAACGCTTGCGGGTCATGTCAGAGGACGTGAAAAGCACCATCTCTCGATTATTCGAGATGGGCCAATTATCTCAACCAACCATCCGTTTGGGGGCGTCGATTGGCGAGCGAATTGAGCAGTTAAAGCTCGTATTGAACGAGCATCGTGCTATGATGGACGAGCTGCAGAAATCTACGAGCGATGAAATCCAGTCCATTCTGGAAAAGGAATCTATCAAGCTGACACAAGCGTTTGTTTCGTCTGAGCGACGCGATGCGGGTCTGAATGCTGTACAGATGCGCGATTGGTTTTTAAAAAATATGGGCTATCCATTCCCATCACGGAGTGATAAGCTGAGAATCCTAAAAACGACAAATCGCCAGGGTGCTGTCAAGTCACAGGTATTAAAGTACAATCAGGTTGTGCTCTGGTTCATTAACACGCGCCGGCGCTCTGGGTGGACCAAGTTTCTTCGTCGCTATGCCCAAGGCGACAAAACCAAGATGCTGGAGCTGGTTTGGGCTCTCGAAACATCTGTTGGGGGTACGCATGCGTCCCGTTACTGGTCTTCGGGGATCGGTCCCGTAAGCGCGACCAAGATACGCGACGGCAAGAAAGAACGTAAGATTACAAGAATGACCATCAAAGAGTACATGCCTAATGCGAATGATTATGAGCTAGAAAAAATGTACTCGGAATGGAAAAAGATCGTCGAGCGCATTCGCTATGGTGTAAAGGAGCGTGTGGGCGACTGGGTAGAGGAAGTGATCGGCACGTCGAGCGACCTGTGAACGGTAAGCCAAACGTCTGTAGTGGAGGTAATGCACACCAGAAATTGATCCATCGCCTCCTGCCATTTTGTGCTAGACGCGAGAATGGCGTCGTACGCACACACTGTCGGAGATCCGTCCGGCATTATTTCCAAACTAGAGAAGGAGATTGATGCTGTCGAAAAGAGTGTGAAAACTGCGTTTGACCGTCCACTTGCTGAAATCTTGAAAGATTGCGAGTCCAAAGACGCCAAGGCGCGGGCAGCCGATGCAGAAGTCCCACTTCATCATCGGCTATCGGCGGCCAAAGCGCTGGTATCCGCATCTTATGTGTACTTGGATGCAATATGGATGTACCTGAAAAGCAAAGGAGTTGATCCGGCATCACATCCAGTCCATCGAGAGTTGGAGCGAGTGCAAGCCTACTTCCCAAAGTTGAAAGAGACGGAAAATCCACAAGAAAAGCCAAAGCAGCGTGTGGATACCGACGCAGTGAAGCGCATGGTGTCTGCGGCCACAGGCACGCACACGCGGTTTGATGATAGCCATGCAGCGGAATCGTCCAAAACTGGCTCCAAGCCTGCTAAAGAGAGAACCGTCGAAGAACCTCCAAGGAAGAAATCCAAATCCAAAAAAGCTAAAAAGACCCTAGGGCATCTATAGATTTACCTTAGTAGACGAACGTATACCCTGTCACGTCGAGCCTTGGCGGTGGAGTTGCTTCGATTTTCTCTCGCTCCAGAATATTTGCTGATTTTCACGCTGTCACCATGCGCGCTGCTTTCGCGCGTCCGAGGTGGCTAGTTGAGTCCCGCTGGCTGCGTACCTTGCATACTCCTAGCGAGACACCTAGATGGGACTTGGGACGTGATGCGGATGACAAGAATGCCTCACCCACTCTTGAAGCACTCGACTTCCTCCGTCCAGCGGCGCATCGCCACAAGCGCACAGATACACCCACCGCTGTATGGACTCGGACATACAATCGGATCAACGACTCTTTTACCCGTCCTCAGCTCTATCAGCTAGCACGCGATGCCAAATTGGAAGATGTGCGGGCATCCATGCCTAAAGCACAACTGGTAAAAGCGTTTATGGAACAACGTTTTGAGCTGCGGGACCCTGATGCCCCTATCGACGCCAAGTCAACTTTTCTGCCGCTGCCTATCAGCGATGTGTTCCTGCTATCATACGAGAGTCGCTCTTTCTTCGACATTTTGCGCCGCACACAAGTAAATGCGTCTATGGACAAACGCGACTTACAGACTGGTGTCACTATTACGGGCAACCCGCGGGCTGCTGAACAAGTGCGTGCATGGCTGAATCACTTCCAACAGTCAATACAGACCATGCGACTGCACCTTGAAGCGCCTGATGAACTATTGATCTGGATCAGCTATCGTACTCAGTGCCATGTGGCGAAGGAGGGCCCAGAGATATGTTTGCGTTATCTTAAACAAGAACAAGCCGACCAGGCGCGCATGTTATTAGAAGAACAGTCTCATACGCTTTCCATCGAGGCTCCAGACACTTGGCTTCTTTCACCATATGAGGCCGGCGAAACTCCCTTCCTATCAAGCCTACCCTACTCGCCTGGCACCGCGGCAGAGCCACTCTCATGTTATGCACTGCGGAAAGGCGCGTGGTCCCGACTCGTAGGGAACGAACTTGAGGCTCCCCTACACTTGGTGCCCCTCTCCCAAACCACCACCGAGTTCCCTGAACATTTGTCGGAAAAGATAAGCAGTAAGACGAACTGTGTTTCTAACTCCCTTGTCGATGGAGAATGGACTCAAAACACCCATACCTCTTTTGGTCACCTGCTATGGGATCAGGCACCGGCCGACTTAAGCACGATACCCTCGCTAGAAAGCCCAGGGCTTTTCCTCACTACTTCGCCACCTAGCTGCTTGGAGCACTCACCCACTCTGGCCCGTTGGACAGAACTCGAGTTTGACGAACAGGAGCTAGAATGCTACTATTATCGCATGGCTCTAGACCACGGCGCGGTGGATCTGGTTCTGACGCTGGGCATCCAAGGTGCACCTGTGTGGCAAAGCGCTACGTGGATGTGCCACGCTGATGCACACGTACTCTGTCCCACGCTTCCTGTGGATATGCGAGTGACACTATCCAAGGAAGCGCCACTGCGGCTTTCCGCCCTCGATGGCACCCCGTTGGCATCGTACTTGGACCACGTGTCTCGCTGTCGGGCCGCTGAAAGTGGCACTAGCGCTTTCGAGGCGCTGGAACAAGGCGATATTTCTCAGCCGACTTTGCCCCTTCATGTTCAGCTTTTCACACCAGAAGGGGCCGTATCGCTTCATCTATGGCGCACAGAACGGATGACCCAGCGCACCTCGACCTACTACCACCCTGAGCACACTGGCCAACTGACTTTGCACCGGCGCACACGACGCTGTAATTCCATGTCAAGCTTTTGTGCCACTGTAACTCTGTCAATGCCCACTTGGCCAGGCGTAGAAACCGTGCAGTCGCTCCTCCAGTCGCCCTACCCGGCTTTGGGTCGTCAGCGGTGACGGCTTCCCATAGCGTACCTCCACAGTCCACGGACCCATTCGATGCACCATCACGGAATGCAGGCGATCGTTTGTCGGAGTTGGGTGGTCCTAGCCTGCCTCGTGCTCGCACTGGTATCCGTGTGCCAAGCGTATTCTGAGAGACTTGAGGATAAGACAGAGATGCGCCAGTCGTGCAGTGGTGTTTGGGCTGGTCCAAACACCAGTATTGATGGTAGGACAGTCGATGACTGACAGCAGTACTGTTCTACCCCAACAGTAGCGGCCTGGTGACAACTATTATTTATGAAATCTCTGAGTTTTCCAAGATTGGCAAGTACGACCCATCCGGGGGCAAGTATGGCCATATTGTACGTATGCCTCTGAAATTAATGTGTATCGCAGTCCAAGACGTACTTATGTACACCCACGGTGCAGCAGCGTGGTTTATGCAAGCCAGATCAGTTAAATATGTATTTGATTGAAGATGGGTCCTCTGTGTGGTCTATCAAACAAGAGAGGATGGACTTTGGTGAGCGGTTGATGGAGACTAAGGCCATGGTACGTAACCTTTTCTATTCACCTAGACGTACCCAGTGAATCGATCCGGTTACTACTGTATGGGTGTTGCGCCTCTTCGCGTACCTGTGAGTGCTGTTCACAACTCTACCATCAACCAGTTTCATGGAGAAGTGGTGTATCATAATCGCTTCGCTGGCCACCTTCCAGCGGCAGAGCATCCAAAGCTTTACGTACGTTCACCCTACTAACAAAGTTCTACGGATTTATGACGCTGGTATGCGTGGTGCTGAGCGTCGGCTGGATCTTCATGTGCTACAAGCACCGCGACCAAATTGTCACGGTGCAACATTTTGTGTCGGCAGTGCTTATGTTCCTCGTGATCGAAATGGCTTGTCAATGGCTCTTTTACCGCTACTACAACGCCTATCCCGTTGACTTGAGGCACTTTGAAGCTGCTGATGGCCGTCCAGGTGTCACTAGCATTGCCCGCTTTTTGCTAGTATTCACTAACATCCTCGAGTCGGTTCGGGACAGCATGTCCTTTTTCCTTCTGCTCATTGTTTCGTAAGTGCAATCAGCGCTAACCGTCAGGATGGGCTACGGTGTTGTAAGGCCTAACATCGGTCCCGTCATTACCCGCGTATATGCCTTGACAGGCCTGCACTTTGTGTTCAGTGTCATGTACTCGATTGGCATCATTTTTGTTTTACTGGACACGACCAATGCCTGGGTGGGGCTATTTATCTTCCCCATGGCTCTTACTCTGACGGTATTCTACATGTGGATTCTCTCCTCACTCAAAAGCACCATCCAAGACTTGCATGAACGCCGACAGACATTTAAGATGAATATGTTCAAGCGTTTGCAGATTATTCTGCTTGGTGCTGTTGTCTTCCTCACTCTATATTTCTTTGGTATCACTGGTTTAATTGCTTTTACCGGAACTAACGACTTTATTGAAGAATCCTGGAAGTACCGCTGGTTCCTCTTGGAGGGTATTTTGGTTCTCCTGTATTTCGTCGTCTTTGGACTTATTGCTTGGTCTTGGCGACCAACTGGTAACAATATGCGACTGGCTATGTCAGACGAACTGGCTACGGACGAGGATGTCGCTGCGGGGCAGTTTGACGTGCACACAATCGGATCGGAGCATGAAGAATTAGACGAGGATGCCGAGGAGGTCGGATCTGTACATCTCCGTCAGCTTTCTCACACCCCAAGGGATGAAAGTGCACATCAAGTGCATGTTACGGAGCCAGAATACTCCGCGGTCGGAAGCGATGACGACTTCGGCGATTATGACAAGCCGAATGAATCTAAGGTGCTATTTGAAAATGACGATCAGGATCGCTCGCATCTCTCCCCGTAATGCGTCTGTGAACAGTGGGAACACCATAGAAATGAGTACGATACCCATTTGTTCTCTATTGTACTCCTTAACCTTGTCCGCATGCAAGGAACTCAGTTTTACATGGGTGATACCCACCCTCCGCGTCGGGGCTCTCGGCCCTAATGGAAATTGATGCACGAGGATCGACAGGCCAATAATTTTGCACTTCGGATTTAGACTTCCCCACAGTGGCATTGGCAAGATGCCTTAAATCGGATGATCCAAACCTCTGGAAACACTCCAAGATCCACCGTTAAACTATCCCTTGCTTTATTACCATGTCTTCGAGTCAAAGTGACTTGGAAAAGGGCGGAGGAGATGCCAAGTTAACGCCGGACGCAGTTACTGAGAAATCAAATGACGAGCATACGACTGGCAAGGCACCACAGAATTATGACGACATCGATGAACTTAAGCGAGCGAATCCGGAGGCCATCATCGTGACATGGGATGGTGATGATCTAGAATCTCCCTTTAATTGGAGCATCACCTATCGCTTGTACCTGACAGCGCTCGTATTTATGCTCAACACTGGCTGCACGTTTGCCTCATCGCTTCCCTCAACGCTCATGGAGGAAATTTCGCATTCAACTCATGTAAGTATCCAAGTTGTTAAGATCGGTGTCTTCATCTACGTCGGAGGTTTCGCTGCAGGACCACTCCTCTGGGCGCCTTTGTCGGAGCTGTTCGGGACGCGTCCAATACTTATTGCCTCATGTCTTCTAACAACTATTTTCCAGATGGCAAGCGCACTGGCTCCTAACATTGGTGGCCTGATTGCTTTTCGCTTTCTCGCGGGCACTTTTAGTTCAGCTATTCTCGCTGTGGGCAGCGGTATTTTTGCCAACATGTTCGACAAGGACTTGTTGGCCTTTGGTATGGCCGTGCAATCTCTTGGTGCAAGCGGTGGTCCTGCGGTAGGTCCCCTCGTTGGTGCATGGGTTCACGTCGAAGAAGCGTCTTGGCACTGGGGCCTCTGGGCATGCTGCATTCTCGAGGGATTCCTCACTGTGCTTACCATATTTACCCTCAAGGAGACGAGCAAGAACTTCAATCTTACAAAAAAGGCAAAACGCCTTCGCCAACAGACAGGTAACGAGAACTACAAGTCTGCCATGGAGCTGCATTCATTCAATGCAAAAGAGTTTGTGGACAAATGGCTCTTGGTACCCTTCAAAATGATCTTGTACGAGCCCATGGTTCTATCCACCAGCCTCTATTTTGGATTCCTCTATTCGACACTATACTTGTTCTTTGTCGCCTTTCCCATTGTCTTCGGAGGTCTTCATGGATTGAACGCTGTCCAATCTTCCATGGTGTTCTTATCCTATTTCGCTGCCGAGGTGGTCGTGGCGGTATGCATTGTGCTCTTTGAGAACCGTCGATATATGAAGAAGCGGGCGGCCAGCCCAACCGGTAAATTGCCACCCGAGGAGCGACTGCGATGCGCACTGGTGGGCTCACCTCTGATTGTTATGGCATTGTTTTGGTTCGCTTGGACTTGCTATCCGTCAATATCGATCTGGTCACCCATCATGGCGATCGCTGCCTATGGAGCAGCCTTTTACTGTGTCAAGGTGTGTAAATTAGCGGCACTGACATGACAGTATTCTATTTTTGCCTTCTTGGGCGATGCCTACAAATCCCGGACGGCCAGCGCTATGTCAACCAATACACTGGCACGTTCGGTCTTCGGGTTCGGATTTCCATTGGTATGTTCTGGTCACTTACATGATAGTATGGAGCGCAAATGTTCAACCGACTGAACCCACATTGGGCGACGTCTTTGGTTGCATTTATTGCACTGCTGCTGGGGCCGATTCCCTTCATCTTGTTTAAATATGGACCCTGGCTTCGCTCTAAAGCCCGTTATGCTTTCGGTTAAGTGCGAACTGTTGATGATAACTTTTTTTTTTTTTGCAATTTATGATCCAAGAGCAAATAATTGAAATGATATAGTGTACATTCTATAATGACTATCGGCTCAGCCCATCGTGTCATGGGGAATCGCCTCCAATGCATGCTGGCTGCGACGCAAACGCTCATGAAGATCCATACCACCACTTTGCTTGCCCCACAAGTCGCGCTGCTGGTCCAGTAAAAATGCTGCTCGCCCAGGCGCACCGTTTTGTTGCCACTGTTTACTGTCACGAGCCTTGTTACGCTCTGTTTCTTCTTGTTCGAGAGTCTTCTTCTCTTGCGCCTGCACCTGGTCTAACATGGCATTGCGCTCTCGAGTCATTTGTTGGGCATTCTGCCTCATTTCGGCTAGCTTGGCCTCGCGCTCAGCCTCGGTCATCCTTCGCCGCTCAGGCGACTTGGATGGGCGGCGAGAAGAACGATGAGAGTGTTCGCGATCCTTCTCATCGTCTCGTCGGATGCGAGATCGCCGGCGATCATCCTCCGAGTGTTCGCGATGGTAGGAACGGTGCTCCTCATCTCTGCGACTTTTGCGATCAGTGTCACGATCTCTGCGGTCATAGTCGCGGTGGCGATGGTATTCTTGTCGGTCATAGTCACGGTGGCGGTGGTATTCTCGTCGGTCATAATCTCGGTGTCGAGCTCCGCGGTCGGAGTGTCGGTGGCGGTCTCGTCGACCGCCATCATAGGTATCACGCACTCCCATCCTGTCCCGCGAGTCTCGGCTCCTTGATGGTGTACTATGCGAGGATGTACGTCCATCTCGCGGTGTAGATAGCCCCAACCGCGCCCGCATCTGCCTCAATCGCGTGGGATCTTTCATGAGCATCTCCCTCATCGCCTGTTCTTGCTTCTTGATAGCAAATAAGGGGTCTTCACGAATTTTCAAGGCCATATCACGGGATGCTCTGGATTCATCTGGGTCCTCTTGGGCCATCGGCACGGCATCCCGCGTGAGTTGTTGAGCTTCGTTGCCCTGGAGCAGCTTGTCCACCCGCTTTTTGCCCAGCAGATAATCCTCCAGTTCCGCCTCCGAGGGCCCACTACTAGAGGCAGGCGTAGCATACATCCATTCAACGCGCTCTGGGCGACGCTTTCCACCGGCTGCCTCGTGGATACGCTGCAGCTCCTGCATTTGGCGTTCTTGCTCGCGTTCTTTGCGAAGCTCCTCGAGCTTTTTACGCTCTGCCTCCGCCTCCTGCTCTTGCATCCATACCTTCTCCTGGTTCTTTTGAAGTCGCGGGTGCCATGACTTCTTTACGTTCAAGTCGCCTGCACCCATGTTGCGCTACGGCGTCGCTGGCGTGGCGTGGCGTGCAGCCTAGCGTTTGCGTGGTGGAGGTTTTCGGCCGAATACATCACGTGCTTTGAAGTGTCGTGCCACCATCGCCGCGCGGCCGGCGTCGTCCGTTGACGGGGTGCTCGACCGTCTGCACCTGCCCGCACGCGAAGAACGACCAACACGATCCCAGAGGTTGTGTTTGGCCTTTGAATTCGCTTGTGTTAGGACTTTCTGAAAATCTTCAACATGTACGCAGATGAAGAGGTGGAAGAGATCAGCCAAGAAGATTGCTGGGACGTCATCAAGGCCTTTTTCGAAGAGAAGGGCCTGGTGCGCCAGCAAATTGACAGTTTCAACGAGTTCATGAGTAACACAGTGCAGGAACTCGTTGAAGAGAGTCGAAGTCTGACCTTGGAACAGAGTGACCAGCACACTGGCCACGCGGAGGACAAGTCGCGTCGGTACGAGATTGAGTTTGGTCAGATCTACATGAACAAGCCGCAACAGACTGAGGCAGATGGTAGCACAGCTCCCCTCTTTCCCCAAGAGGCTCGCCAGCGTAACTTGACGTACTCGGCGGGTCTGCATGTGGATGTCTCTCAGAAGGTCTTGGTCAAGGGCGAGGAAGGCGAGCTGGATGAGAACGGTGACCAGCTTTGGGTGCCTGATCCGAGCCGCGAGGAGATTGTCGATGAGAAGGTGTATCTTGGCAAGGTCCCTATCATGCTGCACTCACACTTTTGCTGGCTGACGGACCTGCCGGACGATGGCAAGTACAGTTTGAACGAGTGCCCTTTCGACTCGGGTGGCTACTTTATCATTAATGGCTCTGAAAAAGTACTGATTGCTCAGGAGCGCATGGCGGCGAACCATGTGTATGTGTTTTCCAAGGCTCCCCCTTCGCCCATCACGTTCCTTGCCGAGATCCGCAGTGCTGTGGAGCGGGGTGGCAAGACGATCAGCACCATGCAGGTAAAACTGTTCTCGCGCAACCGTGAGAAGAGCTTGAACAACACGATCAAGGCAACGCTGCCTTACATCCGCAATGACATCCCGATCGTGATTGTCTTCCGTGCGCTGGGTGTTGTGCCTGACCGCGAAGTGTTGCAACACATTTGCTACGACTTCAATGATACACAGATGCTAGAGATGCTCAAGCCCTGCATTGAAGAGGCCTTTGTGATCCAGGATCGTGAGGTTGCGCTCGACTTTATTGGTCGTCGTGGCACGACCACAGGTCTTTCACGCTTTAAGCGCACGACCTATGCCCAGGAGATTCTGCAAAAGGAGATGCTTCCCCACATTTCCATGTCCGAAGGATCGAATACGAAGAAGGCCTACTTCTTCGGGTACATGGTGCACCGCCTCCTGCTCGCCGCGCTGGACCGCCGCGAGATAGATGACCGTGACCACTTTGGCAAGAAGCGCCTGGACTTGGCGGGTCCCCTGCTGAGTGGCCTGTTCCGCATGCTTTTCCGCAAAGTCACCCGCGACATTTACCGGCACTTGCAGCGCTGTGTGGAAGACCAGAAGGAGTTCCACCTGCAGGCAGCGGTGCGTCATGCGACCATCACCAATGGTTTGCGCTACTCACTGGCTACGGGTAATTGGGGTGATCAAAAGAAAGCGATGCAGTCCAAGGCGGGTGTGTCGCAGGTGCTGAACCGATATACGTTTGCATCGACCCTGTCGCACTTGCGGCGTTGTAACACGCCTATTGGACGGGATGGCAAAATCGCAAAGCCGCGGCAACTGCACAATACGCATTGGGGTATGGTGTGCCCCGCCGAGACGCCCGAGGGCCAAGCGTGTGGGCTGGTGAAGAATTTAAGTCTCATGTCGAACATCTCTGTCGGCACACCATCTGCACCGATTGTTGAGTTCTTGGAGGAGTTTGGGCTGAATAGTCTCGTGGACATGCAGGCGGCGGACCCCAAGGCGACCAAGGTATTTGTGAACGGTGTATGGCTGGGTACACACGACGATCCTGGCCAGCTTGTTGATACGCTGCGCGATTTGCGCCGCAAAGACGACATTAGCTACGAAGTGAGTGTGGTGCGTGACATCCGTGAGAAGGAGCTGCGTATCTACACGGATGCAGGTCGTATGCTGCGCCCGCTGTTCATTGTGGACCAGCAGAGCATGACGCTGCTGATCAAGCGACACCATGTGCGGGCGCTCAACGACGAGGACGGCGAGGGCTGGGACTGGACGCGCCTGGTCCAGTCTGGCGTCATTGAATATCTGGACACAGAGGAAGAGGAGACGGTGCTGATCTGCATGAGTCCAACGGATCTGGAGCAGTCGCGCGAGTACAAGGCGACCAACGGCCACATGCCACCGGACACGTCGGACGCAACGCGGCGTCTGCGATCGGCGCATACCTTTGCGCCCGACACGTGGACGCACTGTGAGATTCACCCGGCGATGATTCTGGGTGTGTGTGCGAGCATTATTCCATTCCCCGACCACAACCAGTCGCCGCGTAACACGTACCAATCGGCCATGGGCAAGCAAGCTATGGGTGTCTTTTTGACCAACTACCAGATTCGCATGGATACGATGGCGAACATCTTGTACTATCCACAAAAGCCGCTGGCCACGACACGTGCGATGGAGCACCTGCGCTTCCGCGAGCTGCCAGCGGGCCAGAATGCCATTGTGGCCATTCTTTGCTATTCGGGCTACAACCAGGAGGACTCCGTGATTATGAACCAGTCGGCTATTGACCGGGGTCTGTTCCGCTCGCTGTACTATCGCACGTTCCAGGACATGGAGAAGAAGGTCGGTGTGATCACAATGGAGGAGTTTGAGAAACCGACACGCGAGACGGCCATCCGCCTGAAACATGGCACGTACGAGAAACTAGATATCGATGGTCTCGTTCCACCTGGCACGCGTGTTTCAGGCGAGGACATCATTATTGGTAAAACGGCGCCATTGCCGCCGGATAGTGATGAGCTGGGTATGCGCAGCAAGACGCACACGAAGAAGGATGTGAGTACGCCGATGAAGAGCACTGAGAGTGGCATCATTGACCAGGTGCTGATCACGACCAACGGCGAAGGTGCCAAGTTTGTGAAGGTGCGTGTGCGTTCGACGCGTGTGCCGCAGGTGGGCGACAAATTTGCGTCGCGCCACGGACAGAAGGGTACCATTGGCATCACGTACCGCCAGGAAGATCTGCCGTTCACGGCTGAGGGTATTACGCCCGACATTATCATCAACCCGCACGCCATCCCCAGTCGTATGACCATCGGGCATCTGGTCGAGTGTCTGCTGTCGAAGGTGGCAACGCTCTCGGGCCAAGAGGGCGATGCGACGCCGTTTACTGACCTCACTGTTAAGGGCGTGAGTGACATTTTGTTCTCGCTGGGCTACCAGTCGCGTGGTCTCGAGGTCATGTACAATGGCCACACGGGCCGCAAGCTGCAGGCGCAGGTGTATCTGGGCCCGACATACTACCAGCGTCTGAAGCACATGGTGGACGACAAGATCCACAGCCGCGCGCGCGGTCCCGTGCAGATTCTTACGCGGCAGCCTGTCGAGGGTCGCAGCCGCGACGGTGGTCTGCGTTTTGGTGAGATGGAGCGCGACTGTATGATCTCACACGGTATGGCCAACTTTTTGAAGGAGCGCATGTATGATGCAAGCGATGCGTACCGCCTGCACATCTGCGATCTGTGCGGCTTAACAGCGGTGGCGAACTTACGCAAGTCAACGTTCGAGTGCCGCGCATGTCGCAACCGCTCAGCCATTTCGCAGATCCACATTCCCTATGCGGCCAAGCTCCTGTTCCAAGAGCTGATGAGCATGGGCATTGCGACTCGCTTGTACTAGCTAGAACGTAGTTCCACTACGCATCATGCCCTGTATGCCTACTTCAACCTGTAGTACCTTGTGTGAATGCTACGGGGCCAGCCCGGTCGGCCTGGCTTATGTTGGACCTATGTTCTTTCCATCAATCGAGGCGCGGTACATGTCCGAGAGCGTGGCAGACTGCTCCGTCGGATTAATCACATCCTGGCGACGCGGCGGCTCTTCAAACACAAACGAACGGTGCGACGTACTCGCACTCATACGGTCCTGACTCGGCATCAACGGGCTCGACATGGAACCGGGCGCCTGAGCAGGCATGTACGACGACGTTGGCATAGTGGGTGGGTAGGGGGATTGCTGGAGCGATGGTTGCGATGCTTGTGGTGCAGGTCCGTCCCACACAGGGGGCGACGGCATGGGCGGCGTCGATACGTCCACAGAGGACGGACCCTGACTGGACGCTGGCGCCGTTGGATGAAGAAATAGTTGCGAATGGTCTTCGTCAGGGGCACCGCCCTGCATGGGCGCTGACACTTGCATGGGGGGTTGTCGCTTGTCCTCGCGCTTGCGGCGAGGCCACTTAAACTTGGGCGACATTTTGGAGAGAAAATGGCTGCCTTTAGGCGGCGGCGATGTCGACCGCCGGTCCAAGTCCTGGCTCGACGACGTGCGTGGCAGCGGTGCCTGTAGGTTAGGGCTCATTGGGCTCATCGTCGAGACCGGCATCGGGCCATCGTTCGGCGGCGTCAGTCGTCCACCCGACAGCTCCGAAGGCAGAGCAGAGTGTTCCACGCTCCACGCGGTCGGTGGGGGCATAAGGCCCATCATGCTCTGCGAGGCCGACGCGGACGGCGCTTGCATGGCGGTTGACGGAGGCAGCGCCTCCTGGGACTTGTCCGCTCCTGCCACGCCAGCCACAGGCTGCGGCAGCGACATAGACGGGCCCTTCGAATCTGTCGGCGGCTCCACCGTCGGCTGTGTCCATAGTTGACTCGATGCGCCGTCTGCGGGTGCATCCTGCGCTTGGTGCGGCACAGACACGGAGCCCGCCTCAGCGGGCGCCTCTGACGGCGGCGCCCACATTGTCGTCGACATCGACTCGCGCGACCAGGCCATCCACTCGTCGCCTTGGGGCGGCGCACCCTTCGGGACATCCTGCGGACGCAAGTTGGCCAGCACCGACTCGAGCTGCATCGATGCGTGCTCCGAGGAGCCAGGCATGCCTGCACCTGGCTGTTCCATGCTGGGAGACGTCATCCACTGGGTCTGGCTCGCCTCGTCATGCTTCGGCGGCGGCGGCGGCGGCGGCGGCTGTTCCGTCGCGGGGGGGTCCCAGCGCACACTCCAGGCCCCATCGTGCGGCGGCACGAAGACGTCCATCACGGAGGGTGCAGGTGGCTGGGCCGGCGCAGCCAACGAGAGAGGCTCTTCAGGCTCGGCGTTCACGACCGGTGTCTCTGTCTGCGCTGTTTTCGCGTCATACAGTGGCAACTGCGACGAAACCAGCGACTGCGAGTCGCGTGTCTGTACCTCGTCGGGGCCTGGCTGTATCGACGTGCGCGACCATGATGCTTGCGACTGGATCGAGTCGCGCGACCACGGCACCGAATCCATCGTGCGAGAAGTCGGTGCCATCATGTCCGTCTGCCAAGTCGGGCGCGGTCCTTGGCCCCACTGCTGCGACGAGGTCACTGGCGTTGGCTCGGTACTCCATGCTGACGTCTCGTTCACCGGTGGATCCCAGCGTGGCATGGACGACGAGAGGTCTTGTGCCACGGTGGCGGCAAGCGGCGTAGCTTGTGTCGGCACGGCAGGCACCTCGCGCTCAGCACTCCGCGCGGGCACCGAGAGCGACTCATCCTGCGAGGGCTCAGAGAAGTCCGTCGCGCCATAGCGGACGTAGGCGGGCGTTGATGATGATTGAGACTCGTCCACGGTGGGAATGAGACTGTCCTCTGTGGCCGTGCTGCTGCGCGCGCCCTGGCGGATGCGGCGACCTTGGGACGAGTGCCGTGGCGACAAGAGATCCAATGCACGCTGCAGGTCCCCGAGTGTGTTGTTAAATTCAATCGTGTCCTGGCGACTCAGCTTTGAGGCAGACGGCACCTCTGGCGCCGTCTTTTGCGCGGACATGCGCTCAGGAGCAGGGGTCTCGCGCGACATGCGCGCCTTGTTCGTCAGCGCAGGCGTCGCCGCCGAAATGTTAGGCAGGCCCTGATCGAGCAGGATAGGCGAGCGCAACGATCCGTTCCGCGCCAGGCGCTGCGCCAACGTGTCGTGGGTCGGCGGCGCGCTCGGATGGCTCGTCGTCGACCGCGGAGCCTCCTCCAGGGGGCGGCGCAGACTCTGGCGGGTGACCCAGTGCTCTTCCATTGGATACGCAGGTGCCGACGCCTCTGTGTTGGTACCGCTCAGGAAGCGCCCGGCGGGCAGCGTAGCCGCAGGTGGCGCGGGTGCCGGCCGCTCTGTGGCAGACTCGGCACTATCCACCATGGCCGGCGGAGGGGGAACAGGACGCTTGTCCGCGCTGGGGAATACGAACGCATCGGCCTGTGGCGTGCTTGTGCTGCGCTTGTGGCCCTGGACCACATCGTCGTCCTGCGGCGGGTCATGGTCTGGCAGTCCACTCATGGCCTGCGACATACGTGCGGAAGCGCGCTTCACCGAACGAGGGATATCAATCGAAGCACGCTGCATGTGGCGCCGGGCATTGGCCGACTTGCGCTCGCGCTCGGTCAGGCGCTCGCGCGCCTCCTCGACGTTGTGCTGCGGTGAGGTAGGCGTCTGCGGCTTACCCGCGTCGTCGTGCGGCGCCTCTGCCTCCTTTGACGCCGATTCCTGCGAGGGCGTCTCGCTGGAACGGTGCCCACCAAAGAGGCGCGAGGCAGCAACCGAGAGGCTGGCAACGGCATCACTCATGGTGGTGCGCTTTTTCGAGTCGTCGTCAGCGTCGCTGGCGGTCGAGGACCGCGCCGGTTGCGGGGGAGGCGGGCGTGGCGACTGAATAGGTGTCAAAGGCTCATCAGCCGGTTGAGCCGGGTCCGCCGTCTGCTTATCATTCGCCGATTCGGACCGCGCCTTGCGCGGCGCAGTGTGGCTCTGTTCCATCGGCGAGCCCAGGGCGGCCGGGGCCAACTTCTCAGATGCCGGTGCGTCAAACGGCGCAGGCGCCTCCGAGAGGCTCGTCGGAGCTGTTCGCATCTCGGGCGCGCTGCTGGGGGGCGACAGAATGTCTGGCATATTGGACGGGGCAGCTAGGAGCTCCTGCCCGCCCTCAGGAGGACCCGCCGCCGATGGTCCACTAGGCGACGCGGCAATGATAGGCGTATCGCGCGTCTGCACTGGAGGCTTCGTGGGCAAGATCGAGTCCCTAGTGTCCGCGCGGATGTGGGGAACAGACGCGCCTGAGGACACAGGAAGCGTCTGTGTTCGCACAGGCGACGGCGTTGCCATGGTTGCCAGGTGTAATGGGCGGTGACCGCTTGTGCGTGGCGTTGGAAGCGGCGGTCCATCCGTGTTCGGTGAGGTGGCCATCTCTGCGACGGCCTCGGCGTGCGCCAAGAACGGGCGCCACCACTTTGCCTTCACTGGGTCGACCGACCATTCGAACTTGCCAACAATGGGTAGGCGACCAGTCTCCAGCGTGAAAGAGGCCGCAGAGGTGGATCGAGTCGATGCAAGCGAGGCGTTGCTGGTCATGCGCGGGAGGCGGCGCGACGACTCGCGACTCGACTGGCGGGGGCGCGGGGACGGCTGGGACTTGCGCATGTACGGCAGCGACATGGGACGGAAGTTCGACTCGCTGTCCGACAGGTCCGGCATGGGCGGCGGTGCGTCGCGCTCCTCTTCGAAAAAGCCGCTCCAGAGAGCAGCCCAAGTGCTGTCGCCGATTCGCGGCCCGTCGTTGCCGCTGCCATCATCCATGAGGTACAGCGAGATGCCGCCCACGCTGGGCAGTCCATATTCGCGGGCGATGGCGTACAGCTGGCCGCCCAGCGTTGGGTACAAGGGTAACAGGGTGCCGCGACGCGCGAGGCTCGGTGCCGACGCGCTACGCGGCAGCGCCGTCGTCGGCATTTCTGGTGGCGGAATTACAATCACGAAGTGAGAGGAGCTCGCAGAGCCATTACTACGCGCGTTGACGCCCTGGTACAGGCGCGTCGACGAACGCTGAGGAGAAACAGCATAGCCCAGACGCGGCGCTTCGTCCATATCGCTATCGCTCATGGCATCCATCGAGATTTGCGCCGGCTGGTCGCGATCGATCTCAGACGTCCGCTCGAAAGTGGTCTGATCCGGATCGACGCCGCTATCCAACCGTGCACTGGACGACGAGCCGAGCATGTAGTAGGCTTCAAGAGAGACCAGCTTAGTTGCGCTCAGCGTTCGCGAGCGCGGAAAAGCCACGTGAGGCAACTTGGGGCCACATGGCTCCGAAATCTCAGCCAGGAGCCGCTTCGTGCATGCATTAGGCACGTGCATGGACAAATCACAGATTACTATCGACACAGTAGCTGGCGCGGAGCCGGAGATGCGCTGACCGTAGACGTCGTGCGCGTGGACAAACGGTTCTCATCCCGGTGGTACCGTGCGTTGCCGCAGCATGGCAGCGGCATGCTCATATTGGGTCAGGTGCACGGGCACATAGGACACGGACCCGCCAGCGGCCATGCCTCCGAAAAGGAGCTCGGACACTTTGCCGCCGTGCCAATCGCCGTCGGTGTCCGTCCAAAATACGCGCTTGATACCTGCCCAATACATCCACTCGAGGCAGCGCCAGCACGGGCGGCTGTCCGCATAGCGCGGGATGGCTGGGACGGGTATCGCTGGTGAGGGGGCCGCGCTAACGATCGTAACGCCGCGCCTCTGTTGATGCTTTCGACGCTGCTCCTTCGCCTTGGCCTTGGACTCGGTGTCCTGTAAAAGGCGGACCACATAGAGGTCGGCGCCTCGAATACGCGAGTCTGTCATAGAGGGTATGGCCCGTCGCGCCACCTTGCGGTACGCCAGTGTCGTCGAGGCCAAGGACGGGGTATCTGCCGGCTCTGAGGGAGGCGTGACGGGATCCGACGACGACGACGAGTCGCTCGGTGGGCTGGCTGAGTCTGACTCGGTAGGCGAATCGGTGCTGCTGCTGCTGCCACCCGACGAGGCTTGGCGGGCGCCGCGGGCCTTGCGCGCACGCTTCTCTTCCTTGCGGCGCGCGAGGCGGCGTGCACGCTCTGCCTGCTGCTCGGTGCGGCGACGCTTGGATGCTTGATTACCTGCCCAGAGGCCACCACTGGACGCCGCAGTGTCCCACGGTGCGACGCGTGCGTGGCGGTGGTTTCTCTTTAGTTCGTTCTTTATAGCTCGGTTTAAGACACCACGGAGCATCGGGGGCCAAAGCGACGCGCTGCTGCTCCCGCTTCGCGCCCTCGACCAGTGCGCGATCGAACTGGGACTTGACGTCCTGTGCCGATCGCCTCGCAGCTGGAGCGGAAGACGTGTCGCTGAAGCGGGAGCAGGCAGGCATCTCGAGCGCCATCGACTGAAGCTGTGTGCATGCCTCGTCCAGAGGGTCGAACAGGAGACCACCACGCGGCATATGGGGCCGGGCGCCGCGCAAAGCCGTGGTCACTGCATGCATCTCTGCGTGCATGCTAAAGTAGGACTGGCCTGTTTGTGCAGTCTTTCCATCATCGTGGTCGTGGGCCCCGTCTTGGAGCGGTAAAACAATGGCCTCGTGGGCCGACAAAGGACCACTAAACCTGGTGCGCACATGGTTGTGGCCCTGCGCGAGAATCTTTCCACCCTTCATAATAATAGCGCCGTGGCGATAGCGCATCGTGCTGCGAAGCGCCTCCTGGGTCGCCGCATTGCGCATTCGATCCGCACGCTTCTGGCTCGGCATCGTTCCTCAATCGTTCAAAGATGGCAGGTTAGGACCGGCCGGTGGCAAAGTCGGCCGAGTCAGCGCGCCTCGTCGTCCGAGTCGGACACGCAGATAGTCGGCGGTCCGGCAGGCGCCTCGTCGTCTGAGGAGACGAGGCTGATCGTGGCCTGAAAGGGCGGACGCACAGGCGTGCCACGCGTGGGTATCTTAAGCTGCTCGTTCGAGCAGGGCGGCATGCTGGGCGCCGAGGAGGTCGGCGGCGTTGGCGTTGCCACGTGCTCGAGCTGCTGTAGCAGCGTGGACGCTGGGCGCCGCGGTGGTGCCCCGCCAGGCGCTGCAGCGGGCGGTGCTGTAGCAAGGGCGCCCTCGGCCTCCAGCAATGCCTGCTCCGCATCGACGTCCCATACGTCGTCCGATAGCATGTCAGGCTCGTGCGTGGGTTGAGCAGGCACCTCGTGCGGCCATGCAGGAGGGTCGGCCGGCCGGGGGCCGTGTGCTGCGCGGGCTTGTTTCCATGTCGGCGTGCGACCGAGGATCCCGCAGATCCGCTGCTGCAGAAGCGCCGCCGAGTCCCACTCAGGGTGAAAACCGCCAAGGACACGCACATGCGCTGGGCCCAGCAGAAGCACGCCGCGCTCCTGGGGCGGCTGGTGCAGCAGGAGCTTCGTGCCTAGATGCGTGTCCAAGTCGAGGGACGGGATGCGCTCAAGTTCGTAGGCGCAGATAGGCTCTTGGAACCCATCGCCGAGTCGCCAGCGCAGCATGCCACGCGCAAACGGCGTCCCAGGCGCAGTAGCACGGGCCTCGAGAGTATCGAAGAGGGACTGGGCCGACACGCCAACATCGAGCACGTCGACGATCTGCACAAGCGCATGGTCCCACGTATTCTGAGCATGCTCGAGCGAGTCGTGCAGATCCGAGGCAAGGAGCTGCGCGCGCACCTGGTGCACCAGCCGCGACGCGTCGTGCGCGAGCTGCGTGTCGCGGCTGCACAGATGATCGATGCATTCGGTGCTGCGTAAGTGCCGCCTACGTACAGCCACTCTATACTGATGGGAACGGCCCCCAGCTCGGCGCCCAGGGCCGCGCGCACATCGCGCACGAGGCCCCCTTCGGCCATACTGCGTCGCGGTGCGCTGGCGGGCCACGAGCGTGGCGGACGGGGTGGAGGGCATAATTCCTCAACGGCCCTAGCGGACGGGTGCGGCGGAGCGGGCGTGCCTCCCACGGGTTGGCTTTGAACTTTTGACGGGCAAGATGTTCTCGATTGTGCGCCAGCAGCTGCTTCGTGCGGGTCTTCGTGCGCGTCCTGGCATGGCCAGTCTGCACACTAGTGCGGCTTTGCGTGAGCTGAGCAAGTTCACGATGCCGGCCATGAGCCCGACGATGGAGGATGGCGGTATTGCCTCGTGGCGCAAGAACGAGGGCGATTCGTTCAGCTCGGGCGATGTGCTGCTAGAGATTGTGCGTGCTGGCGGCTAACAGCAGGAAACCGACAAGGCGACCATGGAGGTCGAGGCGACGGACGACGGTGTGCTGGCCAAGATTATTGTGCGTGCATGTGCCCTAACGGCAGGTGGCGGCCGGTGCGAAGAATGTGCCGGTGAACTCGGCGATTGCGATTGTCGGCGAGGAGGGCGATGACCTGTCCGGTGCGGATGCGCTCGCTGAGGAGGCGAAGAAGGAGTCGGCCTCGTCCGCGTCGCAGGCCGAGGAGTCGAAGGAGGAGAAGCGCGAGAAGTCGGACAAGTCCGAGAAGTCTGACAAGTCGGACAAGTCCGAGAAGCCTGAAAAGTCGGAGAAGCCCGCGAAGAGCGAGGAGAAGCCCTCGAGCAAGCCGCAGGACCGTGTGTTTGCGACGCCCGCGGCGAAGCGCGTCGCGCTCGAGCGGGGTGTGCCGCTGCGCGAGATCCGGGGCTCGGGTCCTGAGGGCCGCATTCTGCTGGAGGACGTGGAGAAGTACAAGCCCTCCGCGGGTGCGCCGGCCGGTGGTGCTGCGGCGCCTGCCGAGGCGTACACGGATGTGCCGCTGTCGAACATGCGCCGTGTGATTGCGACGCGCCTGACCGAGAGCAAGTCGACGGTGCCGCACTACTACGTGACGTTCGACGTGGAGATGGACCGCGTGAACCAGCTGCGTGAGGTGTTCAACCGCGCCGCGAAGGAGTCAGCTAAGGGCGATGCGGCGAAGGAGAAGGCCGCGAAGCTGTCGGTGAACGACTTTATCGTGAAGGCGGCGGCTGTGGCGCTCAAGCAGGTGCCTGAGGTGAACTCGGCGTTCCACGGCGAGTTCGTGCGCCAGCACCACGTGCAGGACATTAGCATGGCGGTCGCGACGCCGACGGGTCTGATCACACCGATCCTGCGCAACTGTGGCGCCATTGGTCTCGCGGAGATTGGTGCGCAGAGCAAGGCTCTCGCGGCGAAGGCGCGCGACGGCAAGCTCAAGCCCGATGAGTACCAGGGCGGCACGTTCACGATCTCGAACATGGGCATGATGGGCACGTCGCACTTCACGGCGATCATCAACCCGCCGCAGAGCTGCATCCTGGCCCTGGGCGCCACCGAGGCGCGCCTCGTGCCCGACGACTCGGAGAGGGGCTTCCGTGTGGCACACGTGATGAAGGCGACCATCTCGGCGGACCACCGTGTGGTGGACGGCGCTACGGCGGCGCGCTGGATGCAGGCGTTCAAGGCGGCGGTGGAGAACCCGCTGTCGTTCATGCTGTAGAGGCTAGGTACTAGTGGCTGTACGTTGGGCGAGACGATGCTGGGCGGCCTGCACCATGGTCATGGCAGCCTCGTGGAAGGCCTCGCACAGGACGCGCGGCACCTCCTGGAACTCGGGCACGTCGTCGCACGCAACAGCGAGCGAGAAGTCTGCGGCATAGCTGATCATGCCGATGGCTGTGTGAGCAAGGGGACGTACCCATCGTGGCCTTGCCGGGGGAGCTGGGCGGCAGGACGTGGTAGCTGAAGGCCTCGTGCTGGCCAAAGGACACGGGCTCCGTCGGGCCTGGCACGTTCGTCGCGACGTGGTACTCGCTGAACGCGCGGTAAAAGAAGGGGCGCCATACCGGATAGTTCGGCAGGTACAGCGCGCGGTGGCGGCACCAGTGGTAGAATGTCTTGTACCAGATGATCGGCAGGTACGAGCTCTTGAGGCGTAGCATCTCCCTGTGCACATGCATGAGGTGCGACTCGATGGTCGTGCCGTCGAGGTCGGGATACTTGAGCCAGGTGAGCGCGCCGGTCGTGTAGTTGAACAGGTCCCAGTTGCCCTCGGGCCGGATCGAGATGGGCACGAAGATGGCCGCGCGGCGGTCGTTCTTCGTGCCGACAGGGCTTAGGCGGTCTGCGGCGCGCGCCATGGCGCGCGCTAGGATGGCCACCGCAACGTCGTTGAGCGTCAAGTGCGTCGACGGCGTCGAGAACGCCTCGCGGATCTGCTTGATGCCAGTCATAGGCACACCGTCCGAGTGGAAGTAGAGGCGCTGCGCCGCACGCGGCTGCTTGGGGTGCCGATACACAAACGACTTGCGCTTGCGGAAGTACAGCTCGCGCATCGTGTACATGCTGTGCGACGCGGTGCCGAGCAAGCCCGGCTTGATGGGCTTCGAGCCGTGCGACTTTTTCTTCTTCGAGATGTCGACCCACTGCTGCACCTCCCTGATGCCCATGCCCTTGTTCATCGCCATCAGCGCCGCGTGGTACGACTGGATCATGCCCTGCCCGTCCGAGAAGCAGTGGTGGATCTTGATCATGAGCGCGCTCCGCGCGCCCTCGGCGGTGCGCAGGCCCTGCACCAGCAGGGCCTCCCACACCGGCTTGTTGTAGTCAAAGTGGCGTGCCAAGAATCGGCCCGCGATCTTGAACACCTGCTCGTCGGTGCCATGGCCCCCGCACGAGATCACCTCAATGTTCTCCGAGACGTGAAAGTCCTCGTCAATGCGCCAGGCGGCGGGGCGCATCCACGAGCCAGCACGGATGGTGCGCGAGTAGTTCGTGTACGGGCCAAAGTTCGGTGGCAGATCGCCGCGCTTGAGCGCCTCGTTGCGCTCGCGGTGCTGGCGCTCGGCCTCCTCGTCCGTCTGCTTCCGCCGCGCCTTGTCGCGGAAGCGCGCGCGGTACGGCTGAAAATCGACGACGTAGCGGTACTTGGGGTACAGCTGCACCAGCACCTCGAAAAAGTCGCGCACCGTGCGGTAGTCCAGCGTCGACTTGAACATGTACATGGAAAAGCACGCCATGTGGTACGAGCGGTCCTCCTGCTGTTAGAAGCGCAACGCACCATGAGCAGTGCCAAATTATCAATGCCGTTCATCGCAAAGACGCGCCCCTCCTTCATGGTATTCACCTCGTTGCGGGGCACGCGCGCGAGCTGCCGGTCCTTGTTCGTGCGTGGCTTTTCACGCGCCACTTGGAGGGCATCCGCGGCATCGCCGCCCGCGCTGTCGCGGCCCGTGCGGATCGAGCGCACGTCGGCCACCGTCGTCGGGTCACCCGCCAGGAGCCGCGCCGTGCGCGCAGAAGACACCACGGCGCTGGGCGGCGGGCGCGACGTACGCCGCGAGCGCCGGGCCGGCGCAGCCGATGCGCCGCTGTGCGGCGCCCGCGAGTGCGACGGCTGATACACATCCTCCGGCGATCGCACGCGGTGCGACGGGTCGGGCGCATGCGACGAGCCGTGCTGACTGTAGGACCGCGCACCGCGGTGGCGGCGGTGGCGCCGGCGCCGCTCGGCGTGGCGAGACGCGTCCGTAGAGCGCGTGCGCGACGCCGTGCGCACTCTGTCGGAGTGGCCTGTAGACGACGCATGAGGCGTGCGCGGCGGCCGCGACGCCGGTGGCGCCTCACTAGCCATCTCGTCAGGCGTATCGTACACTTCGTCTGTCGTCTCGTACGGATCCTCCAACATCTGCGAAGACATGACGTCCGTGCGACGGTCCTGGCGCGCATACGTGCCAGGGCGCGCGCGGGGCTGCGCACGCTCGCGTCGGCGCACACGCGGGCGCTCTTCCCTCGCCGCCATGGTGAGGCGCCGAGCCGTGTTTGACGCGCCGGGCCAATGCGTTATCACGTGATCACTACGGCGCTACGCGAGATGCAGGGCCGCTGCGCCGCCCCGCGCCTCGGCTTGGCGGCGCGATGCGTGGGCCTGCCGCTTGTGTTCGTCCGCGTACGCCTGCTTGGCCGCGGCCTTTTCCTGGCGGCGCAGCTGCTTTTCCGTTTTCTGCGCCTCCTTGCGCGCACGCCGCTCGTCGTGGCTCTCGTGCCGATCGCGCTTGGTCGTCGTGCGCGCAGGCCGCGGCGCCTCGGGCGGCGCTGGCGCGTTGTCGCTCGGTGCATCGTCGGGTGTGCCGCTCGCCCTGGGCGCACCTGTGTACCCCACGACCTGCGGCAGGCCCGTGCGGGGGTGGAGGCGGATCTTCGGGACGCGGGTGCCGGGCTCGGCAAGCGCGCGCGGCAGGCGGCCGAGCGCCGTCGAGGCGCCGGTGCCGCGCGTCGCGACGCTCTCTGCCGCGGCAATCGTGCGGGGGTGGTTCTCGAGGTTCGTCTTAGTCGTCTGGATAGTCTCCACGTCCCACTGCTCACGGTTCGCGCGCAGCACGGCAGGGTTCAGGAACGGGTTCTCGGACGCAGGCGTCAGGGCCTCGTGATCGTCGTCGTCGTCGCCTGTGATGCGCGCCTCGCCAAGGGCCTCGCGCAGCATCGTAAGCTTCTCGTCGGCCGTCGTCGAGCGATCGCCAAGTGTCGGCTTCAGCTGACCGGCGATCACTTCGTGGTGCTCGAGGAAGTCGTCGAGGATCGCATCGAGGTCCCCGCGCGTGAGGCGCTCGGCCGTCTCGTGATCCAGTATCTCGTCGTCGTCGTCGTCGCTGGGCGCATGCTCAAAGGCGCCGTGCAGCGCATCCAGCGCAGGATCGCCCGTCGCGTGCCCACCGTAGGCACGGATCACCTGGTCGAAGCGCGCGTCCAGGTCGGTCAGCTGCTCGTTGCGTGCCATCGACGACGAGGTCATGGACCACACGGTCGAGCCGCCGCCGACGCTGCCAGCGCGCGTCGACGCGGCGCGCCGGGCGAGGGCGCCGGGCGCGCCTTTCCGGCCGAGGGCCGAGCCAGTGGACGACACGGAGCCGGCGGGCCGCGCGCGGGGCGGCGGCGGGGCGGGCAGCTCGCCCAGGGTATCGTGGTCCTCGTCGTCCGACGCGGCGCCGTCGCTGCCGGCGGCCTTGGCCTGCGCCTTGAAGAGCGCGATCCGCGCCTCGAGACTCAGCGCCGCCTCGTCGCCGCCCGCAGCGTCGCGCTCTTTGAGGGCGCGCTGCAAGGGGTCGAGCCAGATGTCGTCGCCTTCCGGCGCCGCATCGCGCCAGGCATCCTCCTCGGTGCGCCGGCCGTCCCAGGCGCCGTCCTGCACAATATCCGCGAAGAAGGCGTCGTCCGCGTCGTCCACGACGAACGCGTCGTCGTCGAGCGCCTCGAGCGTCTGCCGCAGGTGCGGGTCCATATCCGGCTGCAGGCCCTGCGTCTCGCCCTCGTGCACGAGGGCCAGCGGCGTCTCCTGCGACGCAAACACCGAGGCCGGGAGCAGGAGGCCAGGCTGCCCGTCGGCAGGCGCCTGCTCGTCCTTCAGCGCGAAGCGCGGTGCGCGCTCTTTCGGCTGCACGGCCGACGGCACCCACACGGCCTCGGTATCGTCGTCCTCGTCGGCGCCGCCGCGGCGGCTATTCTCGTTGTCGGGGATCGCACGCAGGTGCTGCATATAGTCGTACTCTGTGTCGTCATAGTACACACCGTACAGCGCTGCTTCGCCGACGTTGGCGCGCACCGGCGCGCGGCCGTCGCCGGCGCCGGACGCTGCGTCGTCTAGCTCGAGGTCCGCGCGCGACTTGCCTTTGCGGTTCAGCGGCTCGTACGGCTTGAGAACGTGTGCGCTCGCCTCCGGGTCATCTTTTCGTACATCACGCTGCGACCGGTGCACGACCTGGAAGTGCACCGCGTTCGACTGCCGCCATATCGACTTGGGCGCCATGGCGCAGCGTTGCCTGCCGACCGCTGCCGCCGACAAAAAAAAAAGGCCACGTGGTGTGGAGGTAGTCGCTCGTGGCGGCCGCCGCCACCGCCGCCATGCTCCACGACCGGGCGCTCCTGCTGCCGGGGCAGCCGCTGCCGCTCGCGCAGGGCGCGCGTGTGCAGGCGGGCGACGGCACGTATGCATATGGTGACTATGTCATGGCGAGTCGTATTGGGTACGCGGCGGACAGCCCACCTGGCACGGTGCGTGTGCAGGGTACACGCCCGCCGCTCGTGCTGCCGCGGCCAGAGAGCGTCGTGCTGGGGCGCGTGACGCGCGTGACGCCGCGACAGGCGACGATCTCGATTCTTGTGGTCGATGGGCAGCCGTGTGGTGGTGCGCAGGCCGCGAGCGTGGGCGCCCGCACGAACCATGCGGCCGGGGAAGGCATTGACGGGAGCGAGTTTCAGGGCCTGGTGCGTGCGCAGGACGTGCGCACGACCGACAAGGACAACGTCGTGCTGAGCGAGTGTTTCCGCCCTGGCGACATTGTGCGCGCAGTGGTCCTCTCTCTGGGCGATGCGCGCTCCTACTACTTGTCTACGGCGCGCAACGACCTCGGTGTCGTACACGCGACGGGCGGGCGCACCGCCAACGGCGGCTGGGCGCCGGCGCGGCACACGCTGCAGCCCATCTCGTGGCGCGAGATGGCCGACCCCGTGACGGGCGCGGTGGAGCGACGCAAGTGCGCGAAGCCGGAGTGGCTCAACTAGCGAGCGACGCGTCCCACACGTGCGGCAGCTCCGCCTGGATCCGCGCGACGATGTGCGCGTGCGCGGGCGTCCGCCCGCGCGCAAACTTGAGGAGCGTCTGCAGCGTCTTGGCGTCGGGGCTCGTCGCTGGCGTGCGGGGCATCTCGTCGAGCGCGGCGGCCACGGCCTCGTCGAGCCGCCCGCACCGCGCGAGGCCCTCGACCCAGGCGTCCCACACATTCTTCGTGATCAGGCGCGCGTCCAGCGCGCGCGCCGCGGCGACAGCCTCGCGCATGGCGTCGAGGAGGCCAGCGCGCCCGCACGTGTCGCACACGATCGTCAGCGTCACGTCGTCGAGGAAGCGCGTGTGGTGCGCGTTCTGGCACAGCACAAGGAGGGCGTCAAAGATCCCGAGCACCTGCGCAGGCGCGCCGGCATAGTTGTATGCATTCATCAGCGCATGCACCAGCACGAGATCCGGCTCCAGCTGCACGTCGCGCTGGATCACCGCGTGCACCGCCTGGATGCTCGCGAGGTGGGCGTGGGTCTTGGCACAAAAGTCCAGTAGCACCGTGTAGGTCGCGGGCCGCGGGTGCACACCCGCCTCGCGCATGTCCGCGAGCACCTGGAGCGGCAGCGCCGGCGGCGCCGGCGCGCCGTCGGCCATGCGCCACCGGCACATCCACGCAAGGACGCGCGCCCACGCGTCGCTGTCCCAGGCGCGCAGGGCGTGCAGGGCACCGTACACGTGCCCGACGTCCGCCCACGAGCGACTCGCCTCGCCCAGGCTCCGCGCGAGCGCCCACGCGGCATGCGGCGGCACCCGCACACGGCACGCGCGCATGCGCCGTAGGAGGCCCACGGCGCGCGGCACATCGTGCAGTGCCGCGCACGCACGGAGCAGGGGGTAGAAGAGACCGAGATCCACCGGGCGCGGCACACGGGCGCGCCACAGGCGGCTGAGCCCCGAGGGCCGCGGCTCGCCCAGCACGTCGTCGAGCAGGGCGTGCGCCCGATCAAGATCGGGCACAAACGCGGCGCAGTGCGCCTCGACGAGCGGCTGCACGAGCGCGGCGTCGGGCGTCACGCCGTAGAGACTGCGCGCCTCGGTGTAGAGGGCATGGGCCTCGAACACCTGGTTGGGGTCCGGCGCGGGGCCTAGGACGGCACGCAGCACAATCGCGAGCGCGTGCGCGCTTGGCGGGACGCGCACGAGGGTGTGGATGCGGTGCAGGAGGTGCAGTGCTGCATCGCATGTCGTCACGTCCGCGAGCTCCGCTGCGTGCGCGAGCAAGAGGGTCGGCACGGTATAGGCATCCGGGGTGAGGCCGTGGTGTGCCATGGCGTCCTGCACGAGCGTGAGCGCAGCATGCCCGCCGTGCTGCCGCCCCGTGTAGAGGAGCATGGCGTGCCACGCGGGGGTATCGTGGGTATCCGGGCGGCGGAGGCGCGCATGCAGCTCGGCCGCGGCCGCATGCACGGCAGGCGTCGCAGGCACGTCCGCCTTCATATGGGCGTGCACGTACGTGCTGAGGCCGACCAGGTCGAGCGCGCGAACGCCGACGTCGGTGACGAGGACGGTGGCTTCGGCGCGTGCCTGCAGCGCATGCAGTAGCACATTGATTGTCGGCGCACGCACATCGGCGCCGCACGCACGTAGCTCGAGCCACACGGACCAAGCGCGCTCAGCATCGCGCGTGCACAGGACACGCACGATCCACGCCCAGTCGTCGCGGTGCGGCGTCCATGCTGGGTGCGCGGCGCGGAGGGCCGTCCATACGCGCCACGGGTCCTCGAGGTGCGTGCGCACACACAGCGCGAGCGAGAGCAGCTTCGGCGGCACGCCGGTGTGCTCCTCCAGCGCGCGGCGGACGTGCGGCGCACACAGCAGGGCCAGGTGCCGCGACGACGCGTCCTGGGCGCGAACGCCACGGATCAGCGCCGGAAGCAGCGCTTGGACGTCGTCATCCAAGAGAGAGCGGTGCCGCAGGCCCACAGCCACGCGCTCGAGGGCGGTCGGGGCGCCTGCCTCGGCCGCCGGCGCCACGAGGGCGCGCGGCGAGGGCAGCCGCTGCGTGCGCTGCGCCCACGGCGGCCATGCCCACGCCCGCCCAAGTGACGCTTGGCCTACGCACGGCAGCGCCGTCGCCGCCGCTGCGTACACGCCTGGGAGGCGCCGAGCGGCATGCGCCATCAGCGGTCAGTCGGACGCAGCGCACGCGGTGGGTCCGACTGTCGCCCGATCGCCCGATGCACTCGT